AGTATAAGACAACTGGAATGGTGCTTTGTATTAAGCAGTATGGTAAAACTGTGGCTGGTTTGATCGCGAGTATAAGACTCTTGATCCTGAGGAAATGAGCGTCTTTATATACATGGTATATCCGGTCCCTTCCTCCTGATTCTCCTCAGGTCCCATCGTGGACCTGATGTCCCGGTCCCTTCGTGGACCTTTCATGTTCGGTCCCATAGGGACCTGTCCCTGGTCTTGGCATCTGGGACCTGTCCTTATGGTCACGTGATGTGTAGTTATTCCGTCCCGGAATCTTGTTGTCCAATGAGTGTATATCCTGGGGCTGCGCCGCAGGTGGTCTGTAACAATTTCCTATTATCTTGGTTTATTAATCATGAGTTCTATTATATAGTCCTTCAGCACTAGTTAAAGCCTGAATTTCCTTATTCAGTTTTTCCTAACTAAGTTCATCTATCGAGTCCTTGTCTAGGTACTCTGTTATCTGTGTTGCTCAGTCCTTTTAACTCTCTTGGAGCTATAGTTGTTTTTGTAAATGTCGTGTCATCTTCAACCAATATCTGGTTGCCACTTTTTCTTCAAACTATATAGTATATCCCCTATACTACACAGTGATTTGTTTGTTTACTCTCTAGTATAGGACTTCTAGTCGTTCATATGGCGTTATGTTTTCTTGGTCCATTATATTAACACTTTTGCCATCTATCCATCCTAAGTACTTATTAATATATACTAGGTATTCCTTGTTGGTATAGTACCTCCAGTGGATGTCCTTGCTGTCTCTGCACAATAGACATTTCATATAGTTTTCATAATGAAATCTTCGTCCTGATTTCTATGTTTCTTTAAAGATGTGGTATTTATAGTGGCAGTCCCATCTATATTCATCATAGTATGGGTGCCTGGGGTCTCTAACTTCTGTCTGTTTTTCCTTATTATGTCTGAAACATAGTCCTTTTTCTTTGCACACTGTCCAGTATTCATTAGGTATCTGGTTATTATATTTCTCTCTTTGTTCCTATAGTAGTTCATAACTATCTTTAAATATTATTTATAGTGCTTCGTTTTCCCAATTGTTTATTTCCTGCGTATCTTTGTATTCTGATTTGGTTTCTCCTTCTAAGTCTATTTGTTCTGGTGTCACAATTCCTTGGTTTGGGCCTATTACTGAATCATATATTTGTTATTCTATTATCGCGTTCTGTCATATCAACGCTGGTTATTTTCCTTATTTAATCCGTTTATCCTGTTTCTGCTATCCTTATTGTTGCTATATGTTAGGTACTCGTTTGTATATGTCGCCAAGTTTGTTTTCTGGTGGCTATAGATAGGTGACTTTCCTTATTGCCCTAAGGTATTATCTGATATTCTGTGAGTCTTAGTAGCCTCCTCTACCTTATTCCTTCTTGTGGCTACTAGTCTTAGACGTAGTAGTAGCGTTAAGGTGTTTCTTAGTATCCCTTTGTTTCTTCCTGTAGTCTTTTGCAATATGCCTGGGTTTCTTATAGTAGAAACATAGCTTCTTGTCCCTACATCTTTTGCTTTTCTTGGTATTATAAGGTCATTTTTTGGTAGCGTCTAATTCTATAGGTGTGGTGCCATAATCGTTGCGTTTATTTAACCCTTTATATTAGTTTGCTTTTCAGAAAGTGTTCTTTCCTTGTTATATGTTTTGTAGGTTATAGAGTTGATTGTCAATGCGTACTGCCATCTCAACTATTTATTTAAAACTATTATATGGTTCCATCTTGATAGTTTCGTATTAGGTTTCTGGTTTTAGTCCTTGTTTAAATATAGCTATTTTCTACTTGTCGTCGTGGATTCCTAGTTCTTGACAGATCTGCTATAGTTGCGCTGCGTACTGCGCTGCGTCCCTGGTTTATCTGAGTCCCTATAGTTTGCGTTATAGGGTCCTCTTTCTGTTGGTATCTCCAAAGAATTGTCTGAGTACTTGTTTGAATTATGTGTAGCTGTTGAGTACATCCGCGTATAGTATGGGTTATCCTCTAGTGTTAGTCTAGTCCTCAAGATATGGTTTGAACCATGTTGCTACTGCCTCTCACATATAGGATCCTATAAAGATAACTTTTTCTATATTAGTGACTCCTGGTTTAGTTACTAGATAGATATCGCATTTCTCTAGGAAGTGTTCCAGTTTTGTTACAGACCACCTGCGGCGCAGCCCCAGGATATACACTCATTGGACGGGAGGATCACGGGCCAGACCTTGAGGGCACCAGTCACGTGACCAATAGCGATAGGACCGATAGGACGGGCTTGGCAGCTTCCTATCGATACTATCACAACAACCGATAGGAGTGATAGGAACCCCTTGGCGGAGAACTATCGTACCTATCACTAGATATATACCATGTATATAAAGACGCTCATTACCTTAGAATCAAGAGTCTTATACTCGCGATCAAACCAGCTACAGTTTTACCATACTGCTCAATATAAAGCACCATTCCAGTTGTCTTATACTATATTCATTGAATACCCCTTTGCCCATTAATGCAGATCAACTTTGTCTTCACTGCTCATAAGGACCTTCAGCCTTCATCCGACCCAGGCACTGACTGAAGCCACACTTAGAACTAAGGGATAGTCTCGCTATAGTATTCTATCTCACCCTGGTACTAAGCCATCTCCTATAACGACTCACCTCCAACCCAAGCTTTCTCTAAGACCTTCGTACCTTCTGTCTTACGGCAGATGTGAACCTCTGATCACCTTTAGGTAATCAAGGAGCGCCGTCAGCTTGTGACAAGTTTGGCGCGGTCTCCTTTATAAGTATCAAGTTCATAGATCTTGATAGTAGTTCTCTTATCTCTGGTTCTGACTCTAAGTACATTAATAGTGTCTTTGTGACTTTTAACTTATTCTAAAGTCTGTTCAACAATATCTTTGCATTTATTAAGTAACCTTTATTATTCTTCTACTTATTTATTGGTCTTATCTAGCTACTTATCGTTGGGTTGCTCTTCAACTCTTTTTTCCAACTCGATGATTTTCTGTTGTATTTGTCCTAACAAGGCGTTGGTGTTGGTGGTTGGTCCACTTGCTAATAACATATTGGCTCGTCTTGCTTTAGTATATTCCTGTAGTTAGTATACTCTTAGGGGTAGGGTGATACGTACCTAGTTTTGTCCTTCTTAATATATAATTGTAAGTCACTCAGGTCAGAGTGTCTATGACAGTATGGTGGCTCTAGTAAGTCGGAATTACTTTTGCCTCTTTATAACTATGAAGTCGGGGCGATCAATGTCATAAGCTGATGGCGCTCCTTGATTACCTAAAGGTAATTAGAGGTTCACACCTGCCGTAAGACAGAAGGTATAAAGGTCTTAGGGAAAGCTTAGGTTAGAAGTAAGTCGTTATAGGAGATAGCTTAGTACTAGGGTGAGATAGAATACTATAGTAAGACTATCCCTCAATTCTAAGTGTGGCTTTAGTCAGTGCCTTAGTTAGATAAAGGCTGAAGGTCCTTGTGAGTAGTGAAGACAAAGTTAACCTATATTAATAGGTAAAGGGGTGTTTGGTGAATATAGTATAAAACAACTAGAATGGTGCTTTATATTAAGTAGTATAGTAAAACTATAGCTGGTTTAATCATGAGTATAAGACTCTTGATTCTAAGGTAATAAGTGTCTTTATATATAAGTCCTTATATATTCTATTCTCCTAAGTTACTTAGTCGCGCTATTAACTCCGTTAACCTAGCGACTTATACTGGCTCTCCCTACTCTCTTAGTCGCTCTAGTGAGTCGGGCGACTGGGCGAGTGGGATATGGTTGTTTCATTCCGTCTTGTCCGTCCAATGAGCGTATACTCTGGGGCTGCGCCGCAGGTGGTCTGTAACAAGAGATAGCAGCAAGTAGAGAGATAAATTCCCTATTTCTATTATAAATAGTAGTTATCCTCTTATTCTTTAACAAATGGATAGGGACTACGCGTTTTACTATATATCTAAGCCTAATTAGGAAGCCTTTTTTATTAAAGTTATAGATATTACTAGAAGTAATATTATATTTATTAACCACCTTCCCTAGCTAAAGAAGAGGGTATTAGTAATGAGATATCTAATAAATAATAAATATTTAAATACTTATAAGATTGTAGAAATGCTTAAAATAGGCAGAGTTATCTGCAATATGCCTATATTAATTAATCATTTAAAGATATCTTAATGTTATTTAGGCTTAATGCCTCTTATAAAATTAAGATACCTAATTGATACCAACTGGCTATTTGGTGAGCTCTAGAACAAGATTTGCGATAATTTGAGGTATAGGAGATAGGCCTCTATTTGATAAACGTTCGATATACTACAAAAGGACTTCCTCTTGAGTATCTATTAACTTTTTACAATAAGTTAAGGTGGCTTCCTTATTAGACACTGTTTTACCTGAATATCAACGCGCAAGAGTCCTCTAATCGATTTTCCACTTTCTGGCTATTTGTGTGTAATTAGGGACGTCCTGCAATCTCAAATCTTCAATCGCACAAGCAATTGCTTCTTTATTAGGCATGTTGTGGGTGGTTAAAGATAGGTGGTTGTCGAGATGAAGATTTTTGTTGGGGTGGTCATCGAGTGGTGGCGGTCATCGAGTGGTGAGATACGTTACCTGGTATAACCAGGCAAACTTGAATGATTAGACCGGAGAGAACGCATTGAGCCATTAACCAATATCGATAGCTGCTGTGAAATACCAGGTTGGACTCTATAGAGGCATCCCAAATTGTAACCGAAGTTGAAGCTATATCAATCCGTATTCATTACCTTTTGATAATTGATATCTCGACTCTTCGTTATTACTCTTTTCGTGTTGTGGATAAGGTTATATCACGTGATAGGGCGTCCATTATGTAATGAGCTTATCCAGACGCGTCCAGGCAAACATCCAACGCGTTGAGTGAAGTGAAGGCATTCTGATATAGATAGCCACTCTGAAGCTTTGAATTATCAAACTTCACTCTGATATATGTCCTTTTAGGCACCACTGATCACTATGCCCGCGTAAGAGTCATTTCACTGTCTTGTTCTAATGTACCCATAACCTGTTATAGCAGACGCGCTGACCTACCCATAGCATAGGCGACCAACACCAGCTTAGACCGGGGGACAATCCTGCGATATCTGCGAACCCATATTTACAAGGAACAAGGCGTATTGACGAGTATACACCCGAGGAGGTTGCCTCGCTGAAAGAGCAACTAAACAAGCAACTTGGCCCGGAGTTCCTATCATCCAGGCCTTCCGGTGCGGGAAAGGTACATTATGTCACAGCAGATAAATGTATCAACCTTGCAAATGAAGTTTTCGGGTTCAACGGGTGGTCCAGCTCGATACAGAATATAAGTCAAGATTTTGTGAGTCAGATATCAGCGATCCTCTCTATGGACTTGCAACTTATATGCATATCATCTTGATATAGGCCGATGAACATCCTCACACCGGCAGAGTTTCAGTGGGGCTATCCGTGATAGTGAGAGTGACGTTGAAAGATGGAACTTATCATGAGGTTTGTTTTGTCCCGATAAGTACACACTATATTTCGAGTTAATTCTGATATATTGGTCAGGATGTTGGATATGGCCACATTGAAAACTGTAAAGGAAAAGCTGCTGCGTTTGAAAAGGCCAAAAAGGAAGGAACTACAGACGCTTTAAAGCGTGCACTGAGGACATTCGGAAATGTACTAGGTAACTGCATATACGACAAGGAATACCTCTCTAAAGTGGTCAAAGTCAAAGCAACTCCAGTAAGTTATATCACATATATATCCCCGGAAAATATACTAACTGCAATCACCCGGGTTTAGGTGAAGTTTGATGTGGATAATCTTCACCGTCATGTAGATTTCGTCCCTCCCAAAATCCAGGCAGCAGCCCCTACAACCAGAATCGTCAAGTATGAGCCTCAGAATAATGGCCAATCTGACCTCCCACCGCGGGGTCCTAGTGTTCAAAATAACATTGCCGATGATTCTCTCGCTTTTGAATTTGAAGGCGAATTCGGGAGTAAGATTGCTTTTCCGTACCTTCATTGGCCTTCGCTCAAGCTGACTTTATGAAGGTGATGTGTTTGACGAGGCAGACTTTGCCGAACATACTTCATTACATCCAGATGAGGTGGTTTTGGAAGAAACCAGCAATGCGGCGCGACCACCTCGCCAACATGGTCCACCAATTCCCCAGCAGCCAGCAACGACTGGGAACTCGGCACACACGAACAGAATGGGCGCACAAGCAAATCTTAGAAACCCTCCAACTGCTGGCCCAACCCCTGGTGGCCTTCCTCCAGGTAATCAACCTGCTGACAGAGTGAACAGGCCCAACATAAACCCGTCAGATAGGAATAATATAGCCGGCCCAAAGACTCCCGTTCCAGGAAGATTCGCACAAGATAGAAGTAATGACTTTAAACAACCTGCAGGCAGACAGGCTGGCCAGCCAAACGGCCCGCTTTTCCCAAATCCCGCTGAACAACACCGACCTGATCCAGCATTAAATAATAATGGAAGCAGGTCCCCCAAAAAAGGCATATCTCCCCCTAATACACAAGTTGGTGAGGACAAACGGCCAGAGGAACCTGTGGTTGGCTTTTTCTCTGCTCGAGCCGCTGAAGCATTGATAAACGATCCATACGCCGCTGCCAAATCAGCTCCAGTATTCGACCCGCAGTTCGATAGCCCTTCAATACGCAAAACTGCTGGTATCGATCATAATAGCTCTTCGCCAATTGTTAGAAAGTCTCTCCAGGCATTACAACAACAGTCCGGGAAACCCCCCTTAGTAGGCGCTAATGCAAACGCCTTACCGCCAGCCAACTCCGGGGGCCCCAATCCTACTGCTGGAGCTACGGGTAGGCCTCCTATGACCTCCTCCTATCGGCCTCCAATGAGACGATCTATGAACACAGCGAACAATAACAATACAAACAACAACCCCAATTCGAATAATCAACCTAATATGCCACCACCGACGAAAGGCAACAACCCCAACGACAATGCTCCGCAACAAAATGAACACGGAAAGAGGCCACCATTAACAGATACTACAAATGTACCGGGGAGCGAGTGGGCGAAGAACCAATCTGAGACGATAAAAAGGACAAAAGTGGAAGAGACCGGTGCTTCCAAATCAAACCCACAAGGCCAACAACAGCAGAGACCGCCTTATACAGGCCCTCCAGGGAACGCGAAATGATTTGATTTTATTCTGTATCCCGCTTTCTTAGCCTTGGGTTTTGAGCGGACTATTACGATCCTGCAGCGCTTATTTGCTCTATTTCTTACGGAGTTCAGGCACCATTTCTTGGGGATGGCTTGGTATTCATTTTTACTTTTCATTTTCTCCGCCTCTTATTTATCTGACGGGATGGATCCTACACATTTGCATCAGGTTATGTATATACCCGTTGCCTGAATATGTTATGGAGTGCAGGAGTACGGGGTCGGCGGAAAGCGGCTTAAGTTCGCATTTTGAAAGTTGGGATTCCGTGGTATCTCTAGATTATTTATCTGGCAATTCATCGCCACTGGCTAGAGTAATAGATACAAGTAAAGCAAGTACTCAAGTGCGGAATTTTTTTTACCTTTTTGTCGAGATTTTCGTGGGCGCATATGCAGTGGAATATCTGAGGAAATAGAAATATCCTCCCGTCCACACAGGCAAACAACATTAAGGGTTCGTAAACAGGGTTATTTTTGGTACAGAGGGAGGGGAAGAGGTGCGAAGGATTCATTGGTTTCCATGGAACGGCAACCTGGAACTTTGGGCAGTCCCTCACACGATGACGAACGCAAAAAAGAAGATGAAGAATCATAAAAAGCTTCAGGTAAGTGAGAAAGAGGGTAGAAAGGGAATGAAGCAAGCTTGCTTCATGTACCAGAGCTTTTGAGAACCAAAGCGTGGGTGGAGGCTGAAGAATTAGCATGATGCTCTGATGGAACCAACGTTAGCGTTAAGAAGCTGCTCGAAATATAAAATCTCGAGACATTCTGTCCTTCTCATAAATAACTGTTAACAAGCACGAGTAGTGTGGCGGTTGATCAAGTGTCCGTTCAGTGCGCGTACTTGGAGCTTTCAACTCCATATTTCTTCTTTTCAGGAGCGGCAGTGGTTATTGGCACTCCAGTAACTGATACTCCATGCTTTGCCATTTCGGCAACGAAAAGGTTCTTCGGCTCTTGGGGTGCAACAGGTGCAGTGGAAGAGAAATTGGAATGTTGGCTGGTCGTATTACGCCCCTGATTCAATGGATCAAACCCAAAGGAATTTGGGTCTCGTGCCGATGCGAGTGGTTGAAAGGTGGGTGCCGCGGGTGAAAGCGAAGAGGATGAGTTTCTGCTGTGGATCTCATTTTTCTGACCAGGCTGAATGGGCTGGAAAGCAGCAAACTTTGTAGCTGGGCTTATGTTTTCGTTTGTATCCCTAATAGGAGTAGTTGGCATTTTATTTCGCTCAGCGGCCAACTTGCCTGAATACTGTAATGTGGCAGCAGACTCTGGGATATAAGGCTTATCCCTCATTTTGAACCGCGATTTTGGAGCTGTAGGAGCTGTATCGGTAGTATTGATAATTGGGGTGGTTCCAGATTTGTGGGCTGGAGCAAATGCAGGAACAGGCGCAGGTGTATGGAACGAAGTAGGGACGGGAGCAAACGTAGTACCAGGAGCTGGAGGGTAGGTAAAAGTTAAAGGCTGGCTCAATGGAGGGGATGGATTGAATGCAGACGTCAGGTTAAATGTGGACGCTTGGGTATAGCTTTGCATCCATGTAGAATCAAATATAGGGCCTGGAGCGCATGAAGTAGGGGTTGCCGGAAACGGGTTTGCCGCCATAAATGGGGTAGGTACGTATTTGTTCTCCTTTGGTTCATATTTCTTGGTTGGTTTGGATTTAATATTGTATGGCCATATTGGCTCTACCGATCTCCCAGGTAGAAGATGGTCGCCGATGATAAGGGGAGGCTCGCTGGGGTTTGTGGGAAGGGTATTCGAGATACTGGTTGCTGGTGTCTCTGGAACAGGGTCCCAGTTGGAGTTGTTCCCATTCTTCACCTTTGGATCTTGAGCCTTCACCTCTTTTATCTCCAGTGACTTAAGATCGTCTTCGAAATTTTGACTAAGAGCGGCTGTTTTATCATCTGGCTGAACCTTGGTTTGTGCATCCGTATATCCAGCTATTTTGATAGCTGGGCCACCGGTAGCAACCTTACTAACGTTAGTACTGGCATTGGAAGGTGCTGGCTGTTGTAAGTTTTCAGGGTTAGCTACTGTGGGCGCTGTAGATACGGGCTGAGAGGGGGTTGGATATAGCTGAGTGTGTTGTGGAACGTCTGGCATGGTATGTTGGCCAGTTGCCTTTGTATTCCCATCTGCTGGCTCCTTTTCAACTGCCGGGATCTGCTTGACTGATAACTCTTTTTCAAGGTGGTCTTTTCGCTCCTGAAGGTATATTACCACGTCTGGGTCTAGCACTGACTGATTGGAAAGGAGCTTGGTTATCCTTAGTAGCTCTTGTTCGACAGCACTTAACTCTTCTTCTGGTTTCATTTCGTTAAGTTCAAATCGGGTTTGTTGGGCTGCTGTGCGTCTGGGTCCTTCTGGCTCATTACTTGTGTCAAGGAGGCTGGCTCCAGTATCCTCTTGCCTGGCTTGGACTTTATCTTTCTTCTCAGGGAACGCAGCGACCGGCTCCTCGGAGGAAATGTACAGGAGAAGATCGTCATCATCGTGATCTTCTGAATGCATCATTCGCTGAGGCTGGGGAAGGTAGGAACCAAACCCATGGTCTGTCTTTAGTGCCACAGCGTCAGCTCCCTGGCTATCACAATTCTCGGAAGGATTTGTAAATACATCTATTCTTAGGGTCGTAACCGGCTTAGGCGCTGCCGCCGGTTTTGATGGTGCTGGTGCAATTGGCTTTGCAATTGGCATAGCTGGCTGCGTAGGAACTTCCTTGACCACTGGGGCTGGTTTGACAGGAAGAATTGAACGGACCTGGGGGGCAGATGGTGCAGCTGACATATTTCCACTCATGACAGGAGCCTCCTTAGGAAAAACTGGTGGCTGTGCTGGCTTGACGGCAGTAGGAGTCTGTGCTCCAGGAATAGCAGCCATGAAATCATCTCCATCAGCTAGCAATGACTCGAAATTGACATTCCTAGGAATAGTATTAGTAAAACAGATCTCAAGCTCCAACGAATTGGATATGGTGAAAGCTTACGGGGGAGCAGCAAAGACAGGGCGCCTCGCCTTTGTAACTGGGGGCAGATTTTTTGACGCATTGTATCTCTTTCTCTCTGATCTTCCATGAGAATCAGAGGGGTTATTGCAATCTTTAGATGGGTCCGATAACTTCTTTGGAAGGGGCGCAATGGAAGCCTTAGTTGCTGGACGGAAGTTTGGAGGAGTCAATCGACGCGGATCATGTTTCGTGATACCACCTCTACCCATTGGCCCTGTCGGGGGAGTAGAGCTATGGCGGAGTGAAGATAGGTTAACCAGGCTGGCTAAGAAATTTGGACGGACTATATACTCACATCACCGTTGACCGATCTGCCACTCTGCGTGCGTGGCCTCCTATGGCACCTCCTCCCCGACCACTACTCAGACCGCCGCGGGTAGGCATTCTGCCTCTGTTCGCGTTGCCTGCGGCCCCGAGCGCACCTTCTTTCACCCGGGCTTCTAAACCCATTCGATGAGTTTGTCCATCTAACAACGGGTCTAAGTTTTCGGCATCATGGTTCTCCTCGAGGGTTTCATGAAAAGCTAACAGTGGCCGTTAATGTTGAAATACTGTTAAGAGATAATTGGTGCAAGATGTATCAAAATCCACTTACTAGCCCAGCTATTCAACTTCTCCCTATTAGCCTCAGCAATCATGTAAGCCGCTGTACCCTCTTTGTTTGAGTCTCGAGTGGCCTCGATTTGCTGGATATCTATTCGATGGAGCTTGTTCGGACGATCAACAGTGGATATATGTTCACGCCGTGCAGTGCCTAAGTCGGCCTTTATTTTGAGGAAGTCCCATATCAGCCATATACTACCCAATCCCCAGATGGAGGTCACAATGAAATAACCTACCATTTGGAGTGCCTTCATGCGGCTGGCGCGCTCATCTTCGAAGGGATCTGGGTTTTCCGCCATCCTTGGGTATTCCGCGCGTCAGACGCGTTTTGACTCGTTTCTAAAGGGTATTCTTGTCGATTCTCCCCGAAGAATCTCACGCCTCGGATGAGATGCAATATCTGGATGGTTCTAATTTGACTAGATAGGCAAGGCTATTATCACCGCATTTTCTAAGTCAGTATAAAGGTTTCAGTAGACACCACCACTTGTCCTATCTATCATGCCACAGTAGAAGCAAGAATATCAAAGCATGGGTGAGATAAAGACACATTCTAGCATTGCTTTCATAAGAAAAACATGAGATAGATGGTCTCAAGAGAGGGACACAGCTGATGCCACAAATGTCTTGAGGTCTCATGGGGACCAGAGGAAACAGCACAGAAAGGGGACAAAACTTACACCTAGGTCAAGTTCTCCAACTCTTGACAGGATAGAGAAAGAAAGATGTCTGTCAGTAGAGAGAGTGAAAAGAGGATTGAACTGAAAGGTCCAGAAGAAGGCCAGAGGATGTTTTGGAGATGGGGTGAAGCTGGTGTATTGGTCTAAGAAGCTGGTCGCCGCGGACAACGTTTAGACAGATACCTAGAGACAAAACAGAGCTATGTAGATGCAATAGGTAATGAAAGATGAAGCCTTAGGCAATCTTCACATCCTCACTGGCTTTATTCGGGCGTCGATGAAGCAAATTTCTTTAGTATAAGGTATAATGTTGCCATGGAAGGACGTCGTTGGATTGAACATTCACTGATAGAAAGAGAAGGACGGCAATATAAAGCAGATAGATGAAGAAGGGCACAGCATCAGTATATGTAGGGTATCTCTGATAATTCTGCAGTAAATTTTAAAAAGATCTTTGGAGGTTGGGGTATAAATTGCTAGGAGGGACGGAAAGGTTAGAGAATATTGGTGGTTGAGATGGAAGAAATAATAGACTGCAGGCTATTACAGGTGCAACTTCTCTCTCTTCGAACTATCAATCTACACCAGATGCCAACCCCAGCCTGAGAAGACAACAGCAGCAGTAATATCATAGGACCAAAAGCTTTCTCCAGATGCCTAGGTATGGATATAGCAGAAAGTGAGGTAGTAGTCATCGTAAGGAATTAGTGGGAGCAATGGTCACTTGTCCTTTGACGTTCAACAGTATAATTTCCTTGCCGAAACATGGAAACAATGAAGCAGTTAATGGTATACGGGTAGCTGCAAGGCGGTAAGGTAAAAGCAAAGCAAGGAAAAGAGGAATTAAGCACATGAGACACTGATTGCAGATATTGGATCTCCAATCATAATTTGATAAACCGAAAAAAAACTTGAGTTGCAGCTTCCTTGAGGGCGGGCGAGGGTTAGCAATAGATTGAACTCGCTGTTCCCAGGCTCGAACTCGGAATAAAATGAAAATATGCATCTATGTATCTAGTAATAACAAGGTAGAATGTTGAAAAAGTACAAATATCGCTATTAAACGGTTATTAGTTCAGCAAGTCACCGCACCCCCCTCATCTGTATGGTCGAAGATGTTAGCTAGTGCTAATCGAAGGAGGAGTGCCATAAGAAAATCCCTTAAGAGAATGGAGAACTTACGCTTAATCATTTTCGCTGCAGCCTGAAGAACGCTAATGCACATAACCACGGTACCAAACGCAATGCAAAGGAAAGAAGGGAGTTTTGACACCCAACCCTGCTTGCTGAGCTTTATGTAGCATAGCGGTGGGAGAATATATGCGAGGGCGCAAGCACTTGTTGCACCGATAAGTTCCAATACGTAGCCCAAGTCACAGGTGATCAGGGCCATGACCACAGACGTGACGACGAGGGAGGTGGTGAATATGAGATGGCGGTTAAGGTTAAAAGGCTCGTCAGGGAAATAGAATGTAGTCATGACAGACCTGCAGACGAATGCCTCGAGGGGTAACGTGGCCAGCATGTTTAGCCCAAAAAACCTATTTTTATTTCAGTCAAGGTAATGTTCAAGTTTTATGTAGATAAAATAACGATTGAGGTTTACGGGCAACTTACAGTCTCGCAATATTCACTATCACGTTGTCTGGGGGGAAATTATTAAGAATATTACCCTTTGTTTTCGATCCAAATGTTAAGAACCCAGCAACTGCCATGATGAGGCACATAACCATAGAGATAGCTGTCGAGTAGTGGGTAACACGAGCGAAGCGGTCCATGGTCGGTTTTCTCAAGGAGCCGTATATCAACAAGCTATTGTGATCTAAAATGAGTTTAGCAACAGGCCCAACAAATCGTCACTTTGGGAACATACGGCAGACGAATGCTATAATAACGTTAGCAACAGATCAACCAACTAATATGTAAATTTTGAAGCGTTTTAAGCTTACCAAAAGAAATGACTCCAATAGCCTGGATTACACCGCTGTTCAGGAACAAGGATCCTTTAATTTCACCTCTTGCCTCAGGCGCTACCTGGACACCCTCGATGATAATAGTGACTAGGATGACCACCATGCTAACTAATGCGAATGTCGAAGCTTTTGCCAACTACACAGACACAGACGTCAGATATGAACGATTAAGCATAGATGTATAGCGGTCAGGCCTACCTTTGCAATGTCCCGGTATAACGAAAGTGGGTATGATATCCCAAGAACGAAAATAATGATTACAGCGCGCCTGTTCGTCAATAGCCATAGAACCGGCATGTCCCTGATTGATGGAGCTATTCCCATCACGACGTGGGGTATAGTGTCACCGACAATGATGCAAAATGCAATCATGCCCCCAAACGCAAACGCCCACTGCGCCACGGATATTGCAATCAATCCCGTTCTACCATAGCAGAATTCCACTGTGGATTGGAAGGAGTCTGCACCGCTGAGTTTGGAGTTGACGACAATTAGGCGGATGGTCCAGTCGACGGTACATGTCAGGACGACGAGTAGAATAATACCCGTGGTCAGGCCAGCCTGGCGGAAAGCGTACGGTTGTCCAATGATCCCAGCACCAATTATACTGTTTGCCATGTTCATGAACGCGCTGCCTAAGCCACTCTTTGGTCGGGCGCTTTCGAGGTGGTCTTCGGGTGTAAAATCGGAGGTCGCAACGGTAACGCTGGGTGCTTCTATGTTCGTGAGGAGCGGGACGATCTGACGGTTGCCATCTCTAGGCACCTGGGCTGCCTCCTCATCTAGATAGTCTTGATTCGCAATCCAATCCGCATCACTGCGGCCGCCAGGGAGGCCTGCTTCCTCGTCCCCATCGTCTTGGATATCAAACCGGACGCGATTCGACGTACGAGCCGTTCGAGGCTGGCCGGTAGGAGAGGGAGAAAGGGACGAAGGTAACTTGGTCGATGCTGATTGCGACGACGGCGTGTCCGACAGGGACGATGGCTCCTCGACAACTAAGTAGTCGTCGTCCTCGTGGGACCCGTGGGAAAGAAGGGAACGGCCTTCCTCCTCGCTGTATTTTGATGCTTCAGCTGTGCGAACATCTCGTTTGTCTCCTCTGTTCATAGCTACATGTGGGAATCATTCTCCTTGGGCATAAAACAGTGATCTTAAAACATCCAGTTCTCCAGATAAAAGGGACCAAACCCCTGTTCGCTCCCGCAGATATACACCTGCTGACTAAGGAGCGCCTGCACAGCCATAAAAAATAAAAAGGAGAGCACACGTAGCCTCGTTTTCTTCAAGAGTCTTTGTATGCGGGCGCAGAGTCGATGATCCATCCTTTGTGCCGGTGAGGTCATTGATGAATTGTCGATCTGAGAGATGTTGGAAGTGCAATCGAGATCTAGGGCGCAGTTAGGATCTCAGCGCAGCGGCCAAGAACCCTGTTGATTCTCTTCTATATTAGCAGGCATGTTGGATGTATGGTCTCATCTAATCTTCTGCAGGCTATTTTATTAGAAATCTTGAGAGAGGGTGGTTGTTATGGCATTGATACGTACTCGTATATTTTGGCCCCTATTACCACAAGGGAAGAATGATACTACCAATGCATACTCTCAGGATAGAAGACTTAATCTGCTATTGAAGTTGAGCAGAAGATGCTACCTTGAATACTATGGATGCAATAAAGGATTATTTAGCCACTCTCCAACTGTCAAGTATGTGGTTGTGGAAGTTCTTATACCCAAGGCGGAGAGCAGACGTTGAATTGCCGTATTGGGAAGAAGACGTCTTATATCCTCCGTCCTACTCATGACATAAATTAACAGCTTACGCTCCACGATTTCCAAATAATATTCTTGCCAGTGTTGCTATGTGACATCATCTTAATCCATTATGCGATACTAATTCCTCTCTGGAGCTGAATATCGAAGTATGCCTCGCCATAACATCCACCTAGGAACAAGCACTCACATACAGCACGCTCATAATCTACAAATCGAAATATCTAGCTTTGTGCAAATTTCTGAGCCTGACCGTCCTGGCCTGCTGTTAGGGGAGCAAGTATCAGCCGAGTCTCTCCTGAAGCGGAATATCTGGGTCTCTTGGAGTTCAAATTCTACTCTCCTGCTCAATGTTTCCCTTAGAATGCACGCTTCTTGGGCGAGCCAACTCGCCGTATCAGACATTTTACAGCAATTTGCAGAGATATTTACTAAGTCGCCGGTATGTTAACCTTTTTAACCATTTGTCTATCCAGCTGATAACTTACTCATCATGCCGTATATAGCTTTGGTCTGGTCTTAACATCCTACTTGTCACAAAGGACCAAGGCCTTACGGCAAAGCAAAATGAATCGAACCTTCTAAGCATCACTTTGAAAGCTAGCCTAAACCCAGACCAGCCTACGGGCCCTGGACTCAGTCGATTTCCCAAGTCCGTTTGTACCTTACTTAGCGACAACTCGTTCATACGTCCACCGCCGGAGATACCTACGGCCCATATCCATGAAGTTGACATACTATTCAGCTTTTCAGACGCTCCTAGCCCTTCAATACCAAAGGCCTTTCCATATCAATACCATGAGACTCAAAATATAGTTCCTATTGACAGTATCCATCCAAGGCCGGTGGTGATGGCCTCTCCGTCATATATCCCTAAACATCAATCACCGGGCGTAACACTTCCGGAAATGCTCAACTCTGACGAAGGATGGGAGTCGTTGGATAATTCATCTCCATTTTCAAGCCAGGAATCTATGGCTAGTTGCAGTTCCATCGGTTCATTGAGTTTCGGGCCACCTACCCACAAGAATGGACGCTCCAGCTGTCGTGTACCTGATTCAATCCAGCCCTTTGTTTTACTTTTAAATACCGGATTCCATACCCTTTTAGGGGCTCCGTCGTCTCCGTTTGGGTCGACCACCAGTAGACACCCAAATAAGCACCAAGTCGGCCTTGCAGAATTGTCCCCGAGTATCTTCAGCTCAGGGTATAGCGCTGTAAGCAATGGTTCTGCTCGAGAAATGCAGAAAGACAAATCAGTTAACGTACATTGATCTAGGCCATACATCAACGTTCCTGTTTCATGCCACTAGTCGTCAAGGGCATAAGCTCGATGCTAAAGGGCTCCAACTCTACGATACTTGAATCAGCCCTTTCGAGAATTAATGAGGCATATAGGCATAACGATAACCCAACTCCAACTTCCGCGGACATTAAAGATATTCTAAAATATCTCCTATGGATAAAAATGCAGCGTGCTCTCTCTAATTCTGACGAAATGCGAAGAGTACGACATTTAGTCGCAGCTACCACCTCCGAGGCCTCCTCGACACAACAGCGGAAACCCAGTGGCTCGCTGGATAAGTCGCCCATAAATGACTCAGTTACTGCCTTTGTCGAAACCAACGGTTACCCTGACCCCGATTGGTACATGTTTGACGAAGAAGAGGAAGACATACTGTTGTCAGATGAGGTATATTGTGACCAGCAAGAAGAGTGGTGCAGTCAGTCTACTCTTCAAGCATCTGCATCAACTTCGGATGGTTGTAGGCTACAGAAAACATCGATATATGCCGACCTAATACCAAATTCGGACGAGATATTACCATCCTCTCCTTGCTTGCTAACGGAAATGGATATGGAACCGGCACCAACTCGGAGCTTAGGAGATGATCTAGATATCGAACTTGAACCGGATATTGAGATGGATATTGAGATATTACAGTCTTCTTCCCCACTGATTTTACCATCTCCGGTAACTTTACCTGTAAGAAGCAATGAGCATTATGACATTGATATTGATAGAGGGTTCTCCTTATTTAATATCTCTAGCGATATGGAGATGATGATATAGCTATCAATATTATAAAACATATCTATTTGATATCATTCTGGCTCCCACACGTCACACTCCTTGCGCCTGCCTATGTTTCTATATCAAGCATCAGAAAATTATGAGTATCATTGTAATTTGCTGCTAGGCCTGTGTGCATGAACAAATAAATAACGAGTCCCCATCAATGAATGATTCTAACAAGGTGCCTCCCATAGAACCCATTTTCCTTTAATCTCACCCCCTAATTGCTTTTGTAACTTCATCCTGACATGCAAGAGGAGGAGGAAATAATCAACAGAAGAAAAACGTGACCATCATAATATGAGTACAAATCATAAAAGTAGTAGAAAAAAGCAAAAAAAAGAGAGGCATAAGTAGAAAAAGAAAAAGGAAAAGAATGCATGTGCACGAAGCAGGATTCCGATTAGTCGTCAAATGAGGGGTGGCAGGCCAAAAGGGAAAAAGGAATATAACGACGGCAATAAAACAGCTAGCAACGAAGAAAAAACACATCTCTCTCATCATTCTTCAAACTTCACATCACACAACTTTTATTGGGTTCTGTCATCTTTTTTGTGATTGGAAGGGTATCTGCCAGTAGTGGCCTTGGGCTATGCTCTTGGTAGATACCCTTCCAACACGTCTGCTTGTCTTGCGTGAGAAGAGATCTCGGCTGTGTGAAGGAAGGAAGTTCGAGGTGAAAAAGGAAAGCCACGAAGAGGACATGAGAAGCTAACAAACGCCCATCCATAAAGCAGAAACACAATAATACTCCTTTTCCGGTTTATTTCTGGTCTCCACCCGCCGATATTCTATTTCTTTTGAGTCCCTACTCAATATTTTCCGACTCCGATGCTCCGAATTGAACTCCGTCCATTTGAGATTGACTGTGACACGTGTTAAAGGGTACCCAGAAAGGCGAAGTATCGGTTTGGAGGTGGAGCCCGCGAGGGAGGGTAGGCAATAATAAGCCGGAGGAGACGACTTACAAATGAAAGAAACACAAAAATCATGCACGACCATATCGGTTAGATGCTGTTGGTGTGTCGAAGTTCCCTCATGTTGCTATGGAATGCAGCTGGAGGTGCGCTGGTTCCGAGCTCGGGTTTCTTGCCCTTATTACCGTTGACCTGGTAATTTTCTTCTTTTCCGCCGTCAAGGGTGTGTTTGATTGGTGGGAAGCTCGGATACCATTGCTCAGCACCAGCCCTTTTGACGAGATCGGCTACCAAGGTCTCATCAAATTTCTGGATGTAATTGCGGTCCAAAACTCGAGCCTTGGGCGAGGCAAAATAGAGATACTCCGACAAAGCTGATAAGCAAGACCATCCTTGCGCTTTGCGGAAACAAGCCATGATGCATCCAGTTCGATGCTATAATTTTTTAATCAAAGAGATCCTCCGTTAGGTCACAGTGGCCAGCTATCGGAAAGAGGAATGGAAAACTTACCTTTCCCTTATTGCAATGAACCAACACAGGATGGTTTCTGGGGTCAAGGAGGATTTTCAACACCTCAACAACAGTGCTAACAGGGGTATAGATCTCAGGGTCTTTGTTTGCGAGAATTGGGATGATGTGAGAGGTGATTCCGTTATTCTTGACGAATGCTTTATACTCAGGCGACCACTCTTCATTGACAAGAGTCCTATGGTATAGGATCAGCAAATGTCAAATGAACAAACTGTCTTCACGCTTAGGAGGCCAAACAAGGGGATACTTACACAATTGTCTTTAAGCCAAGCTGAGCGATGCTGCTGATATGGACTGGCAGCGGGAAACTACTTCTGTAGATTCCTTGAACGACCTCTGCGCAGTTATCTGGGAAACCAGCGCCATGAGGAGTCGGTGGACGGCTGGGTCCGCTTTCAAAACCACAGCCATAAACTTCTTGCTCTGGAAACAACCAAGAGAGACCGTTAGAGACTATCAGGGGGCAGGACTCCGCAGTCAAGCAACAGTGCTCCGGTCTCGAAGGGCGGGTTGAACTCATGGAGTACATGGACATTCCCCAGTATCCCCATCACCCAAAAACGATCAAGAAAATTGAGTGATAGAGGGAAGGAGAGGAGCAAATACCTGGTTTTGCCTTGTCACCAAGCTTAGACGCCATCGATAACGCAGGCTCTTTGGCCCCAATCGTCTTTACCGCTGGTATATCTCCCATGCTGAAGCAATACAGCGCGTTGTTTGGTTCCTTGTTGCCTTCTAGCTTGAGATGACGGTCGATAAACACGACAGAGATGCTGAGAGACGCGGGGGAATGCTTATGCCTGGGACCTTGCAGAGGGAGAAGACGTGTGAGGTGGGAGGTGAGAGCAAGGAGTGGGTTTTTTTCAGGGGGACGGAGTGCAGAAGTCCTGGTCACGGGACCTCAGATGGGAAGGGAGGTTTTTTTACGTGCTCGGAAAGCTCGAGGGGAGAAGTCCTTGAGAGTAGCAGTTGTTCGTGGACCTCTCCCTTGACTTTGGCGAGGATGGGACAAGGGAACAGAACGACAGCCACCCAAAAAAAGACTACGAAGGTCTGGAATGAAGCTAGCTACCCAAGAGAAGAGAGCACAGAGTGTAGAAGAAGCAACGGACAACGGACAATAAAGAGAAGCACCCAAAGAATCAAGTGAGAGACTCTGTACTGGGGGGTATATGGGCTTCACAGTGATATCGGCTCCACAGAGATATATGGGGGGAGTTGGGATGTGGAGAGTTCAGGTGTCCTGCTGAAGATTTTTGCTCTTTTTCTTATGTATGAATCGAATCGAAACGAGGACAGCAGCAATCAGGGAGGCAAAAGGAGCAGCCCTGACAGCTGTTTGTTCTCAGTCCCTTCTTCCTATCCACCGATGGGACAGTCTGAAGCACTGGTCTCACGTGAAAGATCCATGATGGGTGGCAGTTTGGGGAGAGAGAGAAGAGCGCAGAGGCAAAGAAGTCTGGGGGGAGAGAGGCGAAGAACGAGAATAAGAAGCAAGAGAACCAGCGGTCCCAGGTAGCACGACAAACCCGGCGAGTTTAGCGGTCTATCCGCCGTTGCCGCTGTTGTCGGTTCTTGATGCTCTCTGACCTTGTTCTGTTCTTCTGTCATGGACTTCCAAAAAAAGACCTTTCCTGGGTCCGGGTCAAGGCATGTCATCGAAGTTGCTTATGTCACCGGAAAGGGATGTTCCGCCCCGATAGGCTGGCTGCACGTGTTCCTGCCAAGCATTTACACTGCAGCCTTGTTCTTCCCTAACGCTTGATGGGCAGACAGATATCATACTTAGCTATACGAGACTCGTTAGAGAAGAAGAGATTTCGTCTATAGACAGGTTATATCCTCTCCACCTCTTTACGTGTACGCTGTCGTTCTTCATGGATCGGGTGCAGATCGCTCGGTCTAGGGAACGGGCATGCCGATCTGCAGGGCAAGGCGAGATCCTGCAGCATGGGTCTGTAGAACAGGTCTCAGATCCCATCTTCTAGAAGAATATCAGGGAACTAGGTAAAATGCACCCTCTATTTCGCTGTTTCTAAAGATCTAACGCCGTATGTAGCTTCTAAATCATACTTCTTCTCCCAATCCAAACATGCGAACTGAATTATTCCAGGCACTGTACAACACCGTTAGCAAAGTATAAATATTAATTGCAGGGATATAGCCCACTTACGCTTCACAGACTTCGTCCACGGTTATCTCCTTCACGGCGGCGATAACTTCGGCGACACGAGTAATGGCCACGGGTTCGTTTCTTCCCTTCACCATGCACCCTTTCTGCCATTTCTCTTTCTTGAACGACTTGGGAAGCGTAGACTTGACGTGCTTGTAACTTGCATGAGACGGGCGAATTTCGCACTAAACAGAGCGCCCCGTAGGTTAAAATAAACGTGTAAAAAAGAGGCAATAATAAGGGCGGTTCCATACCCAGGGCCCATCAGTCTCAATCTGTATTCTATCCAACGGCATCGCCTTGACGACCTCGAGGTTCTCTTCCGTCTTCAGGCTGCACCCGTTAACACCTAGATCCAAACCGAGCGCTACAAGTCGTTCCATTTCTTCCATAGTTCCAGTGAAACTATGCACCAGCCCTCCCTTGGGTAGATGCGGCAGTCGAGCTGCAAGTAGCCGTTCAAAGTCCTCACTGGCTGCTCGAGAGTGTAAGAAAAGTGGCAACTGTACTTCGACAGCGACATCGAGTTGAGCCTCAAAGTATTTCAGCTGCTGATCCTTGGGTGATAGGAATAGCCTGTCATAGTCTAGGCCTATTTCGCCAAAGGCAACGGCATGGCCAGATTCTTTAGCTGTCAGTGCGAGGGCTTTGATCTCAGATAGGTATTTATCAGCTCCCCCGGCATAGGAGTCGAAGAGTTTGGCGGAACATGGGTGTACGCCGACAGTAGCGTAACATAATCCAGCTAATCTGGTCGTTAGCAGCTGGGTATTTGTTATATTCAGAAGTCTTAGGCATACTATGTTCGCGAGCTAGGTCCACGGCATGCTGAGATTCATGTAAATCTGACCCGGTGATCATGAACTTTCGGCAGCCAACTTCAACAGCTCGGTCGATGATGTCTTGTAAATCGTCGTCGTGGACCTTTTTGCCATGATATTTGCCCCTGAAGACAGGGTCTCCGAGGTTGATCCCAATCTAATCCTCAACACAAACGGAAATTTAATCCAATCAGCCACTTGATGCCTTTAACAAGGAGATATCCAATCACAAGAATGCTAATATCACTTTCGGAATAACATGCATAGACGTACATCAATGTATTTTTGTTGTTTCATGGATTCTCCCATATTGGTGGTTCCTGAGAAGTTGCGACACGATTTCGTATGAATGGATGATCTAGAGATGAATGATCGGCTTATAACCAGGTCTCTTCTCTCATGATGTGTACTCGAGATATATCGGGCTGTTCATGCACGATATCATTAGAATTTTAAGCATTACTTGAGAGCAAAGACTTTCTGGACATACTTCCACCAGGAATGAAGCGATTCGCAAACTGTGTAGTTTGTCTAAAAGCGGTTCTCTCAACGCAGTATCTAAACATAAAGACTGCCTTCTTAATAGTTATGACTCCCCAGTGTAAACGTATTGGGGGTCATGTCCCTTGATGCTTCATCCGATCAAACTTCATCGTATCACGTGACCTAAATAAAAAAACAGAGTGTGCTACTCCGTCATGCCCCACCTTATCTCAACGACCAACTTGACCTTGTTTAGTTACCAGAGCACTTCTACTCCGTGTCAACGATGCATTACAGGTTTAAGAATATTATATGTTACCGCGGGTTCAATCTACGTGGGACCGGCGGAGGATTCTGTGTCTAGCAGCCCGACATGATGCACTCGACGTGGTCAAAAAGCATCAGCGTGGCCAGCCAATCGGTTTTGATCTTACGTTTCATAGTCGGCTAGGTAGTTCACTTCCCAATATCATACCGCAACATGGATTATGGGATTGTCTAACGTTGACAAATACATCAAAGGGTGAGATCTACCCGGCATTCAAGCAGCAAGATAGCGATTCAATACCTACATGCGCAACTCCAACGAAGGGCTTCCATCTGGTACCTGGAAGAGTTATGGTAACCACGTGATTATCTACGGCGCTGGAAACCTTCGAACTCTCCAGGTTTGCATACGGAGTACGACTCCCAGCATCCACAGGGCCGGCGGGGAGAGTCCTGCAAGATCAAGGCTCACAGCAGCGGAAGCCCCACCGCAGTACATAATAACTCACTGGCTATGGCAAAGAGAGCAGCCAACCATGCCGGCCAAGCTTTACTTGCTTCACCATGGCCCTCCCCTAAGTGGCCAGATTAATTAACTGTTAGCTCACGGCTTCTCCCCGACAAAGCACCGGCGTCACTTCCAGACCGACTACTCCAGACCGACTTCACAACATCACTACGCGGGGTCAGCTCATTGATGTCTGGAACTGTTTCTTTGAAGCATATAAGTGACCGAGACGCGCCGCCAATCGTGAGGTGAAATTACGCTAATCCCTATCTGCATTGGCGATTTAAAAAGTCGAGGTTCACTGTCAACTCTCATTGTTCATTTATCACACTTGCTTGCCTTCCCGAGAAGATCGAGTAAACAGGTATCCTTCCCTTTGTGTTACCAAAGAAAATATTTCTCTCTTCAACGTGAAGGAATAAACCAGGGACGAACCGAAGGAAGATAAAAGGACCATTATTCCACGGTGGTTTAGAAAATTCCCGCAAATCAGCTCGCTAAAGATGTCCACGTCCAGTTTGATATCGTCGCAAGCAATTGCTAAGCATAATACTGCATCTGATTGTTGGATTGTTGTGGACAATCAGGTCTGGGATATTACCGACTTTATCCACGAGCATCCTGGCGGCCCATCAAGTTCGTGATCTATTATTTTCTATGTTCCAGAAAAATCTACGTCCAATAGTTACTTGGAGGATCTACCCGAATACGATTACTGACGCTTCCTTAGTTATACTCAAATACGCTGGGCGTGATGCCACAGAGGCGTATTCAGTTGTCCACTCCCCTAATGTCATTCGCGAGGGCCTCTCAAGGGATAAACTCAAGGGCACCCTCGACCAGTCGACCATCGACGCTGAATGGCGCAAGGGCCCTCTCCAGGTGGCTGCTAAGGCTACCGACAATTATGAAAAACCACCATTGAATACTCTCATCAGCGCACACGACTTTCAGCTTGTAGCCTCCAAGACAGCCGCTGTCAAAACATGGGCGTTCTACTCCAGCGCAGCCAACGATCTGATCACTCGTGACGCAAACAAATCATCATTCGACCGGATTTGGTTCCGTCCACGGATCCTGCGCAATGTGCGAGAGGCCAACACCGACTCCAAGATTCTCGGCTGTAGCGCGAAAATGCCATTATTCGTGGCACCCAGCGCAATGGTGAAGCTAATCCATCCTGACGGCGAGCTGGGGATTGCCCGTGCATGCGAATCGAGAGGAATCATACAATGCATCTCAAATAATGCTTCTTTCCCGATGAACGAGATCACCGCCGCAGGGCCGACATCGAGCTTCTTCTTCCAGCTCTATGTGAACAGGGAACGAGCCAAGTCTGCAGTCCAGCTGCGCGAGTGCTCTGCTAACCCACAGATTAAAGCCATTTTCATCACCGTCGACGCCGCATGGCCCGGTAAGCGGGAGGCCGACGAACGTGTCAAGGCGGACGAGACTCTCAGTCTGCCCATGGTCCCAGCGAAGGGCAACAACGACAAGAAAGGTGGTGGGCTCGGCCGGGTTATGGCAGGCTTTATTGACCCTGGTCTCACGTGGGAGGATTTGAAATGGGCACGAAAGCACACGCACCTCCCGCTGGTGCTGAAGGGGGTGCAAACTGCTGACGATGCGATGATGGCCATGGAGGCGGGGATGGATGGTATCCTGCTGAGTAACCACGGTGGACGGAACCTGGATACCAGCCCAGCATCGATAATAACGTTGCTGGAGCTGCATCGGCGATGTCCCGAGATATTTGACCGGATGGAGATTTATGTCGACTCCGGAATCAGACGGGGAACCGACATTCTCAAGGCCGTTTGTCTAGGAGCGACTGCTGTAGGTATGGGCAGGAGTGTGCTCTTTGCGTCGAACTATGGCCAGGAAGGTGTCGAGCATTTGATAGACAGTACGTGTTCTCTTCCTCTTCCTTTCACACCTCCACTAACGGCTCGACAGTTATGAAAGACGAGCTCGAGGGAGCGATGAGAAACATCGGCATCACCTCTCTCGACCAAGCCGGCCCTCAGTACGTCAACACGGCAGACATCGACCATCTAGTGCCTAACTCACCATCTCATCCATACGCGAGGGCCGTTGCGCGTAACCGACAGCCATCGAAACTATGGAGACCTCGCTCCACCACCTCGTCGAAGTTGTGAATGACGTTGCTTTCCCCGATGCATCTCCATCTCTGTACATACTTAACCCACCTGCGTGTCTGTATTTTCTTCTTCCTCCCATCCTTATCCTTATATCATCCTTATAGTGGATACGTCGCTATCAAATGGGACTCCACGGGCGTAGACCATGGCCGTGACGAGGATGTCGACGCCGAAAAGCAACGACAGACTAAGGGATCAAGCTGCCGAGGTCGGAGTATCCATCACGCGACTTCGGCACTTGCTCCCCCCGTCGTTTTCGGAGATATCTTGGACTCTTTAAAGAGTCGCTCTCCCTGTCTGTAGTCTGTAGTCTGTTGTCTATACTCTATACTCGTCTGTCTGTCTCTTTCTCTCGCCATCTCAAGTGGCTGGCCCGACTACCGAAGTGTGGACCCCCTTGATCTCCTGGTAAGCAAGTGGATACAAGGGCATATATAGCTTTCCCCAACCAACATCTCAACCATCTCACCCTGACCGGCATCATCCATCATCAACTTCCACGCCAGACCCGTAGTCTCTACATATAAAAGCTGATTAATTGTCTCTAGAAGCAGCATCCAGACCGTCAGGAACACTCGCCACAGCTTTCTTTCACCGACAAGCCTTTTGGAGTTGTCCATTCGCTATATTTGTTTTTCTGACTTGCTTGGCGATAGCAGGCCAGCTTGGGGAACTATAAGTTGTATCCCGTAGTCCTCCGCCTCTCCTTCTGCTCGTCTCACCTCACCTCTCTTCTCTCTTCTCGCCTCTCTTCTCTCTACGTCCAATTGTCTACCGTGAACACATCTCTCCATCTATACTGCCTACTCTACCTAATATACAATGGCTGCTCCTCGCTCTACCTCCATGAGGGCTCTCCGCTCTCTCTCTCAACAACCTCGTCGCTCTCTACACATCACTGGTGCCTACTCTGCGCAGCACGCTACAGGACCAGATGTCACCACCGTCTATCTCTCCAGAACTCTCGCAGACCTCAGAGCAGAGTGTCAAAAACGAAATCTCGGTGCTGCCGGTAGTAAATCAGAGGTAGGCCCGTCTATTCTTGCTACCTTACTACCTGCGTAGAGCACAATTCTAACACCGTCCAGCTCGTTGATCGCCTCTCAAATCATGACGTTCTCCAATCCCGCGCATTCAGCATCGCCATGAAGCGCATCGACCGTCACGCCTTTGGCCAACAACCTGCCTCTAGACCCTTCAACACATCCCGCGCCAACAGGTCGCCCCAGGACTCCTCCCCCATCGACCTTGCCTACATGCCTAGCTTAGAGTCCAGCACTGGCGGCCAGACAATGCCTCGCATCCCTACTCCACCAGACTCCTACACTCACTATGACATGGCTCCGTCAAGTGCCGACGTGATGAAGCCCCAGATCTACACCGTCAGTAATGACATGGGTTCCAACGGGCCCAGCCCCATGAGCGAGGTTGTAGATAACCATGCACTGGACTTCAACCCGTTCAACCTCACAGAGGCCGTCAGCAGGTCCAGAGACGGTGCTAGAGCCAGTGCCGCCGGTCAGGAGACTCTAGGCGGTGTGGTGAAGGATCTGTGGAAAGGGATGTTAGACGACGTCAAGGGAACGAGTCGGAGTATATCCAAATAACCTCTTCGACCACACTCTTCTTCCACTCTTCTTCCATTTTATATTGTTTGATATAATTCGCTGCTGCCCTTCTTGCGCTGCCAGATTACTGAAATAACCATGTTTATTTTACTCTCTATATGTTCTGTTCTTCTTGCTCTCTATTATCATAGTGATTTTAACTGATAACGATTTTCCTTTGGTCTAACATCCTGCTTTACATGACTTCTCTTTCACCTCCAGTAAATAGTACAAGTCTACCGAACAACAGAGACATGGCATACTTTCCCAAGCAGTCCATAGACTCGTAAACTCTGCGGGGTATGAGCTTTCCGCCTCCCTTTCCCCGGACTTCTCTCACAAGGTTACACTGCTGAAGCCCTGCCAGGGAAGAAAAGGAAAGTGACGGAAAAGAAAACAAGACATGGACACAGTATGATCCTTCCTGCATGCGCAGAGTAGCCCGCACCATCCTTGCATGCGTTATTAGCTCGGGAATATATGGAATCGCCCTCACACCAATCATCGTAGCTAGTTGCTGGGGAAGACGAGATACACAGTTCATCCGATTGGCCAGGACTGTTGCTATACTTATATGCTGCATGTAGTTGGTACCAGCACAAGCTTGAAACGGCTGATATCCCTCCAGACCATGCCGTGTCGATGCAGCCATCTCGCCATCCAGGCCCAAGCGAGGAGGTCGGACGACTGTTTCTGATGAGGTGGCCTGATGAGTTTCTGCTCTTGCTATAAGGTAATGTTAATGTTTTGCGGGGATCTCCCATGTATATGTTGGTGCTTAGCAGCGGTCATGGTTGGCTAGCTGCCATCGACTTTGGTCACCAGCAGCCTCAGTCCATCGACGGAGGACGCCTTTATTCGCCATGAATCAACATGCTTCTCTCCTCGAGCGTACTTTATATACGCTGTTCAAAGGTCGAAGATCAAAGGAAGACGTCGCGATAAGATAACATCACGTGATATAGGTCTAGATAAAGTCACGTGCTCATGATAATCAAAAAAGTTCCATGGCTTGAGAGCTTCAAGATGACTCGAAGAGGGGTGATAATAACGGTCTTTTTCTATTTTGTTTCGCTCCCCGCGGCGCATTTTTTACTCATGGGACACGGCCTACGATAGCAAGTGGGGATTTATAACCACTAGCATACTGTGAAAAGGAAAACCAGGGTTAATTGCCGTCAAGATGATGGCGACAGACGCCCTGCCTGTTGATCCAGGCAAGGCACAGGTCGTGGACCGGGTGCCCAAGGTTATTAAAGAAATCAACTTTGGTGTTCTGTAAGATATTCGCACCTCTATAACTCATTAGCGCAATCACTAATTAATGGTCGGTGTATAGTTCAAATCAAGACATCATTAGCCAGGCGCACGTTGAAGTATCGGACAGAAAGCTTTTCGACCTAGATAATAACCGCGCGGTAGCTCGCAATGGCCCCATGGACCCTCGACTCGGTATATCCAACAAATCGGATACCTGCGAAACATGTGGAGGTGATTTACAAGAATGCAATGGACATTTCGGATACGTTAGACTAGTTCTGCCTGCTTTCCATGTCGGGTATTTCAAGCGCACTATCGAGATATTACAGGACATTTGCAAGGTGGGATTAACCGGGTTACGATATTTGACGACTTTGCTATGGATGGACCATACTAATTTTTTTTTCGTCGCCGGGTGAATAGGACTGTTCGAAAATCTTGCTACCGGAAGACGAGAGACGATCGTTTTTGAAGGAGCTGCGACGGCCGGGGCTGGATAACTTGAGGCGCATGCAGATAAATAAGCGCATCAACGTCAGATGTCGAAAGACGCCTATATGCTATTACTGCAATGCGATCAACGGTACCGTTAAGAAAGCCAGCACTGGCGCGCTAAAGATCGTACACGACAAGTTCCGAGCGTTCAATGCATCGCTATCCGCCAAAAAAATACCTCCTCCAAGCAAGCTTGCGTTCGACCGATCCTTTGAGGAAGCGAAAAAATCCAACCCAGACATCGAGAAACATTATAGACGGGTATTCGACGACCTCAACCCGCTTCGAGTAGTGAAGCTTTTCCGTCGAATTTCCAACGAGGACTGCGAGTTGCTTAGTTTGAATGTAGACGAGGCACGGCCGGAATACTTTCTTTGGCAGTTTATACCGGCCCCGCCCGTTCCTATTCGACCGTCTGTGGGCCAGGAGGGAGCCAGTACCGAAGATGACCTTACCGCGAAGCTAGGAGATATCGTCCAGAGTAACCTGAATCTAAAAATGGCTTTGGATAAGGGCGCTCCTGTTCAGACGATTATCGAATGCTGGGATTACATGCAGCTGCAGATAGCGGTGTATATCAACAGTGATATTCCCGGATTACAAAATACGGATTCTAAAAAGACCATTCGAGGACTCTGTCAGAGGTTGAAAGGGAAACAGGGGAGATTCCGAGGAAATTTGTCCGGAAAACGTGTTGACTTTTCAGGGCGAACGGTTATTTCACCAGACCCTAACCTGCGGATCGACGAGGTTGCTGTTCCACAGCTTGTTGCGATGAACATGACGTACCCAGAGAGGGTAACGAGATACAACAAGGAAAAACTACGAAAATGTGTTCGAAACGGCACCAAGACCTGGCCTGGGGCAAACTACCTGATAAAAGAAGGCAACTCGTTCAGAGTCTTCTTGAAATACGGCAACCTTAACTTGATAGCAAACCAGCTTAGAGAAGGAGATGTTGTCGAACGGCATTTAGAAGACGGAGACATCGTTCTCTTTAATCGGCAACCGTCCCTTCACAAACTCAGTATTCTCTCTCATTTCGTCAAGGTCAGGCCTCACAGGACATTCCGGTTGAATGAGTGTGTTTGCAACCCGTACAATGCAGATTTCGACGGTGATGAAATGAACTTGCATGTTCCTCAGACAGAAGAAGCGAGGGCAGAAGCAATGGAACTTATGGGAGTTAAGAATAACTTGGCCACACCAAAAAACGGAGAGCCTATTATTGCTGCTATCCAGGATTTCATTACCGCGGCTTACCTGCTAAGCAGTAAGGATAACTTTTTTGATCGAAAATCTTTTACCCAGATATGTCTCTCTATGCTTGATACTAGTACCCGACTAGACCTGCCATCACCAGCAGTACTTAAGCCACAGATGCTCTGGACCGGCAAGCAAGTGTTCAGTGTTCTGATGCGGCCAAATAAAGACAGCCCCGTCAAAGTCAATCTCGATGCAGCCTGTCGTCAATTCAAGCGTGTCAAGGACCAGCCCAGGGATCTATGCGAGAACGATGGATGGCTCTGTATCCGCAATTCCGAAATGTTATGCGGTGTTGCAGATAAATCAACAATCGGAGCTGGCAAGAAAGATAACATTTTCTTCGTCATTCAAAGAGATTTCGGCCACGCTGCAGCGGCGGAAGCGATGAATAGGTTATCCAAACTTTCTGCTAGGTGGCTAACGAATAAAGGATTCTCCATTGGTATTACAGACGTGTATCCCGGAACTGGGCTCGTTAACCTAAAGGACACACTGATCGATACTGCATTCAAGCAATGTGACGACCTCGTTATCGAGGCCAGTAAGGAGAAACCTCAAAAGGGAAAATCAGACAGTCGCCAAACGGCGGAGAACTCAATCACCGGTATCCTTAACAAAGTCCGTCAGCAAGCTGGTGAATACTGTATTTCTGAACTCAGCAAGCATAACGCACCCCTTATCATGGCAACATGCGGTTCCAAGGGATCCAACATCAACGTGTCTCAGATGGTAGCTGTCGTCGGACAGCAATCTATTGAGAATGCCCGTGTTTCCAAAGGTTTCCAGGATCGAACTCTCCCGCATTTCCCTCGACATTCTCAGCGCCCTCTCGCAAAGGGATTTGTACGAAATAGTTTCTTCTCCGGGCTTACCCCTACGGAGTTCCTGTTCCACGCCATGTCTGGTCGAGAAGGTCTAATTGATACTGCCGTCAAGACAGCAGAGACTGGTTACATGTCACGACGACTTATGAAATCTCTCGAGGATTTGTCGACACGATATGATAACACCGTTCGAGATTCGTCTTCCTTTGTCATCCAGTTCCAGTACGGAGACGACCAGCTTGATCCTGTCGATATGGAAGCCTCAGCTAAACCTGTCCATTTCGAACGTACTTTTACCCACGCCGAGAGTACTACGTACGACAGGAATGATAGGGGTCTTTTGCCAGACGAGATAATTGCTCAATGCGAGAAGATGTTGGCTCCCGAGCGCAAGAAGTTGGCTCGATTTGATTTGCTCGGAAATTCTCTACCATATGCCGCTGAGAACGATTACGCTACTGACCAATGGGAAAGTAACCGTGACTTCTTAAGTTCAATCGAAGAGTTCGTCGCAGCGAAAGCTGAGCAGCTTAGGCCTGTGGATGGGGATAAGAGCAAGGGACAAATGGCGCTGACTCACACGGGAAAGCTTTCCGCAAGGACTCTCAGCGCTTTCATTACCTCATGTTTGGATAAATATATGCGCGCTCACGTTGAACCTGGTCACAGCATAGGAGCCATTGGCGCGCAGTCCATTGGTGAACCCGGTACACAGATGACACTGAAAACTTTCCATTTCGCTGGTGTTGCTGGTATGAGTATTACTCAGGGTGTACCGCGAATCAAGGAAATTATCAACGCCTCGAAAGAGATTAGTACGCCAATTATCACTTGTGAACTTGTCAATAAAACGGACATGCGTGCCGCTGAGATCGTCAAGGGCCGTGTTGAGAAACTCTTCCTTAAGGATATTGTGTTCTACATTGAAGAAATTCGGTCTCAGTCGGCCTCATTTATCAATATCAAGGTTGATTTCTCAACGATTGAAAAACTACAGCTCGAGATCACCTTGCGGAATATTCTGGCCGCCATCAAGAAGCACAAGGCGTTCAAAGCTGGCGATCTGAGGTTCCAGACTTTCCACTCGCATATCCACATATATGTTGATGATGGTGCCTCTATGGCAGGTGTCTCCGTCTCCGAGCAGAAGATAACGGGCTCGGACCCGTATATCCGCATTAACTACCTGAGACGAATCCTTCCAAATATTCAGGTTTTCGGTTACCCGGATTGTTCCCGAGCCGTTATCCGTGTCGGAGAAAAGGTTGCCACCAACATTCTTCTGGTCGAAGGATATGGCCTTCGAGCTTGCATGACCACAGATGGAATTGAAGGTTACCGCACTCGCACTAACCACGTCATGGAAATGCGAGACGTCCTCGGCATCGAAGCCGCACGGACGACCATCATCGACGAAATCAGCGCAGTCATGTCTGGCATGGCAATTGATCCGCGACACATGCAGCTTCTTGCAGACGTCATGACGTATAAAGGCGAGGTACTAGGAATCACACGTTTCGGTCTTGCTAAGATCCGCGACTCAGTTCTTCAGCTGGCCAGTTTCGAGAAGACAGCAGACCATCTCTTCGATGCCGGTGGTGCTGGTAGACGCGATGCTGTCCAGGGTGTCTCGGAGTGTATTATTATGGGGAAGACGATATCACTGGGTACAGGCAGTATGGAAGTCATTCGAGACCTGAAGCTTCTAGACAGCCACGTCGGTAAGAAGAAGACCGTGTTCGATGACGCATGGAAGGATATCTGTGAGCCAAAACAGAGGAGACGAACTCTTCCACGTACTGCTATGGCTTGCTAGATGGCAACTACTGTGGCAAGCACGCAGTTTCAGATGGATTGGCAAACATCTAAAATCTGATCTATCCGTCGTGTTTGTACAGAAGGTTTGTTCCTGGCCATATCTCGGCGTTTCAAACCGCTCTAGCCCTTTTCGAATTCGGCTACGAGAATCAGAGCACATCCTGGTTATGCCAGCATTTCGTCCTTGTCGACATGGCCCCGGCTAGATCGCATCCCCTGCCGCCAGCCCCGGTCGATTTCAACATCCGTCGAAATAGTCCCGAGCGTCCTGGCGAGGGTACCTTGCAATTGTTATACAGAAAGTGTGCTGGCCCCGAAAAGTTGAAAGTTGGTCGCACAGCAAGCCCGAACCTTTCATCCACGTCAGCCAAACCGTTGGCCCCTTATTCCTCCTTGTACGATGATTCTGTCACCTTCCAAATGTTCTATTTTTTGTTTTATTTATGTTGGTTGTTTGCATTTAGCCCCAAAACTGCTTGATATTTATCTTAGCGTCTGCATGTATATATTTGTACCATTTTGAACGAAGATGCTGGAATAGTTGGAGTCGCGAGTCGCTTGTATCCTGCCCGCCACTGCCTGCACCCTCTCCATACCCCCTCTATCCTATCAACCATGCTGTTGTAAGCGCTGTCTCCAGGATCAACCTGGTTGCCCCCGATCACCGCTGACTCAGCGTTTATCAACTCTGTTTGCCCCTATCTTCGGAGAATTTCGAGCTCGCAAACGTCGTAGAAGTGAAGCAAATATCAGCAACGACCAAACTCCGTGCCCGTAACCGAGACTCCAGGGCAAACATGGCCGTTTTCTGTGGCGTCCTGCAGTGGCCAGGGGATTTTAGCTGCGTGGGAGCGTGTCCTGCATATTCTCCCCAGCGCCCTTGCCCGTGGTTTGTCGATCTGGCCCACCCCCAGCACACTTTAGCACTTGGCCGAGCTCTCTCTCGCCTCCTTTCCCTGGTATACGGAGAGAGTACTTGAACTCCTGCATCGTCCCCCCTCGCCTGTCGTTTCTGTTCACGCCCGCTCAATTCACTTCTTCCTTTCATTCCGGTCCTTTCGCCGTGCTTTGTTTCATTGTTTTGCCCGCGCATCTAGATATTCCCTGCGTTTTTCGTTTTCTCGGCGGCTGTTTCAAAAGAGCTTCCCTGATCCCGAGCCTGCGGAAGTCGATCTCGAAACTCGATCCCCTTGTCCCTCGATAGCTTCTCTTATCAGCAGAGCCGCTACCTATAGTTGCCGTTGTTATTCTTTGCGCTCTCGAGCTGGGAGATCTGCTGTCTCCTATGATTCGTTTCGGTAGATAGATTTATGCCAATGAAGGATTAAACCGCTCGCTTTCAATATCTTGGTCCTTGCCGAAGGATCATGCAGTTTTTGTTGCTATGTCTTCTCTTAGCAGTCGCCCTACTATCGACGGGCTCCCTGGCATTCTATCCCATCAAGCTGCCTGATTACGGCCAGCCGTCTCCGTCGGATCATGGCTCTGGTGAGAGGAAGCGATTCTTCCCCGTCCCGGACTTATACAAGCACGACCACGCCATTGGATCTACAACGTTGAATATCAAACGGCGTCCTAGCAATGTTAGTAACCTGGAATATATACGTCAATATGCAGCGTTATTATTGAGCCGTTGCTAATTGTATACTCACAAATAGTACCGTCGAGCCAACAACTTCCCTGCCGTCCTTGCATCTGCACCATCGGCGCCGAACACCCTCGGTATCAACAACGATGGCTTTGATTACTCGTACTTCTCCGAAATCAAGTTCGGATCCGAGGGACAGAAGATGTGGATGTTGATAGACACGGGAGCGTCGAGGACTTGGGTTTTTGGGACCGATTGCACCAGCAAATCGTGCGGAGCGCACAATACCTTTGGAAAGGAGGATTCGAAAACTATCAAGGTCACGGATGAGAATTGGGACGTCACATACGGCACGGGAAAAGTCTCGGGAGTCATCGTGAACGATACGATGTCGTTCGCTGGTTTCCAGTTGGATACTCCCTTTGGCTCTGCCCACACGGCCTCGGACGACTTTCTCAGCTATCCCATGGACGGCATCCTAGGTGTAGGACCACAAGATTCGAAAGCAAAGACTCCAACAGTCATACAGCTTATGATGCAGCAGAACCTCCTAAAGAGCAATATCATCGGTATCAACCTCCAACGAAACTCCGAGGGCGCTACGGACGGGCAGATCACCTTTGGAGATGTCGACAAGAGCAAATTCTCAGGGGACATTACATATTCTGACATAGTTCCTAGTGGTTATCAGTGGGAAATCAGCGTCGACGACATGATAATGGACGGCAAACCTCTGAACTTCAAGGGACGAAGTGGGATCGTTGACACTGGAACATCCTTCCTTCTTCTGCCTCCTGACGATGCCGACCTCGTTCACTCCAAGATCCCTCAATCAGCCAAAACTGCAGTCTTTTATACTGTCCCTTGTTCTACAAAGACCAATATCGAACTCTCCATCTCCGGCATCAAATACACCATCCAGCCCAAGGACTATGTCGGATATGAAACGAGCACAAAGGGGACTTGCAATTCTCTGATAATCGGGCGTCAAGCCATAGGTCCTAAGCAGTGGCTTCTGGGCGACGTTTTCTTGAAGAACGTATATTCTGTATACGATTTTGATAAGCGTCGAGTTGGTTTAGCGGCGAGGAATTACGGAGACTCCAAGAATCCGACATCTTCCTCTCCTCCCTCTCCAGGTATGTTCTATTTCTTATTACTCTAATTCTCCTACAAATATGACATGTTGCTAATTCTTATATCATCCACAGCTCCTACCTCTGCGCAAGCACCATCGGGCGGCTCTCCCGGTCTACCAGAGCAATCTGGAACAAAGCCCACTGCAGGCTCTACCACCAGCGGCCCTGGTAGTAACCCGACAAATCCTGCTGGCTCCAGTGCTGCATCCAGTGTTTCCATGCCGACTTGGCTTTCAGTTGCCATCTTCCTATCCACAGCTTCCTCCCTCACTCTCTACAGCTGGATTTAAGTGCGCTGCTGTCGCGTTTACACCACTATCTACCAACCCGACCACCCATCTTTCCAACATTTCTTTACACATATTAACCATACCCTCTTTTAATTGCGTGCTATACTTCTGTGTTCGGAAAATCTTCACCCTTTCTCCGGTCTATTCACAAGTGGTTAAAGCTACCTAGCTTGCATGAGCTCGGTACCTACCCGTCTTCCTGTCGTTTCCTCATATTAACATTCGTTGCATTTATCCGGCGCTTCTGGGAGTTTTTTTTTTTTTTCGAGACCTTGACTTCTACTTGAACATTTTTCACCAGGTCGTTTTTCTTCCTTCATTCCTATCTTCCTGGTGTTATCAGTGCACTGAGCATTTTCACTCTTTATTATCGGCAGGCGTTGAGTACCTATTCATAGGGTGCTTGTCACCATAGCCTGCCAGAGGCACTCTTTCAGTCACTCTGTGATTTACAATCTTAGCGGCGACCATTTACACCTAGAGCCACAATGGTTGAATATATTATCGCCTAGACATCTACCTAGCTACCCAGCTTTATATCTCCCGTAGCAAGTAGCAGCGAGTATATATCGTAGTTGTGCCTGTTCGGAGTTTGATGCCAGTATCCACTCTTGCGTAGGGTCCTTGCTAGTGCGATCGCCAAACCTCCAAGTCGCGCTCTCCGTCAAATAGAAACAGACAACAATCCAATTTAATAACAGGTTCGCAACTTATTCTGATCTTAGCCATGCATCAACGCGCCTATCGTCCGTTATCATCCTTGATAACATCCACGTCAAGGAGGAATCTCTCACTATGTCCCAGTCTGGAGGTGCGACAAAGATGCACTCGAACAACGTCGTGTCTAAACATCCAATCAAGAGGGCTGCATTACACGCAACCAAAGCAGACGTTCCATCCTGCCTGGACAGAGGCCAGGGTCAAAATGCCATATGTTGAAGCCCTCACGAAGAGCCGAGAGGCAAAAGATGCAGGATTGACCACTGGAGCCTCCGACAAGGGCAAGGCGGGAGGCCCGGTGCAGGCTAGGGATTTGACCCCAAAGAGGATGAAGGATAGTTACTATCGCTCGGTTGGTAGTTTATACCCTTTACCAGTCTTTGCATAAGCTAATTGGAGCCTCAGATACTACGTCTTGGTCAAGACCCGTGGCTATTGGATGAATATATCAATGCATCCGGGCAGATCAGGTAATTCGTCAATACATGCATGTCTACCTATAGAATAGTGGCTAACAGGTATAGACTTGGGTCTTTGTTGATGGACTTGGATGCTCTTGCTGGTGTTGTCAGTTACAGACATGCCGGTGACGACGTGGCCCTCGTTACCGCGGCGGTCGACAGGATCACGATGGAGAATCCACTCAAAGAAATCTGTGATTTGGAATTAAGTGGCCAGGTCACTTATTCTACCGGCCGATCAAGTATGGAGGTATCGCTAAAGGTTGCTAAGGCACCTGCTGAAGGCGAGGTGGTCAAGCCAGAAGATGTTCTGCTTACTTGTGCTGTCACCATGGTCGCTCTGGATCCAAAGACCAAACAGTAAGCTTGTTCCCTTATTTGTCGCATATACAGAAATCCGAGGTAATGAGCCATGGCTAATACAGTAATAGACCAGCCTCTGTCGCACCACTCCTGATAGAAACGGAGGAAGAGCGGCGGTTGTTCAGCAAAGGGGAAAAGAACTATAACGCCAAAAAGGATCTAAGAAAAAGAAGCTTGAAGACGCAAACACCAAATGATGAAGAGAGCGATCTCATCCATGCCATGTGGACTAAAAGACAAGGTAGGTCTAGCCCCTCTTTTTACATTAAGTGGTCTACAGCCCGGGTCCATTGATTCTTTTAATGAATACCTAACATATCCTAGGCCAATCTCTGCCCCCCACATCATCTGGAGCTCAAGCTACGAACATGCAAAATACAATGCTCTCGTCAGCCCAAATAATGCAACCATACGACAGGAACCGACATAACTTTATGATATTTGGAGGCTTTCTCCTAAAACAGACATTCGAGCTAGCCTACTGTTGTGTTGCATCCTTCTCGCGCAGTCGACCTACTTTCATATGCCTTGAACCAAGCACCTTTGACAACCCAGTACCGGTCGGCTGTGTATTATACCTGAAATCCGTCGTGTCATTCACCGAAGACTCGCCCTCCCCAGACGGTAAAAAATTCACCAGAGTCCAAGTTCGCGTTGACTCAGTCGCGAGAAACGTCGAGCATGGAACCAAAAATCCAACAGGTACCTTCAATTATACGTTTTTGGTTGAAGGGCAGCATGAAGTCTGGCCGCAGAGTTATGACGAGTTCATGGTTTATGTGGAAGCGAGAAGGAACGTGCTGGATATGAATGCCAGTTTGCCCTCGTCGGGCAAGGAGGCCGATGGATATAAGGAGGGGGCTATAGAGTAATTCTGCTCATACGGTAGATCTTTGGGAGGTAACCTATATTTCGATCTTTCTGGTAGGCGGCTTCCTTTCCCAACCTACGATATATACTGCAACTGTATAGAATATACCATGCATTATTTAGACGCTTCCTGTTGTTGTCTTTCAGGTCAACGTTGACAGCCATAAGGAGACATTGCATCGGTCGGATATTGAATAGAATCTTAGCTAGTTAGCATCCGTCGATGTTGAAGTTGGCAAATGTTATTGTTGGCACCCATGATAAAACCACATCACATGTTCTAACTACCTTGAACTTCATCTCTATAAATCACCTTTGAACCGCGAACTGCATCACCTTTTAAACGATACCTCAAGCTACACCTCGCAGCCTATGACATCTCAACGCCCTAAATACTCACAATAATACCATAGATACGGTCTTGGAGACTAACAATATATATATCGAGAGATGGCCCAACTTTTACAAAATAGATGGCACCTCCGCCGGGTTGCAGATACCAGCGCCAAATCATGTCTTATTTGCTATAAGCCATCGACCAGTGTATTAGTTACACCTGACAACAAGGTCAGTTATCTATTTTACTACGGCATACGTTGAGCGTTGCCCTTGACGTTCGTCAGGTCGTATCCGAACCGTGGCAGGACAGCTCACATTTCCTATTATACCCAACCCCGCAAATGAAAACATGTATTAAAACGTAAATAGGACTTTTTCTACGTCTGTCCCATCCATCTGAAGGACCGGGCGTTTTGTTCCCCCCTTATAGATGAAGAGGAGGTTGCAGCGAAAAAAGAGGCAATAGATCGTGAGATCGAGAAGGTAAAGAAAGAATACGAAGAGAAGCAACGGAAGAAAAAGGAAAAAGAAAAAGGAAAGGAGAAAGACAAGGAAAAAGACAAGGACGCCGATAAGAAAGACGATAAGAAGAAGGACGAGGATGACGAGGAAGATAAAAAGGACGAGAAGGAGAAAGATGATAAGGTTTGTTGCCTCTGCGAGTTGAATCTGGTTTTGATATAATACCTGACGCGTCTATAGATTAAATCTATACAGAATGCTGCTGCAGCCTCTGGGAACGCTAGCACAGATGATACACCCCGGATATATTCGCTTCACAAGTATGTAAGCCTGCAACTTTATGGAGTCCCTCCCTAAACTATTTTACTAACTGCCTTTACAGAAACTTTTACCAGATGCGGATCGATAGGCTGAGGGCCATTGAGAGGTCGAAGAGGGATCGTCAACGGCTTCAAAATCCCTCAACATTCCCGTCCGTCCCGAAGTCAGATCTGTCATGATTAACTCCGAGAAGTAGCTTGTTTTAAGTGCTGCATACGGAGTACATAGTTGACACATGACTTGCTTTTTTTTCGCTATTTCAAGGGTATCTAGGATGTTATCCAATATTCTGATATTTCTTCATGCAATCATGCAAATTCATTTCATTCTAATTCATAAAAGGCCCTTCTCGCCCTCGTCATCTTCCCGTCCACTCGTGCCAGCCACAGGAGGTCTAACCATACCTGGAGGCATCCTAATCCCAACACCCGCACCTCCAGCCGCACCGCTCTTTCTCGTACTCGCGTCAAACATGTCAACCCGCGCCCTTGCCAAAGCTATTGCGGGAACAACCCATGTCCCGCAGCTGCACGGCATACCGGCCCAAGCAAATTTACCAATATTTGCTCCGCATGATTTTGTCGGACATGTAAGGCGGCCGGACAGCGGTGGGTTAGTGTCTGGGTCAAGTGGAGACTGGGGAGAGGACGGGTCTGATGCATTCGGGAAAAGAGACGGACGCATCCAGGAGAGCGGGTGGAGGAAAATGTGAGCACACGTCGGCGGCGGTAATGATGAGGGGGCTAGTGATGAAATCGGCGAGGTGATTTGCGTTTGGGAGGTGACACCATTTTTCCCCGGGGTATGTTGAATTATAAATGGAAGTGTGGCGAGTTGTCGTCTATTATCAGATTAGTATATTACAGCCAGCGAGATTGAGTAGTAAGGTATTTTCAGCCACGAACCGACACTTTCGGCACTTTATCTCAGTGCCACTTCCTTGTTCCTTATTGTTAGCATCAGCATTCTTCGTCCGTTGGTCTTCGAAATGAATCTCATCTAGCTCAGGCCCCTTTCCACAGGCAACACTGTCCTGCACGGCACGCTGATAGAGCCAACGTTGATACATGGGGTGATCGACAACGTTATCTGGACACCCCATTTGGTGATAGAGTTCTAATTGCTCCATGAACCCACGGTTCGGCTCACAAAGCGGCCGTGTGCGACGAAGAAGTTCCAATGTCTCCGCGGGCGTCAATGCACCCGGCTGCCTGTGGAGGAGAAATGCCATACATATGGTCGCCGACCGGGACTTGCCCATTGCACTATAGACGCCATTAGCTTTTCCGAGACAGCCATACTAGTTAAAAAATAAGCAATATAAAAGGAAAAGAAAGGCGACATACCAATGAACGAGCACTCCTTCCGTCCCGTCCCCACTTTCAAGCCCAGATCGAATAAACTCATTAGTGGTTGGGAAATGCTGCAACAGATCTTCATCGTCGATATCATCGACCGGGATAAGTAAGTGTTTCTTGAAGCCCTTAAACTGCTCCTCGTCTACGCTTATCCGTAATACAGTAACTGTATGGGTAATATTTCCTTTCTGAAGGGCTAGTTTATTGTTCAGGGCCAATAATCTAGACAAACAGCCAAACCGTGTAATTTATTCTGATTAGCCATGTCCTCCGCCGAGAAACGGGTGGTTCTTGGTGTATGTTTTCTGACGGTTCTCCGTACGCAAGGGAAAAAAAACTGTAATAGAGGAAACAAGGTATGCGTGTATATGGGAGGGGTAAACAAACCCGCCGATATAGAGATTATCATCTCCGATCTTGTTTAACGCCATGGCGGCTGAGAGAGAGTTCCAGCTCGAGTGGGAACACAAGGAAGCGAGCTGTCTCTGACCAAAAGTCACCGTGCACTGACAATCATGCAATCATGCATGTATGAATCACGGAATACGAGTGGCAGAGGGGGGTCTTGGAGGATCCTGGGCTGCGTGGGCGACGTGGGAAGATATATATAAACCGCAGGGCTGATGGGCTGGCTGAGAAAAGCGAGTTTGAAGTTCGAAAAAGATGGAAATCTGATGCCAAGACATTTTTCCTCCCCTTGGGCAGAATTAAGCTTGGCTAGGGTTGGGAAGGCGGTAAAGCCGTCGCAGTTGCTCCGAGGAAACTTCAACCTTTTCGACTTCTTGATTACTGAGAGGAAAACTAAGAAGAAGAAGAGGAGCAGGATGGCGACGGCGGCGAAGGCGAGGGGAGGGCTCGGTGAGGCCGAAGACACGTACGTACATACGTGAATCAAGGCCAGAGATAACTTACTCGTCGGTATCGTCTCCCTGAAGATTAAGTTCCCGGCTAACGACTGGCGATGTAGGGGATATGGCAATGTGACAGGTAGTTACGATACGACGGGGAGAGCGAGCGAGTGAGACGGAGAGGGTGTGTGTGTGTGTGCGGTATGAGTTCAGCTTCCAGTCTCCCAGGCGTACGGTACGCCTGATAACCACATGTACAAGGGTGAAGGGGGCCCCCCTGGTCCTGCCTGGATGTACGGAGTGGTGATATTATGTCCCTGTATGCAGCTGGTCGCATGGGAGGGGGCATGGCAGATTATTGCCATCCAGGCCACCAACCTTTCTACCGTCCGCAGAAACCCTACCAGGAATTTTGTACCAGCCACCTGGTTTTGGTGTGTGATGGAATACGGCGTGCGGCCTGGAATCAATTCTGGCACGACCTCGTTTTCCATCCCCAGACCTCGAATACTAGCCCTAACTATGAAATACGACGCCCTAGAATGAAGGGAGGATGTTCTCGATTCAGCCCTATGTGACGACGTATCACACGATCGGAACTAGGTTTCTGTCCTTTACCCTTCTGCAGATAAGAGTTGCTCTTCACGGGGCGGGACGAGTAGGTATTAGCGAATCCCAGCATATATCGTGAGGACATGCGGGAGGATGACGAGGGAAGTTTAGTAATTAGCGTGAACGACCACCCTCCTCCACCCTCCACCTCCGCGAAGGAAGTATACAAAAATACACTCTCTGTAAGTAACTTCTCTGCTAACAATGCATTAGTTGATCCTAAAAAGCCCCGCCAAGTAGGATCGTACCACCGCAGGCCAGCAAGGAGAACAACGCCAGGGTACTGGACCGATCTTCTTAGCAAGCAAGCTTCTGTGCGTTGCTAGCGATGCTGCTGCATTTTGTTGCTGCCAGTGGTGGGGGGAGATCCCTGGCGTACTGCGCCTCAACGCACCTCCTCCCCTAGACCCTACGCTACCGCCTACGCCTTACTTATCAGGGCAAGACTCGCATCCACCATGTTTACCATACACTTTCTGGCCATGATAGTATACAGACTCTGTACCACCCAGTACCCCCTACATACCGCGATCTCATTTTCAGCTGCGAGATGAGCAAGGTGGGGTAGTGTCTCGCCCATCATCAGCTAGCCGGCTACTGGACGGCATGTTATGCGGTGCACTGCTGTGCTGTGTTAGGAGAGGCGCAAGTGCAAGTGCAGGTGTAATGCCGTGGAACGGGTGAAATATATTAATTACAACGTCAGGAAAAGCTCCGCTAGGGCCGACCGAGACCTTGTAATGCACATATTTCTAGAAACAAAGAGGTTAGATGGGCTTTTTTACACTTTTGCGGGCAATGTGATGTGGCCTCTCGTCGGCAGCCGGGGGGAGGAAGAACAGTGGAGTTTCGATAAAATTGGAGGAGAAATGGTAGATTTCGGCTTGAGGGGGGGATGGAGGATAGGGAGGATGGGAAGTTGTGGAAAGTTACAAAGTTAACGACGGGCCGCGACAGGGAAGCACCCATCTGCTGGGGTACATCAAGGTCGCCTGCAGCTGCCACCACGCGCAAAGTACCAGCCCATGGAACGAGTGACGGCCACTCTTACCTGGCTGCTGGGTTGCTGTTTTTCGATTTCCTGTCAAAAACCTCCCGTATTACAGGAACATTCACGAAGTCACGTGGATAATATAGCATCAATTAGCTATAATTACTAATAGGGTTGGTTGTCACTGGGATAGATAACTGGTAGGTTCATGTCGGAAGTCGATTTACTGGAACCAAGTATCAGATGAACTCAGGCCGTTACAACGCTGGCCGATGAAAAAGCTACCAAGAACAAGGAACAGACGGTTGGAAAGTCTGGTATTGATATAAACTCAACCAAGGAAGCTAATAAGGGAGGATATGCACTGTTTCTCTGGTTCGACACAACCTTCTTTATCTGATGTATAACGGATCGAAGTCGATAGAAGCCACTTTAACTTGTGCATATCAGACAAGACCGGTGCCGATCATCATTTTCCCGCCCTGTACTGGTTGTACATTTCCCGCATACGCTTTGCCTGGTTGGGGGTGAATTCGGTACGGCAGGAGCTATAGGTAATACGTTGTTATATTAGCCTTCGTCCTTCTTTCAAATGGTATTTCACCGTATAACTGGAAGAGGAGCAACTTACTCGTCAGAGGAGTCCATGTAGTTATGGATAGGGTCAAGGCCGGGTTCCATGGGGCACGAGTCACGGCCAGTTGGGCAGCCACTGCTTGCGTCTTTTTGGGCTGGGGTATCGGAAACACGGTCGCCCAGGGTGCTGCTACATCCGCCTTGGTAGGTATGGTATAGTCCTAGAAACCGATACATAGTTAGTGAAACACTGGTAATCGACATCATGTTGCGTGTCATGCGAGACGTATTGGCGGGGACAAGAGCTCCTTACCCATATAGTGACCGATTTCATGGACGGTGGTCAGGCCAAGGTTGAACTTTGCGAGACTACCGCCGGGAACGGTCGAGGCCAAAACCATACAGCCGTCTTTGACATAACCAGGAGTGCCAGGGTAAGGGTTCGATGGGTAAGGGCAGTTCTGTATATATCGTTTAGCAGTCAACATCTCCTGGACGAGTGGGAATAAATTCTTACTCCAGTGGTACCGTCCGCGAGTTTCTTCATAAAGTAGACGTTGAGATCAGAATATTTTCCCTTGTGGAGAGCGTATTTCATCTGAAGTTCGTCTCCACCAGATGCCCAGCCAGCATTGATGGTTCGAGTAGTGTTTGCGAGCTTGAAGCTGAAGCCGTGGGGTGCGTAGGCCTTGTTCATGACTGCGAGTTGGTCCTGGAGCATTTTGTCCTATTCCAGACATCAGCAAATGGTGCATCAGCTGTAGTTGACAAGTAATTAAACCATACCGAGATGTAGCCATCAGCTGGCGACATGCTGGCGGCAACGACATGGAAGTAGGTCGTAACCTCAGTCGTAGCTTGGATCTCAGACGAGTCCGTAGACAGCTTGTTGGCCAACTCGTTGGACAAGACGTCGAGTTCTGCAGAAGGCCCAGCGTTACAAGGACGAGGCTCCTGAGAAGGATGGGCGGCCGCAATGGAGCCTGCGGCAACAAGGCCGAGGAGAGAAAGAGAGAAACGCATTCTGGATAGAATAGTTTTTTTGGGGGAATTCAACAAAATTATGATTGGAAAGTTGTTGAGAAATGGCCGTATACAGCGAGAAACTGAGACGGGTCATATACAAATTGCATTCCTAGAAGACTCGGCCATGGCTATTGACTCGGTCGTTGCTATGGACTTGGTCATTGCTATGAAACCCGCCATCCGCCGTCAACCATCCCATCCAGCCTGTCCAGCCTGTCAACGTAACACCAAAAAAAAGGACGATTATCCAGAAAAGGATGTTTATCCAGGGACAGGAAGTTAGGTTAGCATCGTCGTCTTCGAGATTAAGATCTCAGCTGAACATTGAGTCGTCTTCCCGTCCTCAGCTCTGCCGCCAACACTGACGAGTTTCCCGTCAACGGTTCAGTTCACCGGCTCGACTCGCTTGGTCGTTAATATATAACTAAAAAGGAATGTGTATCCGTTCATAGTTTACCCCGGAGGCCAGGGTGAATAGGAAGATAATCTCCCTGCTTTCCCGCCCGTGGCACGGAGCATGTTCCATGATATGCAGCACGGAGCAAGCTCTCTCCACACATCAAGCTTCTGGCCGCCGGACAGCGGGCGGCAAACCGATGCCGTGGTAAGTAAAAACGTCAACTTATTCTTCCCGCAGGGCCCGTTGGGCTATGGCCGATGCAGAGCGCCGTGATATGACTCGCTAGTGCAAGCTGGCGTCGTGAGCTGAGACTCGAGCCCTCCCATGGGTCACGACGACCTCCAGGCCAGGTAGGTTGGTATCTAGGGGCAGGATATGACACGCCCAGACGCACAAAGTTGTCATTGGCCGGGCTGAATTAAACCGAGCAGAATATTTGATAGGTTTTTTTTTTGCTCAGGAATAATGTCATGAACAGGTTAGGTCGCCGGCGAGTGTTGAAGAGTCAACTAGCTTCCTGTTTGGGAAGCGTGGTCCGGGGAAACGCCGGTGAAGAAAAAATCTGTGACGGCCCAGCCACGACAATACGGTCGAGGGAGCGAGTGAGCGGGAGAGAGACGAGGAAAAAGCACACGACTGATCTCAAGTGACCAGCGTCCTTTATATCTACACCATTGACGTGTTTATGATGTTGTTTTTCCGCGTTTGGCATCAAGGGTTGCTCCGGACGAGCGGAAGAATGATAAACCGTGTTCCTAGCATAAACCGACCTCAGAGCATCAAGTTTACGTGACTTTTTCCTGCCAGATCGTAGTGTAAGCCCAGATCGGAATATCAGCTCCGTCAACCCTGTTTTAACACCGTTGCCTTGTCTTATACGTCAATATGATCTACCACCTCGCCAGGGGCGGCCTGTTTCCCGACGAGCCGCCCGCGTCTTCCATGGAAAGCAAAAATTAAGGATGACGATGAACAAGCTCACATCGCTGCATAAATATTGCAAAAAGGAAAGAAAAACCGACATTTAGAGAGGCTATTCGAGGAATGAGAAGGTTAGATGGTGGTTAGTGATGGAATCGAGCGGTCGGGGGGTTGGATAAGTATGATCAGATGGTTGAAACGGGCATCGATATATTCCCTGCAGGCAGTCGAAGAAGATAAGAGGATAGACTCTAGAGAGACGGTTTGAGAAGATTTACTTCTTAGGAAAGTTGAATGTGTAATCTGATATTTGTTATGCGATGTAACGTTGAGTCTTGACATGGTCCTTTGGACGCGGACAACATCCGACTCCTGGATGTTTCCTCATTAAGCATTCGATTATGTATGAGATGGGTGAAAATCAAGGACTCAGGTAGTCGTAACTGTTTCACTGATTGACCTTCTGACAATCTTGTTCAAGAATGAGATGCTAGTATAGACGTGAGCATGAGCGATGGTAGCCGACTGATCGATATAGGATGAATCTATATAATAGCTTCATTCTTGATTCATTCTTCCATCACCAACAATCTACTTACCAACAAAGCGTCGTAAGCATCTGCCCATCATGCAGTTCTTCAACTTCGGCCTGCTCCTCTTGCTCCCCCTTGTGGCTGCGGAACTCGGTCCACAGCCAGAGGTGCTGAAAACCGGCTCCAAGGAGATCATCCCGGGCCAGTACATCGTCACCCTGAAGGACGGCCTCACCGCTGACCAGATCAAAACCCACAAGGAATGGGTGTCCTCTGTTCACCGGTCTAACCTCAACTTTGGCCGTGGCGGGATCGAGTCCGAGGGTATCATGGGCCACTTCAACATCCACAAGCTGAACATGTACTCTGGAGGCTTTGACGAGCGCACCGTCGAAGACCTCAGACGCAGCCCTCATGTATGTATGCCCATTTCACCAGGTATATCATGCTGACTGACATGTCCAGGTCAAATCTGTGCTGCCTGACCAGAAAGTGTACCTTGCAACCACCAAGGCGACGCAGAAGAACGCCAGCTGGAACCTGGGCTACATGTCCAGCAAGGGCAAGCCGGTCTCCAACTGGGACACGCTGGTCGACTACAGTTACGACAGCAAGGCCGGCGAGGGAGTATGGGCATATGTGCTCGACACCGGCGTCAACGTCCACCACGTCGAGTTCGAAGGCCGCGCCATCCTAGGCCACAATGCCATTCCCAACAAGCCGCACGAAGACACCTTTGGCCACGGAACGTACGTCGGGGGTATCATTGCCGGCAAGACGTATGGTGTCGCGAAGAAGGCGACGGTGGTCTCTGCAAAGGCCTTTGACGGTGGTTCCGTAAGTCTCAGTGCTGCCATCCAGTGTGGTCAGGTCTAACGAGAGTAGAGCTCATACAACTACATCCTCGAGACGTACGACTGGATCATCAAGAACATCACAGACTCCAACCGCAAGTCCAAGGCCGTCATCAACCTGAGTATCTGTACGTATCTCATCACTCTCTCTCTCTCTCTGTGTACCATACTGACGATAGTAGCCGGCTCCAAGTACCAACCCTTTGACGACGCCGTCGAGAACGCCTTCAAGGCCGGCGTCACCACCGTTGCAGCTGCTGGAAACGACGGCGTAAGTCTTACTCTTATGGTCTCTTACTTTCTCGACACACACTGACGATATATAGAGAGACGCCAAACTGAACACGCCGGCCTCTGCGCCCAACGCCATCACCGTGGGCGCCGTCCGCTTCGAAAACACCCGCCCGCAGTTCTCCAACTACGGCAAGGTCGTCGACGTCTGGGCTCCTGGCGAGATCATCCGTTCGTGCTGGAAGGGAGGAAACAACGCCACGGCCATCCAGTCGGGCACCTCGGCCGCCAGCCCTCACGTCGCCGGCCTCGTCGCCTACCTGATGAGCATCGAGAACCTGCCTTCGCCGTCCGCCGTCACCGCGCGCGTCCTCAACCTGACCATCCCGGGGCTCGTCAAGGACGCAAAGGACAGCCCAAACCGCGTCGTCTACAACGGCGTCCAGGAGCGTTTCTCCAGACGTCCTCCCTATTAACTTTACCCTTACCTCTTAACATTACCTATATTAACTACAATATAACATAAATGTTAACTACATTATCTAACATTAACCTATTATGTGTATGTGTGTAGTATATGTAACGTATCGTAAGAGTATGGCCTGTTACCATACAGATACCATACAACTGATACACCGCCTTTTTTCTGCTCTTTAAACTCATCTTCTACTTTATCTTTATATCTACGTCTTCATATCAATTTTATATCTATATCCATCTCTTCATGCTCCGTTACTCTGTATGCTCCGTATATATCTCTATAACGTAGGGAGGTAGATGTACTGTTCAGCCCTACGATTAGCGTTTGGCTGCTTTTCTTTTTCAGGGATCCATCGAACTTCTCCCTGCTGCCCTTGGACCTGCGATCTAGCTCGCCTTATCGTCTGTCCCTCATCCTCCGCCCAGCTGCGACGTATATAACACTGCCTCCTCCTCCTCGTCTCCTCTGGCCGGCGTATGTCGATGGTCTTAGCCGTATCAGACTTGCCACCGCCGCCACCGTCCGGCCGTCGACTGCCTGCCTCCTGCTCCTCACATGGCCACCGGCTAACGCTAACTTCAGCGTACCTGGAACCGTTTTCCGCTTGCTAAACTTCCTACCAGCGCCGTCGCCGTGGATGCGCCGCCAGCAGACTTCGTGGCCGTCCATGGGTTGAAGATGGACTTGTCCTTGACCTCGACGCCCTCCATCCTCGTCTCGGACTCTACTGTAGAACATCCTCGCCCTCGCCAACGCCCTCCTCGCCAACGCCACGATATCACCACTCTCCACAGCCAGCAGTCTCACAGACAGTCTCACTCTCACGATTCAGCGCCTCCAACACCCGCATATGGACCAATGGCCATCCCAAGGTCGCAGGAAACCATCGCCCCGCCGCCTCTGCCTCCGCCACGCTTTATACAAGAACTTGCCAACGGACACGACTCGGGCTGGCGATGGGGGAACACCTTCCACCCAGCAGGATCAGCTTCAGGCGCAGCTGGAGGACCAGTACCAGGACCAGGACCAGGACCCGGTCAGGGACCAGAGACAGCCACCGAGGCCGTCGATAAAGGTGCAATGCTGCCCCCCATAAATCCCAGCTCCAGCCTGTTTGGAGGCCACACCAGACCGCCCTTGCGCAGGCGAGACGAGACCTTCCACCTGGATGCAGACGAGCAGCGTGCGGTTGACGCGAGGAGGCCCGGTTCGGGCTCGGTGTCGGACCAGGAGATGGCCCTGGGACCTCTGTCGGCGCCCTTGCTGAGTCCGTTTGGGGATGGCAGCGCTCTCTCGCCCACCAGTCCGCCGACGAGGCCCGGCAGGTCGCTCTCCCAGACCGGCTCCCTCTCCCATACTCTAGATACCCGGATCCTGCCCAGCACGAGGTATATCTTCCTTTATTATATGCATCTTTTATACTGTATGTAGGTGCTAACATGTGCAGGGACAGACAAAAACCGCTCTCGGGAAAAAGCGAACGCTCGCTCAGTGCCTACGACCGGAACCTGCTATCCAAGATCGGGGGACCGACCTCTCCGCCGAGAAACACAGTACTAGGTCTCACCACTCCGCGAGACCCGGGCAGAGTCCAGACTAGCTTCTCAGCTCTAACTCTCACAGATGAAACCCTCAGTCCGCAGGATATGCGATGGGGTAGCGGCCCGCCGTCAGCTGGGATATCTCCGGGCACTGGAGGCAGCGGGTTTGCAGACTACATTGCCTTCCGGAGCCACCGTGAGGGTAGCACCAGCGGCCTCTCGCCGATGGAGGTGGACCAGTTCAGCCACGCCCGCGAAAAGTATGGCAGCAGCATCTCCAGCAGCTCCATTCGGTACGGGGAAATCGCACATAGTCTGCCCTTACACTCGGGCCGAAGGAGTCATGACAAGTCTCTCTTCCCAGACCTAGACACAGACGTCTCAATGGACGATGTGCCCATGAGCGTGAACCCGAAGACGATCCGCCAGCGGAGTCTGGGTGAACGCATGCCGTCATACGCCGAGGGGGTCTCGCCCTTATCCAACCACGGGATGAAACGGCGGGCTTCCTCGCCGCCGCAGGTAGCACCGCATGAAGACGTAGGGCTCAGCACAAGCACCAGCGATAAGGACTATAGACGCATGTCTGGCTTTCCCTTTAATGGTGGTGGAGTTTGCACGTCTCCCGGCGGAGCAAGATACCAGTCAAGTCACGGCTCTATCTCGTCTATTTCATCGGCTAGTATGCGGACGGGTTCATACGCTTCGTCTACGGGCTTATCCGTCGGAGCCAGCAGTATGTCTTCGTATGATAGGCCGTCTCCCGGTGGTATCTCGCCTACGGACGTAGATCACTACGACAGGGGGTTCATGAGTAGTCCTGCCCAGAAATCGTCCACCTCTGCTCCCATACTGAGCATCCCTCGACCTACACAGTTTCCCGAACCCACCGTTTCCTCTGCAGAGATGAAGAAGAGTCCCGCTACGTCGGGGACGGGTAGGAAGGGATCTCATACATGTCCGAATTCATCCAAGAATCCTCAACGTGTTGGCCGGTCGTATATATGCGAGTGCTGTCATACAAAACCAAAGAAGCTAGACAGCCTTGAAGAACTCAGGTACGTAACTTTCTTCCTCTCCATCTTCTCCTACTTTTAAGTTATTTGCTTTTTCCCCCCCGTATAGCAAGACTAACACATCCTATAGAGCACACGAGATGGAAAAACAATATAACTGCAACTACTGCCACAAACGCTTTAAAAATAAAAACGAAGCTGAACGACACCGCTCCTCCCTCCATATCCGCCACCACTCATGGTCCTGCGGCTCTCTAACAAACTACGAATCCGCCTTCCATCCCTCTACTTCCTCATCATCTAACGGCCAAATACCCGGCTCTAACACCGCAACTCACGACACCTGTGGATTCTGCGGTATCGAATTTCCTAACCTCCCTTCTCCGAACTGGGACGTGCGGATCGAACATTTAACCACCGTCCATAAGTTCGGGGAATGTAATCTGTCCAAGAAATTTTGGAGAGCAGATCATTTAAGACAGCATTTGAAGCATATCCATGCAGGTTCGAGCGGGAAGTGGACGAACATTTTGGAGAATGCGTGCATGAAGGAAGAACCGATGGCTGAGGCTGGATTGCCTAGTATCGGTGAGACGCCGGATGGAGATATGGAGGCTGATATGATGGGCAATGACGGGGGAGATGGTGAGTCGTGACAATCGAGTCAGCCAGTCAGCCTGCCAGCCAGCAAACAGGAAAGGGGAAAGAAACCAAACAATGACTTGATTTGGTATTGTTGTTTGTTCTTTATACATTCTTCGTTGTCTTTACTTCTCCCTTTTCCCTGTGGACTATTCGGCTTCTCCTGTTTTCCTTCTATTTTTTTCTATTACATTTTACTTAAAAAGGGCGGGAGGGGGGACATCTGGCACGCTTACACCTACTACATCTCGCTTGCTTGCCTACCTGCGTTTTTTTTGGCTTCCCCTTTTTTTCCCCATTTTCTATTTCTTTTCCCTTCAATTCCTGTTATATTTCTTGCCACCACTTGCATCAACTCCTATCCCTCCCATCATTGCCCGCGCCGAGATAAAAAGAAGATGAGAAGAACCGGACCGGCCTAATTACTTACCTTCACCACTTTACACCATTGCCTCGCAAACCTTCTTCTCCCTCCATTGCCACTTCTCTTCTGCATCTCTGCGTTGCTTGCCTCTTCTTGGATCATTGGCCATATTTTTACACTTTCCGTTATCTTTTCCGATTGCCCCCCTTTTTCCACTTTTGCTTGTCAACAAAAAACATGATGCATGATGACGGATAGTGCAGATACGATACTACATGGCTTAATGTAGTATATCTGTAACTCTACGGCCGAAATTTTAGAGTTAAAAATCTACCTACAGACAAACAGACAGACAGACAGTTATATACAGATAGTACCAATACATTTATGATGCGATGCATGATTATATACGTGATTAAATTTAATATCACAATGTTTTGCCTTGAGCTTAGGACGTTACTTTAGAAATTCAGTTGGATGATTGGTATCTAAGCGTTTTTATAGTTGAGGGCATTAGGGAATAACAAAAAACGGTAATTAAAACGGGAGATGGTAAAAGCCAAACATCTCTAGAAGAACCCAATATTTAGAATAAGGCGAAAGAAGAAAGAAAGGAACTCTCTAGAACAATCATAATGAGGGTAGGGGCGGGTAGATCAGTTTTGAATCTCATTCTCCGTCCACCCGCTATCGGCTTTGGCAGCCTTCTTATCACCACCAACAATCCTGCCCCCCTCAGCCCGCTTAACACGGCACCAGAGTCCAACATCCTTGTCCAGAATGAACATCCAGATCACCCAGACCCAGCTACGGTGGCAAGGCAGCGTTTCGTAATACTCCTTTGCAATCTCATGCAGCTTGGGAAGACGTGACCATGGAATGGCAGGGAAATCATGGTGCTCGTTATGTAGACCGACATTATACGTCAGAATGTTCAGTGCGCCGTAATAAGAGTACGTCTCTGGGGGTGCGAGCGCAGGGTCGACAGACTTGACATCCCCAGCCTGCTCCTTTTGTTGTCGAAGGGTATGAAGCGATTCTGTTCCGCCAGTCTTCACGCCAGAGAAGAAGTAATGTTCTGCAATGAAATGGCCGGCACAAGGGTGTAGCGAGCCAGCCAGAAACGAGCTGAGAATCAAGTAGTAGATTGGCTGAAGGGAGTTGGTGAATTTATATAGTGCTAGGTCGAATGATATTTGCACGACGATGTTGATAAGGTGGATGTATGTGAATTTTGGCGTATAGATGAACATGGGTCGGATGGCGTAGAAGAGGATTTGGCAGGTACAGAAGAATGTTTTGCCGAGTAGGGAGTCGAGGAAGAAGGCTTCGAGGGCGGTTGGAAGGTCGGCGTCCAGGCCGGATACGCCGAGAGACTTGTGGTGCGTAAGATGGTATGGCTATGAGGGTGTTAGCATTTGAATATTCAGTGGCCGTATAGAATGGAGGGACGAACTCGGAATGAAGCAGAGTAAGGTATTCCAATTGGTAGATTTGCGAGGATGGCCAGCAGTCTGTTGGCCAACGGCGACTTGAAGGCGAGGTTATGTGATATCTCGTGTATGGCGAGGAAAAGGTTCTGGTTCGAGGTTGCTCCCACGACGTATGCGGTGACTAGGAACTGCCATGATAACATGGACGTATTGCGCAGCAAGTATGCACAAGCAATCTGTAGAGCTACAACGGCGAGAACAAGATATTTCGTAAGTGGTTCATGGCCGCATAGTTTCAGAACCTATATCGTTATTCATCGATCAGCGCGGTTCACACCAGCTCGTATGAAAATTAGAGACACAACACACCTCCGGATGTGCTTTAATGATCGCCTGCCTCCTCGTCCTGTGCGGTTCTTCGGTATATGTCCAGAAAAAGTGGTCTTCCGCTGAAGTGTCTGGTGGTGCAGCAGATACGGTCTCCTCCTTCGACGCCGCTCGACGGGCAGCGGAGGTGGTCGTGACGGCCATCGTGCTAGCTATTTCTCTGTCGTAAGATCCTCCGTAGTGTGTATATATCAAATTGCACTCCCGAGGCCCATAACGGAAGAAAGCAGCTTCGTATCGTCAGTTAAACCCTTGGTGGGAAAAGGCTTAACTCAGGAACTATTTTCAGGGACGAAGTTCAAGCTTAAAATAAGTTGATGGGATCTCCTTTCCTGACGTAAGCATCAGCCTTCGCCGTCGCCTTTTATCATATCTTACTGCATCGTACGGTTATATCTTGAGAGTATTATAGGTGTTTCATAATAGTATATATCACGGCGAGGTAGGGTTTCTGATAGGGGTTCGCATGCTAGGCATCGGCTATACAAATACGGAGGAACGGTAAGATCCGACAGTACATCTCACTCCGTACATTATGAAATCAATCTAGTCATACAAGATAGAATCTAGCTATATAGAATAAAATCTAGTTATATAGACATCGTATGTTATTTGCATTGTCTGATATCGTATGTTCTGTTCTATGTTCTATATAGAAACGGAAAGTCTTATCGATAAGCAAAGTCAAAGTCGGCCCATGAAAACTCTCCCTCCCTTCGTCCTTCTCCCTCTCTTCCCAGCGCTCATTCATTAACGGCGAGCTGATTCGCAATGGGAGTTGGTCAATTCGGCATCTGGTGTACAGAGAGACAGTCCCCCGTTCCCTGATCTGGCCAACCATGTCTGCCCGGATCGCGACTCGACTCCTGAAACCGACCCTCGGAAACTTCCGCTCTCCGATCATAACAGCCTCGCAGCGGGCCTGGACATGCCAGCAATGCGCTCGATGGAACAATGGCAGCGTGCGGGGGTTATTGCTGAGAAATGAACGTTTCTACCATGCTGCCACCCCTCGGTATGCACAGGAAAGTGGTGGAGGGTCTCAGGGAGGCTACACGGCGAAGAAAGGGTCAAGAAAGGGGTTTATATTTGCAGCTGCTACTGGCACGCTTGGAGGCACCTTGCTCTTCTTCTACGACGACGTACGGCATGCGTGCCGAGCGGCAGAACGGACCGGGAGAGTTCTGACCGGCTTGCTAGTCTGTATCAATGAGTATGTGCATCGAACATCACTTGATTATTTCCGGCATATGCTAACCTCTCGTTTTTTGCGCTGTATAGCTACAGGGTAACTTTGAATCAAAAGACGGACTCCGAGGAAGAGCGGACTGCTATCCTAAACACCTGTCATCAAAGATGTGCGGATCGAACACTAAAAGTCCTCGAGAAGAACGGGTCAATATTCATCAAATTGGGCCAGCATCTAAGTAGCTTGGGCTATTTGCTGCCGTTGGAATGGACCACAACTTTTATCCCTCTCCAGGATAAATGCCCTGTTTCGTCCTTCGAATCAGTACAGGAAATGTTTCTCAAGGATACCGGCCACACGATAGATGAAATCTTTTCCAGCTTCGACCCGGAACCCATTGGAGCTGCATCTTTGGCGCAAGTACATGTGGCCGTATTGAGAGAAACTGGACAAAAGGTTGCAATCAAAGTGCAGCATCCAACACTCGAAGAGTGGGCTCCATTGGACCTGAGTCTCACGCGATTCACCTTTTCTGCTCTAAAACGAGTTTTCCCTGAATATGATCTCGAGTGGCTCGCAAGAGAGATGGATCTTTCACTACCTCAGGAGCTGGATTTCCAAATGGAGGCAGAGAATGCCAGGACGGCTCGTGAATATTTCAAAACCAGAACTAACGCGCCGCTCGTTATTCCCAAAGGTAATATTTCAAGATGAAGGACCTGCTATTTTTGACGACGTCTACGCAAAGGCTCCTGTGAACTGACATTCTGTCTCTATAGTTATATGGGCAAAGAAACGCCTTCTTGTGATGGAGTTCATATCGGGTCATCGACCAGATGACCTCGAATTCCTTGACTCCAACAACATCGATCGGGACGAGGTATCAGCCGCCCTAGCCCATATATTCAATGAAATGATATTCGGTGACGGTGCCCCCTTACACTGCGATCCCCACGGCGGCAATATCGCAATCTGTAAAAACGACTCAAGAAGGGGCGGACCCAATTTTGATATCGTCCTATACGACCACGGCTTATATCGTACCATCCCCAAGGAACTGCGTATAAACTACGCTAAACTCTGGCTCGCTGTGATTAACGCGGACGAACAGGGGATGCGCAAATATGCATATGAGGTTGCTGGTGTAACAGACGCCGAATTCCCGCTATTTGCTAGCGCCATTACTGGAAGGGATTATACTGTCCTTGCTAAGAATGAAGTTGCCTCCTCACGATCGTCCGAGGAGAAGGAATCCATCACTTCCGCGTTGGGAGATGGGATGTTGCAAGAACTAGTTAGCCTGCTGGGTAAGGTTCCTAGGATCATCTTGCTGATCCTAAAAACGAATGATCTAAGTAAGTTAATTCTTCAAAGGGGGGGATGAATAGCGTTATCAGCATTGACTAACAGTTTCTTTTAGCCCGAAATCTCGATGAAAATCTACATACACGCCACGGCCCTGTTCGTACCTTTCTTATCCTAGCCAAATATGCCACTTGTGCTGTGTTCTCGGAAGAGATGGAGCTCATCGCGCAGCAAGGTAGCATCCTCTGGCCACGGAATTTCCTCCGCTTCCTTCACGCCTGGGTAAGCTACCTCCGTGTCGAGATAAAGCTCGAGATTTATGAACATTGGCTGTCGATACGGAATCGATTCGGCCTGGCTAACCATTGATTCACATCTCTGTATACTCCACCCTACCCAAAAAAAAACTGATATAATACCCTTCTCCCCTTGTTTTAAAATCCTTTCCCAGTTCCCCTTTGATTTATCACCATAGATGGTGCCATATATACTACATAGCGGTTAGATTTTTGTTATTATTTGTTCGTTTAAACTGTGATTGATTTGGAGAATAGACTCTGTATAATATTTCTCTAATCGTCTTGATATTCTGTTTGTAACTTGTCTATATATTTCTCATATCTAATTCCTGGTAGAAACCAATGTAGATAGTCGGATAGAGGCCATTCTGGCCGAGTAAGCATTATCTGTTTTATTCTATCTATCGAAGTTATGAGTGGTTTGCAATTTCTGCTTTACACTATTATGACGCAGTGTAGATACATATATCATCAGAGCAGCATGGAACCACCATTACTCTTTACTCACAATTACATCATCGTCAGTAACCCTCACTACCTCAATTCTACGATGAAGATAAATTGTCAGGATGTAATGTATTGAAGGTAACTCTTACACCACAACCTAACTCCTCCTTCCCTGCCTCCATCCCTCCACGGCTTCAGCCTACACATTCATCATCAAAAAAAAAGGTAAAACGGTCTGTCAACGACGAGAAAGGGGGATTAGGGGCCCTTTTGAAAACAAATATTAGAGATATGAAAAAAAAAAAGACGAAGCGAATAAAGAAAACGCCTAACCCAAAAGTCTGAAACGGCGGAAAACAATCAAGTAATCGAGAAACAAAGGTAGAAGAGAATGTTGAAGGGTAAACGGGGTAAGGGTAGAAAGGGGGATTAGAAGGTGACGAGGAAGGAAAACAAAACAGTCCCAATGTGAAAGAGGAAGAAGGTAGAGTATAGTGGGACCGGAAAGCACACGAATGACAAGTATTGGGCCACCCATATCAACAGGCCGATAGGGCATGAGTTGGGATGAAAGTGGAGTAGAAAGGTTTATACGGATCGGGTTCCCTTCATTGGACTTTGCGTGTCGGACGGATTGGGTGGTTTATCTTCGGCAGCATATGTCCCCGATCCCAGAACAAAAAAAAAGAGAAAAAGGAAAGGAAAGAGAAGTGAAGAATACAAAATGGTACAGGAAGAAGAGAAAGAGTAACTTAAAAAAGAAAAAGGCATAGCGAAATCGTCGATGGTAAGTAAGGGTGTGGTGTCTATAAATAATGAATGAGAATGGTGGCTCCCGATTGTTTGGTTGGCCGCCGGAATAGTACGTATGCGATCTAAGGTGGCTTTTGTGTCGCAATATGCAAGTAAAAGGTTGTCATGGAGGGCGAAGGGAAGAGGACTTCGTGGCCCCGGGGTTGTGTGGAGTCATTAAATGTGGCTGTCGAGGTATTTGTGAGCCAGTTGTATATATTCATGGCCAGCGTGAGTTATAGACGCGGATGATGGGGAATATCGTCTTTAAACGTTTCCTGGCTTTTCATTTGTGTCATGATGCCAGACGACGTAGTTGGGCAAACCGAAGACTTGGTATCCTGCCCTCTTGGCCATCTTAGCGAATCCCTCGGTTTCAGCTTGGTTCTCGAATGCATAAGACGGGAAGTTGATTCCTATTACAGAAATGTTAGCTATTATTTTAATCATCGGAAGGAGATGGAGGCGTAATCCATACCTGCTCGGTGAACATCGGCCTTGACAACGATATTGACACCACCAATACCGTCCAATTCGAGCTCTTCATCCTTGTTTCTCCTCCAGTCGCCTTCTCTAGCCATATGTCGGCGTCCGGTATCGAATTCTCGGTATCCCTCGACAATAATGGTATCTCTGTCTAGGCTTTGAGACAATTTTCGGCCTTTGTCAGATTCGACCCAGGAGTTGTAATCAACTATTAACGCAATTAGCAATCGGAAGCCACTTCGGATTTGTAAGACCATAGACTTACATCTTCCTTCGATATCGTGACCATCTACATATCGATGGAACCAGACGTCTGTAATGATTATTAGTACACGGATCACAGATAATTGGAAAAAAATTTAAAAAGAAAGAAACCAAACGTACTGGGAACAAGAATATCCTTGTTGTGAAGGACAAAGTCTTCAATAATCTTTGGTGGACTGTCGGCGATATCCACATCTCTCCAGTAAACCCAAGAATGTTCAGGTTTCAGAGCAGTGGAAAGCAAGAAGTTTCTGGCCTTGCCCATCATCTTCCGTCTGGGAGCCTGAGCCTCGTATCCGTGCTTAGCATTCACATCCATGTTAAGGGTGGCACCAAAATCCTTCTCAACGACCATGGCACTGCGGAACGGGATATTATCTGGCATCGACTGGACACGGTTGAGGTTGGAAGCGAGGTCAGCGAGAGTCTCGTCGTTACTATCACTGACTAGGAATGCAATATCGATGAGGTGATGTGGGTACGTGAGCATGGATAGTAGATCGAAGTATTTATCGAGATGTCTGGCGGCGTTGCGGAGTGGAGTGAGGATGAGGACACGTTCCTCCATTGCAGCAGCTTTGGGAGTAGCCTTGACGAGGTTTAGGTTGATGTTCTGGATAGAAGTGTTGTTGACTTCGTATGGTTCGTGGTGGTTGAAGATGACAGGGGTTTGGAGATGAGAGTGCCAGTCAACCATTTCGTTGGCGGACATGTGGTTTGGAGGTTTTGAGGGACCGAAGCAGTAATATCTAATACATCGTTAACATCCATATATACATTGCATATGATATATCTTGACCACGGATGAGATGTGATTTATGTATATGCATATATATGTATGGGGTAAGTGGAACTCACCTCTGCATCTCCGCTGTCGACCGACTAACGCCGCTCCACAGCAGTATAAAAAGCCCCGCCGCAGCAATGGAGATGATAAATCGTGGTTTTGAAAGCAGTATGAGTACAGCTTTCCATGGTGGTAGATTGGCTTTCGCCGACTTCCAAGTAACACCGCCCTTGGGGAGAAGCATCTTCGCGTTTCCTTCCCGCGCTGCGTTATATTCTTTCTCTCTGTCTATCTCTTTCTCCCCTCGCTTCTTGGGTTGCCTGCCTAGGTGGGCGTTATATCCCCCTTCTTCCCGGCGGGTGTCTGGGCGGAGTGGTTTGCTCTTCTTGAGGCTGTCGGTCCGTGACTTAAAACGAGTGGATGTGATGAAGGGCAGACGGCACGGTATGCGTCAATTCTGGCGCAAACGACGTGATACCTCGAATCGGAAATCACCGGCAAGGAGGCCGTAGGTGTAGTCGCCAGTGGCCTTGGGTGGTTGTAGTTTTACGTGGCGTCTGGACGTGCCTATGTCGATGCCGTGTCAGCTTGATGTCTTGGATGGTTTAAAAAAAAAGTATCCAGATAGTCGAGGGCGCTGGCCAACGAGTGGAAGCCGGCAGGGATCTGATCGCCAACAGCACAAGGTGGATTACCTGGGCAGTACACGCGCACACGCTCAATGGGCTTGTAGAGGTGAAAAGGAGGCTCGTCGATACGGGCGGATGGTGCGAAAGGTAGAAGTCGATGCTACATAGGGGGTTCAACCTGCAAGATGAAAGGAAGAAGCGTCTTGCGTAAGGTGTCACGTGATGAGGCTGGGCTGGTTACATAAGCAGCACGTTCTGCAGTTCGGGAGCAAGGAGACAGATACAACGGTGGACAGTTGATACACGGATAACTGAGAAACAGGTTGGGGTTGTTAATAGTATTAGGAGTGGTAGTGTTAGTAGTGGTAGTGTTAGTAGTGGTAGTGTTAGTAGTGGTAGTGTTAGTAGTGGTAGTGTTAGTAGTGGTAGTGTTAGTAGTGGTAGTGGTAGTTACGAGAATATGTTTACGAGTAATAGTGAAAAGGAAAGAACTCTCAATTATTACCGTTCGACTAAGGACTAATAAAAACCAGTAATGCGCAAGTGGAAGGGATACAATTTAATTCGATGCCACAAGGTAACAGCGGATGGAAAGCGTAAACTGCATCAAACGAGAGAACGGGAGGGGGCTCTCAGGTGAAGAAGAAAAGACGAACGGTATAACAACGCCATCGTGTACTTAATTTGGACATGCTTTAGTTTACAAGAGGAACTGGAGAGTACCGAGAAGACCGATGAGGAGTCCAGCTGGGGCCTGGGCGGATGGGTCGGCGGCGCCAGAGGAGGTGGAGGAGTCGCTGCCAGAGTCGGTACCGGACTTTGGCTTGGTCTGCTTCTCGCGGCAGGTGAGCTTACCACGGATGACATCGTCAGACTTGAACTTGTCGAATGGCTCACAGCCGAAGGACTCGGTACTCTGGATGTTGGTGTCACCACGGACTTCCTTGAGGCCTGGGAGCTCGACCCTGTGATAAGGTTAGTAAAAAGGTTATAAATAGCAGGAGACATGATACGTACTTGTTGAATTTACCGCTGAAGTCGAGAGCACCGTTGACAGTCTGGAGCTTTGGAACACCGTCAATGGCCTTGAGGTTGGTGTTGTTGGCGACCTGGAAAGCACCCTTGACGGTCTTGAGGACTGGCAGAGAGATGTTGTTAAGGTTGGAGTTGTCAGCGAAGACGAGGTCACCGGTGCCAGTCAAGTTGGAAGCACTGAAGTCCATGAAGAAGTTGGAGTAGAATCCGAGGAGACCGTCCATCTTCTCCAAAGAGGGGATGGAGACACCGCTGGTGTTGCGGAAGGTCATGTTGTGGGCAGACTGGAGGTTGGGGAAGCTGATCTTGAGGTCCTTGTGGTTGGCAGCAAAGTTGATGTAACCAGTGGCATTGGTGATCTGGTTGACGTTGACCTCGGTCAAGTGAGGGTTGTTGGTGATCTCCATGTCGGAGACATCCTCGAGCTCGATACCGGTGAGGGAGGTGAGATCAGTGTTGGTGATGCGGACACGGTTGGCCTTGGAGACACCCTTGGTGAAGCCGAGGGACTGGAGCTTGGGAAGAGCCTCGAAGTTGACGAACTTGACAGCAGTGAGAGAGTCGAACTGGAGGGATCTCAGAGCAGTGCAAGCGTTGATGGTGAAGGAGTCTCCGATGGTGGCGAGCTTGGAGGCAGACAGCTCGGTGATGCTGGAGTTCTTGCTGATGAGGGAACCAGTGATCTTCTGGACACCGTCGATCTTGATGCCAGAGTTGACGACGTTGCTGATGGTGATGTCTCCATCCCAGGTAGAGCAGCTGCTGAGGCCAGAGGCATCCTCTTGGTTCTCAATGGTCTTGTCTCCCTCGCAAGCTATATCCCTTGTTAGAATCATCAATCCATCACCATTTCAGCGAGAAACACTTACACTTATCAGCAAACGCCAGACTGGCAATAGCCAGAGCTGGAACGATGTATTTGGTGAACGCCATCTCGTAATTGGGTCAGGAAAACACGGCTTGAAGCTGCAGTACGCGTGAAAGGTCAGCTATCACGGTTGAGAAAACCCTTCCAGGCGAGAAGTAAACAGAGGACAGAGAACAGGTGCTATGAGATGTATGATGTACGATGTATGGAGTAGACGGTGCAGCCTGGTGTGCAGTGTAATATGTATGTGCAGTGGTCGGTGTTGTTATTGTTGTTCAGGGTGGTGTTTGAGGGAAGGAATGGAGAGCGTTTCAAGGGAAAGGGGGTGCCACAGCGTAACACAGCGAGCAGCAGGGACGAGGAGATCACTGATCCTCGACAATGCTTTCTCTCTTCTCAGTGTTAGACGTACCTTGAACGAGCGTGTGAGTTTCTTGAGGGTTGCTGATGGGTAAACAAAGTGAGAGGAAGCTGTCACTTTTCAAGAGGGCGAAGGAGTCGGAAGGCAAGAAAAAGCAGGCACTAAAGAAGGTTTTTCTTGCAGGAGAACGAGTGATGTGGAGCCAGCAAGCAAGGAGCCAGGGCGCTATTAAACCGGGCTGGTACTAGTTCGAACAGTAACTAACAGCTAACGAGTGAGAAGAAGGGAAGAATGGGACGCTGGAGATATATGATAGAGGCAGCGGAGGAGGAAAAATCAGGAGAAAAAGCGCCAGGGGAAAACTTGGTTTAAACCTGAGACAAGCTCGGTGCTTAGGTAAGCGAGATCATCCTCGGCCTCTTCTCTTCTCTACTTCTTCTCCTCTTCTACTTCTACTTCTCTATCTCTATCTCTATCTCTATCAAGCTGTGAGTGTCCTTGTGTCTACGGAATACTTCTCGGGTGCTGCTGCTGAATGCTGCTCAATGATGAATACTGGACTGATGCTGGGCTGATGCTGCTAGAGTGGTATGCTGCTGTCCAGGGTGCCATGTCCGCATCGACTCCACCGCGATCCCTTCCTCCGCCTATAATATCGACCGTCGACACCTGAGGTTGGGTGGTGCCAATTTGCCACGTTACTGGGCACAACCCCTTAGCAGCAACCTCATACAAAGCGTACGCACGCCTGTACGGGGGCTTGACGGTGATGTCAGGATCGAGGGCCAAGGGCTTGTCGATCGCGGGAGAATCGAGCGGTGGCTTGGATCTCTCCATCGTTTCGTTTAGTGCTTGGTATATAAACATTGGCCACCCGCGGGAGCCTACTTTAATTGGCAAGGCTTCATCTACCCCTGAGTAATCCTCATGACAGCAGAGAAAAGAAAACACAGGGTGGAAAAAGCAGAGAAAAAAGGGAGTTCGAAGGCTTGAAGCTCGGATGGTCCCGTGAGAAGTGATGAGTCAGCAGGTCATGCGTTTTCGCGTTGGTATCGCGATGGGAAGAAGAAGCAGCAAGGATGGAGCTGACGAGAGATGCCTACATATACGAGTAAGGAGTAACAGACCACGGAGTACAGAGTAAAGAGTAGAGCAGAGTTAGGATGTAGTGGCAGCTTAGCATGCTCGTATTAATAATCTAGTTCATGACAAACGTCTACTCCGCATCGCTTATACATAGACATCAACTTGAATGGCACGTATCTACGGAGTAACTGGATACCTGATACACTGGATGGTACTTCTAGCCAGGTGCTGCCGTCTACCCAGGTTATCACGGTCGTTGGCTGCCATGGCTCCGAGACGTTCCGCCAGAGTCAGCGCGGCGGCGTTGAAGGAGGCCAGCAAGATAGAGACGCCAACGGATATAAAGCAAAAGACAGAGAAGCCAAAGGAACTAAAGAAGAAAGGAGGCATCACCAAGACGAAAAGCGAGCCAAAGACGCAGAAGAAGACGGTCACTGCTGCCAAAAAGAAGGCGATAGCTGCTGCTATTGCAGATGTCGATGTCGACGTCGACGTAACACCGTCAACGCCAAAACGCAACCAGAAAACATCAGACTCTTCTATCCAGAGACCTACTGACGTGCCACCGTCACTCCCACCACCATTCGTCACTCCTCGTCGCACTGCTAACAACGCACCAGACCTGAACCGGCCCATCGACCCGCATCGTACTACGGCAACCCTCCTCACCCCGCGCGGCTCCCACATAACAGCCTACCCTGCAGACATAGCCGATGCATCACCATCAAAGACCGGTCTCCCCCGCCCAACTACAACAGTCGGGAACCTGCTGGACGATGCAATTGCCCATCTCCTCAGCGTCGACACCAGGATGAAGGCCGTCATCGACAAGTTCCCGGATGCACCATTCAAACCAGCTGATTTGGCAGTTGAGATAGACCCCTTTCAGGCACTGGTTAGTGGAATCATTGGACAGCAGGTGTCCGGTGCAGCTGCAAAGTCAATCAAGAAGAAGTTTATAGCACTGTTTAATCCCGACTCTGCCAATGGTAGTGAGGATGATGGTGATAAGCAGCAGGACGGGGAAGGTGACAGTGCCTCAGATGCGGGAACACGGTATAATCGTGTTCCCTTCCCTAGTCCGCAGCAGGTAGTAACTTTTGATCTACCTACTCTGCGCACTGCAGGCCTCTCCCAGCGTAAAGCAGAATATATCCATGGTCTGGCTGAGAAATTTGCTTCGGGGGAGCTATCTGCTCGCATGCTTTTGACGGCTACCGATGAAGAGGTGCTTGAGAAGTTGATTGCCGTGCGAGGACTGGGGAAGTGGTCTGTCGAGATGTTTCTGCTCTTTGGGCTAAAGAGGATGGACGTCTTTTCCACTGGTGATCTGGGTGTTCAGTATGTATTCACACCATTAGTACATTTATGTATCATTCTAACACTTGTTCTTCCTAGACGAGGTATGGCGGCATATGTTGGCCGTGATATCAGCAAGTTGAAAGCGAAGGGCGGCGGTAAGTTTAAATATATGGCTGAGAAAGATATGGTAGAGATTGCGGCGCCTTTTTCACCGTATAGAAGCCTCTTCATGTGGTATATGTGGAGGTGGGAGAACGTAGATGTTGCCGTTATGCAGGCATGATTTATATACCTACCATATAACATGGCTTATAGATATATATACGACTCTGGTAATGAATACCGTTCTATATAAATGATTGAAGAGGGATTTATTTCTAATATAAACGTAATTGACTTATAGAAACCCTCCCCCTCCCCTCCTCCACAGCGAAGTCTATCAGCCTACTGTCTGGCAGTGTAGTATCTGTACATGTTTATTTAAACGGGAAACGAAAAAGGAAAGACGGTAGATAGGAGCATAGTTAAACAATGATGACTTTCTTGATTTGAATCGGGCTATTCTTGCATGGCATCCTTCCGTTGGTATTGGCGATTTTATGTTGGCTGGCTGGATGGCCTGGTTTTGTCGGTGAAATCATCGCTTGATGACGAGGGCGTCGAGTTCAGCGCGCTCGGCTTGTTCACGCTGGATGGCTTCGATGAGTGGTAGGAGGTATCGGACATCCTGTATAAGGTGGTTAGCCGTTGTTCTATTTTGTGAGTTATGGAGGTCAATGTACCTCTTCTGGCTTGGTCTGGTCTTTTTCAGGCAGAAGTTGATGTTCAACGGAGCACTATGGGTAGCAATCATTCAGTTAGCCACAGAGTATCAACATATATAGACAGAGTAAAGAAGAAAGAAGATTATGTCGGCGGTCAGGTGGAAGGCGGTGCACATACCTGAACAGCTCGGCGGATGCGGTAGATGCGGTCGTACGCTTCCTTGGGAGGAAGTCTCTTCAACGCCAATTGAACAGTGTCGTTCTCTTCTGGGATCAAGTCATCGAATCTATCCACATATCACAGCACAAGTTAGCAAATGCTGTTCATCAGAATCTTTCATGAGAGGTTGACCGCTGCCACCGTATCCTGCCACCAGGCCAATGGTTTCGCATCTCTTCCTGCTACTCCCATTGTCCATTCTATCCCTCTCTGACTGCATCACGGGCTAACAAGAACTCACCTCAGACCCAGCTTTCTGTATCCAGCGGCGCCAACGTACCAGCTGGCAACTGGCTTCATCATGTTCCTGACCCACGGCACCTCGAAGGCCCGGTTGACCATTGCTCCAAAAACCATCGCTGCGGTTCAATGATATGTCGAGATAGAGTGTTTCGAGAGGCGCTTCACACCGATATGGGCGTGATGGCTGCTAATTCAGGTGCTGGCAGACAGGCTTGCTTTTGCTGTTGGCCAATCACTCGTTTGGTGAAGTTGATGAGGTTGTTGTGCAAAAATTAACGCTCGGACCAGGTTCGGCGTGCCGGATAGGAAGAATCTCGTGATTTCAACCAAAAAGTATCAAGCTGGGGGAGTGTGTGCCTACCAATCTTCAACTTTCAACTATCGACACATTCACAGATAATATTATTGTCTGCAGGGATAACTCCGCTTTGTTACATTGTTTCCCTTTTTTCAGTCGGATACTGCACATCCTTTACACCTGCGCAGCGACACCTCGCTCGGTGTCTATCGGCAATATAGAATTTAATTCTCCGTGACCACAGCCAACTCTGCTATCCCCGCGCAGACGAGCATGCCTGGAGTCGCTTGTTAGCCTCCACCTGCTCCAGCTTGGAGCTGCGTGGACTCGATCATCCGCCGGAACCCTCTTTTCACATACTACATACGACAGACCAAGCGCTCGAGGCCGGGAAACGAGAAGAGCGAGCTCTACATCCCTCGTTTTGTATAGGTCTTATCACCTTGCACCCATCGTTTCCACACCATTCCGCACCCATGCAGCGATATCGATTATCCTGTTAAGTGAGACTCTGCTCCATAACCGTCAAGGATGTCTCTAGACCGTACTAAACCGTCAGAGACATTCACCGCTTCATCGTCGCAGGAGCATTCAGTCTCAAATCCAGATTCACGAGCTTCAACGCCAATACAAGTTCACCCTGGGGCAAGGCCTCCCCCAGACTCGACCTTTCTCACCCGTTTGCAGGTGTACTCAACCCGTATCCCGCAGAGCTATGTGACGCCATTTTGCGGAGCAGGGGCGGGGGTTGCGTCCGGCATTATCACCTGTCCACTAGATGTTATCAAAACTAAACTCCAAGCACAGGGAGGCTTTTTACGACGAAATGGGAAACTGGTGCAGGCAGAGGCGTTGTATAAGGGTATGATAGGAACAGGAAGGACGATATGGCGGGATGAGGGCTTGCGTGGGCTGTACAAGGGCCTTGGACCGATGCTTCTGGGCTACCTTCCTACGTGGGCTGTTTATTTGACGATCTACGACCGGTCGAGGGATTACTTTTATGGCCAAACAGGTGCGTAATATACTTTCTAAAGTATGTTCTTTGCTTAGGTTTCTATGTGCTGATTTACCTTTATAAAGAAAACTGGTGGCTTGCCCGAACATATGCATCATTGACTGCCGGAGCATGCTCTACCATTGCAACCAACCCGATATGGGTTATCAAAACTAGACTCATGTCTCAAAGCATACGGCCATCAAACGATGGATTCCAGGCTCCATGGTACTATAAAAATACCCTAGACGCAGCGCGAAAGATGTACGCAAGCGAAGGAATACGGGCATTTTATTCAGGTCTCACACCCGCGCTCCTAGGCTTGTCTCATGTTGCTATCCAATTTCCGTTATATGAATATTTCAAACTGGCGTTCACTGGTTTTATGATGGGAGAACACCCTGACGCAGGTAACCCACACTGGGTGGGCATTGGTGCAGCCACATTCCTTAGCAAAATATGTGCGAGCACAGCAACTTATCCACACGAAGTACTGCGCACAAGACTGCAAACTCAACAAAGAATTACTCCCGCTCCATCACCTGAAGGAATTTCGTTCCGTGGCTCAGACCAGCCATATAGCGGCACTCCTAGCGTGGGTGCATCCTCGGATGGAATGCGTAACCGACCCCGTTATCGTGGAGTTATTCGAACATTCCAAACAATCTTGAAGGAGGAAGGATGGAGGGCATTTTATGCCGGGATAGGGACAAACCTTTTCCGCGCCGTCCCTTCCGCTATGACTACCATGTTGACGTATGAATACCTGCGCAACATAATACACTGGGGACAGCATGAAGGAGAAATGATACTGGCTGAGGCTATGGAGAATCAGCACATATGATTCGACATCTAACCCAGTAAAATTGAAACACAGAGCAATCATGACCATATGACCATGAGAGTGGGAACAGACCCATGATATGGTCTATGATATTGCGCCTGATACACCACAGACATTCATAAGAATATTTTGTCTTTTTCATCCTTTTATAATACCAGATTTGCTAGACAAGTGATATTCCCTGTCGTCTTACAAATATACCCAACCAAACCCAACAGCCGCATTTCCCCTATCATTCCCTTCTATTCTATTGTTTTGCATTCTCTTTCATCTACCGTTATAATGTTTCGCAAGGGATTTTTATCCAGCAGAGCAAGAGATTTGGCGTGTCTGGCGTCTTCTATTAGGAATGGCTTATGTATATGTTTAATTTCAATTTGTAATTTCTTTGTTCAGAGGTGATGCTGGAAGTTAGGATCAGGATGTGTGGGTGTGTTTTATGGGTTGGCTACTGTCTGTGTCTATCCATCAGTTCAAGTTAGGATGCAAAAATTATGCAGCAATCTTAGCACATACTGCTGCTAGCTTGGTTGGCATGAGTACATGTTTCTTGTATTAAATCTACCCAGTTAGAGTAGAACCCCGCTCAATATAAGATATATATCTTCATCAAGATCTACACACCATAGAATTAAATTGGAAACACTAAAGTAAGCCTTTCCATAGGGTTGAATATCTTACTCCGGCTAATTCAATGGTCCTTGACAACATGATCTCGCAGGTGTTGTAGTTCTACTACTACTTTCGCATTCTCCCACCAGGACTAGCTAGATCTACCCCAGAGGTTCGCCTGAGCGCTACCTAGCACTTCACTAGCATTCAATTATTCCAACGTTAGCCGATCCCCCTCGCCCCCCTCGCCCCCCACCCGGTCGAAAGACAGGATCGCCGCAACCTTTTAATGCCAGGAAGAGGCTTTGCGGTTCCCCCATTCATATGCAACCCGCCTCCTATCTGAGTTATAGGGATCAATCCGATTGTCGTAAGTTGCCCCTCTTGATTAGCTGTATAGGCGAAAAGAGGTAAAGCAAGGGCTGAAATCGGATATATAGAGCAACCAATTTATTATTCGTGGGATATCTTTCGCGGGAGATCCTTCTTGTATTCCGTTCCCATCCCCTATTCAATATTGCCACTAGGTAGCCGGCTCCTATAGATTATTCCCTCTGCCGGAAGACGAATAAATTGAAGAACGTTTGGCATTGTCGCGTGCGGCTCGGATGCTTCGAAAACAGTATCCGGTCAGTAAAAGGGCCATCGCGAAGGCCGCTATTGGTACGTTGAGCGACTAATAAGGAGATGCATATCAGTATGTAAAAAAGTACATGGCCATCTTGGTCCAGTCCAGAGAGCAATTGAACTGAGTATGTTGTGATTGCATACCCTTTTGCCTCGACCAGCTAATTTATCTCCCAGCGGTTGCTTCGGCGCCATTTTTCCTGGTTAGTTGCTCGCAACTTGCAACTCTTGTAGACTTTGCCTTCTCGTCTGTTAATCGATGAAAGCTCCCATGTCACGTGTTGATTAACGCATGCCAAGAACGGTTGCAGAGTGACGTACATTTAGGAACTGTCTGGCTTGACTATCAACTGGCTCCCTTTCTTCTATATCAAGCATTACGAAGAAAACTAGCCTTACAGGGTACTCTCTTCACTGCTGATGCCTTGGTGATCCCTTGCCTTGAGTTTACCACATGCTCTGCACTAATCATCTATTATTATGGTAAACACGTACTAAGCTGGGTACTGCACATCAACTTTATCACTGCTATGCAGGACAACTTTCCTTTCTTTTACAGGCTCCTACTCGTTGTTGATACTGAACTGCGGTTCTAAACATTGCGAGCATACTCGTGATGTAAGAAGCAAGCGCGCTCGAGAAGAAGTTGAGAGAGCCATTGGATGCATCTAGCAAGCTGGGTGAAAGGGGTTTCTTGACTAAAATCTCAGGATACAAGGGACGGCACTGGCCTTCTCATTTATAAATGAAAGGTCTATCCTACATTCCTTTATATGTCTCCCATGTCTATTATGTCAGATCGTGGCTGTCCACTTGCGCAAAATTCCATGCGATAGGCACAGGACGGAATATCCATTCCATTCCAGGTCCCCGGAGGCATGGGTTGGCTAAGGCATTATCGACAACACGGACGGTGTAATAGGATGATCATGGGAGATTAATCCGCGCACAGTACATATGCCATGACCCTGTTTGGCGCATGTCGAATAGGACTTAACAATGAAGCTATCTCCGCAAACACCTGGTGTCTTGCTATCTCCGGCCTGTTATCTCCGCTACTATTCAAGGCCAGAATGTTGCTACATCGAATGTCCCAATAGGACTTGATTGGTTCAATGGGTTGGAATCCAACAACTCCAATACAGTAGGTTGATCTCTCTCCTGGCAGGGGAGGCATGTATTTTGATATATTACTATACATGTCTCCCAGTAGATAGCTCAAGTGACAAAAACTACATTTCACTTCACGCGCTATCCCCCATAATGAGCGCAGCAGAAGCAGGCTGTCCCTCGGGAAAGGCGTTGGAGCTATTAAACCCAAGCCTAAAAACGGCATCTGTCACCCAAACGGTCGAACTCTCAGTGGTCGACTGGGACGGGCCAGATGACCCGGAGAACCCACTAAACTGGACACCATTCAAGAAATGGCTGATTATCAGTCTCGTCGCATATATTACGTTTGTCACGTAAGTCACTCCCGCTGCCCAAATAATGCTTATGACCCTGACCTGTAAAGTACTAAATCTATCGGCAGTTCTTATGGATCAACTATCCTCGCGCCTGGTGTTCCAGCTCTTCTAAAAGAGTTTGGGGTCACTAATACTTCACTGGCTTCTTTCGTGGTTTCGATCTATATTCTCGGCTTCTGTGTCGGTCCCTTATTTTTGGCACCACTTAGCGAGCTCTATGGGCGTTTGTCTATCATACATTTGTCGAATGTTCTCTTTCTCATCTTCTCGGTTGCATGTGCCGTGAGCACTAGCATTGGGATGTTTATCTTTTTTCGTTTGATGCAAGGGATATCTGCATGCCCTCCTCTGACTCTCGGCGGAGGAACAATCTCTGATCTTATGATTCCCACGAAGCGTGGAAAAGCCCTAAGTATCTGGGCAATGGGGCCTTTATTGGGCCCCGTTATTGGTCCCGTCATTGGAGGATATATGAACGAAACAATCGGATGGCGTTGGACATTCTGGTTTACAGCAATCATGGTAAGTGAACAGCTCCTACACCCTAAAGCTACTTTCTAACTAACCAATCCGAAGACAGGTGTTTCTATATTAGCGTCAGCCGCAGTTTTGAGGGAAACATATGCGCCCACTCTACTCGCAAAGAAAGCTGCGTGTCTTCGCAAGCAAACTGGAAACCTGGAATACAAGTCAAAGTTTGATAGAGGTCTTTCTCCAGGCTATTTATTTAAACAGGCAATCATCCGTCCGACAAAAATGCTAATACTGTCGCCGATTGTTTTCGTTCTTGCAATTCATATGTCCATCATCTACAGCTACTTATATTTTATGTTTACGACTTTTACCTTTGTCTTTGAGGATCGCTATGGTTTTAGTTCCGGAGAGGCGGGCCTTGCATACCTGGGGTTGGGAATTGGTTTTATTGTTGGCCAATTCGGCGTTGGATACTCCTCTGACCTATACGTCAAGAAGATGCTGGAAAAGTCAGGGGCCATGAAGCCTGAGTATCGCCTTCCACCCCTGATGATTAGCGCATTCATTATCCCCATCGGCCTATTCTGGTACGGCTGGACAGCCAGAAAGCGGTACACTGGATAGTACCTATTATTGGTACTGTCTTCATTGGGATTGGTACTATGTGTGCATTCCTGCCAATACAGATATACCTTATTGATACATTTGGTATCTACGCCGCCAGCGCGCTTGCAACTAATACAGTCGTCAGGTCCTTCTTTGGAGCAGTTTTGCCGCTCGCCGGCCCGCCTCTGTTCAAAAGACTAGGACTGGGATGGGGAAATAGCATATTAGCATTCATTGCGTTGGCTCTGTCACCTACCGCGTTTTTTCTGCTCAAGTATGGGGAATACATTCGGACCCACCCAAAGTTCCAGGTTAAGCTCTAACTTCAATCGACCATACGCTACTAGTTATTTTTGTCTACTACTATCCATTGGTAAAGGGAGCTGATATCAGCGAAATGTTATCAATATATGGGAACAACAGCGCCTCCACCCTTAATCGTTGACTCTAAATACCAGTGTTTAAGTCTAAAGGACGATACATAGCATCTAGTATGTGGTTAATTGTAATCAATTCCTAGCTTAGGGCCCTTACCTCTTCAATCACTTATTATAAGCTCAAACATTTATATTTCCTCCTATGCCTATCTATAAATTCTATCGGGCCCACAATAAAAGAAAGGATATTACGTAACACATTAGTCATCATATTCGCTGAGTAAGCTATAACCAGTTAAAAGCTAAGCGACATTTTTTTCCTCCTTCTCTTTTCTTTTCTCTCTCTAACTCCTCGCTCAAAGAATCGCATTCAAAGCTTACGAACAGGGCATTTCGATGCTCATACCAATTTTATGCTTTGGGAGAAAGTCCCCGGACGCCCTGACCTTGCGTCAGGCACTGCGGAAACGCGCTGCCATAGAAGCACTTCATTGCAGCTGATGCCCTCTTAACTTCCTGCGCGCTGGCTCCGACCCTCGTTGAACCGTTTGCACTCGTCAGCGTTCTCTTCCATTCGTACTGGCTTTTTCGTGTCGGGACAGCCTCAGGGATGACGATACGAGTCCCATGTTCTGGCATTGAAGATTTCACCGGGTGGTGGTTGCGTCGGGGAGGTTTCTTGGGGAAACAATGGGAGCTGGCGGCAGGGATTCGGTTAAGAAGGTTGCCATTCGTCGAGATTCTATAGCTATGCGATTGCTTTCCCATTTCTGGTCTTCAGGATTGGGGGAGTAACTCGATGGGGCTTATTCTTGAGGCGAGGAGTTCACCCCCATTTTTTTTCAACCTCCGAGTCTGTAGCTTATGGAAAAGCAGTGATCGTTGTCCCTTTTACCTACTTCCGGATTTCGTTCCTTGAATGATTGCTGGCATGTAGTGGGATACTTTCGCAGAAGCCCCTTCGAAAGGGTCAGATTCATTATTCATACGTTCATATGATGATATACAAATCATAGAGTCAAGCACAGAGGCCATACAATGGCTATTGAAGATAAAGATTTTAAAACCTATCTGATGAACACTACCCCCTCCCAGCCCAGTTATGCAAGAATGATGACCTATTGTTGAAGTTCCTTGAAACTATCACTTCTAGAGATATAATTAACAGTTTATCATCAATATCATAGCCTAAGTTTTACACATTAATAAAACTAATAAATATCATTTCATCCATTCGTCCTTTCGTTCGCTCATTGGGTCTTCCTCGTGGGTGTCTGTTCCCTACTCCCTCTCGGAGTTCCCATCTTCTGTGCCACTGCTGGTCGCTTGGATTGTTTACCCCCCTTCCAAGACGGAACCACAGCTCCCATAGCACTTCCAACAAGTGCGACGACAGTTCCACAGGCCCCTCCCCATACCTGTATACTTACTGTTCCCAATGGAGCACGGGGAAATGATAAAATCCATTCCACCTGCCATGGGAACCAGCCTCGGGGAAGATCATATATCGGCGTTTTCGAGAACCAGAACTGAAGAAATACCGTAACACCGGTGGTAGAAACCCATCGAACAGTCTTGATTGTCCAGTCGAAGGAAGTCTTCAGCGCGCTGAGCTTTTTATCTGTAAATCCACCAAGTTATATCAGCCATCAAATGCCCTCCAAAATTTGTTCGGGCCAGATTACCCGGCACTCGGTGAATGGAAAGTCCAGAACGAACTCTTAACGTCATATTCCTCCATAGCTTTATCGTGCCGTCTCCTTAGCTTCGCCCATTTTGCAAATTCATCTTGTGAGCTCGTTGCGGTCATTTCTCGTTTGAGTTGCACTACTTCCAGTTTCGCGTGCCTCTGCTCTCGGGCCGTTTGCGACGCTTGGTTCGGGAGCTTGATATAGAGAAGCCATAGCTACAAGAAAGATAACAATATTAGTAAAAGTCAACGGGAAAGTAGAGGTTTTCCAAATACCAAACTATCGATAGTACTGGCGCCGATTGTATTAATTAAATAGGTGATTATCTGAATAGCAAGGACAACAAGGAGTAATGATGCCATCATCAAGGACGGCCCAGCGCCAACTTTCTCGAGGTTGGGGTCAGTCCGTTAACTTTGAAAGAGCATGCGGAATCAAACTAGTAGCAGTAGTTGTTTTAAAGAGGTATATATTTGAATGATCCTTTGTTTTATTTCCTCCGTAGAGTTGGAATGGAAGGGATGCATCTTGAATAATTTCTTGTGGAAAGCCGCAACTTTGGTGTGGTCTGCGATGTTTGCCTTGTTTGTTCGATCTAGTTACAACTTCAGCAAATAAAACATCGTTCGACGAGAACAAAGATGACGAGACAACTATAGCGGCGTGAAATATGTATGTATTCGCTATTTACTATGCCATACTGAAGAACGGATTATCAGATGATTATTTTATATTGTGGAATATGTTATTATTCCTCCAAACTCGAGTTCTAATAAACCATCCCAAATACCCCTGGATTCATTGAGAATGGCGTGCAGTCATTCAGATTTCATTATCATTACCACCTATAGATGGGATAGCCATTTAACATAGGCTATTCCTCCATCAAAGCATGGTGTACGGTACAAAGCGTTTCGCCCCGGCTCACTTCTTCTTCTGGGACTTATCCACGATACTAATCCACTGGGACTTGAGCCCTTTGCCAACAAGTAGCTTCTCTACTACTCCTCGATGGTCGCCCTGAAGGAAAACTTCCATCTCTCCCTTCGCGCCGCCGACTGCCTGGCTAACGCTGGTGCTGCTAGCGCATTTCTTTGATAGCTCATCCGCTAGTAACTGAGGCGATATGCCAAACCGATCGAGCCCCGCCACTTTGGTGCCTAGCTTTGATCCTGTGCGGCGTTCGATGGTTATCGTTGCCTTCGGAAGTGCGCCGGCTTTGGGCTTTACGTCAGAGAGTGTCTGGTTCGGTTTGAGGATGGCATGGTAAGGTGCACAGAGAGATGGATCCTCTAGTAGCTTCTTGAGTAGGGTGTCTCGGGGGATGGTTCCACGGGAAAGAGTTACAACGTCACTGGATGGAATTATCTTGTTGCTGATAAAGGCGTTCAATGTGAGTATTCGAGGGTTGGAGGGGGAGATAATCGGCGGGTCTTGAGAGGAGATGTATTCATTCAGGCGCTTGGAAACGTCAGAGGCGGTATAGAAATTATTCACGTCGGTGTTGGATAATGGCGGAAACAAGTCCGGCACCAGTTTGCTGCTTGGACGGTACAGGGTTTTCACATTGACCTGTTCAGATGACATAGCTCCTGCACCAGGGCCGGAGCTAGTTTTTGCCTTTGCACCCTCAGGGCTAGCTTTCTTTGGTAGCCTGTAGGGCACAAATTGATCGACGAGGATGTCATCGAAATCAACATCCATAACTATAGTTTCCCCTCCTCTTTCCTTTGACTTGAGTAGCTTTTTCTTATCAAGGTGTTTGATAAATTTCTTCACGTTCTTCCAGGACGTCTTTTTAATTTGATAGTATTGTGCTTGCCTCTGTGAGTATATTGGCAAATAAGGCGTGATAAGGTTGGATATCAAGAGCGATGGCTGAATTGGGAATGACAAGCCATGGTTATGATCCCCGGGGTTATCCTTTTTGTGCTGATATAGCGCATATAGGAAGGCTTTCTCGAAAGCATCATCGATTTCTGAAATTCTTTGTTAGAACCAGTCACGAACAATGTTATGGAGGGATTCACCTTTTGTTGTTGGAGGTGGGAGCTGGTCGTCCTCGTCCTCCGCTCCCTGCTCCTCTTGGGTTTCGTTTACTGGAACACCGCCGTCCACGCCTCCGTCCATGTCCTCTTCTTCATCTCCCAATTCCAGGTCTTGAAGATTCTCTTCAACGTTTTCGGCGCCACCAATCCAACCATCTAGATGATCTGGTGAGGGTTCACCAGGTCGACCGGCCGAACCCCAGCTCCACAGTTCATCTCCCTCCCACTGGATACCCCGAACGGCATGGCCCTTTGCTCCCTGTACTTGCGTCAAGCTAGCAACATCAATCTCGCACACACCCACGAACGTGGGCACACTAGGCTTCTCCAAGCTCGAAACAGCAACGATTGCTCCTTGCACAGCACCTGTCGGAAATGGTGGTCCGTTCGTGAGGCCTGGAGTCATAAGGTCTGCACCGTTGTAGAGCTTCTCCATGACATGGCCCGTCGTGCAGAGCAAGGGGACCAGCCCTGGGTTACGCCATAGTGAATAAACTGTGGGGTATATTCGTCCGTCCGTCCCTGGTCCCTGTTCAAGCCTAACCCATAGTACTCTCTCTTCACCGTCCGGGTGTGTTCCGACGTATAGAGTCCCGTGGACGAGCTGTAGATCGGGGCCTGCAGTAGTTGTGAAGCGTCCTGCTAGGGTGTTTTCTGGCAAAAGCGAGTTTCGGATAGATGCAAGGCTGGGTGTAGTGGTAGCTTGGGCTGAGGTATCATCAGCTTCAGGCTGAGCAGCTGGCGCCTCTGGAACTGAAACGTTGTACTCTTGGATAATTTTGTCTGCGATCTTCCTCCGGTCTGACGATCGAAGCGGTGCGAGAGGTTTGATCTGTGGAAGTTAGCAAAGCTCTCCCTGTTGCCTTCTCGGAGAGTTAAGAGGGGTCATACCGATGGCTTTTTCTTAAACATCGTCGGTATAGCTCAGTCCGGAGCCGATAATAAACCAAAAGCCGATGCAAGAAATGAATATTAAGTACTATGTAACAGGTCCAAAAAAGAACAGCCTCATAGGAAAAGTAGGAGGTTGTTGGTGAGTGTGAGGCTGCGGGGTTGGATGATCTTAAATATTTAGAGCTTGATGCACCGCAAAATATTTCTTTAACTCGCCAGTCCTCCAGCTCCAATATTTACTTCAACACAACCTACGCTTTACAAGAACTGAGAGCCGCGTATACAGTGCATATACAAGGGATCCTTAGTATATCCATCATTAGTCCCTGGTCATATGTCGTATTCCCTGCTGGCTGGCTCAGGAAGCTCGCGGCAATGCGGCAATGCGGCTTGCGATATTTTCATTTACGAGATGCCCAACCTGGTGCCCAAGGACACGATAAAGATAACCGTCTACATTGCTATAGCTATTTTCATAGCTAGAAATCTCATACAGGTCTATTGGATTGTTAGAAAAAACAAGTTCGCTTTCAGAGATGGCAGTCCCAAGGGAAAACATGGGCTGTCTCTGCTAGTTTTTATATATAACCACTATGGCCAGAGGAAAGAGCTCATCGGAACAACTAATACCTAAGAAATATCTCTACCCAAGGAAGGAAACATGGAGTTATTTCTACGTCAAAGTACTTGGATTGTCCAGCTTAGCAACAGTCCGCGTGCTCCATATCCCAAACTCCATGGATTGCATAAAATATACCAAGAGCAATAGCAAATACCGTCTAATGCTCACGCTCATTTCCAGCCTCTTATTCCATTACTATGCATTCCATATGGCCGTTCCTTACTTTATTACTATCATTCGAATCCCTCGTTACTGCAGCATCTCTGATCCAGCCTAGGGGCGGATTATGCGGAAATGCGTTCCCTCACCTCAAATCCGAGAAACTAACCGTGGACGATAAATGGAACTTGGCCGAGACGATCTGGAGTTTTGAAGCTATGCAAGATGCTGAATTTGGGGGAACACCTGCCTTCAACCCCAACAGCGAGAACGAAAGCGACGTGTCTTTATCCCACCCCTTTGGCTTCAGGAACTACAGCGGAAGCATCCTCCCTGTGACGGTGGAAGGGTCATCGTTTGACCAATATCAGGTCACGGCCACCATAGGATATCCGTGGTCTACGATAGGTCGGATATTTTTCCGTCGATTCAGAGGGGATAAAGATGGCTGGTGTACTGGCACGCTTGTTGGGAAGAACCTGCTGCTTACCGCTAGCCATTGCTTCCCGTTGGACTATGGTCCTAGGAGGTGGATGCGGTTTGTCCCCGGATTCGGCCATGGAAAGAAAAACGCCGAACCTTTCGGCGGATCATACGTCTCACAGTGCCGCGGGGTAAAGAACACACACAACGTTACTGGGATTGACTATGTTATATGCATGCTATGTGAGCCCCTGGGCGAGCGGATGGGCTGGATGGGCACCGTGTGGTGGAAGGATATGCAAACATACGCCAACCGGTCGTGGCATAGCTCCGGGTACCCTATCGAACCACTCAAAGGTGCAGCACAGATGTTGATTGCGAATTTAACGCTTGACAATGTCGATCCCCATGGGGAGATTGGCGTGGAGCTTGAGTCGAAGGTGTATGCGTCGCCTGGGTGGTCGGGTGGTCCGTTATGGGGGTATATCAACGGGGAGCCGACTATTGTTGGTGTTTGTAGTGGTGGAGAACGAAGTTGCAGTGAACAGCCGGGTGGTTGCTTCATGGCAAATGAGTCCGATCCATACCACGATGTATCTTCTGGCGGAAAGCTGATGACTGAGCTTGTTCAGTATGGGAAATCGCATTGGTAGCGCTGGTGTAGGGTTCCACCTAACCTATATCCTAATATTACTTATGACACTTCTATCCGTAGGGGATCAAACATGTTTTTTGACATTGTAGTGCAAGTAGAGAAGCGGCCTTGATCTTTTAGAATATAGCCACCGGGACCCTCCTACATATACTATAGTGTGCATTCCATACCTATATATGCTAAGAGCGTATAAGCATCCGCATATGGAGCATTTTCGTGCCCCATTTGAGGAGACGGCGGGGACAGGGCCAAGTCTGGATATCCCGAAGACCCATGCAACCACGTGTAAATTATATAGTCCGCTTATCAAACGATAGGTAAAGGCGGTTTACGGACATGAATAGAATAAATTTAAGATGAGAAAATAGGATATTACCTCCCTATGGCATGCCCGTGCTAAGAAGCGAATATTCGTCCAATAGGTGCCCAGGGTGTTAGAAATACGCAACCGTAGCGCCGGAATGTTTTACATATCCATCTATTCAGGTCTGGTCCCGATTCCTGGATGAAGGAAGAAGTTCGGAGAAGGAAGATTGTTTGGCTTCAACTGCTCGGAATCCGAAATCGATTGAATCCACGTATTTATAGGGCATGCTTTATAGGGCATCCCTTGTCGGGCGTGATGTCTTATGCATCGTCTTGCTGTTCTCTGGGAGACTTCTTGGAGCAGCTCGGAAATGGTTGTATATCTCTGTCAGCCTCATGGACCGCTGAGGCCGGGTCTAGGTGTTTTATCTATACAGACTTGCAGGTTCTAGGTAGGCTCCGTAGGCGTCCGGGGATAATAAGCAGCAGCTGAGAATTTGGCCCTGGCTGTCCAATAGTTCCAGCCGCGCCTCTAGACCTATACTTAGGATGTATAGACCCAGGGACGCCGGGCTCGAGGCTGTTCCTGTGTCCTGGATCTTGTCTCTGGCCGTCTCAGTACTTTGTATAGAACCACGAGAGAGAATATAGATGCTGTAGGAGTCCTGGGGCTTATGAACGGCGATTTGGCGTTCCAATAGACTGGCATGCGCAGGAGACTGGTTCATGCCTTCAGAATAGCTGTATCATTCTGTCCTCTGGAGGAGTTGGTGACTTAATATATCGTCTTCCTCAAGGACGAGGTTATACGCCGGGCCGAAGCCGCTGACTCCCCACGAAGGCTCGCTAGCAAAGCCAACGGCGGTCGTCCCGGCGCAAGTAGAAGCAGGAGAGCCGTCGTATAATAGCCCTGTCTTCTCCGTCATTCTCTTCTCTTCTCATTGTCCCTGCTAACTTTTTGCGCCGTTTGCGGACCAAAGAAGAGGGCTGCCCGAAGCGGCTTAGCGCACCACCGCCTTCGCCGTTCCGATTTCTCTTTTGCTCTTGCAAAACGTCACGAGAGTCAAACGGCGAGTTCCCATCGCAAACATCTGGAGTCGATACGCCGAAGCAGCCTTTCTCAGCGCGATCCCCAGGCCCGGTTGATGAGTTGGATGTGCATGCTGCTGGGTTAACGTGCCAAGCTGTCGTTGTGGCGGTCTTCTGCAGCTGGGACCTCACCGACACACATCAAGACCTCCTCGACTTATCCCTGGATTTCGATCTCGTCTACTGAGTACGAGCCACCACGCCGGTTGTGCCTTGATATCACGTCGTTTCCGCATCGAGGGGGATCCTGTTTAACTGCTCGCTCGACCTGTCGATAGCTGCGCGGCGTATATAGGCGCATAATCGCTGCGGTAGGCAACAGCATTGTCGATAACGCCCCTGAGGGATCAATCCGCCGATTCGGCATCCCACACACCGTACGCTCGAGTGAGAGCACGCGAAGAAAGGTTGTACTCGAAGGGATAGGCTTACTGGAGTATTTCGACCGGATTCTTTCTATCCACAACTTGGGGTCGGGGCCATGGAGCCCATAATCATGGACGGAGATATGGACAATATCATGGACGACAGAGATACTTTATGCTTCGACCCGTCGGTCCTCAATGCCTCGACGCCTAGCCTGGGACGAGACTTTGAAGACCTATTCTTCCGGCCGTCAAGTGCGCCTCAGCTTTCCGATGCAATGTCGTGCTTATCACCTTCCGAAATGCCAAACAAATCCCAGAATGACGTTCCACCGGCCGGCTCAACCCCGTCCGACACTCGATCCGACTCACCAGAAGATTCCAGTCATAGTTCCTCAATGGATTCACCTACAGGCCATCTACGAAATGCCTCCCTCGCCTCCAATCATTCGGGACTCTTTAGTCCGGATAGCGCGGGGACAGAGCGATATTTACCGGACTGGCCAAATACCGAACAACTTTCGCTGGGAGAGGGTGCCTTCCTTGGACAAGATAGTGGAAGCTTTTCAGTTAGGGGCGATTCGGTGATGGATCACGACGTGGAGTTTAGCAACAAGGCCATGGCGTCTGCATTCGATTTCGACAGTGCGGCCAGCAGCCCGAGTCCACTGAAGATGGAACTCAATATGGAGAAGAGTAAGCCGACTGTGTTTAAGCAGTCGTTCCGTACGCCTTCTACTTTTTCTGGGCAATCTAGTGACGCTGGTTCGTCGCAACAAGTGAGTGGTCCCTTATTATGGTTATGGCTATTATTATTTCTTTGTCATGTTCAAAAGATACTAACTTATTCTTAGCAGCCAGCCGTTGTAAACCCATTTGTGTTCCAAAGTTCGAGCGATGCTAAACCAATATACCCCGGACAAGGTTTTTGGGATGGCCGCGCCTCGCAGTCAAGTTTAGAAGACGCCTTTGGTGGAATCGGTATGAATGGTGGCTCGCCTCTATCGGCCACATTATCTCCGACTTCAACCTTCAGATCCCCCCGCCAGACTTTCGAATCGTTGAAATGCTCACCCGGAGTGATGTTTCCTATGAATGACCGTAATTCCGCAGTCTTCCACCCCAATGTCAGCATAGAAAACTACATACGACCCCGGCTGATCGTCCACCCTACCTCGTTGAAGTCTCGCGTAGAGACGCAGATACCGATTAAATTGACACTCTACCCGATGCCGCCTGGCGTTAAGAAGCTGCGTCTCCCGAGTCACGCTATCTCCAAGCCAAAATTTCTCGCAAAACCCGAAATAAAACGATCCCCAGACATCCTTGAACTTCGCGCCAGTGTTTTGTGCACTAGTGCGATACAGGACAAGAAGAAACGGGAGAGAGCGTTTGCTAGGGCTCGCGGCGAAGATGTCAGCGTTAAATCTCCAAAGGATAATTCATCAGAAGAAAACCAGGGTGATGAAGACGTTCCATTGGGAGGAGCCGAAGTCAAAATCTGCCCCGGCTGCATTCAACGAGAGCGAAAGCGAGCTTCTAGGAAGAAGCAGCGGAAACCGGAGGAGGATGAAATGTTCCAAAAGGACGAGGATAAAAGGGTTATCGTGTTCAACACCACCGAGATCAAGGATTGGACAGACCCTCCTAGAACTCCCAATTCGACAAACTGCGACCCCTCTCTACCAATTGCGCCCTTGGGTGCAATGCAAGTAGAATTGCCAATGAGGATAGCATGTTATTGCAGGCACCAAAATGAGAAAGTGGGATTCCAGTACGTAACCTCCCACCTGCATGCCCCATTATTTCATATACTAACTAGAATTTAGGGTACTCTTCACTGTGTTTGACTATATGGACAATCCAATAGCACAGGCCATTACGAATTCAATTATGATCACTGATGATCATAAGACTCATGCGCCGACAAATTATACCGCTGCAGCGAATGCCGTAGTGACTGATCCCCAATTCCCTACAGCAGGGGTGTTCGCTGCGAATCCCGCGATAGATTTGGCGAAACCGTTCATACATTCAATGCCATATAAACTATCCCATTCAGCCAACGATCTGCAAGCACTCCGGAATCGACAATATCCAGTAACACCAGCTGCTTCTAACCAGTCACAGAATGGCACAAATGCAGCTGCCCCTGTAACTACGCCACGAAACCTCTCACGACAAGCGTCACCTTCTGACGGCACTGGCCCATTAGCCAAGCGACGGAAACAGAGCGGATCAGGGAAAGTTCCTACTGGACTTACAATGACACGAATCGAAACCCCACGAGCATCCCAGTCTCCGCTGCTATCAAATCTCCCGTCTGCCAACGGAAACGTGGATAAAGCTTATGTGACACCTTCAATGATGACTCCCCAGTTTGTGAATGGCCCACCAACACCAAATAACAACGACGGGATGTTCTTCAGCCCACTTGAAGGCACTAATTCAATGGACAACCACGGGCAACAAACATTGGTGTCCGCGCCTAGCTCAACGCACCCAAGTCGGCCTGGCTCTCCCCACATGAATAACCGCAACAGGTCTATGGACCAAGGAACTCCCACCGGACTACCAGCTTCGGGCACCCAGAATCACTCTTGGAGCGTGCCAACGGGCCTCCCCCCACCTCAAGTGCCTTCAATGATTCATAAACTTGTCCCGGCAGAGGGCTCTACTACTGGTGGAAGCGAAGTAACCCTCCTTGGTAGCGGCTTCTATCCTGGTATGGAGGTTGTGTTCGGCGACACTCTAGCCACTACCACTACTTTCTGGGGTGAGAAGTGCTTGAATTGCCTCACGCCACCTTCCGTAAAGCCGGGTTCTGTGCCGGTTGTATTCAAGCATGAACACCCTCGACTGGGCCAGCACCAGCCGGGACAACCCATAATTCCAAAACCACAAATTTTCTTTCGTTACGTGGATGATCGAGAACTGCAAATGTATAGGATTGCTCTTGGAATTTTGGGCCAAAAGCTTAGTAACCCCGCCGATGCATATCAAACTGCTCAGCAGATTATGGGTGGTGATGGAAATAGTCTATGGAACCTTCAGAATAACTACCAGGGCAGCGGCAGCGCTGGAGGCCAGCAACGACAAGCCGCAGGAAGCAGTCAGAACGCAAACGTCACCGACACTGACGCAAAGATGCTTGTCTATCTCGAGTTTATGGACCTTGATGGTAGCCCAGGTTCTCCTAAGTATAACTCACGCTCTCCATCAGGACAGACCCTTCTACATCTTGCGTCTTCGTTGGGCTTAACCCGGTTCGTGGCCGGTTTACTTGCTCGAGGAGCCAATCCTGACGTCCAGGACAAGAATCACAACACCCCCTTGCACTTGGCAGCGCTCAGTGGACATACGCATATTGTCCACCGCCTTCGACTTGCTGGTGCTAATATTGCTGCGCCTAATCTACGCGGTTTCACCCCCGCTGACCTCGCCACATCTCTCGATGCCCACCGGGCGGTCATTGTCTCTAGCAACCATTACCGTTCAAGAAGCGTCGGATCAATGTCACCCATGCGTCACCGACCAAGCTCCGGCTCACTCGATGGATTCTGGGAACCAACATCTTCCAGCGATTCTGCGGATATTGCAGAGGATTCTACTGATGATTCTGACGGTGAACCTGCTGCTGAGGCTCCAGAATTGCTATATGCCCAGCCTATGCGCAGCAAATCAGAATCTCGCAAGGAGAAGAAGCTATACCTCTCACTTTCCCGCAAAGCTAGTGTTCCTCCAGCTGCTATACTAGCATCTGCTGAACCCGACGTTGTTGCGGGTGTGGCACGAAACTCTTCTCCCCCAGTGGCTTTGGTTGCATGGCGTGATCAACTGGCAGCTCAAATTAACCAGTTCCAGCAAAATGTTAACCGGGCTTTCCCAAATCTACCCAACCTTCCCAACCTTCCAAACATTCCGGCATTGCCTGCATTGCCTCCGATGCCTACGCTTCCAGATTATCAAACCCACCCGATGATCCAGCGTATTAGCTCTCTAGTTCCGCATAGACCAACGACAGCTTGGTCTACCAATATTATGAAAGACGGCTGGGACCGATTGACGGGCAATTCATCCCCGCCAGCATACGAAGAACTTTATCCCCATGAATCAGATGCAGACTACGCTGACAAGAAATCGTCCATGGTGGAAGCAGCTCTTGATGCTGCCGCGGACCAGCATTTCGCTGAGACGGATGTATCGACGCGTTCTCAAGCATCATCCTCTAAGCAGGAGTTTGGTGACGTAACAATCGGCAGAAAGAACATCTCGAGAGAGCACCAGGAACAACTACGAAAGGCTCACGCGCAAAAGATGAAGAGATTCCGCAGTGACCGTAATCTCTTCATTATCTGGGTAAGTCATTTCCTCATTTCACTAGTTTCCTGCCTCTTCATACTCACCACTAACACACAACCTTCTAGATTCCTCTCTTGATCATAATTGTCGCCGCGATGCTGAAAAACCTCATCCCTGATATTTGGCAAAATGTCTCTTACGGATATGACCTTGTCAAATCCCATTTTGTCACTAGCCCACCCAACCGGAATCTTATGGCTACTTAGTTGAAACGACTTAGTAGCGTATCCTATTCTTTTGTTGTTTTTTTCTTCTTCTTCTTCCTCTTCCTCTTCTTTAGCACATGTCTTCTTGCTTGTATTATTGGAGGCGACCTGGGTCTTTTCCGTTCGAAGGTTGCGAGTTAAGACGGGTTTCCGTCTCGGATTGTACATTTCTTGTGTGCTTTGGGATGGAATGATGGTTATCATTCTACTGGGCTCTTATTTTTGATATTACACCTTTTGCTAGGGTATCTACGAAGTACAATTTAATAGAATATTCTTACTGTTCTAACATTAGAGTATTAAATGCGTAGATAAACATTGACACTGGCTTGTTTATTACTGATCTGTAAATATAGGATGGATGTTTAGGGTGCTTGTACAGAGGGATGCCAAGACACACAGGTGCCCGTATCTGACCTCATGCCGCGAAACAACAGACGCCCTCCATGAAATGCGCAACGCAGAAGGCTTTCTGAGCGTGCACTAATATGATATTCCAGTCTCTTGTAAAGCCCTGGTCGTCATGGACGCCACCCCTCACCTAAACTCGAATAATGTAACTGGTATGCAATGGCCCCAAAGCTCTACGAGAAGCTCATGACTTACTCCTTATCCTTGCAGTCGAGTATACCGACCCCTTCGGCCTCTTCCCTCAAGTCAGCCCCCTACTATCGCAAGTCCTCCCTCTTCGAAATCTCCATTGGAAATCTTCAGCTCGGCCCGTTCGATCCATTGACTCCCTACAAATCGACTTCAAACCCGCCCAGACAGCAGCAGATGATCAGAAGCGGCTCAGTGATGGCGCAAGCGGAGCGGTGTCGCAAAGAAGGCACCAGATACCAGGGCTGCTGCAGACGCCATACTTAAAGATATATTTGCTACGATGTGATGATAATGAGACGTATAAGACGACATCAAGAAAGACGTTACGGGAATGGATAAAGACACGGGCCTCTGCCGCACCCACTGGGCAAGATAATCATGATGCCTTCGAATGGCTAATTCTTCACGTCATACCTGCGACAGCGCCTGGCCCAGAGGTAACGGAGAAGGTTCCTCCATCGAAGTGGCCAGGGAGGGGTTCGACCTCTGTTCTTGAGAAAGTCAAGGCTGACTTTAACGGATCATCGAAAACTGCAGTTGATCGAGTTGCGCAATTGAGAATTCCAAAAGCAGACGCTGATAAGAAACAGCCTGAACTAGCTGCGCAGTTAGAAGACCTAGTTGTGAAACTTAAATCTTCAATCCTTACGTCTTTTGATTTGCGCGTGGGTCAGTATGAAGCTGATATCCGTGAGAAGGATTCACAGAGAAGCCTACCAGGCTGGAATTTTTGTACCTTCTTCATATTAAAGGAAGGCCTTTCCCTTGGGCTCGAAAATGTCGGCCTTTTTGAAGATGCTCTTATTGGCTATGATGAACTTGCTGTTGGGCTGGACTCGGCTTTGCGAGATCAAATCTCTGGCACTGGGGATCAACATGGTGGCACATTTTTAAATTATAGCAAGGATCTTCAATCCAAGGCTGAGTCCATCCTTGCTTCAAAGTCACCAGAAAAAAGGGAAGAAGGCTCTAGCTCATCGGAGGATGACGAGGATGAGGAAGAGGACGATGACGGCGATGGCGACGGTTACCGGGACGATCTCTTTTCAAACCCGATTGCCCTCGAACGAGACATATTTCCGCTTCAGCCTCAGCAAAAGCCATATAGAGATATGATTCTGGCGAATAACATATCTATTTTCGACTTCCGTGTTTACATTTTTTCAAGACAGTTGCTACTCCTTCTGAAAGCCGCTCGATCACCCCGTTCAAACCGCCAAAGCGCCTCTCATAAAAACACCGATAAACATAATTTAGTTTTACTCGCAGAGATATGCGAGAGAGCCAGCGAATTCATCACCCTTGCTTGTCGAACTCTAAGAAGGGACGTCGAGAATGGGCTGGCACAGTTATATCAGACACCTGATCCATGTAGGAAAGACAATGTCGTCACGAACATCGTGTCCTCCTGGGCGTACGCTGCCGTTTCCCAAGTCCTAATACAAACCTCCACAAAGAGCCTTGATATTCCTACGGTATCTCTACGGACCGGCAAGGACCTCGTTGACGCCTCTGTTCTTGCGACTTTCACCACCGAAACAAGGGCAGGTGTGCCTAAACGTTCCAGCTCGTTAATGTCCCCAACTTCGAGGCCTGGATCTGGGATATCCTTAAATTCGCTAGGGTCCATCCTCTCTACGCCACAGAAAGCGGGCGGTGTTGAGTTAGCTGCCGCTCGAGCGGATTTGTACCACCTTGCTAGGTGTCAGCTAGCAGCTCTTGGGCGAAGGAGAGGATGGGAAAAGGGATGGAATAACATGTCACTGTTACTCAACGAAAAGAGTGATCTCACAGATGTTTCATTAGACGACGATTCGCAAGAAGAAGCTGAACCGGCAGTGGTATCACAATCCAAGCGACCATCTCCATCAATGACGGGCGGTGTGGACACGCCGTGCCTAGCTCTCTCAATCAAGTCAGCGAAACATTTCAATTGTCTCTACGAGCAGGTTACCGATCAAGTATTCCGCCACAATATGGCTGCCAACCGAATGAAATCCGCCGAGAAGATGATGACCGATATTGCATTGCTTAAGTACGAGACGGGTGATTATGCTTTAGCGGCATCCTATTTTCATCAGCTTGCCACTTTCTATTGCAGCAATGGCTGGGAAGCCTTAGAAGGTACAATGGTGGAGTTATATAGTCGATGTTTGAAGCGGTTGAACCGCAAGGACGAGTTCGTTCATGCGTCGCTCAGGCTACTTGGAATATATTCATCGATATCCCAACCTTGCTCTACGCTGCAGTCTAGTATGGGCTGTAGAGTTGAGGAATACGTCGACGATCTTTTTGAAGTCTCAAAATCACTCTCAAAGACGTTTATTGTTCAAATCAGAGGTTTCTTTAGAGATGTCCAGATTAAGCCGGGGATTTCTCATTTTACAGATAAAGACGGGTTTCAGGCGCAGTTGTCTTTAAGATATGCGCTTGGTGAGAAGATTAAGATCGATAATATTAAGATGCGACTGGTTAATTCATTAGAGACACCGACTATGGAGCTGTGGCTGGACAACTTTGACTCTACGATCGTGAAAGCGAAGACAACGAAGATCTTACTTGAGTCTTCGGTGAGTATATCTGGGCTTACTCCTTCGTTCCTCTCAGTGGCTCAAGCTGACATACTTTTTTACACATAGACCACAGTACATGGTAAATATTATATCGACCGCATCGAGATGCAAGCTGGAAATATCACCTTTATACAGGATTACGACTCCCAGGTTGCGGCTTCTCATATCCTGCAGGATACGACAGTCAAATCGCCTGCATCCGAAGATGAACGGCCTCATATTGTCTGTTACCCCGCCGCAGAGGCGTTTGGTGGAAAGATCTCTCAGTCGAGGGCTATCAACCTGGTGGAAAATAGAAGCCTAGACATTGAGTTGAATTCTGGCTGGAATGATATCTCTACTGGATACGTGCGATTGAAACCTGCAACTGCCGGGCTACGTCTTATCATTGCGGACGTATCACTTGTGGATGGATCCCTTACGCTTGATGATGAGAAAAAAGGGGGCAGGATTTGTTTCTCATCTCTTGCCAGAGACTCCACTGCTATACTAAGGGTGCCCTACACCATGGAAGGAAGCCAGACGACGCTTTCCGTTTCTATGGAAGTTGAATACGAGACAGCAGAGGGAGAATTTGATTACATCAGTTCTTCCTCAATTATATCAACATTACCCGTCAGCGTCAATGTTCAAGACTTGTTCCAGGATGGGCAGCTGTTTTCAAGATTTAGCATTAGCCCTGGCATGTTGATACCTATTCGGGTGTTTAATTGTGAAATGGCGAGCTCAGGCAAATACGATGTGGAGGCTAGCGCCCTAAAGGGAGAGATATTTGACGTGTTCCCAAAGCAACCTGCTTCATTGCTATACAAGATCACTCCCCGAAGCGATTACCAGCCCGACAAAAAGGAAGGGTCCGCACGGCCGTTGAGCCTCTCTATGGAGTTTTCATGCCTTAATGAAGAGTGCTTATCAGTATTGGAAGACAAGTTCACTGAGGAGGTGGAGTCCAGTCCGTTCTCGGGCCTAAAGCATCTCCTGGTTCCATTCTTGCTGGCAGCCTTTAGCGCCATTTGGACAGCCCATGCGTTGGAGATCATCGGGCTGGTGAGGGAGATAGAGGTGTATAGCTACGAGCATGTGCAGTGGAATACCGCAATCCAGAGCTTGGATATTGATACACAGAAGCGGCTGGTTGAGTGGCTGAAAAAGTGGCACGAGGTAAGTTTCATCATTTAGCAATCTAACGATATCTTTGAAAGCTAACTAGATGTACCATAAAAAAAGAAAAACCAGAGTATACCTCTTCCAAACGAACGGCCGGTGCATGCCAGCCGATGCATCACCATCCCAGTTGACATCCCAGATGTGCAAGTCGTGCATACTGCAAGGCTGGTCTTGGATGGCCTGTCTCCGGGCCAGACCCATGTGGGCGTCGATGACATGATACCTGCAGATTTAATAATCCATCACACGAGACGCTGGTGCAGTGTTGCTGAGCGTGAGGTACAGTCGTCTCTCGAATTTAGCTACGAAGTGGTAGCCAACCCTGACGTCTGGGTAATTGGCGGCCGGAGACGAGGAAACTACAGCTGCGCGGAGGGAGAAGAGAAGCGATTTAGACTGCTACTGCTCCCGCAACGAGCTGGCCATCTGCTTCTTCCGACGGTCGATATCAAGTCCTTTGCTGTTGAGACTGGCCAACAACAGCAGCCCATGTCGCCGTTGGCAGGAGAGCAGCAACCACATTCGGACAGCAGCTTTGCTCCACGCCCGCGAAGACCGGTCTCCAGCGAGCTAGACTACCGCAGCCACGGTGAGACCATTCTGGTCAGCGCCGACCTCCAGATGACGACCATCAACCTGGATGGGTTTGGTGATGCGGTCGAGGACGGAGGCTGGCAGGCTGGCTCTACCACCGGTTAGATAGTACTCCGTATATACAAATCTATATCACCTTCACCTTGAACAAGTTAACATCATGCCACTGTCGCAACCTCGGAGCCACATGCATGCTACTCATGATGCGGGCTCGTGAGATGCTCAATCACCGTCTGCCCATTGGCTCCATGATCCATGTCTCGCATAGTCCTTGCCTTACCTAAGTCTTATATACATGCCGAGGACCACTGCTTTTTGTTGAATAAAACACGCTCTTGTATTTGCAGTACACACCCCAACAAAAACTACTGGCCAATCAGAGGACGCCATTACAGCCTGGACGTAGGATGTGTACGGGGCGATACCAAGTTACCGTACGTCTTCCTGCGAAAGGAGCAGGTAATATGGTATTAGTGATACACTATCTTATCAGACGCCGGGAATGACTAAGCTGGTTCCTTATTGGCGGGGCGGAAGGCGGTGAGGCCAAAGGTTACTTTGACGGCAGGGACAACTCAAGCCAGGAGAAGTCATAGAGAAGCCACGGAGAGAGAGTAGAGAAGCCACGGTAGAGAAGACTAGAGTGGGTAGAGAAGTGGTAGAGAAGTGGCAGAGGCGAGAGTCGATGAAAAGTCTCCCCACGGCCTGGCAGCAAAACCGCCCTGGCCTCCGACTGGGCAGAAAAAACGAAGTTTCGAGGAGAGAAAGTTTTTGGAGGTAAAAATAAGGTTTTGATTTGCCTGAAATAAACATCCGTGCCTGTATTGTCATTTCGTGTATCCCGCTTCAACCCTCTCTACTCTCTATGTTAGACCCATTTGCAGCCACTTTACAGTATAATGTCAACAGTTAATAAGTAGTGTAGATTCTTGCAGTCACTATTGAATAACTATATACCTGCTCTGTGTTACACAGTCTGGCGTCTCCGGGTTGATATCGAAATATTTAAATATAATATATCCCGTAATACCGTTTCAATACCCGATACAGGGTCTTGGCGGGAGAACCCACTTAAAAGTTTTCCCTAAGAAAGCTTTCCATGGTAGCTGTGATAAGGAAACATCATAAATAATATTGAATTCCGCAATTAGGTGGCTTGGGAACAACTTCATCCTCTGCGACATTCCACCTGTCCTCGCTGCTCTAGTTCTTAAGCAACGGCCAGCTTTTGGTAAGTCAACACCTGGACTCTCTCCTTTTTCTACACTCGTTCTCTAGTGCGCCCTTAGAGCCGACCTTCTCCTTTTCTCTCGTTCAAATTGTAACATACGATAAAGAAACTAACAATTCTCGCTGCAGTGGGAACGCTGTTCAAGGCGATAACACTTCCAAGTGAAGTTGCTTTACCTGTTTAGCCTAGAACGCGGAATCTGTCTTCTCACTTTCGCGTCACCCCTCTGCCAAACCCCTCGTTTCGCCAGGAAAAATCGAATAAAATATGGCGTCCACTGCTCTTCCAAAGGGAGCTGCCGCTCGCAGACAAGCGGCGGCCGCATCTTCGTCCAGCTCTACCTCTGCCTCGCCTCTGGATACCCCCCGTGTCTCGCCATCGGACACATCTCTGTCCTCGGAGTCGGAGGACCAGCGCGAAGCCGGTGTCGGAAAACTGGTCGACACCTACGGCAACGAGTTCGCACTGCCAGACTTCACCATCCAGCAGATCCGTGATGCAATTCCAGCCCACTGCTACAAACGTGACGGTTTCCGTGGTATGCAATATGTCCTGAGAGACATCGCCTGTCTTGCTACCACCTTCTATATCTTCCACAACTATGTCACCCCCGAGACCGTTCCGTCGACTCCAGTCCGTTTCGCCCTCTGGGGATTGTACACCTTCATCCAGGGCCTGTTTGGAACCGGAGTCTGGGTCTTGGCCCACGAGTGTGGCCATCAGTCGTTTTCGACCTCCAAGGTCTTCAACGACACCGTTGGCTGGGTTTTGCACTCATCTTTGCTGGTGCCATACTTCTCCTGGAAGATCTCCCACGGAAAGCACCACAAGGCCACCGGAAACATGCAGCGTGACATGGTCTTCGTCCCCAAGACAAGAGACGCCTATGCTTCTCGCGTTGGCCGCATGCTCCACGAACTCAATGAGTTGACCGAGGAGACCCCTATCCACTCCGTCATCGACATGGTTCTCCAGCAATTGTTTGGATGGCCACTGTATTTGATCACCAACGTTACCGGCCACAACTACCACGAACGCCAGAGCGAAGGACGCGGCAAGGGCAAGACCAACGGTCTCTTCAGCGGTGTCAACCATTTCAACCCTGGAAGCCCACTGTACGAGTCCAAGGACGCCAAGCTGATCCTGCTCAGCGATTTGGGCTTGTTGATCGTTGGTTCCATTCTGTATACTCTCGGAAACAACTTTGGCTGGTACAACATGTTGGTCTGGTACTTCATCCCATACCTTTGGGTTAACCACTGGCTCGGTATGTTCACAAATTCACTTCCCGTACTCAAATTTTCATGTTCAGGGGTCCCTCATTTGCTAACATACCCTTAGTCGCCATCACCTTCTTGCAGCACACTGACCCAACTCTCCCCCACTACCAGCCTGAGGCATGGAACTTCACCCGTGGAGCCGCCGCCACCATCGACCGTGAATTCGGCTTCATCGGCCGCCAGCTCCTCCACGGCATCATCGAAACCCACGTCCTCCACCACTACGTCAGCACCATCCCCTTCTATAACGCCGACGAGGCCACCGAAGCCGTCAAGAAGGTCATGGGCCGTCACTACCGCGCAGATACCAAGGATGGCAGTCTCGGCTTCCTCCGCGCTATGTGGACCTCTTTCCGAACCTGCCAGTGGGTTGAGCCCTGCGAAACCGCCGAGGGAGAAGGCAAAGCCGTCCTATTCTTCAGAAACCGTAACAACATCGGTCTCCCACCTGCCGCTCTCAAGCCAGTGAGCAGCTGAATGATGACACGTAGACCCAAGAACGAAGCTCAACGATCCAATATCAAGCAACTAAAATGAAAGTCAAATGATAAATGAACGGAATAAAGGGGCTTGAAAGTGGACGAAATCCCCCGTTTGGATATAACGAACAAGCTACATGCAACGAGCGAGCGAAAGAAAGATATACCTTATAGACACGCATTTCTTATTTTCAGTGCCAGTCTAACCCTTAATCCATTAAATTTATTACCTTATCAACCGTTCTACCAAAAATGTCATGACAATTTCTTTTTCTCACCTCTCTTTGTTCTTCTGCCTTCTCTGTCTGTTGTTTCGGGACGTCTTAATTATCTGAATCTAGTCGGGCGTTGGGGTGTCGATATGTCGATATATTGGTGTGCAAGTTACGCAGCCTAGTTCAGTTAGCAATGGAATGATGCAATATAGTTCACCATGGCTTCCTTTCCGCTGATTTGATTGAACTTTTCTAGCAAGAGAAATGGAAGTTGGGCAGATGAGTTGATTAGGATATATAGTTGTCAAGATATAAATGCTCCTGTTTTTTCGGAGAATTCTACTGGCGTGTATTTGCTTACTCTACTTTACTAGCATTGTTATCCTGATACTTGCGATGCTCGACATCTTAAATTATGCACATCAACAACTTCATCAGCATATAAAGGGGAGTCAAAATATCAGCCTGTCCCAGATCAGAAAATCCCCCTACTTTACACCTTCAACCTCTCTAACTTACAACATTCGTCTTCCCCGACACGAACACTGGTCATATTTTGAGAACCAGGGACATCCAATGCTGGACTTCTATTGAAAAAATCCGCTGGTCTGAACTGGAGCTCGATCTTCTCCATTGGCATGACTGGCCAGTCCTCCACGCGGGGGTTATGCGTGAATGCAAAGACAGACCAAAGGACAACATCGGAATTGGCTATATCTTCGTCACGAGCAGCAGCAGCAGCGATACCACCCGCCTCAGTGCGAGATTGATTGGTAACGTTCCCGGCTGCGAAAAAACTCACGATCCTTATATGCCGTGGCCCAGACATGATGCTTCGCGAATTGAGCGCGTTGGGCAACGATGGAACGAGGGTCAGCGAGGATGAGCTGGGTAGGTGGTGGCGTGAACTTGTACGAGACAGGTTTCCCGGAAATCGGGTTTAAGATGTTGGTGTTGGATATTTTGACAATGAGATTGTTCTCGGGACTTGCGTTGAAACCTGTTGATTTGGTGACTGGTTCGCTCACTACTTTATACCCGTTACCGTACGGGTTAGTCTTCGGGTCGAGAGCCATGGGGAGTGATTGTTCGCGGAACACAGTATTATTGTCTCCATCAATTGCAGGATCAATCCTTGCGCAAAAAATGTGCTGGTGGTTCTGCGCGAGAGCTCCAGGCGAGACGACGTTGCCCCATGGAGATGTCTTTCCAGGGTCAATATTCACGACCGAGAGAATTCCAGTCGCTCGTGTTTCGAGAGTGATGGCACCAGCTTGGTCGAATTTATATGCAAAAATGTACTCATAATTTGCAAGGGTGATGACGAACTGGACGACTAGCTCGCGATAACGAGTGACGACTGCTCTGTCAGTGCGGAAATTCGTATGTTTCCACCCGATACCACTGTCCTGCTCGTGGATGCAGATAACATTCCTTGATACCGAAGGGTTCCCAGAAGGGTCGATGGAGACAAAATCTAGATACTTGATCGCACCTAGACAATCACATCCTAGAGACAGATTGTTTGCTGCACGACCAGCACCGCCGTCACCAAAATCGAAGGCCTGCTTCCGATGAAACGGTGGCCTAGGGTCCCCATATGGGACTGTCATTTCAGAAATACTCAGCCTATAGAATGTGCTTCTGCCATCGTAATGTACGTCATGAATGGTGACACCTTCACGAGGGTTGAACCCAACACGGAATCTCCATTTCTGCCACTCAACAAGATTCCCATTGCCTACCTTGAAGGACGGACCGTCTGGCTGAATGACATTCAAAGGTTTGAGGTCGGTGCGAAGCTTGATATCCATTAACTCGGGTATATACTCACTTGCGCGACAATGATCGGCGGGGCTTAACGAATATGTATCATACGCTATCCCATCGTCAGTCCCGCCAGTTGCAAGCTTATCTATTCTGATAATCTCCTTTTTGTGAATATCCATGACAGGTATGATGGGAAGTGGGTGAGAGTAGTGGTTCGAGTCCAAATTCCCGTTCCTGTGGTCTTTCGCAAAGCAAAGGGCCTGGATATAACGAATATCCGGATCCTTCGGATCCAATCCGCCATAGGGCCAAGGGTCGATCTCTACTTGATATCCTTCAGGGAGCTTGAATTTGGCCACTGCTTCTTGAAATATGGGTGAGGCATTGCAGACCTCGTAGAACCATTTCATTTCTTCCCTACAGCAGGTCAGCGAATTTGGACGTATAGTTGCCTTATAGGCCTTGTCTCTCAGTGGGCTAGTTTGGGACCTACATGGTTAAAGGGGCTTGCCTCGTGCAGTCAAAAATTTCACGGTCTAACTCTTTTTTTAAGGCAATATCCACGGTTGATTCGACATATTCGTATGTCTTATCGGCATGGAGCACATCGTACTGCATAAACGCCGTTCGTGGTGGGCAGAGCGCAGCATCTTGATTCCCTGCATGCTCTGCTTCGAGAAACCGCTTCAAAGATGACTTGCTCGGCTCCTGTAGATACATGGATCGGAAGTGGATGGTTTCCCCCGGCCAGGCTTGAATAACGACATCCCTGGCGATCAGGATCTCTGGCTCTCGTAGCTGATCAAGCGGGTGAGGAAACGCCATCGTGGAGGAACGGATATATTGAGATGGGACTAAATCTAGGACACGATGCGGGAGTCGACGTAGTCCCGCTGCCTCAGCTGCTTATAAATATCCGAGCTTGTAGAAACTATGTGCTGTTGGATAGACAGTAAAGACGTTGGTATACGGACTATCTGTGCAGGATGTCCACTATATATATATATTTCTCCTCGTTGGTCTGACGAACACGGGGTTCGTTCCATATCCAGCCCGTATGCAGGATGGCGGAAGGATCCGGCTATTCGAATACGCCAGGGAGCCAAACGGCGCCAGGGAGGGGAGTCTATCTCAAGGAGCCAGTTAGCGGCCAGGAATCTAGAGACAACCGGGTGATGTATCTACCACTGGTAACAAGGTAGATCGATCATGTAGCTGAACTTTCGTGCGATATCATCATCTATATATATACGCAGCACTAAGGGTGTGTAAGAATTAAACTACTTTTTATAATGGGGAAAATGGTCCCAGCCCTGAATGGTGGGTGAAATCTGAGGTTTTCTTGAACTACTTTGATACTCAAAATATCCGTATATACATAAATGTATTTCTTTTCCGTCTTTCCTAAATGATGTATAGAGATTAACCTCGGGATTACTTCCTACCGTCTACTTTTACACGATGTTCAACGATTAGCCATTACGTATTTTATACACTTGACACTTCTTCGTCGGCTTTAAATCCGGCCCTGGAAAGGTGGTCCATAGGTTTCTACAACAGTACGTAGTTACACTAGTAGCTGTTTGGCTTGGGATAGATATGAGTATCCATCTACTTCCAATGCTAATCAAGAGAAGGAAGATCTGCTGCCATACCTTTTTCAGGGCGAAGCGAGGGCACAATATCGGTAGACTTGCCGCCTTGTATCACTTCCCAGTGATCAAAACATATTGTTGGACTGTTTTATCTTTCGTCGCTTCTCTAACTTAGCAAGCAATATGCCGAGAGCGTTCGAGTATATATAAGGATCTTGCCCTACTTCAAGCGGGTAAAAGGGCTTCACATTGCATGGGCTAGCAAAAGAATCTCTAGCAGCACGTTCGGGGATAAAAACCTAGGAGCCGTCAAAAGGGCCCTTGTTGGTATCGTGTTTGTGATGTCCATGATGCTGAACCTGCATGACCGCATGAGCCACCCAGGGAGTGGCTTTTCCGATATGACTTTCTGGAAGCCGAAAATGACATACTTTTTGATATCTGCCGCATTTGGGACGTCTATGGCCGTATCCATCAGTATATTTGGGCTTTGGGGTATTGGTCCCCCAGGGCAGAAATGATCCCAATTATATCTAGTCGGAGTATATCCGTATAAAGCACGTTGGAGTTGAAGTCATCCACCGTAGATGGAAACTTGAACGTATGTCCTGGATTATTTATGACTGAAGCCGTTAATGCAAGAATTCACTCGGTATAGTACATTTTCATTGTAAGTGATTCGATCTGAGCTAGGATATTGAATATCAAGGAGCTGCAATCACAGCAGACTAGATTATGTTGCAGTAATTATATCATCGTTAGCAAGTAATAGCAGGAAAAAGATCGAACGAAGAGAGGATTCCATAAATATTCGAGTAATGTTCTTCGTAGTTTGCCTGATACTTCCACATAAGATCCTTTGATAACTAGAACCGTCGGGTCGTCCAGCATATATTCACGGCCGGATTCCATAGTTAAATACCCCGGCCGCACCCCAGCGTGACCCCAGATATTAGTTGATTCCACTATAGGACATGGAAACAGGGGATATCAATAAACCTGTCGAGCGATGATGTCGTGAGCTCCAAACGTTGTAAGAAGGTTGCCAAGCCGGGGGTGAATTGACGCCGTGTAAACATTTAAAGTGCATCGCGAACATCAACGCCAGCCACGAATAATCACGACGCGACATAAATATATACGTGAAGGATGCAAGTCTCAGGCGGATACTTGCTTGCCCTCAATCGCCCACCTCGCTCGTCTCGAGCCCGCCCATGGACCTATCTCTAACGCTGCCTGACTTCCCAATCAAGCCATACGCTCATATATTACCGCTACTTGACAAGGCCGGCATAACTATCAAGGAACTATTCCTACTAGATGCTCTGGAGATTGCAAAATGTTCTCGTGCCCCTGTTACGGATATTCGAAACTTGACCGCCCATATTCTTGAGGCTCTTCGCCAGGATCTGGGGCTGGGAACGGAGCAAGAAAAGGATAGGAATAACGAGGCACGTCCATTGCAATCAAGGCGCGATGGAAATGACCATGGCAATGGCAATGGCAATGTTAACCACGAGTCAAGCCGCCTTTTGGCCGAAAGTAAGGCCTCCATAACCTTGCATCCACCTTCGTTAGGGCGAATCAGTACCCTAGACCCGATACTCGATTCTGCTCTTTCCGGAGGCATATCGACCGGATACGTGACAGAGGTGACCGGAGAGAGGTAATATATTCCAGCTTATCACGAGGGCAAACGCGCCTTGAGACTACAATTCAGAACTAAAGATATAATTTATTATAGTGGCTCCGGAAAGACGCAGTTTCTACTTCATCTCCTCCTCTCAGTACAGCTTCCCGCACCCCATGGTCTGTCCAAAAACGCATTGTATATATCAACAGAATCAGATCTTGCCACAAACAGGCTGAACCAACTCTTGAACGAACACGCGACTCTCCAGGCACTTCCGCCTGATACGCCACGCCCATCACTGGATAACATTTTCACCGTGACCACGGTTGATCTTGAAACACAGGAGCATGTCATTAACTACCAAATACCGGTAGCTATTTCCCGCTATAATGTCGGTCTTATAGTAATTGATTCCATAACGGCGAATTACCGTGCTGAAAGCTCTACGGAGAGTGTATCTGGATTGCTAGAGCGGTCATGGCAGCTGAAGAAGCTGGGCCATTTACTCCGGACATTGGCTGCAACGCATAATATTGCTATGGTGGTAGCAAATCAGATATCAGACGGATTTGAAAGTACATTACACGATTCCTTTGTGATACCTGAAGGATTTCGGGAAACCCCTGGGAGTCCTTTAGAACACTCCTCTCCTAGTGCTGCTCCGTCGTTCGCCCCAGCATCCCAACCCTACCAGCCACAGAATGACGTGGGAAATAAACCGAAACAGAATCCGCTCTCTCATTCTCCGCAGCTGGATCAAGGGTATCTCGACAATGACGACATGCATACATGCACAATCCCAAGTTTCAATACGCTTTTAAGCCTTGAATACCAACAGCCGTTTTTTACTGGCTGGGGAGAGGCTCCATATTCCTACGGAGGTGGCCTATTTGGGCCTCCGAGAGGGTATAAACTTCCGGCATTAGGGCTGGTCTGGACAAATCAGATTGGTTGTCGAATTGTGCTGAAATCGAAGGGCAAATACCGGTCGCTAGGCGTTAACGATTTAGAAACATCAATTGGTCATAATCCTAACCTCAACGCCCAGGACGATAAACTAAAGATACCCAAAGAGACCCTCGAAGCATTTGACGAAGAACCTAAAACTGTGTCTAACGATACAAATAACCATAGCCAACAGGCTCATGACCACAAGGTAGAGTGTAACAATAACTCCGAACATACCACAACTTTACCATTACTGTCTTCGCAGGAGAGTTTTGCTACTCTAGGGGAGGAAAATTGGAGTGACTATACCTCTGTACCTACATCGGATTATAGAGGACGCCGTCGACAGATGCAGGTGGTATTTTCGCCATGGGCCTCGGGAAATCCATGTCAAGAAGAAAACTACGGCCATGGGGCTGACGGGAGTCTCAATGAAGATAACACTATACCCAAGGAGATAGCATTCGATTCAATGTATGATGCAGTGGAGTTCGAAATTCTACCTCAGGGGTTACGCGGTTTGGGTAGTCAATGCTACCACCTAAGTTGAACTGCTTTCAGTCTTGGAAGACATTTGGTTATTCCAATTTGTTTACACTTCAACGGAGATTGTTATGCTCCAACATATATAGAATGATGGGCGACTTAATGACATGTCTTGTTCATCCGATAAATCCAAAACGAAAAAGATTCCAGTTTCCTCCTCGTTGAAGAAATCAATACCCAAACGTTCCTATAGCATACCACACACGCCAGAGCACTAGTGGAAAATGCCCCAGACGAGACCTAAAGGGTAGAAAGTTAGCCAACTATCCTCAGCAAGTGAAGCTATGCTCGGTTCTCATATCTTCTCCTTTAAATTCGACGTTCTTGCAATCCTCACAGAATGCAGCATTTTTCTCATAGCACTTATCCTTGAAGATGGACTGGAGACACGAGGGCCTGTGTCGTAGACTACGAGTGTGAACTTGACCTTGCCGCCGATGAACCCAAAGCGGATGTTGCTGTTGGCGTCGCCCGTGTCGCTATATTCACCGCTTGGGCCACGCAGTTGGACATTTCCAGTTGAAACGGAGGGAGATAGGAAGAATATTGAACTGCATATTCGATGATGGTACGGAGTAGTTTTTGGGAAATAGAAGTTTTTGCCTTCGAAACTTTGTTCTGAGGAGTGTATTAGTTGATGATGGTGTCTAACGAAGGTGATTCGTGACAGTTTTATATCCCAGAGGTCCAGGCTGACTGAGTTCTTGAAAACACGTCAACGCGTGCTCCGCATATACTTATTTAGTAATTGAGGATATGTATATCGGGGTGCAGTTTGATCTGCAGATTTTACTATGATAAGTACAATATTTGAAAGAATCAGCCTCGTTCAATATTTAGATCTCCCCCAGTTAAACATTAATTAAGATACAGTAGCGAGCCTATGCTTCTGTTGTGCATTGTGGTACCTTACTGCGGTCCATTCGCGCAAAGCCTTTCCCTTCCAGATGAAAAGTAGAAATGACATATTTGAAACAAAGCATATCATGGCCATTATCACTATTGTATTCTGTAGTCCGTCGTGCTGTAGCCACGGCCTGTTTCAAGAGTCGAGGTTGGTTAGAAATGACATTAATATTACTTCCTACCCTCTCTATGATGAGAGCGGAAGAACTAGAGAATTAAGGCGAGGAAACTTACTGAACGGCAAACACAAATCCGGTTCCAATCAAATTCCGCAAGAAGAGCATAAAGACCAATGACTCTGATGCAATCTTAGGGTAGCAATCAACTGCGTATGTGATGGCGATAGCAGCGCCGCTTCCGATGCCAAATGCAATGAATACCATTCCAAAGCCAGCAGGTAAAACCCAGATGACCCCATGCAGAGCTCCGAGCCCATACATTAGAAGTCCATCTGTATTTATGAAGGCATGCACCATCATAGTCCATAGACGAAATTCGGGTTCCAGAATCCCCTTGTTTCGACGTGAGAAATATAGAATGCACCAGTCAGAAACGAAACCACCCCAAAACATGCCGATGACACCTCCAATGAAGGCAGCGAAATTGATGTTTCCAACATTAGAGATGCTAAAATTGTAAGGTGCTGCGCTGAAAAGTTCTGACTGGGTAATGGTTACTAGGGATAACCACATTATTTGAACGCCGTACACAAAACCTCCCCATAAAACCGCGGGATATGTGATAAGGGCAAAAGGGCTAATAGCGATTAGCCAGAGTGGCCTAGGATCAGCATGAGTGGTATTGAAGAGCCCCATGCGCTTCCAGTATGAATTTGGTGCAGGCGGAGGACATGTTTCTGGTTGAACCTGTTCAGTAGCCTCCTCAGCCCCTGATTCAACGCCCATAATTGTCTTGTCAGCACCATATCCCATGGCACCAGTGGAATTGGTGAGCTCAGTTTGCGATGATGGTCGTCGAAAACTTGATTCCTCCATAGTGAATAGCTGGATGACCAGGAGGGCGCCGAAGAAGATAGCGAAATACCAAAAGCACCAACGCCATCCTTGTGATTCAGCGATATAACCTGCTGCAGCTGGCCCCAAATAGGATCCTGCATACAATGTGAAAACGAATAAACTCAACCTGGTTCCTTTCTGATGTGCGAAGAAGATATCCGTGGTCGAAACCTGTACTAGAGAATCGACTGGAGCTGCACCTAGCCCCGTCAAAACGCTGGCAACGAAAAACTTTTGTACTGTATCTTGAACACCTCCCACGATACATCCAACGATGTTGAGGAGGGTGCCGAGTATATAGACTGGACGTCGTCCAATCTTCATGGCAATAGGCTGCAACAATACGCAGCCTATACCGAGAAAAAGGAGGCGAAGTGCTGTTGAAATATTCAAGACGCTGAATGTGGTATTTAGATCGATTGTAAGTTGAGTCTATGGGTACCATTAGAATTCTGCTAGTTGACGAATACAACTATGTCGAAGTTAAGAGAGAGAATAGCTTACCCAAACTGGCCCTACCCAGTTAACAGATGCGGCTGCAATGAATCCCCACATCCATAGTAACCAGAAATGATACTCTTTACGTGCCCTACTCCAGTTGAGAGGGTCGTTTGGATCGTTTGTTGGTTGGGGTATTAAAATGATATCATTCTTCCCCCCTTCCTGATGTTTTACATTCAAGGTTCCGCGTACTGTCTCGGAGAAGTTATCAGTCATGTCTTCTCGTGCGATATATTAGATGAACGGGAGGTATTGCAGCCTGTACACACAATCGACAATCTGAACGGTCCCAGGAACCATCTTGACCCCTTCGACAACTTGAAACTCCATGGTTAAGGCTGGGGTTCCTGAACGTCTCAAGTGCTTTCCCACGATGCAGTAATCCCATGTTTGTGTGATTCCAATGGCGCCCGAGATAGAAATATTCCTGTACGACGATCATATTTGGCTGATCTCTAGCCTAACTAGGTCTTGTTACCCCTAGGCCTATCATGATGCCTCGATCCACCTTCGTTTCCATCCAACTAGACTTGACATGGGAAGCCTATGCAGACAGGCCTGGTGTATAGTCAATCCTAGGCTGGAGGAGGATGAATTGGTTGAGAAGGTTTGATGACGCTGGCAGCATGGACTCTATATTTAATTAAGCATAACCGATTGCCCGGAGCTAAGAGCCGTCAACATTCTGTCGGACAACAAGGGACAAAAAGGCCTACCATTGGTAATATGGAACGAGTTGTACCACAGCACATAGGAATCTGTCATTCTATACAAAGGTTGAAATAGCCCCTCACTTGGCTGGTATTACATTTGTACCAGCTGGTCAAACCCGTGAGAACACTGGCACGTCGATGGAAAATACGTCGCTCTCATCAATTCCTTTATTGATATCGGCGAAGACGCGACGTCTAAAAAATACCCACATTCGAGAATGAAAGCAAGAGCATTGATACCAGTGACGCTTCCAAGGGACAGCCCTACCGTCTCGTACTGGCAAGATCCGCCAGATGGAATTGCTCACTTTCGTTCTACGCCCAAACTCCCCGAGAGTGCGGACGTCGTTATTGTTGGTTCCGGTATCAGCGGCGCCTGCATAGCATATTACATCCTCTCGCGATCACCAGCCGCGAACGTTATCATTCTAGAAGCCAGGCAAGCGTGTAGCGGAGCAAGTGGACGAAATGGTATATCTGCACATGTCCATATCTTTTGCAGTTGGTGAGGAAACAACGTTAACCAAGTTCAACATCTAGGCGGCCACACGAAGGCAGCTTCATATACAACTTTTGCTATGCATACAGCTGCCGTAGGCATAGAAGAAGCAGTCAAGATTGCGAGACTCGAGTACGATAATATCAAGCAGGTTCATGCATTTGCTAGAGAGCATGGTATTTCTTGTGAGAGCCGCGAGCTTGAGACTGTGGATATTATCTACGATCAGACGGTTTGGGATGAATCAGTACGCACCATCGATCAAATGCGAAAGGCCATGGGCGAGGATGACCCCGTCAGCAAATATACGCTTTGGAACAGTAAGGATGCGGAAGAACGGTTTCTCTGCAAAGGGGCTGTTGGCGCCATTACTTATGAAGCTGGAAGTATAAGCGCATATAAATTTGTGATTGGAGTGTTAAAGCTATGTTTGGAGAAGGGTGCGAATTTGCAGACTGGAACTCCTGTGACGGCCATTACTCTAGTTTCGGGTGACGGTGATGAATCAAGATGGATCATTTCGACTCCACGGGGCAAACTGCTTGCGTCTAAAACCATTATTGCGACAAATGGCTATACAGCTGCCATATATCCCAAGCTTCAAGGCAGGATAGTTCCCGTGAAAGGGCAGATTACCGCACAACGACCAGGAGCCAATATTCCAAGAGATGGTCTGCCTCGCACATACTCTTTTGTCTATTCTGGCGGATATGACTACATGATTCCTAAGCCCGAGGGGTCTAAATTCGCGGGAGATATCGTGATGGGGGGCGGATTTACCAAGGGTGAAGATAAAGGACTATCTCAATATGGAACCACGGACGATACGACGGTTGCACTGGAGATCAGTGAATATCTGACCAGCAGCACAAAAAAGTTCTTCGGGGATAACTGGGGCCAGGATGACCCTGAAGGGAGAGTACGGCGAGAATGGTCTGGGATTATGGGATATAGTACTGATGGATTTCCGTGGGTTGGCGAGATACCTGGAGAACCTGGGCTGTATATCTCTGCATCGTTCCAGGGACATGGTAATACCCTATCAACCCCCCTAATTCTTCCACTTCCCTTAATTTACTAATATATTCGATATGGTAGGTATGGTAATGTGCTTCCTATGCGCCCAGGCACTGACAAGCATAATCTTTGGCGACAACGAAGCATCCCTTTTCACCTGGTTTCCTAGAGCGTTCCAAGTCACATCCTCGCGGTTAAAGGTGTAAGTCTCAAGATATCATTTGTATGCCACTAGGCCTAGTAATATAGGTACAAGATGGAGAACAAAACAAAGCTTGAATACATAGATGCAGAAAGAGGAAACCCATTACAGACCCAGTCCAGATATTTCTTTTGTAAGCTTTTTTGTTTCAAGAAAAATTCACCCCTGCACGCCGATGTAATGAAATTGGAATTAACAAATGAAATGCAGGTAAAATCAGGCCCGCCAGTAGGATGGAAGGAAAAGGGTCGTGGTGGGGAGGTACAGCAAATGGAATCGGGAGCTGGCCTCGAGTATTCCCAATATAGCGGAAATGAAGCGCTCGTAGGAAGGAGATAGTAGGGACATGGAGATACTGTTTAGCTGTCTTTGGCATCGACTTTCTTAGCGGGTCTCTCCTCAGAGTTACCAGCGGTCTTCGCAGCAGAATCTTCCTCTCGGCCGCGCTTTTGACCACCGTTTCCGTTTTGTTGCGATTCAGATTTGTCACCGGAGACCTGGATGACTGGGACACCTCTGTCACCACGGATAAAAAAGATAAGTTAGCAAAAGTTTCAAGAGGGGTCGTAAACCAATTGTAAGTAAAAACATACCGGCTATCCTTCTCGGCTTCAGGGCGCTTTGCCTCAGCTTCTTCTCTCTCTCTATTACGGTCACCGTGGTTTCTATCTCCACGACCTCGGCCACCACCACGGCCGCCACGACCGCCTCGACCACCACGTCCACCACGACCACCACGGCCCCCCCGCCCCCCTCTTCCGCGCCCACCAGATCGTTCGCTGGGCTTCAAACGGCCGGCTTCTATCTCCTTCACCTTATCGTCGCAATATTGCTTCTTGCTCTTGATGATCAATTCGGTGGTTCCCTTCCACTTTGGCTTTGGATCAACAGCCAAAAACGCCTTCTGGAGGTCCTCGGATTCGAACTCTACAAAGACGCTACCCTTGAACGTCTTGTCCTGGGTACGTCGAAGTCTGACAGCATTTGTTGGGCCATAGGGGGTGAAGAAGGCCTCGATGTCGAACTGCGTGCTGGGCTCTTCATCGCCGAAGCCCTTGGCGTAGATGCTACGGTGCATGGCCTTGTCTTCGAAGACCTTAACGGCAGATACATCAGGGGTTTCCTTGACGGTTTCTGGAAGAGGGGTCTTTCGGCGGACGGACTTATCGTCATCTACCAGCTCGAGGAGGTCTGAAGTTTTGAGGGCTTCGACGATCGCGCTGAAGGGCTGGAAGCGGCGCATACGCTTGAAGGAATGGAGAAGCGAGAGCTCGACAGGCTTGTTCTCGCTACCACCGACCTTGGAGAGAAGGAACTTGTCCATGGGAAGATTGGAGTCAGAGAAGTAAAATTCAACCTAGAGACAGATTAGTAAAAGATAATTCCACGGTATAACGCTGGTCAAACGACTGAACCAACCTGTTTTCGAATCTCAACTGGATCATCTGTCTCCTCTAGGGAGGTAGCATCCGACTTGATATTGTCCCTGTAGTTGACGCGCACCCCTCCCCGTCCACGACCGCGACCACTTCCGCGGCCCTTTTGTGACTCTGAGGCCTCCTTTGCCTTTTCATTTGACAGAGCATCTTCCCCCAGCTTCTTTGCAGCCTCAACAATCTTGTCTTCTTCCGTCTTCTCTCCCTCTGTGCCCTCTGGCTTGCTGGCCTCCTCTGACTTGAGCTCTGCGAGCACTTCCTTCACGTCCTGTTCGGCGGTGACATTTGGGTTGGCAGCCTCCGTGGCCGCGGCCACCTTCTGTTCTTCGGCCATTCTAAGTATCCTCTGGGAATTGAGCTTGCGCTGGTCCAATAAAATCGTATATCGTTAGCTGAAGCTCAAGATAACACTAGAGGTGAGATCACTGCCACGCAAATGTCTGTGCGGGGTCACAGCTAAGATGCGAAGCAAATAGGAATGAATGCAAATACCTTTTGTGAGCGTGCTTATCAGGCTGTCTCTTCTACCTGTTGTTGACTGAAGGAATCTCCTAGTTCTCCTCCAGCAGTTGTTTTGTAGAGTGAGAGAAGGGCGTAAAAGCTTCAGGTCGCGCGTGAAGCTGCAAAAAATGACACACAGTTTTTTTCCTTCTTAGCCTAGGCGATGTAATATCGATACCAGTATTTCAGCGGGGCCGACGACCATTTTGGGCTACACTTTACAATACGTTACAGGCCGTATTTTTCCCCTGCCAACTCCATATCGATAAAGCGCGATGAGAAAAGATATAAAGATAGGAAAGTCGCTGGTTTGTTCGCTGGGATGACACAGCCATCGAAGCTGCTAGAGGTGATTGGCCCGGCGCATAACGATGTGTGAAGAAGCCCTCGACCCGGAGGCAAGCCATATTAACTCTCAAACTCATGCACTGATCGTCTGTGGTGCGCTGCAACCTGCCTGTCATTGGGCTTTCCAACAGCCTGCGGAGTTCATGACAGCGCGTTCAGGGCGGGAAGATGTCGGCAGAGAGATTCACCAATGCGGCTTGTTCGAGAGATCGATCTGAGACATAGTCTGCGACCCTGCGTTACCAGATGGTGGCAAGTCGGCTTAGATCCCCCCCAATTGCAGGCACCATATATCGTGCCCCCTTGTCCATGATTTGTTGGCTCTACTCATGAGCTGGCCACGGACTGCGGGGCCCTGGATACCGGGCTGGTAAACGGCCTGGGTGGCCATGTAAAAAGATGGTCTGTCATATCTAGTTTCCTGAACGGCGATCTGGTTAGCACTTGTGTATATGCAGGTCGGGATGGTACGCTGCCAGTGGAAGTGAAACATCGCCATAGTAGTGCTTGCCCGAGCACCGTATATACTTGGCCTCCAGGGCTCCTTTCTTTTAAGCATCACAGTCCTTGCATCGAGGCTGCTCTTTCTCTCGCTTTTATCTCTTAACTCGAGAGCTGGTCGACGCTGGTCAGGTCGTTCGCTGGGACTCTTCCTTTGTGCCGATGTGCCATTGCTGGACCTGAGAAATATCCCACAGGGCGGAGTGAAGCGTGAAAGGCGACTAGTATTCCTAGTTAAACAGCTTTAGAGACTTCTATTCTTCTTTTTTTTTTCTTTTTGGGTTGGACGTCCGTTTCCAAAGAATACCATGACTTGACGTTGTTCGTTGTTGATACCAGAGTGACACTCCCGCAAAAACACACTTCACCGCAGCATCGCACTACATCACACTACACTACACTACACCACACGACCATGCAGATACCAACACACATCTTTTAGCAGTCCATATTTAGCATACCGAGACCTGTTGCTGAACTCTCCCTCTCGTTTCAGGAGCCCGCATCTCGGCGGTGGACTTGAAAATCTTCTAAACAAAGAGCAGTCTGAGCCTCATATAAAACTACCAGCTGCAAACCACTGGAGCAAGCCTCAACAACCAAATCTGCCTCTAACCACAGGGAAGCGACCCTGTTTACCAGATCGATTGTCGATCCGATATCTCAAGATCAGGTGCTGGAGTTGACAACGTTCATAATGGTGGATTACGACGAATTACTGACAATATGGCCCCTCAAAGACGTATGCTCTTGACCTAACATTTGGAAGTTGACTATGTGAGCTAACGGATCCTTATCAGATTATATATGTGGCAATTATAGGGCCTGTAATGCTCGCGGCCTTCTTGGAATGGTTCCTGTGGCTCGCAGCATTCTTATACTGCCTGTATAAAGTGTTTGTCAAAGCGGAACATGTTAGTGTCCGGGTACTAGCAATTCTCAATATGATAAGCTTCACTGCCCTGCGGTTAGTCCTTCCCTCTGGTTCCTGGAATCATTCAAGTCTAACTAACATGACGCAGAGGGATATTCCTCCCAGTAATGGTTGTCACATTACCGCTACCATCCACGATAACACAATACTTCCCGACTAGGCTGGTATCGTTTCTACAATGGTTTGCCTTTTGGACATTTGCCGTTCTCCTTATTGTGCCATGGCTGTTCTGTGTTTACAGGCTGGTGACGAACTCACTCGGTAGAACCAAGCGCATCAAAGAAGTCCTCGACGACAAAACAGCACCAAAGACCGTCATTGTCATGCCAGTTTATAAAGAGGACCCAGCAATTCTGATCAAAGCAGTGAATTCGGTTGTCGAATGCGACTATCCGCCTCAATGCATCCATGTATTTCTCTCGTACGACGGCGACCAGGTTGACGACTCGTACCTTGCAGTCGCGACCCATCTTGGCATTCCGAACAGCTTGAAGAGATATCCAACCAGTATAGATGTAACCTACAAAGGCGCAAGAATTACACTATCCCGGTTCAAGCATGGAGGCAAACGGCATTGTCAAAAGCAAACATTCCGCCTGATCGACAAGGTTTATGCTAAATACCTGATCCAGAACGATAACTTGTTTGTTCTATTTATCGATTCAGACTGTATCCTCGATCGAGTGTGCTTGCAAAACTTCATGTACGACATGGAGCTTAAACCAGGAAGCAAGCATAATATGTTGGCTATGACTGGTGTTATCACCTCAACTACCCAAAAGACTACCCTCATCACGCTACTCCAGGATATGGAATACATTCACGGACAACTCTTTGAACGGTCGGTGGAGTCGGGATGCGGTGCCGTTACCTGTCTTCCCGGTGCCCTTACCATGCTACGATTCTCTGCCTTCCGAAAGATGGCAAAGTACTATTTTGCGGACAAAGCCGAACAATGCGCTGATCTCTTTGACTTTGGAAAGTGCCATTTGGGAGAGGACCGCTGGCTCACACATCTGTTTATGATCGGGGCTAGAGAAAGGTACCAAATTCAAATGTGTACCAGCGCATTTTGCAAAACAGAAGCCGTGCAGACTTTCAGCAGCTTGTTAAAGCAGAGAAGGCGTTGGTTCTTGGGCTTTATCACGAACGAAGTGTGCATGCTTACCGATATAAGGATATGGTATCGATATCCCCTTCTCTGCCTTGTTCGTTTTATGCAGAATACGATTCGAACCACTGCGCTGCTATTCTTCATTATGGTTATCTCGGTGATTACAACATCTAACAAGATACAGAATCTTCCCGTTGGATTCATTGCGGTATCACTTGGATTGAATTACTTACTCATGTTTTATTTTGGATTGAAGCTGCGCAGATTCAAGGCTTGGTTATACCCGATTATGTTTCTGTTGAACCCGTTCTTCAATTGGCTTTACATGGTTAACGGAATATTTACTGCCGGCCAACGAACATGGGGTGGCCCGAGAGCAGACGCAGCCGAAGCTGACGACAATACTTCTCCATCCCAGGCGGCTGATCAAGCTAAGGCTGCCGGAGATGAGCTCAACGTGAACTTGGATACGTTCCCGCCTGCCACTCAGGGTAAAGAGCCCGTTCCAGTCCAACCGCCAGAGGTAGCCGAGGGACGCTTTTCTGCACCTACCCTGGGCCCAAATGGCTGCTACGAGAACACCAACGCGTCAGGGGTCACACTCCCTACTCACTATACAAATGGCGAAGTGGACTCGCGTCTCTCCTTGGATTCTAATTTCACATCAAATTCAAGGGCAACCTCGATAGGCTGGCCATGCGGCCTGCAATCTCTCATAGACGAGGACAAAAACAACGTGTACATGACAACGGAAGACCAGAAGAAGGTAGAAATGGCCCGCCAAAGCGGGCTTCACGGCAACCGCAATCTGTCCCTGGGCGAGTTCAACATGGGGGTCTCACCCAGCCGAGACCGATCAGGTTCCCCCGCTGCCAGCTCACCCGCGAGCCGAAAGAGTGTCTCCTATGATTTCCCTACCCCTGAAGGTCCGCTAGGGAACTTACCTTTGGCCACCCCGGAGTGGCCCAAGCGAGCTCGCACTGCGCGAAGCCCGTTAGGCAGAGGCTCTTCGGACGGACAATGCCGTGACGAGAAGAGGCACGACTCTCTTAGCATTCACCGCCAGAGCCTGGCACTGGAGACTGACGATGAAGGGACGTCAGAGGAGAAACGGGGCAGACGCCGTAAACGACTGACCAAGACTCCACGACCGGATGATATCATGACGAGACGACTAGAAATGACCGGGGCATGAGATGTTTATGGACGGATTTGAATGGTGTCCTTGTTTCTTTCTTACAAAGTAGACTTATCACGATGTAGGATGTATACATAGAGAACTTGATCAACTCTAGACAGTCCTTCTTTACCGTACTCTTCATAGCCTTTACTCTACACCCGTAGGCCTGTCCGATAGAACTGTCCTATCTCCATCTATCTTCTACCTATCTTCTATCTCCATCTTCTATTCTATATCCTGTCTTGGTCTCTTCCAGCAGCAGCCAGAAATTTCCATCACGTGACGCCAAGCCCAAAGCGCCAGCAAGCCAAAAGTGTGAAAACTTTCGTTAAGAACTGGCGCCTGTGACGACAAAGCAAAACCCGGCGGAAAAAAAAACCCTCCCTCCCAACTCCCAAGGCTCGTCTCTGCATTTAAGAGCATTTGTTCCAGCCGTACCCTTGAGTGTCGCTTCCGACAGCTCGACAGTCGACAGGACATTCATCCAGCTAAAGAACAAGGACAAAAGTAAGTGGGATCTGCGCTTTGCTTTTGGTTTTGTTGCCCGCCGCCGCCGTTTGTTGCCCCTCCATAGCTATCTTGATATGGATGTGTGGGATGATGCTGTTGTCAACACCTCCTTCTGGGCCGGTTTCCAGCGCCATATATATGTTTGAGAGGGACCGGGAGATCGAGAAGAGGAAGATGAGCGCATCTGGTTTCGTTTTGGCTGGTTTTCTCGTCTCTTTTCGCAGGGTGATAGGGAGGTCGTTATCTCTCATGCAGATACTGCATCTCTGCCCACCCCGCGTCCGTTTACCAACCATTCGACTTACAACAAGAATATATACGGTGATGAGAGATCTGAAGCCAGAAAGAAGTTACCTTTGCCATTGTCCGAGACGGAGTGTTGCTTGTGGCGTTGTTTTATACGGAATAAGGGGGATATCACTCCAGGGCTGAACTTGGCCCCCTGTCTCACCGCACTTTCTCTGCGGACTTTATTTTTTCTCCTCTCTCCCTCTCATTCTCCTCTGGCGGCGGTGTGCTTGTTATCGTTCTATTGAGAGTCCTTCATTTGTCCACTCTGGTGTAGCCAGCTGCTAACCAACCTCAGCTTGATTCTAGATACCCGAACCATTCCTTCCAAGCAAACAGATTAATCACACCTTTTGTCAATATGAGTGTCGTTGGTATAGATTTCGGTGCTCTTAGCACAAAGATTGGTGTTGCGAGAAATAAGGGTATTGATATCGTACGTTCATACCCCATGCTCTATTTTCGATGTTTCCAACTATGGTCAATGCTAGGTTCATGTCTCACTGACTAAAAGTTCCTCCTTTCTGGAGCCCATTATAGGTCACAAATGAAGTTTCCAACCGATCCACGCCGTCCCTCGTTGGATTTGGCCCAAAGAGCAGATATATTGGCGAGTCCGCCAAGACTCAGGAGATCTCCAACCTGAAAAACACCGTTGGCTCCTTAAAGCTGCTCGTTGGCAGACAATCCAACGACCCAGATGTCCAAATGGAACAGGACTTTTGCGCCGCCAAGTTGGTTGATGTCAATGGCGAGGCTGGTGCGGAGGTCAGCTATATGGGCAAGAAGGAGCAGTTCTCTGCCACCCAACTTGTTGCCATGTACCTCACCAAGATCAAGGCTACCGCTTCTGCAGAGCTAAAATTACCTGTTTCTGATGTCGTTCTCAGCGTTCCACCATGGTTCACTGACGCACAACGCCGTGCACTGATTGACTCTGCTTCGATTGCCGGCCTGAATATGCTTCGCCTTATCAACGACACCACTGCTATTGCACTCGGTTATGGTATCACAAAATTGGACCTCCCAGTTGAAGGCGAGACCCCTCGACGTGTTGCATTTGTTGACATCGGTCACTGTAACTACACCTGTGCCATTGTTGAGTTCAAGAAAGGCGAACTTAACGTGAAGGGAACCGCCTGGGACCGCCACTTCGGAGGCAGAGCCCTTGACAAGGCGCTGGTGGACCACCTCGCCAAGGAGTTCAAGGAGAAATACAAGATTGATATCAAGACCAACCCCAAGGCGATGACCCGAACTTTCGCTGCCGCCGAGAAGCTGAAGAAGATCCTGTCCGCCAACGCCCAGGCCCCAATCAGCATCGAGTCCATCATGAACGATGTCGATGTCCGTGCTATGGTTAAGCGTGAGGAGCTAGAGGAGATGATCAAGCCGCTACTTGACCGCGTCACTGTTCCTCTTGAACAGGCTCTCGCTGAGGCCGGCCTTAAGCCTGAGGATATTGATAGCATCGAGATGGTCGGTGGTTGTACCCGTGTCCCCTCCATCAAGGATGCCATCAGCAAGTTCTTCAACAAGCAACTTTCCTTCACCCTCAACCAGGACGAGGCCGTCGCCCGTGGCTGTACTTTCAGCTGTGCTATCCTGTCTCCAGTATTCCGTGTCCGTGACTTCTCCGTTCACGACGTTATCAACTACCCCATCGAGTTCACCTGGGAACAATCCCCCGATATCCCAGACGAAGCCACCTCCTTGACTGTGTTTAACAAGGGCAACGTCATGCCATCCACCAAAATCCTTACCTTCTACCGCAAGCAGCCATTTGACTTGGAAGCCCGTTACTCCAAGCCAGAGATGCTTCCAGGAAAGACCAACCCCTGGATTGGCCGTTTCTCGGTCAAGGGTGTCACTGCTGACGCCAACTCAGATTTCATGATCTGCAAACTCAAGGCAAGACTCAACTTGCATGGTATCCTGAACATCGAATCTGGATACTACGTGGAGGACGTTGAGGTTGAAGAGCCAATTCCAGAGGAAAAGAAAGAAGGCGATGTAAGTACACCCCTTATGCCGGCGTTGCCCCATGCCGCTAACTCATATCCCTGTCCGGTACCCCCACGGAAAAGAGCGTGTTTTCTAACATAAGAAAACTGTGGAAACAGACCATGGACACAGACGAAGCCAACGGCGAGGCCGAAGCCAAGCCCAAGATGCGCAAGGTCAAGAAGCAACTCCGCAAGGGTGACCTTCCTGTCATTGTTGGCTCTGCATCGATCGATGCTGCCAGCAGGGAGAAGATGGCCGAGAGAGAGAATGCCATGTTCATGGAGGACAAACTTGTTGCCGATACCGAAGATAAGAAGAACGAACTCGAGTCGTTCATCTACGAACTTAGAGATAAGATCGATAGCATTTATGCCGACCATGCCAGCGAAGAGGAGAAGGAGAAGCTGAAGGCCAAACTCACCACCACAGAGGTATGCTCATACATTCTCCCTTACTGTGTCGATATGTTCGCCGACTAATATATGATTATAGGATTGGTTGTACGAGGACGGCGAAGACACCACCAAGGCTGTCTACATGGCCAAGATGGATGATATCCGCTTCCTTGCCGGGCCCATCGTGCAACGCTACCTCGACAAGGTTGAGGCTGATAGACAAGCAGCCCCCCCAAAGAGGCACGTGGAAATAAAGGGTGACACCGGCATGGACGATGCCGATGCCAACGGCGACTCTAAAATGGAGGAAGTCGAGTAGACTATACATATGATAAAATGTTTATGAGATGACTTTTTTTTTCATTTAGCATTCATGTCTTTGGAGGCTGTTGTTTGCACCACCCACACACACCTTACCGTGCCCTCAAGCCCTACACTCCCCCATATTTCCTCTATTCCTTATGTCCTTACAATGCCATGACTTTCTCTCCTTTTTAATATCGAGACTCCCCCCGTTCCATTTCCTCACCTGGTGACACAGGTATAATGATCATAACCAAAAGGTCAAAAAGTGTTAAATAACGTTTTCTTTACACGGATAGAGGAATGGAGAATGAAATTTGTTAGAACTCATCGTGTAGCAGCTCGAACTTGCTCTTCTTCATCTTGTCGTCTTTTTGCTCGCGGGTTTATCTCGGCGTTAGTAGCGGGCCGAAAGAGGAAATTGCCTCGGCTCTTTCACGGCAACCAAAAAACTCCGCCCTTCCAACCTCGTCCTTGCGCTCGGTATATATCTGCATCTTTGGTCTGCAAGCTTTCTCTCTCTTTCCTCTGTCTCTACACCCTTTAAGAAGTTATATATTCACTGAGCTGTGTTCTACTGTATACTGAGTGAACCCCTGCTCCGCCCTATCCCCGGTTTTTTGACTAGCTTCGGCTCGTACTAGCTGCATTTATAGCTCCGAGGTCCCCTCATTCGATTTCCACTTTCCTTCGTTCTTCATTCCGTATCTCGATCGTCACTTGATATTTCTACCTCGCGATTTAAATATATTTATACCAGTCGAAATGGCTACCGCAAGACTAAATTCTATCTTGGCTCAGCTTAAGCCTGCTACCGGTGGGAGCAGCGCTGTCCAGAAGATGTAAGTTTACCACACCCTGCGGCTGCCCTGGTTTCATGCTCATGCTACCACCGCTGGGACTATGGGATTGAATAATTGCTAATAGTTGCTATGCAGCACCCAGAAGAATGCGGATGATATCGTAATCACCCTTGCAGCGCGAACGCCCATGGCCAGAGGCTTCAAGGGAAGCTTCAAGGATACCGAGCTCGATTATATTGTCTACTCTCTTTTGAAGGAAGTGGTTTCTCGCTCCAAGGTGGACCCTAACCTGATCGAAGATGTTGTCATGGGATGCGTATGGAACCCTTTTATCTCTATTTACTCTGCGTTCCATTCAGTAAACTAACCTGTCCCTCGATAGTCGAACAACGAGCGCGCATCCAGCATCATCCGTGCTGCCTCCCTCGCAGCCGGAATTCCATATACCTCCGGTGCCTCAGCCGTCAGCAGATTCTGCTCGTCCGGTCTCTACTCCATCCAAGACGTCGCCAACCAAATTTCCAATGGATCAATTGACATCGGTATTGCTGTTGGTGCCGAATCCATGACCAAGGGCCCCACTGGAAAGCCCGCTCCCTTCGCCCCAGAAGTCCTCGCCAACCAAAACGCAGCAGACTGCTCGCAGCCTATGGGACAGACATCCGAGAACGTCGGCTCCGACTTTAACATCACCCGTGAAGCTCAGGACCGATATGCAGTCGAGTCTTTCCGCCGTGCAGAGGAGGCTCAGAAGGCCGGCAAGTTTGTAGACGAGATCATCCCTATCACTACCAAGGTTAAAGATCCCAAGACTGGGGAGGTGAAGCAGATCACCGTTTCCAAGGATGAGGGTCCACGATACGGAACTACCTTTGAGGGATTGAGCAAGATCCGTCCTGCTTTCCCACAGTTTGGTAACAGAACCACCGGTGGAAATGCCAGTCAGATTACCGATGGAGGTGAGTGTCCCCTTCACTGGCTATATGAAAGTAGATTAGAAGACTAACTATAACAGCTGCCGCCGTTCTCCTCATGAAGCGTTCCAAGGCTGAGGAACTCGGCCAACCTATTATCGGCAAATTCGTTGGAGCTACCGTTGCTGGTGTCCCACCACGCATTATGGGCATCGGCCCATCCATCGCCATCCCCAAGCTCCTCTCCAAATTCAACCTCCGCAAGGAAGATATTGATATCTTTGAAATTAACGAGGCCTTTGCCTCTATGGCAGTTTATTGTATCAACACCCTTGGCCTTAATCACGCCAAAGTTAACCCATGTGGTGGAGCTATTGCTCTCGGCCACCCACTTGGCTGTACCGGTACGAGACAGGTTTGCACCATCATGAACGAGGCAAAGAGACAAAAGGCAAAGGTCTTGGTAACTAGTATGTGCATTGGAACTGGACAGGGAATGGCTGGTTTGTTCGTCAATGAGCAGTAAATCGTTATATTCGTCGTTTAATGTAAAAAGACATCATAATTTATCTTTGAATATAGAATTCATGAATTATATTTCTCCATGATCCTTCTCTTTCTCTAGCGTAGGTAATATATCATGAACCATCGGCCTCCCGACCAGAGTCGCCCTCAGGCTGCTCCTGGCGGCTAGCCTTCATGTTCGCCATCCTAGCCTCTGCTGCCTTGGCTAGAATCTCCCGCCTGCTCAGTCCCTTGTTAGAACCGGCTGAAGAGGCCTGGCTTGATTCCCCCGATAGACCACCGAGGACAAATTCACCTCCCGTCCAACCGCCATGGTCCACAACTCCCTGGGCATTCATATCGTCCCAATCTACAGGGTTATAAAACTCCTGATCACTGACACTCCGCCCTTTGTTCCCCCAGTAATCTGCCTTCTCGACTTCCTTCTCAATCTGCCCGGTCAGATCCCAAAAGTCCCTGTCGTGGTCACTAAACTCACAATGCGCCAGTTCATGACATAGCGTCTTTCGTATAGTCCTATAGTCCCGATATCCATCATACGCGTCCGTCCGAAGCCGGAGCTCAATAACTTCTCCCTTATTCCGATTTAGACCCAGTGTGCGTGACGACATCGTCGTGTGCTGCACCGGGTCCATCTCGGTAAGCAAGGGTATCGAGAATCGATGGCGGGCCATCGCCTTGCGGATTCCAGGGTCATCACGTAACCGGGCTAGGAACGCAAGACTGCGTTCGGGGTTGGGTAGATAGGGCAGCGGGAGTAGTTTGTGGAATGTATATTGGGAGGACGACGATTGCAGCGATTGTCGTGAAGCTGGCTTTGCAGGTTTGATTATTGATTTACGGGCCGGCAATGAAGACACAGGTCTCTTCAACGAGTCTATTTCTCCACTGGTGCTGCCGAGGAGAGTTATTTTGGCGCGAGGGGAGTGTAGAGGCAAGGAGGATAGGGGTGTCGGCGGAAAGGGAGACTTCTGTAGGCCCGGCTTGGGTGAGATAAGTAGCTTTTGGTTCTCTGGGGGAATAGAAAGTTTCTCTGAAAGCGCATTTGAAAGATCTTGAAGTGTAGAATCCTGCGGCAGCGAGAATGAATGGCTATTGCCTTGGTGGTGAACTGTGATGTTCATATTGCTCAGCTCGCCTGAGCTAGCTTGCAAATCGCCGGAGTCCATGTTGGAGGTTAGTCGGGCAGCTTCTGTGATGAAATATGGTGATTTCAGTTAGTGATTGTATTCGAGGAGTCACTTATATATACAGAGGTTTCGCCTCGTCTTGACTCGTAATCATGCTGTTGACTAGAAGGACATCGAATCCTTCTGCTAGTTGTTTCGGTCCTATCCAGACACGCCATATTTGCCTCTGCTAGCATTAATAATCTCGCCCTGGCTGCTTCGTATAGAGGCTTAATTCAACCCAAAGGACTGATAACAGCAACTATGTCGTAGATGAGAGTTATATACTCCGTAAACGCGGAAAGACGCAACAGGATGCCGTTCACGCCGCTTGGAGATGACTTATTGAGGTAATTCTCAAGCCTGGTGGTAACGGAATCCCAGACAGCGTTTGACTTGGGAGTATTAACAGTTCTATAGGTGATATATCTCCAGCCTCCGCGTCTGATGCCATGATCGTTAGATCGTTAGATCGTAGGCCAAATAATTTAGGTGTCTCAAGATGATGGCTTGATGATAACGCCAGGCCAACAGATACAGCCATCTGGCATCTTCCAGGTTACTACCACACGTCAGCAGCTACTAGAATATATTGTCAGATTCAAAGATAGCTGAGCCTTGGAACAACCATGGACGCGAGACGCGGCAGGTTTCTACTCTCCTTGCTTAATCGACTGGGTCAGAAGCCCGTCCTATGCAGCCGAACATCACCATTCCCCTTGACACGCGCAACGCGCGCGCTGCATCATCAAACTACTGTTAGTAGTATATCACAAGCAGAGGTGTTTGGAAACCTAACTCCATCATGTAATTTCTACTCTGATCCTTCATCAGTTCTCAGTGTATGCTGACAATATGATATAGCAATGTATGCCTACACCGCGGGTCGGTGGTTGCATCTCGACAAAGCACAGCGCAACGCGCGGTATATCGAATTTAATTTTGACCGCTTGTGTGAGAAAGTGCTTTCACTCTGCCCTTCTGCTACCTCGATTGAAAGCTGCCAGAAGCTCGAGGGTGGGTTTAGTAAAGTACTTATTCTCAAAACCGACAATGGTAGAGATATTGTTGTCAAATTTCCTACATCTGTTGCTGGATCAGCAAGGCATGTAACGAACTCTGAAGTTGCAACAATCACTTATCGTAAGAGAAATTCGGAATATTAGTGAGAAATTTATATTAACACATTATAGTGCAATGCAAAACCCAAGTACCAATCCCGGCTATTCTGGATTGGAGTGATGACCCTACCAACCCTGTTGGCTCAGCATATATCATTATGGAACATGTCGGGGGTGTCCTGCTACAGGAAGCATGGGAAGACATGTCATTTGAGGAGAAAATAAAGTGCATTGGAGCAATCTGCACCAGTATTCTACCAATAACTGAGCTTGACTTTTCAGAATATGGCAGCCTTTATTTTGCTGATGCATCATTTATTGATGCTAGTTCTAAGCAAAAGTTAGAAAATAATGTCAAGTACTGCATTGGGCCACATTGTAGAAGCAGTACATACTGGGATTGCAATGTTGGTGAACCAAGATATTACGTATCCAAAGGACCCAATAGAGGGCCATGTAAGCTGATCTTGCTTCCATTTATATGATTTACCCATTAACCTTGAATGTTTAGGGCGCGATCTCTCCTCATACGCCTCTGCTTTGATAGACTCTGGCCTTTCAAGACTGCCACCAGCTGATCATCCTATTCTTCGCCAGAACCAAGCATCCTACCAAGGCTCAGTGGATAGGCATTTAGAACTACTTAAAGTAGGCCAGGCCACCATCTCTGAGCTTATTAAACATCCCAAAATCCAATCTAATGCAACACCGACCCTCTTTCACCCTGATCTACACAAGAGGAATATTTTCGTCTCAAAGGATGACCCGACTACCGTGACTGGGATAATCGATTGGCAATGTGCTAGTATTGAGCCAGCATTCTATTATGCAGATGATATACCCGATTTCGCTAAGGTACCCGCCGAAGGAACATCGGATTCCTCCGAGGAAGCTGCTTGCAACCAAGCATTTGAGGTAGGCTTAGCTCTTCTCGGCCCACGTCTAGGAGAGGCCAGAAAGGTTGATGAAACACTCCTCCGTCCATTCCGCTATTGCCATCGGACGTGGAGAGATGGATTTATACCATTTACCTGCGAACTGATGCGGCTAAGAGACGCATGGGAAAAGCTTGGCTTCGAGAACGATTGTCCCGTACCGGCCTTGAGCCCGGAAGAGATGAGCTTTTACGAAGAACAGCTTGGGATCTATAATGGGATGTTGGAGTTTAGGCAAGATATGGTTGAAACCCTAGAGGTGGAGGGTGATGGCTGGGTGTCTGAAGATCGCTGGGAGGGAGTGAGGAAAGCTCACCAGTATTTCTATGAGAATATCATGGCGGGTTTGGAGAATGATAAAGACCGTGAGGACTTGAGGACTATGTGGCCATTTGATCAATGTCAACCTGAGGCCTGAAATTGGCCGGACAGTCCTAGCACCAACTTAGGCTGGATAGAATATCGATTGATATGAAGGTTGTTCAGGCGAATGCATGAAACTGGTTATATCCCAGTCCGACTAACTGAAATAAACGGATCTGGAGGGCCTACTATGCTCCTTGACCAGCAACATGATATCAACGTCCTTGTATTGTCATGGCCCTTGGGACGCGTCAAAAGTAAGGCGATGATCATGTGACTACGACGCGTAAAGCGATTTTGAGACTCGGGGATGAAGAAGTTCACAAGTGATATGGCAGCATGCTTCAATAATAGTGAACAAGAGGTATTTGATACATGAAGTTGATTATACAAACTCATATAGCCATTTCATGTTACTAGAATGCCGAATGCCACCAGCTCCTGACCTGATATCCACTTTCCCAGATATATTCACAGCCGGTTTGACCAGCATACCGCAGTTGGTTTCTAATGATTTATTCCCCCTTTTACTCTATAACCCCTTCGCTCGATCGAAGGGTGAGATTGGAAGCCATTTGCGCAAGTCAGCACTCCAGAAATGACTGAGTTCTCGACAAGTTAGCACCAGGCCATATGCTAGCCTATATTACCGGTCTTCGCACTCACTTCTCATATTCTGTCCTCCGGAGAGAATCATTCCCATATTCCGTGATGAGGATATCAACATAGTTGAACGGGACTTTGGCGAGAACTCCTTCGCATGTGGTCTCGCGTAATGGATAGATGTCAGCAGCTCGATACGTGTGGAAGTTTTTATCCGACAGGACTCCTGGCTCGATATCATTGTTTAGCTCGCTGATTCCCGTGATATCGGTGAATATGCCGCTGGTAATGTCCATCCATCGGGCGTCGATAATGTTTTGGCCGTCACCGCGCTCTCGCTCTCTTGATGCTGGATTGACATCTAGCAGATATTGTCGTGGCCTTCTCTGGCCCGATAATATACTGGTGTAATTATAAACTGTCTGGTTGAAATAATCGCCGAGATGCTGAAGGGTTTCGGAGCTGACTTGCGCATCCAGGTCCCAATCCCATGGGAGCATCTGCTGTTGGATAAATCAGTTAGCCTGCGCTCCATTGACCAGCATTACTCATGATATTCCAACCATCGCTCAAGAGCCTGGATATATGAACAATTTGTCCTTTACCTTTCCATTCCACCACCATCCCAACAACGTCCCGTGGGCTATCCAGGTTTCCAGCCCATTTTCCTGGAAGAATTGTAGGTACGCTCGAATCATATCGATTAGGCCTTCGACTCGATCGATATGGCTCATAACGCCATTGAAGTATCTATTATCATAATGGCGCAGCGTGTCGTCCGTTCCTGGCTCGTCAAAATATTTACCAGGCCCCCTTTTCCTTGAACTGTTTGCTACCTCGGAAACAGCTGTGACTGCGCAGTATAGAAAGGATGGCACCATCAACAAACATGCCCTTAGGGCCTTCATCTTGACTCTGTCGCTACCTAGTTCTTTCAGCAGGCGGTGCCTTTTCAGGAGGCATTTGGTGGGAATGCGTGATGGTATTAACCCAAAATGATATCATTCTATTGCTTGGAGTGATCTATACTCGATATCCATGCCTCATGGTAATGACATACATACCAGATGCCAGAACTATAAGCATATAATAGACAGTTAAGGATATAAAAGAACGGATACACTTGGTGTATGCGATATCGTCCTTCTGTCTCTGCGTGCACTATTTAATATGGTCGCGTGCCCCTTCTACTATTACGTCCAGATAAGCAGGCTTCGTCCACGGCTCTAATCCTTGATTTCCATGGTAGATGGCCAGCCGCTGGGTTCCGAGAAGGCAGTGCAAACTGCTAGTGGTGTGGTAAAAAGTTGGTTCTACTGCGTTCTATGACCAGGCTATGAAGGTACATAGTAAGCGATTTTTAGCTCGACACAACCGCCCACTTGGTTAAGACGGAGTATCCGGAGTGGCAACACGAACAATTTATAGAATGATATTGAATGATATGTTTCGCTTGGTGATATGTGATCATTTATATCAAACACAGAGCAGCCTGATGCTATTGAGAACACTACACCGGTGCAAAAGTATGACCCAAATCCGTCCCAAACCGATACCAGAACTCCTAAGATAGTAGAGACAAATCCTATATAGTTTTACGCCTGTAAATTCAGATCACCACGCACCTAGTGACCCAAAGAAAGAAATAAGTAACATGGACAAATGGCTGGAAGCATCGCCGTCCTCTCAGGAAATAGTAGGCACGGGTATGCAATTTAGACTACCCGGTTCCTCAGCAATACAGAAGAGGGCCATGAATATAAATTCAAGCATGGTCTCCATCATTGCTACTAGTGACACTGCCCACTTCAGACCAGCTGACGGGCGTATACACTTCTTCTCGTGACCGGCCAAGATCGCTTATGGAGTCGTCCGAGGAAGTCTCGAATGGATCATTCGCTATATGGCTCAAGTTTGAAGCGATGGACGGAGCGGACGAGGGTTGGGTTGGGGGAGTGGCATCGTGATCAGCCTCAAAGAGTACACTTCCAGGTTGGAAAGCCGCCTGGCTATGATGGTCAGGGTGGGCATAATAGAAATCCGGTTCCCCGTCCTCTGTATGCGTTAATGAGGCAGTGTCAGATGATTCCTGGGGAGGAATTTCTTGTTCACTGATGTGAATTTGGAAATCAGCACCTGGGAACTCAGATGTTGGAGTCAAATTCACTAATGATTCGGAAGGGTGGTTGGAGGATGTATCTGAGCCCATAGTGGAGGAACGTGAGGGCCCCATCTGTAGGCTCTCGATGAGTGCGTGGCGTTGGTCTGGATTAATGTCCGGGATGACCACTGACAGCGAATGTGAAGCAGTGCTTGAATCGCCTTGTTTCACGTTAACAGGCATTACCCGCGATATGTCGGGCATCTCGACGCCGGAGGCCTCGGAGATTGGGGGATGCAAGTCCTGGTCAGACTCTTTTGTTTCTTTCAATCGTCCTTCGCTGTCCACGAGTTTATCGAAACTGCTCATACTACCCTCTGAGCTGGTGCGCCGTTTTGCTGTGAGCAGAGCATGACGTCTCATGATGTCTTCCCTTGCCTTCCGTCGTCTCTCCTCGGCTTCTAGCCCGGTAGCTTCGGTCATGGATATATCATCTCTCTGAGCTGTACGCCTCTGCTCTGGACTGATCCCGTCTCCAAGGCTATGTAAAGCAAGGGCTATCTTGCGGCGAGAAGTATCGAGCCATCTCTTGACCTCTGGGCTCTCATAGGCGGCAATCCCAGCTGCAACGATGATAGTGACGGTGATCACGATACCTAAAACGGGGATTCCTTGTTACCACACCATTTCCATATATCAAATATAAATGATAAAGAGACACCTTATGAGGCGAACGAGGCCTTCCATAATTACTGACCTTTTGCTAGAGGGGCAGTCATGTTGAGGGGGATCTGTTGTGCGGAGTAAAACGGGAGCGGTGTTAATTCAGGTTCTTCGAAGCACTTCCGTACCTAGCTGCTAAGATCAACTGCTTAGTATGCGTCGAACCTGGCCTCACATCAGCCACTCGAGAGCAACGGGTTGGTGGCTCTTTTATGATGCTGCAATGCGTCTGCCTGTCGGACTTTCGCCCTCGGTCGTCATGCTGCTTAGATAAGCCCTTATCGCCAAACACTAAATCTCCCCTAATCTACAAATCTACAACTCGCCCAACGCGCCGTTAAAGAGTCAACGGGAAACGGCTGCATCTACGTGTCCTGGACAGAATGTCTCATCCTCCGACGTTACAGCGGAATCTGACTTTGACAGAAGAGCTGGAAAAGCTCGAGCAGTCCATCACATTGACGTTACAGGGTATGTTCGACCTTGCATTCCATTGCGGGTAGCTTGGAAAGGATATCAATACGGCTACTATGAGAACTATGGCTAATATCTCTGGTCTACTTGAAACAGAAATCGACTCCAACTTTAATCGAGCCCATCGAATAGTGACATCCAGCATCATTCCAATTGTTGAGCAATATGCGGAGAATTCCAAAGATGTATGGGAGGCATCAAAGGTATGGCCGGACATGATCCAGTGACACAAAACATTGGTCTGATAAATAGGGAGAATATTAGTTTTGGAAACAATTCTTTGAAGCGAGTGCCAATGTTTCGTTATCTGGCTATGAGGAACAGCCACCTAGTGAGGCAGGGCAAGATACCACCGTGAATGCCGATACGACTACCACTTGCGATTCGACATATCAAGAGTCCGAATCGTACGCCACGCCATCATCGGAACATATAAAATTAGAGCACAAGATTAAAGACGAAGATGACCCCGACCTTTCCACCCTCTCGCTATCCCCGTCGCATAGCACTCCGCGTGCTAAAAGTATGCCCCATACAATGGATGATGACGACACAACATCACGAATGGAGTACTCCTCAGCCTTTGACCAACACGGGGAAGATTTACCGGCTGTTGAATCACCACTCCAGCTCCATGACACCGGTCCAAGGACGCCTGGCAAGGGAAAGCAACCGAATTACAATGATATCGCTACTCCAGGCACCTCCTCATCCACCGTATTTAATCCCACGTCGAATTTTGACCTATCGATAGCTCGAAAGGGAGACAAGACTGATCCTCTCATGCACCGGGTCCTGGATAAAACATACCGTGTCCAAGCGACTCCCCTGGCCAGTTCACGCAAAGCTCCCAGCAGCAAGGGAGCTAGTAGATTTGGCACTGTGACTCCCCTTACCTCGCGATATAAACTAGATGATTCTCCGCTTTCGAGTCCAGAGCTAGAAGCTCCAAAATTACATACGGAATTATTCGATTCACCTATGATTCAACGAAGCGCTCGGAAGCGTAATACTAGCAAACCTCGAACCCCTGGGATTAGCATTTTAGCTACCCCTTCAAATAAGCATAGAGAGAAGGCAAACCCTTGGGATAGTGATGAAGAATTTGGCCACGCTGGATACGCCGATGATGACGATGAAGATGATACGGCACTGGTAGACTTCAGTCCTCCAAAGACCATGCAATTCCATGTACCGCAAAGTCGACTGCTAAAGACTCCAGGTATGCGATTCCTAGTTACTCCCCCCCAAATAACGTATGTTACTCACATATACCATCAACCTATAGCAAAAGAAGCTTCTAAACGCATAGTTTCGGATTTACTTCACACTGCTGGTGGCAGTGACCTCACCGATGAGCTGGATGATATTTATGATGAATCTAACAATAGCCCGAGCATTGTTCGTCGTTCCGGTTTAGATGACGAAACATTTTAGCCCATAAATAAGAGTACAATACTACACATGTACCTCGACATAATAAGTGACATGTATAAACGTATAGATATAGGGCCAATATACTTATAATCTCAAAGACAGGTCGATGAAACATGAGGGATAACAGATGATACATCAGCTATTCTTTACCCTTTCCAGTACAAAATTAAGATGCTATGCACGATAAGGTGGGTCTACAATCATAACATTCTTATTATTAATATGCTGGTGAGCAAGTAGCTGGAAAGAGGGGGAGGGTATGAGGGTATTGAGTAAAGGAAATGACACACCATAAAAGTTAACACAACGAGTCAACGGAAGAGACAAGAATTAAGACCAAAACAAGTAAAATCGTCACAACAGAAAGACATTAAGGGGGTAACAATGATATAAAAAGGGGGTAGGGGTAAAAAATCGCATTCCTGTCTGGGCCAGCAGAAGATTGGTATATTTCCCAAGTTCGTCTTTCAATCCCTTACATCCTGCTTTCTCCATTGCAAACAAATGAACTGAAACAGAAAAAGGAGGCTAAAATCAACAGGAAAGAAAGACGGGGCAGTGGTATAGTATAACCACTCTTGAAATGTGGGGCATGTCAAAAAATGGTAAATGCGAAATGAATAAGAATAGTTAGGTAAGGACAAAAATTGTAATGCAGAATTCTCCTCTCCGAGCCTCCATTCCGTGGCCGTCCGGTCTTTTATCTCCAAGAAAAAAAAATATATTATTGTTTGAAAAGTTGTAGCGTAAGTAGTTAGGTGGGTTGACCTAATCTAGTTCCACTATAAGGACTCAGATGTTGCGGAAAGTCAAAATTTCCAGGGGTAGCGTCGTTCATTTCATCACTCCTCAATGCCCATGAATATGTCCTGGCAGTTTTCTACCATAAACTGGATCGTTTCGTTCTTTTTCTGGACATCGGTCATTTCACGGCTCAAGCTTTCGGGGCGTAAGATTGTAGGCGCAAAAACAACGGCGATGTTAAGACTAGTCATGAGATTTTCCTTCTCGCGATCAACGACACGTTTCAAGTGGAAGACGAGGAACTCGAGGACGTCCCTGTGTACGCGAGGGAGTTCCTGAAGGCCTTGCTGAATGACTTCAACTCTTGCGGAGACAGGCGTCACGTTGGTTGCTTCGAGGAGCATGTCATACACAGGGTATGTGACGAGAGGGGTCGGGAGCATGCGGAAATATTGCTTGAGGGTGGAAGTGATGGCGTTTATATCAAGGTCGGGATCCGATATATCATAGTCGCGAGAACGCTCAAAGCCTTCACGAATAGTTTGAACTTGGGAGCTTCCTCCAGATTTCCGGTAGATGCCTTCCACGTCCATTCCTAAAAGAGATAAAAGTGTGAGCAGACATAAAGAAAAAGCAAATAGTATCAAAGGGTTCAACGGGAGATAGCTTACCTCGGAGTTCGACTTCCTCGATACAACGTGTGACAACACTAGGGATGACAGCTTTCTCAATCTCCAGCCGTTGCTCCAGTTCTCCACCAAACAGACCTAGGACATATTAGCTCTATCCAAAGGAGTCTGAAAAAGCCATGGAAATATAGAATATGCTTACTTATTGGTGATTCCAGAGCCGGGGAACTACCATTAGACTGTCCCTTCCATGGCGTAGGCTTACTCTTCTGATTCCCAAAGAAACCGAATCCCTGTCTGGATGGGTCCTGCGTCTGCGAACGCGGCATAGCTGGTCCACTTCCTTCCTGCTGGGAACCAGAATTATACGAGGAGTTCTCGTTAAATTGGCCCTGGCCCTCCCGCTGGTACAAGAATGCGCCCTTGAGCCCCTTGGTAACGCCCTTGGCAACGTTCTGACCCTTTTTCCAGGTAAATTTCTTGGGTTGTGCTTTGCGGATACTCACGACATGAGGTCCTTGAATGACGGTAGCCGGCTCGGCTTCTTCCGGCACCGTTACGCTAGAGGTGGAAGTTCCCGCTTCATAGGGAGTAGAGCGTGCTTCTAAGGAGGCGGTAGATTTGTCCTTATGGTGGGAGTATATCCCCAGGCCATTTGGAGGGGGTCGGGTACTACCGCCGCTAGAGGTATTTGAGTTTGCCTTGTACAGTTCCTGGATCTGGTGCACAAGCTGGTTGTTTAGCTCTGCCAACTGTGCATTTTTTAGTGACAATTGTTCAAACTCTTGGAAGCTCTTGTCCTTCATCTTTCCAAGGTTAGCTAATTCTTCAACCAGATCATTGCGTTTCTGAATCAGCTCTTCGATCTGCGGGGCAAAGGTATCTTTCAGGCCTTCAAGAGATTCGGCAAGATCTCGAAGAACAGAGTTGCTCATCTTCCCCAGATCAAGTGGCTTATTATTTTTCTTCTCGGCTGCAATATGCTCCTTCCATACCTCGAGCTCTCGAAGGATGATCTCCTTTTGCGCATCCAGGAAGATCATGGTAGATCGTTTCTCCCGTAGCTCTGTGTTGACCTGCTTAATATTTACAGTTGCATTAAGCGAGGATTCTAATTCCAAAATCTTTTGATCTTTCTCGATAACCTTCTGGCGCTCCCGTTTCAGTTCGTTTTTGAGCCAAGTTAGTTCGTCCTTGCTTTCAAGGCCACCGGATGTCGGGCTACTAAGGTCGTTCCCAGAGCTTCCAGTGCCAGGAGGAGATTTAGCAGGCCATTTGTGCTCTCGAGATAGCCGTGAGCCCTTGTCACTGAAACTTCTACCATGTCGAACAGAGTTTGACACTTTACGGAGGAATGAGTCCTGAGCCTGTGCATCATCGCCAAGGATACGCGCCATATCTTCATCTAGGGAGAAGTCACCAACTGCGCTGTACCGCAGAAGTCCAGGAGAGGACCCAGGAGATGCTTGTCGCTGGGCGTCTGATGGTAGAGTATAACTGCTGACGCCTCCGGATGCAGACCGGGTATGTGATGAGGGAGCAGTAGTTGTTGTAGCATTATTACGAGCTGGTGGTATGCTTTCAATCGCCTTTGATGCCACTGACGCATAATCGGAGCTGGTGGAGGACCTAACAGTGCCTTCATTCTGTTCTGCATGATCATGAGATGCCGGTGGGATTTCCTTCCTTTGAATGTTCTGATGAAGTTTACTACTTTCCAAGGAGTCTCCTCTCTTAGGTGGGTATTGTAGCTGATTCGAAGCGGAAGAAATCGTGCCGGGATTGGCTTGTTCAGTCGATAATTTTTTCCTCTGGTTCGCGGTGGAGTTTTGAGAGACGAGGGCTTCCTTTCCAGGAACCGAATGGCGGTTCGATGACCTCTCGCTGTGTCTAATAGAGCTTGTCTCCGGGTTAAGATGGGTGTTAGATCCGAAGTTGCCTTGGTCCTTGCTTCTGGGGATTTCCTGGGATAGCCTAGAGTTGTCTATGCTCATGCTAGCGCGAGCACTATGCGAGTCGCCTCGTTGGTTAGAGTTATTTGCTTGTTGCCCTTGAGGTGGAGTGGTAGCTTCCTGAAGCCATTGCTGGGGGATGGCATTCATTTGTCGCTTATCCTGATATGCGATGTGGGATGGCGATAACATCGAGGGGCTTTCCCCTATTCCGAGAGGCGCAGCGGCTACACGACTAAAATAGTCCTTTGGCCTGTCATCGCTTTGTGTCATAGATGAATTCGGGGAGCCCATGTGTGGAGACGGGTGCTCAGAGGGGGTAGGGTCAAACGCAACGGGTATGAGGAATTCTTCACCTCCGGACCCATCAGACCTATGAGTTGCTACTGAGTGACGGTTGCTGTTATAAGTGCTCGAGGGGAGAAGTTGATTGTCTAGCAAGTTAAACTCTTAGTTGATGGCCGTTAATAGCTGACCGGTATCACCGAGACATACCTTGATTTGAAGAATACGACCGGACTCCCCGGTCGTCCTCCTGCCTAGATTGGGGAAGGTGATCCGATGTTGTATCGGAATATATATCAGAGGAGGATGGCGGTTGTGCATTATTGTCAGGCACCATCATGGATGGAGGGAGTGATGGAAGCGATTTATCAAGATGCATGCTCGGGCCAGGAGGCTTCTGTCGCTGCGCAGCGTTCCGAGCCGTTCGTTTCCTCCTCCTCGACATTAACGATTCATGGCAATCCATGCAAAATATACCCTGCGAGGTTCGTGCATAGCGGAGATTTTCGATCTTTTTCTTGCAATTGCGGCACTTGAAACACCCGGCGCAAAAAGCTTGCTCGCCGGTAACAATCGCGACGTCGTCGATTTTGGAACCGCAGGAGCTGCAGCTGTAGGCACAATTTCTGCACACGAGGGAGCCATCGCCGACCATAAGGAGGTTTACGTCGGAGTCGAGGTAAGCGCCGCAAGTATGACATCGGAAGCAATCGATATGCCATCGGTTTCCGGCTGTTATAATGATTAGGAGTTTGCCGTTACTATATAACGGGAAGAATTCACATACCAAGCTCGAAAGCCTTTCCTTCCTCGAGAATCTTGAATACAAGAAATTTTAGCATATATCCATTAAACCCCAAAAAGAGAAGAGAAAACAGAAGCTCATACCTCACCACATCCTTTGCAGTGGATTGGAAAGTCGTCCTGGTCATCAGGCGACTCAGTCGAGGCTGAAGCATCCATATCCATCTTCGCGGCTGTCCCAGAATATATGCGAGTTGTGTGTGTTCAGCGTGAGAGGACAAGGATCGAAAAAGGGTCAAGTACGGTAGGACGTGAGCGTTGAAGGCGGGTCTATCAATATTGTGATATGAAGCATCTGAGAGCAAGTCCAAGCTTAAGATCCCCTCGATGAAGAGAATTATCCGGTATGCGATTTGTTTCAGCTATAATCGCAAAACCGCTACTATTCTGTAGTCCCAAATATAGAGCCAAATCCGTCGAATGAGAGGTACCGGTTGATTGTTAGACGGCCCCCATTCAAAGGTTCGAGGGCAGGATTGACAGGTGAGAGGTCGAGAGCGGGGACGATCAATATGCGATGTTAGGGACGGGGGAGGGCCGCAGGGCCACGTCGATGTATCAGAGTTGAGATGAGGGAGCGTAATGGATATTGACTCTATCGACCGGTCGAGGTTAGCAGAGCCACGATATGAGCTGCGACGGTCACGTAGTCACGGCGCGACTTGGGACGATCAAGATAACGACAGATGGTGTTCAGCCACGAAATAACAACAGGAGACAGAGCAGGGGGCAGCTGAGGAGGAGAAGGAGGAAGGATACGAGCTGTCTTGGATGGGCTTGAAGCGAAAATAACGGACCAAGAATATGCGAAACACACCAATAGCTCCTGAAAGGGGGCAGCAGCAAAAAGCAAAAGCAAAAGCAACAGAAACGAATGCTCGTCTTCTTCTTCCCCTTTCAGTATGTAGAAGGGGTTGCGCTGGTTGATACGCGGATAAGATTATATATATAAATCTATTTATCCGTATAGAACTCTATGACCATGGGCTGGCCTGGGTCATTTGAACCCGGCAAGGGAGAGGCAGCAGATCAGGCCCGGGGTTGCAGCACTTACAACGACACGTAGACTCCGTGTGTATCCCCTAGGAACGAGGCTGACGCCAACGGCTGGCTGCTACTGCGAGGAGAGGACTTGACAGGACGGTAGATGGAGCTGGCGAGTGGCGGGCATCCCACAGTCTGCGTGCTGGAGAGACTCTTCCTTATTCTTCGCGGCCGGGAGACGAAGCGGAGGGCATCGCGGGCAGCGTTGTACAGGCTCAGGGAGCGGTGGACGGCAGGGATGAAGTTGGTTTGGCTGATTCGTCGTGGCTGATGGAAGTTGAGATTAATTTGGGATCCTTGGGTCCGCGTATTGTCTCATACATCGCGTGTATTAGATACGGAGCTACCTACCTTTTGCAGGAGTCCACTATCTAATGGAAGTCACTTTTCTGTAATATATGGTAATTTGGATACAAGACTAGTTAAGGATGTTTCAGCGAGAAGTCAATGGCTTATGTAACACTTTCCAGGTCAATACCTCACTCAATAGCATCAACCATCAATACAACATTTACCATCAATAGACAACCGGATGGTGATAGACGGAAGAGGGTCGCGTGTCGTCGATGGCCGTCACCGTCGCACAATATCCCTCAAATCACCGTTGTCTCTCACAAAGGAGCTCACAAAACGCTCATATATCAAAGGGAACCTGCATATACTAACTGGCTGACTGGCTGACCGACAGTAAAACCGCCCCTGAGTCCTCGGGCCTGTCCGCATGTATGCAGCTAGCGAGAGGAACAAGCATGGCTTCGGGCATTGGTTATCCAGCCTGACGCTGAGACTGTACATATCAGCTCGTTCCAACACGGTAAACAGTCACGATGGACGATATAGAAGAAACATGAAAACATGACAGGTCATCTCCTACGTCTTTTCCACGTGGAGATTCATGCACAAATCTTCGTATATACGAGGGAGAGAGCTCTCTACCACTCCACCGTTCCATCACGGTGCTTTGAATGTCAGCATGGACAAGGCTATTTTGCGATCCGCCACAGTACCCAGACTCCGCATTAATACGTCCAAGCAAGGGGAGAGAGTCGCCCAAAGCGTCACGCCGAGCACTCCGAGCGTCACCCGAAGCCGTCCAACAGTCCAACAGTTGGAGATAGCTCGCTGTATCGCGGACGCGCGTGCACTTGAAATGAGCTTCTGCAGTTTAACTCACGAGATGCGTACCTGCATGTCTACACACCTCTAACTCGGCACCGGAAGGCTAATTTTGTATTGGTAAAAGAGTTTTGTCTGGATGATCGCTGGAGCAGAGTTAGTGGCGTGTACCCCTGAGTCGCTCATTTTCGCTCTCAGGGACGGAAGCTTTAGGATGTCAACATGTCGAGAATTTTGATAATCTGTTGAAAGATATTAGTCAATGTACGGAGTATGGGTGTATGAATTGCCTGTTAACTACGAAAAAGACACCGTGATAATATCGTAAAGAAATGGAATTAACGTCTAATTAATAAATATACAAAACAATTCAATAAGCGTCGTTGCAACTTTCAGATATACTCAAACGATTTTGCTCCAAAAACGCTCCAACACGGCCATAAAAAGATACAAGAATAAATGAAAACACAATGGATGAGTTCGTGTCATTGGTGGAATGAAATAATTAATAGTCGAGTAATTGAGCTGAGCCCCTGAAGCTGATAAACCACAAACAATCCCTTAAGGTATAACAAACATCAAAATATCATGTCTTCCTACTTCTTTCGAAAATGATGAAGAAGGATAGACTTGCTTCAGTGACATCGTGCCCACAGCCTGTGACTTTGACCGTTTATTGACCGATAGTGTTACCGACGAGTCTCTCGGCAGCACCAACAGAGTTGGCAGCATCGAGGTTGTTAGCGGCATCGACGTTCTTGATGGCCTCGATTTGACGTCCGGCAAGACCGTTGGTAGCACCACCGAGGAGGTTTCCAGTAGCGCCCTGAACGACACCAGTGGCAGTTCCAGTGATACCCTCAACACCGAGCTGGCGCTTAGCGGCATCCAAACCGTTGGCAGCACCGGCACCGTTGGCAGCAGCGACGTTCTTGATGGCCTCGATCTGACGTCCGGCAAGACCGTTGGTAGCACCGCCGAGGAGGTTTCCAGTAGCGCCCTGAACGACACCAGTGGCAGTTCCAGTAATACCCTCAACACTGAGTTGACGCTTAACGGCATCCAAGTTGTTGACAGCATCGGCACCGTTGGCAGCAGCGACGTTCTTGACGGCCTCGATATCGCGCTTGAGGACACCTAGTTCCTTAGCAGCACCGAGGTTGTTGGCAGCAGCGACGTTCTTGACGGCTTCGATATCACGCTTGAGGACACCCAATTCTTTAGCAGCACCGAGGTTGTTGGCAGCGGCGACGTTCTTGACGGCCTCGATATCACGCTTAACGGCATCGACGTGGTTGGCAGCATCGGCACCGTTGGCGGCAGCGACGTTCTTGATGGCCTCGATCTGACGCTTGAGGACACCCAATTGTTTGGCGGCGCCGAGGTCGTTGGCAGCGGCGACGTTCTTGACGGCCTCGATGTCGCGCTTAGCGGCATCGACGTTGTCGGCAGCACCGAGGTTGTTGGCAGCAGCGACGTTCTTGATGGCCTCGATCTGACGTCCGGCAAGACCGTTGGTAGCACCACCGAGCAGGTTTCCAGTAGCACCCTGGACGAGGCCAGTGGCAGTGCCAGTGAGACCGTCAACGCCAACCTGACGCTTGTTTGCGCCCTGGGTCAACTTTCCGGCAAGACCGATAGCCTCACCGCCGACGTTAGGGCCGGTAATGCTACCGGCTCTTCCGAGAGTGTTTTCGGTGGCGCCTCCGATGATCGAGTTAACACCGGTGTCGCGCTTGACCTGTCCCTGGGTTGCCCCATCGACAGTTCCTCCAGCAACGTTGTGGACTACTCCGTTAGCAGTGCCAGTAGTTCCGCCAACAGTTCCTCCGACAACATCACGAACTGCAACTGGGGCAGCAAAGGCAGAGCTGACCATGATGGCCGAGAGGACGGTAGATGAGAAACGCATCTTGATGGATTTGAAGGAATGTTAGGTTGGGAAAGAAGGAGTGTGGAGAACCAGAGGAAAATTGAGAGAAGAGACTAAAGAATGTGTAAATGAGTGAATGTCTCAAGTTGGTTGCTGGATAAGAAAAGAAGAGGTGATCCAAGAGGATTCTTCCATCCTTTTATGCCACCGGCCTCACTTCCTGCTCCCTTTCGATATGTCACGCTCGCTCTCCCGTCATTGCAGATCCGGCCAACAGCTCGTGTCTCCTTTCGGAGGCGGCCCCTTTAGCCAGTCCCACTCACAAGGAATAACTGCTGCCATCCGTGCTATTCGCCGCATGCTCAGTCCTCACCAGGGCGAGCTTCTCCGGAGTTGGAAGTGATATCTGCACGATCCCATCTTTGGCTCCACTCCGCTTGCACGGAGTAGTTTTCATTCAATAGGTCAAAGTTATGCGCTGGCGGAGGCCTCACTACCAGAGCTTGCTAAAGCAGGCTATCATCTCGGCTGGCATTCTTGTATCTGTAGGTAGCTCCTACTCAAAGCTGTAGATAGAGTACGGAGTATTGATAACTGGGTATCCTTTGACAATACTCCGTACTTCCTGCTCCTCGCCTCTAGACCACCCTGGAGTCTGTTTGTCTCTGCCTGCTCTCGACTTTTGCGGACGGCTACCTGTCGAAAATCTCTTTGTGGCTGTTGTTGTGATGTTGAGGTTAAAAGAAAAAATGTGGCTTGTCGATCGTCGAATCTATGGAAAATTGAGTTTGCGGGGCAAAAAGGGGTCGAAGCCACCAGTTCCACAGGTCGGCTCAAATGATAGTGCACGCCCTACACCATGTTATCATAGTTAGGGGTTTAGTTAGTGATCTACATGCTCGCAGGTGCACTTATCAAGCCTTGTTCCATGGGTGCTGTTGAGCAACCACCGGCATATGGAGATGTACCTGGCAAGTGAACAGCTATCCACGCCGTCAAGCTTTGCCCCTTGAAACGAACCATACCGCGCATACGCTTCAAGGTCTCAGGAACGGCAATAATGGAAGGTGTTTTATCGAACTGGTCATTCGGAGATGGCGACTATTTGTCAACCTAGTCGGACTATCTCCACGGGTTATCAGCCTTCACTCTTGAAGCCCTATGTCATCTATAGAAGCATTTAACGTCCGCCACTTCGCTACAACACACGGAGTACTAACCACCACAGGGCCTGAGCTAGAACAATCGAAGGTGAAACCAGTCGCCTTCAATATGTCGCGTGGGCCTTCGTAGATAGGGGAAACCAATCGTATGGGTTGGAATTGGGCCATATCTCAACGCTCCCCACCGGTGCAGGTAAGTCAGGGATTCCTAGTTATCGGTTGTGCATAGTTCTCGTCAATAGTTAATTGCGAAATAATCTCCGATATTCCACTGCGTCCGATCACATATTGGCGATACGCCTCAGAGAGGCTTCTAAGCGGCAGGCGGACCTGTTTATCGCTTCAGTGTGGACAACTAGTATTACGAATACTACCTGTTGGAATATCTCCCACTTAATTATCGATAGCCCCAATAGCGGGGCTTCCTTAGCAACGGTATAGCTTCGTTTAGCGCCTCTAGCTTTAACGGTAACGCCCATCACAGCGGGATGAATGTCAGGCACCCCATGCCCTGATGCGAGTGAGTCGTGGGAGGATGGGAGGATGGGAGCTGCCATTTGCTGCGCGGACGCTTCGAGAACGAGGCTAGAGGGCATCGTCAGTTGATCTTCATGAAAGCGGTCTGTCTTAGAATTATCCTACCAGGGTAAGGCTTGCACCACGAGTCGACTCGACAGTAGGAAGATATCCCGTACCAAACAACCGTCTCTGCCGTCTCTGCCGTCACTGACAAGCTAGCAATGCCCTTGATTGAAATGTACTTAGCCAGGGGAACTCTCGTGATGATCCTTCATTCCAGTTGATTATCAATCTTAAAGCTGAAGATCCTAATTCAACGTCTGCGGTTGTGAGGCAGACTACTACTGGTCTCTCTTGGGCGCGTACTCTGTACTTCCGTCGAAAGAAAGGAATGCAAGCAAACAGGAGAAGTGTTGTCTAGGTTAGATCTCGGGACCCTACAACCTAGATGGATGAGTGTGATGAGATGTTTTAGTCCGTTTGGAAATATCCTCTTCCAGGGTAGAAATGTGACGAGGAGCCTGAGAAAGGCTGAAGGCATGGTGGCTAGTAGCTTAATCGAGTTCCGTAAACTTTCCGGAAAACATTTGCAAAGTTACCAGTCAGCTCCGAGGACCAGGAACAGGGCTCGATGTTAAGTTCCATAATATATTTCATCTCGATCCATCCGTGGCTTGTTTCTTTCTCTACATCCTGACGTTTTGTTGTCCAGGATAAATTTGGCTAGAGCCCGGCTTAGTCATCGCTCAACTCCATGCTGATTTGAAACAACATTCCGTTCCCGAATTCCGTTCCATTCCCAAAGCTCAAGGGATAAACAAAATGGCCAGGTTATCTGTGGCCTTTGGCATTGAATCTAGCAGTTGAGCATGCGAGACTCACCAGGCAATGACAATATGCAGTCCAAAAACGCCCCTAGTCGACGGCAATATCGCCAGTATGGTACCTCCTGTACAAACTGTGTTCGCGGGAAGTCAAAGTGCACCCCAAGTCAAGGAGACCAAACGACTTGTCAAAGGTAGAATATCTCCGTTTATTTACTTTTTTGTCTTGGGTGCTTTGGCCTAAACCATGTATGCGATGCACAGATGCCAGCGTCTAGGAAAAGAGTGCCAGCCAGCACCAGCAACTCGTAAGCGGAGAGCTGTCGATCTCTCTTTAACTGCGAGGACCAGGAACTTAGAAGAGAAGCTCGATGAAGTCGTTGGTTTGCTCAAGCCTACGGTGGAGCCCCAGATTCCCCTCAGAGCGCAAAGCTATGCGGTATGTTCTCGATGTTGACTATTCTAACCCGGACTTGAGCTTATTGGATATAAATTCGCCTTTCTAAGCCTTCCCTGGCGACTCCTACACCATCGGCTGTAAGCTCCGATACACCACCAAGACCTGCCTCCCAGGGCCTTGGAGTGCCATCGGGAGAAGCGGAAAAGATTCTAAATACCTTCAAAGGACAGCTATCGAGCTATCTACCCTTTGTAATCATTGAGGATTCAATGACTGCGGAGGCATTTTATAGCCAATGGCCTTTCTTCTAGCTGACTATTGTGGCCGTCACGTCAAGATCAACTGATAAACAACTTGCCTTGGCTGAAGATATTAAACAGCATATTTCCCAGAGAATGCTTTTTGCAGGTGAAAAGAGTTTGGATTTACTCCTCGGCATTCTCACCTTTGTAACATGGTTCGTATGACTGACTTCCGGGATGTCAGAATTGACCTTGACGTTAATATCCTCTAGGGGACGCTTTACTGTCTATCCCGCACAGATCTTGACAAACCTTATGCAACTAGCTATTGCCTTGGTATATGATCTAGGTTTGAACAAGCCGGTGTCACAAGAGCCAGCTCATCGAGTCCTGTGGGAAGGACTCCCGGAGAAAACTCACAGTCCGGGAGTACGGACTATGCAAGGGCGGAGAGCGCTACTCGGTTGTTTCGCTTTAAGCACAACGTACGTACACCTTTATCTTTACCCCTTAAAACTAGACAATCACTCATGACTTCATTTAGAATTGCGTCATACTTTCGAAGGCTCGAACCTTTGCGCTGGACCCCGTTCTTAGACGAGTCTCTTCAAATATTGCTTGGATACAAAGAGTGCCCGTCTGACCTACTCCTAGTTAACCTCGTGCGATTAAGCCTTATCGCTGAAAACTCAGCAGAGAGCCATTGGCAATCATCGCCTGTATATCCGATTCAAGGCGATGGGACGCTATCAGAATTTTTCCACAGAGCAATCCACGCACGACTCGACAAGTTTAAGAAGGACCTTTCTCCAGAGCTCCAGCAAAACAGTAGGACATTGACACAGTATATTTTGCATGTAAATATTAACCAAGATTTCTACAGGGGCACTTTTACTAGGACTATATGGTGCAGAGGTCACTACCCATGAGTTTTCAGTATCGACGGATTCCAGCATGTTTACTGCTCCAGGGCTTCAACGCGTTGATTCGCTTTATAGCTACTTGCGTGCTACCAAATCCTGGCTTGACTTGTTTTTCACAATCCCACCAGCTGAGTACGTGGAATTTTCGCTATCAGTTCTTGCACTGCTCGGCCGGTGCCTTCTGGCGGCATTCAAACTCTCCACATTTGAGCACCCAGATTGGGATGTGTCTCTAGCAAGGGAAATTTTGCCCATGCCACTCATTCTTAACCAGGTGATAGAAAAGATGTCACAAGTAAAAATAGATGCCGGCTTAGCCAACATCAGCGAAGAATCTACGGACATTTATACCCGTTCTGCGAGGAAATTCTCCGCAGCGAAAATGTACCTTGAAACTCAATCTGAGAAAAAACGTATGAAGAAGAATACCGAGGCCGGAACAATGACCACAGAAGACGCGCCGTCGGATATGTTTGATGATATGTGGGTTAATGACCTGCTATTTGGTCCCGGTGATTATTTATTTGATACCCCCTTACCAAGACCGGATTTGGCTGGACCGGAATCTCGCTCCCAATTCCGTTCCTGAAATCCGGAGGCAAAATCCGGAGGTCAATTCCGGTCGTCGAATATAAAAGGTCAGGAACCGGATTCCTTAGTATTTATTTACAGCTCCTTCATCATAGCCTTGTGTTTCATTAGCTATTAGCAGCTCGATTCATCCATTGCCATGTCGGAGAAGGGAATGGGGGTTGGTCCGCCCCTAGATCAAGCAGTAAAGACGACGGAACAAGGAGAATTACAACCTAACCATTTAGAACAAGGTGATGAAGGAGCCGATGAAAAGCCCAAATACGTATTTGGTGTAAAGCTCGCTTTCATCCTAACGGCTCTCGCTCTTGTGATGTTCCTTTCGCTACTGGATATTTCAATTGTTGCTACGGTGAGTTAAAATTATTATTTTATTTTGCAACACTTCGTCTCATACTAACTCCTCTCGTTTTCTTAACTGTCAGGCGATTCCTCGCATTACAAGTGAATTTCGATCACTATCTGACATTGGATGGTATGGTAGTGTGTTTCTCTTGGGAAAGTGAGTTTCAATGCCGCTTGATATTACTCCTGAGCTGAAAATTGGGCTCACAGTACAATCTTAGCTTTTCACTCCAACCTTTAACAGGGAAGATATACACGCATTTCAGCCACAAGGTCAGCATTCTAGCGTAATTGGTTATCTTACTAGTACTTTTTATACTGATTCTCACGGTCTCTTAGTATACTTTTCTGGCGTTTCTTGCGGTTTTCGAATTTGGTTCACTGCTCTGCGGTGTTGCGGTTTCATCGAACATGTTAATTGTTGGTCGGGCAGTAGCAGGATTAGGATCCTCAGGCCTGTCAAATGGGGCCCTCACTGTCCTTTCATCATGTATCCCGGTACATAAAATGGCAGGTAGGTCGGCTTTAACTCTCTGTTACCGAGTATAGCTCAGACTAACGTTACCACAGCTTATCTTGGGATCCTTTTGTCAAGTAAGAAAGCATAAGGCTGTAATGCGAGACGCCGTTCTAATGAATCTTTCATTCTAGTCGGACAGATCGGGATTGTTGCTGGTCCACTGATTGGGGGGTCTCTAACGGAATATACAACATGGCGGTGGTGTATGTTTACCCCTGATTCTACGTATAATCAAGGATTACCTCTTATGACTAACATATGCCTAGGTTTTTACATCAACCTCCCTATTGGAGGCATTGCTGCCGTCTTGCTGCTTCTCGTCGATATTCCTAACCGAAAAGTGAACCCTGCCAGCAAACACCATCTCCAGCGGCTTCAAAAATTAGACCTCGGTGGATTCGCTCTGTTTGCTCTCGCCGCGGTACAACTCCTTCTGGCTCTCGATTGGGGTGGGACAAAACATGCTTGGGGAAGTGCCACTATTATAGGCCTCATATGCGGTGCTGTTTGCACCACGGCTGTATTTTGTGCATGGCAATATTACAGAAAGGACGCTGCCATGATTCCTTGTTCGATAATCAGACAGCGAGTTGTTTGGTGCAGCTGCTTGCTCGGTGGTTTCTTCATGGGCGCTATGTTGTTGATATCGTTTTATCTGCCTCTATACTTTCAAGCAGTGAAGGGTATTTCACCAACCCTCAGCGGAGTTTACCTACTGCCCCAAGTTATAAGTCAGATTATATTCTCCGCTTTCTCCGGTATCTTGGGTATTTCTCTCTTTCTTCTGGTCTACCTCCGTGGCTTATAGTTATCACTAACATTCCACACCTCTAGTCAAGAAATTCGGTTACTATCTCCCGTGGAGTGTCGGTGCAAGCATCTTGATATCAGTCTCCGCGGGCTTGATATCCACCTTTACCCCAGCCACCTCAGCAGGTATGTGGATAGGTTACCAAATCCTCGCGGGCGCTGGTCGAGGATGTGGGCTTCAAATGGTAATTATCTATACTCCTCTAACGAATCACCATTTTCCATGGCATTATCAGGAGTCCCTTACTAACATAAGTTATGTGAGGCATAGCCTATAATAGCAGTACAAAATGCTGTGACCGCCGAGCAGGAATCAATTGCATTCGCTATTGTGATGGCCACCCAGACGTTTGGGGGCTCGGTGTCCCTCGCTCTCGGCAAGGCAATTTTTAGCAGCGGGCTGGAGACAGCGCTGCCCATATACGCCCCAGAAGTAAACCCCGTGACGGTTATCAATGCAGGAGCAGGCGCAGTGAAAGACGCCGTTTCTAAGCACTTATTATCAGGGGTCTTATTGGCATATAGCGAAGCCATTTCGCATGTATTTTATGCAGCTACTGGTATCGCTTGCGTTACATTTCTGCTGAGCTGGGGGATCGGCTGGAGAAGCGTGAAGAAGCGACCTGAACCTGGAGAGGCCAAGTCAGAGACTTGACCTGAGTTCAGGCTCGCCATAAATTAATATATCGCAAGAAAAAGGGAAGTTCTTCTTGATTACGACGAATCAAGGCTGGCCACATACTAAGCCGGAGCGGAGCATGCTATTTTGTTGTGTGAATATGGATAGAACATATAGAAACGAACGGTCATACCTCCCACTGTTTCGTTTTGGATAGTCCATTAATCTAACTCGTGTGCAATTGTTGAGAAAACCGACGACATTCTCCCGTAGATGGTTGGTTTCGGTGAATGTGTGAGAAAGGTGGAAGTCATGGTCAAATATTTAAAGCCTCGGTCATATTTAGCCGCGGCACAAGCTCAAGCTCCGTGGTCCCAACATCACCAGCTATAACAAGCTACTCCATTACATGCGACTAATTCCCAATGATATACAGTTTAGCCAGATGTGTCCTTAAACTGTAACATACGTACTCGTTTTCCTCGAAGGGTCATTTTTACAACTCTTTCAATTGGATTCAACGCGTGCGTTGAAACGATGGCAGACCTCGAAGCAAAGCAAAGAGCAAGGGAGTCGGTAGAAGCTTTCCTCAAGGTGTAAGCTGCCTTATTTTATCCTTGGAATATTGCTCGCGATATACCCAAATCCAATAACAATAATTCTTTTACTAACATACGTCTCGCAGGTATGGAGAAATAACAACAGAGAAGAATTACGAGGTGCATATAAACCCGCCCATCTATGCATGTCATTATCCCAAACATGGGTGCCGCTTGGAGTGTCTTGCGGATTACTTCTACAGTATGGGATAGCATTAAAGATAGTTATTGACACTTTTTCCTAAAGGGATATGACAAACGATTCTTTGAGGATATCCGCCTTATCGATGTGGAACCCTCTGGAGGGGCAACCTGGGAGTTGGACGTGACAGAATACTGGTCAAATCTGAACGGTACCGATTTCTTAAGGCCCTCTATATGTTGCCATTGATTATACAGAATGAACATATCTAACCATGCTGCATGTACAGGCGTTATGCATGGGGGCGCTTGTGCGGTTGTATTTGGTACGTTGGTTCTACCGTGTCTACTACTCGCGCAAAATACACCAGGCTTCAGATACCCACCTGCTTTGAATCACTAGGAGGAAGATTATACTAACGTACTTGCCGGACTGAAGACATGTGCACGGCTATATCGATGAACCCGGTAACCAAGCCGGGATACTGGTAGTGCGTGTCCCTCTTGTTCCTTAAGGACGGCCCAGCTATCGCATCCTCGGTCCCTCTAGCTAATCCAATATAGCTTCTTGCAAGGAGTTTCACGTTCATTGAACTTATCCTACCTCAAGGGTATACCTACTGGTATGTTAATGGCAGATGCATCACGCTATACCTACGGTTTTAAGAGCCTTGTATTCTAACAAAAATAGGTACGACTATTCGGATTAAATGCACAACCCTTCAGCATGGAAGAACAATGGCAATGCTTCGCGGTGTAATGGAGTCGGTAGACGGAAAGATTATATATGCAACAGCAGAACATCATAAGGTCGCTACTCCTGCAAAGCCAGAATTTGCAGAACGGTTAATGAAGGAGCGAGAGAGGATAGAACTAAGACGAAGAGAGAAGCTGTGAAGAATAGATCATCTTTTACACAAACATATATCAATTTCCGAGGACGACGTCTGATTTAAGCATGTAACCCTGCAAGGATAGGTTGTTGTTTTTATTTTACTTTTCTTCTCGCAAAATGGCCACACCGTAAATAGCTACATACAAGTGGCATATAGGATGGAAACAAGTGTAACCCTCGACACCACAGTATGATACTTGCCGGGTAGGGTTACGGCGCCGAGTTACTCCCGCTGAAGAGAGGCAAGGGAGCCGGACGCTTAATATAAAGTTGCCCCCCTAGAACAAGCTCCCTTTAAAAGAAGCTCCGCTGCCCCGACCCCCCATCCTCGGCAAGCTGGCCCGATAAATAATAGATAAACCATTTGCATCGCTCCTATTCCTATCTCTAACGAAAGTAACATTTACAGTAACGTTGGAATATTTTTCAGAACCATACTATCAAAGAGAGAACAAAGTGAGTGCTGGTTGGCTATCTTCTTGGTTTCAACAAGTTGGATTCTTGGGTTACTCCCGCTCTGGTTGACACTCGCATCTACTATACACCCTCATGTCTGTTGCGTTATATCCTACATACTCTACATCCTACCGGCCTTCTCCTATACCTTATCCGACTTCACATGTGTGGCTGAAGGAGTCGAGCCGGAAGATGAATGAAGCTCGTGATCTCATCTCGTGGTTGGAGTCGCGGGGTTGACTACGAACTACATTCTGTGTATGGCGAGGACGCATCATGATATCCTCCTTATATATCCAATACCCATTCCTTACATGGAAACACTCTCTCGTCCATATCTTTTGGTTAATACCGTGGCATCCTTTACTGTCGCCGCCTGCTCATCGTTAAAAATATACCCCTGCAAGCAACGACGTCATCAAGTCCAACTCCCAAATGCCGCCATACTGTCTGCATGATTGCCACTATTTTTACCGCAGTGCTTTACGCCTTTTATCTATCTCTACTCTAGTTGCTGCTCGATACGCTTAATATCTGTCTTTTTTTATTGTTTTGCGTTCTTTCGTCCAGTACTTATTCATGGCAGGCCAGGTTTTCAACCGTATAAAACTCCTTCGTGATTCTCTCAACGACACTACGGATAAGCGTTCAGCTTCCCCTTCGCCTAAATTATCGCCTACTATTAGATCTATGGGCAACAACGGCGAAAATATGACCACGTCTAATGAGAATCCCGTGGAAGGGGGCGCCGGGAATGGGGACACCCCAAAGGAGAGCAAAGGAATTACCTTTGCTAACCAAAACTCACTGCCAAAATTACCTATACCAGATCTCGAGTCGACTTGTGCCAAGTATTTGGAGGCTTTAGCACCGTTGCAAAGTAAGAGAGAACATGAAGCCACAAAGGCTGCCGTGGAAGAATTCATGACAGGTGAAGGGCCTGAACTTCAGGAGAAGCTGAAGAAATATGCTACTTCCAAGTCGAGCTATATAGAACAGTTTTGTGAGTAACTCTGCTCTCGGAGTGAGTATGCGTTTAGCTGACTGTCCATCATGAATTAGGGTATGATTCTTACTTGAATTTTGATAACCGTAAGATAGATACCTGAAGCTTCTTTCTATAATTAAGATCGGGATGCTGATACAGTTTATTAGCTGTCGTTCTCAACCTTAATCCATTCTTCCTGTTGGCGGATGATCCGACGCCAGCAAGGAACAACCAAGTAACAAGAGCAGCATCTCTTGTCGTTTCTGCCTTGTCCTTCGTTCGGGCAGTACGGAAAGAGGAACTTGCGCCGGACACAGTACGTGGGAAACCACTTTGCATGTTCCAGTACTCACGGCTATTTGGGACGGCGCGAGTACCTACCCCCAATGGCTGTGTCATTGGTCAGGACTCTGCATCTAGACATCTGGTAGTGCTATGCCGAGGACAGTTCTACTGGTTCGACGTGTTGGATGAAAACAACGACCATCTGATGAGTGAGAAGGACATATCTATTAACCTTCGAGTGATTATCGACGATGCAGAGCAGACACCAATCCAGGAGGCCGCAAAGGGGGCGGTGGGAGTCCTGAGCACCGAGAGCAGGAAAGTATGGTCTGGGTTGAGGGATATCCTGACGCAAGATAGAAGCTCGAATAACGCAGAATGTTTGAATATCGTCGACACTGCGTTATTTGTGCTCTGTTTAGATTCCACAGAGCCGTCCAACGTGGCAGAGCTCTGCGGGAATATGCTCTGTGGCACAGGCAAGATTGTTCGGGGAGTGCAGATAGGGACATGTACGAACAGATGGTACGACAAGCTGCAGATTATCGTTTGCAAGAACGGCAGTGCGGGTATAAATTTCGAACATACCGGTGTGGATGGCCACACTGTGCTTCGCTTCGCCAGTGACGTCTACACGGATACCATCCTCCGTTTTGCCAGGACTATCAATGGCCAGGCACCGAGCCTGTGGGCATCCAGTAGCCCTGCACCATGCAAACGCGACACGGTAAATCGGTTGGACGACGCCAGCACTACGCCTCACAAGCTCGAATGGGACATGGGCCCCGAGTTAAGTACGGCGCTGCGGTTCGCTGAATCCCACCTGGCAGATCTGCTGCACCAGCACGAATTTCAGGCCCTGGATTTCGCGGGGTATGGAAAGAACTTTATAACCAGCATGGGCTTCTCGCCGGATGCGTTTGTGCAGATGGCGTTCCAGGCAGCTTACTATGGATTATACGGACGCATCGAGACGACGTATGAACCCGCGATGACGAAGTTCTTTCTGCACGGAAGGACGGAGGCGATTCGCACCGTCTCGACCGAATCGAGCGAGTTCGTCAAGACGTTCTGGGGCGATAACCCGGTGAAGGAGAAGGTGAGGGCGCTCAAAAGGGCGTGTGAGAAGCATGTCGACACCACCAGGATATGTTCGAAGGGGCTGGGCCAGGATAGGCATCTCTATGCGCTCTACTGTCTCTGGCAGAGGTCGTTTGGCAGTGGTCCTGCAGTGCTGGAGGGGGATGGACCCTCACCTGCAGCCAGCACGCCGGACGAAGCGCACAGTACGCCCAACTCCCGCGGCGGCCGCCAGCTACCGACGACGCCAGCGCTGTTCAGCGACTCTGGCTGGGAGAGGATCAATAACACGATCCTCTCGACGTCGAACTGCGGGAACCCGGCCCTGCGTCATTTTGGGTTTGGGCCGACATCCGGCGACGGGTTCGGAATCGGGTATATCATCAAAGACGACTCGATATCCATCTGTGCGTCCTCGAAGCACCGCCAGACCAGCAGGTTTATGGACACGCTAGATTCGTATCTGGTTGAAATACGCAAGCTACTGCGGGCTACGGATCAGGCCAGCGGGAAGGGCAAGGCTGCGTCTGTACAGGAGCAGGCTGGAAGGACCGAACGCAAAGGTCGAGGACGAATGATCCGGACAGACTCCCTGGGCCTCATGGATGGCATGGAGAGCGGCGATGACGATGGGATGGGCGGCTGTATGTCTATCTTTTTCCTTTTCTTTTCTTCTTCCTCCCTGTACGATTACTAACTATGCACGTCTAGACGGCTTCTTCGACGCGGGAATGCTGCAGCATGCGCTGAGGGGGACGAGTACGGGCGAGAGGGAGGACGGCAAGGCCTCTCCGCGACGCCTGGTGGGCAAGAGCCTGAAGTTTAACGAATACTAGGTGGAGGAAGCCCAGAGACACGGCGGGTAAATAGTGTAAACATGAGTGGTCAAACTATTGCATATACTTCTGTCTGTTTCCCCGCGATGATAAACTATAAGCCCGCCAGACCCAGTCGTCGACGTCTTCCCTGCATGCCATCTGACCACTGCAGGCCAGTGACCTGGAGACTGAGGCCCCCTGGAGGCGGTTGATGCGTTGTTCGTCCTTCTTTGCTTCTTTCTTCCGTCTGTCTTTCCTCCCCCTTTTGGTGGATCTGATAAGAACTTTTTTTCTTTTTTTTTACCTTTTTTTCCTTATCTATGAACCATCACATGACCCTCTTACGTCATCCTTAAAGCGGCGACCCTCTTTTTACCATATCAGGACTAGCGTAGTTGATTGTTACCCGAACAGGACTAGCGCCATCCCTTGTCAGCCAATTGCCTGATTCGGCCATGTCTTTTTCGACTTCTGCCCAAGCAAAACTTCCAACGACCTCGCAACTACTGCACATCTACTGCATCTACTGCATCTACTGCGACCTCACCTCCTCCTCCTCCTCCCCCGCCATCCATACGTGCAATAGGTGCGACTGCGAGGTGCTGCTCTGCTGCTGCTGCTGGCTGCGAGTGTTGGCTGAGTTGGTGCTGCTGCATGGTCGTGCTAGGATCGCTGGGTAGGGGACACACGGAAAAAGGGTACTTCCAGGCCTGCGACATTAGCACCAAAAACCGCATATTTACAAGGGCCTGTCGGAACCAGCACGACCGATCGAACCTTCGACTTCTTCCCTCTTCTCGTCCTCAGGAGCTGCGTCTTGGACACCTTCACGATCCCCAATGGTGTCTCTGCTGCTCCTTGCCCACCATCTCACGACCTGACACTCCGCCCCTCGACGAGACCTGATACAGTCATACCAGGCCGGCTGTCTCGAGTCGTTGGTTTTTTCCACTCACAATACCGTACTAAGCGACCTTAACACCCGGAAGTAACCCGCATACTCGATCCTGGTCGTTCTCCCTTCTGCCCAACCATATCTACTACACTGCACGCATTCGCTACTTCCAACCATACTTAATCTAATCCTGCGCCGTACCTCGTCTTCCCGCCCTTCTGGCTCTTCTTCTGCCAGCTACGGACCCGTTCGGGGGAATCGATACTGCCTGCTGTCACTCTTCAAGGGCGTCTAGCCTCCTCTCAACAAAATCAAGGCTGTATAGGGCTGACGAGAGAGAAAAAAACAAAGCAAAAGAAAAGAAAAGAGAACGGTTAGGAAGAGCGAAAGGTGCGACACATGTTCGCATAGATCAGCCTACAGCCATGGCGGAACATCATATCGTTCCAGGCGGCAATACAGCTGCATCAATGACCCCACCTGCCAGCGCCGACGGAGAAAAGATGCATCCTCATAGCCTCAATTCTTCCTCTACGTCGCCTCGTCCTTCCATTGAGGATGACGGTACTTCTCCCATCATGGACGATATCCATCCCGATCATTATTATGAGGGTGGGAGAGTACCGGTCTTCAAGCCGGTTAGTCGTGTCCGCGGATAATTTTTTTAATCATCTGTACTAATACTGGATGCTAGACCATGGATCAGTTTCGAGACTTCAGGGCCTTCGTTCGTAGTATCGACAAGTACGGCATGAAGTCCGGGATTGTCAAAGTGATTCCACCGAAGGAGTGGTGAGTACCGCAAGCTTCAATGACATGTCATTAGCTTTTATAATACTATCTAGAGCCGCCATTCTTATGATTGTCTTGGGTGTCTGTCTTGCTAACTCATGACACAAACAGGACGGAGTCCCTTCCCGCCCTAGATGAAGCCGTCAAGACGATCCGCATCAAGAACCCCATCGTCCAAGAATTCACAGGGTCTCACGGAACCTTTACCCAGGCGAATATTGAGAAACAGCGGTCATATAACCTGCCACAGTGGAAGGCTCTGTGTGAAGAGATTAGCCACCAGCCTCCAGCTCGGCGCGGAGAGAGACGCTGGACTCAGGGAAAACCCCGCGGAACAGCCAGAGGACAATCTAACAAGCCTGAAGCCCAGAAACGCAAATTAGCTCCAAACAAGCGTAAACCCAGTGAGGAATTACCCGAAAACCAGGATGATGGTGATGGATCTAAGCCGGAAAGTCCACCCACCCCAGTGTCTCCAGAGTCCAAGCCCGTCAAAGCCAAATCCGAGGAATTAAGTGATGGAGAGCCGTTGCCAGCCCCCAAGCCAAAGGGCAGACAACCCAAGTCTGTCTCTGCTCGTCGGAAAAACAACCGGGATGAGCATGATGACTACATTGATGAAGAAGCTTTCATCGATTTTGACTATCATCTCTCCAGTAACGAAGAGTTCACCGCCGAAAGGTGTGAGGAACTCGAAACCGCTTATTGGAAATCTCTTATGTATAACAACCCCATGTACGGTGCTGATATGCCAGGTTCTTTGTTTGATGACGCCGTCACTTCATGGAACGTTGCCAACCTGCCCAACCTGCTGGATGTCCTTGGCCAGAAAGTCCCCGGGGTGAACACTGCATATGTCTACCTTGGCATGTGGAAGGCCACCTTTGCTTGGCATCTTGAAGATGTTGACCTGTACAGTATTAACTACATCCACTTTGGCGCTCCGAAGCAGTGGTACAGCATTTCGCAGGAGGATCTCCCACGGTTCGAAGCAGCAATGCGAAGTAGGTTTCAGCTGATTTGACTATCGATAATGCAACGTGGGTAGCTAACCGTGAATAACAGGCATTTGGCCGACCGATTCGAAGAACTGCAGCCAGTTCTTGCGTCACAAGACATACCTCATCTCCCCTACGGTTCTCAAGTCACAGTACGGCATCACTGCCAACAAGCTAGTTCACTATGAAGGCGAGTTCGTTATCACATTTCCTTATGGGTATCACTCCGGATTCAACCTAGGCTACAATTGCGCAGAGTCAGTCAATTTCGCCACGGAAAGTTGGCTTGACTATGCCCGGATTGCCAAGAAATGCCACTGCGAAACGGATACCGTCTGGATCGACGTCGATGAGATCGAACGAAAGCTACGAGGCGAATCTACTCCTGAATACTACGATGAGATTAGAAGTGAGCAGTATGAAGGTGCCTCAGACCTTCTTACCCCGCCTAGGAGCGTTCCGGAAAAGTCCTCAAGGCCCAGGAAAAGGAAAGTCGATGGTGTTGAATCCAAATCCAAACGCGCTAGGTTACATTTGGATTCTCCAAGGAAACCTCCATGTGTTCTGTGCCCAAATAGTATGGATTACGAGGAACTTTTGGCTACCGAAGGTGGCTTGTCGCAAGCACACAGACGCTGCGCGTTGTTCATCGAAGAAACCTCCATCCTCAAGGACGACTTAGGTCGCGAAATCGTTTGTGATATCGACAAGATCCCCAAGGCTCGAATGGGCTTGAAATGCTTGTTCTGTCGCGAGGTAAAGGGTGCTTGCTTCCAGTGCATGTACGGAAAGTGTGCGAGAGCGTATCATCCAACATGCGCGTTACTTGCTGGCGTACAGGTAGAATTTGGCGAGACTGCAGTTATTGCTGATGACGGCCACGAGTACTCGGTTCCGGCCATTGATCTGAAATGCAAATATCATCGTCAGAAGCGCTTTGGCTCACTGCCCTCACAGCCTCTCGATACAGACTCCAAAGTTATGGAGACGGCGCTCAAGTTAAAACCTGGAGATTTGATGCAGTTTCAAGCTGATAAGGAGATCAATGGAGCTGTTGTGTTGGAGAATCGCCCATCGGAGCGCTCGTTGATGTTGAAAGTGCTTCCAAGAGGGTAAGTATTTTTTACATTATTATTTCTTGTCGTGAACTAACGGTATACCTTCTTTTTCTTCCCTTCTAGTGATGTGATTGAACTTCCATACCGTTGGACCTTAATAGTTAAAAAGTCGAATTTCCCGCCACTACCTCCGAACATCGTACCGCTTCCCCCTCATCTATCTCGAAAGCCCGATTCGAGAAACGATTCGAACTCTTCCATGCCTTCTCACGGCATGATATTTGGCGATACCTCTTCGGGCTACCGCTGGGAGGACTTTGTTTGCGAACAACCACCATTTAATCCGGATACGTGTACAGTTGACCTGGCCAAACCGGAAACACTATGGTATTATCTTGGCAAGACCTCCACGGACTGTCGTGCCCAGTATACCCATAATATGGATATTCCAATTCATAATTCTAGGTCTAATTTCCTTGAGAGTGTAAGAACACTTAGAGCACCCACTGCTCCAGCTAAGCCCGGCCGTCCTCCTATCTATAACTCGAGCCCAGTGATTTCCAGAGCCCCTTCCGTGACCCGGCCGCTTCTAGGACCAACAACCACACAGGCAGCAACGACGACGGTAGTAACGACAAGAGCGGCGTCCCCGGCAAAGTCTCATGCTTCCAATGCACAGACAAATGACAAGCTCCCAGTGTGGAGTCCAAGCGACAGTGCAATGAAATCTACAATGGCTCGCCGGCTTATTGCTTCTATTACTGAACATGCCAATGTAACTGCTGGATATACTATTGTGAATCCTGACTTTGTGGTGCAGACGCTTCTAGGAGATGATACCTCGCCCATCCCAAAGAACGGCTTGGAAAAGCTCAGAACCTCCATGTCCGAATCGCAGGTCCCTGTCCGATCCGTAGATGGCACCCTCTCCTACCAACCGCTAAACATGGAGGGCGACGACGTCGATCATCTCATCCGCATGCTTCGATTCGCCGTGAGCAGCCTCACCAGCGTCGTTAACGTACCGGAGAAACCCAAGGCCCCGGAACAGCAGCGGATAATAGCACAAGAGCCTGCAAAGGTCCTCGAGCTCCAACCCCAAGAACCCGCCGCCCCATCCATCACCGGAAGATGGACATTCCTGGAAATGCAGCGCCGTCAAACCCCGTCCGTCTACTGCTCGCCATATGCACCAGGTTTTGGGTTTTCGGATTATGCCAAGGAGGAATATGGACTAGTAGGAACTCCGCAATCATCTCGAAAAGAGCCTTTAGCAGCGGACTATTTTGCTAAGCTATCACCAGAAGACCAGGAAAAGATAGTCCAGGCATGCGGGCCGGTTCCCCCCGCCTCGGAAAGCTTCTCAACCCTGGATGACTCGATCATAGCAACTCATGGCCCTGAAAACCAGAACCTCCTATTCCCTACGACAGAAATTACCGCGCCTAATACCTCCGCGGCCATGATCCCTGATAACCACCTCCATCCCCTATCCGTTTTCGATATGACCCTTCGCGCCGACTCACCTGCTTCGAGTTTCAACCGTGTCCCACTCCACTACCAGTCTCCTCAGGAGTTCGGGAGCCACATAGACCACGAATCCTCACTGCTCCCGCGCCACCTCAACGACCACCACGATCTCTTCGGTGATCAGCAGGCAAACACACGGTTTTGGCAGAGGAGCGTGCCGTGGAACGATGTTGATACTCAGTCCCATGGTGACGAGCATAGGCCATTTTTCGGGCCCCATCTCCGTCCCCCAGGACATGAGTATGCTTCGTCGGAAATGGAATTTGGCAAGGGTCCTGGGTCGCTTCATTCAATGGATATGGCTGGATTTGGTTTTGATGGGCCAGATGATCTCTTACCGGAGCCCAGTCCATAGAAAAATTCCTCTACCTATAGTCTGGCAGCCATAGCTGTATTTGATTACTCTTACGCCCATGATGGGATGCATATACCTCGGCTCTCAAGTCGGTTTTTATAACGCCGATACTTCTTTGCCTTCATTAAATATGTTTTACGATAGAACCCTTTTGTTTCCTTTTTGAATTCCATTCTGCCTTTCGACAGTTGGCTTAATTTCGGCAATGCTGTCCATTTTTTTTACCTGTCCAGTGGACGGGGTGGGATAATATCCTTTCTCTAGCGGACCGCATGCCGCTACGATGCAACAAAAATACCTAAAATCCTTTTTTCCGTTTCCTTTTCTTTCTTTTCAATCTCGACAACGGAGAATACAAAGGCTTCAACAACTATTGTTCAATTCTTCCGCTCGCCGCCGTGTCCGTCCCTCTGCACCTTGCTCGGACAGCTTCAACAACGCCACGGGATAAAGGATCTTAACTTCCGCGACTCACTCTTAGACGATGACTATCATGTCCGCCCGTCTCATTCACGACGCATACAACCAATGCCATTATGATGACCCCAGTCCTCCTTCGCCCCGCGTGTACATTTGCGTTCCTGAAGCGTTTCGCCCCCATTATATTCGCTGTCCCCATGTTTTACAAAAAAGAAGATAAAAAGTCTGTGTTCATGACACCTTGATTGTACTTACCCATACATCTTTAACCTAACCTACCCCCTTTCACTCCTTTCCCTCCCCTTGTTTATGGTCCCCCTTCCTACGGTATGTGACGACACATTTCGATCTCCCGGTGGTTCATACCACATAAAAATAGCCAAGATATCTCTCCCCCATATGATCTGTACTTTCAGTTTCCCACCGATCTACCCATGAACATCCCCCCCGCCCCCCCTCTTTTTTTCTACCGTCTGCTTATTCTATATCCCTTTCCGAGTCTGTGGCCCTTTCTCTTTCTTGTTACTTTCCTCCTTTTTGAACCTCGTGTTTCGTCGACGATATACGGGGAGTAAAGAAGGGGTATTACAGCAAGAAGGTCAAAAGCCATACGAGGAGGAAACGGGATTTACCAAAATAAGCGCCTGTTTCTTAAGGCACATCCAAAAACAATAAAATTTTCTTGATTCTCATGATAGTATATTTAAATATACATAGACGTATTTCCGTATAGATTGTAAGTCTCATTATTATTGAATGGTGGTATGAGTGAGTAGGCAGAAGAAGATATGGAATAGTAATGAATTCTTACAGACACTGCATATATGTGAGATGCGAAACATTACCGATAACGCAGTAACTGTAGTAGAGAAAATGGAATCGGCGGTAAAATCCCTAATATATATGTGGCCAAACTGGAGAAGTTCTTCTCTTCCTTTCCGTATCCATTATTGGGCTCTGAGATATTCCAAGATCATAGTGCCAAAATTCTATTAGTAAAGATTTCTATATCTTGTCTCTGCCTTCAAGATTTGCCCTCGACTTCTTTAATGGAGCTTTTCAAAGGTCTAAATTTCCGCCATCGAGCTCGCGCCGGCGCCAATAATGGTCCACACGATGAAGAAGACGTGGACCAGGGAAATATACCGTTCCAGAGCCAACAACGCCAGCGCCAGCCACGGCTTGAGCCCAAAAAAGGGGGCGGTCAGGGCAACACACCCGCAGCGCTCAAGGAGCCCCCTGAAGACATCAAGCAAAGCATCTCAGCGGTAAAGACATTCCTTGCGGCCCGCATGGCTATGAGATGCCACTCCTGCGAAGCAAATATCACCGAGGGCTTCTGCGTTAGAGACTGGGTGCGTCGCTGGTTAGAAGGCGCTCAAGGTAATCCGAAAAAGGCGTGCTATGTATGCGCAGCGCGATGCACCAGTTGCAAGGCTCTAACATGTCTCGGCTGCGGTAATAAGCCCCAAAAGTCAAAGAAACCTCGTGAAATCGAAGGATGTTACATGGATTGGTGCTGTCGTGACGGGAGACTGTTTGGGATATGGCTTTTGCTAGCAAGATATGACCGGGTTGAGATGCGTTGGCAGGCGTCCTCTTCAACTACAGAAACTACACCAGCCTCAGCAAGAGGTAATTATGGTGCTAACAACAGAAAGACACAGGATGCTAGAGGAATCGGGTATGCAGATGGCAGCATGAGCCAGCATAACCCTTTCGCGGCGCTCTTCTATGACGGACCCGGACCGCCTCCAGGATCCTTGCATACACCGCTTCAGTTCCAAGGCGCAGACAAAAAGACAGACGAGTTTGTGGGCAAGGTGTTTGATTTTGTCAGCGAGCTGATTCCAGGGCCTGCGAATAAGAACCTGCCTCCCGAGCTTCATGGAATGTTGCGGCTTGGTCTACTCTTGGACAAAGTTGCAGAATTGCTCCGAAATGACTCTCTGGACGATGTGACAAAGCGCGCCCACGTATATAGCAATGTCTTCGACCTTGTTGGAAAGCTGGCTTCGCATCCAGAATTAGTTGATCTAGTTCGAGACGCTCGATACCATAAACAGCAAACTCCTGGCCTTGAAGCCCTCTCTGCCGCGTCGAACTCATCGCACAGTGGTTCCCCGCTTGTGCTTGGTGAAAAAATTGCCTCCGTGAGAGAGAGATTGAAGCAACTGGCCCGGCAAAGCGCTATTGTCCTTGAAGCTTCTGGATGTCAGGATCTCACTACTAGGAGTGGGGAGAATCTGCTTGACTGCTGTGAGAGAGTCGTTGCCATATATACCATAATAGCAGAAGATGAATCCCCTTTGGAGGAAGCCAGACGGAATTCATCAGCAACTCCTCAAGAGAAGTGGGAAGCGTTTCACCAGAAACATGGAGTTTCTCGAGATGAGGCTGTTTTTGAGCAGAGCCATGCATACTACCATAGAGCTCTAGCCATGATGCACTCGGGCCCTGGGCGAATCAAGCGTATGGTTACGGAGGTGGCTAACATGTCAACTTCCTTGCCTATAGGAATATTCGTCAAAGTGAGTGAAAGTCGGCCTGATATGATGAGATGTCTGATAATGGGGCCACCTGATAGCCCGTATGGATATGCACTTTTCGAGTGAGTTTCAACTTTACCCTTACCCCTATACCTTATTTCAGGAATGTTGAATCTAACTCCAATTCCTTGAATGTATGGAAATACCAGCTTTGACTTGTTTTGTCCGTCGGCCTATCCAAACCAGCCTCCGCTGGTGTTTTGCAGAACAGCCTTTGGTAGCATTATAAACCCAAATCTTCATCCTGATGGGAAAGGTAGGTGATATGGCCTATTTCTCACTTTCACAGAGCACCTCCATTACAAAGGTAAGAGGAAGTATAACGCTGATATTAACCGTTTTTATAGTCTGCCTCTCCCTCCTTGGAACATGGCATGATGGCGATGCTGCAGCGCAATGGCAACCAGGAAAATCAACAATTTTATCAGTCTTGATAAGTATCCAGGCTATGATTTTCACGGAGGACCCCTGGCGCAACGAGCCGGCTTTCACCAGCGCCGTGGGCACAATAGCGGATATGCAGGCGCGTAAATACGTGGAGAAGATTCACCCACGAGTAATCACAGCGGGGATGCTACACTGGCTTTTTAAACCCGGACAGCGACATGGAATCTGGGAAAAGGAGGTCCGAGCTCATTTCCGATATAACGGAGCAAAAATGATTGCAAATGTCGAGAAATGGGCCATAGCAAATCCAGCGCTTAAATCACAGGGCCTGGTACAGGAGTTAAAACGAGGGCTAGAAGATATCAGCCGCCGTTAGGTCACAATGCAAATAAATACAGAATAAGATAGCAGTTTGGTCTTGATGCTTGGAAGAGGTGACATGATTCAATTGTCTCCAATGTTTATAACTAGTAAAAGCTCAAGTCTCCGAGATTAAGATGGGCGTAAGCTAGGAAATTGGCACCCTCCAGGGCTTGTTTTAGCTAGATATAACTAATGAGGCTACTTTAGTTAACCCTTAACTGAAAACACATGCCCCAACCTTGTACGGATAACTTCATTTGAACTCCCAACGTGGTTACAAAAGTTGCGGTCTTGTCAGCAATCACCAGCATTCATTATACCATGAGCTCCAAACTCCAACTAGATGACCTGCACTGGATTAGTGAGGGAGCCAACTGCCACGTCTATGAGGTAAACCGTTTCATCGCAGTCAAGGTGCCTAAACCTGGCGACCAAGAGCGAGAACAGTTTCGCAAAGAGGTGAAGGTTCTCGATATTCTCTCCAGCCACCCGCCCTGCCCATACGTGGTATCCTGTTTCCTGCACAACGATGACTGCATCTTTCTCGAGTACATGAGAGATATCTGTCTCTCCTGCAGAATCCAGCAGAACCACACCCGGGATGGTGGAACGATGCGGGTGGTTAGAGTTGATAAACTCGAACCGCTCAGTCTACGAAAGATATGGATGAGTTACCTTGCCCGCGGTGTGGCTTTCCTCGAATCTCTTAATCTTGCACACGGCGATCTTCGGCCTGAGAATATTCTGCTTGACCGCAACCGCCTCAAGCTCTCAGACTTTGACTGTACTTCGGAAATTGGATCCGTATTTGAAGCGTGCATTGCACCATACGGACGGCTACTTGGCCGCGAAGGGGGCCCCGACGAAGGAACCGCAGGCCTGCTTGGGCCACGAACGGAGCAGTTTGCGCTTGGCTCGTTATTCTATCTTATAAACTATGGATTTAAAGTCTATGGTGATCAATGTTTAGGCGACGATCCATCTGGTAGAGAACATGGGCCTGCAGTCTTGGATCTGCTGCAGGCAATAGTGTTTCCGGAGCTGAGTGGGGAGGCAGTGATTGATTCAATTATTAGGAGGTGCTGGCATGGCGAATATAGGACGGTGATAGAACTAGCAACAGACACAGTGAGCCTACTTTGCGCCGGCGATGTTGATAGAAGCAAGCTTGAGGATTCCAATATACCCCAGGAGGAGTCCTTGTTACATAGGAGGGTTTGCGAGGATCTTGTAGCGAGCGGACTCCCAAAAGCCCTCTCCTCGCAGAGCCCTCGAGGATTGGGAAAACGAATGAACCGCAGGTATACTCCGTATTTGCGGGAAAGTTCTGCAGTAGGGAGGTTAGAGCATATGTGACAAGCTTTTGTAGAACCGATAAATAATCCATTGACAGCTGGCTGACAGCTGTTGATCACATTCTTAATGTCTCTAGCAAACATTATGCCAGAGTTATACATAGATCCGGTCTCTCGACTTTGCGTCGTACTAGATAGTGACTCCGGCAGCTTCATAAACAAAGACTTGAAACGTAAAGGCAGCTCCTGGATCCGACCAGCCTTCGGCAGTGACGGTTTCTCCGCTGCCGTTGATAGCTACAGCACGCCAAGTCATTGGACGTACACAACGACCTTTCTTGAGTTACCCGTTAGAACCGAGTGTTCTCTGAAGATTGTACTCATATAGCAGCTGCGTTAACAACTGGACAGGCTATTAGGGGTAAAGTCGGCCTTTATTCTGAGATACGAGATATTTGATTGATTTGATTGGTCAGGTGGGTCTGGAGCAATCTATGAGATTTCAATCTATCAAGCACTGATCATCTAAATACACGATATTGAGCTCCTATTTATGTTCCTCATACGGCCATGTATCTTGCCATCGCGGAGATGCCAGCTACAGCTGAAACAGGCGTTAAAACGCCGGGCGTAGCATTTGTTCGATGATGGAGAGCTGACACTGATATTTAATGAAACGGCGTAGTTGACTAACGTGTTTCGTACGATCAGGCAGTATTACACCGAATCTCCGTTCAACATTTATATAGTCACAAAACAACTGTAAGGTTGTGTCTGGCTTGCAAGTATGCACTTGGCCTTTTGGTTGAACTGGGTATTCTATTATTAACAACAACGGCAGAAACCAAAATGAGGAGGCAGTGATTATAAAGAGTATCAACTACTTCCGCATACACAACGAACATGACATTTTACGTCGTTTCCAAAACAAAACAAATCTGCTTCGCCCACTAGTGGATGAGAAGGGTTCCACATCTTTAGACCCGATGTCCCGGTAGATCACAATGAATACAACATCAAGATTCTTATGAAACATCATCGATGTTCTAGCCCGTCCCCAGCATCATACGAAGAGATTGTAGACTAAGAAAGGTTTACGGTTCTTACGTAGATAATATAAAATAGTCCTGGCGAGATGTTAAAACCCTTCTATCTGCCAGAGAAATTTACCAGGAAGATAGGGAGTTTGTGCTAAGGATAATGAAACTCGATCCAAGGGATAGGTCGACTGCTCGTCAGCTCTTGGACGATAAATGGTTTTTCCAACCTTGAGGCCCAGGATTCCGATTATATAGATGTGAATTTCATGCCAGTTCAATTATAGAAACATGCTCCACATCGCTAAATAAAGTTGTGGATCCCGTAACCTTAATCACTCAACAAAATAAACACCACGCGGCTTTGCATATAAATTACTTTAATTTTATTGCAAGTAGCTCGAGTATAAGTTATTACGTTCGGCTCCCCTAGCCATTTCTACAAATCCAGCTGGTCGTCGCTCTTCTCCTAAAGGTTTTCCGTTCTTATTAAGTAAAGATATAACGAATTAATATTAGCATAGCGTCCAGAATACAAGGCTATTCCAGGAACTCAGAAGGATAATAGAGATAAGATGGGTAGTCAATTATACAGTACTGAATATGGTTGAGAGAATTTAAGCAGACCCTCATGGCTTTGGAAAACATTTGGTACGGTTATCTCACATATTCTAGGGCTAGTTTCTTGGAGATAGAATGGATGATTTGACTATAAAGGGTGTAATAATCTTTCCTCTTATGTATAACAGCCCCTACCATTCCATAGGGGCAATATCCCAAGATATAAATAGAGTATACAATCAAGTCCGACTATAAGCTTAACCTTCTAGCTCTCATTAATAAAGACAGCGTGTATATCTGTCAACTGTATGTTGAATGCCCTGTTATAGGCAGTTGAGCATTGATCCAGGTTAAAGCTGTTTTCACAACAACCAACTTTCTATAGTATTATACTCCCACTTTTTATAAAGTGGGAAGAAAGGGTTTGTCTTTTTCCCCCTACGCACAGATTATTGGATGTAGAATAAAGCCTTTTATCTTCTGTGGAGTCAGTGGGGAGAGTTTTACCTAATATCTATGTAGATTCCTTCAGTCATATTCTGCCAGGGCTATATTGTTTATACAATGAGACAGATAATATATCTATCTATAAACAATAACAAATCTCAGGATGGCCCAGCAGGCTACGTGCAAAATGCCAGTACTCTGGAGCTCGGCGTTATATGTCTTCATGTAAGTCACATATCAGCACATACAACACAGCTCACATACATCTCACTCATCAACACCACACCTCGTTTGCTCCCGACCAATAGCCTTTGAACTCGACGTCCGTTTAGAGTCGAATTTGATACACATGGCGCCAAAATCAACGACCATTAGGCTTGCTTCCAGTATCTTCTGGCTTGTATCGTCATGTGTCTGGCTAGCAGTCCATTTCTACATAATGTGTCGTGCTGGGGCTATGTCCGCCTCAGATGAATATATCATGTTTCTTGCTGTCGAATCAATCATAGCGGCGATGATTAGAGTCAACGAGGACATCGAGGCCAGGGCCCAAGAGAGAAAGGAGGAAATGCGGTGGTTCTGTATGTATGCTCAGCTCCTTATAAGTGTATTCTTCAGCTAACATTGGATATATAGTAGCCCAACTATCCATTACGAGACGGATGATTCAGGACCCCATCAACTAGTTGAGCTTGAAACAGTTGTCCTATCCATTAAAGCCGGTCGACAATGTGCTCCGAACCGGGTCACGGCGTTAATTCTCTGGAGCGTCAATATTACAAGAAGCCCACAGTTACCGAAATGTGCTCCTTGGTTCTTTTTCTGTCCGGCGGTGGTGTGGTACTGTGTTTTGATATCACCAGGCGAGGAGGCGGAGTTCATCGAGGGTCAGGAGTATAAGGTGTTTGTTTTTCGACTACATCGCGTGTAAAATAACACAACGTCGCAGATAATTGACATCGACATGGACATCATCATAACCCCCTTCCGCGCCTCGAAAAGTCGCGGTGAAGTGTTTATACGGAGCTCTCCGCGTCCAGGTTTTGGGTTCCGGCAAAGCGAACAAGCTTAAACCCTGCGCTTTGCCGAAGATGACGGGGATGCGGGGGGAGAGCTTTTCGGCCCTTCTCCTCCCCGTATTCCAATTCCTATATCATATCGCTGGATGCGCCTCATCTTCTCCTTCTTCCATGGAATATTTACCAACTAACCGACCTACTTGACCGTTCACCCCCCAAATCCCCAAGATGACGACAGCGTCACAGGAGGATGGCGGGAGGTTGCGGAGGGCGTCGGAGGACGCAAATGCGAACGCAGCCTTAGCGAAGATGGGATATAAGAGCGAGCTGCCTCGAAATCTGGGCATGATGAGTGTTCTTGGTCTGTATGTTGTCGCGGTCACCCCGTTCAAGCTATTCGGCGTATCGGAGTCGTCTATTTTATGTGCATTGGGAATCATGAGCTAACTGGCTGCTCGGGCGAAACAGGTCCTTCGCTATCATGGCTGCGCCTTTCGGCCTGAGTACTACGTTATATATCACTCTTACGGACGGACAGTCGGTCACTATAATCTGGGGTTGGGTGCTCGTTACTCTGATTTCGATAGCTATCGCAGCTTCACTTGCCGAGATATGTTCCGTATACCCAACAGCGGGTGGAGTGTATTACTGGAGTGCGATGCTGTCAACGAGGGAATGGGCGCCGCTAATGTCATTTATTGACGGGTGGCTGACATTAGTGGGAAACTGGACTGTGACGCTGAGCATAAACTTCTCGGGAGGCCAACTGATTCTGAGTGCGATTTCGCTTTGGAAAGAAGACTTCGTGCCCAACCAGTGGCAGACGATCTTGATGTTCTGGGCTGTTATGCTAGTGTGCGCGCTGGTAAATGTTTTTGGATCGCGATATCTGGACCTCATCAATAAAATATGCATTTTTTGGACTGCATCAAGTGTACTTATCATTATGGTCACATTGCTCTCGCTCGCTGATCAGAGAAGAAGCGGGAAATTCGTCTTTACGCACTATGATGCATCCGCTAGTGGATGGTAAGTATATTCCCCCCTTTCTCTCTTCGCTACCTACTACCTTATCTGACTACTCTTCTCAAATTTCAGGCCGACCGGTTGGGCATTTTTTGTCGGCTTGCTCCAGCCTGCTTATACCCTGACTGGTTACGGCATGGTTGCAGCCATGTGCGAGGAAACACAGAATCCACATCGGGAAGTTCCCAGGGCTATTGTTCTCTCCGTCGTCGCGGCCGGTGTAACCGGCCTTGTCTATCTAATCACCCTTCTTTTCGTCCTCCCAGAAGTCAAGATGCTCCTATCGGTTGCCAACGGTCAACCAATCGGTCTTCTCTTCAAGACAGTCACCGGCTCGGCTGCTGGTGGGTTCGGCATGCTCTTTTTGATCATGGGAATTCAAATATTTGCCGGGATTGGTGCTCTCACTGCTGCCAGCCGCTGCACTTACGCCTTTGCCCGTGACGGCGCTATACCAGGATCTCGACTCTGGAAACGGGTAAATGGTCGACTTGGCGTCCCATTGTGGGGGATTGTTCTCTCGACTGTAGTCGACTGCCTCCTAGGTCTGATCTACTTTGGTTCCGCGGCAGCATTTAACTCCTTCACTGGTGTTGCTACGATCTGTCTATCGACATCGTATGGTCTACCGATTTTGATATCCATTGTTCGTCGGCGCAAGATGTTTAAAAATGCGCCCTTCTCTTTGGGGAAGTTCGGCTATGCGATTAACATTACAGCAATCTGCTGGATATGTTTCTCTACCTTCCTTTTCTGTTTACCGGTGTCATTGCCAGTGACGCCATCGAGCATGAATTATGCAAGTGTTGTATTTGCTGGGTTTGCCACGATCAGTGTTGCGTGGTACTTTGTCCGGGCTCGCAAAGCGTTTACAGGACCTCCAATGGCGATGGACGACGTCAGGAAAGATGAAGCTGGCGTGTTGGCTGGTAGGACCGTGCCTCATACCGAGGACGGGGTTACATCTTTAGATAAATCTGAGCCAGAGAAGCAACATGTGGAACATGAGATGAAGAGGGAATGATAAGATTGATGAGATATACATCTGTTTTAACTCCATTTGCTCCCACAACATATCACATACGAACACAGGAAGTGGAATATAGAGCTTCCCGTCCGCTCAGCTGTACTCAAGCCACTTGCCGGCCGGTTAGTAGTTGGGTGGGTGACCACCAGCGAATCCTGGCTTTCGTATGTTTTTTTATCGCACTTCCTTGGACTTATTAGGCTCTTTCGACTATGGGTCGACCTCGCCGTGGAAGCTGGCCATTAATATCAACCTCGCTGACCTCCATAGATGAAAGAACACTTACACCACTTTCAGTTCCAAGGTTCCAACACGTTGAAGTGTGTATATATATCTTTAGTCTAATCTAGTGCTCATATGAGATTCGCTTGCTAAATGATTATCCGAAGATATAGAGATGGATGCATAATGTTACAATAAACACTTCGCGGCCTAAGCTCAAGGACACACGATCTAAGTACGACAATACTCGTCACTTGCTACACATATACGCACCTTCATTGACGCCATACTAATAATAGGCTGAATATTATTTACCTCCTCAACGTAGAATATCGTAATCCATCCGAGATTGTAATATTCCTTGCAGCCTCATATGGTTATCGAGATCAGACAAACACAACATTTAACGTACCTAATTCTTCCCTTAGACGAATCTATATAAACCATGAGCATTTTCTTAGGATAAACCGGGCTTATAGTACTCGTGTCATTGGTATTTGGGGACAAATAACTACACAGCCATCACGGAAGTATTTGCCAGGTTGAACAAGTAGAGATGCCACTTCGGAGGTGAGTATAGATCGATATGCGATAACCGGAGCCCAATTTTCGTGCATCCATAGTTTAACTTCCTCTTCCGTCTAGATATATAACAATATAGCAATAGAACCAACAGCGGCATGGCCGAGAGTCGAATCAAAGAAACCCCCGCCGATGAAGAAACTCGAGAAGCACGAACTGACGAACTAGAAGCTATTGATCAAAGGCCCTGGACGTTTATAAAAGCCTCATTTGGTTAATCGGGCGCAGGTCACCTCTGACGGTCGACATCCATTCTCAAAAGGGCAGTTGGACATCGCAACGAAAGCCGATGCAAAGTGTCGTTCTTGTATAGGTTCATTGATGTGACGAGACCTCCCATTGTGCTGTTGAAGTACGGAGTAGCTAACCAATGGACATGATAGGCAAAAGGCCAGTCAAGCTCGCACATTTGATATGCATGCAGGGGATACATAAACGTCAAAGCCATGCCACAAACGCTGCGCCAGGGTTTAGGATACAACAACCTGCGTATTTGGTTGCGCCCTCCAACCAGCAGGCCTTTGTTTCATGGCTGCACTTGGGCACTCGATCGATATACGGGGTCTACGGAGGATACAAGATACACAAGAAAAGAAAAGAAAAGAAATGCGCAGGAGGTTCTCTCGAGCTATTGGCCGATATCGACCAACTGTCGCTCCCCATTTGCTGATCGCGTGGCACAGGATGGCTTGATTTCAGCCCCGTCTCCCTCATTTCTGACGTCCAGGAGCACTAGCTAACCGTCACGGTTTAGGTTTCGCGGTAGCCGACAGCCTCTCAGGGTTTTAGAATCCTCACGATGGGCCTCACACGACGGTCGGGCCTCGGGATGGGCTGGGATAGGCCTGAAGAACCTCGATGGACGCCGCCCCGTCTACCGAAAGGGCGGGCGAGACGAGGAGCTAGGGGTAGGTCATCACAGATTGCCCTCGCTTCCCGTATCCTTGCATATATGCCGTGTCAATCTGGATCTTAGTCGACAGGGTTCGGGCCTCTGAAGGCGAATAAGCACCCGGTACTCGCGTCCATGTGTTGAACTCGCATAATGCAAGCCTTAGTCGCTCTGTTATAGCACAGGCAGCAAGTACGCTGGTACACCTCACGAAGGGCAATGTACAGTTGACTCCACCCAACTGAATTTTCGCCCATCGTATATGCCTGGGAAGACACGCAAGACCTGTGCTTCTGGGTACAAAGCAGGGCGAAGGTTGCGGGGAGAGCTCGTTCGCAGGAAGTCGAGAAATTCCCGAGATCCGAATATTTATTTAACGGGGCCCTTCCTTCCCTCGGCCTTATACCCCCTTATATACCGTTGTTTACTTCGATCATCCCCCATTCCAACAAGTCGTTGTTAATACCTCCATCGCGAAGGATACTACTTCGTTATATTGAGAAATAGAGTCGAACGTCAAATACATTTTCGTTGCAAAAGGTCATGGCTTCCATCACCAGGAGAGTAGCTCAGTTACTGGGCTTCGTTGGCTCGAACCCTAAGCCTTCAGACGAGCTTCCCTGGAACCCTCACAATACCAACTTCCCTACCCGCAAAAACCTCCCTGATATTCCAGGAGCTCCCAAGGGGGCTGCTTGGGTATGGGGTAAAGATGACAATGTGAGCAGGATTCTTTTATGTTTACGTGCTCTTTTTGAACTTGTCGAGCTAATCATTACGGTCATAGCTTGGGAGGCTTAATCTACTCACCCCAAGTCGAATTAAAGCGGCTGCGGCTGAAATCAAAACTGGAGAAATTATACCCCTAGAGTGAGCGACTACAACGTCCAGAAGTGATACTACGGTATCTGAAGAAGGAATCCGATCTAATATCATATAGTCTACCCCTCAATGTTCCAGAGACGCCTGGTTTTGCCCGAGAGAAATTCGTACATACTATCAAAACAATTATGAAAGATGTCGCATACGACGATAAGTATGAATTAAATACACAGAGTGGAACTCAATGGGATGGATTCAGACATGTGAGTACATTCCCTATACTAAAACCCACAATATGAATTGACCGGACATGCCTAACCACGTCTCTCACCAACAGTTTGCTCATTTATCATCTCTCAGCTTTTACAATGGTGTAAGTACTCGTTACTATTCTAGTACGAGAATAAGTGTATGCTAAACTTTTGAAACAGACAAAAGGAGATGACATAGTCGGGCCAGATGCAAATCACAAGTGCAGTATACACCATTGGGCAGAGCATGGTATCGCAGGTCGCGGAGTTCTATTAGACTATCGGTCCTACGCGAAAGCCAACGGGATCGAGTATGACCCGTATACTGCACATGCCATCACATACGAAGAGCTCCGCAAATGTGGCAAAGCACAGGGCATCGATATCCGACCCAAGGCCCAGGGTGGGGATATAAAAGTTGGTGATATCTTGTTGATCAGGTCGGGATGGGTGGAAAGTTACCATGAGCGCAGCCCCGAGGAGCGTACAGACCTGGCTCTCCGGCCGCACGCTGTCGGTGTCGATGACGGACAAAAGTACGCTGGGGTTGCACAGGAGGATGCGATGCTTGACTGGCTGCACGACTGCTACTTTGCAGCTGTTGCTGGCGACGCACCGGCCTTTGAGCGATGGCCAACCCCCGTACCATACTATCTGCATGAATACATCCTTGCTCTGTGGGGGATGCCACTTGGGGAGATGTGGGATCTCGAGAGACTGGCGAAGAAATGCCATGAGACCGGGCGCTGGTTTTTCTTTTTGACGAGCGCTCCGTCTAATGTTCCCGGTAAGTTACACTGCCAATATTTTGGCAATATATGTCATGCATCCCATACTAGAAGAAGGAACTTATCATCCATTCGCTAACCACTATCTGTAATAGCCGGAGTGAGCACCCACCCGAACACGACTGCTATTTTCTAGTTTCCTGAATCAGAAATTAGTGATACTCCGGGGGATATATGAATTTTTTTCTTTTTTACCTAATCATTGTTTATGGAAATCATTTTTCTCGGATCCTGCACAAGTCCATTCATGTTATTGTGTAGATGCTATTCATGGTTTGTAGAACAGCTCTTGTACATATATATATATATATACGTTGACCACCCCCAATGAATGATCGCCCTATATTCATGCCAAAACCTTCTCCATGGCGACACGATATGCATCCATTGCGATATCGCCCAACTCCTTCCCGAGACTGATTCTCCTAACCCCCATATCCGTCAACTCCTTCACTGTTAGGTACCCCGGCCCAGTTTTCAGTCTCGCATTCCACAGTCCATCAAATGCATCAACGCACATCTTTCCTTCCTCCCTGGACACTCCACGCCCATAGTTACCGCCCCAAACAAAAACGCAAAATGCACCAGCTTCCATAAAGGCCTTTCCTCTCGCAATGGCTTCTTCAATAGTTGCACCGTGTCCCAAAACGTCTGTTCGTGCATTAATCACAAAATCGGGAACCCCGAGCTCAGCTGCTTTGGCCATAACTCGTTTGATGCGATCCACGGCTTCAGACAGTGGCATTGACTTTCCCGTTTCGTTATCTTCGTCTTCAAGGTTACATCCCACCACGCCAGCGTCGATGAGTGATGTAATGGTTTCTTCAAGTCTGTCTCCCCATCCATCCCGCATGTCAACTGATAGTGGTATGGGGTCTTTGTTGTCTCTCGAGGATATGTGTCGGTTAATTACGCCAACGATATCCTTGGCCGCCATGGTGAGCATTTCCGGCTCAAGTTCTTCGTCGGGTTTGCCATGTACGGCTGCCACGGCAAAACTGCTGGTTGCCAGGGCTTTCGCTCGGTGTTCACCCTGGCTTCCCTTGTGGCTAAGGACGATGTCTGCTGTCCGGCCGTCATAGACATTGCAAAGAACCAGGGGGTCACCTTTCTTATGAAGGCTGCGGAGGAAGAGTGCACGATCGTTTTGAGACATCTTTGCTTGTTTGTATTGGAAGAGGAATATTATTATTATTTATTTCGTATTTGAGGTATTGATTGTGTTGATCAAGGAAGGGATTGTTGTCTTTAGAATTGGAGAACGTCTTCTTCCATCGAGGGAGAGGGAGTTATTTATGTCTATAGCTGTGGATAGCAGAGACAGCGACTTTAGAATCGAACACGGGTAAACCCCGATCCCTATCTCAGTGCTCCGCCATTTCGAAGGGCGTATCCTCTGATCCTGAAAAGTATACTGCTGAAGTTCAGAACCCCTGATTTGATATATTGTCAACAACGTTGCAATGTTTCGTGACTCACTTCGCCTCCACATCTTCGGAATACGGCATTCTTCTTGCATTTTGCTTTCTCACCCGTGTTTCCTGTCCATCTTCTCCTTCGTCTTCTTCCTGCAAAACGCCAATCATGACGTGGCGGAGGGCGCAAAGTGGAACGCGAAGAGGACACGATATCACGTGGAACAGGGGTCTGTTTAATTGTTTTTTCCACCAAAAAGTACACCAGGGGAAAGGGGTCAAGATTCATTATTCAAGAGACGATACACCAAGTTCACGGGGAAAGGACATTGAGAAAAGTGATCACTTATATGAACCACCGAAACTCTTCCACTTCCGGACCATCTCGAAGTCTTTTCGTTGGCACATCACTCGCCGATGTTTTAACGCCTGCCCGGCGATTGCGTCGCCGATTATCCCAAGCCATATACAAACCAAGTCCAGCTGCGATGCAAGCGCCTACGCCTCCAAAAATACCAGTGGTGATCAATGCAGGCTGATATTTTGGTTTATCCTTCTCACGAAAGATATTACTACTGACTAGTCCCATGAGGTTGGCCAGCGGCACGCCGACAGAAGTGAGCAAGACACGCCGTCCTTCATGGGCGACATTGTTGTTGTACCAAGTACTCAGCAACACGGATGGAGCAGATGTACCCCATGTCATCATGAAGGCGCCAAAGTAGGCAAGTCTTATGTGTTGCTCGACATTGTCGATGGAGGCATAGATCATGAATCCACTGAAGGTAAGGAGGAAGCCGAGGACGATGAATGGGGAGCGTAGACGGGTGGCGTCAGAAATGAATGCTAGAATCAGCAGCATTGCTGCACCGGTGCAGTTGGGTGCGACAGTGTATAGATTCGTCTTCACTGTTTCATAGCCTAATCGCTGTATGATCTGGGGCAAGAAGAGGGCAACAGACTGCAGTGGGACGCCGAGGCAGATCTCGATTGAAATGAAACAGTATGATGTGGGTTGTCTGAATATTTCAACGGCTTCACGGAATGAGAATTTCTCGTTGACGACGGACGATGAATCCACTTGTATACGGTGGAAGGCGAGGGCCTTCTCCTGCGCGTTCAAGAACCTTGCCTCAGCTGATGTGCGAGGGAGATACCAAAACGCAAAAGCGGAAAAGCATACGGTGCATGCTCCCTCGATGAGAAAAAGGTAGCGCCAACCTTGCAGTTTTGAGTTGGGGATTTGGAATACCCCGAACGCAAGTAGACCAGAGAAGGCGTTTGCGATATTCGACGCAGCGTAGAATATAGCGAGGCGTCGGGCCAGCTCCCCTCGCCGATAGAAGGTGGTTAGGTAGTAGATGACCAACGGTAAAAAGGCCGATTCAGACATCCCCAGTAGCCAACGAAGGGCAAACAGGCCACTGAAATTATAAGTGGTGGCGGAGAGGAGAGTCAGGGAACCGAAGCTGAACATGCATATCGGCAGGACACGGGCTGGACTATATTTCTTGCCGAGCATAGCGATTGGAGGTGCAAAAAGAACATAAGGAATGAAGAATATCGACAGCAGAAGGTTGTATTCTCCGCTTGCAAGATTGAGATCTATCAACCATTATTAACCACAGTTCTCGAGAGAAGTAGCAGTAGGACATACCCTTGCTGAGGCCGTTGGTCTGGGCATTTCCAATGTTTCCTTTATCGAGAGCATTGAAAAGATCTGTTACCGTTAGTTGAATCCTGTATGGCTACAAGGGGGACATAAGGAGCTAACGTACACATCACTGCGAGGACAGGGAGGAGTTGAATATCAAGCTTGGAACAGAGTGCGCGCTCTGCCTTATGGTCGACGACTTGAACCACAGCATTATCGGCAACCTGTCCTTCACCATCTTCAAGCGTGGTTTCACAGTTATTCCCATGACTGTTGTGGCTGGCTGACTCGATACCGTTCTCTCTGAGGACCCCGTCCGGCAGGATAGCCTTGCAATCATCCATTGGCGACAGTTTTGCCTATCTCGCGCAGATGGTCTCAAAAGAGTAGATGGCAGAGAAATCAGGGAATGGTAATGCCAGACGCCCTTCCTATAGCCATTCCGCAGTATCATGTCAAAGAAGAGGAGGACCAAACGACACAAAGCCACGAGACCAAGATGCTGAGGAAACTTCCGCGAGTAACACAGCTGATATCCGGATATGCCATGGTCCATGGTTCACTATCGATCAGGCATTACCCTGCTAAGCAGTGAATGTGAGTAGGAAGAGATCAAGTTATCCCTTGAGATACCTTGCCATTCTTTCTTAGCCACCTGGTTCCACCCGGTTGATATACATCTTTATCACCTCTAGGTCTCTGAGTAAATAGTGAAATGGTATAATCAAGACACTATACACACGACAGAGGATTGTATACAGGTATGATAAGGAGTATATTGAAGTAGAGGTTTGTGAATGGACGTTTGTTTAACCCCTTGTCACTTTATGCGAGTAAACTTCTGGGTGGAGCCTGCAACTCGGATTGCTATAAAACCACGAGAGAACTCGACTTCCAGAGTCAAGGAAGCAGGGAGGATTAGAGTATTTAAATATTTCTATCTACATGTATCGATGTTGTCCGGTGGTAGTACATCCAACTAGGAAGAGGTTGAAACTGGGATCCATTCTATCATTCTATTTATGTATGCTTATGCTCCGTGTACTACCTAGGGTATCGAATGTGTAAAAAGAATGGTACCAACACCAATCCCTGGTCCGTTGCGCCATAAACCATGGTTGTGCTCCGTAGGTAAAATAATCATGTCTCAAGAAAGGGTGAAGGTCGTCTGCTTGTTAGCAAGTACTTTGTGGGCGTTTACTGGAATGCACGTTTACATGCTTCCACCATGTTAGTGATGGCCTGTCTGCCAGCCTGCAGCACTCCATCCATGGCTAAAAATGCATGCGGCATCCGCTCCATAACTATCACCTCACACTTGACGCCAGCCTTCTTTAGCTTTTCGGCGTACTCCTCGCCTTCCTGGCGCAAGACATCTAGTTCACCTAGCATGATCAGCGCGGGCGGCTGGTAGGGCAGGTCCGTGTTCATAGTCGCGATAGGTGGCGTTGTTGGTGGTGTCTGCCGTGTTGTCCATGACTGGGACGACGAGAATCTGGAGCTTGAGAGCAGGCATAGAGCGAGCTATTGAGCGATGGGCTATGATTGCGGCAAGGTTGCCGCCAGCCGAAGAGCCAGCGACTGCGATGCGGGAGGTGTCGATGTTAAGTAGCGAGCGATCGCCAGACTGCAACCAGAGGAGCGCCTCCCAGGCATCATGGACAGCCGCTGGAAACGGGATTTCAGGACCAAGCCTATAAGGGTAAGTATATGCAGACAGGTGAAGAGATAGGGGTAGGGTCATACCTATATCCAACGGTGACCACGACACATCGTGCTCTACTACAGACATTCGTGCAGACTGCGTTCTCCGTGTCTAGATTACCCAGCACCCATCCTCCTCCATGGAAGTAGAGCATCACTGGCCATCCGGCATCGTTCTCGGGTTCATTCTCAGCGGCATCTGGCCAGAAACATCTCACCTGGACATCGGGCCCGTCGCTCTCCTTGCGCTTGATTGCAACATCCCGCGTCTCGCCAACGGGTATAAGGGGCCCGGCGCCGGGTATGAGCACCCCTGATGCTCGAGATGCACCTACGGGCTGGTAATGAACCTGCTGTAGGTCTTTGATGTGCGAGTTGTAGAATGCAACATACTCTGGGTGCAGGAGATCGCGGACAGACTCATGCAGAGGGTAAGGCGGTTGAGACATGTCTGCAGCCCTCGCTTTGTTCGTTCGTTTCGATATCTAGCTATCCTCGTCTTTCGGTATCTCGGTTGAGTGATCGGCTGTATCTGTTCCCTAAGCTCGAGTTTGTGGCTTGCAGCAAGTTGGCTGCTCGGCGCCTCGCCGATGCATGACTTTATAAACCTGGCCCTCCCTCCGTCACTCCGCCAGTTGTACTCCATAAGTAACTCGGTATTCACCCTCTTTGTTCTTCCTCTTCACACCATCTCGCATGTCGAAGTCGCATCGCACCGCTTAACCTGGAGTCTCCCCCACGCAACGCGGGACGAGCCAGAGCTGCGGGATTCCCAGCAAACTTTGCTAGTGGCCGGCGGGACCAGCATTGAGTTTTGCGTGGCTTACTTTCCAGCAGGAGAGCGGCTGAGGCAGTCGAAGGAGCGTGGGAGGGCAAGTTGCTGGTAGGCTGGGAGACCGGTAGCCAAGAAGGAGTATCAATATTCAGATTATCTATTTTTATCCCAAGCCAGAAAGAGCCAGAGCCAGAGCCGGAAGAGACCAGAAACAACCATAAAGAAGCCAAAAGCCATAAAAGAAGCCATAAAAAGAAAAGCCATAAAAGAAAGCCATAAAAAGAAAATCCATAAAAAGAAAAAAGAAAGCCGAAAAGAAAGAAGAAAGCCAAGGAGAAAAGCCCAGAAAGAGTCATTACTAAGTATAAGGGACAAGGGATAAGTACAGCTACAACGCCTTCTCAAAGTCAGCTAGCTCCTTGAACTGCATCGCATACGTATCCCGGGCCTCCGTCGTCGGCCGTGGAAGAGGTCTCCGTGCATTTTCCCCATAGCCATAATGGGACTGCATCGCGGACTTGATGCCAACGACACCACTCTTGATGGCGGCCCAGTCGCCGCGCGAGAGGACGTCCTGCACCTCACGGGCCTCTTGCATCTTGCCCTCTGCATACAGGTTTAGCAGCAGCATGCATGTCTTGGGAGCCAGGTTCGCAATGCCTCCGATAATCCCGGACCCCCCACCGATCATGGTCTGGAGCGTAAAGTCGCCTGATCCTCCGAAGCAGAGGAACGTACTGCCCGCACTGCTGGTTCCGTTGCCGTGGCTGTTGCCGTTGCTGTTGCCGTTGCCATTGCCATTGCTGGCGCTTGCTAGCTTTGTACTGTGTAGACGCTGTGCGGTGGCGACGCGGTTGAGTTTTCCCGTATTCCCACAGGTGAACTTACAGCCCACGATATTGGGGTGCTTGCTTAGGGCTGTGATCGTGTCTGAATCCAAATCCAGCCCTGACGCAGCAACAGGGTAGTTATATATAACGATTGGAATGGGAGAGGCGTCAGCTACATCTGTGAAGAAATGCATGATCGTGTCTGCATCGAACAAGCCCCGGTAATACGAGGGCGCGAGGACAAGGGCGAAGTCCCCCCCGCTTGCGTATGCATCACGACATAGCTGAATGGTCTCGCGCGTTGACTGGGCACTGCAGCCAACCATTAGGGGCATGCTGGCATAGCCGGCGCTGTCTAGAGCCTGACGGGTATTTTCTGTGATGGAGTTTCGCTCTTGAGAAGATAGATGTATGGCCTCTCCGTTGGAGCCATGGACGGTGATGCCTGTGACGCCGGCCTGGGCTAGTCTTATGGCATGTTTTGAAGTGGTAGTAAGGTCGACGTCTTCGGTGACGGGTTCAAAGAAGCAGACTGTTGGCACGTAGAAACCCGGAGTCAGGGTGCGCACCCCCCTGGTGACGGGCTGCAGGCTACTCCGGCCCATGTTGTCGCCATTATGCATTGGAGGCATTGGGTGTAGGGATGAAGGAAAGGCGGAAGGCAGAGACGACGGCATTCAAGCTCGATCAAAGAGATAATATAGGGAATGAAGAGGTTTTGATGTTCAGCGTAGGAGTAGGGAGTATATATATATCAAAAGGCAGACCATTGACCGTATATGTCGAAGTTATCAAAAGGAGCAATGGAGTTGAATTGAGGGAGTAAGAAACAAGATACCCCCCCGGTGATATATATATGCCTCCACGCTTTGCATGGCAATCCCGGGGAATAAGTAGAGTTAAAGGGCAAAGGGTAGTTGGAAGCCTGAGGGAGGTCGCATCAGCGCCCGGAGGCGTGGGTGTGGAGAGAAGCCGGCCAACATTGCATAACGATTGTCCCAACCAATGAACCCGAAAACGAGGGCTAGAACTAAAAAAAGAAGGTAAAAATAAAGGAGAACTTTGAAGCGAATCACAAGGCCAAAAGATCGGTGTGAAAAGAAAAAAACATGAGAGCGTGGAAGGCCATGCTTGTCAAGGCCAGCCTTAGCTCACGATCCGGCTGATTGGCATGGTCATTCATTGTACATAGTACGGAGTGGCCGTGGGATGCGCGGGTTGTGGGTACCCCCGTACCAAGTCAATCTCCGAGCGATAGTGAGAGTCCGATAGCTGAGTATCGCACTTACTCCGTATCAGAGGGCGGAGAGAGCTGGAGTACGGAATGGTAGAAGGCCGGAAGTTGTTGATATAACCCATGTTTGTTTCCTCTATCGACTAGTTAGCGTGTGCAAAAGAAAGGAGAAAAAAGGGAAGAAAAAGTAAAGTAGAGACCAAGGAGAAAAAAGCAAACAACGACGCTGTGGAGAACCGAGTCCGATCAACGAAGGAATCAGGGAGAAGAAGGCCGGTATCCAATTCGTTGAACCAAACGAGGAGAACGAACAAACTAGCAGCAGCGAGAATCCGCACCCGCAATTTACGATGGGAGATACGGCGGAAACGGCGAACGGCGATTTCATTTCTTTTTCCTCCTCCCTTGCCCACTGAGACCCCCATGTTATGATAGCATACGTACCCATATAGGTACATTGGCCGATGGGGTTGGTGCTTGCGATTGTTCCACGATCCATGACAAACAACGGGAAAAAGTAAAAACTGAAATATAAGTTGCTCCATAAACTATAAAATGATAGTCCTATATCATGGCGCTCGTAAGTACTCCGTATACCCTCTTTTAGTGCTGCTGAAGAGTCAAAGGCCATCGTTTCAGTTAGCTAATGAGTAACTTACGGACAGGCTTAGGTTTCGGTTAAAAATAGGAAGGATTCCCGGTCAGACTCCAGATTAGGACACCACTGCATCAAACCCATGGGCGTGGGATGCGCTGTGATATATAGTGCTCAGGGATTTGCCTCTCGGGGAATTGCTGTCTTGTTTTGTTGAGGCAGCATCAGGGCCTTGCATGGGTCGTGGGTGCTGGTAGCTTAGCGTTGGTGGTGATCACATTTTGCTGCATGCAACGCATCACTTCTCAAGGCGGAGGATGGGATAGGATGAGATAGGGATGGGGCCTTGCAGGGCACCCCCACCGTCGCCGCAGTTGCTGCTTGCCTAACTGGGTGCAGCTGAGCAGCTGGGCGGATCGACTTGGAGATGACCTTTAGCGGGAGTGACGCGAGATATACTGCGTAAGTCCTTTGACCGCTCTGGACTGCTAGTCTAGCTGCTGGGAGGCGGAAATGGTGGCTGACCCATAGTTTCCCCGAGACGGCTTCCAGATGTTTTCTCGCTGCCGTCAAGAGCTGTCTAGAACGATGCAAGAAGGTGATTGTTTCTTTTTCTTTTTCCTTTTTTTCTTTTCTTTTCTGTTGTTTTTCCCACGTGGAAGTTAGCGGGATATTGCTTCTGTTTCGGTTCGTTGATGTCTGACAAGCAGGACAACGCATGCTTAATTTGAGATAGTTGGGCTAGCTAGATACATTGGATTCCTTCTAGCGGAAGACTGGAGAAGAAAGAAATTTGAATATAAGGCTAGGTCAGAGTTTTCCTTTTTTTTAGATATAAGCCGAGCACTCAATCTCGACATCCGTGTTGCGTGGTAGGGTCTTGACCGCAACGCATGTTCGGACCTACTCCAAAGGGTTAACGCCCGCCAATAAGCAGCAGTGGGTGAGCGGAAGTGCAGGAGGATATGCAGTGTCGTACCGGCTTGGGCTCGAAGCTAAGATACTGAGCGTAGACCTCGTTGACGGCTGCAAAGTCGTCCATGTTGGCAAGGAATACATTGACCTTGAGCAGCTTCTCAAGGCTAGATCCTGCAGCCTCTAGCACCGCAGTGATGTTGCGGAAGATCTGTGCCTGCATCACCACACCGAGTCAGTTCTTCGCATCCTCATCGACGCTCTGCCATCAGACGTACAGTGCGGTCCTTGACTGTCCCCTCGACCAGTTCGCGGGTAACTGGATCAGTGCCAACCTGGCCGGAGCAGTACACGATGCCATTGTGGATGATGGCCTGTGAGAGCACTGGCAGTGGCGCGGGCGCCTTGTCGGTGAGTACAGCTCGTTTGGCAGCCATCTTTCTCTTCTTCTTCTTGTTGTTCTTCTTCTTTGCTTCTTCTTGTTCTTCTTCTGGTCAAAGAATCCAGCGTGGGGGAAGATACTGCTTACGTCATCTGCGCATAGCCCTTCCTCTCGTACTCTAGTTCAAGACTAAGCAACTCTACTATATGAAGTTATCCGGCTGTCGTGCAGTAGTCACAGTCTTCGCATGGAGTATTTGATTGCCAGTGAATGGATACAGACGGCGCCGGCTTCGGGCGATGCGATGTGACTGGTATATTCCGGCTTCCATCTCTCTACGAGTGAAAGGCCCTGATTCGACCCGCATCCCCCCAGCGGCCAGCTCTTCTCCCTACATCCTACATCCCAGCAGATGCTCCCCCCACCAAGCACCAGCAACCAGCAAGCACCAAATTAGACTGCAAATTAGACAGCAGGGAACCGGGGCTAGTGACGTTCGCCGCGGAGTAGGGCCCGCAACGCCGTCGATACCACAGCGGCTCACCGACAAGAGGGATTGGTGCGAGCACATTATCGGGATATTGAGATCCAGGCCACATCATAGAGACAGAACGAAGAGGAGAGAAATAAGGAGATAACGCTGCTATGACGTCGAACATCGCTAATCAACCGAATGCTGAGGCAGCCGAGCTGAAGGCGCGGTATGTCGGCCGTATGCTACAGGACGTCGATGGCCCAGTGCCGGTTATCGACCGCGAGGTAGCACGGCGTAATTGCCAGGTCATGCTTGATGCCGCAGACGCTTTGGATGTCGACTTCAGGGCACACGCAAAGACTCATAAGGTAATGTTGTATCCCCCGGATGTATTGACGTGGGCTGACGATGTTGCCAGACAACCGAACTCACCCGCTTCCAGGTTGGGGAGAAGTCGGATTCCGTGCGACTGATAGCGTCCACGCTCGTGGAAGCAGAGCAGTTGACTCCATTCCTGAAAGAATGTCAATCAAAAGATCGGAAGGTAGATGTATGTTTCCCCGTTGCAACCTTGGGAGGAGGTGCCGCCGTGCCCCTGGATGATGGTATAGGACTAGGTTGACGGTATGAACAGTTGATCTACGGCCTCCCCGTTCAACCATCTTGTTGCCCGCGTCTGGCTGAACTGGGTAAGATACTCGGCCATGGAGCAGTGACATGTCTGGTTGATAGCACCGAGATCATCCCGTATCTATCTCGCTACCATGCGCTCTGCGGCATGAGGCTGGGCATCTTTATCAAGTTGGACACAGGCTATGGTCGCGCCGGTGTAGCTCCCGATAGCTCGCAGTTCGACGCCATAGTAAACGAACTCTACGCCCTGGAGATCAAGGAGCCACACCTCCTGACCCTGCGTGGCTTCTACTCGCACATGGGACATAGCTATGGGTCTGACAGCCCATCGGAGGCAATGGATTACCTGCGCCTGGAAATCGAGCAGTGCGAGCTCGCCGCGAAACGTGTCTCTGCATTGCCTCCTCCCGTCCAGCCCGACGGAGAAGCCGACTACTCGCAGCGACGCTTCATTCTCTCCGTCGGCGCCACGCCTAGCACCACCTCAGCGCAGAATCTCACGGCCTCTCAAACACTTTCCTTACCTGGAGCAGACAAGGTCAAGGCACTGATCGAGCAAACTAAACAGAAATATGACATCGAGTTGCACGCGGGTGCATACGTGACGTTGGATGTGCAGCAGTTAGCCGCCCGTGCGCGTCCGTGCAGCTCACATCTATCATTTGATGACATAGCGCTTACTATGCTCGCAGAGGTGGCATCGCTGTATATGCACCGTGACCATCCCGAGGCGCTTGTTGCATGTGGTTCGTTGGCTATGGGCCGTGAGCCATGTCGTACCTATAGTGGCTGGGGTATAGTTACACCCTGGCGCGAGCAAGCAGGTGATGACCAGCAGCAAGGGAAGACAGGTCACTATGATCCCGATGGGGACAAGACGGGTTGGATAGTCGACCGTATCAGTCAGGAGCACGGCATTTTGCGCTGGAACGGGTCGCGAGAGAATATGCAGCCACTGCGAATCGGCGAGAAACTGCGCATCTGGCCAAACCATTGTTGCATTTGCTGTGCAGGGTTTACCTATTTGCTTGTTGTTGATTCGACAGCCCAGGGAACCGAGAAGGACCGCATCGTTGATGTTTGGCAGAGCTGGAGAGGGTGGTGAGTATGAACGCAGACAACGGACAGACACGGATACACACGCTATTGGGCCATTAGAGGTACATATCTCCATTGCATCATATTGTTAGACACGGTGACGGCAAGGTGCATCAAGGCTGGGGGCCGGTACATGGAAGTAGCTACGGAGCATTAAATTTCAAATAGAGACAAGACTACCTGCTGTGACTCGTTACACACGGTCCACTCCGTTATAATCGTCATATTCTCGTGCCAACGTCGATCATTAGAGAAAGGACAGGCGAAGACGCAAGTAACTCCATGGTTCCAACACCAATGCTAACTATGCTGTGCAGTGCTGTGCAGTGCAGTGCTGGATAAAAGGCTAGACGCAAGCTGGTACGAATCAGAAAAGAGTAAAAAGCAAATCAGAGTAGAGTAATCGGAAATGACAGTAAAAAAGGGGGAGAAATCAAAAAAAGAGAGCAAATCATATCTCATATCTTAATTCCTCGTATCAATCTCATGAGAAACTCAAATAGCAATGCAGAAAATTTCAAAATCAAAAATCAAAATCAAAAAGAAAAAAAGTAAACCAAGTGATACAAAATGGTTACAGAAAGGGGAAGGGATAGAAACCAACGAACTCATCATCCAGGACTTGGAAACTAGAAGCAGTCATCGGGCCACTCGAATTGGTTTGTCTTCGCAGCACTTCCCGCATGCTCAGCTGGCAACTTGGGAACGGGCGGGATATTCTCGTTCCCGTTTTTCCCCGGCGTGACGGTGATAGGTTTATCGTTGTTTGCTTTACGACGGGGTGTAATGCTGTGCTTCTTGGGACTGCCGGGCCGGGATATCATGTCTGCTGTTGGAACCGAGGCGGGGCGTGGGGGTGGAATTAGAGCTGTGTTTGCATTTGTATCTGCGTTGTGTACTTGCATTGGCATGGGCTTTGGCTTCGAGGCCAGGGGTGGTTTGGTAGATGATGGAATGGGAAGAGGGGCCGGAGTCGAGATAGCTACTGCCTCGGACGCGTCGGAGCCAGCATTGTCAGAGGTAGTGATTGGGGTTGGGCTCGAGATAAGGGCTTGCTTTCTGGTCAGGGCTGGAGCTGGAGCTGGGGTTTGGGCTTGCTTGGGTCTGGATTCGGACCGCGCGGGGACAGATGCAGGGCGGGTGATTGTTTCGTAGCCCGAGAGGTATTCTGGTTTGTTTTCTTTTGCTCTGCGAGATGGCTGGTTCCGTCGGACCTCTGTCTCGGCGCGTACATCGCGAGGACGAGGACGCGGGCCGTTTAATTCGGTGGAATGGCGGACATTGCGCGGCGGTGAGGAGGCGTCACTGTTTTTAATTCCCCTGCTATAGGTGGTCGAGATCCGACGACGCCGGATACTTGCAGGGTCGGGGGATGGCGACTTGCGTTTTCGTGACGGTGGTGTGCTTCCGTCTGTGGTCTGGTTGGCGATCGTGGCGGTGGGAGTGTTGGTAACATCCGCTTCTCCAATTCGTGGGGTGGTGCGCCTTAGTCGTGGCTCTGATTTTCTCGTATAGATTGGCTTCTCCGGGCTGGATTCTTGCTCTGACAATTCACAAATGGTGTCTGGTTCTTCTTTGTCGAAAAGCAGCCTCTCCGAAGGCAGGGAGGGTAATGCCCCTGGAATGAATTTCTTCCTCCTCATCCGCGAATATCGCAAGTCATGAGCTGAAGGAGCCGAGGCGGTTGGAGGACCAGTAGCATTTGTGTCTCTTTCTGACTCTTCCTCTTTGCTTTCGCTCTCGTGTCCGAGCGAGCTGAGCTCCCGTTTGTATTTCATAAGTTTGTCTTCCAAGTTACTAACCTTTCTCCGCAGTTTGGTTTCCTTGGCTAGGTCCTTGTTGGACTGTTCTTTCCGAAGAGACTGGCCGATGTTGAGGAGTGATCGGGAGTTCTTGATTGTTTGAATTGAGGAGCGTTTGGTGGAAGAAGGCGGATGTTGCCGTTCAAGTGGTGTCGGGGGGAGTTCCTTGCTCGTGCTAGATTGAATAGATGCACTTGGTCGATGGGATTGCGGCTGTGGTGTTTGAACTGGCGGCAACTTGGTCGGACTAGCGGTGCTTTCCCTCGAGTGTCCGTATCTATATGTTGGAGTATGGCTTCTATAGGCCGAGGAAGCCTTGTATTCCTCGTAGGCCTTCTCGATGCGTGCGGCTTGAGGTGTATCAGCCAACGAGGCCATTGACGCTGACCCTTTGGACGAAGAATCTTGGCCCTTCCAGATCTCAGAGACGTTCCCCCATACGCCCAGCGGGTTGAATGCGGAGACAATGGCCTTTCCGAATCGAAAGACGCTCGAGGAGTGTTTGGAGTCGGCTACATCGCTATCGGCCGTGTTGACTGAAGAAAAGGACGCCTTCTTGCCATGTTTCCCATGTAGAGTGGGAGTTACGGGTGTATGTCCGGTCGACTGCCATCCGTTTGCGCGTCTGCCTCTGACATCATTGCGTTCATCCATGTAATTTGAAAGTAAATACTCCTGTTCGTCCCCGATGAAAGTGGATGGCGGCTGCGTGCTGACCCGATCATTCATACTCCCTTCTAGGAATCGAGATTGACGTTCTTGTCTCTCCCTAAGTTCCGTGACGTCCTGTCCTCTGCGTGAACGAAGGCTGGGTTTCTCAGACACTTCTTCTTCGCGAGCAATACCATTCGAAGCCTGCTCGCCGTCCCCATTCATCGACCAATCATTAGACCGAACGCGTTTCTGAGCTGAATGTGGCTGGTACGAATGGGCAGCGTCAGCACTGAAGCGATTGGGATTTGCCTCGCTGCGTCGATACACTGAATGGGGCTGGGCATCTTCTTCACCCAGCGGGTATGATTTGCGTTTTGAAGGCCCCGTCACCACGGCCCTATTGGTATCGCCGTAGTACCTGTTTCCATGGCCATTGCTAGGTTGTGTAGAAGCAGCTGCAGCTGACTGTTGTAGCGTGCTCTCCAGCTGGCTATCAACAGTGAATTCACCACCCTGTGCCCAATAGTCCGTTAATAATGTCAACAGTGCAGGAATGGGCAATATTGATCCCTGATATTGGGAAGTGGGATAACCAAGGATATACAAATCATCGAGTCGTTGCGGGTGGTGTCATGCTGGATCTGTGGAGCGCCAGAACAGGATCGTGGCAGCGTGAGATGTAACCCGGCCACGACGATAATATTAAACAAAACTTACATCGACCATTCTCCCCCGTCGAGACATGACTCGCGATCCTCTATCCTCCCTCTAGAGAGCAAAAGTCATCAAGCCGAGTAAACTGGATAAATGCATCATTAGCCACGTCATGTTGTTTGGATGTTGCATGTTCAATCTGGTTAATTGACTTTTCTAACTGCGTTCTTGTTTGTTTGTTTATTTATAGTAAAACGCGTACACAACACTTACCAGGCACAATAATGACGAACAAACGTATGAACGAGCTACCTGCTCGTGAAGATGCAGATAGCGACTCGACTCCTCGACTCGACTCGACTCGACGACCACCGTCCTGGTCGTGCTCGGATTGTTGACGTTGGCGGGATGTAGCAGGTTTGTGAAACACAGGGATCCAACTCGAGACTCGGTCGATAGACGAGAGCAGTGATAACGAGATAATGACGACGAGATAAAGAAGAGAAAAGGAAGAATGCAAGCGTGAAGGACGTTGCTGATAGTGACGAGCGAGGAATCCGTGAATGAAAAAACCTACCTTTTCGCCTCCCCCACGCCAGACTCAGAACATCCTCAACGACGACATAAAGGCCATGGGTCCGTCAAAATCTGCTTCTCCTATCCACTTCAAGCCAATCCACTCCCCGCACTCGGAGATGAGCGCGTAACGGAGTCGAGTCGAGTGGATGTTTGTGCTGCGTGGAGAGGCAGAAGAAGAAACGAGACGCCGGAGTTAGGGAGAGGGAGGGTTAGCGCTTCCCGCGGCGCGGTTAGTTAGGTGAAGTCAGCTACAGGGAGACAGGCAGGGCAGCCAATTACGCGCTGAGGGATACTCTACGGTACATACGGAGTACAGTGAAGGCAAGGAAAAGAGTGATGGCTATAGTATGTAATGTTTTTATATTCCCATTTGTTCAATATACGGATACGATAGATATACCTAAACGAAACAGCACAACAGATCGATCAACAAGGAAAGGAAAAAAGGGGGCGTTTAGGAAAAAAGATATTAAACAGCACGGGCAATGGAGACCGAGCGGGGGATAGCGTGTGCGAAAAGAAAAAATAACGAGAGATGAAATAAAACATTTCGAATGGTATGGATATATTCAGAGATTAAGGCAATCGCTCGAAGGCCTGCGTCCGTCCGTCCAAACCTGGTTCTGCGTATATCTTCAATTCATTTGATTGGACTTTAACCTCCTTCAGCTGACTTTTTTGTTTCTCGGTCCGTTCAGATGACGTTGCTGCGCCTGTATATATAAGATAAGAGATAGAGATATAAATAACTGAGGAGGAGGGGAGGGAGGTAGAGAATAGGAATGAGAACAGGTTAAAGTATATCTGAGAAAAAGGTTGGTGGGGAAGAAGTGAAGTAGGAGAGGAAGAAAGAGGAGAAAAGTAAGTCAAGGGTGTGCTGGATATCATAGAAAGGCAAAGAGAGAACAAATTCAATAAGCGAAATAGAAGACGAACAGAAGAAACCAAGACATATCAGAAGGTGACCGTGAAATCGAGAGACGAACATGTAAAATAGAGAGGATAGCCAGTGAGCGTATAGCGGGAAGCTGGGTCGGGCTAGCGTTGAAAAACCAGTTCTGAGAGGATCGTGTACTCGACGCGATCTAACGGCCCAAAGCCAACCAAACCAAAGCATATAGAACATTTGACACAAGGGCAAAACAAAACCAAGCCAGCTAGCTAACGAAAGCTGCGCAGCCAGGCAAGCAAAATACCACCAATTCCCAATTCCAATTTTTTTTGTTGCGGTAGAAAAAACGATCTGATCGCTTGGTGAAAAGCGATCGGTCCAAACGTTGCTTTGCCAGGTACTGGAGCTGGAGCTGGCGCTGGCTGTCTTGGTATGGTACGGTTGGTATATGGCACATGGATAAAAACACGGACAAAGGAAAAGTCTCCATCCAGGTGGAATAACAGACAGAACCGATGCGATGGTGGGTGTAGGCGTTTAGGCTACTCGGGCTGGACCGGCCATTCTGGTGGCTACTCGTCCGTCGGCTCGCTTGTAGGTCATGTTTCCAGCGATACTGCCATCGTCGTCGTCGAGATCGTGTAGACCTGCAATGCGAGAGAGGAGGCTTGCTCTGCTATTCGCGCCAGAAGAGGAGGAAGTAGATGGTGGAACGATGGAGTCTGCTCTCTTGCCGTGGTGGAGAGGCTGGGAGAGATGGGCGGAGCCAAAGACGTCTGTGTGGCCTCGCTTGGAAGAGAGAACGGGTTCGGAGCGGAAGGACCAGCCTTTGCCGTGGGTTGGATCGTAAGTCGGTGGTGGTTGACTGTTTGACGACGAGCTGGAGTTTGATGAGTGCGTTTGTTCTGTTGGCGTGGCTGGTTCGATGACGTCGTTTGCAGTGCTTGGGTTGTATGGTGGGAGAGATGGGGCGGCGGCGATGAGAGAGGATGGAGGTGGCATCTGTGGTGTCTGGGAGGTTGTGGAGTGGTATGCTTTTGGATCTGAGGAGCGGTAGTCGTATCGTGGTGCGCTGGATGACGATTCGTGTGGGATGGAGATGGGCGGTAGACTCGCCTTGGGGTTGGGGTCGGATAGCTGTCTGGATGGGGTGTGTGGTGGTTGTTGCTGCTGCTGGTATGGTGGGTATTTGTTCTGGGATTCGTATTCTGTGCTGGTCGAAGAATGGCGTAGGTGTGTGTAGCTGGGCATCGGCGAGGAGTATGGTCCTTGGGTCGGTGGGTGGTGTGGTGGCTGCTGCTGCTGTGACTGCTGTTGCTGTTGCTGTTGATGCTGTGGCGGTAGCTGGGGAGCGCAGTACTGTGGTTGTGGTGCACCAAAGGAGAGATGTGATTGACCCTGAGACTGCACTGGAGGACCAGGTAGGGCCATCTGACCAGGTGCTGGCTGCTGGTACTGCTGAGATGGTGGTCCCGGTGGAGGAGGTGGTGGTGGATAGCCGTACCCCTGAGCCACCGACTGAGCGCGCTGTGGTGTTGGGCAGTAATATCCTCCCTCCATACCAGAGTTGCTGGTGCTTCTCGGTCGCTCGACGGGCGTTCCTGGATGATACGAGTCCGGCGTGACATGTCTCTCATCGTAGCCGCCGTAGTCCTTGCTTGATTTCGGTTCTCGACGACGCATACGCACGTCACGTCTGATACGCACTCGACAGCCCTGCTCAGCCACGATACGCGAGAGGGTGGTGCTCTCGGACAGTCCAGGGAACTTCTTTGCACTGAACACGGTGAATGCAACGGTCTTGACCTCTAGACGGAAATACATGCTCTTCTGTGGCTGCTTCGACTTCATGGGCATGGTCATACCGGTGGTCGAAACGGTGCCTACGGGTGCAAGAGCGACTTTATCCTCATCTTTAGCGTCCTTGGGCTCCTCGTACAGGCTGAAGTTGAGTCTGTACAGTCCCTCGTGTCTGACGGAGAGATCGGGGAAGATGAAGTAGCCTGCCTGGCTGGGACGGTCGAGATAGGCGATGCCAGCGACTGGAACTCCCGTCAGCACCGGACAGGAAGGCGGTTGGCCCTGGACTCTGCCGTGGGCGAAGGGACGGGCCCATTCGAGCGTGGCAAAGAGGAAGAAGTTGGCGTTGTAGGAGAAGGTGACGTCTGTCTTTTGCATGTCGTTGTTTGGGTCCGACTCGAAGATGCGCATCTCCACGATCGGTGGCGGGTCGACAGGCCGTCGGTCCGCGGATGCTACTCTCGTCAGCGATGTTATCAATTCAACAATGGTCTAGGGTACGTACATTTGGCACCGGCGCCGCAAGCTCTGGCGCGTTCTGGCTGCTGCATGACCCTGAGCGAGTAGGTGATCTTCTTGCCCTCGCGGGTGATTCTGGAGGAGGAGTGTTCGGTCTCATTTGGAGGGTGAAGGATGGATGATTTGGAAGCCATTTTGGCGGCGGGTCCCGGAGGACGCGAGCAGACGACAGTTATCTCACTTCTCGAGTCAGTCTATCGTGTATCTTCGTGGTGATGATGTGATGGTTGATGTGATGGTTGATGTGATGGAGGGCGCGTACACACCATGCACCGACGGCAGAGTCAATTGTGTACTCGTGCGGTAAGACGAGCCGTCTGTCTATTCTGTCTATGGTGACAGAAGTGAGTACTCGTAGATATGTCGTGAGTAGAGAGGGAGGTAGAGAGGGAAGTAGTAAGAGAGAGTAGGAGAGAGTAGTAGGAGAGAAGAATAAAGAGCAAAGAGTAAGAAAGAGGGAGGCGAGGACCAGGTCCGGGGCTCTGGGGCCGCACTGATGCCCCCGGGCCCAGCGTATGGTAACGGGCGTGACAGTACAAGGGTGTGTCTTGGCTGATCTTGGCGCTTGGCACTGCTGCTTCGCTTGGCTTCCCTTCTTCCTTGGGCCACGCCGGCGGGCTGGGCCGGCAGGGGTGGAGACACTAGTCCTTGATCAGGAAAGGCGTCGTTACCACCGTACTGCCCGTTTCTTTCACTTCTCTCGTCTCTCTCTATTACATCTCTCTATTATCTCTTCTATCGCCCTCTCTCTCTCCCTTTTCATCTTTTTACTCCGTACTGGTACGATCTATGTATAGTATATGTGTTAGCATGTGAGAGCAGGGATAGTGCGCGAGTCAGGGCGCCACTGGTAGCATGCGGCCCCGCGGAGAAAGTGGGCGCAAGAAGGTTTTCCCTGGCGGTAACAAAGAAAGAAGAGAAACTCAGAAAGTCAGAAAGTACCGAATACGCCTATTTAACCCCCGCCAAGACCGCACAACGTGGCCCATATAACCACCTTCTTCTCTGAGCGACTCTCCTCTCCTCTAATCTCTCGTAGTTCTCAGTGATATATATACAGTGAGTAGAGAGAGCAGAGAGTACAGAGGAGAGTGAGTATGGATGATCGATCCAGTCCGCCACCAACCAAGCTCCCACCTGCCACCGCTAATCCCAGCATTAATGCATGTGCAGTGCGGCGAGGCGCATCTGACCTGCCCTGACTCCATACGCCGATTACTCACCCAGCACCACGAAGGCGGGTTCAGGAGGAACAGTCGTAGATTGCCTGCCACACAGCCTGGCCAACCATCCACCACCAACCATCCACCATCCACCGACCAGTCGACCAACCACCGACCAACCAACCAACGGATCCAACCAACGGGTCCAACAGACAAACAGCTGGGTTATCGTCTGACCAAGCCCTCACACACGTCCATCCAGCAGCAGATACCATGTCGGACCTTGCCATGGTAACGGATCGGCCGTACATACAGTACATACACTCCATCTAGTCTATAGTCCATCTGGAGTATCTGAGTATCTAGCTCGGACGGGCGGGAGGGACACGGCCTTCTTGCATGCTTATAAAGGAATGTCAAAGTCGTGCTTGTAGACAGGGTGTCAGTTCGTGCCATGGCTAACGGTATATTAATGTCGACAGGTAGCTGTAACTTGTAGCATACGGCAGATCACCAGCGTCTTCTGCCGTCTGGTTTCTTGTTTCGGGATCTGGAACCGTCGCGTCGGGTGCATTTCCTTGTCAAATAGCACGATACCTGTACGGAGATATTGGTGCACAGAAACTGCATCGCCATACAGCTTCATCTTCACGTCAGGCTGATTTGTGCTAGGTCTGCTCCTCCAGCGCCAGAGCCACGTCGCCGGTGCCCTGCTTCTTCACCTTCGTCTGTTGGTTATCGCTGTCAGCTGTCTCTTGTTATCCTGTTGGTCTCGAAACACTCTTGGCCGCCCGTTTCATCGCATATCTATCTGTAACGGCGGGATTCCCAGGGCCGGGCGGAAGAATAACTCGAGAGGTCAGATCTATTCTTGTCAATGCGGATAGCTAATAGTTCCGGCACGCTACATCTCTTAGTCCCGTTCGCACTCCATCCAAAGCAGAGCTTGCCTGGAGAGTACTCCATATACCCATTTAGGCATAGCAGACAATAACAACAACAGCCACGCAGAACAGCCAAAAAGGCTTAATATATATCTATCACGCCAGTCACAAGTGTTCAATAGTGAGCCACGCGGGTGAAGCGACCGTCGACTCGCCCGATTGAGCAGTCCAATTCGTACCCTGCTAACGAATCAGTTCTCGTACGAAGCAGCGAACGAAAACGATAGAATAAAACGTGGCGTGGTCGAACTTCCTTTTTCCTGGCTATGTCGCTGGAAAGCTACTTGACTCGCACCGACGAAAGTTGCAACGGGGAGGAGACACGAGCGAGGATTAACACGCACGCCCAATCAATATTCCCGTATGAACTGCGGTATCAAGGGATTACAGGGAGAGAGCGAGAAGAGGTCGAAGGTTTGACCAGCAAGCCCTCCCCCGGTCCGTATCTAAATCGAACAATCCAACCACAAAGAAGAGAAAGGCGAAAAAGCAAGCACAGGGAGGCTTAACTTAACTTATTCTGGTGCTTTGCTCCGGTACAGAAAAAAGATCTGTTAACTCTATATATATTCCTCCGCCCAGTCTTACATAACTTTCTGGTCAAGGTGACGGGCGCGTGTTAGCGAAATTTGAGCAGTGCGTCTATCTTTGTTCGCTGATATAGCTGGGAACTACCGTTAAGGCCGTGCGATGCCAGGATGAAGGTCGTGGTTCTTCCGTATGCCTCGCTTCTCGCTTCTGGAGAGAAATGCGACAGGTGAGGTTTTATGCACGCATGATGATCATGCAGTGTATTTATGACTGATATATGTATTCTCTGTAACTTGATGCGCGTCATCGGCTGGGATCAAATCAGCTTTGAAATCGTTGCATCACGGCCGAAACGCCTTCATTCGCTCCTTGTGCCACCCGTCATCGCACAGCCTTGGCGTCACACATACACAGAGACATAGACAAGAGCAGGAGAAAGGGATAGATATACGATGCAGCCTCCTTTCAATGTCAGCCGTCGTCACTTCAACTGATGTCCTCGCGGTATATGATACCCTGGCCTCGATAGGCGAGACGGTGCTAGAGATTGAGATCTTGCCGGAAGCCCTTGGCCCGTTCTTGAAGGATGATGGCGAAGGCGGCGGCGACGTCGGATATATAGGTGTCACCAAGAAGGCGCTGGTGCGGGCATTTACTACTGCGCGACGGGTGTTTTTCGAGTCTAGAAAGCTGCGAGAGACAGAAGAGGATGCTGCATCGGCTTCGGCTGTCATCCTGGTGTTTGATTCAGAGCACTTGACGGCCTGCAACTGGCGGAAGCGAAGGATCCAGTCGAGGGCTGGCGACGACGACAGGGGATACAGACACCTTTTATCCGTCGAGTGCAATTTCACTGCCTCCTTGCTTCGGTCGCCTTTACATCGTCATGCAAAGTCGCCGACGCTGTGGTATCATCGCTTCTGGGTCATGGCCCAGCATGCGAGATTACCAAAGTCTGAGCCTGAGTCAAAGTCTGAGGTTGAGATGCTAAAGGCTGAAGTCGACCTTGTGCTGCGGGCGGCTGGACATCATCCCATGAACTATTACGCCTTCAGCTACTTACGGCAATATCTAGCCCTGTTGGCTCGGATCGTTGGTGGTGATGATGGCGATCGATCGGATCACATCACATACGAGGTCGAGGTCGATCCCGCAGCGAACAGGGGAGTTACTTCCCGCCTAATATCCGATGCTCATCTCGTTACCACGGTGCGTGACTGGTGTCTACGTAACCCCGGCGATAATTCAGGCTGGATGTTCTTACTCCATCTACTCTCGCTTATGGACGATGGCGATATCCAACACGACGTCGTACAGTGGGTTATCCTGTTTGGGTTTGACGTGCGATGGCAAAAGGAGGCCCTCTGGACCTTCGTTCAGCTAGCTGTCTTGAAGTTTAAGGTCGTGTCTGATCTTGCTTGTACGGTTGCTGCCGACTCCAACGCCAGCGCCAGCGCCAGTGAGCAGGGTCAGGGACAGGGACGAACAGTGGCAAGTGAGACTAGCCCAGACCCAAGGCCGTGGAAGAGATGGGCTCGTAGGGCGGCTATACCAACTACAATATGACCGGCATTGCTGGTACGGACGGGAGCTAAGCATCGTGGCGGTTTTTACACGTTGCTTGAAATACAAGCAGTGTTGCTCTTCACATACTGGCAGAAGTATACGAAATGTAAGATCTGGACAAGAGAGGATAAGAATAGAAAACGCTATAACGCTATCATTGAATCAGAGGCTGTCTTGCTAGGAATAACGGGCTTCCTGCATCTACATCGTCAATAGCCAAAACCTTCCGTACCGGTGACTGGACGTGCAGGGTAGCGTCGTGTAGTCGAACAAGGCCTTGTTGATCCCGTTGCCCGTTGTGTAGGTAGATATAGTCTTGACCAGGACAACCAATAGCTGAACATTCAACACTCAAACAGTTTCAAGAGAGAAACATCCAACAAGTATTCGCTAAAGAAGGACGGCCGTATAGCTGTATCACTTCTTGCCTTCAGCGGCAAGCTTCTTCGCATTCGCTACAGGCTGTATCAGTACCTTCCACCACGCAAGCGAAATAACGAGTGACGTACCAGCTTCCTGCTTCTTGCGCATAATCTCAGCCTGAGCCTCCTTGGTACGAGCGAACTCAGTGCCGCTCATCTCGTTTTTCTTCTTCTACACGAGGGGTCAGCGCTATCGCTATCGATAAAAGCGAGGAGACATACCTGGCCTGCCGCCTCCTTCAAGTTCTTCTCTCTCGCCTTGTCACGCTGGTTACCGCGGGCCATGTTGCTATATTAGTTTCACACGGGACGACACGATGCGATGTGATGCGTACGAGACAGGACTGGTTAGCAATACAGATAACGGGGCTGCCGCTGGGCGCGTAGAGAGAGGGAAAAGAAAGTCGATCCTGTTCGCTTCGAGATCGAGTGGCCAGCGTCAAAAGTAGAGGGTGGTCATGTGACATGGACGTTTCCATGGGGTTAAAGGGACGATTGGCTGGCGATGGTCGAGAAGAGCCGTGTTTCAGCGTCGACAGGGCGCAGATGCGCTGAGATGAACGATATCCAGTCCCCAGGGGTGAAGACAGGCCATCCTGAGGCAGATGAGAGCCGCTGGGCTAGGACGGGGCCAGGAAGGGCCAGCTTGAAGTCTTCCCTCAGAGGTTGCCCTTGTTGATACCCGCTGGAGGCTGCATCTATGTATAGACCCCCAGCATTGCTGTTTCATGCTATTCATATCATTCAAGTACTGTACTATGGGGGGAGATGTAAACTAATTCTTCCATTCAAGGTTTCTTCTTGCGCCTATTGTTCATGTCCTCTTTTATTCTCTTCTTGTCCCCGTCTCTTCTCCTCTCCCTCATATTCACGTTTCTGTGTTTATCCAGTGCTGCCATCAATGGCTGACCTGCGATATGTCTAATTCATTACACTCTTGACTGAGCTTTTCCTTCTATTGATTATAGTGTTACTCTCCAGGCTGTTCAGCCATTGCTCATCCTGCCGGCCAGGCTTCTTCCTACTGCTTCTACTTCTACTTCTACCTACTTCTCTTCTCATCTTCTATCTTCGTTCAATATCATCCTCTTTAACTACTTCTTTGATCACTGATATAAAGCTCATATATCTCCTTCAACCTCCAGCAATACCAGGACAAGGCAATCGTCCGACTTTCTCTACCGCACCTGTCAAGATCACACATAATACGGAAACATCCTCGAAATGGCGTTTCCAAAGCTTCCCTTGGCCGGTCCGGGATATGTGATCTTGAACATCGTCCGGGTCATGAACATCATCTGTCTACTCGCCATCATCGCAGCCAGCGTTCTCTTGCTAGTGAAGACTTTCTTTGTGTCCAATTTCTTCTTCTTCGAAGCTGTCACCCATGTTGCGATTGCATCCATCAGCTGTACGTTTCCCTGGGACCTTCCATGCTAATATAACTGTCAAAAACCCTAACATGATTGTAGCATTTCTCATCGTCTCCGAACTCAGCATCTTCCGCGGATATTTCGACCGTAACTGGCCTCTTCTTGGCCAGGACTCAGGCTTCATTACACTTGGAACAGCCATGGTGCTACTTGGCATATCAACTCTAGGATATTTGAACAACCAAGCCACGAGCCAGGATGCAATAGGCCTTCCATTCTGGAGACTTATTCTGGGAGCCGGTATAGTCTCTATCGTCACTGGAAGCATTAATATTGGAATGGTTCGTATTCAAACTTGCCCCGTAATTTACCACCCTGCCCACTTACTGACCATGTTTCTATAGAGCTTCTTATTCCGCGACTCAGATCTCGGAGTCTCTGCACGCCATGTTCGTGCTCGCGGAGCGGTCGCTACACAGGAAGCCGTCACACGCAAGGACAGCTACAAGTCATTCCAGCTTTCCCGCAAGGGGTCTCTGCCCACGTATAGTTCCTCGACTTCAAGTCCGCGGTCTGCATCAGTACGCCATGCTCCGCGATTTCCAATTCGCATTTCCTCTCCAGTCATGACTACGACAGAGGAGTTCGCAAGGTCACCAATTACACCAAAGTCTCCAACAGCTGCAGACCTGGCTGTTCCCAACCTTGCCCACCATCCCGCAATGTATTCTAACCACGTATGATGATATCTCCCTGGGTGGAATGTGGATCAGGATTGCGCATAAATATCACCTCTGCCAAGTGTTCTTCTTTGATTACTGAAAGCTTTGTCTTTGTCGAATCTCATTTGTCATTTCTTGCACGGTTATTAGCAGGCGTTTCGGGTAGGGCGTTGTTTCATGGTTTTATTATATTGAGGACTCGTTCATTTCCGTGGTTCCGTGTTACTTTATTTCCATCCAGGCCAGCGAGTGTTAAGCGTTCAAGGGTTGTGAAATAAAAAAGAACATATTTTCTATTTAACCAGAAGACTCTAACCCAGTGTTTCTATCTTGATATCGTTACATCTCTTTGTGCTGAAGAGAGTAATGGTAGAATGTAAAGTCACTACTATGGAGATCCCTGTAGATAAAGACCCAGCTCCGCGCTTAAAATATATATCGATGACACCTATGCATATACAAGAAAGCTATCAACAACAAACCACCAGAAAGATACTCGCGCGGTGCAGGATGGTTCAAGTTACTGTTCTCTAGAGTCCATACTATTATACTCCCTTCCTATAGCAGAATCTAGGGTATTGAAGATGCTCTCCTACGATATGTACGTCCATCAACCACGCACCTTGCCTACGAAACTGCTAACATTCAAACAACCGCAAAAGCATCAAGGGGTTAGCCATCTTCTTCGCGCCCATATTAATACCCAAGGCAATCGCACTCTTCCGCTCAGTTAGCTCTCACGTCGCAAACCGCCCGCCTCCTCAACCTCTCCCCCCGCTCGCCTCGCGTGCTCTTAACATCCTCTTCTTCTCGACCGCGCTTTTCCTCGCTCTCAGTCTCCCGTCCGGAAACAACGTACTATCCAATAAAAGTTTTGGAACAAATGATATCTTTAAACTCACGAATTCGCGCTTCAATACGCCTACGGAATTACTCTTTTCGCGCCTAAGGCGACTAGGTGGACAGTATGAAGTTGAAAGCGAACATGATTCAACCCTCAAGAAACTATTTACCTCCCCCATTGCAAGGGGAGTGTATTTACAACTTGGATCAGAGCCTCTGATAGCTTGTCCGTTTTGCTCGCTTGACAGCTCGATCACATATCTGCTGTATTATCTACCATTTAACACTCTTGTGCCGCATCTCTTCCACCTACTCGTCATCGGCGCAGTGACTTCTGGCGCTATCGTGGGCCCCAAAATAGCTCGATGGAGGAACAAGTTTCTCATCGGCTCCGTGGTGCTATTCGTGCTTGAGCTGTGTGTTATCCTACGAGCGACCTCTCCTCTCTTTTCCCTCACAGAAAATACGCCCAGCGCTCAGCGCAATAAATGGACAAACATATACAGTCACTACCCAGACGCTCCAACGAGTTTGCATGTTCAGCTAGTCACGCTGCGACCTCTAGCGTTTACTGTGTTTGACGCCATTTGCGCAGCGCTTATTTATCTATCAGCTACAGATAGGCTGTTCTATACCCCTCCCACGCCCGCCGAGCAGGCACAGCAGGTTGTATCGATGTCTGCGGCGACAATGATGACTGCCTTGACAAGGCTACAGGCTCTCAGCGTGACGAGAGGTGCGATCGCACGCGATCCGGAATTAAGTGCAAAGTATAGCGCTTATCATTGCGGGGGAGGAGGAGGGAAGGGAGATGACGAGTGGATATGGCAGGAGGAAGAGGTTATCAATGCTGTGGCAAAAGTGATGAATGACAGAGCTTTGCAGTCAAATACCCGTAGGAATGAGAAAGGGGTTGAGATGCTTAATCCGAGTGAGTATGTGGATACGATTACAGCTGGCTTGGAAGACCCCGTTAGTAGTTGACATTTGCACAAAAGGGGATGATCTAAATTGCCTTTGACATGTGTATGTATATAATTCGTTGGATAGACTAGATGGGAATTAAGATCGGTTGCGCCGAGATAATGTAATGTGTATTATGCTTGTATATTATATGTACACGGTGTATTCTAGCCTATAAATTCCAAACACGCAGCCAGGTAGCAGTTGGCTACTGCTTAACCCTGGACTCCATAGACGGCACTGTGTCAACCTCCACGAGAGGACCCTCGTACACCCTCCGTGCATAGGCAAGATAATAGACAACACTAAACACAACCACAAATGCCCAAATAACGACGCTATAGTTCATATCTCCCGCTGTCGGAACTGCTTTGGCAGGGAAGAAACTAAATATCAGAATGACTGTTAGGTATATGCATCCGAAGATATTGATGGCTATCCCCAAGGCGCCGCGGACATGCCATGGTCCCCAAACTAGGCGGGCCCCGGTAGTGTTGGCGAGGGCCGGGCCGGTGTTAGTGGTCGAGGAAGGGTATGACACGCTTCCCGTGCAGCGGTGGTAGAGGAGCAGGATGGTGGCAGTCAAGTAGCTGACGTATAAACATGCGACTGTTAGGGAGACGATAATGTTAAAGGCTGTGGTTGAGCCGATGACTATAAGAGAGAGAAGAATGGTAATGGCAGCTGTGACGAGAACAGATGTTAGGGGAACTTCGGTGCGTCGCTCAACCTGCAGATTCAAATTAGTTTATATTCAATGCAAGCTGTAAATGGAGATACAAACCTTCGCCAATGCCTTCCACCCCGGAAGACCTCGATCTCTCGCAAACGACCACGTCATCCGGGACGTAGAAGCGAGATAATTGCAGTTTGCAAATAGAGCAAGCGTAACGATGACTGAAGCCATCGTTGCGGAGCCAGCAATTGAACCCGTAGCCTGGACGAAGATTTCCATGAATGGGAAACCGGTTGGTGATGCTAGGGCGGCGGGCAAGTTGACTATGCTAAACAGGGTCGCGATGAGCATGGCGAGGCCCAAGCTGCCGTTTATGAATAGTGTAAGGATTATGGAGCGCGGGACTGTGATAGACGGGTTTTGTATCTCCTCAGACATCTACATTGGGTTAATAACCGTGAGAATAAAGGTTAGATATGGGAATGAGACATACATGATATGCACCATCGAGACCTATAATTGTTATTAGCAAGGGATGCATTATTTAAGGAACATAGAAGGGTGACTTACCCAAGAAAGCAAACGCATTTCCTATCAATCCAACTAGGAACGATACCCCTTGACTCGACCAACCTCCCTCGTTGATGAAATTCTTAAAAACCAGACTGGCATCATTCTTCACTCCAAACTTAACGAGCGGTATCAAGACGGCCAGAAACCCAACAATATGAAACGCCAGAGCTATCTTCTCAAAGGCAGGCAACAGTCTACTCGTCACAGCATTGATAAAGACACAGTACAATGCCACAGCCCAAAGAATCAAGGCTGTATGCCACGATTTGGGCGAATACGACGGATTAGTCAATGTAACGAGTCCCTGAATCATCGAGCCGGTCAGAAAGCAGGCGGAAGCAAAACCAGCCTGCCATCCAGCCACGGTCAGCCAACCGGTAATGTAGCTGAGGAATTTGCTGGAAGACTTTGGAGCGAGCATGGCGACCCAGTGGTATTGGCCGCCGGATGTGGGAGCCATGGACACCAGTTCGGAGAGGGTAGTGAAGACGGCCAAGTTGCCGACCCAGATTACTATGTAGCCATACACGATGCCTGCATGGCCGCCATTCTGGAGGCCCGTGAGGAAGAGGATCAGTGACGCTTCCCAGGTGATGAGGACAGCGCAACTAAAGCCTAAGATGGAGAGAAAACGGAATCCTCGCTGATAGTTTATTAGTTAATGCATATATATATTAGTTAAGCATATATATACATATATCCAGGTGATCGCTATTGTTAAAGGTCTTCGAATGCAAAGATGGGTATGGTACACACCCTAAGAACTTGCTTCTTCCCTAAACGCCTGAGTTCTTCGCGATCAGCGTCTTGAAAGGAGCCGTCATTATATTCGTTGGCCGGCTCGAACGCCTCGCCACGTTCGTTTCCCATGAGATGCAACGGCAGCGTGTATCTCTTCAGCGATAAATAGGGAAATCAAAATCGTGTTTATTTTTGAGGCTGAGAGCAAAGTCCGAAGCTGTCGAGATAGAAGTCCGTATGGAGAGTGGTTATATAGAATTGGGTTTGACTAGGATCAGCTAGCCAGGGTGGCATCCGGCGTAGATGAACGCTTGGAGATGCATGTGTGACGGAAGAGCAAGATCCGAGCTAGTTCTGCCTGATACGAAGGATTTGGAGAACATCGTTGATCTTAATATACGTCTGAATCTAATTTGATGCCTGTATATCGTCCCCGGCGTCTCGATTTGGGTGTCGATTATGATGTCGACTCCAACTTCTGTTGGTACGCCGTTCTCCGTACTCCGAGAAAAGGAGACGACCTGAAGAATATCCTGCGGGTCTAGCGTTAGTTAACACTGTGGAGGCGAATAACTATCTGCACGGAGTTGAACAAACTGGGATGCCATGACTTTCATCGTTGGTGAGGCGCTGAGATGTTGGCTACCCCTGAAGCTATACGAACTATAGCTCTACTCAGCATCACCGTCATCCAGCATCCAGCACCCAACATCTAGGAAACATCTAGTAGTATTGATATCTAGTAGTATCAATGTCTAGAAGTATTAGTATCTAGTAGTATCATCATCGTCGTCAAGAGCGATGAGTAAGCAAAAACACGTGGGCCCGCCAAAAGGAGCGTTTCATGGGCGCGGGACGAGCAAGAAACATCGACAAAAGGCATCAGGACGGACACTCTGGCTGCTTCACCTTTGCCCGGCGGAGCATCTGTATAGCTTTCTCTCGCTTCGCTATACTCCGTACTCGGTCTGGCTGCGTGGTGCGTCGTCGTGGTCGAAACTTGCGACACCGCCATCTAGGGAAACCCTGTCCTGGTCCCTGGCCCAAAAATCGAGGATAGGGATACACACATCACCGAACCACTTTCGCCCCCGTCGCCCGCTCGCTGCACAGAAGAGATTTCGGGCTCTCGACTGACCTCAATCCTCGATCTGGGTGGAGTGAACTCGCCCATTGCACGGTTTCCCGAGTCTGAATGCGATCTCCCTCCCTTTCGACCTTTCGTTTGCCTCTCTCATAGTTACGTCCGTACCTTCGAAGCTCGCAGCAGGTCGACGTTTGAGCACAATCTCGTGAAGCGGCAGGACAAGTGACGAGGGGCAATGGCCAAAGAGACTGTAGCCGTGGCCGGTGGTCGGAGTGAGGACGGCCTTACTAACGTCAATGCCTGTGTCTCGACCATCGAGGGAAGCAGAGCGTCGAAGGGCACTTCCTGGCGAGAATGGGTGGTTGCAAATCAGATAGGTGCGCACAAAACAACAATTGTATTTATCTTCGTCTTTTTCGTACTCTAACTGATAGGTCTCAGGTGGCTCGCTTTCGATCCTCGCTGCTATTCTTGCCGTACATACCTTCGTACCTTCTCTCAGGGCCTATACGACTCCGTACCTAGAGCTCCCTCACTACCATGCCGAGACAGGAAAATACACTCAGGGGCTGGATGACGTATACTTCATCATCAGCTCTATGCTGGGCTTCACTGCTACAAGGGCTATCGTAATTGACTGGTTATTTTACCCTATCGCTACCCAGCTGGGGTTGAGACACAAACAGGCTGTTCGATTCGCTGAACAAGGATGGCTGCTAGTCTATTATCTCGCCTTCTGGACATATGGAATGGTAGCTATACCCCGATGACACTGCTTTTTTTGGCATATACTAATGCAATTGCGCAGAATATTTGGTACAACTCCAGTTACTGGTTCAACTTCCGTGCGATATGGGCAGACTGGCCCACCCGCGAGGTCTCCGGCAGCGTTAAGCTATACTGCCTCCTTCAGCTATCATTTTGGGCCCAGCAAATCTTTGTCATCCATATCGAAGCCAAGCGCAAGGATCACTCGCAGATGTTTATCCATCATATCATCACCAGCACGCTCCTTGGGTCTGCATACGTCTACAGCTTCTACAATGTTGCGAATGTGGTTCTCTGCTTGATGGACATTGTTGATTATATGTTACCGGTACATACCCTCTTGCTACCTAACTAGCTATCTAGTCTTGCCATTACTTCTACTAACGACACTTGCTAGTTTGCCAAAATGCTGAAATACCTTGGATTTGAACGCGCCTGCACAGTCGCCTTTGGTGTCTTCCTTGGCACCTGGGTCATTGCCCGCCATTTCATCTACATGGGTCTCTGGTGGTCCATCCACAAGACAGTTCCCGCCGACGTTCCGTTTGGATGCTACTCTGGCGCTACTGGCAAGCAGATATCAACTGGCTCCCCGGATCTGTTCTTCCACATCTTCAGCCCCTTCCTGGACCTCAACGGTCCAATTTGTATGACCAACACGGTCAAGACGATTTTCCTTGGAATGTTGCTACTATTGCAGGTCCTATCGCTTATCTGGCTGGGGATGATTATTAAAGTAGCGCTGGGCGTTATATGGGGCGGATCCTCGGCAGAGGATACGAGAAGTGACGATGAAGGAGAAGTAGACGACGCTGAGCCAAAGGAGAAGGCCACCGTCTCTGCAAGAAACACGAACACATCGACGAGCTCGGAAGGTACCTCCTGGTCTCGATCCGTCATGGCCAACGGATCGAACCATCAGAGCCATCCGGTGCGCATACGAATGACCCGTGGACGAGTCACGCTGAGTGACCATAATGATCGAAAAACTCTCCTTGGTAGAATTGGCTGTGACAAGTCAACATAGAACTAAAAAGGCGTTTTGCTCTTTTTTATCATCTCGCAATTTGCATCTCCTGCCTTTGAATACTGCTTTTACCCATTCATCTTTCCATCTATGTTTTCATTTGCTTTTACTTCTTTTTTTGATTTTCGCTCATCAGGTCTGATTTTGTGTCGAGAAGCTTCCCTCCCTGCTGGTAACGGTGACGGTGACGGTGACTGACATGTGTTGAAAGAACTTCTATCATTATCCTTCCTATACCCATAAATATGCTCGGTTAAAGCTCTTTTTAATATATTTCCTGTTTCTCGCCTGCAAAAGAATATATCATATCATTGCACTTGATTGTTTTATGCGATTCTTTCTCTCTCATCGCTTCTTCCTGCTGTGTCTGTCATCGGCCGCTCCCTTTGGGAATACATACATTATTCTTCCCTTAAACAACGAAATCTGCTACGAAATTTAGACGGATGGTTATTATTTATTTACATTAATTTTGTTTTGTTTTTGATTGATGCGTTTCGTTTTGCCGTCCGCTCTGCTAATATCTATTGTTAAATGCCTTCTTTCCTACCTGATGCCGTCTGCCAAATAAACGAAGTCGGAATTCGAACGCTGGGGTCATCGTTTCTCTTGGCTTTCGTTATTTGTTCATAGCTCTATACCATGTGTATTGGTTGTATGTTTTGTCTGCCTGCGCCTTCATTCTGGTGCGTATATAAACTGCATTTGATACCCGGGACAATGTGATTTCATAGACGGCCTATCTCAAGCACTCGCCCGGTTTATTATTCCACTACACCCATACTCCTCTACTTTCCAACATGCATCTTCCCTGTAGTCAGAACCCGGGAGTTGTGAGGGATAACGTATTGAGTTTTGATATCGAATCATGAAGGTTGAGCCCTGGTAGCTTCTTCGGCTAATACCTTGGTCCTGGGACTTTAGCCAGGGGAAATATACTCGGGACCTGAGGCTGCACCTGAGGCTGCGTGCACAAAGTCATGGTACATTCGAAGTGATTTACAAAGTAGCAATTCCCAGCTATTTAACTTCAACTAACATGAGTTTAACACCGATAGAGATAGGAGTAACATTGTAGAACTGAATTTGATATTTTTTGGCCCTAACTCCCGTGGATATCACTCGCTCAGTTTGGTCTTTTGAAAGATCGCTGAGTTACAGCACATTTAACAGAGAAAGGGAAAGGAAACGACAGATGATGATAAATACAGAATAAAATATATTTGCATCGAGTTATTTCATTCTCCCTTCGTTACCATATCAAGCCTTGGCCTTCTTCGTTTTCTTTGGTTTCTCATCAACTTGCTTGCCTGGCTTCGCCGTCTCACCCTTTACCTTTGGGGCATTCTTGGCCAGCTTCTGGTCTTTAGCTGGCTTCTCAGGTGTAGCAGCAGTATCTGCAGGTGCCTTTTTCTTCGACTTCTTCGACTCCTTCTTCTCTGTGGCCTTCTTCACGACCTCGACGGGTTCGACGGCTTTCTTTTCTTCCTTATCAGCCTTACCGTTAGATATCGACTTGGGCGTTGCAGCTTTCTCCTCGGTAGCCGCAGCTTTGCCTTTTGACTTCGCCTTCTTGGGAGTTTCCTCCTTGTCCTCAATTGCAGCAACAGCAGGGGCTGGGGCGTCCTCAATCTGCTCTGGGGCAGCAACAGCAACCGGAACATCTTCTACGGCTTTCAATTCCGGGATCTCGTACTCGTAGCCCATCGCTTTCATCTTCTCGGCCTTCTTAGCCCTTTTCGATGACTCCTTGGAAACAGCCTTCGACCACTCCTCGCGAGACTTCCCCCCCTCAAGTCGTCGTTTTTCAATCTGGTTCCATGGAGTCTTCTTAAAACGGCGGTTGGCTCCCTTCCACATAGCTGGGTGGACTTTGTCATTAGGTATGTACTTGCATTTCAAGATGTGGCCGAACATAAGGTAATTTTGCATAGTGCCTGCAACAACCTTCGCGACAGACGTGGATGCAAACTCGATGAAGGCGTAATGTTTCGAGCTACCAGTCGTACGGTTGCGAGAGAGACGCAGACGTGTGATGTCTCCGAATTGGGAGAAGTAAGCACGCATCTCATCTTCATAGAAACCGTGTGGGATTCGCCTGGACATAACACGTATGGATTAGCCTTCGCTCAATAGGACTGCACTGGAATGGTGGATGGTGAAACCTACCCGACGTATACAGTGCCTGGCTCCTCTGGCTCCGCATTCTTCTTCTTCTTTTGTCGAATCGCCTTCATCGCTTTCTTAGAATCGGGGATCCTCGGGACTTCTTGACCTGGCTCAAATCCTTCGTCACCTGAAGCATCCTCCTCTCCACTGCTTTCGAATCCCCGAATCAATGCAAGGGTTTGGTCATCTTCAGCGGCATCTGAATCCGCATCAGACTCGAGAGTAGCCTCTTCTTCCACAACTTCAGGGGCCGTCTCGACAAGTTTCTCGGCCTCTTTCCCTTTATCCTTTGTCTTCTTCGTCTTTTCAGTAGCAGTAGAGCTCTTCTCCTTTGAAACGATGTTGGCAGCAGGTTTCTCAGATTTAGCCTTCTTCTTTGGCTGCGTTTCCTTCTCAGCCTTAGGTTTAGCTGCCGCTGCAACTACCTCCTTCTCAGGTACATCTTCGTCATCGCTCAGGAAGTCGGCTGCGCGTTTGCGGGGTTTCACCTCCTTCGCAGGCTTCTTATTTACTTTAACAGGCAGTTTCTCGGGTTTGGCGCCGTTAACCACGCCGTTTTCTTTTGCCGGCTTGGAATCAGATGGCTTCGCTTTGGTCACTTGCTCCTTCACTGGCTTTTCTTGTGTCTTCTTGGACTTCTTCGACGGTGGATGGTCGCTCACCGCAGGCACGGACGTAGCGGTCGCGGGCGCTGTAAGAGTGGGTTAGAGACGTGTTCTTGTAAAATTGAAAAGAATAGGGATATTAGCAGACCTTTGCGCTTGTTGGCCTTCTTTTCTGGAGCCATTTTGATATTCGATTGGTTTCAATTGTTTGTTACGAAAAGAGGCTATCAGTTCGTGACCTCCATAGTGATTTGCTAGCCAAATTTTTTTTGCTTTGGATTTTCTTGTGGATCAAGCGCCAAGATTTCGAGAGCTGCTCCGCGCGAAATCGATAACTACGCGTTGGACCATCATCGAGCTCTCTTTAGCACTCAACCACCATACTTGATCCGCTGTGTACGGTATACACTGGTGGCAGCAGCTACGAGGTGAGAGCCATGAAGAAGAGAAAACGTTCTAGCAAAAACAAACCTCTAACCCAAGAAGAAATATGGGATGACTCCGCCCTCATTGAATCCTGGGAAGAAGCTGCGGAGGAATACAAGGTACGTTTAACGGCTGCATCAAATACGTCCCTTGTGATAAGCTGGAAGTATTTCTAATTGTTTATCTTCTATATCAGCTCTACCACAGCATCCAGGCCAAGGGCCAGAAAGTTGAGGACGTATTGCGAGAGGCTGAAGCTTCGAATGGAAACGAAGATGTTATGCAGGTAGAGCATATCACGGGAATAGAGGCTGTCGCAGAAGATCATGCTGTGAACCTATCCGAAACTGTGATTGTCGAAGAGTCGGAGGGGAAGGAAAAGTATACAGGTGGTCAACCAGTAGACCACAGCCAGGTAAATATTACTCTCTTAATTTGATCGCCTGAACAGGTTGCTAATACATGGCCTTCAATATATAGGACAACGCTATCCCAGACGCAGTCGCAGAGGACAGCCAGCCCGCAGCTGGTGGACCAGCAAGTGGAAGCTTTGCGAGCATGCCACAGATGGTGATTAATGGAGCTCCTAACCCGCCCAACAGTAAGTGCATCTCTGGAACTGGCGGCAGGTCCATATGAACGCTTTGGCTAACGAATAATCCTATATATAGTTCAAGATGAAGCACTCAAAAACCTCATGATGTCTTGGTACTTCGCAGGTTACTACACTGGATTATACGAAGGCCAACAACGCGCGGGAGCAAAACAGTGATATGGTAATTTTGAAAATTGAATCATCTGCATATGCATCTTGGATAATATTCTTCAGCCAAAACTCGACGTGACGACAGCCCCATCCCTTCCAATAGTTGACAACTTGAATCACTCCGGCCGCGGAAGGTTAACACTCGATAAGGAACCATTTTGGGCGTTCTATGGGTCGTCCTCTGACGACATGGATCCTACTTTGATGGACTGGATGACATTGACTTCTTGCAAGTTCAAAGCTAGCAACGAGACCAGAGGCATGTTAGGGCTCTAAGCCCAGTCTGACTCTCAGGCAGCTTGAACAGAATGGCCATGCTAGATCATAAATGGTAGCTCGCAAGCCGAGTGCTTCTGATTATCCGCCTTTCACAATAGAACACAGAAATAGTACGGTTATTGCGGAAATAAAGAATGAAGTGTTGACTGTAATGTAATTTTATTGGCTCGATAAATATAAGTGCTACGATAAAGGATGTATCTAACTCTATTTGACACGCCTCAGCCCTATGAAGCAAACTACGTTAATAGAATGGTAAAAGGCGGGCGCAACACGAGCGAGACAAGTCGAAACTTTTTGGTTTGATATTGGCAATATTATTGACCTCGTTGCGAGAACGCAGAACCCATCATGGAGAGGACGGACGAGACTTCGATGATGCCGTTATTTCATTTCCCTCCTTGTATATCATGCTATTCCGGCCCAGTTAACGCTGGTGTATGATTAGCGAGTTTGGTATTGCGCCCATGGCGACGGTTGAAGAGATCGGGTTCCGGTTGAGGCGAAAGGATACGGCAGAGTACATTCGCATGTACTAAGCGATCGGATTCTCGCTAAACAGCATTTGATACCGCAGTTAATGACGCGGAAGCATTATTCCACACTGTTCACGTAAGTAAAATTGTTTCAAGATGGATAGGCCTAGTTCAGGCCGCAATGACGCCCATTGATAAAATCGAATGAAAGGAAGATGCAAAATGAGTGATGTATGCCCAAAGCGAAGCTCATCGATCGCCCTTTTGGCAAAAGCAGCCCTCTGAAGAGAGAAAACTTCCACTGGCGGATGAGTTTTAGATTAGGCAGATTGAGATCTATCTGGGTCTCATATTAACAAATTTGTAGAGGTAATGGATGCGTATACCGTTCGACAAGGGCATAGAGACCGTGAATATGTATGGGAAAGAAAAAGAAGAAGAAAGCAAGAAGGAAGAAAGTCGGAAATGCATTTTGTATGTGGTGTCACTAACCGCTTTGGGTTAGTTTTATCACGTGATATCTATATCTTGAAGAAGACGAAGAAGATGAAGAAAAGATGAAGAGAAGGATTCAAATGATAGATTTTACATGATAGATCGTTATATCTAAAAGAGACTAGGTACTGGGTATAGTCTATGTGGTAGAGGGACACACGAGAGAACCGAGTCGAGGATGAAAAGGCCATGTCTAAAAACGGGCGAGCACCTTCTCCTGGGTATCTCCCATAGCCCACTCGCTGCGGTTTTCCTTGCTGAGCACTCTGGTGGCTTGTTCGGCTGTGAATCCCTTCGCCTCAACAGCAGGGTTATGTCCAAGCTGGTTTATCTTTCCAACTTCTTCGTTGGATACCTCCGTAGACGCCTTGCCGTCTGCACGTTTATACACCGTGACAACGACAGCACCACCGAGACCGAGGTTATGTTGTAAAGCAACATCAGTACCCTTAACCAGACGGTTGTTGGCCCAACCACGCAGATGCCAGACCAACTCTGCGCACTGAGCGATACCAGTCGCACCTAGCGGGTGGCCCTTGGAAATCAGGCCGCCAGAGGGGTTGATAACCATCTTTCCGCCGTATGTGATGTCGCCCTTCCGAACCATCTCGTGAGCCTTTCCTGGCTCGCATAACTCCAGCGCATCGATGGTGATCATCTCGTTGGCAGAGAAACAATCGTGTAGTTCGCAGACCTTGACGTCCTTGACGTTCACGCCGGCTTCGGCAGTGGCTGTCTGGCAGGCATATCGGGTCATCTCAAAGCCCATGAGACTGATGGAACTTTGGTTGTAGACTGAAGGGGTGTCTGTGGCGAGACATTGACCAGCTATGAGGATAGCTTGGCTCTTGAGGTGTGGTCTGGCGTCGAGGAAGGCTTGTGAGACGACTACAGCTGCGGCACCGCCGTCTGATGTTGGGCAGCACTGGAGCTTGGTCAAGGGGAAGTGGATCATGGGTGCGTTGGCGACTTGCTCGAGGGTGTACTCGGTTTGGAATTGGGAGTATGGGTTTCGTTTCGAGTGTTCGTGGTTGATACGCCCGATTTCGGCGAAATCCTCGGCCTTTGCGCCATATCTATTGACAATGGGTTAAACATGTCTCTTTAAAAAGATTGTATGGGGAGAAGTAGCTTACTTCTCAATATATTCAACACCAGCATTACCAAACATCTGGGCAGCTCCTGGAGCATTGGTAAGTCCTCTGGTGGCAAACATCATCTCGCCTAGTTTGCCAGTGGGGTTCTCTCTGTCGTCAAATTTGGAAGAGAGACTTCCGGGGCTCATCTTCTCGAATCCAACCACGAGCACGCAGTCCGCAGCACCGTGCGAGACCATGGTGCGAGCCATAGCCAGGCCGGTTGAACCCGTGGAGCAGTTGTTGTTGACATTGTAAATGGGGATCTTCGTAAGTCCGAACTGGTAGAATACTCGCTGGCCACAGGTGCTGTCTCCGTAGCAGTAGCATGCTACACCCTGGTCAACATCGTCGTAGGTTATATGGGCATCCAACATGGCCTTGACACCAGCCTCGAAACCCAGCTCATGATAATCAACCTTTCCGCGTGGCTTGATGAACTTGGTCATGCCAACGCCCAAGACGTAGGCGGGAGACTGTGCGCGTTTGCCCATTGTGAAGAGTATTAAGCAGTCGGGGATGTATACGGAGTAAAGGTTTATGCTATGGCGAACAGGCTACAGTCAGCAGAGTTCAAGCGGCGTTAGATGACGGTCGACTTACAGTCTTCAAATATTGAGCCAGAAATACCTATCTTCGAGCCCCATATCCCCAGAAGGCAGAAGTCAACCGTATTTATCTCCTTTTGCTGCCATCCTGTGCTCCGAAGCTCGTTCTTTTTTTTTGCGGGGATCCCGAGGTCCCGAGGCACGATCGATGCTTACATAAGCTGCTTTCACGCATCCATAAAAGCAGCATAACTATCAAAGTGATGGAAAGCAACAAACACCCGCGCCGTCTGTTTAGCCGGAGTCTTATTCCCGTTTCATAGCTGACATGTGGCCTGGGGAGATGCTGTAGACTCTGGCCATATTCTGCAAGCCAATGAAGAGTACTGTTGACGGACTATTAGATGGTGGCAACTGCAGAGGTCCAATGTAGAGTGTTTAAATATATCGCTTTTGCGATGTATCTGCATCGATTGGGCTTAAGGGCCTCCATCTTTTGCCGGCATGGCTACCCAACAACCCTGAACCGATAGCACCAGGATCCCGTCCGCCCCGAAAGTGATCTACCGTGTTGCAAAGTGAAAAGAAAGGCTTTCAGTCGAGGATGCTGGCGATGATGCCGATCTATGCAGCGGATAATGGCAGGACTTCTCGGCTTATAAACAGACTCCTTAAAGCGTCCGCGGGGCAGGGTTAAGCGAAGTGCTTGAATCATACAGGATACTTCCTCCTTCGAGAACCAACATCGGCGGTACAACGGCGGTTGGGATCGAGGCACCACGCCCTTTCTGCAGTACGACTCAATGGGCTGCATCAAGGCAAGTTTCGCAGCCTGGTGTCTGCATCGATGAACCCTGGTTTTATCTGCCCCTCTTCCTCTGAGTGTCTTTGGCCTGCTCATTATTGGCCGATGCCTGTCCGACGAAAGCCAAAACCGCCCTTCAAAAACGTCACTGGCCAGACATCCCTTGATGCGTTTGTGTGATGCTGGATGAAAGGTACTTCTACCCCCTGTTCTGTGGCATATCTCGCACAGGGGGAAGTAGCAGTGACCTGATAGCCTGCAGAACACGCCCAAGGTTCACATGTAGCCACTGGTGCCTTTGCTCCTCTCTAACGGAATATCGTTAGTGCGCCATCTAGCCTCAACCTTGGGATGTAGAGCTCGCTGCACTTCATCTCCGAGTCTCGTCTCTCTTCTTCCTGAGGCAGCTCATCTTCAACTTCACTCCTCCTCCACCGTTGGGCTTCTGCTGTAGAGGCTACTCATCTCAGGGCGTTCGTCTCTCCCCTTCCTTCTCTCTCTGTCTATATATCTCTCTGGCCGACTCCTGCTTTCCTACTCGTCTCTTTTCAACGTCATTCTTGCGGTCTGTTCTCCAGCTTGCCAACTTCCCCGCCATCTCAAGGTGCCGCTAAAAGGGAGACAGTGAGCTTTTTCTGCTATCAGTGTTGGAATACATTCCGTTTGCTCTTTTTCATCCTCTGGAGGATAATCCCTACTGACCCCAGTTAGCTGGTGATTCTTTGTCAGGTGAATTAACTTATATATTTCTTCACTCTCATATATTCTTTCTAGTCACTGCATAGTATATATTCTTTGTTGTCCATTTGGCTGTCCCTTTTATATTCACCTATATACCTTCGCAGCTCTCCTCTGAGATGCTGCCAATGCATTAGCACCCAATACTCCTTTGTTTTCTTGCTCTATATATACTGGACACTTGAAAATACCTTTGCTTGTCTGCCTGTTTCTGCACTGCTGTTGTAGTGACCCCCTCTGTCATACGCTGTGGTGGTGGCCCAGTAACAACCTCATACTGGGATATCCAATTCACCCCCAGCCCCTTTCTGGCAGATCCAGAGACATAGGATATAAAAAGACTGGCCAGGTATAACTGTCCAGCAAGACCCATGGACACCTGTGGGACGCTGAGAGGTCTACTCGCTCACACGTCGAGAGGCCACTTTGCGTTCCATAGGTTTCTGCGGGTGAAGTTCTGATCAACACGAAGCCACCGCTTATGTCGTCATCACAGGAGGATGCTGGACATGTAACAGCACTCACGGCACCAGTTTCAGCATCCTCCTTACAACAGCCGGCGTCACCAGCGAACCCACAGCAGACAGCCACCAAGATGCCACCCTGGGCCATACCCTTCGACACGCCGGCCAGAAACCGCTTCCTGAAAGACTACCGGATTCAGGCGGCCTCTGCAACCTCAACCATCCTCGCCTGCCTTGCCGTGGTAAGCAGTTTTCCCCGTCGTTCGGCGCGTTGGTGATATACGCGGCTTAAAATGTGACTTTGCTTGGATTCAGCGCTGACTTGACACTAGACGCCACTGGAGAACGTGAAGACTCGACTCCAGTCGTGAGTCTCTCTTAGGCCTAATAATCTGGTCTATATTTGGAATAACAATTGTAATTATGTATACTAATCTGATTTGTATGACTTAGATACAACTTTAAAGGGACCACTGACTGCCTTCGATACATGCTAAGACATGAAGGCCCAAGAGGCTTTATGGCTGGTAAGTGATCTATGGCTTTGGGATTACCCTGTCTCTAAGCATCATCTCACTTTCATATCCAGGCGCTCTACCACCACTGGCAAGTCTTACGATAGTCAGAGTTACCAATTTTACCATCTATCAGAAACTTAAACATACACTCTCCGACCTCGTTGAAAGGAATACCGGAACCTCACCATTAGTCGTCTACAACACTCCAGGTTCCCTTCCAACATTTACCGGTGTCTCATGTTTTATGCTTTCTGGAATGGTGGCGGGTGTTTGTGCTGCCCCCATTGCTTGTAAGTGCCATCTACAACATCCTAGTTTTACTTTTTATAGCCAAAAACTAACGTAGACTCAGGTCCCTTCGAACTGGCCAAAAATGTGGTTCAAACTTCTGTATTGATGGCGAGTAGCCAGCGTGGACCAACCGGACAGGGCCTCAAGTATACGTCACTCCAAAATGTTCCACGTCTTTCAACTGCTCAGGCCATCAAACAAATCATCTCTCGTCATGGCTTTAGTGGTCTATACACCGGAATGGGTCTTCACATGGCCCGAGACACAGTCGGCACCGGGCTGTATTTCGCCATCTACGAAACCTCTAAGCAATTGATATCGACGTACCTGGGTGATCACCATTCTCCGTTCGGGCCACCGTTGGTCGCTGGTGCGCTCTCCGGAACCATCCCATGGCTATGTGTAAGTGAAGTCATGTTTGTATATAGGGCGTACCAAACCTGAGCTAATACCCATCTTTCAGACATACCCACTTGACACGCGAAAGACTCGTCGACAGAGCATGATCCTAGGAAAATCCAAAGACATGGGAGCCGCATTGGCCAAAACCTCTGTTTATACAGGGTTGTCAGTTATCATACTACGCACGGCTATACAGAATATGCTCCTCTTGACGATGTTCGAATATTTCAAGAGAGAGATTGATAAATTGCCAGTTGATCCGAGTCCGCCACTGGTTTGAGCAGTTTTGATGCATCGCAGCTGTTCGTGGAATTTCGAGTTACTCTGACAATATTTTACTGCTCTGTTGTTTTCATCTTCTCTTGACCTTGGGTGATGTTTTTTACATATCTTCTTTTTCTTTGTCCATTTGGGATCTATATGAGGATGATGGCGATGCTATAGGTTTTATCACTTGTCTATAGTCTCAATCTTTTTGTTCGCTCGGTCTTACTATCGAATTCTTCTCACGCGAGCACTGCCGAAGCAATGCTGCATACATATGGACCCCTTGTTTCTTATGCAAGCTACAGATGCAAATACTGATTTTTGATTGCTTAATTACGTGGTATCAACACGGTATTCTGTAGATACTCAGACCTTCTCTTCCAACAGAGTGTCGCTTATCTATAACCTTTATAACTAACGTTAAACCCGCAGTATAAAGGTAAACGGTAGCTAGTCCATAGGCTCTGTTGCATTCGATGGTACGTATCTGATGTGGCCGCCCGTAGCAGTACATTAGCGGCTACATGCTCCTACTTGGAATGTAGTTACACACCTAGGCAAGGATTGGCTCTATCATTGTATTGTTGAAGCAAAAAAGTCCCTTTGACTCCATAAATCATCTCTCAAAATTATTAGAATTCCGTACTATCGTGGTCAGACGTTACGAAAATGTGCTCTTGGTGGTGAGAGATTCGGCGTGGGGTCGAGGTCTCCGTGGTGATCGCGTGTTTTGTTTGAGATGAATCTGATAACGTTCGACACCGTTGGTCGTTCAACCACATCCACCACCACAGCTCAAGCCCAACGCGTTCACTTCTTTTCTACCAGCTGGGAGCTGTGGGCTATAGGACAGTTTCCCGGTGTATCAAATCACCATGTCTTCGTAAGTTCCCCAATTACAAAACGTGTTGATGAAAAATACCCCTCCTCCGCAGTAAACTGGTGGCTATACAGAAGAACCGCAGGCTAATATAATTCTGTTTCAACATAGAAGCATCCTCCAATTGCCGTTTAGACGGTCTCACAATGTATCCCTCTCTGATGCTATGAAACAATATATCTCTACCAAATATGACCAACATCCGGATATGTTCGCGGAGGACTTCATAATTATTGACCAGATGCGTGCGGACGCCGTCAGCCTACAGGAGCCCCATGAGAGTGGGATAGTTCGGCTGGTCATCTATGCCGCACAGCTAAAATGGATTGGCGGGAAGTTTCCGATCGATGTGAGTTCGACTCTGTGCGTTGGGATGGGGAGGCCTGTTCGTCAGTACTGATTAAGGCATTTTTGCAGGTTGGCGTGGATTTCCCATGGTACCCTGCGTTTGGATTTAACACAGGACAGCCAGGTTAGCTTGCACAGGGCTCATATATGTACGCTGTGAGGAATCTGATAATAACTTGGCCGACTTAGTATCCCAAAATAACCTCCGATCCGAACTCGCCAATATACTCTTTAATCTTGCCGCGCTCTACTCACAGCTCGCTGTTTCTTTGGGCCCAACAAATTCGGAAAGCCTTAAAGCCGCCTGTAAATATTTCTGTCAGGCAGCTGGTGTTATTGAACACCTCAGAACCGATATTCTACCAGATCTACGGACTTCACCGCCAGAAGACATGGATGAGATGACCTTGCGAAGTTTGGAGGAGCTATTACTTGCTCAGGCGCAAGAGTGTTTTTGGCAGAAGGCAGTTAAGGACGGTCTTAAAGATGCCTCAATTGCACGTCTCGCCGCGAAGGTCTCCGACTATTACGTCAATGCCGGGGGTTATGCAGTGAAATCCAACACCATCAGCACCGACTGGATTCATCATATGACTGCAAAGCACCATCATTTTGCTGCTGCTGCCCAATATAGACAATCACTCGATTGCCTAGAAAAGAGAAAATACGGCGAGGAAGTTGCAAGATTAAGGGATAGCCTTTCGTGTGCCAACGAGGCGCTGAAGGAAGGAAAATGGATCAATAAGGTTGTTTTGAATGATCTTAACGGGCTAAAGTCTCGAGTCAGCGAGGACTTGAAGAGAGCCGAAAAGGATAACGATATTATATACCTGGACCATGTCCCTCCAAAATCCGAGCTTAAGCTTTTAGACCGGGCCAACATGGTCGCCGCTAAAGCCCCTGTTGAAGTGACAGATGGACTGTCAATGATCGGGGAGGGTGCACCTCTTGGGCGTGCACTCTTTGCGAAGCTAGTGCCATATGCTGTGCATGTCGCTGCCAGCATTTATGTTGATCGTCGAGACCGTCGCGTTAATGAGACTATTGGGGAGCTTGAATCGATGACAACGAAGCTCCGAGAGTAAGATATTCCAGTGTTTCTCCTTGACTGAGCTTAGAGCTAACTATCAAAATAGTCTCTTACAATCCTTGAACCTCCCCGGATCGCTTCAAGCACTCGAAAAGCCCCTTGGCCTACCACCAGCTCTAGTCTCCCATGCGGAAGAGATTCGTCAACAAGATGGACTAAATCGCATTTTTACATCTTTGGATGATACCTCGAAACTCAAAGCAACTGATAAGTCTATTTATACTGAGGCAGTTGAACTGTTAAAGGCGGAGAAGGACGAAGATCAAAGGGCCCGACTAAAATACGGCACTGATAGATGGAATCGAGAGACATCGGAGAAGGCTGCCCCTAATCTTTATTCGCAGACGAGTGAAATAGAGGGCTACCTCTCGTCAGCGAATACTAGTGATAATTTCATCCAAGGAAAACTAAACGAACATGGACGAGTGCTCCAGGTTTTGGCAGGGACTAATAGGGATCTAGAGGCGTTTGTACCCAGCAGTCGAAGATCCGTGTTGTCCCCTCAAGTTGAACGTGAAATAAGTCGGCTACGGGGTGCATTGAACGAAGTTAGTCGACTGGAGAATCGGCGAAAGCACCTGATTGAATCTCTGCGAGAGACATCTAAAGGTGATAATATCAGTATGTGGCCTCTCTCTCCCTCGTTACTTGATCGAGGGCAACATATGCTAATTTACATTCCTAGACTCTGCACTCCTCAAGGAAACAGGGCGTCTAGAACGTGAATTCCCCATGCAGAAGATCCAGCCTGGTCAATTTGAAGGGCTGTTTGAAGAGCATCTCCGTCGTTATGATAGTGATCGCAACATTCTTTCTGGTGAACAGAAGAAACAAGATCAACTAGGAGAACAGCTGCGAGAGGCTAACAAGGCGTTTACAACTGCTCGAAAGGGCGACTCGTCGACCAAGGAGAGAGAGAAGGCATTGCAGGACCTGGAGATCGGATATCTGAAATATAAAGAGATCATATCTAACATTGACACGGGGAGGAAGTTTTATAACGATCTAGCTAGGATCGTGGGACGATTTAGAGAGGATTGCAAGAAGTTTGTAAACCAGCGGAGGCTGGAAGCTAGTCGAATGGAAACGTAAGTCTTTCCTCCTCTCCAATGTGTTTGCAAATTCCTAATGCTTGTTTATACAGAGATATAACCAACACATCAGCCATGGCAGCGATGAACATCACGCACTCGCCCACACCACAGCAAATACCAAGTCAACATCAGCATCAACATCCACAAGCAATCCCTCGTGCAAGATCCCGCTCACCTCAGAAATCAATGTCCCCGTTTCCAAACCCCGCGGCACCACTTACAGCGCCGCAGCCTACACGAGCCAACGTCATACCTCCACCAGCGTCCCTGCCATCTGTAGGCGGCGGTATCTGGTCGCCCGAGGCGGGGATCAAGTTTGCTCCGTCGGGCCCGCCAAATGCACATGTTGCTCCGTATCCGGAGTCAAGAACTATTGTTGAACCTTCGGCATCGGACGTTAGTAATGCAGCTGGCGCTGGTTCTTCCGGTGCAGCAAAACCAGGACACTGGGATCCGACGAGAGGTCTGAGGTTTTCGTAGTTCATGTTTATAAATGGTATATATGAGATATCTCGAACTCTTGGAGTTTATATTTTATCTATTTGAGCGTCCTGACTTGGCGTGTGTATATGATGAATATCAGGGAAGCAAAGGGTTGTTTTAAGTAATCAAACTACTTCTAGAGCTAGAAAAATAGATCTCTCTTTACGTGCTTTGCAGCGATTGAATGGTTGGAGTGAATAGATGGGCATAACATGAGCTGGAATTGTTTTCCTTCACCTATTTTGTAAATAGTATTATAGATGGGCTGGACCATTCATCATCATCGAGGAAAACATACATCAGCGTCGTCTAGGAAAATCGTCAAAACATAATCACTGCCCATCATCCATCCATCCATCAGCAATTGCCCTTTTGCCACCAAAACTCGTTCATACACGGACTGAAAAGGGGAGGATGGTAGTTTGGTGCCCTCTTCTGTCCTGGTCAGATGAGCGTGTAACAGTCGCTCTGTCCACCTTTGAGTATCCCTTCCTGGCCTCAGGCTTTAGTTGAAATGCAAAAGTGTTTCCGGTCAACCAGTCAGAAATGGCAGGGTGCTGCGGCCCGCCAAAAAAGATAAAAATCCAAAGATGAAAATTACAAATAAGAATAGATAGTCGAAGAAGAAGAGGAAGGGGCCTTGGGATCGGCGATGGGAGGAATAAATGGGGATAGACCGTCGCTATCCAGCCGATTCAGGTATGTCTCCAACTAAAGACCAAGAAGGAAGATAATAATGCCGGCATTGAATTATGAATCAGGGCGACGATTGAACTTCGGAGGCAGGACTTGTGGTTGACGCCTGTCTCTGTTTCTGCATTTGGTGCCGTCCGTTGCTCTCCTGGTACTTGTGGAACATGCCAGATAAATCTCCCTCGGTAAGCGCGGTGCCATTCTTCTCGACAATGAGATTCCTCAACCATCTGTTTTCCATCTCTAGCTGGCTGACCCGGGATTCTAGCGTGGTGTTCTTAGTGGTCACTTCTTTAACTGTCTTTTCTAGGTTCTTTTCACGTTCCTTCTTCTTGATGCGGAAACGAGCGCTGGCCGCGGTGTTGCGTCGGCGTTTGTCTTCTTCTTGGGCCAGACGGTCGGCCTTATCGATGGCTGCAGCGGTGGCAGCGTCCGGTTTCCGTTTTGATGGAACTGATGTGGATTGTGATTGTGCAGTGGACTGTGTTGTTTGTAGCTGTGTATGTGTCTGTGGTTGTGGCTGTGGCTGTGTCTGTTGCTGTGGTTGCTGCTGTGCTGGTGCGGTCTGTGGAATGGTATTGCTGGGTACGGGTTGAGCTGCTGGGTAAGGGGATGATTGCACTGGAACCATGGGTGGCTGTGGTTGGTAGTATGGGAATTGCGGAAGGTTGAAGTCTGTCGTTATCAATCAGCCACAACGTTACGATAATGTTAGATAACCAGCATCCGTGCTCACCATTCAGCATCTCCACGTAGTTCATGTCCTGGCGTCCGCTTGCCGGGCTCACTGTCCCCGAGACGGGCTGCTCGTCCATCTTGACATTGCCTGCGGGATCGAAGTCGAGAAACTCGGCATTCGTGAAGAGGGCGAGTTCTGCATCCACATCGAACAATTCCTCTGGCTTTGCGGTCTGCTCGTACGGAGAGGGAATGGTATTGAGCTCGTTGAGATACTGCGAGAAATTGGGCGCCCGACGCCCGTTGAAGTCGGCCATGACGGCGGTTCTCTGTCGTGTTCAGCTATTGTTCGTGAGTCAAGCGCATCCGGTCCTTGTCCGGTCACCGTCGGACGGTCGTTAGTCGGCTGCAGCAAACAACACGCTAACAGTCGCTGTCTGTGTCTGTCTTAGACGGTCCGACGATGGTGTCGAGTGATATGTGTTGAAAGAAGAAGAAGAGCGCAGCGCAGGCTCGCGGTTTGGGGTCGGCGGTGGGGAGGAGGAGAAAGCCCGCGATGACAAATCCGCTTTTTCGTTTTTCTTTTTCGTCCTTTTACTTTCCTTTTCCGGTTTTCGGGCGAGCGATTTTCTGACGTAAGCACCTCGGCACGTCTTCCGCTGCCCGTCCGACATGGATATATGAAGATATATCCGTAGATAGATATAGATGTGGATATAGATGTAGGTATAGATATAGACGTTAGGTATAGGTATAGAAGTGAGACTGCCTTCTTCGTACCAGTTCGGCCGTAGTTTTGTCCCTTTTGAAGCCGCGAGGACGATATCTACGGAGATTTTGAATTGCCGTGTATTACTCAAAACCGTGCGATACCGGATGAGTAATCTAAGTCCAATAAAAGTAGTTAAATACGGTAATTGTGGTATTTTATGGTAATATGCTTAATAAGGTATTTATTTCCTAATCTGGAAATAGTTTTGATGAGTCAGCATAGAACAGTCACATGAGCGGGATATATCAAGCTCGTTATCATGTGATGGATGCATTACATAACATGACGAATGAAGATGGATGTTTTGATTGTAGATAAGAGAGAAGTAAACAAACCTCGAGCTTGCGCAAACTGAACGCTTCTTGACACGATTGCTAGGCTTACGGAGGATATATGCAAAGCCCAAGCATGCGCAGCCACCGTGGATAGACGGATCATGGCACGCCAGGCCTCCATCCTCGCTCCCACAGCAGCAAGTCTGTCTGATACGCTTCGAATACCCTCCTCCGCAGCTCCGTTGATCAAATCGCTGGGCAAGCTTTCGCGGCCCTCTCTTATTTCCCTGGTACTTCAATGGCTAGAAAATAAGAATTTACCCAGCTGCAGGCCATATCTACTCTCTGACGAGTCGAAGTCGCAGGATCAAGATGACGAGACGAATCCGTATACGCCAGCTGAAAGCGTCGAGGAACTAAGGATAATATACGAGGACTTTCGAGGTCGAAAGGGCGGGAAACGGGAGATAATTGACCGGATCCTAGAAGGGGACTGGCGACGAGGCTTAACGCTTCGCCAGCTTGCGATGGCGGACGCACAATATATCGAGGAGCACCCTACAAGCCATCGGTGGACGGTGCTCAGGATAGAAGCAAGCAGCGCTTCAGCGAGCTCTAGTACAAACGATACACAGAGCGGCAATGATGATGCGACAGCTCTCCCACAGTTTCAGGCTTCAACTTTTCTCAAAGCTATGCAGCGCGAAATATCACCCCTCGTCAAAGCGCATTATCATGTTCACCGATTTCACTCGCTCCCTCTAACACTTGTTCGGATACTCGCCATCGACTCACCTTACCAATCCCCGCGCCAATCTCCGTATACATTTACGGATACCTCAAGGTTGATCTACCTCGCCTTCCCGGACAGCGCACCGTTTATATATTCCTCGCTCGTTTCCATACCAAGCTCAAAGAAGGATGGGACTACTAATACATATTCTACCGACATTCGGACCTTACGGCGCATTATCAATGATGCGATCCCCAAAGCACTCTCACGCCCGCAGCGCCGGTATACGTTAACTTCAACATCCCTGGCGGCTAAGAGCCTTCATACCTTGCTTACACTCCGAGGGCCATGGAGGACGAACTCTGCCAATGGGGCATTTACAGTGTTTTCAGACGCGGTTGCTGAAACTGGGCCTCTAGAACCGAGGCTAAGCACCGACGTTCCGTTCACGAACAATAATACTGAAAATATAAATCGTGATACCTCAAATGACCAAGAGAACCAAACCCTCAACCATTCGAAGAAACAGAAACGACCCCTTCCAGAACTAAAATCCAATGCACAAACACTTAAGAAGCGAAAACAAGCCATAATATCTCGTTTCGGAACTACCGGTGACCCTAATCGTGTACTCTCTTCTTTCAACCCAACGCTAAAGCCTATTGATAGCAGCAAAGGCTCTTCTATTCCTAAAGTCCAACCATCCACCAGCCAATCCCTGCCACAAATAACTCCCAATCCTGTCTTAGACCGCCTACAAATTCATCTTCAAGATCATCCAACATTAGCCCCGGATCCATCTCCTCCTCATACCGTGGTCTCACTCACATTCTCGGGCTCAGATGTTGTAGCGGGCCTACGACAACTGGCTGAGTTAGGTGTGATTGATGCTACCCGGATGCCGTCGTGGATGACAGGCGAGGAAGGGGTGAGCACTGCTGTGATTAAAGGAGGTACAAGGGTGTCATAACAATATTCATAATAATATTCATGGGAAACTGGCGCAGGAATGGGAAGGGATTGTTTTTTTAAATACCTGCATCGTCGGTTGCACTTATTCAGCGATTTATACGTACCGCCATCGCAGTACATGGCTTAGATTCAGACCTGCTTAATGGAATTGTACAAATGAACAAAGGAAACTTGATTATATTTCTGTGTTAAAAAAGAATGAAAAGGGTCGCATAGGTCGACAAGCTATAGGAAATATGCGCCAAACCCCGGATAATGTACCAGCATTACGGGCTATTATATATATCTCAAAGAAAGTAATGCGCTATGCCAATGCTAGCGATACCGCCGTCGGTAACCCCAAGTTTGATGATATGTAGAATAATCTGCAGTTGACACACGTCTGTTAGTCCAAAAACATCTTCAATCTGGTCTCCGACTCAACTATTAGGAGAAGGAAAAATTACAAAGATGTACTCGTACCCCGTATGCAGCTCAAACCCAGGCTCCGGCCTATATTTAGGTATCCTTCACTGTTCAATTTGCCCTCCTTCACCAGATGCTGCATCAACGGCAAATCATCTGGTTGCCACGGCGATCGGCTATGAGGTAGAGTATTCAGTACAAATCGTACATTATCAAAAAAGGGGTGGAATAATCTCACCAATAAACACACCGAATCTCCTTTCCGCGCTGACTGGAAACCCATTGTTCAAAGCAGGACTTGTGGATACTATTGCCACATGCAGCTCTGCACCAGACTATAGATTCATTTTCAGCTTCAAACGGCATGAAGCAAATCGGACAGTCCCCGTCAATTTCTTTGCGGTTCCCCTCAGCGTTGCTTGTAGAAGCGGCCTGCGAAGGATCTTGCGGCGCATTCTCGAAAATCTGGCGGAGCTCCTAATCATGATAGTTAGCTATCTGTCTTCATCTCGAGTTTAAGATCGATGGACTTGCCGATGATAGAAACGCGAGCTGGTAGCGGAGATGTTCATGTGCTCTAAGGACATGATATAGGACCTGTGCAGTCATTTAGGGATCATTTAGGTGAATGTTTTCAGAAGAATTTGGTGATTGAAGACAGTAAACAGGGTATCATACGTATACTATATGCTTGCATTGGTTCCCTTTCTGCGAATCTGGGCAGCTACACGTAGGCTCTTTCCCAATGACAACCTGGTATATATTGCCTGTTGATCCGGCAATGTCAATATATTCCTCCGGAACTTCCTCGGTCCCTCCTCTAGTCCGCTGGAGAACAAATAATCTAATACTACATGTTAGTATCTTGATATATGCGGCCTTTGGAGCAGCTCGAAGGGCTCACTCCAGGCTGTCGAGCAATAGCTATTTACCTTTGTGTTCTTGCCCTCTCTAGCTTGACTAGATAGGTCTGTGGAGGTTTTGATCTAAACGCGCGAAGTCTGCGCTCTGCATCTCTCCTTCGAGGCTCCTTTGCCTGCCTTTTCTCCTTTTTTGGTGTCGCTTGAGGGGACGCTTCGCCAGTGAGATCAATTACGACAGCGTCATCTGGAGGAGTCTTTGTTTTTCGCGCCCGTCGAACTGGCCGGGGCTGTTCACCCGTGGTATCTGTTTCTCTCTTTCTTTTCATCTCATTTAACCAAGCATAACAATACGTAGATAATGAGAGCTCCTTGATATATATATATACAGCTTTCGCTTCCTTTAACCGCGAAGAAACGCGGAATAGCCGCCATATCACGTGATGTCACTCTCTTATCGCGCATCTTGAAGTCGACGAGCGCGAAGGCATCAACAGTTGCGAGCTTCATACCTGACCCAATTGTAAACGCCATCCATGTCGCGGCCACGGGCCATCTCTGGCGCAGATGCGCACAAAGAGCCACATTCTATCTCATTGAAAGGTACGCATGCTTGCAGGTATAACGAAACGAGCCACTCTAATGTATGTTCTAGTACTACGGTGAGCTCTTCTGGCGAAGGTGCGGACTGGCCGAGCCAGCAGCTGATATTTCGACGAACAGTCTTTCACGGCCGTCTCTATCGTTTCAACACCCTCTTCCAGACTCTGATGCACATATCTCGAAAAAGGCGTCGCTCAGCTACCCTTCAGACACGTCCGACCCCCAGTTTATACTAAGTCCCAATGTGGGTGGGAACCATGCCGTTAGTAATGGGAGGAATGCAGAGACATACGATGCTAATTAACCGGTTTTTATAGCTAACGCTACCGCCAGCATTTGGGTCGGCATATGTTGGCGAGGCGTTTGCGTGCTCGCTATCTGCCAACAATGAGGCGCTTAACGGCAACTCTCGTGTGGTCACTTCGATCAGAATACAGGCAGATATGCAAACTCCCTCACAGACAATTCCACTCGAATTACTCCCACCGGACAAAGAATCGGACCAACCGGCTGGTACATCGGCGGCCAACTCTGTACAGAAAATAATCCGGTTTGATTTGAAAGAGGAGGGTAACCATGTGTTGTCAGTAAGCGTCAACTATACTGAGACTCTCATGGCGCCCAACAAAGACGCACACAGCGGATTCCAAGCCTCTGGGGGGAGAGTGCGAACTTTCAGAAAGCTTTATCAGTTCATTGCCCAGCCTTGTCTGAGTGTACGGACCAAAGCTACAGAATTGGCCCCACGTGAAGTAGAGAACCGCTCTCTTGGGCCATACGGGAAGACACGGTTACTTCGTTTTGCGTTGGAGGCACAGCTCGAAAACGTCGGCGATGGGATCATCGTCCTAGGGGTAAGTGCTTTTGACTATAATCGCAGGGGCACCCATGTTCCGATTTACAGAAAAGATGAGGTGCATTTAGGCCCTGATATTAATTTTGGCTAGGTCCCCATGCTTAATTCAAAGCCTCCATTCAAGTCGACATCACTAAATTGGGATTTCGATCAGAAAGATGGAGATCCAAAGAGAGAAGCCCCGACCCTGGCCCCCCGGGATGTCCTCCAAATTGCATTTCTTGTAGAACAGGAAGAAGGCCAACAGGAAGGTCTCGAGGTGACTCAAAAGGATATGAATCGAGACGGCCGCACATCTCTCGGGCAGCTCTCCATCCAATGGCAGGGTGCGATGGGCGAGAGAGGATACTTGACAACGGGAAGCTTGATGACAAAGAAGAGGTCATAACACCTTCCCAGATAATAATGAGAAGCACCGGCCCCTGGCCAACGTTGGTATTCTCAAATCCCTGAAGAGGTTTGATGTCGCTACGGGGTAAAACCCTGCCTGGTAGATTGGGGGCCGGATGAACCCAGCAACCGTGCACCAGGTTTGTGCCTGAGCGCTTATCCATGGCATAAATGTTTGCTGTTGGTCATCTACATAATTTAGCCAACATCAATTGCAAGGAGCAGGGAAGGGATGAGATCCTCGCTGGTTCGAGGATCGGGGCTGAGCTGCCATGAACTTAACGATTTGATGTGATAATTTTACAAGGTTGAAACCGGCGTCTAACGTGAGACATTGAGAATGCTACGTACGGAGTATACGGGATCGCAATATATTAATGTTATCGTAGAGGTGTGGAGTAAACCAGGGTGTCACCAAATGTGCCCACATAGTGGCCTTTAGATACATTTTATACACTTCGTAAGTAGTTAGTTATGTCGTCGTCATCTTCGCTTCAAACGCCACTGACATTATATGAGAGAACTACATTATACAACTATCAATTTGACACGGTACTCGTTTCAACGAGGAGGATGGACCGAGAATAGCATCAGCTGGAGGAGAAAACCCCGTTTTACAACGTAGTCTCTGAATATATTGGATTGTATCCCGTGTTTTGTACCGCCTATATCTCTCCAGAGGTATGGTCTATATTGGTTTGTTTCCTTTAGATACTCGATAAGTTTATAGGCGAGGCATACGTAAGAATCGTCAATCAACTGGTAATGGAGTCCATGAGAATAGACTAGGATACGCCGTATATCAGTGAGAGGAACCTGATAATATGGTGTTGAATGCTGATCTATACTCCGGCCCCTATGGCAGTAAAGAGCTGTGTCATCAGGGCTCCTCAACGTCCTGTTTTAGTTCCGAATACGTCTATGAGTTCACAAACAACAGTCCCTAAATGCCATTGTACAGTATACGACACCCCCAGGTTATTCGAACGCCATATCTTTCCATATATCTATCCTCTATATGGTACTTTATATGATACGATACAAACCACTTTCACTATGGTTTTACTAGTCTCACCAACCGGTCAGCCCGGGACCTGGAATCGGTATATACCTAGCCTTGCTTGTTGGCCTGGAATTTTACAAAGTACTAACTCTTATATAGGGTAAACAAGACGACTCAAGTACTAACACCGTTATAGACAATGAGAGAAACGCGAAGGGTCAATTTATCTCTGGCGGCTTGACTGGGATTGTCGAATTGCTTGATAATGGCACTGTTATCAAGTCACCCTTTCCCGGACCCATGATAAAAGATCATATCCAGGATATTGCTAAGGAAGCTAGTATCTACCAGCGACTTGGCCCTCATGAGAGGCTTGTTAGACTAGTTAGCTATTCTATCGACGGTCTTATACTTGAGTATATGCCAAATGGCGACCTCAAGGCCTATCTCCAGGCTCACAAATCAAGTCTCATTCCAATGAGCCTTAAATTAAATTGGGCATACCAAATAGCGGGAGCTGTCACACTTCTACATGATAATAATATCCTCCACTGCGATATAAAACCTCGAAACCTGCTTTTGGATAACAACCTCAACATCAAAATTATCGATTTCTCTGGCTCATCGATAGACGGGTCGAAACCAACATCAGGTGAAGCGACTCGGTTTTATCCACCACGCGACTAGAGAGATCCACCAACTATAGAAATATATCTCTTTGCTCTAGGCTCAACTCTTTATGAAATCTTTCGAGGAATCAGTTCTTTTGAAGATCTTCCTAGTGATAAAGTAAAGACACTTTATGAGGCCCAGCGATTCCCAATTGTTTCTGATATTCCGTGCGGCAAAGCAATCGAACAATGCTGGCGATTAGAAATTAAATCCGCTCAACAGCTACACACTGCCATCGGAGCTCTAATCCACGATATTCCTTAACTAGCGTACTGTAGGCACAAGGTATTCGCACATTCCAGCTAACCGCATTTCCTTTTATTTAAAATTTTGTGGTTGCTACAAATACAGGGTGCGCATGTCAAACTGTTCTACGGAGTACTTTGAAGCTTTCAGCAAGCTAGCCACGGTCCGATACGACCCTGCAATGGTCCCCTGCTTCCGCTCCGATGTTCTGGAAAATATTCCTGGCAATTGGAGGTATTCCAGCGCATTCTATAATCTTCTCCTTGGCAAGCATATGGAAGTTTCAAACGAGATAGCTTCCCCGTGTTTTGAATATAGGTGCATCTAGCTCTTGCTCAGCCCTGGTCCGCTCGTCCATGTAGGACATGGATTCGATATATTATGTTTACTACGTGCTCCGTCGATAGAGTTCGGGCACATCTGTAGGGAACAACCTTGAAGCCTCAAGGTGAGACATCAACGCTGTCTTACGCATCTAGATATGCAGGAACACAGCATGAACGCAGGCTGGTTCCAAAGCTATCCAGAACAAGTGACACGAGTTAAAAAAACGAGCTCTTTTTTCAGCAAACGGTTTTCTCTCGCGGTACTCTCGTATATGGACAAGATTTTCATATGTGCCGGGGAACTGCTCCGCACCCCTATTATTGGCCACGACGGCGTTTTCCGTATCGTTAGCGCCCGCTATAAGCTTGCGAGAGAGGCGAGTTGCGGATTGCAGGGTCAAAAAATCAATCAAAATAAAGTAAGAGTTCCAGGCGTCCGCGTGAGTGAACCGCCGATGCAGAACTGTCGCGATCTGCCAGCCCTGTGTGACAAGAAGAAAAGCCATAATTCGCAATCGAACTGACTGTGAGTAACAGGTTGGAACCGTTGATCCGCGCTATCCTGCGAATCTGGGAAGAGCGTAGTCTGCCGAGGAGTATCAAGTTATTCCTGGAGCCGTGGCCCTGGGCGCTCCTTTTGGTGCCTGAAATAGGGCGACGGGCTAGCTTCTTTGGAAAAAGGGGCCGATGCAGGTCTATGAACAGACCATGCTGATTCGAACGAAAGGGGCCATTCCGAGGGACAGTTTGGCAAAGCAATGGAAGTTTAGCTGCGGTATTGTGAGTTTACACGGAAGGATACGCGTCGTCAACTCGAGGTTTTTTCGGAACAAACGCCACCAGTATCCTCATTTGACATGATTTGCATTCTTCCTGAGCCGTGATGGCGCTGGTAGCCCTCAAGCAATCGATACCTAGAGGGAGGGATCTTCTGGCACTGACGACGATATGAAGTATGCTCGCTGGAGCAGTTCGTGGGACCGAGGCCAATCAGTGCCCTGTCGACCTGGGGGCGTCGTATCTTGTCGCTGCCAGCGATGGCCGGTTGAATCCACGATCCCTGGATGATCGACCGTAACCCCTGAGAGCTCCACTCGAGGGGTGAAAGGTGAAGTTTTTTTTTTTTTTTTCTGGTCGTGTCTCGAGAAAACAAGGCCGAAAAAGAGAGCGTTCGCGTGTCTCGAAAGACGATGTTGGACAGTCAATGTATCCTCATTTCGAATCAGGGGGTTAAAACATCCGTGATTGCTTGATAAACAAACGGGACCGGCGGCGGCAAGACAGGCCCATGGGGTCAGGGAGTTATATTCGAAGCCTCAGGCAATTATGACGCTGATGTGGGACGGTATATTTATATATTATCGTCAATGCTGATTCCTCCATACTGAACTAGTCTCCATCGTATATCTGGCTCATGCGCATCATTCACAGCGATCTCCACATCCTCGGCCTTGATATGAGCATTCAGCAGCGATGGCTGTCCTGTGGCAGTCTCAGAGATGCGTATCGAATAAGGAATGTCTGGTTGCTGGCTGGTTGCTGGGAGAAAAGGGTCGTCCCTTGAAGCCGATGTAAATCGTCGCCCGAGTCAGTGCACATCGGTTTAGCTCCGTAGATATAGACTATTAGTTAGGACTCCATGTCCATAATTCGCCGTAATATTAAATTTTTCGTTGCTCGGGGGATTGTCGATTGTCCGATCTCACAAGAAGTTGTCTTGGTATAGATCTCTCCATCGAAAAGCACCCCGGACAGCTTCACTACTGACGGCACAGCACCTCGCAGCATCACTCGAACCCGGTCGAGTCTGCCCGTTAACTCGCGTTCAAACCGCTAGCTCGTGCATGCTGGACGCTGGTTTCAAGTAAATACCAGAACTATCCCCAGATAAAGTCCCCTAAAGCCCACTCTCCTCCCTCCGTCCCTCGCTCGCTCTCCGCCTGCACCAACGGAAGAACATCGCCAGCAGCAGAACAGACGTCGCCAGCACTCCCGTCAAGTCAAACGAAGGACAGATCCAGCTGGTCAATTGCTGGATATACCTGTCGACCCCCGAGAAGGCGATTTTTCGCCTGCAAAGGACAAAAAACCTTACCGCCGTATCGCATACCAGCTACAGAGCTGCCGTTTCTTCTTCGCTCGCGGGACTTGTCCGGCCCCCTTGGTGAAGCAAAGCTACTTTGATCGCTACAGGTTGATGACACTCATGCGCGAAGGAGTCAGCTACCTGCAACTGTTCTAATAGCGACTCTGATTTTTGCCTCCCATATACCGTTCGCCATGGCGCCTGCGCTCACCGTCGACACGCCCTCCTCCGCTCCCCTGGCGGAGTTTTTCTGGATAGCCGGCGTAGACGGCTCCGAAATACTGGATATCTACTCGAAGCTAGGAGAGGAATACAATGCGTCAAGGTCGCCGGCAATACCAGTGACAGATACAATTGAGGAGGATGCAGACGCGGAGGTGGAACAGGAGAACACCCAGTCAACTGGCAACTCGCCAGCCCTCTCGAACAGGAACTCGTACCAGTTCCCCAAGTCTGGCGATGAATCGCGCCTATCCTTTCGATCTTCGTCCTTTGAGCCGACTACAGAGCCCCAGAGCAACCGGAGCAGCTTGACGATCAAAGGTACCGCCAGTTCAAATGGTACCTCCTTCCTGAGTGACGCCGATTTCGATGACGCCCTTCGCAAATTCGCCTCGGAGAGGGACTCGTTTTTGACAGACCTTAGCCTCAGTGCTGGAGCAGTCGTACCAAGCCGCCCGAAACCTCGACCGAGGACGCAGAAAATCGTCGCGGAAGATGTCAATCCCTTGAAATCTAGCATTGGGAGCGTTCGCAGGCACATGTCGTTTAGAGATATGAGCAGCATGAAGAGACAGCCATCGTTGGCAAGGCAATGTACGCCTTCCCCATAGCTTTTCTTGAACCCCCGTTGTTTTTTGACATTTTGTTTATACTGCATCATTTCTAACGATTCATTATTTAGCCTCCGTTCGGACATCCAGACGTTTAAGCAACTATAATTCAGTCATCCCTGTACCGCAACCGCTGGAAATGCCCACAAATATGCATCCTCTCAAGCGAAAGTTTGAGCCGGTTCTACTCGACAGATACCCGCCGAAGGGAGCTCCAGATGAAATTCAACGGAGAGGCAAATTCCCCGACTATATCCCCATGTTCGCCTTTCCCAACGATATAAATATTGTGTCTTCAGACGTACGGCCGCGGTCAACATGGCACGGCTTCGCCATGACTGGCGGTGACGGATCTAAGCTGTACGGGGTGTGCGTGACAGTATGGATTCCACTAAACCACAATGCCTCTGATGAACTAGAAAAGAGATGTGAGGAGTGGAGACGAGACAATATGACCAACGAGGAACGAGAGCTGGCTTCCAGTCTCGGCGAACGACTTGGTCTTGAACGAGCCAAACTGTCCAGACTACTCGCGCAGCTTCCTACTGTTCCATCTGGATCCGCATCTCGAGAGAACCTAGAAGACGAGATCAGTGCAGTAGAAGAGAAGATTGGTTTAATGGCCGATCTTCTGCGCCCTGTTCGCCACGGTGCTGCCTCTAAGATTGATGGTTTGACAGACGGTGATACCGGGTTCTGGATTCCCCGAGCTTATGGCATCCTCGGAAAGGACTCGTCCATGGTAACCTTCTGGAAGGAATGGCTTAAAGCAGTCACTGTTCCGATGATGGATGGCGCCATTCTCAGGGTTCCTCCGACCTCTCCCAGAGTGGGCAGATGGCAGCCATTGGAGAGATACGTGGTGAACTTGTGCATGGAAGCATTCAGCCCAATCTCTTCCAAAACCCAGGTCGAGATCTCTATTCGAGAATTACGACTTTTCGCCAGAAAAGAAGCCATCAATGAGCTGCCTGGATCACGAAACGTAAGCTACAAATACTCCTAACGCCCCTTTATTTGCAATCATCCGCTAATTCATCGATAGACTGATCTATACCCTCTATTTCGCGCTCTTTCGGTCTCGAATATCATAATTCTATTTGAAGTATGTATCTTTCCGTATCCCTAGGCTTGATTTTTAGAGTCTAACAATCTCTCTAGTATGCACTCGCTGAATCGAGAATAATATTCTTGTCATCACATATCTCCATGCTGAACCTTGCAAGTAAAGCACTGGTTGAACTCCTATTTCCATTCCAATGGACAGGTGTTTTTATCCCTATTCTACCCTCTCGCCTCATTCAAGCCATTGAAGCGCCGTGCCCTTACATCGTTGGCATCGAGAGGCGATATGAAAACATAGAATTCCCCTCGGACGACTTTGTACTTGTTGACCTTGACCAAGATCTCATCGAAAGTACATCACGCCCCACTCCTCTCCCTCGCCATCAACGTCGAAAACTCCAATCATTATTGCAAGCTGCTGCTCCCCTCCATCATCGGTATGGAGTTAGTGCTGGGCCACCCGCATACGCCATGGAAACCTTCCCATATGACTGTGTGCCAGCAGAGATCCCATCGATATATTCACCAAAAGCGCCAGCCACAAATCTACCCAAATACGTTGCGCTTAACTCCGCGTCATTCGGCCAGCAATCCTCGACTAACCCTGCTCCAATCTACAATACCTTCTTATGTGCCAAAAACGATATCTCACTTTCAAGGGGCACCGATCGCCCTTCTACTAGCTCGACGTCGAGAAACAGCAACCCATCATCTCCAAGAACCGCCTCACCAACTTCTATAAAATTCCCTCAACCATCAACCCCAGTATCGCGGAATGATTCTGGATTTGCGTTGCAGGCATCTCTTCGCGAAAAGCGGTCAGGCCACTTTGATCAGGCATCTCGCAGAAGTTCGTCTTTAGCTATAGACCGACGCCAAATACCTAGGAGGCCCAGTGTCCCGTTCCTCGGACACTCCTCTAACCTTTCCGTAACGACATTAAATACAGATGCTGGAACCTCTGTATACGCGCCATCGATATATGCACAGTCTACAATCGCAGCATCGACAATAATGCCCCAATATTTCCAACCTTTACGAAACCCAGCCGGATCCACCTTAATAGAAGGCCATTGCATGCAGCTACAACGACCTATAGACGAGAAATCTACGTGTGCCATTTGTGATGAAAGAGCAGATGAGGCAACGTATAAGTGTACCGGCTGCACAACAGTTGTACACCACCGCTGTGCTGGTCAGATCTGCCTGGTGTGCCCTGTCGCATTCCACCCAGACCAAATCAGAGCAGCCTTTGTACGGTGTTTTGCAAGCTTGTTGTACACATACAAGAAATTTCTTCGACCGGCCAGTGGAGATAAGAAAAAGAACGGTCTGACCTATGACTTTCAAATGGATGCTTTCCTTAAGAGTCTACCCCATGAGCATGCAGAATATATGACCGTTTTGCAGCAGACTCAAGGTACGTCCTAATTCTAACCTTGGAATATAGATTTTATTGGCTAACAAGTCCCTTTTTTTATAGGATTTAACGAATTCATTGGTGAACGAGAACGCGCGAAGCAAAAATCGAAGGATCCACGAATTACCCTGTTCGATGAAATTGTGCTTTCGAAACGTAACCGTGGACGTTCGTCATTTTTCTCCGGCCGGATGACAACGGACTTCCTGAGCGATACCACGAATCATCTCTGGCGATCAGCAAGCGCCTCCTCTTTTTCCCCGAATACCCGGAAGGAGATACCTACTTCACTGGATTGGAAGGCTGTCGTAACTCGAGGTTAGTACATACCTGCATCCTTGTACCATTTCTCTATGCCGCCATTCTTTTAACTTTACTAACCTTGTTTCAATCATGCCACAGTGCCAGCAAAAATGGACCCAAACTATATGAAAGAACCACGAATGATACAAGGGACTCCACGAATCTCTAAAACCGTTAATAATGCACGACGAAAGCCCGTTCCTGGTGGCAACTAAGATGCAATTCCTACTAATAATACAGAACCATCTCATCCCGCCCAAGCCATCAAGCTTCATAATCCAACCCTATTTCCAAATCTCCTGAAGACATCGATGGCGATACATAGCATAAGAGGAGCAAGCGCATACCCATTAGAAAGAACTCGATACCCGACATAGATTTCTTCCCTACCCTGTGCGTTTCGCCTCATGAAAATGGACATACCACGCTATTTCATCTTCTCCTTCCTTCCATTTAATCTAGTAATCTCCCCGTTTTCATCTTTGGCACCTTTTCTATTTTCTATTTCCCTCTTCTAGCTTCTGTCCCTCGTTTAATGACAGACATCACGCTATGGAGCTTTTGGCGTCCTGAACCGGGGTCCATACTTTTTTTTTGCCTGCATTTGGTTCCAATCTCCCTATTTTGATCTATTATACTACATATAGTTGCATTTTCGATGACTTGATAGGAACTAACTACAACGCTGGCGGATGGGTGGTATGGGAAAGGATGGAAACAAACTTCACTGTTACTACTACCTATAATAATAATATTAATTAATTTCATGAACATATATAGTTTTTGATCCAACAGCTGTGCGTACGAACTCTGGAATGTTTGCTTGATACAACCGCAGCATGAGAGATAATCATGTAAACCCACACAGGCTGAGTTTCCGAGAGTTAATATGCTAATATCCGTGATTGGGTTGATGACAGGTCTCCAAGAGTAGCAATGACGTGCGGTAAACGTATGCATCAAGGCTTTGCTTGCCATGCCGTCTTTAATCCCTACATTGTCGCTTTTAGATAGAAGAAAAAAGAAGGAGAGTATAAAGTCTTGGCGTTGAACTTGTCTTGGCAGGTACAAGCCTTTTTCTCACTAGTCCTTATCGGGTTTAGTTTCCGAACACGATGCCAAGCCTCCTGAGCCTACTTCGAAACTTCCACTTTCCTTGCATCTTTTGGACAACATCACAGCTGATGGGACTCGAGTTCGGATATGGGACTCGTGGATAGCCATGATTGCGTCCCTGGGACGCGTGTTCTTCTAGGCGTTTCTGTCTTAGAATGTACTGTGGAAGGCACAATTGCGTCGTCCTGGAGTATGGCATTCCAGGCGGCCACAAATTATTACATAGCCTGTAGTAATATATATATCGTTGATTATCCTATGGACTTCCAGTTGGAAACAGCAGAATCCCCAGTGCATAAAGCATTATAGTTTCCTTAAATATCTCCCCAGAAGCCCTTTTGCAATGGCCAACGACGACGAGTTTCACGATTTCTACAAATATACCCCGTCAAAGCCAGCGGCTATCACCTTTATTGCCTTATTTTTGATATCCTCTGCCGCTCACCTCTTCCAGCTTGTTAGAGGCCGCGTTTGGTTTTTTGTGCCTCTGGTTGTTGGTGGTATATGTTAGTATTCAACTTTCAAGCGTTTGAGAAATCGATCAGATGTCCATGTTTGGAAATACTAACTCCGCTTTCAGTCGAGATAGTTGGATTTAGTGGTCGAATTATCTCCAGTACTGAAGCTCCTTTGTTTACGGACACTCCCTACATAATCCAGAACCTCTTCCTCCTTCTGGCTCCCGCTTTGTTCGCCGCTTCTATATACATGGAGCTTGGACGTCTTATCCTTGTGCTGGAAGGAGAACAACATTCTATTGTTCGCCGAACCTGGATGACAAAGATATTTGTTACTGGAGATGTCTTATCATTCTTAGTTCAAGGGATAGGTGGGCACATTTCAATTTTGAGCACTCTGATTTCTTCAAGGCGACACCGTCCCGGGATATGATTGGACAAGAACAGTTAGCTAACGTGACCTATATACTCCGTATAGGTGGTGGAATTATGGCAAGCGGAAAACCCTCGAACCTGTCCCTTGGCGAGAAAGTTGTCGTGGTCGGCTTGATAATTCAAATTCTCTTCTTCGGCTTCTTCATCATCGTCTCCGTCATTCTTCATCTCCGAATGAATACCCATCCAACCACTGCCTCGTTATCCCTAGGCTTCTCGTGGCGCAAATATCTCTATGGCCTTTATGCGGTTTCTATCCTTGTCATGGTGCGTTCTGTTTTTCGGGTTGCTGAATTCGCACAAGGCTCAAACGGGACACTATTGAAGCACGAGGTTTACCTTTACGTATTCGATGCTGCGTTGATGTTTATTTTGATGGTGATATTGAATGTGGTTCATCCGGGTGTTATCTCGGCCTTGGCTCGGGGAAAGGTGGCTCTGAAGACAACGGATACCCTGGAGATGCAACCGGGACGGGATGATTTGACTGGACCACGAGGGGTTGAACCTACCACCATGCGCCCAAGTTTTACCGAGTCCACCTATGTAAGACATGCTATTGCGACGAGGGGCTTGGCATAATTTCAATATGCCCTTGGGTTGTTATCCCTAGCTAACTGTTGGCCCGATGTCCCGTCTCTAACAACTCCAAGTTCATCCTCTCTAATAATATCCCGAATTATAGACTGGAGCCTGTTTGTTCTTCTTTACCTATGAACTCACTCTCATGCCAGTTCTATCCACATTATAGTGGATGAATATATCCTGTTTACCCTAATCCTTGGCTTAAAATATCCCATGTATCATATTCGGTAAGCTTGTTGTGGAAACTGGCGTCTTGGAGATTCATCTCGACGCAACATCTTTGAGCATCAACGCAGAAAATATCCGGTAGAAAAGTCATAACTGCTACTCCGTATACTCCGTGGATCACGAAGGGCGGAATAGCATCGTCTACCATGCTGTGGTACTTCCCCTCGAGGCAGGCAATAGCTAATATCTTCAACTCTCGAGCCACCCCTATCTGGATGAGGGTTTCTTTGACCTCTCAGCATCGCATATATAGTTAGCCAAGTTAGGCCTGGCGAACTAGGTGCCTAGTGTACACGAATGCTCCTTCTCCTCGGAAACTAGTGTGATATTCAGTTCAATGGCCTGTGTCAGATTTGTCTTTACCTTTCCGGACTCAGCAGCAATCATACAGGTGTTATAAATCTGTGTAGTTTAGATAAATGGGCTCGGTGCTGATGACATATCTATGGAACTCTCTAAACGGGCCGCTACCTCTGTGCGATGTTACGGACCTCTTAGTTTTATCAACCCAATTGAAATTAAGTGCCATGTAGTACGGGGTATATGAAAGAAATTTATTAATATTATGTAGGATATATATATACAATTTTCATCAATAAACATAAGTATCCTTAGTTCTTATATGAAATATATATGAACCATCCAATTTCCCAAAACAGTAGCAAATCCAAGATTTAAATAACTTAAGTCTTAGTTGATGCCGACACAAACTGCGTAGCCGAGCCACATGTTCGCACAATTTGAGCCAACTGCCGGGTTCCAGGTATAGAAGTCAGACAATGCAATACCATACTGGTTAGAGAGATCCCAGCAGCCGTCGCCGCTAACAACAGTATGCCACTTTGTACAGTTCGCAGCGGCACCTGCCTGTGTGGGTGCTGGTGGGGGTACTGTCGTCTTCGTGGATGACGTTGCGGTGGTTGTTGTCCTCGTGGAAGTTGTAGTGGGTGTAGGAGTAGGTGTGGGAGTAGGTGTCGTCGTGGTTGTTTGCACGGGCGTGGTACGGTACCAGTTCGCCTTAGGATCTCCTAAACATTCTCCAACGGTAACAGCTGAATCACCAAAATGTTAGCGGGATAAAGGTCAAATGATCGGCGAGGAAAGAAAACGGTAGGAATAACATACCCCTCAAACCCCTATTTTTTAGCTCATCCAGCAGTTGCTGTACCAGTAGCTCTACAGTCGTTTGATGTACATCGTGGGCCAAGGCAATGCTACCTCCTGCATCTAGCTGCTGCTCAAACAAGCTAACGCTGATAGCAACACCGTCGGCGGTATCGTGCTCGTAGTCCTTGGTATCAATGTTGGCATCAATGACATGGTATTTGAGATCAGCCATTGTCTGTAGAACCAAAGTATTATATGCGAAATAGGGGGCGCGCATATAAGTTGGTCGGTTGCCATTGATAATTGAGGCGAGAACGTCATCCAGCTTTGTCATTTCGGAGACGATACCGGCACGAGTAAGCGTAGATAAGTCCGCATGGTCATACCTAAGAATTCGTTAGTCTCTAGAAATAAGGTCTTCCGTAAACAAAACACTCACGTATGTGATGCAATCTGATGTCCTCCATTAAACGCCCGCTGAAGCACAGCGCTGTAAGAGGTAATGCTACCAAAGTTCTGAGCATTGACAAAGAGCGTTGCCTTGGCCCCATTGCTATCAAAGATATCTAGTAGCTCAGATGTATAATCGTAGGGACCGTCGTCAAAGGTTATTGCCACGGTTCCATTGACTGTGCAGCCCTTGATAATTTGACCAAATGGAACTGCGATAGCAGATTGTGCGGGTACAGGGGTGGTGCTAGTTGGGGTTGGGGTCACTGTCGATGAAGTGGAGGTAGTGCGTGCACTTGTAGTTGTGGGAGTAGTTGTAGGAGTAGCCGTAGTTGTTGGAGTAGTTGTACGAGTAGCTGTAGTTGTTGGAGTAGTTGTAGTTGCCGGGGTAGTTGTGGTGGCCGGTTTAGTTGTCGAGGTCACCGGCTTGGTCGTTGTAGTGACTGGCTTGGTTGTCGTAGTCGCAGGCTTGGTCGTTGTAGTGGCAGGCTTGGTCGTTGAAGTAGTTCTGGGGAACAACCAGGGGAAAATCCATGATTTACCGACCAATTGCGGTTGTTCAAGGTTCAATGGGCTTGCTACGACGCAGCAAGCAAGTAGCGCAGCAATAAAGAGTGTATAGAGTCGGATCAACATGATGCCCACTGCGAATATATATACGAAACCCAAAAGAGATGAAAGAGAGTTGGTACTAAAGAATGTCAAAAAAGAGTGTGTGGTATGGGTAAAAGAGTGTCAATTGACGGCGGGCAGGAGGCCTGTTGCTGCGTCAATACATATATGGAATCAAAAATGCCATAGTACCGGTGGTACTGTGCTGTTTTATATACCCATGACCAGCATGGGCCGGCTTGTCCCTGAACGAAGCGCGAGATTTAATATAGAAATATTAGAAACAGAAGTACCCCGTACTCGGTAACGAGTGAGCGGGGTCTGCTATATCTCGCCCAATCGGCTAATATTTGAGATAACAGGGACATGGGAGTTGTTGAAGACAAGAATAGGTCTTATTATGGAATAGTGCACGGTTTCCGGCCTTTCGATCTAGATTTTCTAGATTGGGGGGCGGAGGCTGACCGGCATGCATCAAATCCTCGCTTATATGCAGGGGAATCATCCAATAATGGATATAACGGAGCCTCAAATTGTTGGAAATGACTCGTAGCGGCGTCTTGCCAAGGTGAAAAGAGTGACTGCCAATATCACTTGCTTTTAGACAACCCAGCTATCCATTCAGCCGGGTGACTCGTCCTAGACCAGCGAGCATCCAAGTATCCTCGGCTTGGATTCTTCGTATAGAGAATGTGCTAAGGGTGTAGTTGTCATTAGTCAGGGTACTCCGTATCATCGCTCGCTACACCACGCTTAGCATCCGGAGTGGTTTGGATCTCAACTTCGATCTTTCACCTTTGGCAGAAGGTTTCTAGGTTCAGGGGTATATCGTGGACAAGGACAATGCAACTAATATTTTTTAGTTAAAACTCTCAAAGTCCTCATGTGGATTTGCAGGCGATGTTGGAAAAAATCCTATTCCTGCTACCGGGGTGGCGACGGGGGTCACGTTTCATCGGAGACCGTCGTTCAATCCCGACTAGCTGTGTCAGAAACTACCCCGTCGACGACGCCATTTGCCTGATATGCAATGTATACCACATTGGGCTAGAATAGCAGATCTTTCGAGGCGTAAGAATGGTGACGATAAACGCCTGGAGTATGCAATCGCCCTGAGCCGTCATAGAGTGCCGACATGAACGTCCATTGATATATATCCGCGGTGCTCCGGACGGAATTTTCCGGCCGATAACTAGTCGAAGGAGCTACCTGCTTCGAGGTAAAAGACCGAACCAACCCTAGAGGTGATTGGCTCGCGAAGGGCTCGTGCATATATCGATAGTTGAAAGGTTGTTCCGCCCCGACCTTGCGGATTTATCAAATTTGAGGGTGTATGTAGTATGGTCTCCTTGCAAGGAGCTTCAAACCCCATAAGAGTAGTTTACACTACACATCTGGTAAAATTATTGGCAGAGATTGTATGTCGCAGAGACCGGGGGTAAGAAATATGTGTTGGCTGATTCCCAGTCCTGGAAGCTTCAGTTGTTGCGATCTTCACGGGAATTGTTCCGTCGCATAACTAGATGTTAGTTATTACTTGAGAAAAAGTGAACTGAAACTTCTCCTTTATTGTTACCTTCTTGAACCGACTGGAATACTCGTCGTATCCGCTCTAACTTCTACTCCCCTACCTTCACTTTTGCAATCAAAGCTTCTTTCGTCTCGAGCTCAAGGATGGTCAAAGATTCGAAGTCATCGGTCACTATAAGCCTTTGATCCGCTCCACGGTCCACGAATAACTCCACAAGACCGTGTAGCTCGTCGCTCTTGTGATTATTTCTCCCCAGTTTTAGTGGTTTTTTCCAGGTTATTCCTTGACCATTGCGGCTGGGTGTCAGGGTCAGCGGCATAGCTAAGCAAAACACGGACCATTTGGAACTCCTTGTTTTGGAGCGAGCGGGCTAGCAGGGGTTTCCCGCATTTGCAGTGATTGCAGGCAAGCCCTGGTCATTCGTGCTGATACGTAAGAGTTAGGCTAAATGATGAATTCGAAATCGAGGAAACATCGGAATGCGGTGAGTCTGAATTCCTGTTGCAAATTGTGTGGTGTATATGAAGGGCTTAGACCTGCTAAATGGACGATATTAGTCTAGTGGGGGATAATCTTTGACCCTTGAAGACGATTGTTTTACATGGTGAATATTTCCTCCCTTAAAATGCGGTCACTCGAGGCCACTCTAGTACCGAGTAATACTCCGTAGATGCGTCGTTTAACTCGGTTAGCCAGCCGTCATATCTATCTCTGGGTGTAGTGGCGGTTGACCCCAGTAAGCATCACCCCTCCTGCTCAGCTCGTCAATGGTCTCGAAGGGCAATTTGCGTGCATATTCGACAAAGTTAACGAATGGTTTCCAAAACTCATCGAAACTGCCAGCCCGGTCCTGAACAATGGTCATCTTCACGCGTCTTAAAGACGAAGCGGGAAGATGTACGGAAGCGTCGAACTCTGGTGCGCTACTCCTGTGCATCTGGACCCTGGAAAGCCCTCTTACAGTCCGGTTCAACATTTGTTCTCTCGCGGTAAATTGTGCTTTTGGCGCTTTGGGATGCCGTTTACGGCCTGGCTTAAAATTCATCGCCGCATTATTCCCCCGGAAATGTCAATTTCTCCTCGCGGGACTGCCCTGGTGACGTAGACCTGAATGTCAACGCTTGTCAAGTCTTCCATCCGAAGCCACGGCTTATATTGAAAGGCATCCTCCTCGAATGTTGGCCAACGTTGACTTGAAACGCAGAGCTTGACTCTCTTCGGGGATACCTTGGTTAACTTCAGCATCAGATATACCAGTTCTGAGAGGTTGTCATTGAATTCAGAGAAAGCTAAATAGAGTGATTGATGGATATAAGCATTTTCAACGCAGAGGCCATATCTAGCCAAGCCCGACGGTGCATATCACCATCAAAGATGATATAAATAATTTACCCATCTTGTGGGGACGAGAGGTCGACCAGGTTAGCCTGCCATGCGTTCGTATCGTGAATGAACCCCAGCAAGCGTCGACTCGTGCGCGCGTCGCGGGTATCTTTCTACTGCTCCGTATCGGCTAGTGGGATGAACTAGGTCAGGGCGGTATCACACCTTAGTTACTCCAGAAGAGCAGTGTTGATTGTTGCGGTTTTCTTACTCGTATGTATAAGATCGCGCGCTAAACTGACGATGCACAACGTTGGAAGCTGAAGCGACAGCCTTGAGAGTTTTCATAAGTAGACCGTCAAGCTAATATGAAATATAGGGACGAAGTAATGATGAAGACGTTGAGCTTGATATTCTTGTATCCAAACGTCGTTCGTCGCGGGGCTGTGCTGTGTCGACGCCAGAGCCGCCTGTTTGTTTGCTTTTTCAACGGTGGCTAGAGTTAGTTACCTAGTTCGACCTTGTTATATATTGTTAATCGAGCATTATCAAGGAACTCGAGGAGCTTTACCTTACCCTCTGCACTCTTGCCTCGCTCATAGTGCTATGTATGGAGTATCTAGCGAGGTACAAAAAAAACTGGTTACTAGCGAGAATCCTTAATATCCTGCAGTATTTCACAGTTGCGTGGCTAAGCCTCCAGGACCCCCTCAACAGTTCATCAAATACTGGTGCCGAGCGCAAACATAACTAAATTACTCTCTAATTATTTGGTTTCTAACATAATTTTAACCAGTTTCGCAATATAGTTAATTTTCCGCTAGCCAAGCCCTATACAGAGTAACCAACTGGCTTACTGTTGGCATTTGAACTTCTGCGGCATATTAGCAACGGCCTTTACTGTTCCAAATATGAGCGCGCCTCTAAAAATCTAGGGTGGGAGAGCGGTAATGTCTAGGATCTGAGTGGTGACAGGAAGAAGGTCTGATTCTGGATATTGAGTGCAATACCCAGTGATGTATTTTTGAATTCGCCTTAGTAGAGCAGCTCTAAGCCAGGTGTAATGGATTATTAACGACGGGCAACCTTTCCAGCATTATACATGCTCGTTTAGCACTAGAACGCACCGTAATCTGCGATATATCGCCCATGATAGGGGTTCAATCCAAATGGCTTTGAGAGAAATGCAAGGAGACTCTACCTATACTCTTTAACTGACGAAGCTGTTAACTGACGAAGCTGTTAACTGACGAAGCTGTGAGAGGGAAGGATGTTGAATCCCATACGGGCGAGGGGGGGCTTCAAAATTATTGCGTTGAAGGTGTTGCATATGGAGATAGCCCATATTGCACCTTGTCCGATAAAATATCGGGGTGCGATTGAACAGTTCTGGAAAGCCACCCCTTCATACCCTAGAGCTGGAAGTTTGAGCTCTGAGCCCCAAGGCCGCGGGCGTCTTTATGTTAGATTTCCTCGACATATAGACAAACTGTGGCATAAGCATCCTCATTTGATAGATATTCGCTTGTATCTTTTTCTCTTCTTGTAGTAACTTTGCTTCTGGGAAATTTAGGCTTTAAAGTTAACGACGGGCCGCACTTTCCGAAAGTTAAAACTACTTTCTATCCTTTTTCTATATCGGTCAACAACAATAATATCCGTGCCACTAATTCCTGGATCTTCTCATCGCCACCCGTATCATCAAGATCTCCGTCTCCCGTCTAGCGTGCTCTATGCACACTTCCTCCCAAAGCGATGCCTTTCATTGGATTGCCACCGCCGCCGCCACCTGGAGAGAATAGGATAGCTCCATCTGCTACTTATTTTTATTCCCACAGTGGCTGCAGCACCGCGATTCAGATCGCCCTCTCCCTGCGCGGCGATTCCGACCACTTCCATCCTAGCCTAGAACCGGGACCGTACTTCGGTACTAGCATGCAATCGAACGGTATTTGGACCGGAAGGGAGGCTTCTGCAGTTTGCTGGAACGGCGTGCTCCGCGGCAGGCGAGAGGCGCCAGAGCTGTCTCAGACACAGAAGCACAGTATACCAAGGGGGGATTCATGAAACGAGCTATTGCCGCTATGTGTAGTCCGTATGTTCTCTACCAAGGATGCGAAAGTGACGTGCTCTGTACGGAGTGCATCTGAAGCTTCGTTCATCACCAGTGATCCGACATGATAACATGGCCGTTATCATCCTACCTCTCGCACAGAAAACCCTATTCCGTCCCGTGGTCCTGATTCATATCACCCTCCTCCTTTATGACGACGCTCAGAGTCAACTTTAGCTCTACAAAGCTACACGTCACCATTCAAATAACCTGAAACGAATGGGCCAGCGCTTGACGGATCTCGACCGCCTTCGCAGAGTCGGCCGGGAGCTGTTTCAGCACCTCCGAAAGTGCAATCGGGCTCATCCGTCCGTGCTGTGATGAATACAGGTGTTTCTGCAGTTGATTGTCAGCCACCGCATACTCATCACAAAAGGACAAAAATGTTGCAGCATTTGAGAATAACGCCCCGAAAATATGGATATGATCAGGATCAGTACACTTTTCCACATCTGACGAGTTATAACAAACATTCTGGGTACACAACTTGCAGTAAAAGGTAAGAATACGAGCAAGGTTTTGTTGCAAAGTAGCTCCGCCTGCTACCCACGCCGCCGCTCTCATGATAGCTAGGCTTCCTGCACTTCTAACACAGTAAAGGAGCATACGGTCAACATGGGACGGTAAGCCAAGGTTGCGGCTTCCTAGAACATCATAGCCTGGGTTACCTTCTGGCACATTAGGGGTAAATTCCGGTCGAAATTTGCATCCCCTTTCATGTATCTGAAGGTGAAAGGCTAACAGCGCTCATGGGCCATGATACGGCATACCTCCAGTTCTGAGGCAAACCCTGAAAGATAGCTTGGATGACCTGGGTACTCCAACCATCTGCCCACCATCGTATGGGAGCTCTGTGTAGTAGTACGGAGTAATGAGCAAGAATAACCATTGCCAATGGTTCCCGGGCCTTGAAACACGGGAAGAGAGTGTCAGGAAATATCATGGGAAATCGGAGTGCCATACCCCAATCCTTTCGTTTTGTTTCCATCATAACAAAAGAGTCCCATAGCTGGCTTATTGCAAGACGATACGTGCCTTTGAGGTCATAACCCTCACCGTTACCTTGAATCTGCCGTGGGGGTACCCACTCATTGCATAGTTCGTCTACCAATTCAAGTGCAGTGACTGTATCTGTTGATAGATATTGCCTATCGGTAATCTGTGGGCCTCGCTGGAGAAGTATCCCCATGTTCCCTCTTTGGAGCGAATCCCATTTCACTTTCAACAACGTCATGCCTTTCCTGGTTAAGGCGAATAAGTCAAGCAAGTCCCCTATGGGGTCTGGCATTGCACTCTCATTTCCAGACAACTGAGACGAACCAAATGCAAAGAAAACCGTTAAGTGTGAGAAGGCAAAGATTGCGCTAGAATTCGACATAATCTCTTCAGGAGGAAGGGACGCGAATTCCATAATAGCTGCTTGATAATGTTTCTGAGCTAGCTCCTTGTGAGAGAGTTCCTGGGGGGCGATACCCAAGTGCTTTGTTGCTTTGAAGCGAAGATGGTGAATATGCAGGGCTGATATTGCTAGGATCCCATGTTTTAAGAAATTAACGGATTGCATTTCTCGCGGCACAGTTACTTGCCATATTGGCCTATACGCTTCATAATCCGCTAATGATGCAAATGCGGTCGTTGCATAGTGATGCATAAGCTCATGCTCTCCGGGAGCCACGTTTGGCGTACTGTTCAACGGCCCGGGCACGGTGGTGAAGGAAGATGCGGCTTCAATTGCTGGAAATAAGAAGCAACTGCCAGAGGGAATAGAAGACGTTGAGTATTCTTGCTGATAACCCTCAGCCAGAGGTTCGTTGGTGGCAGGGTTGTTGGACCGGTGAATTGGAAATGGCTTTGTAGCAGGAAGTGGTTTCAAAGGCCTTTCTCCAGATTTCTGAACCTCCGACCTTGCGGGATCAGAGGAGCTAACAGCATACGTTCTAAAACTGCAAGCTGTTTGCCTGTACCTGCAGTTATTGCAGCATGGAGCTTGTTCGTCGCACTATTCAAGATAAGGTTGAGCAGATGTGCCAGCCAGTCTGAAAATATATGTATAGGGCCCTACCTTCACCTTTCTTTTCTTACACTGCAAGCAAGCATTGCGAGATCTCCGGCGTTGGCCTGGTGCTGAGTTGTGGCTGTTAACTGCTTTCCCTGTCATGGGGGTATCGGATGCGCGACAAGTCCCAAACGAGATGTGTATTAAAAGCCAGGTACGTAGTTATTAGACCTCGAGTCAATGTAGCCGATAAATGTTTTGAGGAGCTATAATAAATTCCTTGCTGCCGTTCTTGAATCAAATGCACTCCCTTGACGTTGCTTTATCATCTGCGAAGAACTTAGGCTGCCACATAAAATCGAAATATAAAGATTTAAATACGAACCTATTACGAAGCTTCTTTAACCACTTATTTTGGGGGCTTGGGGGCTTACATAGTCTGTTAACGAAGAACACCATACGAGCACAGTAATATCCTCCTCTAGTGTTAAGGGATATGTAGGAAATAATCTATGGGTAGAGTACATAATTTATATTATAGAAAGTATTGCATCTTTGACTCTATCGTGATCATTATTAACATCCATCATATAGCTACATACGCTCAAATCAAACATCAGCATAAAATATGTTCAAAATAAAAACAGATACAGGGCAGAGAAAGCGCACTAGATAGCGATTCTTGCTGCTGGCGGGGGTATAGGGGCGGTAACTCCATTTTCCATCTTATCTTTTATAATCTTTCCATCCTTCCCATCTTGGCCCAAAGGAAGCAGTGTAGTCGTTACATTGCCTTGAGTCTTTTTCACACTGGCGAAATTTTCGGGAGTGTTTGCCTCGACGTCCTCCTGCACTTCTTCGTACATTAGTTGAATCGTCCGAATTTCTTGAAGCACATCCAGTTCGCAGTCTTCCATGCAGAAATCACGTTCCCGCTGTTCGATCTGTTGCCTAATTTTACCATACTGGGACTGGTGGTAGCGCTTTCGGTTTGGTAAACCAGATCCTTTCAGATAAGTTAGGTATCCGGCGATGGCAGTGTTAACCGCCCCAAAAATTGTAATCAGGACTCGGGGTCCGTTTCCAGCCCCAAGGGCTGTAAGTGCCGCTGCCACGATAATCTGTACTCCCAAACAGCAGCTTATTAGGAGCGTAAAAAAGCGGTATTCTCTTTTGTAGCGAGCCTCAGCATTGACGACGCGGGTATATATCCCAACATTAGAAGCTGGACGGCGGAATAGACTGGCTGTTGCGAGTCCGGCAGGTGTGTCGATACCCGTGAGGACTCTAAATGTCCTGAGTTTGGAATGTGCTGATAGAAGATGTGGCTGGCTTAATGAAGTCTCGGTTCTCCGTGTCCCGTTGGTTTGACCATTAGTTTGGGTATTGGCCAGTCCATTAGGCAGCCCGTCCCCATTAACCGGCACATCAGCAAGTCCATTGGCGAGTCCAATAGCAAGTCCATTCGCAAGGCCATTAGCCCGCGGCATCGTCTCTGACTCTATGGCGTAGCCTTTCTCCTCTCTATCGAATGCATCGATGATACGTCTTACCGTACCACGGTTTTCTCCGTTTGTCGTGTTTGTAGCTGCCATGGGGCGCTGGAAAATAAGAAGAACAAGTACTCCGTAACAGCGGTCCACCAGCTCAGGAGAAGGCAAGGCTGGGAATGTTTTGGAAATTAATTGGACAATAAGAGAGGATGGATGAGAGTTAGCCTGCGTCCCCAAGTCTTATTTAAGGGGAGAATGGAGATAGTAACACATCAACGAGGCACAGCCGACTTGACTTATGCAAAAGTCATCGATGATGCGCCCATTCTCGTCCATTCATAACAGAAGGATGGGCGGATAGGTCCAATCCAACCACTGGGGGCGGTGACTTCTGCAATGTCCAATAATCGCCCTTGTCTATAGAGCCTCCCGTGTATTCTGTCCGTTGGCTAGCCTTATTCAAACTAGAGCATGGGTTTGGTCTCAGCTCAGAAAAGTTCCTTTGTCGATCGTCAAGGGCGTCTATGGCTTGGATTGGACAATAGGATGCGGCTATTCAGCTTATGCTCCATAAATATGCATGCATACGAATGGAATTAAAGGATCATCCTGTACTCCGTATTTCAGATGTAAGATGTTCACATCAGCGACAACACTGAATGAGGCAATCGAGATAGATAGGCTGTTATCTTAGCCAGTTCATGTCGCAACACAGGCAGTGGCTGGTGTGCTGAGGGCGAAGAAGGTGAGAGTGTTAGAACAGTTATATTCGACCAACATGTTAGTGTCAACACGTCCGCCCCCTCACGTGTTTTTTGATCCCTGTTTCCAAGTTGGAACAAGGATGAACAGGGCGATGAACTGAGGAATGGACTGCATTTGCGTTAGGCGTTGCCAGGCTGAGCGGCAGCTATTTCTGGCTGTCGTTGGACGCGGTTCGGACACTCTAGGAAGAGATTATGAGTGGAGCAAATAAGATATCGAAAATATGTACTATTATCAAGACCGAACTGGATGTGGAAAAGACCAGAGAGATGTCTAACTAAATACAGCAAAATAGATAACCTCCAGCCCAACAAGGGATACATGCGCGTATAAACATAGATATTGCGTTTAAGAAAGGGATTAGGTCAGCAGGGACGTTGATCGTAAATCAAAATAGTAGACAGACGGGGGATGAGGCTCCAGATGAGAAGAGGGTAAGGAGATAACGGAACTCGTGGGGTATACATGCAACAGTGGATAAAAATGAGATGGAAAAGTGGAATGCAAGGAATACAAAAATATATATGAAAACCTGAGGGGAAGGGAGAAAAAGAAAAATCAATCGTGGAGGTCGGTCTAGCGTCGCTAATGTTCTTTCTTGTCTTTTTCCGCTGGTTTATCGCTTATCTTTTCTTTGCTGTCGGTGATGTCACCGCTTGTATCTGACCCTTCGCGTTGGGTTTCATCTCCGGTGTCTTCAGAGTCGACGATTTCACCCCAGCCGGACCCACGGCGGCTAACTCGTCCAGTCGCGCCAGGGATGATCCCACCTACCTGCATCCCAATGCTCCCAGTAACGCTGTCGTTCCGTCCGTGATGTGAGTGCATGCCACTTCTCACGCTTCCCCGGTCGGGGGCAATTATACCTGACATAGAATGAACACTGGCCCGCTCATTGTTGGAGGCTCCGCCGCGACCTATGGCGCCTACCACATTATGTGCAGAGGAGCTACTTTGGTCTGCTCCAGCTCCGCCACCCATATGTCCACTCAAGACGCTGAGTGGTAGACTCTCACGACTGCCGCTGAACAGAGACGAGGGGGCAAGGGCAAGCACTGATGCATTCGTATCAAGCGAATTACGCCGCCGACGTTTGGATGACGAGGCCAGTGTGAGCACGGATGCATTGTCGGTCAATAAGTTGTTTGCGGTGGCAGTCGAATAAGTGGTAGGATTTAGGTTGGCGTTAAGGTGTGGTGGAACCGCCGTGATTGGCGATGTAGGAAATTGGTGCGTAAACTGGACACCAGGCTGTTGGCTGGTGGCATTGTGAGATCCTGTGCTATTTTCGCCACCTATCCCAGCCGAGTAGTGGTTCGCATTTTGTGCAGCATTGAGCTGGGTTGACGGAGCAGCGGATTGAATGGTCGTGAGAGTCGTCGTCAGAGAGCGAACTGAAGGCGCCGGTGATGAGAAGGTGCTGCCCTCTCCGCCGCCAGTGGAATTGAATCCGTTACCCCCAGTAGCACACGTACCGGCTTTAGAGTAGCCCGTATCCGAGATCGTGGTGTCGCCGGTCGTGGAGAGTGTAGGTGCAGCGGATATGTCCCCAGTTGCGGGAGCTTGGTGGTCATCGTAGTGAGACAACTGACTGGGCCGTATACTATTCGCGGGTTCAGAGAAGGAGAGATGGCCATTCGTATGTTCCTCAGATCGTCTATCGGCAACGCCCGAGAGATAAGGGTTGTTATTCTTCTTGTTCTTGGTAAGAGTGCTTGAGCCGTTTCGCTTGCCAGACGCATTATTCGGATTGCTGTCAGATGAGGAGCTCTTCAGGTTTGTGAGGCGCTTCATCCAGTGGGAAAACGGTCGTCGTCTCGCATGGCGATCTGTGGCTGCCTGTTAGCCTTCCCGAAAATGAGAATCTCTGGTTTCGGTTTCAATTCCAGGAAGACCTACCAGCTGGTGCTTCTGCAGCTGCCATACTTGAGAATCTGTCAGTAGCAGCCGGCTTTGATAGCAGGATCTTAAAGACGAAATGGTGTCGATTCGAGCGTTGCCTTCGAGATAAGACCAGCTATCGAATTGCGACTCCGCGGGCCGCTGTGCCACCTCCAAGGCTGCTTTCTTGCTTGCCCAAGGGTTCAGCTTCAGGTACTCCAGGCGGGCCAGATCTTCCTATACGATGCCAGGTCCGGAGCGTCCTCGTTTCTTCGTCTGCTCTCTCGAAAATGGTTGTCAAGGGCCAAACTGCTATCGTTGACGTCGAGCTGCGCCTGCCGATAAGCTTTGGGGGCGTCCTGGTCGTCCTTAATAAGCACTCACGTGATATGACGCTTCTGTCAAAAAAAAAAAAAAGGGTGACAGAACAACCACAACTGAAGTCCTGGCGCTTTCACGAACGGACCAGAGGCTTTATAGGAGTGCTCTGGGGGCCCGGTATGCATGGAAGCAACATGATACACCTATGAATCGTCTATCCCCCATACACTTGGCGGTTTCATTGTCCAACTGGTTACACTTTTCGCCGCTTGTCTCGAACCTAGATTATTAATATGCGAGAGAGAGAGAGCTCTTTATATGGCCTGTCTAGGATAGAAGAGAAGAAGAGGCATCTATAAAGAGATCCGTTCGAGTCTCCTCTCTTTGGGGGAGAGAGAATACTCACATTTGTATTTCCGTTATCACACCAGAGCGTACTTTCCTATAGACCACCAAGGCGAGAACTACCCAGCCATTATTGATACCCGAGACTTTTGTTTGCCGTCTCCCAAAAAGCGGCTGACCATGGACAGTTTTGGTATTCTTTTGGATCAAAATATATCTCGTGGGTTCCAGCTGAATCTACGCCCCTGAGCTATCATCATGGACGCGGGCGTTCCTGTCATTCGTGTATTGCCCCCGGAGGTTGCGGGGCAGATCAGATCTTCCTCTGTTGTGACAAATTTGAACGGAGTGATCCTTGAACTCCTTAAGAACTCCCTTGATGCCAATGCATTCACAGTGACAATAAACGTCGATTTTCAAAAGGGAACCTGCTCAGTGGAAGATGACGGACAAGGGATACCACCAACTGAGTTCAGTGAAAATGGTGGTCTCGGGAAGTTGCACTGTATGTACAAAAGACAAAGCATTTCTCCGGGAGCCTACTGACGTTTCCTCTATTAGACACGTCAAAGTTCTACGTTCCAAACGAAGTCTATGGCCGCAAAGGCATATTTCTTTCGTCTTTGATATCCATGGCCTTGGTGACTATTACTTCCCGTAATGGATCATTCCAGTCGACAAATTCTATCATATTCCGCCATTCAAAACCTATCTCAAGGCTTTGCCCAGCGCCAATTTACCATGGGCTCTTGCATCCTCAGCATGGCACGAGAGTTACAGTTAATGATCTTTTCAGTAATCTCCCGGTCCGGGCCAAGCGCCGGGCACAGGAGCTTCGAAGAAATGAAGACGTCGACCGAGAGTGGAATGACTTGAAAAGGGCGTTGACTGGTCTTTTGCTTGCATTCCAAACTCCGGTTAAGCTATCCGTAGTCGATGCGTCTAAATCCCGAAAGCTCGTTTTTCGGGGCCAGCCTCAGGCCCCTCTCAGCCGCCAACAGATACTAAAGGACGAAGGCCAGCGGTTATTTGACCTGGAGCGTGTTCGATCAATCCTTGGGCAGGCGGGATATATCGCTCCATGCGACTTCCCGTTATGGGTTGCTACATCAGCTAGAAGTTCTGATATCCTAGTAGAAGCAGCTATATCTCTACAACCAAGCCCGACAAAGCAAGTGCAATTTATCTCATCAGGAATCAACCCTGTCTACTCACGTGGGGACGCCAATCTTTTATTTAGTGAAATAAACCAGCTATTCGCCTTATCCAACTTTGGGGTTGAAGATTCTTTCAAAGGAGTTAGCGGTGACATCGAAGGGAAACCCATAGGGGACATGAAAGCTTCATCTGATTCTCCGGACAGAAAGCCCAGGCCCAGATCCAAGGGTGTTAATAAATGGCCCATGTTCTATCTACGAATTACAACAGATCGGGCAAACCCGGCCTACAATCTAGACTCTGAATTCTCCAACCCTAGAGTATCCATCCAGAAGGTTCTCAGAGTTATCAGTGCAATGATTCGCCAGTTCTTAGATCAATACCATTTCTCCCCTCGACGAACGCAACGCCCTAAAAGGAATAGACAAGAATCTTCGCTTACGTCTGAAAATGAGCAACAGGAACGATGTCAGACTAAACGCTTACATCAGGAGGACCGTTGCGTCAGAACAGGCACTTCTAGCCCACCGATAATATCAAAGAGCGCAGCTGCCACGATCAGCCCACTGGTTTCAAAGACACTACCATTTAGAAATTTCGGTGTTTGGTCAAGGGTGAAGAGCGGAAGTGGTAGAGCCTATCATGATATCTGTGCAGGTTTACCAAGAGGGAAATCTCAACCCACCTGTCAGACAGATAGCATGTTAGGTGGTGCGCAGCCTTCACGGCCCTCATCCGCTGCCGCCAACCCAATGAATATAGGGCCGGGTGGTTTCCAAACCCCATTCGATATCCCAAATACGCCTAAGGTGATAGGAGTTAACTCTGGGCATGAACACGATATATTCGACGAAACACAAGATCCGACAGATGAAATAGTGCCTTGGACCGACCCTCTCACAAAAAGGGTTATATATATAAACAAACGCACTGGTCAAACTGTCACGGCGAAGAACTCGAAGTACATCAAACGGATTTCTCGTTCCGCCTCAACGCCTCAAACCATTAAAGATATCCAGTCGTTAAACTGCGAAGGCAAAGGTCAAATACAAACGGAAAATTCTGAGTGGCTTGACTCGTTCCTCGAAACATGGAAGAATCCTACCTTCCCTTCGCCCGAACTTCCCATTCCATCCACAGTATCTAGGGCAGGTAGTGCGGAAACATGGCGTGCCGGTGCTATTGTTGATACGCATTGTCTCAGTTGCGAGGGCCTCCAAAATGGCGCTTTAACCGGGTTGATAGGCGGATTCGACGGCAGGCTTAGCAAAGATGCCCTCTCAAAAGCGAAGGTTATTGCCCAAGTCGATAATAAGTTCATACTACTCAGTACGTTTCTTAAGCGCGACGAGCAACAGGACGAGGAGGTATTGGTGCTGGTAGACCAGCATGCTGCAGATGAGAGATGCCGTGTCGAGGAATTATTTGCCGGATTATGCGGCTTATCGGCCTCACATGTTGTCGATACTACCACGTTTGCAAAGCCCATGACCTTCAGACTCTCGACGCAGGAGGCAAAACTATTCGAGACTCGTTCGGGTTATTTTGCGTCTTGGGGATGCCGCTATGAAGTCCTGAGGGAGGCAGAGGGGCGTTACCACCTTGTGATAAATAGCCTGCCAACTCTTATCGCAGAGCGATGCAGGATGGAGCCTAAACTTGCCATTGATATGCTGCGCTCAGAAATCTGGGAACAAACAGACATAGCAAAAGGTCCAGCGAAACTAGTCTTGGATGATACAAAAGATACGGACCAGAGGCCTTCTGAAAAGGGGTCTTCTGCAAAGGCCTGGGGGGAGGCAAAGTCCCGTCACTATTGGTTGGAGCGTGTCGGGAGCTGCCCGAGGAAGATGGCCGACCTTATAGTCTCACGCTCATGTAGGTCAGCGATCATGTTCAATGACACGCTGTCTATCATGGAGTGTGAAAGCTTAGTCGCTAAGCTTGCAAATTGTGCATTCCCATTTCAGTGTGCCCATGGGAGGCCGTCGATGATACCAATCATAAATTTAGGAACCAGGATTTCATTTGACTCGACATGCAATCCTTCTCAATTGAGCTCATCTTTTGATGATGCGCGCGGAACAAACCCGCCTGATGGCCGGCAAGCAGAGCCCTGCTCGGATTTTGTCACTGCCTTCAACAAGTGGCAGAATGGCCCTCCATAATTCAAGGCGGTTGGTATACGGAGTATATCTTTTTTGGTCAGAGAAATTGGGCCCAGTACGGAGTATACTCCGTACAAAGAACCCCTGGAATAAATTTTGTATAGATATGGTTTGGTAATATTGTATACTGCAGTCTGCTTTTGGGTTCTTGACCGGCATATTTTTGGTATTTTAGGCTGGGGAGCCGGAGGCTTATTATTTTTGGAGCAACAAGAGATCCCCTATCCCAAACTTGAGTCCTGCATGTTCGCCGACATTTGTTTAGCGGCTACTGGACAATGCACTGCATTGAGCCGCATTCGACTCCCGTCGTGTCCAACACGGCAGAGGTTCGGGGACGGCAGATTTTCACAGAAAAATGAGCCAACCGGGGAGCTATTAATACGGTAGAAGAAAAAGCAACCACGGGGATATAAGGCGATTGCTGCACACATCCCTGGGTCATCACAAATCGCTTCACACCCTTACCGCCTGAATGCAAACGGATGACAGCTGCATCAATGATTGGTCATGTGACGACCCGCGTATTCCGCTGAAAGCGCGACAGGGTCAAGGGGCGGCCATGCAATGCAGAGTGGCCTGGTCGTACATGTCGACAGGGGCGTCGCTTGCCCTGCGTCTTGCAGCAGTGGCAGCTGCAGCCGGCGGGATTAGCGCGACTTGACCGACTGGAATGACGACACAGCATTATCCCTAAAGCCCTAATCGTCGTGTTTCTATATGCCGCATGCATGCCGGAAAGAGCCCTACAAAGCAGCTGTATCCTTACTCCGTAGACCAGTGACAATTATTTGCAAACGCTTGAGCTAATTAATTACGTACGACTATGGAGTATCTCTTTGAAAATACTTTTTTTCAAGTTCTCTGAATTAAGCAGCTCTATTCATATATACACTCTCGGCTATGGCGATAAGCAAGCAAAAGGAACGAGAAACTGATATCCGTACAATGAATGTAACAGGGCGGACGAGAGAATATTAAAGAAAACTGGTCGGATGCACATGAAAAATTAACTCATAATTACTTTCGCCTTTGCCTAATATTTTCCAGCTCCACCCTGACCACAAAGAAGTAGGAAAAAAAGGTATACATGATCTCGTCCCGTCCACCCTGCCATTTTGAAACCGCACTCGCGTGCTTCCACATGTAGATAGACGCGCCATGATGTTTCCTTTTAAATAAGAAGATTATCAAGGCATAAACAAACGTGTAGTAAAAAAAAACAAGCAATAAAACAAGTTCCCCACCCAATGAGGTATACCCACCACCCTCAGATCTAACATATGTAACAGTCGAGTCAAGTAAATTGTTTTAATAGACAATTGAATCTGCAAAGAAAACATAAACGTATTGACAAACAGGTTGGTATTGGATATCTGATAAAAAAAAAGGAAAACCTCCAGCAAGTGAAAGAGTATATGTCCGTAAGAGGGGGAATAAGTTCGTTTGTACGGTGGAATAGAAAGAATACAGACAGCGGGAAAAAGTAGAGCGAAAGGAGGATAGGTCTGGCCGTAAAAGTCGTAAAATCGTTATGCATTAGTTTTTAGCTTCGATGCTAAAGAGAGTTGTAGAGGGTTGTTATGTGTTGTAGGATGATGGGTATGTGCTGGTGATACTGAATAAGGGATATCACGCAGCAGGAGCTTTGAGTTTGGAACTGTGAGTCCATGCTAAAAAGTCGAACTTGTCCTTAGTATTCTCTTTGGCGAATACTGAAGGGCTGGGTTCCGTTGGAGATCCACGAGGGGTAGTTGCGCGCTCGCGAGGTTCCAGAACAAGAGATCGTCGATAGTACTTTTGGAAGCTCTTATCACCAGCAGATCGGACACGAACAAGCTGGTCTTGTATCCAAGTCTGGAGCTCTGGAACTTCACTGAGTCGATAAGGAATTTGGAAGCGTTGGAGTTCGCTGATGATTTTGGCGGTCTTCATGTGCTTGTCAAAGTTAATGACCTCGATGGAGTTTCCATCAGCCGCGAGAGTGCGGGTGTTTTGGTTGCCGTGGTCGACGAAAGTGAGATCAGTTAGGTAGGTTCCGACAAAGGGTAAGCATGGAGGCACATGATTTTGTAGTCGTTGTCTAAGGACAGCGTAGTTGCGGGATACATCGACGATTTCTCGGAGGCTCTCTAGTGAGTTCTTGGTTTTAATGGGGACCAATTCCCATGTGCGCTTTAGGCGAGAGATGGTGGATGAGTTGAGTGAACAGATGATAGCCATGAGGGTATCGTAGTTGTTTAGTTCAAGGCATTTCGTGGCTATCTTGACCCATCGCTTGACGACCACGGCACGCTTCTTCGGCTCCTCCAACTGCAAGATAGAGTCAGCAACAAGGTTGGCAATGTCCGTTGATAGAGTGGACATTGCGCGAACGTTGACGGCCAAAGAGCCAGTTTTCTTCATCCATTCTGTCGACAGAAGTTCTTCGGGGAGAATCGAGCAGAAAATCTGGGATTCCTTAATCGTAATTTGGCGAGCAAGCTCAAGGGGGTCGAAGTCGAGGATACTGATACTTGCGCCACCGCTCTTCCACTGCTTCAAAAGATTTAGTTGACTCTTGGTCATGTTTGAGGGTGGTAGCGGCTGGTCGGGGCTGATGTATTGGGCGATCGATGTATTCGTCTTTCCAACCGAAGATATCAATCGTGGAACAACTGGTCCATGGAGGGATGATACTTTTTCGACTAAGTCGACAAGTCGCTTGCCAGCAGTGGGTAGTGTGATCAAAAGTTTAGTCCTGGCAAATTTGAGGATCGATGGTAGTGCGCAGTCATCAACGTCGTGTCTCCAATGGGCCTCGAGCCAACCCTTAAACACATTGTACACGCGTAAACGTACAGGTCCACCGGCTTTGGGGGTCTCGCCAATATAATCATAACGGTCGATCAAAGTCTCAGCAAATTCGACTGGAGAGGTGAAATGTCGGAATGTAAGGTAGAAAGTTGAAACAAATAGTGCGTCAGGTGTTGATGCGTGGCAAGTTAACTTCTCAATCAAGGCGCGGAGGCTTCCACCGGTCACTTGGCCATCTTTGAACATAAGCTCGTGTGCGTAGGTTTTTTCTAATAGGGTATCCTCCTGTTCATCGCCATCTGATGTGGTTGATCCCTCATCGGCTTGCGAACCGTCTTTTGAAGGGGATTGGGGAGTAGTACTTTCAGGCGAGGTAGGACGCGTAGGTGTTTCGATAAATTGTGTTCCTTCAGTTTCAGTTGGTTCAATTGAGAGATCCATGTCGCTATCTGGAGGAAGGGGAATGTAGATAGCTGCGTCCTGTTGCCAAGGCGCATCCCCAGTGGTTTTAGTTGGCGAGTATGCGTTGAATGGCTTGGTGAGATCGTGGTCGGAGTTTGCGGCGAAGGGGTCGGTGAGGTCGGTGAATGAGGAAAATGTGGAGGTAAAAGATTCACAGAATGGCGAGGTAGGAGTACGGAGGGTTGAAGCGTCGGTGAATGAGGACGGAGTCAAGGATATTGTTGACATGGATCCATCAGGGATCTGAAGGGGTAGTGGCCGCATTGGCATTTCATCAGACTTCGTTGCTGGCGTTGGCGAGTCGATCTTGTCTGATAGTGGCTCTTCGCGATGGGTTGGTGTAGCGATGTCCTCAGCACCAGGGACTGAAATACCCAGTCCGACGTTCTCCAGTTCGAAATCCCCAATCTGCTCCAAGACTGTCCTGGCCCTAGAAACACAGTCCCCAGCACCGCGTACACAGTCAGTAGCAGCATCGACTAGCCGTTTGCCATCACCCGGAACGAAAATCGTTTCATCGTCAGGGTTGTTAGGCGCACGAAATGCGTCGCGGGCGGCGTGGACAAGTTCGGTGATCCGCTCGTACATGGCATCCTTTGACCGTTCCAGCAAGTAAGACCGATGTAGGTCGCGTTCCCATACTTCCTCAACGACAGATAATAGCGTCTTGCATGACTGAACAGCTTCCTGAGTCGTAATTATCAGTTCAGTAGATGATGGTGATTGTAAATGTAGACCGATGAAGGATCCAAGGACTCCTAGAAAACCGTCGTGAGCAGCAGTTAATCGCCCAGATGCAAGGTTGGGGTTTTTGGTAGCAACGGATGAGTGACCGTTGTAAGATATTCTGTGTGATAATGAGGCCCGTTTGACCTGTACTGATGCAGGGCGCTGTGGTGTTTCGCGGCCAGATCTCTGACTGATTGTGGTTGAGTTAAGCAAGCTGCGGCCGCTGGCTCCCTCTCCAAAGCTCCCCCTCCAGCTACTCGAAGAGTTTGGAGTACCGATGGAGCTCGTCGTGAATTGTGAGGCGAAATTGAACGAACTCTCAACAGGTGGAGTGAGAGGTCCCTTGAACATTCCATCCAAGGCATGTGGTGAGTTTAGGTTGCTATCCAAGTGATCCAACGCCCTAACCAGCCCGACTTCTTCGCTCCAGACGTCTAAAAATCGAACTCCTCGCGTGACGATGCGGAAGGCCTTGAGCAGCATCAGGTCGAATATGTTATCCAGACAAGTTTCGAATTGTCGCCCATTTGCAATGTCCTGCAATTGCTTCGCCAGCTTCACGAGTGATGATAGATCGGAGAGGAGAGCTTTCCTGTTTCGTCGTAATCCGTCGACCCTTTTAACCAGCCTGCAGTCTCTCGTCAAGCACTCGGATTTTTCCTGCCAACCAGTAAGTAAATGGATGCCAGCCTAGACGTAACAAAAGAAAACAGTTATACCACCTACCAGTAGGAATCGTACTCCAGCAATCATTCCCCTCATGTAATCCTGGTTCGTGAATTGATGGAGCGTAGACCCGTTGCCTCCCCTGATGACATCCCAGAAGTCCATCAGAGCCTTTAGCAGCGGGTGCATTTGTTGGGGGTCATATGCCTCGCAGTAGTTGGTAGGCAGCCAGCCCCTGGCTCCGGTCTCGAGGAGAGTACCATCAGCCCAGCCGTTGGTATGTACAGAGTGGACGAGGATAACATCTCCCTGGTCCAAAGGCAAAGTGACGGTAGAAGACGAGATCGGTCCATCCGGGTGAAATGGGTAGAATGCCCTGAGATAGTTATGGAACAAGGACCGTTCCTGGTCGCTTCGATCGACCATTTCTTCGCGCGAGCTATGCGGTGTCAACGGCGGTGTCATTCGCAGCTGGGCTTTCAAAGCCGTTATCAGTCGATGGTTCGTGGCCACGGCCTGTGATCCAGCATCGTCCTGAGGGATGTTTAGGGGCGCAACATATTGGGCGTTAGACTCCATGATCCACAGAGAGTCGAGTTGCAACTGAGGTTCGGATCCCAATAGCGTGGTCGAGGCAGCTCCTCCTAGTTGCGATCAACGGCTCCCTCTTGCTTGGTAGTCTGCCGCCCTCAACATAGATCCTTCTCTTCTCCTTGGTATGATCTTTTGTGTATTCTCTAGGCGGAGGCAACAAAAATATGAGCGTCAACAAAAACTTGTTCAACAAGTGGCGAACATTGGAAGGTTGACATGTGACCTCACAAACTGCCAAAAGGGGGAGTATGTATACTACTCACCAACAAGACGACACCTGAAGACTCGACCACAACGGCTCTCGAATATGATGCCACAGTCACTGTTGCGAACTGTTACTGATGGTCTAGGTTAATGGTTCCTGAGCGGCTGAGATGTTCCTGCAGGGCAAAGTGGTTCTCCAGGAGAAGCCCGGGCAAGATCAGAAACACACGTGTGGAAACGGCCAGTTCGTCCAGGAATCCAGCAAGGCAGCGATTGAATTGTCCTCGGGGGTCGTCCCAGATCTGGTTAACAGCAGCCAGAGAGGACGCGTTGATCTTAAGAAAAACAGGGACGAGAATATCGTCACGCTCTCTCCACCGGCCCAGAACTGCGGGAGGCAGATATGGAGATGTCTCAGGAAAGCGTGAGAGAGATCAAAGAGGGTCTTCCAAGCACGGAGGGGGGGAAGTATCAGCAAAAGCTTCAGTTGAACTTAGGGAATGTTGAGGATGATATCAATCATAGCCGGAGGTGAAGAGAGACGGAGTGTTCTAAGGGGAAGGAGGGAGAGAGAGAAAACTTCCAAAATCCCAGAACACTGGATGCATATGGAGACGCACACCTTCGCGGTCTTACTCCAGAGTCAGGTCCTACAAGCTGCCTGTCTCTGCAATTTTGCCCTCCATCCATGCACGCCGATGGAAGCTCGATGGGGCCCGCTAATTAGCTGTGAGCAACGGGGGGCCCGGGACGTCTTACTCCACTAGGTTAGTATAGACAGCCCGCCCTGGACCTTGTGCGGATTGCTGTAATTTGAAGTTCATAGTAATTAATACGAGAAATATTATATGTGCTAATGCTAAGGGTGACAAAAAAACAAAAACGCAAAAAACGAGAAAACAACAACAATCGTCGAATCTTTTTTAGCTTCGAGTGGAGGGCGCTAAAAGCAAAAGGAAAAAAGGGTTCTAACGTTTGTGATGGCCGGCACTTTTGACAGCTCTCGAACATCCTCTAGGAAAGCAGCCTACACATCCCGGTGGATATCGTGGCCATCATCGTCCAATCCTTTTCGCCACATTCTACGCACAACCATGTCTCCCAGCACCGGGCGGATCAAATCGCTGCCTTGGCTGCCTTTCCCTCCTCCCAGACGCTGACCGTTCTTCCTGTCCGTTCCTTTTATACGGCGTAAACAAACCGCGTCTTCCATGTTTTTGCAAGCATTGTGTGGGCACGCGCCCTTTAGCGCACTGAGAGAGAAACAGCTGCTGCTAACATATCCACCTCGCGGCACCCCGGAGTCCTTTCTCTGCACGTGCGGCAGCGCCCGAAAGGAGAAGTCGGGAAACACGGTAAACGTCGACCTTGGTGCCCAGCCGACTTTCAAATTGCCGTGACTCTCTGGCAGTTGCCCACGAGACGGGGGGACTCCAGCAGGAAGGGTAGCATTATAAGGTGCTTCTTACTATCGCCATCTGCGGTCTAAGAAAAAAGGCTAGGCCACATGCAAATCTGACTATAAGCAAATGATGAACGACGGAAACCCTCACGGTCAACTAATGGGGAACGGCGGCATGGACTATATGTATACTTACGGCTGTGTGCTCCGTATGGGAATGTACGGCCAGCATAGTGTGTATGATAGGCGGTCGAGATGTCTCCAGAACGTATCATGTCTTCCCGGTGGCCCTGGCCAAGACGCCAACTGTAGAACTAAAACTAACGGCACACCGATTATAGTTGGCTCCTATTGGGGATGACCAGGGGATTGGGTTAGCCTCCCCTTGCCTCGTCCACCGGTTCTTGCCAGGGGGTTCCCTGTCAGCCTGTGTGGGTCGAGTCCACTTTCCGACTACCTTCCGGCTCAATCGCCTGAACAGGCTTATATGTCTCGGTAGGACGCAGACATCCAGTATATTACTTAATGGTATTCCGCTATATTCTGATCGCCTTCTTTGAACAGCAGTCTCCTTCTCGAAGAATGATACTCTGTATTTTGTTACGCAAAACCTACTTTTGTCTGCAGAAATGATAACATGGCTAATTAGTCAATTGCTAAGCGAAGAACCATGGAAATACTTTCCTACGTTCTGTCAAGATGGCTCTTGTGGACGGGGCGGGAAGCACTTGGCGTGAACTAGGTTCTGTGGTGGAGATCTCCATTGCATGATGAAATCACATTTCGGTTCAATTTTCCCAACTGTCGACAAAAAGGCATCCTTGTTCAAAGGAATGCTAACAGCTATCGTTGCTTCGACGTTCCTCTCTCCTCCATACAAGCTTTGACAACAACTTAGGAAACTGAGCATCTGTCTACCACCGTGCATACAAGCATGCACGATGTTTACTGATATAAATACGCCGACATGACGCCAAAAAAAAAAAACACACAGGGCCGCGTCTATTCCCCTCCATTGCATGGAAAATGAGGCGTTATGTAAAAAGACCCAATTGTTTGCAAATCCGTACACCATGATCATGCACTGTTGGTGATGGGGGGGACCATCACACGTTCTCTGGCGTCACCATCACTCGAGATCAAGCAAGGGGAGGATCATCATCGCGATAGTCGTTGTTCTCCTTTCCCCAACCTTAAAAAAAGCAACCATGAATAACCCTGAATTATGCAGCTTTATGGTTTATTCTTACCTAATCAATTCTTCACGCTGAAGAATTCACATGCCGTTGGCTTTGTTACTTTGAGGTTCCGTTACTACATACGCTTTCAGAGGAGTCAGATTTACCTTCGGTTCCCTTCCGCACGACCTGTCAACTTGACTTACTCGGAAAATAACATAACTGACTCCCGTCCTTTGATGGGTGAAGGGAACTGGGGAAATCAAAACAACATCTCGCAATGGCGAGGGATCCATCAGGGTTACCATAACTACGGTGCTTAGTTCTGAAAGGCATTTCAACATCATTCCTATTTTGATCGACAAGTGGCCAAGTTTAGCCTAACCGAATGATGAGTTAGAACGCTTACGCTCTCCTTGATTGGCGTTCAGAAGCCGCCTCCGTCGCCATTCGACACCACCCTTCGTAAGCTGGGTGGGTCGCTGTGAACGCCAGTTGTTGTTCACTACTAGATAGTTATACGCCCACCGATCCTGATGCAGATATATAGTCATGGTATGTCTGAGGCGCCATTCTATGTGAAGAAACGTGCACAACCACGATGCATATCCATGTACTACGTATGGGTCTTGACGATCACCCATCTTCTACTAGATTTACGGAGTCAGGTTGTGATCAAACGGTGGGCAATCGATAGAGAGCAGCCTTGCTCGTGCCAAACGCATAGCACAATATGCCTCAAAATACGGAGTACGCCTCGAAGGTGTTTTTCTTTTAGGGGACTTCTAATTTCGGAGCGATCCAGCCCCCGTGGTGGATTATGTACACTTTGATGTGCATCCTCAAGTACTCCATACAGAGCCACAGCGCCCCAGCTTACCCAAAGGCACGGATATGGGACTCAGAGTGCACCCACCCCTCAAATGATACTCAATCACGATATTCCGCCAGGCCCTGTGCGCTGGATGATGTCCCAGCTTGCATCTCTAGGTTTTGCATAGTGCATGTCTCTCCATTTTCCCGGTGACCCAACGGCCAAAGCACACCTGTACGGAGCACTCCGTCTGTGGTACTTGTGCCCTTCGTACGGAGTACACAACGAGCATGTGTTCACAAAAAACCTACGGCCCACCATGACTCTACTCGACTGATCATATCCCAGATAATATACCGCCAACTAACCCTCCAAATCGGCGATGACTTCATGAACCCCTCATCTCAAGCATACGTGCTTGAGTATATCCTTGGATGGTGAAACGTGGGCCAAACCCTCGGAGATTAAGAGTGCAGACGGCCTGTGGAATCAATCAATTCGACACCCCTTTCAGGCGTCTTTTTCTCGCCCCTGATCTCGCCTTCGATAGTGCCTTGGATACCACATCATTCTCTCTCCCGCTTGCATGGCCATGGTATATGCTCAGGCCCCTGGCTAGCCTTTTTCGCCTCCAAAAATGAACCATGTGGGGATATACTCTCTGCCGGTAACGATTTACCCCCAAGAGAAGCCTAAATCATATTCCGTACTCCGTACGATGTACGGCGTACTCTTGTCATAAACGCACTGCAGCAGGGGCAAGTGTTTGGGTCCATCTTGTAACCGGGCTTTGTGCTGGTAAATGAAGACAGCCTAACGCACACACCTATACTCCGTACGGAGTAGCCTCATTTATATGTTCATACTTGCATGCTCTTCTGCCGCGTTCTTGGCCGATCAGGCGACTGTTACCGCGTATAGGAGCAGGCTAAGCTGATCAGATTCCTGCTAAATTTAATACTCGGGGTTGGGGGCTTCGCGCACCTAACTACCACTTCCGGGGAGGTTGTTTACTCAAATGCTGCGCCTTGTCCTAAGCAAGAGCACCCCGGAGAAAACGAGCTATGCCGTATGCTATGAAGAGATCGCTTGCAAGGTGGTAAAAAGGGGGAAATGAGGCATGGTCAAGGACCTACCCTGTTGCCCAACTCGTACTGATGACCTTTAAGGGGCTGAGTAAGACAAGAAAGACCCGTTCTTACTATCCATCAGCCTTTAAGCTGCGGCCGTCTGCGGCCAGCAAATAGTCGACCCCCGGGTATGGATGGCAGCTCAAAGGCTCCCAACGAGATGGTATTCGAAATATCGCGAGATGGAGCAAAAGCATGCTCAGTTACTTAATGCGGACGCTTGAGTTACACTGCTCCTTCATATCTCTTGGTGACGGTTAACCTGGGGCCCCATATTCCCGCCATGTCAGCGCCACATTGAATCTATAGGACAAAGATGAATCCAAGAAAGGGGGCTCGAGGGCTGTCCGTAAACGGAAGTTTTAGGGCTTCCTGCGCGATAAGATAAGGTCACGTGATGTCTAAATTGCACCACCAAAGAACGAACCACCAAGAGTCATAGAAAGCAGATTCTTCGTCGACGCCGATATACCTGCAGCTAAGGGAGTGTATATCGATAGTGGCCCTGTGCATATTTCCGGCTCGTCCAGTTGCTGTCTGCTGAATTGGTCGAAATGGCGTCGTTCACAATCAGGGTCCCTTGTTCATCCGCCAACATCGGCCCAGGATTTGATGTCATTGGTACGTTAGATCGCTGCAATCGATAAACCCGATACCACCCCCTCCTTCCACGGAGCCTCAATGGAGACGGAAATAAGCATAGGAAGGTTAAGTTCAATAGATAAATCAAATGATATAGGCTAATGATATATATTTTATGTTAGGCTTGGCACTATCTATTTACCTCGAGCTTCATGTCACCCTTAAGCCAACCTCAACCTCGTCTTCCAATCTTCGATTAAATTGCGGTATAACATACGAAGGAGAGAATCCCGATGAAGTCAGTCTTGACCCCGAAGTAAATTTAATTACCAGAGTAGCACTATACGTGTTACGGTGCCACAATCACCATGCGTTCCCTGTCGAATGTCACGTACATATCAAAAATCCAATCCCATTGGGGCGTGGGTTAGGTTCAAGCGGTGCTGCTGTGACAGCAGGCGTGGTTTTGGGCAACGAGGTTGGTAAATTGGGGCTGGATAAGGCCAGAATGCTAGACTATTGTCTCATGATTGGTGAGGAGCCTCCTACGCTTTGCCTCCCTTTCATATGCCGATGCTGATCTATATTCTATAGAGCGTCACCCAGATAATGTTGCCGCTGCTCTATATGGTGGCTTCGTTGGTACATATCTCAACGAGTTAAAGCCAGAAGACCTAGCATGGAAAGAAATACCCCTGAGTGAAGTACTTCCGGCCCCGGCCGGTGGCATAGATACTGGCGTCAAACCACCAGAGCCGCCAGTTGGAATCGGTCATTACAAGAAGTTCCCATGGGCAAAGGAAATTAAAGCCATTGCTATTATTCCTGAGTTTGAGCTTCCCACGGCTAAAGCAAGAGAAGTTCTTCCTCAGACATACTCTAGAGCTGATGTTGTAAGTTAATCGACGCTTCTATCCCTAACATCTATGGAACCGATACTTATCCTTGAAATAGATCTATAACCTCCAACGAGCAACCTTGCTTCCTTCAGCATTGGGTCAATCTCCCCTTGATCCTGATATGATCTACCTCGCCATGCAGGATAAGGTGCACCAGCCATATCGCAAGCACCTGGTCCCTGGCCTTACTGAGATTCTCAATTCAATGAATCCGACCAGCCAGCCAGGCCTGTTAGGTATTTGCCTTTCTGGTGCGGGTCCGACGATATTGGCCCTTGCGACCGAAAATTTCACGGAAATTGCTCAAAGAATTATAGATAATTTCAAGGCTAATAACATTAATTGTGTTTGGAAAGTGCTGGAACCTGCGGAAGATGGAGCTACTGTAGTGTATAATAGTTGATATAACCATGAAAATATATTATACCGTTCAGTATCTTTTTTTTTTTTCTCGAAATAACTGGATCGTGGCATTGGATTTGATACCAGGGTCACAAACTAAATATATATATAAACTCGAAGTTTGAAATAACGTTGCAGTAACTACATCAAGTCTTACAACACGTATACGCTGGAGTAGGTGGTGGGATTAAATATCTATAGCTATATTGCACATTGATGCAGTCCACACGAAAAACAGCGGGAAAATATACCAATGAGATCTTTTGGCATAACAATAACTGACATTAGCAATTCTATGATAAATTGATAATATAACGATGACCCCGTGGATATTAAAACATTCCTTCCATATCCAGGTCGATAAACTCCGGATTCCCAACCCCCATATCCACTGCGTTTAACACATCATCAAAAATACTGGTGTCCATATCTGCCTGGGTCATATTAACTTCATTACCGGTTGACGGCCCTGCTATTGCCTCTGAAGCTGCGGCATCCAACATCGCATCTAGGCTTCCTGGAGTTGCGCCTGTCCCTGTAATGCCTTGATTCTGCTGCTGCTGGCGCTGTTGGTCCGGCTGCTCTCCAACATCCAACTGCATCTGTCCGCCCTCGCCAACGCCTGTAAGATCCATATCTTCCATGATGTTGCCAACGTCAATATTATCAACTGTCTGGGGCATTTGAGGGACGGACGTAAGGGCTGCGACGCGCCTGGAGAGGCGGATAATGAGCTCGGCTCGATGGGGCTCAGTTTCTATCACTATACTTAGCGATTCTCTCTGAAGATTAAGCGCATCCCTCAGGCTAAGCATTTGACAACGAGGCAGGGAGTCTTTCAAAGTGTCGTCGATAGGTTGATATGTTGCCTGTTCCAGTGAGAAACATTCGCGCATAGGCGCACATATTAGAGTAGCTGCGATATCAATAGCTAAATCACCACTCCCTGTTTCACTTTGCAGTTTAAGCTCTTCTAGTATTCCTGCAAAAACTCGGATGGCGCCTAGATGCTTCAATCCGGCCAGCAGTTGCCTGTGTGTATAGCTTGGAGGCGTCATGCTGATCTCCGGGTCTGTACTCCAGAGTACTAATGATGAGAAAGTATTTCGTATTCCGGTGACCATGCCGCCAGGCGCAGAGTTGGATCTCCATCCTTCTAGCTCAGCTCGGTTAGAAATCCCGGTCCGTTGGAAAGACTGATACGGCTCAAGGGCATTTAGGATAGGCTCGATGTCTGTCCTTGAAGGGTGGCGGGCTTTCGCGTCTTTAAGCTCATCCTCGAGAGCCCGTGCAGTAATGGATAATACCGTGCGATGAATCTCCTGGGCCTCCCCAGATATGGAAGTTGGCTTCACAAGCGTAGACAGAAGGCGAAGCGACGTTGTGAGGTCGGTGCCGGATTTCCAGATGTGTTTGCTTAGCCAGGTTAAAGCCATTACCAACGAAGGTAGTAGAAACGGTTCTAAAAGATCTACGGGTTGATAATTCATCAGTGCCTTGGCTGTGCCAATCGAGAGTATATAGAGGTCAACTTACACTCAAATCCACCCTTAAGAGTATCAAATTCCAGTTTTCCAGCTTCGCATGCACTTAAGCTCTGGCTAAAAAGTGTAGCAACCAAAAGGTAGAATTCTTGCGGGCTGCAAGACGACATAGATTCATCACTAATGCCTTCAGCTATGAATAACGCTGTAATCCAAGCGCCGAGATTGTGGGTTTGTTTCTCTGTTAAGTCTTCAAGCTTTTGACTTGAGGCGCCTTTCTCGAGCAGGCGGCACATAAAAGAGTCGGGGTTGTAAACTCCAAGGTCTTGGTAGCTGAGATCGTATTTGTACTTGAAAGCCAGAACCAAAAGTAACACGCTTCCGAATTCGTCGTAAACGGGTTGACTCTCCCCTTGTCTATTGTTACTGACTAGTTCCATCATATTTGCGCGTAGGATTCTTACCTTGGTCCTCCTCCCATTTCCAGGAATCCAATAAAGCACATAGAGGCTGCAATATGCTCAACGGGCTTTTGAACAATAACATAATATCCAACGCTTGCGGCCTGCGCGACAAGGAGTTGCATATACTTTTTAATGTCATGGTATCCTTTCTCAAGCACAGGCTATGCATTACCTAAAGAGGACCTGTTAGCAAATATCAAAAAGATTTTTAAGTCCTGTGGAAGGCAATCTTGGAGAATATTTACCTCAGCTATAGCCTCGACGATTGCCTTTGCATTGCCATCCATCGATTCAATCCCACTCAGCAATTGCTCTGCTCGTTCGGGGCTATTATTGATCTGAGCAACAAGTTCATGTTTCACAAATCTTCCTCCATTTGGCAGTGTCTGCATTGGGTTCTCTCCCAAGAGACGCTCAATGCTTGATTCAGGTATTAATTTATGTAAGGCACATGAAAACAAAAATTCTTGTCTTACATCGGATAAAACCGAATTGCCGTGCATAGAAAATATTTCTGAAAACGATGGGAATGTATTTGGGTCTACCCGTGCCAAAGCACGAGTGATACACAGTTCAACCGGTATAGGCTCAACCACCGATCCTGCAAGGTCTGCAAGAAATGGGGGAAGCTTATTCACGAGAAAGGCCCGGAAGAGGAACATCGTTTTATGTGGCTCATTCCGGTACATACCGTTGGACAGGACGTCGAATGATGCTGTGATTAGTTCTTCAACCAGTGCCATGTGATTTCCCTGCAGCGTATATAAGTATAAAGCATCAAGGAGAATGAAATGGTCATACGAACTTACCCCATAGCGATTATTTAGGTAGTTGATAAGGACGTTGTCATCTATTAAAGGCCGTCCTACAAGCTAGATAACGAAAGTAAGTATAGCTGCATATGGCCAGCAACCCAAAATGAAAGTATACGACATACCAGAGAATTGACATATATATATAGCCCGGCCCTAGAGCTAACAGGAGGAATATCCACCACCCTCGATTCAAACTCCAGAGTAGAAACATTCATCTCTTCCATCGCTGGATCTTGGGTAGTTTTCTCGCTCTCTTTCACGAAAAGGCCAAATTCTTTCTGTAACGCATCAAGCCTATTGCGCAACGGAATAGAAATTTCAGAGCAAACTGGGGCATACGCTGTCAGGGCCTGAGCCAATTTCTTTCGTTGGTGCTTAAAGGCTTGAAAAAATGTTAGCACTCATGGGGGCTATCTATTGCTTTGGCGAAGAAAACAATCTGATAGTTAGCGAGACACAAGACTTACTTTCTGAATTTTGGGATGATAGTGCAGTTGCACCTATTTCAGTTCCTGCCAAGGCCCCGAACAAAAACCCGATTGCTACAAATATTGAAACAACATCGGGCGAGCTTAGCAACTGTCCTCCACCACCCTCACCCTTCTCCGTCTCGGTTAATCGACTCCACGATATTAGGGTCAAGATCCAATCGGCAATTGCGGAGCAGGTATTCATGAATCCGAGAGCGGTCTTTGGAGCATGGCCGGTGGTCACAGCTGTAATTACATTTTGTATGATGCCATAGTCGGTCAGCAAGGTGGTCGGTTTTTTCAGAGTTTCTGGGACCGAGGCCTTCCCCCCATCGATTTCGTGATTGGCGCTGTCATTATGCGTTTTGTCCTGCTTCTTCCGGTGCTGGACATCGGATTGAATGCTTGAGTGGGCTAGCAGAGATGGCAGAATTTCGAAGATATCAATATGAGCAAGCCTATGTATAGCGTCCACATAGTCCGGTACCAATGGGTCCCAGTCAAACTCTGTAACCGTCCTTGACTCCAGTATAATATCGACCAGGTCTTTGCTCGCAATAGGATGGCGGCGTAGCATTACCCTAGCTAGTTCCTGGAACTCGTCCGAGCTTATCCTTTGGCCAACGCATTGCTGGAGGAGCTTCTGCCATCCTGACTTTGATGCGCTAGACGACCGATTTTGTAACGCAGCCATCACGTAGATATCGAGTTTCTTTGAAACAATATGAGCTATGCAAAGACGACAAATATCGCATGTCGCCTATGCGTGTATTTTCCCGAATGCAAATAAAAACAAGGGTATTTATATATAGCCGTAATCAAGAAACGGGCAAACACATTGACCTGGCAAGAATCGGCCGTTGATTTTAGCACCAGGCCAAATGAGTGAAGAAAAGGCTGCTTCACTGACGTTATTTGATCAATATACTCTACCATGGAAAGAGAGACGTCGTCTCGAATATTAGTAATATAATTAGGTAATTCATTAGGTAAACAACTTATATAATCACATCAAACTTTACATAATATGTAAATCACATGACCAGTTCCACGTGGTCAAAGCCTAAGTTCTTGCTGCGCCACAAGTTCAACGACATCTCGTCAGTATAAAAGAGAACAAACAGGTAACAAGATGGAGGGACAAGAGAGGGACAAGAGAGGTAGATGCTAGAGAGTAAGCACTAGACAGCATTTGCCATAGGACGCTCTGTACCGTGCGAAGGAGATGTGGGTGAGGTGTTAGCGTCTACGGAGTATAGATTTTGGATTTTTGTATCCTGCATGTATTCTCACATGCCTGTCGCCGTTTCAAAAAATTTGCCACAAGCACGCCTCTACGGAGTAATATCGGCGATACAGACGGTCAGAGCCCGAGAAATCCTTGGCCAATAGCAGTGGAAGAAAGATAATCGCCATAATCTCCAATAATCAGCCTCCATCAACTACCTCGTCTTCACGCAAGCTGTGGCTGGACTTGGAAGGATGATACAAACCGGAGCTACCGAGTGTAAGGTTAGTGTTCGACAATGCTTAATATAACGGATCATAGGGATGATGTGGGCAGGGGGGTGTGCCCCTTTGCCTCTTCCATCCGTTGCATATTGATGGTGTGCATAATATGGGCTTGGTTTGGCGTTTGGCGTTTGATTCTGTGCCTGTCCTACACATGGAACTATTCTAGATGATATGCAACAGCTTGGTGGTGGCTACTAAGTGCCCTGTTAGGAACCTTGTAGTTAGTAGTCTGCGAACACATACCGATGTACCAGCTGATGCTAGCCAACGCCACAATAAGAGCGTTTATTGTATAGGGTCGAGTCTGACAGTCTGGTGTATGTGGCACGCCTTTCGTGGGGATGAGATAATAGGCCGCTCGGTTGCAGAATGGCAGGGATGGATACTATAGGTCAAATATATGCAATAATCATAATATAGTATTACTCCCTAAAGTGTCAGGGGTATAGGTCATCTCGACTACCTATTGGTTAAGTGACATAACGATACCAGGGGATAGCTTTAAGGTATTAAAGAAAAAGGACACCTGAAAAAAATATTGAGCCTAGACATGTAGAAGTATTTTTATCGTGCTTTGATAAAAACAGAATGTTAGAAAGGCTCATAATATGAAATATTGTGTCTGTCGCTGTCACAGTACGCCAGAAAGGATTAGATATGCAGGCCGGAATGTGGGTTTATGAAACGAGCGGAAGGATATACATAGAGATTGCCACCAGAAGTAGAGAAATCTTGTTGTTGCTCTCTATGTCAAAAAGAGGGCAGCGGGGAATGAGAAGGGAATATATGAGTATGAGAGCGTCATTGTCGTCGGTATCATTCATCATCATCATCCGTTGCTGTATTTTTTTTCTTGGGGTTTTTTGTTTTTTTTTTTTGTTTTTCGATTTTCCTTTAGCTAAGACCTTGTGCTTCTGCTATGCCTCGAGTATGTGTTCGATTGTCCGTCCGCCATTTCATCCGGTGATCGCGGTCCGACCATCCAATCCTCCATTGCTAGCCACTCGCTCCAGCTCTTCTCTGCGGCCTCAATCTCGGCATTTTCTGATCCCTGAAGTGGCCTGAGGAATGGGATAGTCTCGAGGGGCAAGATATCGTAATCCTTTTTCACAGCCGCCCATCCTCCACTCTTCGCGGCAAAGAAGAAGTTGCGACGCTCCTGTTCGTGCAATGAGCCAATTCCCGACGCCCAGTCATCACCGAAGAATCCATGCAAAACACCTGGGTAGTCCATTCCTGTTGCCACCAGGCGGCGAATGTAGGGAACCATCGACACGCTTGGCGCTGTCGAAACCCCTGATGGCGATCCACCGGGTGGACTGGAAAGAGAAGCATCAGCCGCAGAGTTAAAGATCGGAGTCGGTTGTCTCTGGAACGGAAGATGTATGTTTAGGAAGGAGGAAAGAGCTTGTACAGGAACAGTGTGTTGGGCGTGGTCGAGGAAATAGCGTTGACAGCTCTGGTAGCGCGGGTACCATTCAAAGATATCGAACGTCGAGTCTTCAGGGCGCTGGGAGGCTTCGGACATGCCAGCCCTGACCACCGAGTCGTAATGGATACGAGGATCTGTCGACATTTTCGCGTCGGGGGCTGCTATAACCTGGCTACTCTTTCTACTGTTGAACCCTTTAGCGCTCCATTGGTTATATCACGTAACATTAACGCTTCTCCATTCAGCCATTGACCCCCTGCTTTCATTCCATGTTCGGCGGTTAGAAATAGGGCGGGGAAGGAAGAAGTGTAATTGCCACGGTGATCCTAAGAAAGATATAGCAGCATTGGGGGGGGAGGTGGTGGTATGTACCTGTTTCCGGTCCACACTCTGCGGAACAATGGCCAATTCGAGGCGCGAATTGAGGTTGTGGTTGAAAGGAGCTTCTTGAACAAGCGTGGATCTCTCTCGGGTATTTGATTCCCTATTGACATTGGCTAGGAGATAGGGCTGAAAGGCTGTCGGCGCATGAAGGAGACGAAAGGCAACGTATATAAACCGCAACAGTTGAAGGACCTGATATCATAGAAGGAGAAAAAACAGGCAGGCAGACGCACGCCGATGGATGCGTATATTGAACACCGTATATTCTGGCCACTGATCAAAGCAACGAGGCAAACCGTGAGGGTGGAAGCGTCTATTATAGGAAAGCGAGTTGGAATGAAGAGACCTGTGCCTGGGTAGCGATTGACTTTTTAAACCATCGGGGAAACTGGTCTCGAGACGTCAGCAATGGAGAGAGAAAGGATAGAGAAAAAGAAATACAGACAACCCCCTTCATGCTACTTGGCGCGGAGGCGAAAGTACGGAGTGGGCATCGGAGAGCAGATGAGTATCGCACTCATCATGGTGAACCAAAAAATAAAATAATTAAAAGAAGAGGCGCTACAAGGGTTGTAGTGAGTTAGTCGGAAGGGTTTTTGGTCTTGATGGAGGAAGGAAGAAACATGCTCCACTATCTCTCCTGCGATGGACTTGCATGCATGGTGGAGCTACCTTGGGCTGATTAAAAGGCTGCTGGGCAGTACCCGATAAACTCGGGAGGCGAAAAATAAAAAGAAGAAAAAAAATAAAAACGTAGGTTCGCCCCTGTTATTAATCAGTGTTTACGTTTGGAGGATGGTAACCGAAAGTATGAGGTGCATGGGGGTGCGGTGGTGGATGGAGATGTGCATGAGCGTTTGTTTCGATTTGAGAGATATCAAGAAAATAAGGAGGTCAGATGGTACGGAGGATGCCGTACCAGGGAAAATCAGGGAGACTGGTTTGTAGTATCAAGTACTTCATAATTCACGGTAGGTGATCTTCGTTCCATTTCCTGTTCGTTCGCTCCTTTGATCACGTATATTGGGTAGGCATACTCCGTGCTTCGTACGGAGTCTGCATGTGTTTAATGCCCAACATGTATAGATCGGTCTAGCAAGGGATGTGCGTTTCACAGTTTTCACGTCAAGGCTCTGCAGGCGCCTGTATGTATAGACCATAAATCTGTCGTTTTTTTATGGATTTAGGGTTCGTCTCCGGCCTACCTTGTTTCCGTCACCAATATGAAGCCGTCGCTGCAGAGTAGCGATCTATGAAAAGGTGAGGGGGTTGCTTCCAGCCTGGTCCCGTTCGTAACCAAGATGACGCTGGCCCTGCCTGCCGACTGCGGACTGCCGTTCAGTGACCGCCCCCAGAACCAGTGGACGGATGTTTTACGGTAAGTTGGAGATAATATAGTCTTCGTAACGGCCAACGTCTCGTGCAGCTCCTAGGGGTCCAAGTTGTTGCATTCCTCCCTGTTAATGGGGGGTGCTTGATAGGCGGTCCAGATGCATGCCATCAAGTCAATAGGATATCGTTTCTCGAAGGTCCTTGAACCATATGTTCCTTCTGTCCGTCTTTCTTTTTCCCTCTCTCCCTCCCGTTCTCTCCCTCTCGTTTCTTCGCTTGGTCCAAGAGCCTCTGGCGGAAGTACGATGTCGTACCGTTAGTGGAGAAATGATAGAGCAGTGGGCCCTGTAGGGACAACAAGCTGGTGGAACATGGTGATTGGACATATTTGTTATGTAGGTCGGAGGTACGGAGGTACGGGGGCGGCAAATCGATCCATCTCATTTGTACCTGGGTGCGTGGTCCTTGTCGGCTGGCCCGTGTCTACCAACATACTGGTTGGTTGATGCCTGTTCTTACGTTGATCTCCAGCAGCACCACAATTACTATCCTCCGGGGGATTGGAACGAATGAACCTGCACCGGAAATAGATTAACTCTTCCGGTTGAGATGGTTCCTTGGAATCCCGGTTCTCAGGACAGTCTGAACCGCCCATATAGTACGGAGTCCATATAGTAGCAATCCAAGGTCAACCGAAACAATATAAAAAAAAGTATCAAAGTACCTCCGTACTTCTTGGCACGTCGTTGGTGCCTCTATACCTCGATCGATGGAGATCTGGTGATCTGATCCCTAGTACTTTTTCTTTTGTTTGTTTTACAAGCCAGAATCAGCCCGTCCCCGATTCAAAAGTCTAATCCCGTCTGTTTTTCACCTCTCTTACGGATGGCTTCATCATCCGATGTTAGTCCGAGCTAGCTAGCTAGTACTGAGTGGTGCTGTTTGGTACGACGGAGCTTTCCTTGGAAACAAAAAAATTGGCTGCTGTCTGAACTTTGAAGCATATGTTGGCGTATGCAGAGTGAGGCAGAGCTCCACAGGGCGTTAGAGGATGCAGGAACGGGAGTGGATTGTCTGTTTGAAAAAGAACTCTTCCGTGATTCGTGAGTGCAGCATGTCGAGTAAGAAAGTTGCTCCGTACGCCATCGCCTATAGCAGCGCTCCCAGCAGCCCTATAAGCAACGGAGAAGGGCGATCGAATGGTGCAGGGGTGTCCACGACGTCTAGAAAAAACTCAAGCCACAGCTCCAGGTCCTCGGGAACTAATTTGCCACCTCGGGTGAGGCCCGTTAGCTTCTATCAACGTAGGCTGGCTTCACAGGCGAGGGAAACATACGGAGGGGACTGCCCTCGGCCGCTCAAACGCTCGCTCGAAGGGAGAGTCCGACGATGTGCGACTCATGCAGCCTCCAAATTCCAGCCAGCTTGCAGTATGGACGGCCACCTGCATTGGAGATCCCGTCACTCACGGCTCGCAGGAAGAGTCTGCTGTTCAGGCATGGAGGATGCTTCGTTGCACCGCGAGGCCTATCATCGCCAATAGTGGCTGTGGCGGTGCAACGTACACCAGCCACATATAAACATTTTCCGAGCGAAACTCAGAATCCTGCGTGTGATTCCCCTTCTGCGCGGTCTTTTCGTATTCCTGTGCTCCGCAAGCCTCCGTCAACCCCGCCAGCCGAGAGACTAGAGACGAGAGACGAGAAATGACGAGAGAAAGACGAGAACGAAAGAGGCGTGCGGCTCATTAGTCATGTCCGACCTGTGGCTGGTGGCTGGTGGCTTGATGTGGCTTTTTCCATCGACAAACGACCGAGACGGCCGAAGTATCAACGACAGCACAGTTCGATCTCTTCCAATCCACTCTTTGCTCTCTCTCTCTCTTCCGGTGGATTTGATTGAATGTCATTGTGATGCGTCTGATCCCCGTCTTCTAGTATCGCCACTCCAGGCCGGGTTTCCTACCTTCTTGAAGGAGGTCAAGCCGCGGGGGAAAGCATAACTACTGACCCTGTCCATCTGCCTGTCCGATTCCTCGAGCTTGGAGAATGGCGCCTTTTTAGTGCTACATTCACCGCTCGCATCGGTTGGTCAGAGTAACTGGGGCACACGGACCGGATTGACGTGCGTACGTACGTCTTAACTTTTTCGTTATGCGGAGTGTTGACCTGCTGGCCATTTGGTTGGAGATGTATGGATGAATATGTACATCGTACATATTAGAGTAGGCGGAAGTCAGTACCTTATTTTTCGATACCTAGCAGCCGCCAGTGGCAAACAGATCACTGACACCGCTTCAATTCCGGAACTCTTTCAATTGTTTTATCTTTTAGAGCTCCCTGCTATTGCATTCGCGTGGGAGCTGGTTGTATGCGCGGCCCGTTGCCACTCCTGACATTGAGCACATATCCTCAACTACCATTCACCTGTTTTGGAATTCGAGATTAACGTGGCGGATATCTACCGGTGTCTGCTCTTCCTATGTTTATTATTTTTTTTTCGGCCTACGTCTAACCATCAGAATGGCGCCAGGCACATGCTTCTACTTCATTTATTCGGCTCACTCATGGAGAGACGTGGCGAGTACGGAGTATTCTCTACATCAGACGGTCTGAAGAATGTTAAAGGTTGATACCTCAGATACCCATGTCGACGGTTTCCCAATCTCTTGATTACTCGGTGTGACTTTTTGGACTGGGGCACTAGATGCAACGACGGCTCATCTGTATCATATACAACACGGGGAGAAATTGCGGTGAATAGCTGCAAGATGACTCGTTGAGTTATCTGGCAACGAAAAAGGGGGTTGATAGGTTGGCAGTTGGCGGGTTCTTCAACGAAAACGGGGTTGGGCGTTTTCTCAAGGACTGCCATCGCCTTGTTGGGGCTGCACTATCGATATGGAAAATTCAATGCGGTGACTGCTCTGATCTGTACTGACTAGTGCATTGACATTCTTTACAGCTAGGCATTGATGGCCATGACCATGGTTTTGGATATGCACCCCTTACCCGCAGAGAGGAATGTCCACCTAATGCCGTGATTGCCGGACACGGACCTAAAGAAGGTCTATTGTGGGAAGGTGTTTGTTATATGCAAGGCTGGGTGGATGAAAAGGTTGATCGTTCTGCAGCCATATTACAACGAGACGAGTTTACTGCCCATTGGCTAGAACAAGCCGACGTTTTTTTATATACCTCCTGCTTCCTTGGATTTGCCACAGTTTCTCGATCACTATTGAAGATGACTTACTAGTACCCGGCTTAGGCTCTTGGGGCCAATTGATTCTTGAATATGGGATCCCCCAACTGTTGAGTAGCCTACCGTCTTATTCTTCACTGAAAAATGTGCCAGAATGTACTAGTGGTTTTGGTCCTGCCAATGACGCTGGTTAGATGCGGAATTCATGCTTGTCCCTTGATGAAATGAAGGTTGGCTCGCGTATGAGAAGTAACACCTTGGGAATACTTATGTTCCTCAACTAGCCTATTTGTTGGGCTACGTGCATACATATATATATATATACGTGGCGAGGTGAATCTCGTCTGGTCATATGGTATAAAAGTAAATTGGGTTATCCGATTATCGATAAGACTGTATAGGCAAGGATAACTCGCTCTGATCAAAGCCTGCCTGTTGATTAACCCCCAACGATTATTGGATAGGATATACCTCGAATTGACATTAAATTAAGCTGCATATCTTATATTATGCACAGTTCCTCCAGGATATATACCAATGACGTAGTTGGATTAAAGAAACCCCAGGAATGCGTTCCTTGTTGGTTTTCACTTTCTTTATACAGAATATGGCTAAGCCTAAGTCTAGATGAAACTAAGGGAGGCTCATTTTGGATTCACTAACCCTGTCCTGTCTGTTACTTAGTATAATTATTCATTTCCCTGATACAAGATATCCTATGTCTGTTATATCTTCACCTCCACCCTTTCATAATGATAGGACATATGTATAGTAGCACATAATCCGGGGACTCCGCTCTGCCGTTAAATTCTAGATCACAATCACTAATACAAGAACAAAGCGAACCGTCCATATAGAATATCAGTAGGGTAGTATAGATTAATAAATACCTCATCTCAACCCCGGGTTCCTACGGTAAATATATACTCCGCCATGAGGCATATCAGTGCAGAGATAGGGCTTAGCGCAGAGACGGCCGGAGAGGGCCGAAGTCGGAAGGAGGCCGAGCCAGAAGTGGGCGAACGGGCGAACGGGCGGGCAGAGATAACATCGTCGCACGCAGATAAGAGCGGCAGCCGCCCGGTGGTTAAACAATATAGGATAGAGATAGAGAGATAGAGAAAAGAGCCTCGGGAGAAGGAGGAAGGGAGGTCCGCTCTCGGCTAGCGCGCGTCCTTATCAGTCTCCGCGGTCGGAAGGTTATCGGGCATAAGCTTCATCCCTTATCTCTCTGCTCTCCATCGCTCCTTTCGGCTTTATCTCACATGTGCAGTTCGGGGTCGAAAGCTGAGCGATAAAAGGTTTGGGGAACGTTATTCTCCGACCTTGGCTTGCGTGGGATGTGCGGTGGGAGATGCTCCGTCGATAGTGACTGACTGCGTAATGGTAGGTGAATAATGTGATGGTAAATGAATAATGTAATCGATAATGGACAGTGAGTAATCGGCTATCTGTAGAGTGCCAGTGGGTGGTCGGAAGATAGAGGATGTGTGTGTGTCCCGATGCTATCTCTGCCACCCGATAGAGTCGTAGCCCGCGCTGGCTGGTGGTGTGGCCGGGAAGAGTTGGGACGAACCGAGAAATTCTCTTGAACCTCTCATGAACTTGAGAGTTGGGATTTATTAAGCTATTAACCTTTCCCATCTCTTCCCTTCCTTTTTATTCCATCTTTATCTTTCCCTGCTCCTCGTCTCTCTCATCTTACCCTTCTTCCATACCGTACCCTGCTATCCATATCCCTGTGCTGTCACAGACCTTATCTTATCAAGCTCATAGCTATACCGATCGGCCGATCACCACCTACCTACCTATCCTGCCCTACGCAAAAAGATAAAAAAAGATAAGAAACGAAAATGGCCAACTTGCCAATTGAGCCTGAATTCGAGCAGGCTTATAAAGGTTCGTGCGGATGTGCAGGTTAGACGTACCTGGGGTTGCGGTCTGGTTGCTTACACGGTGATATAGAGCTCGCCTCCTCGCTCGAGAACTCGACTCTCTTCCAGAAACATCCGGAATACAGAAAGGCGCTGTTGGTTGCCTCTATTCCTGAGCGAACGATCCAGTTCCGTGTCACATGGGAAGATGACAAGGGTCAAGTACGTCATTTCCATCGATCATATATCATCGATTAGATATTGAAGAGATGTGCTGACAGAGGCTGGTGATGTAGCTGCAAGTCAACCGGGGGTACCGGGTGCAGTTCAACTCGGCCCTGGGTCCGTATAAGGGTGGTCTGCGATTCCATCCGACAGGTGAGTACCTACCCGCATAAGCCGGTTCGTGGGGGAACACGGTCTAACAAGCATTCGCGCAGTCAACATGTCGATCCTAAAGTTCCTTGGTTTTGAGCAGATCTTCAAGAATGCTCTCACAGGCTGTAAGCATCTCAAAGAATTCGTGACCTTGGTAGGTAGCTAACGATGTGTGTGCTTGGTAGTGAACATGGGTGGTGGCAAAGGAGGTGCCGACTTCGATCCAAAGGGCAAATCGGACAATGAGATTCGCAAATTCTGCAGTGCCTTCATGATGGAGCTAAGCAAGCATATTGGTGCTGACACTGATGTGCCTGCTGGCGACATTGGAGTCGGCGGCCGCGAGATCGGCTTCCTCTTCGGCGCGTACAAGAGACAGCGACACATCTGGGAGGGCGTGTTGACCGGCAAGGGCAACAGCTGGGGAGGAAGCTTGATCCGGCCCGAGGCTACGGGATACGGTCTTGTCTATGTATGACTCTCCCTTATCGTCCTTATAATATGTCGTGGTCTGTGCGGGTCACTTACTAACAGTGGGTTGCTGCAGTACGTCCAACATATGATAAAGCATGCAACGAACGGACTAGAGAGTTTCACAGGCAAACGCGTTGCCATCTCTGGCTCCGGAAATGTTGCCCAGTACGCTGCTCTCAAAGTGATCGAGTTCGGCGGCATCGTCGTCTCCCTCAGCGACAGCAAGGGCAGTTTCATCGTTCGAGACGGTTCCGACTCCTCAATCACCCCCGAAGAGATCCGCCTGATCATGCAACTCAAGGATGAGCGAAAGCCGCTTTCCGGCATTGCCAACCATGCCGCCTTCGCCGACCGATGCGAATACATCGACGGTGCAAGACCGTGGGTCCACGTCGGAAAAGTCGACGTCGTGCTTCCCTGCGCTACCCAGAACGAAGTCTCTGGTGAAGAGGCAAAGGTGCTCGTCGCCAACGGCGCACGCTTCATCGCTGAAGGGTCGAACATGGGCTGCACGCTGGATGCCATCGAACATTTCGAAGGTCACAGGACCCAGACCAAGCGTGATCAGGGCGCGGTGTGGTACGCGCCCGGCAAGGCAGCAAATGCAGGAGGGGTGGCAGTCAGTGGACTGGAGATGGCTCAGAACTCACAGAGACTGACGTGGAGTGCAGAGGAGGTGGATGGGAAGCTGCAGGGGATCATGAAGGATTGCTTTGAGACTGGGGTGAAGACAGCGAGGGAATATATGGAGGTGGACGATGATATGCTGCCATCATTGGTGGTAGGAAGCAACATTGCAGGTTTCATCAAGGTATCTGAAGCCATGCGGGACCACGGCGATTGGTTCTAAAAACCCATTTTATTTCCTTCTTTGTATTTTCGGGGGGTGGTTTTGGTTGCCTCGTTGGTTTGGCTTGTCTGGCGTCCGAGGTATCATGTTCATGTCCCTTCATCTTGGGCAGGTTTTTTTTTTTGACAGGGCAGTTTTCTTGATTGTTGTATGCACTGATCAATCTGGATCATGCCATTTTCCTTGATTGAGGGATGGCTGGCGGGCGTACATAGAAACAGCCCATGTACGACATCCCCATTCCTGTCAGGGCACCAACTTTTTTTAGGCGAATAACGTTGAGTGACATGATGACATGTTCTATTTTTGCATCCAATTACGGTCTTGAGGCAGAGAAACGTTAGCAAAGTCGGGTCCTTTGTCCAGCCTGCGCCATGGATTCCCACAGGTTTGACCTGAACATAAAATAAACGAGCGTGCATGAGAAAATAGGAATCGAGCATGTAACGTATCGCGTTTACCACGGATACGTGGCTCCCTCGCTCGCTCAAGGATACGAGGTCGTAAAATACCAGCTGAATATAGACCAAGACGAAGAAAGGCGAGGAAAGGCGAAGATACGAGGGATAAGATGAGGTCTAGCCGCCTCAGCCCTGACATGGATGGCGGGTTCTACGGCAGTGGAGCAGGCGGGATGCCTCCGTACCGGCTCAGACCAGCCATAACCTGAAAAGGACCCGTATTTACGAGAGTGAGAGAGACGAGTTGAGATGATAGACGGTGTAGATGTGAGATGATGTATGGAAGAGAGTCGAGTGAGGTCGGAAGATGCCTAAAGGGGCGGCGGTGAGGGACGGCAGCAAACGCACTTCTTCCGCATCCCACCACGTATGTTATACGCAGTCAACGACCACAAAATGCATGAGATCGATCGGACGAAGCGAGATGACGACAGAGCGAGGAGTGAGGATTGCAAGGTGGACTGGCTGCATGTCAGAGCCCACCTGTGAGCGGCTAGAACGTGGCATGAGAGATGATCGTACACGGAATTCAGCGAGTCGCGAATTCGCCGTCCCCAGGTTCTTCTTCCAGGCCCTCCGATCCCAAGTCGAAACCACGTACTTCCTGGTTGATATCCCCAGTCATGGCCAGGTTGAGATCTCGCTGTCCCCGCTGGCCTTCGTCGCCACGAGCCGGAGCCGGAGCCGGAACCAGAACCGTCTTCCCACTGTGGGAGAGGGAAAAAAAAAGCCTCCAAACACGGCGGCTCCACGATGAAAAATCAATCCGACCCTCAAAGTGAAATGCGAGTTAAACAGTTAAAATGCGAGTTGAGGCGGAGGGAAGTGCCTCAGCGATGTGATAGGTGGACGGGCGAGATGAGTGGCTGATGGAGCGAGCGGTGAGTGGTCGATGGCGCAGGAACGAAGAGGATAGGCGGACGATCCGGGTTTCAGGGTGATTTCCATGGTCCTACGTAGGATCGCATCAACAAGTCGCACCAACCTACACAGCTTGATTACAGTCAAAGGCGTACGAGATGAGAGGACGGGCGGAGATTTCTACGGAGTGTCAGTACGCAGTATAAGTTGGAAAGTGACAGTGTCAAACAGGTTATGGCAGGCAGGTTGAAGATAAGGGTGAGAGCTGTCAGCCTCTGGCGGTGGCGCCTAGGCAGGAAACGGGCTAGGCTCAGGGGTCAAAAGCGAAAAACTCGGCCCATCAGGCACATTTCCAGGGGTCACGGCCAGTAGGAACGCTGGGACTTCGCTGGCTGCTGGACGCTGGATACTGGACCTCTTCGTGGAGGCTTGGGCGCTTTGTTGGCAGGCCGCGCTAGCCTCGTCCGTCCCTTTATCTACCCTGCCCGTCCCTTCTCTCCTGCTCTCCTTCTTTTTATTCCTCTCTCCATCGACTCTCTCTATCTACACACACTCTCTCTTTCAGAGCAGCCTGACTCTCGCGACACATCATTCCTTTGGTGTCCTTGACTCTTCCGTCTCTAACTCACTCTCTCTCACTCTTTGCCTGGAGCATTGTGTTCATCTGAATCGCTCGGTTCGATTCTCGCATTCTTTCTGAACATATCACCCACCGCACAAACAAGACCCCCTTTACACAGCTCACTCTTTAAGCTGTTTTTTATCGTTGAGCTAGCTCTCGCATAAACAATCACTACAATGGCTCCTCAATTTCTCAAGGCCTTGACTGCCGCCGCGGCTCTCTACGCCTCGCTCGCCACTGCTCTGCCCGTCCAGAAGCGCACCGTCATCTGGGAGACCGTCACCGATGTCGTCGTCGAGACCGTCACTCGCACCTCCACCGTGAGAGGCGTTCCCGGACCTGACAGCACCATCGGGCCACCATACGGCTCTCCCACCATGCCTGCTGTGCCTACCGTCGCTGTCCCAACCCAGGAGAAGCCAATGGACCACAACAAGGCTCCTGAGCACACCACCCCAACACCACCAGCTCCAACTACCACCGCTGCCCCTCCACCACCACCGACCACCAGCGCTCCTCCACCTCCTCCACCAACTACCAGCGCTCCTCCACCCCCACCACCAACTACCAGCGCACCACCACCTCCACCACCAACTACCACCCCACCAGTCGTCATCCCAACTCCTCCACCAATGCCAAAGCCACCAGTGATCAGCGTTCCACCAGTCACTCCCCCAAGCACTGGCGGCAGCGGCTACTCCGGCCCCTGTGCTCCCGGCGCTGCTTGCTCTGGTGAGATCACCTTCTACGATGGTGGTCTCGGCGCCTGTGGAATGAACATTGACACCCAGTCCGACGACGTCATTGCTCTGCCATACGAGCTCATGGGTCCTCTCAGCAACAACAACCCCTTCTGTGGAAAGACCGTCAGCATCACCTACAACGGCATCACCTCCACCGCCATCGTCAAGGACAAGTGCATGGGATGCACTGGCCAGAACATCGACATGACCCGCCATCTCTTCTACAAGTTGTAAGTTTCCCATACCACCATTACTTTATAGACTATATACTAATTCACTTCACAGCGGAGTCGAGGCTGACGGTCGTATCCCTGACGTCAAATGGCACTTCATCTAAACTATTTCTATCAAATCTGGGTTGATATAGTTTACTTACTTGCTCTTCTTTGTACATGTAGCAGTTTGTTTGCTCATCTTCCCATGAACGCACGTCTTTACTTTTTTTTCACTTTATGGCGGGAAAGCTTCTGGGGATAGCATGGCATTCATTCGTTTTATTCAATGGTATGGGATGGGGTTACTGGGGAATAAGGATTGGAGATACTTCTTCACTCGTTGCGTTCACTTCTTTCCTGACTGTCCCTTTCAAGGGACAGTTCATGGCCTTCTTTTTTATACCGTTATCATTCGTCCAGCCGATTGCAGCCATGCTGCATGATTTTCACATTCACATTCACATTTTATCTTTTTACCTCTTTCTGCACAAAATGTTCTTGTTCCTGTTTTGGCTCCCAGATAGAATGGATTACGACAAACACGAAAACTACTTATTATGACTTTTCATTTTCCCTTCTTCTATTCGCCGAGTCAAGTCATCCAGTTGATCCATTCGTCTATCCCTACCTTCGTTCATGTGGAATAGAACTTGCGCTTGTTGCTTCTTTTGTGTTTAACCATACCCTCGCTTATATTTGGTTTGTTCAATTGTCTCATTTCCATCCTATTGTAGTATCTTGTAGTTGCGGTTATGTAGTTGTGGTTGTAGTTGTAGTATCTTGTAGTTGTGGTTGTAGTTGTAGTTGTAGCTGGCCTCGATGCTGTAGATCGTACAGGGACCACAGTCTAGACATCCAGATCTTCATATACTCAATCGCATGCCATGTCTTCAGTACCTAGTCGACAACTAGTACCCGTATAATCGCCACGCCTGTTGGGCAGCGCTGAACCTGGCTGGTTTTCACCGTACATGCATAGAACTATTACATGCAGTGCCGTTGGGCTGCCGGAGGATTATTACCTATCGCATCCTGCAAGTACCCTACACCCTATAGACACCCTAGAGGTACATACATCACTTTGGATACACCCTCAGCTCCGCTCAGCTAGAGGATTCAACCCAGTTTCGGCCCTGGGAGCTCATCGAGGATCTGGCATGCCCATCACCGTAGTCCTTGGACATATATTTGTTTTATTTTTCGGCCGGGTAGGCCGCACATGGATTGTCGTTCGGTTTCGGTACATATCATATTCGTCGACTACCTTGCTCCATGCTAGCTCGAGGAAACACAGGGAACCAGCGAGCCAGTGTATCAGGATGGTTCACCAGCGCACCCTTAATGATCAGACAGGCTTGCTTGACTCGAGATGATGTGCAGCCACCGTCTCGACAGTGCGATCACCCGTTCACCGCGACAGAGCTATCGAGCCTAGCTGCGGACGAGCGGACAAAAGGATGCATATATTTGGGCGATCGAGCAAGACTTGCAAGCAGGATGGACAAGTGGAAGCGAGCGCCACGTATCACGAAACGGATCGAGGCTGAAATCGACGAACTGCCCCGAGGCTAGGATGGGATCGACCTGCGGCGATTCGATGCGATCGCCTCTCGCTAATTTCCACTATCTCGAGATGCAGCTAATCAGACGGTGTTCTTGGGCCTTCGTCCATCCACCGGGCCTTCGCACTACTCGCGGACTAACGTGTCTAGGCATAAACTAGGTGCTCGATGGAGACCGAGGACTGGGTGGCTGTCCGGCCGTCCTTTTGCTGCATCTCATGATGAAGAGAGAGAGCAGCAATACGGGGTGACGCCGCAGAGTCCGCGCAGAGTCGGTGCGATAGCCTCTTTAGCCTGCTTTATTCGCCATCTCCGCCTCCTCTCCTCTTCATTGTCCTGTAGTGCTGCTGCTGCTGCTGCTGGTTTTTTCTTCTTCTTCTCGCTGGAGATCGACCCGGCTTTGTTCGCGCGGTATTTTGTCTTTCAGGCCCGGTTTGATTGACACTGGATGCGCCCTCGCATGTGGTCGATGGAGTAGATACGGGGTCTCTAGTCAGTTACATGCTTTGACCGCATGCGGTGTTTCTGTTTCCCCATATCACGTCTCCGTTCTCCCTCGTTTTTTCCAACCTTCTTTTCAATAACCTTCTTTCCCCCGATCTTCTTTTCTTTCCATCGTCTTTCCTTCGATTCGCTTTCCTTTCGTCCTTTCGTCTTTCGTCTTTTCCTTTCGACTGCTCGACTTCGTTTTTCTTTCCTTTCTCGTTCGTCGCATGGATGGATTGATGGTGAGCCGACGACTTGCGCGAGGTGAGCAATGGACTCGGGAATAGATCACGAACACGGTCACGGCCGGAGAACCATCTTCGCCGTGACCCTGCTCATGGTGGTGCTGTCTGCCGGCTCTGTTGGGCTTCGGCTGGCTTCACGACTGTATATGCGGCAGGCCGTGAGGGTTCGTGATTATTTGATCGTTTTGGCATGGGTAAGTTGGTATCTAATGGCGGGTGGTTGCGATGTTTGCTGACCTCCCTCCAGATTTGTGCATTCGGCCTTTCGTTCTCGATATTATACGGAACGACCAAAGGGCTGGGTTTGAGGATGCAGTATATAGCTACAGCGCAGCGGCTGGACTTGAAGAAGGCGATATATGCGTTTTCCGTCTTTTACGTATGTCGTTCAGCCCAAAAGTACCCAGGTACCGACCTCATGGGAACGACCCGATCCGCTAACTCGGGTATATAGAACCCTACGTTGATGTTGATCAAAACATCGATACTCTTATTCTACCTTGACAGTATAGCTGATGTCCGCGCCTTTCGCTGGGCTACCTATGCTACCCTGTTCGTCGTCAACGCTGGTGGCATCGCTATGCTCTTCCTTAGCATATATCGCTGTCGACCTATGCGGTCCGGCTTCATGTATCCTCCAACGCCAGACAATGCGAAATGCACCAGCCTCGTCGACCTGTACCTGGCCTCCGTCCCTATCAACCTCGTGACGGACTGTGCTATTCTTGCCTTGCCCTTGCCTGTCATCTCACGGATGAGTCTGCCGTTCAAAAAGCGTACGGCACTCTACCTCATCTTTGCCGCTGGCGTGTTGACTACCGTCGTGACTATCATGCGCACGGCAATGTTACAGCATGCCTACGTTTCGCGAGATCGGGTTCAAACCGCTGCGTCCTGGGACGGAATTGATGAGGATGCATTCCCATGTATGCAGCATCCATCATCCCCTTGCCCACTGAACGCATTGAGAATACTAACATGTCCATGTAACAGGGCATGCATCGGAAGCAATCCTGTGGTCGGTTATTGAAGTGAATGTTGGCATCGTTTGTGCTTGTGTTCCTGCCATGAAAACATTACTTGCTGAACTTCTTCCACAGTCATTAGGGGGCGCGAACACTTCCAAATGGCGCAAAGACATCAAGGAGAAATCTCCGATGAGGGGTGACAGCATACTGGTCGGACGAGACTCTTTGACACCACCGCCTCTCGCCATCAATGGAGAGAGGCGATCATGCAGCCCTGACTCGACCTACAGCGATATGGATGTCCAGCCTGGTTTCAGGGAAGCAAGGGCTAGGAAAAGCAACTCGCACAGCCTAAGGAAAGGATGCACGGCTCGTGGGTGCGGCAAACCCAGACGAACGAAGAGCATGCTGGAGTTGACGAACAAGGAAGCGCTCCCATTTTTGACCGCCATAATCTTCCTATTATTCCTCTGGGGTTTCGCATACGGCTTACTCAACACCGTCAACTTTCACTTCTTAATCGAGGCAAAGACGAGCTATGCCAACGTTATCGGTCTGCATGCTGCTTATTTCGGAGGTTACCTCATCGGACCGGTGATTGGAGGCTTGATGCTAAAAAAGACAACTTTCAAACTAACATTCATCGTCGGACTGTGTCTATATGCCTGTGGCATTTTAATATCCTGGACGTCTGCAGTGCTGGCGTCGTTCCCGACCTATGTCTTTTCGAACGTGGTCATCGGTACTGGCATGGCCATTGTTCAGACCAGCTCCCACCCTTTCCTTGCTCTTTGTGGACCACAAGAGTATGCGGAAATGCGCTTGAATATCGCGCTCGGCTTCCAGTCGATCGGTAGTGTGATATCATCAATATTGGCGAAGAAGGCGTTTTCCCCAAAAGAAATCAACGCCGAGGATCTTGTACAGATGAAGTGGGCTTACTTCGCAATGGCACTCCTTCACATCATGCTAGCTATTGCAATGCACTACCTCTCTCTTCCAGAGGCAAACGATAACCAGCTCGCCGACCTCGCACGCCAGCGACAAATGGCCAACTCGACTAAGCTCCATGACATTCGGGTTGTATGGATCACCCTAGCACTGGCCGTGTTTGCTCAATTCTTGTTCATCGGTGGCCAAGAGGGTATCAATGTGCATTTCAGAAAACTGGCCAGGCAGACAAGAATAAAGTGAGTCCTCCCCCCTGGCTCCTTATTTTTCATAACCTATGTTCTAACCCGTTTTAGGAATGTTACATCTTTTGAATCCCAGGCAATAGGGTTTGCACTCTTTGCCCTCGGTCGGTTTGTAACGGTTGCTATGCAACTAATTGCGAAACCACGCACAATTCTTCAGATTCTATACATGGGCCTCATTGCCTGTACGATAGTTTGCGTGACCGTACACGGCAGAAGCGCCATGATCGGTGCTCTAGGCACATACGCGTTCGGAAGTGGCATATACGGCCTGACTTTCGCAATCGCCCTACGTGGAATGGGCCACCACACCAAATCAGCAGCTGCATGGTTAACCTTTGCAGTATCTGGCGGCGCAGTCTTTGCTTGCGTCCAGCGCGCAGTCGCTATAAATCGCGGTGTTCAATTCTCGTTTGTTGTTCCCGCTATACTCTTCGGCATATGTTTGGTATTCCCGATCTACCTAAACGTCTTCCCCGCCGCACAGAGACATACCGATCCCACATTGAAAAATCATCGTTCAAGGGGTGGTAGTATGGCATATCACCCCACCCAGAACGGCCGAGGAGAAGGCTTCGCCGTTCCGGAATCAATATTTCCTTCACAAGAAACTATCGCACGAGTCGTTCAGCAGTCGCAGGACCGTTGCTCGACATGTATATCGTCACCTATGCAGACGCCAAAGCCTTCGAAAGGCCATCACCGTGGACTAATGCATAGTTTGTCTTCATGGCATGCTTCCTTAAAATCTCCCACATCAGATAAAGCTTCTCTGTGCGAACCGTGCCAGTCACCACGAAGTAATTGGAACATGAGTCCGAGGTCAGAGAGGAGGAGATGGCCATCAGGTCCGTCTTCTCCTCCAATGGAAATGGATGAGGTTGATGCACAGGGGAGTTCGAGCTATCATCGTTCGTGAACAGCGGCATGGAGAATAAACTAAACAGGCATTAGCGGGCGTATTTGCTTACATTCTTTTGTTGACGATTTTCTTTTTCTTGCCCGACAGCCAGTCCTTTTTGCATTGACATATACCCTGCATCATTTGTTTGTATAGGCTGGGCATTCGGGAGTTTTCAGTTAGGTTTTCGGTCGAGAAGCCAGTATATGTATATGCCAAAGGCATACATAACACAGCACACAGTAAGATATTAGGTTGCTTTGATAGCTCTTACTTTTAGTTAAAAATATAATATTATAATTGGCAAACTCAACAGTCTACAGTTCAGTGTTAAGGCAGAAGGGGAATCAAGATAGAACTAGCCATACGAGAACGTTCGATTATCCAATTGCGACATAAAAAGGAAATGAAAAGGGGGAAACATTATTTTTCACATTAATTTATCAGTTCGACTCATAGACAACATAAAAAGAATTCAGGGCCATGCAATAGAGGGGGAATAGGGAAATGGTCGAAGAGTTCACGTATATACGTGATTATAAATACGGTATATTGTTAGATTGACATCTAACCACTGCACATCACACACTCATCCTTGTTCTCAATGCTGCCTAGGATACAGTTAGTACCTTGGTTAAATGAAAGACGCTCTATACGGTTGAGGGAGCAACTTACAAGCAAGGACTTTTTGTGAGTAGATGTCAGCTTCTGTCTGAGCATCGTCCTTTTCCTCCTTCGATTCAGACTCATCAGCATCAGCTGGCTCACTGGTCTTCTCAGTTGAGCTATCCTGGGAGACAGTTTTCGAACTTGACGAGGCGGGAGTGCTCGACTCCTCATCTGGGATGGTTTTCTTAGAAACTGGTCCTTTAACTGCCTGCTGTGTTCCGTCGTACATTGGGCGTGGGACGGCAGAATATGCGCTCGCAGAGCCTGCGATGCCGACACGTTTCTTCATCGCTCCATTGGCGCGTGCAACGTTAGTATCGACAACTTTGAGCTGTTCTTGGTCTACGGTGAACTGGATCGGGGCGGATGCAGCCATGGTGCGGAGATAGTACATGCCAGTCTTGAGACCGAGCTTCCAGCCTGCGAAGTGCATACTGGTGATTTTACCCATGGTGGGCTCTTTCAAGTGGATGTTGAGTGATTGGGACTGGTCAATGAATGCACCTCGATCGGCGGCCATTTGGACGATGGTTCGCTGAGAAATTTCCCAAACGGTCTTGTAGAGAGCCTTAATGTCTGCTGGAATGTTGGGAATGTTTTGGATAGAACCGCCGTCAGCAATGATACGGTTCTTCATGTTATCAGACCATAGACCGAGGTCGACTAGGTCCTTGAGGAGCCATGGGTTGACAACCTGGAACTCGCCAGCGAGAACACGACGAGAATAAATATTGGACGTGTATGGCTCAAAACACTCGTTGAATCCGAGAATCTGACTTGTGCTGGCAGTGGGCATAGGGGCGAGGAGCAAACTGTTGCGGACACCATGCTTTGCGATGTCGGTCTTAAGAGAATCCCAATCCCATAGGTCGGTTGGAGTCACATTCCACATGTCATATTGAAGGATGCCCTGAGACACTGGGGATCCCTCGTATGAAGAGTAAGGACCGTCGGCCTTGGCCAGCTCGCACGACGCGGTCAAGGCAGCGTGGTAGAGAGTTTCAAAGATTTGAATGTTCAAGAGTTTGGCCTCGGGGGAGTCGAAGGGTAGTCGGAGGGCAAGGAAAGCATCAGCAAGACCCTGGACACCGACAGCTATTGGACGATGACGGAAATTGCTTCGCTTTGCCTCTTCGACGGGATAGTGGTTTCCATCGATAATTCGGTTCAAGTTCATGACAACAACTTTAGTAACTTCGTGAAGCTTGCCAAAATCATATTCACCACGGACAGCGTCTACATATGTAGGAAGGGCAATGGACGCCAAGTTGCAAACTGCGACCTCATCTGGGGCGGTATATTCAACGATTTCAGTGCAGAGATTAGAGCTTCGGATGGTACCGAGGTTCTTCTGGTTACTCTTTCGGTTGCAAGCGTCCTTGTAAAGCATGAAGGGGTTACCAGTCTCAGTCTGAGCCTCGAGAATAGCGTACCACAGCTTCTGAGCCTTGATTGTGCTTCGGCCTCGACCTTCCTTCTCGTATCTATATACTAGTTAGGCGGGGGATTTTTTTTATATACTAAATAGCTTCGAGGTGGTTGGCACTTACTTTGCATACAAGGCCTCAAATTCATCTCCGTAGACGTCAGCCAAGCCGGGAGCCTCATTTGGGCAGAAGAGAGTCCACTCAGCGTTCTTCTCAACTCGTTTCATGAACAAATCAGGAGTCCACAGGGCCAAGAAAAGATCACGGGCTCGAACTTCTTCCTTTCCATGATTTTTACGGAGGTCAAGGAACTCGAAGACATCAGCGTGCCATGGCTCCAAGTAGATGGCAAAGGCACCTGGACGCTTGTTGCCACCCTGGTCAACATATCTCGCAGTGTTGTTGAACACACGGAGCATGGGCACAATGCCGTTGGAAGAGCCGTTAGTTCCAGCAATGTAAGATCCAGTAGCACGGATACGGTGAACGTTGAGCCCAATTCCTCCGGCAGTCTTTGAGATCAAAGCACAAGTCTTGAGTGTATCGTAAATACCTTCGATACTGTCCTCTTTCATATCAATGAGGAAGCAGGAGGCCATCTGTGGCTGTGGGGTACCGGCATTGAAGAGAGTTGGAGAAGCATGAGTGAAGTACTTTTGAGACATGAGGTTATACGTCTCAATCACCTTCTCGACATCCTCGCCGTGGATACCAACGGCAACTCGCATTATCATGTGCTGTGGTCGTTCGGCGACTTTGCCGTTGGTCCTCAACAGATATGATCTCTCGAGTGTCTTAAAACCGAAATACTGGTAGTTGAAGTCACGGTCGTATACGATAGCTGAGTTGAGCTCCTCGGCATGTTTCATGACAATCTCGCGAGTCTTCTCGGATATCATTGGGGCTGGACGGCCGTTCTTGGGGTTGACATAATGGTAGAGATCGTCTATGACGGACGAGAATTGCTTCTTGGTCTGTTTGTGGAGGTTCGATACAGCTATTCTCGCGGCGAGGATGGCGTAGTCTGGATGGGTGACGGTCATGTATGCAGCAGTCTCTGCGGCCTGTTGGGATCTGTTAGTGATATATTTGGCAACAGCGAGCAAAAGAGAAGACGGCGTACCAAGTTGTCGAGCTCGACTGTGGTCACTCCCTGGTAGACACCCGAGATGACTCTCTGTGTAATGGCTGCTGCGTCGACATGCTCGGGGTTGAGGCCATAACATAGCCTCGACACGCGGGCAGTGATCTTGTCGAATTGTACGCGCTCCTTGCGGCCATCTATACCGTTCGTTAGCTATGTGACAGGGCATAACTCGAGTCGGGATATTCAGGCCAGGGATGTGCAATAAATCAAGGGTTATATACCTCTCTTGTAAACGAACATCTTGCCAGCTCCCTTTCGATTTCGTTGTCAGACTGTGTAATAGAGCTGTGCGAATAGAGTAATCTTCTTCCTCTGAAGCTTGTGTGCAGAGACGCGAGGAGACGGTGAAGGTGGCTGCTTCGAGGGGTTGGGGAGTGGAAGATAAGCACGAGAGACGATCGAGGATTTTCCAATTTATACACAGCGACGCGTCTTTCTTCTTTGGGACGCGGCGAAAATGGGAAAAGGCGTAGTCACGTGACAATATCAACGCGCTTCAGGTTTTTGGCGGGAGGGCGGATTATTAATTATTGATTATGGGTATTCGATATAGCAAAGCACGAGACGGTGGCTGGGACGATCGGAGACCCAAGCATGAGGGGCACGCGAGATACTACTATACAGCTGCGGATCCCTCAAGTATGTCAAAACACATAGCATACTCCTGAGAAGAGGTATTACGCTAACATCGGGCATTGTCTGGTTAAAGACAAGTATACACTCATGTCATTCAAGTGTGACAAGTCACGCAAGTCAACTCATGTCAGTCAACGTCAAACAATTCTATTGGAGCCGACTAAGCGGACTGTTTCTTCTATGTAAAACAAGAGTATCACCGGGAACAAGTATACAAGGCGAATGCAAGATGAAAGGCGAAGCAGTAAATTGAGTAAGGACGCTTAAAGGGCAATAGCTCCAACGATAGCAACGACCAGAGCTACGAACACCGAGTCAGCCTTGTTGAAGGACCCAGCGTTGTGCGTGCTGGAAGGAGCAGAGCCAGAACCGGAGGTCGAGGTTGGGGTGGAGCCGGAAGTGGTCTTGGAGCCGGTGCTGGAGGCAGTTGGAGAGGAAGTAGAAGACTCAGAAGAGGACGAGGTGTTGGTATCAATGAGCTCTAGAGGGGGTAGACTTGGTTAGCGACTGTATTTAAATTATCCACACCCGAGGATTAAGACGGATCTTGAACGCACTGATATCATGTCCAGCATCGGAGCAGATCGTCTTGAAGGTCTTCAGGCCAGAGTCGACATCTTCCTTGCAGAACTTGACAATCTGCTTCTGGACAGTGTTGCTGGCGGAACCGCAGACCGTATCAAAGTCGCCAGGAACATTCTGGGTGCTGTTATAGACCGTTAGCCCGGTTATCATACTTCCAAGGTCAGCATACAACGTACTTGACTGCTCCGATGACACAGGCAGGAGGGAACGCCGCGACGAGGCCGCAGAGGGCGAAGAAGACGAAGACGAGAGCGGATCTGGCGAACATGGCGAGCGATAAAACAGACGTTCGTAGGGGGGAAAAAGTGGTAAAAAAGGACGGAAGCTGAAGAGCGTCGAGCGTAAGAAGAAGCGAAGTGGTAATGAGCGTGGTTATCGAGCGATAAAGCGACTGAAAGAGAGACCTAAGGAGCGATGGTGATGGTTAACGGTCGATGGACGAGGGTGAAGAAGGAATGTTGATGATGGATCTTGTCCCTGCCAAGCCGCCAGCCAGGGCCTCAAACACGCTAGGCCCCTGGATCGAGGGAGCATTTAGCCGCCACCAACTCCGACACAGACTATGTCATCTATATCATGGACTACAGTATATTCAGGATATATAGACAGTTAGTTCTTCCACCGCGCGTCCTCCTTGCTAACAACGACCTCCGCCACAGGCAGCCGGCAGTCCACAATCTCCCGTCCGTTGACCAGATCGTTCTCCCTCGCCCTTTTGTCTGCCTCCTCTTCGTCCTTCGCAATACCGGCACGCACATGTCTCTTGATCAGTCTCTGTCTCGCAACCTCAAAGTCCACCTCGACAAACCACAGCTCGTCCAGCAGCGCTGCCGCATCGCTCCACGGCCGCTTATCGAGGGCGAGATAGTTGCCTTCGAATAGCAGTATGCGAGCTGTAGGAGGGATGGGGATGTCGTTCTCCACCGGGTCTTTAACGGCGTGGTCGAAGCTGGGAGCGTAGAGGGTAGGCGAGCTTGTGGTTAGCGGGTTGCGCAGTGAGCTGATCAGGGTTATCAGGTTGGTTGGATCAAAGGTGAATGCTGCACCGCGGCGAGCAAATGCGAGGACTGGATCTGGCATGGCGGATAGTTGCGCGCGGGTAAGGTGATAGCCGTCCATGGAGATGCAGGCTGCAACTAGAGAAGGACTCATGGCGTTAAGGCGATGGACGACGGCGGTTGCTAGTGAGGTTTTTCCTGAGCCGGGGATACCGCTGATACCGACCATGTAGCGTGCCGATGGCTCTGTGGATTGGAATGCCCCTACAGTTAAAATCTGTGAGTACCAATGCTATCCTTACTATCGGGTATGAGGGGGCCCTTGTAAGAGTGGACGTCGCATACCCCATACTTTCTGCGCGAGACGCTCGACCTGCTCGTCCATCGTCAAGTGTACCCACGAACTACACGAGTATGAAGATCTAAAGAACGTCTGCTGTTAATAATGGTGAGATGGCTGGTGGTGAAGTGGTGGAGGTATAACTCTACGCTTTCCGCAGGATATGCCCACTGTTGTTACTAAGCAGGGTGTTCGCTCCAAGTTTCTCCAATACAGAGACCATCGGTATGACAATTCCAACATCTTAAGATGAGGCTAAAATTCCACCCTTGCGGCTCTCTATCATGATCACACAACCTGACTTAGGTACTTTCTCGTTACGAGGAGCAGTCCGCTTTTGGCTCAGGATTACTGAAGCTCATGAGTAGCACCCGCTACTAGTCGGACATCTATCAAGATCAACACTCGCGTGGCTAGCAGTTGTGAAACCACGCAACAGGTCAATTTCCCACAATGATCGTGATATACCCTATCTCGAGATCAGCTTATCTAGTGGCCGATCGAGCCTTAACCAGGGCCACATCGATTGCAGATCTATACTTACTACAGCCAAGGAAGTAGTACTGACTCAAGCATGACAGTGACAAAAGGAATCACCATTAGGAGCTCCAGACAAGCTACTTCCAACGAGACAAACGAGCCAAACAGGCTTGAGGTAGCTTTTAGGCTCATTTACCCCAGATGCATTATATCTCCTGAGTCGTTCAATCGCCAACATACCTCGCATTCATCCAACAGGAGACTTTTCACACGGCCGAAACCATGAATAATTTTATCACTTTAACTGCTCTGGCACTCGTCACCGCTACCATTGGCCTCGGGGAAGCTAATATTTCCAATGTCCAGCATCGGCTAGTTCCATCTCAGAACCTCTAACATGAACAATGTCATAACGGGTGAGCTTGCGGATGTGGAGTAATTCCGTCAGGGGTTGAAGAACCAGGCAAAACTAACTCAAATATAACTTTCAATTACTAGTAGAGGCCTTCCCTTTGGGAATGGAGCGTTGCTGTAATTATGCACTTAAAAATATCTACACGCCTACGTTGCGCTATCAACTACATTTATTATATGGACAGGCTTTAAGAGTAGGACATCGGCTAACATATTAAGCTGAGTCTACCGCCTACTTCTACGAGTTGGTTTTTGAAATGTATGAAGTGCCCCTGAAGTTATATAGGAAGTGCTGGAGTTAAGCGTGGATAAGCTTGTTTAGTGGGGTAGCCTGGATAAGCTTAACCACCAACGCGGGACAAAACACTACACTGAAACAACACCTTGTTTTTAAATGCGTTGAACAAGCCGAGAAAGTCATATTAAATAACCGTACCATCGGTAAGTAAGTAAGCAGGCAGCAAGAAAGTAGATATAAACCCGCCCAGGCCCCAAAGAAGAAGGAAACATATAAAAACACCCGCAAAAATCAAAGAATCATCCATCCTTTTTAACCATAAGGCTACACACACAGGGTACAGCACGGAGGTATTATATCGTCTGTCCTGCACATCTAACAAGAAAGGAAATATCATAATGCGTGGAAAGTAAAGAAGTAGAAGAGACCGGCTCTTAGGAAGGGAAAGGTGGTTACTCGGCGTTACGCTCGCGATTGAGCTCACGATTAATGATACGTGTCAGGCCGGCGGTGGCCCACCATTCTTCTGGAATATCGTCTCGTCTGCTCAGAAGATTGAGCGTGTCGTGTAGCAGTTGCAGGCCGGCTGCTTCATTCTCGAGCGTGAATGAAGAAGCGGTGGGCGCAGCGTTGTCAGACGACGTACCAGCATCGGCCTGTGTTTGGGATTGGCTCTGTGTCTGTGATTGGTTTCGTGACTGGTTTCGTGACTGATTCCGGCCCCGGCTTTGGTACCGTTCTGTATCATCGTCTGCCTCTGTATCTGAGTTTTCAGAAGAAGAGATGAAATCGCAATTTGCAGGGAGGGGTGGGAATGGGTCGAACATGATGTGCATGCGCGAGGAGGCAGTGGAGCCAAATGATGAAGCAGGGGTGAGAGATGTAGGAGCCGTGGTTGATGCTCGAGATACGGCCGCGGAAGCTGATGCAGTGGCGGAGGTGAAGGAGGAATCTGCACTGGGAAGATGGTTGTCTAGCGGGATGGTATTGAGCAGCCTGGCCCATGTGTCTGATACATCGGGGACCTCGTCATCCGTGGGCATGCGGTTGACGTCACGGTCAGTGGAGAAGATGTCGTCTAGAGAAAATGAGGGTGCAGTCGATGGTGAGTTACGTGCCGTGGCGACGGAGCGGTGTCCCACGCGACGGAGTAGAGGCATGCTGGCGTCCATGGTCCCCTCGACCGGGGAAGGGTCATCGAACTCCTGGCCGGCGGCCTGAACGGGGTCCTCAGGATGGGCGGGCGCGAATCGAGGCGAGTACGATGCGCGGTGTCGAGTAGCATGGGCCACGGACAAAGGCGGGAGATCCTGGCCGTGCGGGTCTCTGGGAATCCTCATACGACGGCCGGGGGAGGCATAGTTGACGCTATCTCGTAGCAGCCGACGGCCTATCTCACGACGACTGACGCCTGGCATCTCGACATTGTCCCACACGCTTCCGCCATAGTCGAGCAGTGGATTTCTGGCGATACGTGGGAGTGACGGGTCCCTATCGCCGCCGCTGCTGCGGTCGCGGTCGCGGTCGGCCGCCCGAGAGACTGGGTCGATTATTAGATGCCTGTCTCTGGGGTCGAGCGTACCGATGGAACGACGGGCAGCCTGGAGCCTACCGAGGGTTCTCCGCGGGTATTGTGAGGCGTGCGAGCGTCGGATAGACGAGCGACCTGCTGCCGTAGGGTCGGCTGGTGGCTTAGGGCTGGCATCTGCGGCAGTGCGAACACCGGAACCAGCACTGGGGCGCGTGCGAGACGCTGGAGGAGTGTAGTCGAGCCTGACGGATCGTTAGTGTTGATCGATATAAACGCGTTCTGAGCTGATGTTATCACGGGTCCTGGAGGGAGCGACACTTACGGGACACCCATGATTGCACAGCAACGGCGAGTATTACTAGAGATGGCAGAAGAGAGACGACGCGAGGGAGAATGAAGGCCCCAGAGAAGATACCAAGTATTAGGTGAATAGTGAGTGTTGTGATGGAGGTGAAGCTGAACCTGGCGTATCGAGTATGGCGATTACGGGGTTGCTGAGGTGAAACGCGGGTAAAAACTCCAGCCACCGTAGCCACACGTGATGGAGCCGCGATACGAGTAGATAATGGTGGCAGTGACAGTGATGATGATGACAGTGAGATAGAGATGACCGAGATGAGATGGCTGTAGAGAGGAGATGGCCGTAGAGAGAGGGCGATTTGAAGTGAAGCGAAATGGAGGATGTTCCTCGTCTTCCGCCTGGCGCAGCGTCGCAGGGGTAACCGACCACAGCTACACAAGAACCAGAACCACGCTCTATCTAGAGTAGATGAATAGATATAGAAGTAGTAGATATAAGAAGAGAAAAGTAGATATAGATATAGATATAGAGTAGGTATAAAGTAGATATAAAGTAGAAAGTAAGGAAGAAGAAACTACACCTCACGTGACCACGACTTATAAAGATCGAGAAACAACTTGAAGCTCGACTTGAAGACCAGCTCAGATTCACGATTGAGACCGACACAGCGACATAGAAGGTCTACTATGGGAATTGGCTGATGATCGACCTTGGCCTCGCCCGCATCGCGCGCCTGGTGCCGCCAGCGTCGCTCGCCTGGAAAGCCGTCCACGTCGCAGGCACCAACGGCAAGGGCTCTATCGCGGGCTACCTCTCGACCCTGCTCACGGCCGGCGGGCTTCGCTGCGGCTCCTTTACCTCGCCGCACCTGATCGATCGCTGGGACTGCATCACCATCAACGAACGCGCCGTGCACGAGTCGCTCTTCCGGCATGTGGAGGAGCAGGTCAAGCGGCTGGATGCGAGCCTGGGAGTCGGCGCAACCGAATTCGAGCTGCTCACTGCCACGGCCTTTGAGATCTTCCGGCAGGAGAAGGTCGACGTGGGAGTCGTCGAGGTTGGGATGGGAGGCAGACTGGATTCGACGAACATCCTGACCAGCGCCAATGTGCTGGTGTCGGTGATTGCGAATATCGGGCTCGACCACCAAGCTATACTGGGCAGCACGCTCGCTGAGATCGCGGCCGAGAAGGCCGGTATCATGAAGGCGGGAGTTCCCTGTGTCGTCGACGGGACAAACCAGGAGGAAGTCAAGACGGTGATGAGGGAGCATGCGAAGGAGGCCGGTACTGCTGCCACCTTCGTTGAGCCGGACGGTATAGCGGCTGCCTATCCGCAGCTACAGCAAAGGTTCAACGACCTTGCAGCCCAGCCGCATCAACGGTCGAACATCTCCTGCGCGATCGCCGCCCTGGAATATGCTCTACCACGTCTACGAGCAAACTTGAAACCCTCCGACCTACTCCCGTTCCTACCTCTCAGCCCGCGCGCCGGCAGACTGCAGCACGTCGATCTGTCCCCCCTCATACCTCGCAGCGAACGCGTCCTGCTCGATGGGGCCCATAACCCGCAGTCTGCCAGAGTGCTATCATCATACGTCGACCAGACCCTGCGTCGGCCAGAGACAAACATCACCTGGATAATCGCCGCATCACAGGGTAAGGACCTGCAGGAGCTGTTCGGCAGCATGCTCAGGCCCGGAGATAACGTGGCTGCGGTCCAGTTTGGCCCTGTCGACGGGATGCCATGGGTCAGAAGCGTGCCGGACACTGAGCTGCTGGCCACGGCCAGGTCCGTCACAGATATCGGATCAACCACGCAGTTCGGACATGATATCGTCCAGGCACTGCAGTGGGCGCACCAAACCGCCGCCGACAAGCCCATCGTCATAGCCGGCAGTCTCTACCTGGTCTCTGACGTCTTGCGTCTGCTCCGCCAGACCACCGCCGCCGCAGATGATGCGGATGCTGATGTGGCTCGCACTGTGGCTTATGTGTAAATATTACTTGATTGGGAATAATGCCACGAGCAATCCTGTTTCATCGGATCTACAATCTCAACCCTCTTTCCCCGGACTTTTTTTTTATTTTTATCTGATACGATCCCCCCTGGGCCTGCTGTCGTACGGAGGGGGAGAAGCAGGAAGCGAGACGAGACCAGGAGAAACACCGTCGATCCAAGTAGACTCGTTCTCATGACCAGTTCATTCTCGTAGCAGCCGTAGATACGTAGAATATACGTAGTTTATAGAGAAACGTCGCCGTCGCCGTCTCTCTAAGCGGCGTCTGCAGTGACAGCCAAGTGCGTCATCGTTACCCTTAATTTCTTCTCTCACCACCACACATCCAGAACCACGCGGGATAGAGAAGCACTGCGGTTGAGAAGACGCTGTTTGCTAATTGTCTGCAGCTCGACAGGACCGGCGCCCGACGCTTCTCTCCCAACCCCTTGCCCGGGTCCAGATAGCTTCCTCCCCCTGCTCCCTTACTGCTGCTGCTCGCTTTCGTATCAAGAACCTCCGCGTAACCATCGACCAGACCATCCCGCACCGAGAGGGAAGCGAACAGGCGAACGAGCAAAAGAAAAACAGGCAATAGGCAGCAGGCCACAGGCGGGCTGCTCAATCAATGTGCAACACCACCGCACCGCATACCTGACATGAACAAACCACAGCTGTCATCGCCACTAAACAACTCCCTTTTCACCGCAACTCCAGGCCCGCCACGCCATACCATACATACCACGGCCTTCCCGCCAGCAAACAGACGTATACAGACAGATACAGAGAGACGGACGGACCGACGGCCGAACGATGGTGGTGTCCCGACCCCGCGACCGCGAACAAGATAATGGAGACGCCACCCGCATCACAAATACCCCTTCCAAGTCGTCCAGAATGTCGAGAGCGGACTCTAGTCCGCCCAAGAAGGAGCGGGAGAGGGACAGGCAGATCAAATCGTCAGCCAAGGACGTCGCGGAGCTCACTGATTTCGTACGTTTGCCTACCCTTATTCTGAGAGCTGCGAGCTGAGAGCTGAGAGCTGCGGGGAGCGTGAGATGGACCAGATCGGCTAATGGGTGTGCGGATGATAGCAATTAGGGGATTGTCTGGGCAAAGGCGCCTTTGGGTCTGTCTACAGAGCTCTGAATTGGGGGACAGGCGAGACCGTTGCCGTCAAGCAGATACGGCTGGCTGATCTACCAAAAAGCGAGCTGAGGGTTATCATGGTGAGTGCTGGCCGTCTACCATCGAGTGCTGCACGATATATATATACCGGGCTTGATCTAATTATTATCCATGCAGCAAGAAATAGACCTGTTGAAGAATCTAGATGTAAGCTCGGAGAGATTATACGGATCAGGAACCCGGTCTGGCCCAAGGTAACTAATCTATCATAGCATTCGAATATCGTCAAGTACCATGGTTTTGTAAAGTCTGCAGAAACCCTAAACATTATACTAGAGTATGTCCATATACACCTCCCCAATACTCTGCTATAGATCTAACAAGCTGCTAGGTACTGCGAGAACGGATCCTTGCATTCCATATCCAAAAACTTCGGCCGTTTCCCAGAGAACCTTGTTGGACTATACATGTCACAGGTACTTCACGGACTGCTCTACCTGCACGAACAAGGTGTCATACACAGAGATATAAAAGGTGCAAACATCTTGACCACCAAGCAGGGTCTGGTGAAGTTGGCGGATTTTGGTGTAGCCAGCCGAACCACGGGACTTCATGAGTCCAGCGTCGTTGGCACACCATATTGGATGGCTCCGGAGGTAATTGAACTCTCCGGTGCGACGACAGCCTCGGACATCTGGAGTTTGGGTTCAACCGTCATCGAATTGCTTGAAGGGAAACCCCCATATTATAAGTTCCAGCCCATGCAAGCCTTGTTTCGAATTGTCAACGATGACCACCCACCTCTTCCTCAGGGTGCTTCTCCCGTGAGTAGTCCCTCCCCCTACCTTGCTGGTATAATGACTGCTAAAACATACCATTCTAGGCCGTAAGGGACTTCCTCATGCAGTGCTTTCAAAAGGACCCGAACCTGCGTGTTTCTGCAAGAAAACTACTCAAACATCCCTGGATAGTAAACGCTCGACGATGCGACTCTGTTGTGCCGAAGAAGTCCACCGAGTACGAGGAGGCTGTCAAGAGTGTTCAGGAGTGGAACGAAGCACTCCGATCTCCCAATTCAAATGCCATCCGGAAGACCTCACAACAATCGGGGATGGGGAATAGTCCCATGTCGACACAAAAGGACCCTTCCCTTCACCCCGTGAATATAGCAAACCGAGACTCCCTATCTGTTCTCAACATGAACGCCGCTGAAAAGTACCGCTCCCCAGAAAATGCAAATGACGATAACTGGGACGACGACTTTGCCTCCGCCATATCTCCTCGCGCCCTTCACCTCCCACACCTTAAGCCCCAGGATAATTTCGGCGGAATGCTCTCTCCCGAAAAATTAAAGGCCTTTGCATCCCTCGAAGGCATAACTGAGCTCTGCCAGTCAGATAGCTTCGGTGTAGACGATGACGGCCAAATTAACGATTCCATGAATAATGACGAACCTGACCCCTTACAGACCATTCGGCCACTGACCCGAAAGTCGCCTGATGATGAAATTATGCCACCACGCAGTCCACGCAGGAGACATAGACAATATCCTGGTTCCGCCTTTAGGAGGAACCCAATAATATCGTCAGCCTCAGGAGCGGCGAGGCCGGTTCGCCATTCGCGGCCTGCGAACTTTTATGAAGAGAGTTCGGTGGAGGACTATTCGGATCTCATTGAAGCGAATGACGAGGTGTTGGAAAGTAAACTGTCTGCCATGCCGGTGAGAACATATCAATTACTCGCTCCTGAAACAATTATCATTCTAACGATTTTATAGGGTACCGGGCAAGACGAGAATGCCATCCAAGCCCAAGCTCTAATGGGTCAAGACATATTCTCAGGCGACGAGGAAAACGGCCCTATAAAACCAACATCACACAGGCGCAAAAGATCTGAACTCGCGCGCTCCCGGTCAGCAATTGAAATAGAAATGTACGCTGAGAACGAAGCAGATGAAGACTTCTCTGATATCTTAGGGGACGACGAGAGTACGCTTGTAAAGCTAGAAAGTGACGAAGGCTCAGACCGCAGCACGTTACTTCTCAACTCTAAACTATCTACTAACTCGTGGCTCGGCGATATTGATGATGAGGATGATCCATTTGCGCAACTCGAGGAAGGGCTGGATGAGTTGGACTTGGAAGCTAACATTGCGCGAGACAAGTATGCCCGGTTACGAAATCAGGTTGAGAGCCTGGTTAGTTCGTTGAAAACATCGCAGGATGACGAAATTCTAGTAGATATATCAGACCAATTGGTAAGTGCTCCCCGGCCCCTTTTTACTACTATTATAGATTTTTACTTTAGTACCATGCTAACTCTTACTAGATGACCATATTTTCAGACATGCCTGAAACCAAGTCTGTGATTATGAGTGCTCATGGAATGCTCCCTATCCTAGAAATTCTAGACACCTGCAGGCGCCGGGATGTCATCTCTAACCTTTTGAAGATAGTTAATGCTGTATGACTTACCCCTATTCCCCTTTCAAATGGCTGATGCATCAGGCACTGATACGTGCGTGATAGATCATCTACAACGATTATGAGATCCAAGAAAATCTCTGCTTCGTTGGTGGTATTCCAATCATCAATAAATTTGCCTCGAAGAAATATCCAAGAGAAATCCGTCTTGAGGCAGCGGCATTTGTCCAACAAATGTTTCAAACATCTACCCTAACCTTGCAGATGTTTGTCAGTGCCGGTGGATTGAACGTTCTTGTTGAATTTCTTGAGGACGATTATGAGGATGAGAGGGAACTTGTTTTGATTGGTGTCAATGGCATATGGAGTGTCTTTGAGCTGCAGGTATGTATCCAGCCCTTACATTATTGCATCTACACATCTTACTGTGATTGGAATCTCACACATCGCTAGGGGTCAACTCCAAAAAATGACTTCTGCCGAATACTGTCTCGAAACTCAGTCCTGGACCCCTTGTCCCTCGTTTTGAGTAGGGTACTCGACGAGGAAGAGGGCGAATTGGCAGAGGTTTGCGAGGCTCGTATTTCTAACATTTTTTTCATATTTTCACAAGCTGAAAGCCACGTCAAAGAAATGGTTGCTGAGAGAACTGTCCTACACCGTAAGTGGAATGCATCTACACCCTGGATGAATTCATACTAACGTTTATAATAGGCGTTTTGAAAGAATTAAAGAGAATGTCACCCACTCCTCAGATAACGATGCTTAAATTCATAAAGAATCTCTCCATGTTATCTACGACACTGGACTCCCTTCAAAACTCCAACGCCATTGACGTCCTTACCGAACTTCTCCGATCAACGATGAAGAAGCCCCATTTCCGCGAAGTGTCAAACCAAATCTTGAACACAATCTACAATATGTGCCGTCTCAGCAAATCGAGGCAGGAGGATGCCGCATTAAATGGCATAATACCTTTACTTCAAAAGATTGTCAAAACGGAGCGGCCCTTGAAAGAGTTTGCACTGCCTATTCTCTGCGATATGGCACACTCTGGCAAAGTTGGACGCCGTGAGCTGTGGAGGAATAAGGGGTTAACGTTTTACATCTCCCTACTCTCAGATCCTTACTGGCAGGTCACAACTCTGGATGCGATTTTTACCTGGTATTTTACTCTCTAGCCCATCTTATACTTGGAATGATTCTTACTAACAATTACGATTAGGCTTCAAGAGGAAACCGCTAAGGTTGAAGAGTATCTTCTTGATACCCAGCACGGGGATTATTCATTCACAGTTGCCATTATCAGATGCATGGCAATATCAAAAGCCAATGCCTTTGAGAATCTTCTTGAGCCACTCCAAAAATTACTACGTTTAAGCCCTGCGATCGCAGCCACTCTTGCCAGACCTGATATGTTTGAGCGCATTGGCCAAAAACTACAGCATACCAAGCCTGCTGTAAGGGTGAACCTGTTGCGTATACTATCTACAATCTGTGACTCAAGCCAGGAACAATGTGGCCTTCTCCGCCGCTATGGACTTCTCGACGCGATCCGAGAGCTACAAAAGGACTCTCGAGTTCTTGTCAGGGAGCTCGCAGGCCAACTTGTAAAAAATAGCGAGGAAAGTGATAGCGTCAGTCTGAACGGATCGAAACGAAGACCAACCCCAAGACGCAGAAGCACGTCCACGGCTGCCCCTCCTAGCCTCATCTCAAGTCACTCCATGCCCGCAACCCCTCAAGTGACCAGGCCGGGTTCTGCAAAGCCATACTACGAAGGTCGGGAAACTCCGCGTCGCCAAAACGGGCTTGATGGCTCCTTAATCCTTCGCCCTGGGAGCCGGGACGGCAGAGGCCCAAATATACACCCTGGCCTGGCAGGGAATGGTAGTACTGGACTCTCAAGCAAGACTCCGCGACTAAGTCATAGACTATCGCAACAAATTCTACCAAGTTTACAACCAAAGGAAGAAATTCGAACCCCAACATCTTCACGCACCCCGTCTCTCCTTCAACCATCATCGAGGAGACGCAGGCCAACTAATAGCAGTAACTCAAATTGGACTTGAAATTGTACTGGACTAAAAGAGGAAGCGGGCCGTCTGTATTTATTATAGAGCGATTGTGGAGTCGGCGCATTTGGCGGGTTCAAGCTCTTTTCTTGGAAGCATCCTTATAGGTACAAAAAACGGTAACACCAATTTTTGTTTTTATCTGGTTCTATGGGTTTCATAGAGCATCTTTATAGCATTTGGAGACTGAGATCCGAAACCACACATTATCTTATCCTATTCCTACATCTCCGTGATACGACCAATCTTCTCCCCTAGAGGCTTTCCTGCCAAAGGGTCTATATATCCTACGATCATAGTTGATACTAAGAAATCTTCGCGCCGGAATACGGATATAAAAATACTTTATACAATCCAGCGAGTGCTGGAGATTTATTGAGCTACGAGTGCCGCCTAACCTCCATCCCCGAACATCTCCAATTTTCATAATAATCATATAAAGGGAAAAAAAATAAGGCCGTCGTGGGGGTAAGTCGTGAATGTAACATAACTCATAGTTGATCCGCTTTGTGGTGTTTCCACCTTTGCAAGGCCGTTAATCTATAAGCAACCTCAGTAGTCATCACCTCGGCTAATGACCTCTTTTACGTTTGGTCGTAGCAAGATTGTCTATTATTTTAATTCTATTAGCAAGAGAAGCTAAGGGAAACTTGAGGTTATGAGGAGAAGGATAACTTACATGCTCAAACTGGGCTGTATAGGACCCCTTCACGTCACAGAGCGGAGGGTATGCATCGACAAGTCCGGAAGAGACTAGGTTGTTCAACTATTTGATGATGGTGTCAGCACGGAATATTCCAAATATAGATTTCCGCTTTTTAAGGAAGAAAGGGGAAATGTGGTTACTTACCCCAAGAAGATATTTCTCCTGACCAAGGCGATCAAGATACCGACGGCAAAATGGCAATGTGCCGAAGTTCTTGTTGATAAGGCTGTACAAGTTTTTCGCGGAGGACAAGCGTAGAGGCACACTCGGGGCATTGGGCACTTTAGCATAGTGAGATGTTTCCATCTATTCGTTTTGACCAAATTAGTCCCAGATGCAACGTTACAACGCTGAGAGGAACCACTTACATCATCCCTGACATATCCCTTTCCGGTGCTACCAAATGTTTCGATGGCATAAGTTTCACCTTCTTCCATCTTTGTTTGGTCACCACCCTTGACGATTGGGACGCTCTTCCCGTTTTCTCCACCGTGAATTTCGTACTGGCCAATTGTGTGGCCGTTCAAGTTGCGAATCGCCTTGATGGGATAGCTCGTGCCGTTCAGTTCGAGTTCGTAACTCTCCATCGTTTCCTGAATGGCTGCACCGATATCACTCATGCGGACATCAATTCCCGCTTCCTGAAGGGGTGGCATCGTTAGCCGGGGAAATAATATAGGAACGAGAGGAGAGGAACGACAGACATACCTTGATTCCGGTGTTGGTTGCTTCCTTGACGGCGGTAAGCAGAGGATCAAAAACCGGGTCAAATGCAACAGTAAAAGCACTGTCGACGATTCTGCCATTGATATGGACACCAAAGTCCACCTTCATGACATCGCCGTGCTGAAGAACGACCTTGTTTCCAGCATTGGGAGAATAATGGGCCGCACAGTGGTTGATATTCAACCCGGTAGGGAAACCCATTCCGGCAACCAAGCTGTCTCCTTCTTCCAAGCCCATGTGGCCGGTCAAATGGCGAACTCCATCTTCAATACCCTCGGCAATATCGGTCAAAGTGGCACCGGGCTTGATCAGCTCCTTCTGCGCATATTGGCGGACCTGACGGTGAATTTCGGCCGCCTGACGGTATTCGGTGAGGAAGTCATTGTTCATGCGGTCAAGGTGTCTCTTCTCTTCGTTTGTAGTACGGTAGGAATTTTCGTTTAGATATTCCACGATCTGCCCTTCGGGGAAGGTGTTGTTGGGGAATAGAGTAGTCAATGGAATGCGTGGTGGTTCAGTCTGAGCTTTGGCAGCCTTCTTCTTCTTCTTCGGCTTCTTCTTTTTCTTTTTCTTTTCGGCTAGATGTAAGATTCATCTTTAGTATATCTCCGTAGTCAAATGAGGGCGAGTAAGGTCAAAAACGAACCGTTTACTTCGGTCGAAGCACCGGGCTGGTCGTCCTCTTTGTCATCGTCAGAGTCTCCTTCATTCTCGGCGTCGTCTTTATCAGATTCTTCCTTGGAAGCTGCCTTTGCCTCAGCAGAGCCACTCTTGCTATTCACTACAGAGATAACGCGTTAGATCCCTTCTGTACACAAGGTAAGATGCTCAACAGCACCCCCACATCGAGAGCTACGAGTGAGGGGTTTGAAGAAGAAGATTGATGTGAAAGGTCTTACAGTCGAGCTTTGCGAGCTCTGGGGCAGCCTGGGCAGCCATTATGGAGCAGATCGTTCTGTTAAACTGGTTTATTTTGGGGATGTAATTGCGGGCGGGAAGTGGGTTGGTTTATATAGGCCCTCCTCGTATATATCGTCACTACCGGGAAAAATATTTTAGCGAGCACAATGCGCCCATTCTTGGATACTATGCATGTGACTCTGCTGGGATTTCTATACAGGGCTCTGAGAGAATAAGATATAGATATATACGTAAGAATCTCACGGGAATATGCAAATTTCTCCAAGATCTCGCCCTCATCGTCGAGGAAGCTCGCGGAGTTTCATCTCATGTATACGGTCATGTGACCTTATCAACTCGGCGATAAGGAAGTCGGACTTCACGACGTTTCTTCTTTTGGGCCGAATATCAAGCTGACACTTTCGACTTTTGGCTACGAGCTGGAGGGAATAGACATGAAGGAATGCCATTCTGTCCCCATAACCCGTATCTGCGGCCACCACCGACCCTCTTCCTCCACCGTTCGATAACACGGCTCCATATCAGCCACTTCTCGTCCACGGTCATCCGCGCTGCGAGCCAGACGCACTATGAAACCCTCGGCGTGCCGGTCAGCGCGACGACAGACGAGATCAAGAAGTATGCAATGTGCCTCCTTGTTCAATGCTATATGACCTTGTGGAACATCTCTAATTGGGATTCTTGTGGCGTTGGATAGAAAGTTCTATGCCCTCTCCCTAGCCCACCACCCAGACAGAAACAAGGATCCCAGCGCGACGGATAAATTCTCCTCTATATCTTCCGCGTACCACGTCCTTGCCAACCCTACAAAGCGCGCCCGGTATGATCGAGAGCACGACATTCGCATCCCTACCGCCCAGGGCGCCACCAGGCCTGGAACCGGTAGTTTCTCATCAGCATCGTCTGGAAGCTCTCAATTTGGTTCGCGGCCTGCGTCTGGCCTGAGTAAACGCCGTGGAACGTTCAAAGGGCCTCCGCCGAGTTTCTACGCAAATGGCGGGTACGGTACTAGCTATAGACAACATCAACAACCTCAAGACCACCAGCAGCACCAGCATCGATCGCATCAGGAACATCCCTCCTCGACATATCCTCAATACCATGATTCTGACGTTCCGCATTTTGATGCCTGGTCTCATCGACGGACTCAGTCGTATGAAGACATGAGACGGCGGATGAGACGGGTTAGATTTATGGAAGAAGAGAAGAAGCGAGCTGCCGCCGAGGGAGCGGCGTCTGGTGGCGGATATGATGGAGGGAGTATGACTGTTAGATTTTTGGTGATATCGGGGATTTTGGTGGTGTCTATGCTCAGTGCGAGCCTTGGGAGGTCGAGAGAAAAGGACCCAGGATTACGAGAGTTAGCTGCGAGCCAGAACCGGTCGAGGTCATCGTCGGAGTAGCAAGGTTAAGATGATAACATGAGTATGTATAGATTTGCGTCTTTGTACAATATCGTCGCCGCATAGAGGTATAACTATATATATAATTAGACAGGGCAGTTTTTCTTCCCGCAAGGCACCATTTCAGTCCCCTTCTAAAGCCGCACCGCACCGTACTTAAAATGGATGTAGCGCATGGATATAGATAAACGACGGAAAAGCAAGAGCAGACCGCGAGAAGATGGGGAGTATAAACGAAGTATATATAGTACTAAAATCTGAAGACAAAAGAATTTATTTGGCTATAGAACTTTAAGATGTCAAGGGGGAACGCATAGTTCTGAGATAGTACAGGGGAACGCTGGAAGGAAAAGCATTCGATATGTTCCTATTGGCAGGTTGTGGCATTGATCAGTGCTGGTATAGAGGCACTAACTTAACCCTCGAAGGTGAAGCTGGCGCCAACCTTGTGGGCAGCCTGGTTGAGGTTCTGGGTATCGAAAGAAGCTCCGAGACCGAGGGTGACACCTGGGCGGAGGAGGACGTTGTAGGCAAGGGCAGCGATACCACGGTCGTTGATCTTGGCCTGTAGGGTGAACGTTAGCATGCTGACCAGTGGTGAGTGTAAGGAGATGAGAGGAATAAGCACGTACCTTGGCGAAGGAGGATGGGTCAAGTCTGTACTTGCTGGCAACCTCGAGGCCAACGGTGTTTCCAGACTTGGAGTCCCAGGTGGCCTTGGCACCAGCCTCGACCTGAGCGTTGACGCGGTGGTAGTAGCTGGCAGCGAAGACGGAAAGGTTGTTGGAGGCAGTGATGGCGGCAGAGTACTCTGGGAGAGAGTAGGCGACGGCAGCGGAGTACTTGGTGATGGCAGCCTTCTGGACATCATAACCACCCTCGGCACCGACAAGGAAACCCTCGTGGCCGAGGACGGCGTCGAAGTTGGCAGTTGGGCCCTTGAGGAGGTCGAAGAAGGCACGGGTGTGCAAGTTTGGCTGCTTGAAGTGGAGGTTCAACTTGGCGCCCTTGGACTGGGAGTACGGGATGTACTGTGTGAGAACCTCGGCCTTGAGGCCCTTGGTGATGTTGTTGTCGAGCTCGAGCTTGGTGTCGAGGGCGTTGCCGGTGGTCCACATCTGGGTGAGGGTGAGACCTAGCAGGGTTAGCAGGCGATCTCAATTGATATCATCTTAAGTTGGGTGGGGGGTATTACCAGTTGGCGCATCGACATATTTGGCCTCGAGCTGTTTTTTTGTTGAGCTGTGGTTAGCCAGCGACCCAATTGCACGGCGGAGAACATCAAATTGAGACTTACAGATCCAGCAATGGAACCCTCATGGGCAGACTTTCCCTTCACGTTGAAGGTGACGCCATTGGGGGCCTTGGACTTGACCTCGAGGGCGGCTGTGATGCAATTGAGCTGGTTAGCGCTTAAGCTCGCCGAGAGAGGACAACATCATCACAAAGAAAACAAGACGACGAGCGAAAATAGCTGAGACATCACGTACCTGGGCTGGTGTGGTAGAAATCCTTGTTCAGGAGCTGTGAAAGATGCGATTAGTTTGCAGTCCCTTCTCTCTCTCCTGTAGCTGTGGAGCGTTGGGGGAAATGGGGGGGCCCGTTGCGGGCGCCGTTGACGAGCAGCAGCGCGCGAGACAAAAGCAGGAGAGAGCGTACATCATTGGCAGCCTTAGCAATGTCGCTGTAAGCAGCTGGAGCAGACATGGTGATGGAGTTGAGGGTGGTGAGGGCTGTAAGAAGAGGTGAAGAGATGGATGAAGTCGGAGTCGAAAGGTCGAAAGCGGGAGGGAAGAAAGAAGAAAAACAGCGAGCAGGTCACGGGGTCTCAGGAGCACAACCCAAAACGGGCGTGGGCAGGGACGAGCTCCTATTGGTCAGCCCCTGTCACGTGAACTACCACATACGAAGATACATAAGAGAAAGAGATGAGAAGAGAAGAGATGAGAAGAAGACGAGAGGAGAATAAGAAGAGAAGACGAGAGGATGAGAAGAAGAAGAAGAAGAAGAAGAAGAAGAAGAAGAAGAAGAAGAGAAGAAGATCGATTGTTATCTAGTCGACTATCACTTTTAGGAGCCAGTAGAGGAGATACGCCAAGGACAACCGATTGTACAGATACCCAACGAGAGACAAGGACAGGAGAAGATGAGAAAGACGAGAGAAGAAAAAGAGAAATAGATCTAGTGAGGATAGCCGAACAAGGGTAGATGCTGCTTTACTCGTACTTTGCAACGTGGGTAGCAATGGCCCTGGAGACTGTCAGTATATATGGAAGGAACAGGAAGAAGAGGAAAAAGAGAGAGAAAAGAGAGAGAAACATACCGTCCACTGGGATCAGACTGTTTGGACCATGTTGGAGTCCATCGCATGACGGTGGATGCGCAGTACTGCGGGAAGTGCTCGTCGAACATCATACGGTACCAGTATCTGCGTCCTGTTAGCACTCACTCTTGGTCTTTTGATATACGGAGAAACATACGCTTCCTTGGAGTCAGGGATATCGTCACCCCATTCAGGCTTGGGGTTCTTCATCATCTCATCCGTGACATGGAGCTCGGCGTTATCCTTCAACGCATCAATCCACCCGTACCCAACGCCATCACTGAACTGCTCCTTCTGACGCCACAAGTACTTCTGAGGAAGATATGGCTTCGTCTCTGGCTCGTCGGTGGTATCGAATGCCTTTCGCAGGATGTACTTCTCGATCCTCTCCTTGTTGATCATCTTCTCGGCCGGGTCGACGCCCATGGAGTCTTCCAGGAACTGCTTGTCCAGGAACGGAACGCGGGCCTCGACACCCCAGGCGGACGTAGACTTGTTTGCACGCAGACAGTCGGCAAGATGGAGGTTCTTGACTCGTCGGACGGTTTCGGTATGGAACGCGGCCTTGTCAGGGGCAGCGTGGAAGTAGAGGTAGCCGCCGAATATCTCATCACTGCCTTCTCCGCTGAGAACCATCTTTACGCCCAGGCCCTTGATTTTCCTGCTTAGGAGGTACATGGGCGTCGAGGCGCGGATGGTGGTCACGTCGTATGACTCTAGGTGGTAGATGACATCAGACAGGGCGTTGAGGCCGTCCTCGATGGTGAAGGTGAGGGCATGATGCTTGGTTCCGAGGAACTCGGCGACCTCGATGGCGGCCTTCGTGTCTGGCGCGTTGGGAAGGCCGATGGAGAACGAGTTCAGCTGTGGGATAGTGCTGATGGTGGAAATCTCGTTGGAGTCATCAATTCCAACCAGGCCAGCCTCACCGTTTCCTTGGGCCTGAGCGTTGTTCTGCAGGTCCTTTTGGGCAGCTTGCATCCTCAACGTCTCACGCTGGGCAATCGAGGCGACCAGGCTAGAATCGAGGCCTCCCGAGAGTAGCACTCCATACGGGACTTCTGCCATCAGTCGTTTCCTTACGGCCCTCTCGAGGCCATCACGGATCAACTTGTAGTCAACAGGTGCCGATGGAACGTTGGCTGGATCCCACCATTTGGGCTGGAAGTACCGGGTCATCTTATCGGTCTTGGAATCATAGACATGACCGGGAGGGAAGGAGATGATCTTATCACAGACGGGATGGAGTGACTTGAGCTCGGAGGCAAAGTAGACTGCACCGGGGGTCTTTGAGGACCATCCCTGGTAGAAGCTTGTGATTCCAATCGGGTCTCTGGCAGCCACCACGCGGTTCTCTTTCTTGTCAAAGAGGACCCATGAAAACATGCCATCGAGATACTTGGGCGCATCGATGCCGTGTTCCATATACTGTATACATGTAAGCTATTCACTCTCTGTCAATTGTTTAAGCTGGGAAACATACTAATGGAATGACAACTTCGCAGTCTGAATGTGTCTTGAAGTTGTAAGGCGTCTTTAGGCCCTTTCTGAGAATTCGATGATTGTATATCTCGCCATTGACTGCCAGCGCCAAGGTCTCGTCATCATTAACAAGAGGCTGAGCTCCGGAATCTACCAACCCAGCATCAGCAAACCATGTCTTGAGCAGGAAGATATGTCTCCCGGCAACTTACCGACTCCGACGATGCTCAATCGCTCGTGTGCAAGAACTGATCGTGCTGTTAGCTTGTTCCATCAATCTCCGAATGGGTCAGAACGCACTTGTGTTGTTGGCAACGAAGTTTCCGCTCCAGTCGGGTCCGCGATGGCGCAAACTGTTTCATTCAATTCTTGCTTAGCCGGGGTCCATCTCTACCATTCTTTCTCTCTTATCCTTCCTGCAACATGAAGCTGCCTCTGAGAGTAGAGATATCGGGGGTGACTCACGCCTTCGCCATGCGCAAAGCGGTCGGCTTGAACTGCTTCACATCAGGGTGACTATATCGCAGCAGTTAGCACAGCATTCAATGCACAGTAGACTCAATTGCCGTCAGAAGCAGAGGTAGAGCTGAAGGAAAGATAGAAACGCAGCGATGGCGAAATGCCGATAAAGGGGAGTCATACCAATGGCACGCGAATATGCCACACATCTCTGCGGTAATTGAGGATTAACCAGCTATAGATCTGATATTCAAGAGGGCAACCTGTCAACCAACGGCGAATTAATAGATATCAAACGGCGATGTCCAAAGGATGTCTTCTCTTTCTCTGTTCGAGGGGCAATAAATTATTTATAAGGTGGGAAACAAAGTTTTTGAGTCACCCACGGCTTTTCGGGGCAAGACGCGATGAAGATAAGGGCGAGCCTGCTAATTAGCTCCCTATCCTAGATCCTTCTTATGCCCTAGTGATCCCCCTGTTATCGTTCTGCTAACGTTGTCACCGTCGTCGTCGCTGATGCTGCTTGCGCCCTTGTATCTACACCGGTGCGTTTGTGCTTCCGATGACGGAGCTGCTAGTGGGCGAACAGCTCGACTGCGCCGCGCCAATCAGATGGTGGACGATTTGCTTTCCGCCCCTGGTCGCCGCGGTGCAGGGAGGCCAGGATGATGCCGCAGTTGGCGTCGTTGGCATCGCTTTAGCGCCCTGCTTGTTTATACGGGCTATACGGAGGAGTGGAGGGTAGAGGGGTAGGGATAGATATGACATCTCATGTCATCTCATCTAATCAGCCGTCATTGTTCGTAACTCGTAAAACTAGACATAAAGTCTGGCACATCGATAAGACTCCATAAATCGATTCCAATAGACAAAAGGATAAAAGGGAGAGGTCGAACAACGCCATGCTAACTTGGGAAAACGAAAAAAAAAACCGAAAGGAGAGACATGAAAGGAACATGAAAAGAGATGGAGAAATTTGAGAGAAACCATGGCCTCAGCTGGCCCGGCAGGAGACTGTAAAATGAATCTAAACTGCAGGATGCTCCTTTACGACCTGTCGGACCTTCTTCTCATATGCAGGGCGATCCTTTTTGAAGAGGTTGTAGGCCTCAGCTTGCGCCGGTGATTCTGGGTTCGGGTCGTCAAGCAGGTCCTGGATGCCGAGCAGGATCTGCTTGATCGTAATGGCTGGCTTCCAACCGTCATCTTCAGCCAGGATAGACAGGCAGACGGTCCCGGATGGGTAGACGTTCGGGTGAAAGAGCGGCGGAACGAATTTGCCTATTTAAACCACAATGGTAACCCTCGTTAGAAAAACGTCAAACGTATGTCAGTTGGATACCGTCAAAACGTACACTTTGGAGGTTTCGTAGGGTATTCTGCGCATATACCGTGAGAAGTCAGCTTTGTCTTTTCCTCTCTATATATAAAATCGCCACAGAAGGGTTGGAGGTACGGGGATAACCCACCGTCTGGGAAGGTGAAATCAAGCTTGAAGAGGCCGCCGTCCCATAGGGTCTTTGACTTGCCCGGCACTCCGCATTCCCATCGCTTCAGATCGAGTGCGCCTTGGGGTGTTCGGTATGGTTTTGCGTAGAAGCCAAATGGATGGTCACGGCGCCATTGCTTTCTAGCAGAGGAAGACGAGATCAGTCTCAACTTCGAGGCAGGCTCGGGTGTATATCTGGAAGAAACTCTTACCGTTCTTCCGTAAGGCGATTAATGCAAAGCGACATATTGGCTGTGGAAAATGGGGACTTTTTTTGGGTAATCTGGTATCTGCTATCCGGTGGCGGTTGGAGGTTGTAGGGCGCTGTCAAGGATGTAGGTGGAAGGTTTCAGGGGAGAAAGAACTTTTTATATCATAACACACTGAGCCAGGGATACCTGCGCTTCCTCTCACTCTCTTCTGTCAACACTTTTGTTCACTTGATTCACTTGGTTCACTGGCTTTGCTTTGCATTTGCTCCAGTGAGTTCGATAAGGCCCAGCCATCGCTGTGGGGGATGGTCACGTGTGCATATCACTTTCATTGATCTCATACTACAGCAGAGAAGTATCACTGTTGCGATACAGTTGCAGGTTTAGATGGCGTGTTGGAACACAAGTAATAAGGCCAAAGATAGGCTGAGGGTACATTAAAAAGTGTTAATATTCTCCTAAGGCTCTAGGTATCAAGACAGGCTAATCATGGAACAGGACTGTTCTGATCAAACAACACAGATCTCTTCTGCAGGACATTCAATACATAAAATGGACACAGATCATATGTCAATCGTCATATCTCCCCTCTTCGAATCTCTCGATGTCGAAAAAGCGTGCTGTTATTGTATTGCCATTGAATATTCGGCCCTCGAGTGCATTAACCGCCTATAGATCACAGTTAGCAAAGTCCATGACTGATCAAGAGATGGAAAGCCGGCTTACTCGTAACGCAGATAGTTGGTTGGTGAATTTTATAAAGACGGGGATCTTCTCCTTGCTGTCCCGGTCAATATAAACTCGTTCAACACGGCCATACTATATACTATGTCAGTCTACCACGAGTAAAAGGGGGCAATCAACGAAACATACCTTCTCTCCACACTCTTCCCCTATTTCTTGCATTAATTCGCCGGATTCAAGTTCGGCATCAAGGTCTAACCCGTCAACCATCCCATGTAAGATGACGACGTCAGACATCGGACCGAACTTTCCGTGCTCTTCCTGTTTTCTAGCACCGCCGATAATTGTACCCCTTGCACCACCGGGCGTAGCAACCCCGCCTCCTTCAGAATCCGGTTTCCTCTTCTGTTTCTGCACCTTGACTTGAAGAGGTTTGACTATGCCGGACTCGTTGGCTCCAAGACCGGAGCCCTTTGTCCAGCCGTATTTCGTCAGCAGTCTCTGTGCAAAACCTTTCTGGCCCGGTCGAAGGGAGCGAGGAGCATTCTCATCGCCTTCGTCTTCTCCTGCATCTTCTTTTTCACTGGCCAATGTTGCCTCGAGTTCGGCCTCTGTGGCAGGGATATCTCTAGGCGCTGCAGGTAATGCGTATCGAACCGGAGGGCGAGATATGGTGGCAGCACTGTAGGGCTGGGTAGCTGGGACTGCTGGGACTGCTGGTGGAGGGGGTTGTTCAGTAGGTGGTGGTGGCGGCGGCAGTGGTGACTCTGTCTGGTTGATATTCGAGCTCAGCCGTAACCGTCGCGCATACGCATCTTCACCGGTTGGGTCATCGGGAATTTCCACAGCAGGTTGCGGGATGGCTTCTGAAAAGGTGGGTTCTGGCTCTGGAGACTCTTCGGGGGGCGCATTCAGGTTTGGTGGTGGCGCGAAGGACGAAGGAGGAGCAAATTGTTCTAAAAAGACAAAAAACGTAAGCGTGGAGAATAACAACATGCGCCTTGAAATAACTTACTATTCATCTGTGGCCTTGAGTATTCACCATCACTCTCCACGTCGCTGTTATACCGTTGTGCCAACCTGTGAGCATACAACCTGTCCTTCCACTCTCTAACCTCGCGTATTTTCTCTTCGCTGTGTTTGTATGCCTCGTAGCTATTCGGGCGCGTTGGGTCATAGATATCGTCCCAGTTCTGTATAACCACCTCGGCCCCATAGTTCTTCTTCCGCTTCTTTCGGCCCCCGCGCTGCCGTTTCTCTCCTCCATAGAACCCATTCACGTCGTCATCGTCCGCGGTCGCCGTCCAGTCTGCAAGAGTCGACTTCCCCACCGGCCGACCAGCAGCTACGGAAGGATTGGCAGCTCCCTGGTCTGGAGCTGCAGGGCTTGCTGATCCCGCAGCAACGGGCGGCTTCGAAATGCCGGGTTTCGTTTTTAGCCTCTGAGCAGGCAGCTGTGGTCTCTTTGTAGGCTGAAACCGTAGAGAAGCTGCAGTCATATAGAAAAAAAACCAAAAGAGGATTTTCGGGGTACAAGTGAGCCAATCATGCCGGTACAGTCTGTTGAGTAGGGAGGGTATATGCTCTACCGGCACTTATCTGCTGCTTTTTCGCCGCAGAGTCATCTTGTTGGAGGGTCTCCGTAGCTTGCTTGAAGACTACTGGCGCGCGAGATATAGATGCGGATTCTGGAGGGTCAAGTAAATTAGCGTAGAGCGACATGCCCGCCTTGGGAGTAGTCGTCTGGGGAGCCATCGTGAATGCTTGTTCGACTTCTTCCGAGAGAAGAGTTCTGATATCAAACCGTCTTCCGTCGAGCGCATCTCATCTTCATCTTCAACTTGAACTTGAACATCGCGAGGCCGGAGATAGCGGGATATCGTTTCTCCGTGGTAGCTGAGTCAGCCTTCTCTTTCCTCAGCTGAATGTAAACATCGATATCTTCACTTGCTATACGGAGGACATATTTTCATTTCCTGGTTGTCCGATTCTCAATGATAGTTCGGTCAGTGTTATAAGGGAAGCCTCCAGTTTCACCAGTCCAGAGACACACCTGAGCTGAACATTCAAACATCAAACATTCAGGACGTAGATCCCGGATTATTTTCGTCATCCAGAGAGCGGTCAACGAATTGAACACAATAGAATGCCAAATCCGTACGCTACAGGAGATACTACGGAGTCCGTCCCTCTGACTCGGGCGCGGAGCAAGAATTCACAGGATCAACTAAAATCCTGGACAGAAACTTCTTGTAGGGCTGTGAGGAGAAGTGAGGAGAAGCATGAGGGGAGCCCAGTATCTAAGTATATGGATAAGGCTGATATAGGTATCGTGATAACCATGGTATAACCACGAATAAGGTGGGCTGAATCAAAGTCAAGACCGTCTAAAGACCCCATCTAGCAGTATATAAGAGCAAATAATAGTAATAATAGTTGGAGATCGATCCTGCGGAGGCCGAAACATCTCCAATATTACGTCATCTAGGCCGAGAGTAAGAGCCGGAGTCGCAAATCTCGCGATTCAGCCGGACGGACAAGGGCATATTTATATGGAACATGGGCCCGCCCGCCCGTGTTTTGTTTCTAGTTGTCTTCTTCATAGATTAGTCGGCCATCCGTCGATGTAAACAGTTGTTCATTGTATATATATATCCTCCAGCATGTCTACTCTCTCAACCTCCTTCGCTCGTTCCGGAGACCAGCCGGCGGTGATCGTTCCTGGGAAACCCACACCGTTCGTTGCAAGTTACGCCACGCTCAACGCCGACATTGCGACTTTTCAAGAGAAGCTGGCGAAGCTGGGCGTTGCTCACGGTGCAGCTGTATCCATTGCCTTGACCAATTCTTATGAATTCATCGTTTCGTTCCTTGCTACGTCGTGGCAGCGAGCCATTGCTGCACCGCTCAATCCAGCCTACAAGCAAGATGAATTCGAATTCTACATTGATGACCTGAGCTCTTCTTTGGCGCTGGTGCCGAAGGGTGCATATGCGCAGACCAGTGCTGCGGTGAGAGCTGCAAAGAAGTATAATGCTGCAATTGCGGAATGCTACTTTGATGGATCCCGAGTGGTATTGGATGTGAAAGAGAACGGCAAGCTGGCCGGGAAAGGAGGCAAGGAGGTTCAGACTGCTCAGCCGGACGATACTGCGCTGGTTCTTCATACGAGTGGAACGACCGGTAGACCCAAGGCTGTATGTGGCCCCATCGACGATATACTCTTTCAATCGGAGATACTAATATTTCTATATTTTAGGTGCCACTCACACATCAAAACCTCACCAGGACAATGAGTAAGTAATAGCCATGCTGGAGAGTAGTTTTGTATCATGCTAATGACGTATGGTAGAAAACATTCAGGCCACTTACACCCTGACTGGCAACGATCGGACCTTTCTCGTAATGCCACTCTTCCATGTTCACGGCCTGCTCGCTGCTTTCCTGGCCCCATTGCAATCTGGCGGATCTGTTGTTGTGCCTCCCAAGTTCTCAGCCTCTGAATTCTGGTCAGATTTCATTGAATACAAGGCCAATTGGTACACGGCGGTACCAACCATCCACCAAATTCTGCTGAAACACACACTTCCATCCCCCATGCCCAAGATCCGGTTTATTCGGTCCTGCTCTTCACCACTATCTCCCAAAACATTCCACGAACTAGAACGTGCATTCAAAGCCCCCGTGCTTGAAGCATATGCCATGACGGAAGCGTCACATCAGATGACAAGTAACCTACTCCCACCAGGTAAAAGACAGCCAGGAAGCGTTGGTATCGGCCAAGGCGTGGATGTACGTATTCTGGATAACGATGGCAAGGAAGTGCCCCAAGGATCCGAGGGAGAGATTTGTGTGCGTGGAGAGAACGTCACCAAGGGCTACCTCAATAATCCCGCTGCCAACAAGTCGTCGTTTACCAAGGATGGCTTTTTCCGAACCGGTGACCAAGGGAAAAAGGACGAGGATGGCTATGTCTTTATTACCGGCAGAATCAAGGAGCTGATCAACAAGGGTGGTGAGAAGATTAGCCCCATCGAGCTGGACAATGTTATTGCTCAGAACCCACACGTTGGGGAGGCCGTATCATTTGCTATTCCGGATGCCATGTACGGAGAGAACATCGGAGTGGCCGTTGTCCTGAAGAAGAAAGGAAGCATATCTGAAGACCAGCTGAAATCGGAGATTGCTCAAAAGGTCGCCAAGTTCAAAGTTCCCCAGAGGGTAAGCATATTAAAATCCCTACTGTGCCATTAGGGGCATCAACTAATAACATTCCTAGATATGGATTCTTCCCGAAATCCCAAAGACTGCCACAGGTACGTTCCATTTCTAGGCTTGTCTCAGGCTTGTACAGGTGATGATTGCAAGCAGCTAACTATTCACCCTTATTCAGGCAAGATCCAGCGCCGTAAAGTTGCAGAGGCGATGCTCAAGAAGGATTCGCCCTCTCCAAAGCTTTAAAATGCATCGGCTAGCATTGGTTTATGGTTTATGGTTGTTCTTTGACTCTATGTCTATAGCTATTATCACTAGTTATATATTGGATACGCCCAAGTATCGGAAATTGTCAATAGTTTTATGGTGTAGGATATAGATTTAGAATGCTTACTACTTTATTGTGTCTCCTCTACTCCGTATTTGTTACGTAGACATCGAAGTCGGCCGATATTCACGGAATAAAGTTGCTTCCCCTGCCGTGGCTGCGCCTTTCCCCTTGTTCTGTTTACCCCGGCAAAAGCGAACTCTTAGCCAGAAGAACCCGCCGTTTGCTCCGTCTATACCACGGTCTTTCTCCCACTGTTGGTTACCTAAACTGCTCCAAACATGCACCCCGCAACATCCCTCCGTGTTTCTTCCTTTTCTGCGCTCTTCGCACCCCGCGTCCGGCCTTCTTCTGCCCTTGTCTCCAGTCGTGGGAATACTGTATCTCTTCTCTCCAGGCCTCAAGTCTGTCTCCGGTCGCAGGTTACTCTCACTCGCAGCATGGCTACCGCAGCGCCGTCGAAGAAGGAGTGGATCGTTATGATGCCTGATAAGCCCGGCATGCTGGCTAAGAGGGTTGAAGTCCGAAAGTGAGTTGATCATCTTTAGTTATACATATGGGATTTTGCAGGGGCCTTCATCTCGATCCATTGGACTTTCATCAGGCTTGGTGTCTTTGCGGTATCATCTCGAGAGGGTTGTTGAAGCTTGCTTGCTTGATATTTAAATACCGAGGCTAGAAAGAAAGATATAGACAGATAGCCTGAACGACGACTGAGGACATTGCTGATCTGGAAATAGCACGCATCTCCAAAACCTCAGCCCAATTCTGGACTCCGGATTCCTTAAAATGGGAGGTAATACCATCTACCACCTGTCCAATATCTAATCGCGTTTGAGGTTCAATTCTCATTCCGGATATTCACATTCTACTGCAGGCTCGACACTTGACCACCACCCGGCCGAGGGAGAGAATCCACCACCGATGAATGGAAGCGCCCTCGTTGTCGCGGCCGAAACCGCTGAGGAGGTTCGCGAGATCCTATCTAAGGATATCTACGCTACGTCGGGAGTATGGGATGTTGAGAATGTATGTTTCCCCTCTAATGCTTTTCCTTGATCTTCCTTCTAGATAATATTTACTAATATATAAATTCTGATAGATGAAAATTATTCCGGTAAGAGTTAATCGTTCCAGTCGTGGTAGGTTATCCATGAGAGCACCCGCTAACGTATTATGTGTGTCAAAACAGTTCAAATGTGCTATTAGGACAGGTTTGTAGAATCATATTTCGTGTTCCCTGCACTTTAGCCAAAGAAATAGGTATATGTAAATAGATATGCTAAACGAATACCTCTTACTCATAATTCTTTTATGATACCATCCACCCATAATAGGGGGTGATTCGGGGGAGCTTCCTATCAACTATATTTGCATTGATATAGAGACGTTAATTTATCGAGTGTAGAATCAGCATGGACGTGGAGGGGAGTTTAATATACAGGTATACCCAGTGTAGCAGTCCCACTTGTGTAGAGTAACGTTAGTCGTATCGGGGAACTGTATATGCAAGGGCAATCCGCGAAGGAGGGGAAGGTATGGATATTTACAAATCCGAGTCTAGAAGACCCATCATGTATTGGTTGTCGAGGAACCAGTCTCCAAAAGTATGCGACATATCAGTGTCCATCAGCTCAGTTGGGATTTGGAATGATGCCATAGAAGGATCAGCTGGATCATTGAAATTGGTAATATTGTTGCCATCACTTGTAGATGGCGTCAAAGTGTTGGGCCCAAACCCAAGGGAAGTTAAGTAGTCGTCAAACTCCTCTCCTGGTTTTGGTATAACGGGATAATCATGCGGTTCTTTCGGTTGAACGTCGACATATAATTTTGCAACCTGATAGAAGACTAAACATAGCCGATATAATCGGTCTGCTGCCTCAGATACACCTGCAGCTGCCTGAAGGGAAGTTGCAACTTCGCCAAGCAGGTTTAGGTCCTCTAAGTCAGATGCCGCAATAGTGTGGCAGAATGTTACCATGAACGGGGCAAAGGGGCATTGTAGAAGAACCCTGGTGAGCATAAGTTAGCAGTTAGCGAATATTGAATCGCCTAGTTGTGGTAACTAAGCGGGCGGTTGGGGGGTAAGGTTACCAAGTAATATAGCCGTTGAAGAAGAATGAATCAGCCTTCTCTAAAGAGACGAATATTTGCTGGTGAATCTGCAAAGCCTTTCGGGCTGCTTGTACGCATTGGAGGTTGAGCCCGGAAGGCGTCTCAGGAGGCTGGGACGGTGGGGCTGCACGTTGTATTATGGTTGCCATTAGATTATAGGTCAACTCTGATGCTGGGACAATCCATTGAATATGTGCCTTATGATAAGCATTGCTAGTGTCGATCTAGGAACGTGGTTAGTGAATATGCACTTAGTATTTCAAGATCTCTTGTCGAGAATGGTTGGTTACTCACGGCAATTATTTGATCTCTCCATTCCTGAAGTCGAGAAGACAGTTCAAATACTTTTTTTGCACGGATTTCTTCACTCGAGGACACACCCCTCACGGAGTATAGGTGTTCGTAAACCTCGCCAATTATTTTGGAACAAACAAGCCAACATCGAAATAATGTGTGCCACGGGCGAAGTGCGGGATCTGATGAAAATGACGGGTAGTTGAGAGCGATATCATAGTCTGGAAGTAACGATGCCCTTCCTAGACAAAGAGACAAGCTCCTATCCATCGAGTATATGAACCAAAACAGATACTCTTTCAGCCTGGTATCTTCTGGAGTATCGCCTCTAGTAAAAGCAGAACGATGGTAGCCAAGGCTCTGACACATTCGAGCTGCACTCGCCACAAAGTTCCAGCTCAGCGAAATTTTTGCAGATTCCGTTGAGTGAAGTACCTGCCAGTTATACCAATACGGTGAGAAAAATATCCCTTGCTTGTTGGGTGAAGGACGATGGATGAGGCACATACAGCATATGTCAAAGCCATAAGGTTGTCCACGGTTGGCTCTGTGAATATATCAAATGAACTTATCACTGCTATAAAATTCGTCATGCAGAGATCGCTATATTCCTGAAATTTGGTAGTAGCTGGGTCATCTTTGAATCGGAAGGCAAACTCCTTAAAGATGTGTGCCAATATAGCATTGACTGACCCGAATCGCCCTGACGAGTATTCCTCAGTGCAAAAGTACAGGTCTTTACACATCTGCGTAAAACGACTTGTGTCCATCACGGGAAGAGTTAGAAAGAAAAGAGGCGGGTGGTCTAAGGTAATGTTAGCTGGGTTAATATATTGGCAGCAAGGGGGTTTGAAATGCGAAAATACCATTTGCGAGTCGTAACAGGGCTAAAACAGCATTCGAGGGGGGTAGCTCCAAGTCGGAAAGCTTTATCCTCTCTTTGGGTGTCTGGCCCGGGAATCTTAGAACGTTCACAGAGGACGGAAGAGATTGTCGTTTTATAATATCCTGTAGTGCGGATAGAGCATGGGACATCATAGGGACATGTGCAAAGGGTACTCTTTTCATGGCATTCTCAAAAAGTGCGCTCGCATGCAACGAGTGGGCACTAAATGATGATTCACCCTCAAACTCTGGAGTACGCTTTGCTTCAGATCCTTCTGGACCCTGTAAGACGGTAGGCCCGCTTGGCCGTTCATTACGCCTGGATGATGAGGGAGGTTCTGGAGGTTTAGTCGAGGATTGTGAAGCCGTAGCCGCCGGCAACGAAAGGGTGAGATCTTGTAGCAGGCGCTCTATCGTTGAGAGCCGTTCATCAATGGTTTCAATCTTTCTTTCACTGTCATTGGAATTTAGAAGGTATTCAAATGTAGGAGATTTCCGTGCTCAAATTGATGGGACGGCTGGGGTCATGGCATACTATTGATGCGAAATCAGAACTCGCTGGCGCTGCTCCTTCACTCGCGGAGTGGTGCGGCATATTGTCTTCCCAATTCGACAATTAGAGCAGGGTGAAGTCCTATCACATTTTATCTAGAGGTAAGAATTAGCTGAGCTGCATCTAGCAAAGGCGGTTAGACATTGACCTACCTTTCGAAGGCGACAGTTATCGCACTGGTGGATGATAAGTAACCAAAGCCATGGTTAGCTAGGTAAACGGCTGAAAACTCTAGGTATAAACAATTATTACCGCTCTCTGGGATGCCAGGCTCCTTTGGCTGGCTGATGGAGTATCACTATCTCTTGATTCGGCCGTGTCCATTGTGGTTGTCTGGGTATGTATCGAGTACAGATGTTACGAGCGGACCGCTAATTTCGATCCAATATATGCAACATTTTTTTTTTCATGACATCCTCGTTTCTCCACATGAGAGATGTCCGAACTTAGAAGAACTCAGACACCCCTAGATTGTTCCTGCTGCCTATTTTCCAAGCTTCTTGGAAGGCAACTCGTATAAAAATAGAGTATCCGTGGTCAGGGAGCGAGGGCGGCATCACGTGCGCATAGCCTATATTAAAAATGTATAGCAGGCCGACGTCTTCAAAGGCATGAAAGTAAAGTAATAAATTGAAGGCAAGCACCCCAAATTGATAAATAATCTTGTAGATAGTTGACATTGCCCATCATTACATCCCATGATACAATTTTCCGTAAATGCCGTCTCAACACATACTTTTCATAAGAAATAAACCCAAAAACGTGGCATATTCAACTCACAAAGGGTATCCCAAGGAAAAATAATATCTGTAAAATATCCATGCTCTCTATCCAAGAAAATATCCAAATATACCCAAGTCAACATTAAAACAGTAAACGACAGCTTATCCAATCATCAAGGGGTATTTGTAGCAAGACTCCAGGCTAATACCAAATTCTCTTTCAGATAAAAACGGTGTAGAAGAGAGTGAGAAAGCAACCCCTAAGGGCCAGTAGTCACTGCGGCCATAACTGAACCTTGAGAGTAGTTTTGAGCAATTGTCACAGCAACAGGGGGTTGCCCAAAAATCGGAGGTCCAGTATAGAGATTCCCAAGGATGTTTTGCCGCATTTCATCTTCGTCCCATATAAATTCCCTGCCGCGACTCAACCTTTCCTCTCGAGCGTTAAGTTCCGCCTGGTCAATACACGGCCTCCCAAGGCCACACCGGCTTTGGGTGAGTAGAAACCGAAACAGGGTAGATCGGAGTTTATCCCAGAGCCTACCCTGTTGTTTCCACTCTAGCCTCTTCGCAATGCGTAGCATTCGCGATACCAGCCAGTTTCTTTCACCAGAATCGGGCTTCTCGGTATATTGGAAGCCGCCATTGTTTAGAAATATCCATAGAAGCGAGGCTATACTGGGACTCGATCGTGGATTTATTCCTCTTATCGCCCGGTTGACCCAATCCAAATACTCGTCAAAGTTTTTATGGTTCAGGTAGCAGTCGTGAAGACCAAAATTAAGATATAATAAGCAAGCCATACACGTATATTCGTCGATGAAGCGAACATCGCGTATTCCATGGTCGTAATCTGGTAGGTTTGCCAATAGAGTGTAAAGTGGCGAGGTTTCATCAAATGGTTTCGGTGGCTTGTCGTTTCCATCCTGAGGCGACCGTAACGGCGGTAGTGGCTGGTTGTACAAATACGAGCATTCCAAATCGTCAAGTGACTGACAGAATGCAAGGAAATCCTCACATGCCTGGAGGATATCCGCGATGTCTTCAGGATCTTCATTCATGGGATTATCCGCAATCACTGGAATAACCTCTGGAGGCGCAAAACTAAGATTCTTAGGGGGTATATCCGGTATTTCACCAGTCCAAGGGAGACCGGCGCCCACAATTGCATTTGAAGCGCAACAAAAATCGACCCTATGAAAGAGTAAGTTTCAATTGGGTAAAATTATGCATGACTGTTGGATAATTACCAGTAAACGACCTTTTCTAGGAATGGGCCAGTCGGGCTTCTTGTCCGCATTGCTTGCATCCCGCCCCGTCTCCGGATTAATTGCCTGATCCCTTGGAAATGCGTGCGTTCGACGACGGCATCCTTTGACCATTTCTACTGGATTATTAGAATATGGGGAAATGAATAATTGGTTATAAGGCACTTACCTCAATGACAGTTAGACTGGCAACAGCATACAATGTGCCGTCTTCCTTCTCAATATCGTCGTTTTTCAGACGTTCCTTGATCAACTTCAACGCCCGCATTTTGTGTGTCAGGGATTGAACAGTCTCTACCTGCCCTTCCATACCAGCTCTATGCTTTGCAGCAACCGCTAGCATGGCTTGGAAGGGAACGGGGTCGTGAAGAGCTATATTATGAAAGATGGCCCGAATGGGGTTGTCCTGCTGAGCGTTCTCCATCTTGTACATCATCATGGGATACTTCGTTACATCTGTGCAGGGGAAAAGTTAGTGATCTAGAAGCTCCACCGTATATTCGTGCCCGCGAGAAGTGGACTTACAGTGATCAATTAATTTATTATCAACAGGGTTCAAAGCTATGGGGAAGCAATTGAAGGGTTCGTATGTTGCAAGGGGAGACTCCGCTTTAGGATTGGTAACCATCTCTACCGTATGCTCCCAATCTGCGGCACCAACACCATTCTGGCTGGCTGGAGAACTTCCAGTAGAGGTCCTCCTGGGTTTATGGGATGCTGCAGCCCGTTGACTGGCCCTGCGTTGAATCTGGCTGCGAGCTCGGCACAGCTGTTTCGGTTCGTCATCGTTATCGAGCTCTTCTATCTTCGGCGAGGCGCTCGTTTCGCTTGGTGTCTTCCCCGTCGACCATCCCGTAACCTGCACCCGCGTGGATTCCAGACGTGCTATACCGTCGAGCCGCCGTTGATGGACATACTGGCGCATGGCATGGCGTCGAACCTGTCTTCGGGACTCGGAATCTGTGACCAGGACGAACTCAAAGTTTCGCGGTCCATCTGCGGCAACTTGGGTTGACGGCGAGTTGGCTGCTGAGCTGGGGTCCGCGCCTGCATCGAGTGTTGCAGCGGACTTCCCCATACTGCCATTTTACACGACGGAGCGCGGTCGTCGGCCAACAGAGCTCAACGGGAGACCGTTGCTGGCGCCACCAGGCTCCGACGGTCGGCTACCCTTCCAACGGCTGTCCCTCCACGACAGGGGCCTGAGGTCTAGAGTGTCGTGTGTCGTATCGACGGAGTAGCTCGTCCGGTTGCGAAGTCCGATGTTGTCCTGGCCGCATGCAGCGTCGTGCTCGCGCTTTCGTTTCGTCAACTTCGTCCAGTCCGGAGATCGAGATCGAGTTCCTAACACGGAAGTGGGGAAGTCACGTGTTAACACATATACAGGGCTGATATAGTCGCTATAGATAGATATGATATAAATATATGTAGATATATGTATTGATATAGGTATACGGTATATACGGTATGTGGTATAGGATGTAGATAGGATGTTGGACAGATAGCTCCACTGGTGCTAGTGAGTCCTTGCTATCAAGGTACAAGGTTCATTGTAGAGACATCCAGTGTTTAGATATACGGAGCTCGCGAGACCCTTATTGGTCGCAGGTATGGGGCGCATTATTCGCCGTTAGTCGTTGTATATCGCCGTTGATATCGCCGCTGATATTGTGTATATGTTGTGTGGTGAGTGAAGGCAGGCTCTCATCCAGCTTCATTTCTATACTTTGACAAGGCGGCGAGTATACCGTCACTAACAGCTTCCTCCGAGGGCTTACTCGCTTTGGAACCCTCGGCTTCTGCCTCACGTAGAACCTCCAAGGCCGCCTCGTCATCTTCAACAGCAGCGTTCCCTTGGCCAGGCTGAGGTTTATCTCTCGTGTAAAGTCCACGTCCCTTTCCGGGCTCTCTCCTAGGAGCCGCGGATTTTTTGGACGCCCTTTCAGTTCTAAAGTCTTCCTGCACCGCATTCGTCCACTGCTGGACCTTCCTCTCACCCCAGCCAGGCACTGCACTGATTTGCTCCGGCTGTGCATTAACTGCGTTCCGCAGCGTCCCAAATGTAGACATCAGGCTGGCCGCATCAGACTTGTTGATGCTTCGAGGCGCCGTGACAAACTCCACCAGGCTATCCTTATATGTTTGAGCTTGCCGGGATCTAATCGCCGTTGGCTGTGCTTTCTCACTGGACTTGAACAGTTCCAGATAGTGTGCGGCTTCTGGGGCAGACCAACATAGGATGGTAGTCAGGTTGTTGACTAGACACGTTTTTGATAATTCCTTCAGGCTGTCTTCATGGTTCGGTATGTCTACCATCGTGAGAAGTATCCGTAGCTGGAACTTCCCTCCCAAAGCCTTAATTCGGGTGTAGATGTATTCTGGATGTAGCCGGTGGTATTTCAAAGACAGGAAGAGCGCGCAGCTGGTTGTCCCAACGACATAGTCCGCCGGTATATCTGCATACTCCCATGGCGTCAGCTTTATGTGGTGCAGAATCGGGTTTCCTTTTTGTCTTGATGAAACAAGAATAGAAGACGGCCCTCGACGTGCTGGAAGAGCCTGTGGTTTGGGCTGTTGCACTTTTGGCGCAGCGCCTGGTGTGGGAGGCGGAGGCGCAGGAGCTGCCTTGTCTAACGCTTCGCTAGATGCGAGGATATCGTGGAAGTCCTGTAAATCTCCATACTCGTCGTCCATGGCTATATGTCCGGGATCATCTAGACTAAACGAACGGGTGATGTTGGGAGGTTCGTAGCTCTCTATGCATGGCTTGGTGATGCCCCCACAGGTCAAAAGTGAAGTTGTGAAGCTAGAAAAAAAAGTTTCGTTTTTTTGTATCTCCAAAAACTTCAACACCACAAACAGAAAGAAAAAAGGCACCAAGCCCGCGCCTTGAATCATTACTGAAATCATGGCTGAGAATAATAAAAGAAGACGGCTGTCAGCCAGCGGAAACTTCAAGATGGACAAGAATATATCAACTGGCAACGCCAAAGCGGAAGACACGGCTCTAGACACCACCAAGGAAGACCAAAGCCAAACCCCAGTGAAGGAACGCAAAACTAGAACACTCTTCGTGCGATCGCTACCTGCTACGGCGACGACGGAATCGTTGACTGAACATTTCTCGCAATCTTATCCGCTAAAACACGCCACTGTCGTGCTCGACCCGCAAACGAAGCAGTCCAAGGGCTACGGATTCGTTACCTTCACAGACCATGAAGATGCAGAACTGGCAGCGAAGGAATTGAATAACTCGGTGCTTGAGGGGAAGAAAATAAAAATTGAGCTCGCCGAGCCACGTCACCGAGAGATTGACGAAAAGGAAGGGAAGAGTGTACCTTCTTCTGCGCCGTCGAAAGTAAAGGAACTCAAGGACAAACGAAAGCAAGAGGCATTACCCCCGAAACTTATAATACGAAATTTGCCGTGGAGTGTGACTGAGCCGGAACATTTGGAACTGCTGTTCAGGAGTTATGGAAAGATCAAACATGCTGTTGTGCCGAAGAAAGGGACGCGTGTTGCCGGCTTCGGGTTTGTGGTTATGAGAGGAAGAAAGAATGCGGAACGAGCAATCGAGGGAGTCAATGGAAAGGAGGTTGATGGGCGAACATTGGCCGTTGATTGGGCTGTGGACAAGAATGAGTGGGACAGTATGAACAATGCTGCGGAAGAGGCAGCTGAAAAGGAGGATGGAGGTGATAGTGAAGAAGCAGAGGAGAAGGAACATCTTGATGTCGTCGATGACGGAGAGTCGGATGTCGATAGCGAAGAGGACGGAGGAGTTGAACTAGGTGACGAGAATGAGGATGACGATATCTCAATGGGCGATGCCGAGGATGATGACTTGGAGGAAGACGAAGAGGAACCAAATAAGGAGGATGATCGCAATGCATCTACGATATTTATTCGCAATTTGCCATTCTCCGCTACGGATGAGTCTCTACACGAACATTTCACCCAGTTCGGCCCAATCCGCTACGCCAGGGTCGTGCTTGACCCAGCAACTGAGCGGCCAAGGGGCACGGCGTTTGTCTGTTTCTATAATGCAGATGATGCTGCTTCCTGCATTCGCGGAGCACCCAGGGAAACAGATATGGCACGCGGCAAAGACCCTAGGCAAAAAGCTGCAACGAGACAAATGCACTCCGTTCTTGAAGATGAGAATAATGATCCCTCTGGGAAGTACACGATGGATGGCCGTGTGCTACAGGTATCGCAAGCAGTCAGCCGAACGGAGGCTGGAAGACTTGAAGAGGAAGGAAACTCACGACGTGAGACTCGAGACCACGACAAGCGCCGACTATTCTTGCTTTCAGAGGGTACAATTCCTTCGAACTCCCCGGCATACTCTAAACTCTCTGAAACTGAGCGGAAAATGAGAGAAGCCAGTGCCAAACAACGACAAAAACTTATCAAGTCCAATCCTATGCTGCATGTCAGTCTTACTCGACTATCTGTTCGTAACCTGCCACGACACATTGATTCTAAAGCACTTAAAGCTCTAGCACGTGAGGCCGTTGTTGGGTTTGCAAAGGATGTTAAGAATGGTCTTCGCAAGCCAATATCCTGGGAAGAATCCCGCCGGAGCGCAGCCTTGATGAAGGAGGCCGACCAGCTTCGAAAGTCTCAGAAGAAAGGAATCGTCAAACAGGCGAAAGTAGTATTTGAGGGGAAAGATGGTGCTAAGACGAGTGACCAGTCCGGAGCAGGCAGAAGTAGAGGCTATGGCTTCATTGAATACGCTACCCACAGAAGCAGTTTGATGGGACTGCGATGGCTCAACGGCCACGCCATCGAGGCATCGGCTTCTACACCGAATGCTGACCCTGCCGACAGGAAGAAACGTCTCATTGTGGAGTTTGCTCTTGAGAACGCACAAGTTGTCAACAGGAGACGAGAACGAGAGGCGAACACCCGGAAAGCTGCACAGTCTAGCGGGGATGATAAAACCGATGGGCCCCGCGGTGTAAAGCGCAGCTGGGACGGTAAGGGTGAGAAGAGAGAGAGAGGAGGAAAGGGTCACAAGAGTAGTTTCAAAGGGATGAAAGATTTCAAAAACGGCAAGGGAGGAGCAAAAAACGACAAGTCTGATCGGAAATCCGCAAGGGCTCCAAATAAGGCCCCATCCTCAGAGAAAGGAGCTAACGGAGAGGCGGCCGGCGACAAAGACAAAGACATTGCTAAGCGGAACAGGATCATTGCTAGAAAACGGATGCTGAGGAGGAATAGGAAATGAGGATGTGCCATGTTTATATTTAGCGAGTGTTCCTGGACTTTGAGAATGCTATATAAAAAAAGGGCCGTATATGAAAAGGCGTTTGGCCGTTATTTTTTTGATAGAAATACAAGTTAAAATATTGATTAGGATACCATTATGTCGTTCAATAAGTACACTGAAGTGTTATAGCATGCGGAAAGGAGGGTTCCTTGAGTAGTAGCTTATAGGTTGGTGGCTCCCGCAACCTTGCCTACAATGTTATATCTCTTGCTGAAGAACTTAAACCAGTCTTCTAGAACGCCCTTCTCCTTGTCATCTAGGTCATCCCATTTTGGAACACAGTCCTCTGGCTTTAGGGACGACTTTGCAAGGGCCCTGGAGGAGTCTTTGCCGACGAATACTACATTTTTCCAAGACAAAACGTCAGTATAGGGTACATACGAGAGAGAACTATCTCATATCAACCGAGAGATGGATATCAATGAAAGCTCATGCTCACCATTATAGTTCCCCCCTTTGGCATATGCTGGGTTTCCAGACACATCGAAGACGATTCCCTTGATGGCAACGAGGGTAGGACGGCTGGGATCAGAGCCTAAAATGCGAATCAAGGACGGTCAGCAAGAGGAACAGCTACAAATATTGACAACAACACTCTTACCGTCTGATCTAGCTAGGTCTGCAACAGAGATAGGGTCGTCCTTTGGCGGGTTGAGGTTCGTGGCCACGGGAGACATGAAGCTCTTTGGGTCTGCCATGGCTGATCAGTTGGTATGTGTCTGCTTTGAACTGTTTAATAGACTATGGCTGCAGGTGTGTCTGTCTGTTCGATGTGATATTCCGTTGTTGACGTTGTGCTTTTTCTCTCTCGACCTTCCGAGGCTGGAGGTTTGGCGGGGGAAGAACCCGTGGATGTGCCCCGCATCCGTCATCGACATCCTCCCACCAAACTCCCAGCATCCTACATCGTGAAGTATCACGGACAGAGCTGCACATACAGGAGTTCGTTGTCTATATCATTGATGTTTATGATACTTACAAGACAAGCTCCCGTGGCCTAGGGTAGACCGTTACTGCGGTGCTATGCGGCCGTACTTTGATGATATCACCATACGTCTGAGCTATCAGGCTTCAGTGAGGACATTGAAAGGGCTATGCTGCCTCTATATCCAGATCAATCTGCTAACAACTATATATTCAACCGGACAAACCGTTGCGAGTTTCGTCCTAGCATCGCACACAGCTTCTTGACGGATTGTTGTCAAACCAGACACCGCGAGGATGGATATTTAACTACGTGATACTCCATGGATGAAGCCGGAGAGATAGTTAAAGACGAAGAGGCCAGCCACCTAGAAGGATAAATCCTCCCTCGCAATATGACCGGCACAACCATGTTCAGCTCTGCTGCCACTCCTTGTCGTTGATAAGGTTCAGCCCGTCCTGTCGGCGGCGTCCGCGATGCAACGCCAGCAACCAATCTCTCCCATGTCATTAACAACCAGACAATGCCGTCTGTCTATGGCGTATTCCATCTCTGCTGGCGCCAAGGTGTTGGTTGACTCTTTGCGAGATCGCCCCGCCACCGAACTTTATGCTACTAACAAGAATTGGCTTCGACCATTTCCCTCGGCCACATGCGAAGAAGAGCTCGGCCAAAATAGCGTGGCGAGATAGCGCACTTTTTTCATTATCGGGCTAAGCTCTGCTGTCTGGGAGTGCGTTCTTGACATATTTTTGCTTCAACGATACGTGCTTGCTGTGTGAACTCAGTTTCTTCAGCTCTTTCCTGAGGATCTGCTTCTTAAATAAACCTTGCCTCAGCTGCTGGGGCTTCTCAATTCTTCTGGAACAGAGGTAGCAAGGCTACCAGACTATTAGCTGAGGAGTTTCATCTATATATCAAGCTCCACTTGTTTGCTATTGAGCTTTCTCCATGCTTCTTGACTACGGCCTGATTTTATCCTTCTCATCTTGAGGGTCTTGCAAAGCAGCTACGCCATAAGCGATGGGGACCACACCCCAGGAGCAGGAGCCCGCTATGGGCGAGAAGGGCCCAAGTGAACTCCCCGCATATCGAGAAAGCGTTGACGAAGGCGCCAGCGGACCTGAAAAGATCAGCACCGACCATACACATCGCAAACTAAAGCCCCGACATATCCAATTGATAGGTATTGGAGGCACTATCGGCACTGCCCTTTTCGTCCAGATTGGAAAGGGCCTGTTAAACGGCGGACCGGCAAGTTTGTTTATTGCATTTTCTTGGTGGTACGTTTCTTCCTTCATTTCTTAAATAAGTTATCCCTCATGGCGAGCATGATATTTATCTATCATTGGTCTGTGTTTCCTCCGTTTTTCATCAAAAATCATTCCTCCTGTTATTATCTATTACTTCAAATCGGATCTTATACCCGTGAATTACCCCCAATGAACTATAGTGGTAATATCAATTGGGATAGTGCCCACTTCCAATTCGCCCTTTTATGACAAGTGTGATGCCATGAATATTCCTGGAGGTACCCGAGGATATTGTGATGGAAGTACGAAAGTATTTGACCTTTACATTGGCCATCCCTTCATGTTGGGGCTATGACCAAGAAAGTTATTTGTTTTTGCGTACTTCTACTATTACCTTCCATGAAAAAACGTTTGAGTCTTATGATGAAAATAGGTGTACCTGTATCTTGGCTATTACTATGTGTAAGAACCCCCGATCCGTTCAATACCACGCCATTATACCCCTTAGCCCAGCAGCCGCCGCCGGTTGCTACCAATAAGCGCCAACACCCTAAAGCAACGAATATGAACTATCTACTATTCCAAGCTCATTCCGCCTGGATGCCATTTTCACTCCCCCTAACCAACCTCATCTGCGCCATGAAACTTTCCTTTTACTCTTTTTATATCAACCCCTGAACGTTAGAGTTTATGCTAATATCTAATGGTCCTTCTGTGGCTTATGGAAATATAGGTATGGCAGAAATGGTAACCTATTTGCCTATATCTTCACCTTTTGTCCGATTTGCAGGTCGTTACGTTGATGAGGCTTTTGGAGTTGCCGTTGGATGGAACTTTTTCGTCTTCGAGGCGGCCCTGGTTCCTTTTGAGATTGTGGCTTGCAATTTCATCATCCATTATTGGAGTGATGCCGTGCCGGCGGCAGGCATTATCACTATTGTGATTATTCTTTACGCGTTCGTTCATAAATATCTACACCTGATGAGCTACGTGACCTACTAACACTCCTGACTGGCAGCCTTTTTAATGTTTTCGCAGTCCAATGGTATGGAGAGTCAGAGTTTTGGCTTTCGCTGGGCAAAGTTATACTTATTGTCGGCGTTCTGAGCTACACATTTATCACTATGCTCGGCGGCAGTCCGTTAGGCGATCGATATGGCTTTCGGTATTGGAAGGAGCCTGGAGCCTTTACAGAATACTACAAGCCGGGAAGCCTTGGTAAATGGCTTGGTTTTCTCCAGTGTTTGATCCTAGCAAGCTTTACTATTGCTGGACCCGACTATGTTTCCATGGCAGCCGGTGAAGCAGAAAATCCGCGAGAAACGATGCCGAAAGCCTACAAGGCCGTGTTCTACAGGTTGACTGCATTCTTTATGCTGGGGAGCCTAGCTATTGGAATCAATGTGCCTTATGACGACCCGACGATGAAAGATGCTTTTTTGAAAGACCTCCCTGGCGCCACGGCGTCCCCCTACGTCATCTCTATGCGCAGGCTGAAGATCCAGATACTCCCGGACATTGTAAACGCAATGGTTCTCTCTGCAGCGTTCAGTGCCGGTAATAGCTATGTCTACTGTGCTAGTCGATGCCTCTATGGCCTAGCTCTTGAAGGGAAAGCTCCTCGGATTTTCACCCGTTGCGCACGCAATGGAGTGCCCATCTACTGCGTTGGAACTGTACTGCTTATTGCGCTATTAAGCTTTCTACAAGTCTCGAACAATGCTTCTGTCGTCCTTCAGTGGTTCGTCAACCTAGTCACGGCATCACAGTTGATCAACTTTTCAGCTATAACATTTACCTACATTCGATTCTACAAGGCACTGAAAGCGCAGGGTATCTCTAGAGACTCTTTGCCGTTCAAGAGCCGGTTCCAGCCCTATCTTGCGTATTACGCCTTTATTGGGCCTTTTGTCATGGTATTTGTGGGCGGATACACGGTATTTTTGCCCGGGAATTGGAGCATCCCAACCTTCCTCTTTTCGTATACGATGATTGCGGTTTGCCCCGTGATATTTTTTGGCTGGAAGTGGTACAAGCACACGAAGTTTTTGAAACCTGAAGAGGTGGACCTGGTTGATGGCGTGGATGAAATCGAGGAGTACACACGGAATTATGTACCAACGCCTCCAAAGTAAGATCTTCTCTCCTATATTCCTGCTTTCTATAGTCCAATTTGGGATTGATACGATTGGCTAACCGCTTGAATTTCAGGAACGTTTTTGAGAAAATCTTGAACCTCATATTTTAAGAGGAGATACCCGCTTGTTCCGGTCCCTGGTTGGTAAGCGCAGGGCTTGCTGTATTATGGATGGACCCTATTTAGAAAGATATATTCTTACCCCTTTGTGGGAAATGGCTTCACTTTTGTCCAGATCTTCATCGAAACCACCAGTTAACCTATCAGATGTTAGAAATGTATTTCCAGAGGCCCGTAAAAAAAAGAGAACACGGCCCAAGTATATGTGTACTCACGGAAGCTGTTACGCCTTGTCCAACACCTTTGATACTGTGCCACCATCCCGTTGGGATGAAAAGGGCATCTCCGGCGTGGAGGACGGCATCATAGCCATTCTCTGATTGATTTCCGGGACTATTACTCTCAACCGTAGGGACAGATTCCTCTTTGCACTGTTCAGAACTTCCCCAAACAGCCCGGTCCAAAAGTTGATTCTCTGCGCCCTTCATCATTTCTTCGCCTCTAATAGCAGAACTATGGCCATGTCCGGCCTGGCTTGACGCCAGCTTTTCCCTAACTTCTGCAAATACTCCACGCCCAGTATCTGGTGCTAGCAACCTGACACGCTTAGAGCCAGCTAACTGCATGAACAGGTTTGGATTTGGGTCGCGGTGTAAAGGAGTATATGTCGGTGCCATCCCCACCCAGATATTCGTATCGTAGATATCGCCCTTCCCGGCCTGTGTAACATACGAAGGAGTTGGGAAATCATCCCGAAGTGAGCTCGGCAGATCAATTAGCTGGCATTGAGCTAGGTATAGCCGTGGGATGGGACAAGACTCGTCCGTATCCGCCGGCGGTAATGACTGCACCGATCGTGTCCATTGAAGAAACAGGCTCAACGGCTTGTGTGCGCGTTCAAAGATGTTTCCGTTCTTGCCATCAGGGATAGTCAATTCCAATGGCACGTAGCAGTCACCGTACGGTTCGAGGTAGGGATAGTTGAGGCCACTACACGGCGTCGAGGGCGTTGACAACGGAGAAAACCACCGTGAAGCCGCGCGATAGTCTCGAAACAGGCCTCGAGGTAGAATCACTGGCCGCTGGAGCTTGAAGTAGGATTCGCGGAAGAGCGCAACGCTGTCCTGGCCCAGCGCGTCCAGAGGGAGATATCGCGATATCCGCGACATCTTCTCCCAACAACAACGACGACGACACTAACAACAACGACAACGACAGCAACGACAACAACAGTCCAAGTCCAACCTCAGTACCAGACCATCCTTCGTGCTGCTCTGATATCGACGACGGCGACGGGCATCGTGAGTATGGGAGCAAGACGGTCGAGCCCACGGCTAAAAAATAAAGGCTGGTCAGCCAAGCAACTAACTGGGCGCCCCTCGCTCAACTTTCTCCCATCTTTTACCCCGGATTGGCCTTTTTCCGTGGAAGCAATTCTCAAGGAGGCATTCATGGCATGCCCTAGGAGGTGTTGGAACTAGCCGTCGACGAACCGGGCAGACAGAAAGAAGATGTCGTCGAAATCTCCCACGGTCGATGGCCAAACGCCGACTGGAACAACTGACGACGGGAAGCGCAAAGCGGAGCCAAACAGCGGATCGCAGACGCGAACGAAGCGAAACCGATATATCTCCCTAGCATGGTATGCGTGCCCTGCATCTCCTTTGCCTGTCTCTGCCGGCCATGTCTCAGGTCGAGGCCCTGCATTGCTGACAGTTCTATAGCAACGAATGCAAGAGGCGCAAGATCAAGTGTAACGGCCAGGTGCCCTGCCAGCGCTGCGGCCATCTCTCTCTCGAATGTACGGAGTATAACCCTTTCGTCTCGGCATAGAGAGCTTGAACAAGCTAATTCTTACAAGGTTTATATTCGCCGAACTGCTGCAATAGCAATTTCAAGGATTCTGAGTACGTTTTTAGCTCCAGGGGACTCGCAGGTAGCTTGAGAATCGCCACTAATACAACGCTACTTAAAGGGAATTTCGGTCCATGAAAGATCACATCGAACGGCTCCAGGAACAAGTGAACTCGCTATTCGAGAATATCAATGGCCTCCATCGACAGACGGAGTCGCCTGCCATCGAGAACAGCCCCCAGCTGAGCCGGGAAGCCTCACGGTCGATATCATGGCACCAGCCAACCTTCGAGACCCAAAACATCCCCATAGTGAAGCCACGGGCGAAACATCTCCGTTTCCATGGACCTACCAGCACTGCGTTCAACTTTGCAGTTGCCAAGTCTAGCCTTCAGACGATGGGAATCACTCATATAGACGACGGCACGCAGGAGATATATAACGCCCAAGACGCCACGCCTACCCAAACGCCCCCTTACCAACCAGCCCCGGTCTATGCCAATGTCCAGCATTCAAATAAAGATCCTTTATTTGCGATCAAGCGGGAGGAGGCTATTCGATTATGTAGGGTCTACGAGGAAGAGATAGGGCAGATGTATCCTATGTTTGACGTGGAAAAAATGATTACACAGGCGAACCTCCTCTTTGCCTTCCTTGAAGCTGCAGATCGGACGGTTTGCTCAGGGCGATCCAAGTCCAGCGCCGACTGCCTCAATGACGACGATACCGCGATTTTGAAAATGATCCTAGCAATAACTCTTCTACTTGAAGGAAATGGGCAGAGCGAGTTAGGCACTCAATTATACTTGAGCATCAAGGAAAAGATAGAGGCCAACCTCTGGGAGCTAGGGGACCTGAAAATGATTAAGCTTCTTGCTCTTGTGGTTAGTACAGCCATGATCCGTCTCATAGGTTGGATATTTATGTCTTGCTAACATTGGGTATAGGCTACATATCACTTCCATACAGACGATGAAGTTCTAGCTTATCGTATGGTCGGCCTTGCAGCCCGCATGTGTATTGAGATGGGCTTACATCGCCGAGATGCCGTCTTGAAGACATTTCACACACCGGAAGAGTTGACCTCTGTCAATAGAATATTTTGGTCTGTCTATACCTTAGACAAACGATGGGCTTTTGGAACCGGGCTCCCATTTGTCATCCAGGATGAGGACATCGATCCATGTTTACCTGAGCCAGTGAGTGTCTATCTTTCTCTTCATGCCTAAGTTCAAAGGGGCCAATTAGAATCTAACTTGGGAATGAAATGATCGAAGGACGAGGGTGTCCCTTATGTTAGAGCCATGGTTCATTACTGCCGTATCGCCTCTAAGGTCTGGTATTCTGGCTTCGGATCAAAAGCCGACTTGAGTGTCAAAAAGGAAAAGATGGGGTATCTGGATTATCAGGTTGTTGAATGGATGAAGAATATCCCAGACCCGCTCAATTTCTATTCGGTTGATAACGCACGAAACCCCGAAAGCGTCAACCGCGGACTGCAACGACTACGCTGCGTCTTATATATCCGTGGGAACCATATGAGAATACTCATATATCGACCAGTCCTTCATTCAGCGACCAGCATTGTCGAAAACATGGGGTACGCTCAAACTGTGGTGGATATTGCGAAAGACACTATTCGCGTCCTGACCGAACTCAACCGAACGACCGACATCTACCGTTCCCAGCAGATTCTCTTCAACTATTTCCTTATCGGAGCCCTTGTGGTTCTGTTCCTTGCAATATCGCACGCGCCTGTTAAATTTAACCGCCAGCTAACGGATGAGTTCCACATGGCCCTTAACCTTGTAAAGGGTTTCAGCACCAAATCATATATATCAAAGAGGTTATGGAAAATGATCAAGGGCCTGCGCGAGGTGGGCGAAAAGCTTGGGCTGATACCCCATCCGGTAGCCCCAGAGGTGGCAGACCCCCATTCTACAGCAGCAGTTGCCATGGCTGGACTGGCGGGACATCCAATCGACGGACTGTCGCCATACGGCGCGCAGAACACCAATGGAGAACTAGGGAACAGTCCTATGAACGGCTTACAGATGAGCAATGAGCTTACATACCTGTTTGAGGCGATTGAGAATTATAACGGATATATTTCAACCTCTGGGCCTGAAGGGATGAATGGAGGGGGCTTCGTCGGCACCGACCATGCGCTGCCGAGCACTGGAGAAACCATACCCACCGTGCTAGGAAATGAAGGGGAGTTTTCGAGGATCATACAAGACCTCTTCTGAATGGACAGGCAAATCAAGTACATTAAATGAATATCAATATCAAACAACAGTATATACGGAGTAGATATTTTACTAGGCAAATACCAGGCCAACAATAATCCAACGTTCATCCCGTCTCAGGCTTGTAATTTTTATAACCGCCCCACCTTCAACACAACGTATCCTTCATCAGAGGCATCATGTTTGTCTTTTATTCTCAGATATCAGGTTTGTCTTCTTCCTTGAGTAAATGTCTTCTGCAGGAAGTATCTTGCTTACTCAGCGTAATATCACATGACTGACCCAGACCTCGAACCTTCGAAAGTCGAAGAGTTGGAAAGATATCGGATATTCGACGGGAGGGATCTGACTTGTTCTGTTCTCCGAAGGGATTAACCTGCAGTCTTACGAATTTGCTGATACTGCAAGCCTGGGTCCATCTGGCTCTTTTAACCATTCTCCTCAGCCGCGCCGGACACAGCGGCCAGATCCCTGTCGCAACGAGCTCAACCGCTTGTTATCGATACCACGATATTTAACCCACCATATTTTACGAGTTTAGCCTCCCTCGGTCTATCAAACTCGGACATTGTCCTATACACACTCGCTCTAGAATAAGAGCCTGCCACTCACCCTCCCCTCACGACACAAAATCGAAGAATTATACCAGGCGGTGGGGGCCAAAAAAATCGAGACCGCGCTCTAGGAGACTTCGCGAATTTCAACTAGTCACACCACCGGTTCTACGCAATGGGTGTTTCCTCCTAGATACGTCTCTCGTTTTACCTCTCTCATTACGCGGTTCCCTCCCACGAACCTATCTACACGCGAGACAACCGCCAATTTAACCCTATTATCGCCCTATCACCCTAGCCATTCTCATACCATCCGCTATCAACCAATTACCCCTGTTACTTAGCGACCAAGGTCGCATCTAAAACACGTTCACAATGTCACTATTATCAGATGGGGCAGGAGAGACGTGGATCTCATCATACTGCTCATTGATGGGCCATGAATACTTTGCAGAAGTCTCAGAAGAGTTCATTGAAGACGACTTCAACCTGACTGGATTGGGGTCCCAGGTGCCGTTGTATAAAGAGGCACTAGAACTCATTTTGGATGTGGAGCCTGATTCAGAAGACGAAGATGATGAAGAAGAGGAGGACGAGTATGAGGAAGATGAAGATATCGTGTTAGGCGACGAAAGATCTCCAGACTATAAAAAGGCTGATAGAAAACACAGTCGTGTTGCTAGCGATTTAAGTGTGATCGAGAGCTCTGGAGAACTGTTATATGGGCTAATCCATCAACGCTACATAACGTCCCGGCAAGGCATGCAACAAATGCTAGAAAAATATCAGCTGCAGCATTTTGGATCCTGTCCTCGAGTCCTATGTGGTGGATGCAAGGTGTTACCTGTCGGCCGCTCAGATATCCCTGGGGTAGACACAGTAAAACTATACTGCCCTAGCTGTCAAGACATCTACACCCCTCCAAACAGCAGGTTCCAGTCCGTTGATGGGGCCTTTTTCGGGACAACTTTTGGTTGTCTATTCTTTATGACCTTCCCAGAGCTCGATGTTGCATCAAAGACAGACTCCGCTACCAATGCACTAGCTGGGTCCAACGCACGACGTACCTCCTTAAACACGCCATCATCAGCCAACCCTTCACAACCAGCTCCAAATCAACCAACCCAACTTAATGGCTTTATGGTAGCCAACCTTGCGCCAGGCTTGGGCCACGGTAAAATATACGAACCGCGCATATACGGCTTCAAAGTAGCAGAACGCGCCAGGTCTGGGCCACGGATGAAATGGCTTCGAATGAAACCACAAGACATTAATGAGCTGGATGAAACGGGAATATACCATTCTGGTCGACCAGATAACGGCCTTGGCGGTGACGAGGACGAGGAGGACCAGGGTGACAGAGATGCAGCCCTGACAGTCATTAATCAACGCAAGAAGGCCCCCATCCGTCGACGGAGGGTAGCTGCGCCGCACAGTACGGATCCTATGGACACGAATGGGGATAAGGCGGGCAAATAGAAGTAAGTTTTTTCCTATACGGCGTTTTACTTCTTACCCTTTATGCATGTACTAATGTTAAGCAGAACATCTTTGTAGCCTAACCCTGGCAAATCACCGTCGGCTCATTCTGTTTAAGCTGTGGATATGCCCATTTCAACTTTTCTTCTCTATATTCTTTGACTCGCGTTCACGCATCGAGAGGAGTTACACGTGTTCAATGCCGCTTTTATGTGCATGTCGAGTATTCACGGGATAGGGCAAATGAATATAAAAAGGAAACATACTACAAGCATGTAATAGCAGGCGAGATCCTCCCAGCTTACTCCGTACATCACTATCTTCATTATTCACTACGCATTTAGTTAATCCATGGCGAACGTTTCTAGAGACGCCTAATTTCTCCACATTCTAGTTCTACCTGACCATTATCCGCTTTCTCACATTAACTAGCGTCCCTGGAGTACCGGTAGGGCGTCACACCGTTAAAGTCTGAGCATATAATGCGCTGAGGGTGTGTATGGTGGTCTAGGTCACGGAAGGTTGTGCTAGCTTCATCGGAAGGGGCAGCAATATCAGATTTGAACATGTCACTATCGTTTCTCCCAAGACTCCCCGAACTATCAGCAAATGGTTACTGCGTGTCAATGTAAATATAACTCACCTTTACGCCCTTTCTCCTCTTTTAGCCATGGTCTTACTATTTCTCCGAACATTTAATAAAGTTCCGCAGGGGATGGATGTAAAGAGCTCGTGAAACAATAGGACGTGAGGTATAGAGCAAGGATGAGTGAAGAAGAACTCATGTGCGAAATAAAATGCCTGCCTTGGTCAATGCCTTAGATATCTCTATGCAATGTTGTAGAAAACGAAACGCAATTCTGGCGATGCCTCTTTGGCTCACCCCAAGGCGCCTTTTCGTAGATTAGGGTCGATGCGGCTGGCTCTTGGACGTTAAATAATACCAGCACAACCCTAGAAAGGCTGCCGTTTTCTCCCGTATTCTTCATTAACAGCGGTGGCTCAGCTTCATAAATCTCACATTCGGCATGCAGTCACGCTCCCCAACGCCAGAGTTGCGGCCGTTTCAAAAACCAGGCCTCAAAACCAGCATTAGCTGAGGAGAAGACCATGTAATAGATGTAGGCTCCTGGCGGCCCGGCCTGGTGGGCCTTGCACACCCATCGCATCTCCTCGGATACACAGGATAGAATATCAGCCTCTATACCCGTTCCGGCTGGTCATGGATAGGACAAGGCTCCTCTAGGTTCATCTACTTGGTCAGTGATTGACTCGGGAAGACCGTCCCGTTAGTTAGCAGGATGTTCAGCCTTCCGGCTAACCTTTTAGTTCTGATTTGCCCGACAAGGGTACGCCGTATACATATATCGGTGCCTTTAGATCTATATATAGGACCCATCGATCTTCTGGAGTAGACGCATATGCGCATATATATTCCTTGGCCGATCCTGTGTCCTGTCACTGCAGAATCTACTGGATATCCATCACTTGTTCATACCACACGGACTCAAACATTTTTAGTACCTGAAGAAAGGGACCATTCAGCCTAGATACTCCCATGATGGACTGTCAAGAGTCGTATGTATCGAAGTTCTCTGTCAGAAGTGCATTCAGTCCGCACGCACACCCCAACGAGGACTGGACCAAGATATCAGACCTCGCGGAGAGGCGTCGAATCCAGAACCGAATTGCACAGCGAAACTATCGTGAGACCCATTCCTCTTCTCTTCACCATCATTGACCAGGCGGTGGTCTTAGAAACATATTGCTAACAACCTAATTTCAGGCAAAAAGTTGAAGAAACGACTAGAAGACCAGCTCAGACAGACCACCTCGTCTCCTGAACACTCCCCAGACGAGAGTGGTCCAACAAAAGACGACTACTTCATGGCGGAATCAAACATCGAACAACCCGCTGCAAGGACATTGAAACCTGCTCTACAGCCAAAGCTATCGTCAAGCTCACCTCCTAGCACCTTTCAACTAGTTCACGAAGCTCCCGTCTACTCTCAACCATACGACAGTGTCAACTCCATATCTCCAACACCTTTAATGTCCTATTCTCCCTATACTACTTATTCGGATGGTGCCATACCAACACCATATTCCTGTGCATCATTACCGGATGTGATACCGGAGATTTATGGAGGCCAGGGGGGACAATCGGGGGGTGATTGCCAGGAGTCCTCCATAACACCCTACTTTACGTCACCCAGGCCAGAAAGATACTGCGGCATTGATGTTGATTGTCTGGTCCAATCCAACATGGCTGCTATCACATCTACAGCGACCGACACAGCATCTATGTCATCGTATATGAAAGTATCAGACTCGATATACAGCTACCACTACGCCGACATGTACCAAATATCTGGAGCCGCTGGTACGGGTTCAGACTCAGGAAGATACTAGTCAATGATGGGTTCGGAATGTTATTAACGCTTTAACGATGGGACTTTGCGGGATTGTTCTTCTTGTTGGCAACATAGAGAGTCACGAGGATCTTTTCTATTTTTTTTTTTCATTTGATTTGTCCATTGATTTTGTATATATTTCCATTTTCATCTTCATTTTCACTCTCGTATCATAAACATCATGCCATTTCTACATCGTGCTCTCAATGAATCAACCTTTTGGCTGGGGACTAAGGCGGACTAAGGTTAACTAATGTGAACTAATATCGTAGTGTTGATACCCGAAAGTTAAAAACCTAGGGCGGGCCGATGTGTATGTACCGTCGACAAGGAGTAACATCTGATGGGGAAACTGGCTTTTGGCCATACCAAGGCTAGGTAAGCATTGTGGTCCAGATTCAAGCTAATTAAAGCTATAGCCAAGCTCAAATTCCACACAGGGGAGGGTTCAAGACGCATGAAATTTTGGGGCAACGCCACAAAGGCGCATATCCCAAGTGATGCGGGATGTATCCCACTCATATTTTAGCAGCAGCATCGCGCGGAGTCCAATATTGAAAAGGGACCGTACACTACCCCGTATTCTTGTCTAGCCTAGCCTAGGAATGAGCTGCCCTATGGGTGTCCATCATGCAGCATGGGTTCGACACTTCCCCAAAGTAGAACGCCAATATATCTTGCTTTAAAGCATTTCGATGGCTTCTCTTATCCCCAATCCCCCATGTTGAGCTAGTAACGAGGCCATTTTAGTCTCATGTGATTCAATTCAGGTGGTTCGTGCTGACGGGGAACCGTCAGGGATGAACCAAGTACCCTGAGGTGTTCTGCATAGCTTTCTCGTATACAAATCTCCTTGGCTGCTTTCGACAAACCAAGATAGCTACCAGTGGGAACCGAGATCATGATATACATGATGTGAATAGAGGCAGGGATTATGTCCGGTTCACATGGTTCAGGTCTGATGTAGACGCACCGTTCGCTCAGAAGGAGGTTAGGGTTCCCCTGCAGCCTCGTCTTTCCTTCTCAATATCATTTGAGATGTGTATTATTAGTTTGAGAATACGAATTAGGTATCTTCAATTCCGCGTTTGTGCATGGCCTATGTACCTATATTGACTTTATGGTTTCTTCCCTTGCTATGGTGAATTCCTATATATATATATGCGGTGAGATACATACCTCCCTGCACTCTGCCGTTAGCCAGACGCTTCCACTTAGTTCCGCACTCCTTGGGGCGCCACGGAAACCGGGGTACAGAGACAGCAGACTCCCATTGGAGGGAGACGCATACGCCTTCTGGGGATGCCGTCATTGCCAAATACTTTCCGCGTTTCATCGGTTTCCACAGGTTAAGCAGGCGTGAGCTGCACGCGCAGGGACTTCGTATCCAACGCATTCTTCATGCTCAATTGGCCCGCCGAATATCGAATATGCTCACTCCTTTCAACAAGCTTGCTTCTCTATGTGTGAGGGGGAGTTTAAGGCAAGATTGGTCGTGACAATAGGATTTTATGCATATATCTAAAAATAGACTTGGAGCCGCTTAGCATCCCATGGAAGGTAGGCAAGATCACAATTTCATACTATAAATAACAACGACTCCCCATATATCTTGGCGCGCCAACCGACCATTCATGCGCGCAGACTCGACGCCAGTCACAGATCTCCCCCTCCAGGGATCCTGTTACCGACCACTTAGGCTGAATATAGAGGTGTCAACGTGGCATATGATTCGTATACCACTTAGAATCACTTGATTCATTGAGTTTCCATGATGCCAACGCCCCCACGACGGCCTGCCATTAAGAGACCAGCTTTTCGAAACCTCCATCGATTTATAAGGGATGACTTTCAGGCACTAGATCGAAAGTAAGCCGGTCACTGGCAATATTGCCATCGCAAAATGTAGCTAGCAGGGACCAGGTACTTTGATGTATATGTTATTTCATTCTGTAGACTATTTTTATCTATGGTCTATCTGGGCTTGACTGTCTGTGTCTGAGTCTGGAATATTCCTCTCTATGAAGCAACAAGAAATCAAATCGCCTAACTTGGAAGTCGCCGAGATCTATCCCAAATGTCTATGGCGGGAGTTCTATTTACAGAACCCCCGAAAAAAAAATTGTTGATCGCACCACTCCGCAGATCTTGTACTCCCGTCCGAAGGTGATAAGCAAGTGTCGCCTTAGAGAACACCTCACAATTTAACGCTATTTATTCCAGAATTAGTATCATCATTGAAGCTCCGGGACAGGCGGGTAGTTCGGGGATATATAGTTACCTCCATTCATGCTCCACTTCACCATATTGGATTTCTTCGATCCAATTCTTCATCTCAAGGGCAACCTTGCCCGCCTCTTCGTTCTTCTTCAAGCCACAGTCGATCTTCTGCCCCTTCCAGCTGATATCGCGGATCGGGCTAACAATAGCAGCGGTACCAGCGCCGAAGATCTCGATGAGTCTGCCATCTTGGGCAGCCTCTGCAATTTCTCCCATGCTGACTTTACGCTCTGCTACACCCCATCCTTTGGGAGCGAGTCTCTCTTTGGCCAGAGCCAGGACAGAGTCTCTGGTTACACCTTCGAGGATTGTGCCATCCAGTGGAGGAGTCAAGAGCTCTTTCTTGCCAGTCTCCTTGTTCTTCATTGCGATGAACAAGTTCATGGTTCCGACTTCAGTGACATACTCTTCTTCACCGAAGAGCCATAGGTTCTGCTGGAAGCCGCGAGTACCGGCCTCCATCTGTGGGACAATGCAAGGAGCATAGTTTGCACCGAGCTTCTTGTCACCTACACCGCCTGGCCAGGCACGGACAGCATAGTCCGTGGCCTCAAGGGATATAGCCTTGAAGCCGGTAGGGTAGTATGGGCCAACAGGACTGGCAATTACGAAAAGAAGAGCAGACCCAGGAGCAGCAACTCCTAGGGATTCCTGTGTTCCAATAACAGTTGGTCTCAGGTAGAGAGAGTATCCCCGCTCGCTGATAAAGTGGAGAAGTTAATAATGGAGGGTTTATAACTGCACAGGACGATGGGATTGCCATACCTTGGGATGAATCTGCTATCCAACTTGACAAGATCACCAATGAGTTTCGTCATTACCTCTGGATCAAAGGTAGGGAGTGCAATTCGCTGCGTCGACTTATTGAGTCTCGCCATGTTCTTGTCTGGCCTGAACAAGCGGATGGAACCATCTTTAGCCTTATAGGCCTTCATACCCTCAAAGCACTCAAATGCATAGTGGAAAACAGAGGCAGATGGAGCCAGACTCAAGTTCTGGTATGGCATGATGCTTGGTGCAAGCCATCCGTCCTTGGTGTTCCATTTCACCTGGAGCATATGATCTAGTTTCATCCGGTTAGCATTTCCGATGCAATTGCCCTGCTCTCAGGCCGTTTTGATTGGTGGAATGGCAAATACCGGTGAAGGTGGCTCCGAATATGAGGTCCTTGTTCTGCTGCAACTCCTTTGGGGAGCCCGACTTGGTGATAGAGAGCTTCGAGTAGTCAACCCCAGGGAGGCCATCACTGCGCGAGCGGCTAGCACTGTAGTTCCTCTGATATCTGCCGAACCTGGTCGTGACAGGGCTCTTTGGGGTGGTCATTGCGCTGAGAGTTCGGTTCAATCTGAAAAATGACTTCATAACTGCAAGGATACAGCACACATAAACCTGGGGTTCGGATCAGGGGAGGAAGAGACAACTCCAGAACAGTATGCGCGGGATCAATGGCTAATATATGTCCTCGAAACAAGTGACTCACGTAAGCTTGATGGTCTTGGTGCAGGATGAAGGAAGAGAAAGAAGGCACGCTTAACCGCGGTCGTTTCGCTTGCCTTCCTCTTTGGGCCAATCGGATCACGAGATCGCAGCGTGTTGCCGATTTCGGATTTCGGCTCGGGCCTTTATTTCTCCTTCTTCCGGCCGAGATAGAGCCGAGGTCACGTGGATAGTCACGTTTAAAGTCACGTGTGTAACAGGCTGGCGACGACTTCCGACGGGCCAAAAGACCAACAAGGGCATCAGGTTTCAGGGCGGCATATCCAAGGGGCTGGCAGCTCTCGGCATTTGTTGATATACTATCTCTCATTTACAGACCCATCAATTGGCTTTACGGATTAGCTAACAGCGCACTAACGCGTCAACCGCGAATTTGATGCTTGAATATCGATATCTAATGGCTGCCTAAAAGAGCAAACGTCTAGCGTAGATACAAAGATATCTAAGCATAATATACCAACATGCCCCTGAACACCAGCTCTATTTCATGATAAACGGCTTGACAAGTGATCCTTCACCATGTTCTCCTCGGCTTTAAAGTCGTTCTCATCGAACATATCTAATAATTACCAGTTCTCGCCCAACCCCTCCTTCATATCTGGGCCCTGGAAAGTTCATGATGGAAAGAACAAGAAGACGGGGAAGGCCGTTTCGATATTCATTTTTGACCGGAAGTCCTTGGATCCACGAACCGGTGGCTTGAGCTCACGATCAAACACTACCTCGTTAAAGAAAGTTCACGAAGAGGTCGTTGAAAGGCTCAAACGAGAGGCAGCAAATCTTGCCCGCCTAAGGCATCCGTCTATTCTCCAAATAATTGAGCCGGTAGAAGATACGCGGAATGGCGGCCTGATGTTTGCCACGGAGGCCGTCACAGCATCTTTATCTGGTTTGCTACAGGAAAAGACGGATCAGGAGGCATCCAGCCGAGTCGGGGGAAGGGCCAGTCGACACATGATCGAAGAGGCCGACGGATCACGGAGAAGACGTGAAATCGAAATTGACGAGCTTGAAATTCAAAAGGGGCTTCTTCAGATTGGGAAGGGTCTTGAATTCTTGCACGAGTCGGCCAAAATTGTACATGGCAATCTCACCCCTGATGCCATTTACATAAATGCAAAGTCTGATTGGAAGATATCTGGCCTATCATTTGCCGGGCCTACAAGCCCAGAGGTGCAATCACCGCTACCACCAATTGCCCTGTCAGAGGCTCTCTATCACGACCCTCGCCTGCCCAAGTCCGTGCAACTCGACCTAGACTACACCTCTCCCGATTTCGCTATTGACTCAAACATCTCCCCGGCCGCAGATCTTTTTTCTCTTGGACTCATAATCATTGCCCTCTATAATTCTCCTCATGTATCGCCTCTAAATACGAACAACAACACAAATACATATAAGAGATTACTCAGCTCTGCCGCCACGATTCCCTCACAGTCAAACTCCTTTCTTTCCTCGGGGCCAATACCAAAGGATCTAGCTAGCCAGGTTCTGCCAAAACTAATAACAAGGAGACCGGCTCAACGGATGAATGCCAGTGAATTCCAACAGTCTCAATACTTCGACAACGTCCTCGTTTCCACCATCCGCTTCTTGGACTCTTTTCCTGCCAAGACACAAAATGAGAAATCGCAGTTTATGAGGGGATTATCCAGGATTTTGCCAGAGTTCCCAACATCTGTCTTGGAGCGTAAGGTTCTTGGAGCGTTACTCGAGGAAAGCAAAGATCGCGAACTCCTGCCGCTTATTCTCCAGAACGTTTTCAAAATTCTTGCACGCCTCCCTTCAAGTCAACGACTAGTTCCAGATAAAGTTATTCCCCGTCTTAAAGAAATATTTCTCACACCGGGCAATAAAGGTGCCGTTCAGGATCGAGATAGCAGCAAGGATGCAGGACTCATGGTTGTTCTTGAAAACACGCAAATTCTTGCTGATAATTGTTCTGGAAAAGTCTTTAAAGATGGTTCGTAGCCTTGTCTTACTGATTTTCTTAGTGTTGGATGCTTCGTTTTGCTAACTGGTTTGTCATAGACGTGATACCGCTAATCCACCTGGGCTTGGAATCTCCAACTCACTCGTTGATTGATGCGTCTATGAGGTGTCTCCCTGTAATGCTACCTGTCCTTGACTATTCTACCGTGAAGGATGACATATTCCCGCCAATCGCGTCTGTGTTTACCAGGACAAGCAGCCTTGCAATTAAAGTTCGGGGGCTGGAAGCGTTTTACGTTCTTTGCGGCGGTCCACCCAAGACCAGCCAGTCTGCAGACGACCTTTCGGGAATTATAGCAGACTCTCGGCCAGTGAAGTCAAATTCCAACTCCGTTCTTGACAAATACACCGTTCAGGAGAAACTAGTACCATTGCTGAAAGCAGTCAAGACTAAAGAGCCGGCGGTGATGGTGGCGGCTTTGAATGTGTTTAAACAGATCGGACAAATGGTCGACATAGAATTCGCAGCACTCGAAGTCCTTCCGATTTTGTGGAATTTTGCACTTGGCCCTCTCCTTAACGTTCAGCAGTTCTCGTCGTTTATGGAGCTGATAAAATCACTCTCGTCAAAGGTTGAGAGAGAGCAGACCAAGAAATTACAACAGCTATCCTCTAGCAATGAGGGAGGGAGCACTAAAAACACAGCAAATCAAATGGGAGCATTGTCTCCATTGAATAACGGTAGTGAGACTGGCGGCGATAAGTCTGACTTCGAACGTCTCGTGCTGGGCAAGGGCAAGTCGCCAAACACTCCTATAGACTCATGGGGTGAATGGGGGGACTCTGCTCCATCCAAGGCCCAAGCCCAGGTCCCTACGAAGCCAGACACTACACCCCAATTTTCGTGGTCTAGTAGTTCTACTACTACACGGCAAGGGAATGGCGGACTCGCAAAGCCAAACGCAAATATGCGGTCAATCACGCCCGACATGGCGATCAACGCCTTCCCATCCCTTGAACCTGGACATAAGAGCAACACTTCATCCTTTTCTTCAATGGCTACCCTCCAGCCGCTCTCACCACAAGCACCCCCAAGCAACATGATGATGGGCGGTAGCTTTAGTTCTCTGCAAGGCTCCCACCAGTTCACACACTCCGGCACCGGCTCCTTTAATATACCTACCATCGGGGGTAAGCCTGCTAATGGCAGCAATTTATGGCAGGGGCAGAGCCAGGTGAATACTACGCCTTTCTCGCCATACACCATCGCTCCACCCCCTCAAGGCAACACTCAATTTCAACGCAACCATTCTACGACAACGAACAACGCTACATCTTCCTTTGCGTGCTTGAGTTCACCTCCGGCTCCAAGCCCAAGCTCGCAGCAGAAACAGGGACTAGATAAATATGATAGCTTGCTCTAGGCTACCTGTTTAGGTGGAGTGACATACTACTCGATACCCTTGGAGCATGGTTCTGGCACGGAAAACGGTTAGATAATTATGCTACATGACTTTATCAATTCACATTTATTCTTTACTCATGAAAATAATCATACTCAATTGTCTGCCAACACCATCGCTGTAGTTATCGATAAGAAATCCGGAGACTAGGAAATTCTAATTAATTAAGTAATTAGTTAATCGTCGACTACGCGAAAAGGTACATGTGTCAGGCTACCGGATTGGTTAATTATTGGTAGAACCACGCTGCAGCTTGCCAGCCCGCCTCTCGCATCCTAGATGACCCCTCTCCAGCGCTGCTGCAGGGCTCCCAGCAGCTTCCTCCGCCCAGGCTGCCACCTCCCTTCCAACCGCTTTCTCCCTCCAAGCCGCCTCTCCCAGCTTTTCTCTCCGCGAGCAGCATCATCTAGTTCGTTAAACAGCTATCGGCACTTCTCTAGCACCCGCAAGAACTCGAACTCAGGAGCTATGGATACCCAGACGAAACAGCAGTACCTGGCCGATTCTCCACCGACCATCGTGAGACTGGAGATACGGCCTCATTTCGAAGCTCTAAAGGACGACAAGTTGAAGAGATACTCTCATTTTATTAGCAGGTGAGATTGAGCTGCATCCATGGAGAGTCGTTCTAGTACAACACCTGCTAACTTTCCACCTTTTAGAGCTGCTTTCCAGGGAACAAGAATCACCCTACGTCAGGTCTCTCCCGAATCCGAACCTATCTACGACCTTATAATATCACTTTATGCTTCATGCAATGGCGATTGGAAGGCCCTGGCCGAGAAGACGAACACGAGTGCCGAGAATTTGCAGTTCTTTCTAGAGTATGCTGCACAGTTCCTAGGCAACTGTGGAAACTACAAGGGATTCGGGGACTCCAAGTTTATCCCCCGGATTCCGTCTAGTGCACTCGAAACTCTGGCTTCTGGGTCACCTGAGACGAAGAAGCACTTTGAGCTTGCTTGCAAGTCGGGAGGAGGTATCTATGAGACCTCTTCGCCTGACCTGATGCATCTGGGCTACCCTGAGAAGGGCCAGATGACGACATATTACCCGGATTCTCCATCTATCACTAAGGAAGAGATTACTTTGATTGGCGATTTCCTGGAAAAGAAACAGCTCTTGCTGGAAAACACAAGACTCAGAAAGACCCAGGCTGGCGATTTTGAGTTGTTAATTGCCTCGGCTGAAACTTCACCTGCTGGTAAGGATAGAGACGTTGGAGATGTCGATGGATGGGATCTGGAAGGCAAACTTGCCGGAAAGAAGCTTAAGCTTGTATATGGCGACTATGCTGAGGTTATGAAGAAAATTGCAGAGAGCATCAAGCAGGCTGGCTTGAACTCGGCGAATGATATACAAAAGAAGATGCACGAAGAATACTTCAAGTCATTTACCACCGGGTCAATAGAAGCTTACAAGGAAAGCCAACGTAACTGGATTCGGGATATCGGTCCAATGGTGGAATCAGACATTGGATTTGTCGAGACCTACCGCGACCCTCATGGTGTCCGAGGAGAGTGGGAAGGCTTTGCTGCAATGGTATTTATTCTCCCAAAGTATGAGTGGCAGAGGTATAAATTTGCTGACGTGCCGTGTCTTGTTTGCAGGTCAATCTCGAGCGAACCAAAGCTTTTAGCAAACTCGTTGAGAATGCTGAAACTATGATTCCAAAGTTACCATGGGGCAAGGAATTCGAGAAGCAGACCTTTTTAAGCCCTGATTTTACATCGCTTGAGGTGATGAGCTTTGCTGGAAGTGGCATCCCAGCTGGAATTAATATCCCCAACTATGACGACATCCGCCAGAATCTCGGCTTCAAAAACGTGTCTCTAGGCAATGTGCTCAGTGCGAAAGCACCGAATGAACCTGTCCCCTTCATTCGCGAACAGGACCTAAGCCTCTTCCGCGAATATCGGGATGCTGCCTTTGAGGTACAGGTTGGTATCCATGAACTGCTCGGCCACGGAACTGGTAAATTGCTGCAAGAAACGTCTCCAGGGAAATACAACTTCGACGTGTCAAACCCACCTGTGAGCCCAGTTGATGGTAAACCTATTTCCACATGGTACAAACCAGGCCAGACCTGGAGCTCTGTGTTTGGATCCATCGCTTCTTCATACGAAGAATGCCGCGCTGAATGTGTTGCTATGGCTTTGGGATGCGACTTTGGTATCCTTCAACTGTTTGGCTTCGGTAACGGTAAAGATGACATCAACGGCCAGGCAGGTGACGTTCTATACGCAAGCTATCTCCAGATGGCACGCGCAGGTGTGGTTGCACTTGAATTCTGGGACCCAAACAGCAAGAAATGGGGCCAGGCTCACATGCAAGCACGATTCAGCATACTTCGTACTTTCTTAGACGCTGGCAACGACTTTGTTCGACTAGAATACAAGAAGGACGATTTGTCTGATTTGGAAATCCACCTCGACCGATCTAAGATCCTCAGCCATGGACGACCTGCGGTTGAGAAATATCTGCAGAAACTCCATGTGTACAAGAGTACGGCGGACTTTGAAGCTGGAAAGGCCCTATACGACGAGAGCACACATGTCGATGAATGGTGGGGAACCAAAGTCCGCCCAGTCGTCCTGCAGAAGAAGGTGCCTCGAAAGGTGTTTGTACAGGCCAACACGGTGCTTGACGGCGAACAAGTCGTGTTGAAAGAGTACGAGCCTACTCTTGAAGGCATGATCCAGAGTTATGCTGAGCGCGATGTATAATTGACTATGCAGTCCTCACCATTGGCCCTTGAGGGTTTTATGTTCATTAAGGATTAGATAAATATAACCCTTTATACCTAACTTTTACCCTTAGATCTGATTGAGACAAAGGTGATTATCACTAGGTGTAGCACTGTGACTGGGAGCGTCTATCGCGAATATGGTGTTGTCAAACACTAGCGTATCCATAGCTGCGACAGCTAGATAGAAGGATACAGAGTATAGAAGCGAGAACAAGCCACGTAGAGTGCTAGCAGGCATCGGATGCAGGGAAAAGGGACAAAGTGATATGTGGTGGGGGTTGTTATTCATATGCTCGTCCCTATTGTCGCGTCGCTATTGATGGCCCGAAAAAGCAACATGGCAACATTAGGAATCGCAGGTCCCTGCTGAATAAGCCTATTGACAGCCCGCGATGAAAAGAAAAGAAAAAGATGGAGAGAAGATGCAGGATCCTTGCATGGGAAAACATGGAGAGTCTCTTCTATTGATGCTGAGCATGTCAATGGATCAGTAAACGGACATTATCTGCCCTCCTAGCCTTCTTACGCCACGCATAAATAACTTAGATCCTGGATGTCAACAAAGTGGCATTCACCTGCTCCAGGATCAATATCCCAAACATCCCATTGATATACCTCTTAACATCTCATTGCTATAGACAACAGGCTCCACCTTGCTCTTGTTTGTTTTATATCTTCCTGTGTCCCTTCAAGCCTCACCGCTCCTGGTGGTGTTTTCCTTCTCTTCTTTCCTGCTTTGCTGTTATAAACTCCCCTGGGATCCCCTTTTTGGTCTACCAACCCCTTCTACTCATAGCGACTGTTATTCTTTCCAACTTCTCTACATACAACAGGCTATCCCGCTCAAAACATGCTGCCACCGTCGGATTCATTTGCTCACCAAAACCTCAAACTGGCTGAGGCTCTGGCCAGCTTGAGAAAGCAAACGGTTGCCCCAGCACCTCCACCGCCATACGCTGCCACTGCTGCTACTGCATCTTCTGAGTTACTAGGGGAGTTTGAGGATGACGAGGATGACGAAAACCTGCCTCTCTCCCCAATTGTCATCAAAATCGACACCTCTATATCTATCGACGGGCAGAACAACACCGTTGCAATCCCCACGTCGATGGGACCAGGCGAGGACAGTCAATCGCCAACATCAGATGTTCCAAGCCCGTCGACAGCCACTGGCCTGTCCATACAACAGCTACAGCAGCTACAGCAGCGACGACAGGCGAAGTCTGCCCAGCTAGCCTCGGCAATCATCTCAGCTCTGAAATCAGCCGGCGCCTTGGATGATAGGGAGACTGGAAGGCAGCGTCCAATCGAGGTTGATGTCAACGCCGGAATTCGAATTACTGGCAACTCAAACTTGATATGCCCTGGAACCCGTAGGAAAGCGGGACCAGAACCTGTGTCAACCATAGCTCTGCCTACGGAGAAGTTGGGCAGGAAACGACGAGCACAGTCGGTATGTATTCTTGGAATCCTTTGTTATCAACCCGCGCACCCTTTATTTGGCATATTCATTAACACCCTCACTATAGGAACCTCATGACATTCCTGATCTGAAGCGAGCACATACTACTCAGGAGTCAGCTGGTCGCTGAAAACCAGAAACCCAGTTTATTTTTAACGGATCCCACCCTCACTGGGGATATACCACTTCCAAAAATGATGTAACTGTGGTATCGGAATATGGTTGGCCCCATGCCAGGAAAAACCATCGTCTTATCGACGTGAACAAACATCACTTGTCTGTCATGGCGTTTGTCTAGATGAATGCGGAAGAAAGGTAAATCATCGCTCCAATTCGGTGTTACACATACCTGTTTGCTACGATTCTAAGATGCAAAAATAGATTTCCCACGATCCCACGCATTCCATTATCAATACTCCCTTTTCTGTTTATTTTTACACCACAAAAAGCGTTCAGCGAGTTGAGAGGCCTTCGAAATGGAATAGAGTGTAACCCCACAATACCCGCATGAGGGTTGATGTTTTCTGACGACGAAATGTATTACTATGAGGATGTTTACGGAGTGATATAAGAACTTGGGGAATTTAGATAGATTAACGCTTTTACGAATTTCTGGGTGGGCATAGAGACCATACCCTTGTCTACACCTTGTTATCCTTGTTATTATCCCTCTTCGTAACCACTAAATAACTTATTACCTTCGTATTTGTTGGACTCGATCTAGAGCCATGGAATAAGTTACCGAGGGGCCATCGATCGCGCGACCTGGCGTTCAATAAGCCACTTCGCCGGAACCATGAGGTCTGCTTTTGGAACTAAGACTCCCCTCATTGTGTATCGGTAATTAATATACCCGTCAAGCAACTTTGGCTTGAGATGTAAGGATCTTCACTGTTGATGTCACTGCGGAGAAATTGTAAGTGTTCGTCATTACGCGAAGAAGTTGATCTTCATATAACTTCATCATAAGCATAGTATATCAGTTTTGATTCAGGTTTTAGACTGGAGAATATCCTAGAGTAAACAACGTCAGTGTCTTGCCACGCATATGACGTCAAATATTTACTATTGATATTTAAGAGAATAGGGTAGGTAGTAAATTATTCAATTAGAGAAATTAGACGACATTTACTTGCTATTATCAATTCCCAATATCGTTGACATAAGCTACATCTATCACCACGAAGAACACACTGCAAAAATGAGCCACTATTCTAACGTTCAACATCCGGCTGGAGAATTTAAACCGTCACGGCCTCAAGAGCACCATCAAGCAGGCCCAAAGGTGAGGAGTTTACCTTAACTTGCCAATACGTGCTCAGTGCTAAGCGTATGGTAGCATAAACCTGATGTCAAAGCATCGCCAGCGGATAATGTCCCCGAATATCACGCCGAGTCAGTTCCGGTAGGCTCTGCTCCTCCAGAACACACATATCAACCGCACCCATCGGAGGAATATGCAGGGGATGAAGAAGGCGGTGCTTCTGCAAGCGCAACTTTGACAGGTGCCACACCCGCAGACGTGTATAGGGGCATGGGAAAGCCGTTACAGGGCGAGACAAGGACGGAAATGAGGCATGATGGCGAACATCACCGCAAGAGAGATGGCTCTGGGCTTGAAGGGGTGGGAGCAAACACAGCAAGCACCGAGACAGACCTGAAAAGGCTGCAGAGAGAGTAGGTTGGAATATTAGGGTGGCTAAACCGATACATTCCCAACTCCCTAGTCATGGAGATTGATTGGTATAATACAATCATATATATAGCACGGCATTGCCTACTATCCTCAAAATTATAATATTAAATTCCTCATGAGTTGCTCTAGCCTTCACTTGCTCCACATAAGGTATCTCGCTCGCAACTAGCTGCTTAATAGCAATATCCCAAATGGCATGATTTAACAAAAGGATGATCAAAAGCGAAGAAAGAAAAGAAAAAGGTAAAGACGGAGCCAGCTTACGCCCTTTGCACCGTATCCTTCTGTAACCGGCAAATGCATACCCGCGTTCTCATAATACATAGATAATGAAGATAGAAAAAGAGGAAAGGGAGGCCTTGCCGGTATACATGTATACTCCTATTTCTTCCAGGAGACTTTCGTGATGAGTGAATCACGGATATTCGCGAACAAATATATCCACAAGCAAGGGTAGTGGTAATAGTGGAAATGAAAAGAAGATGGTTGCATATTTCTTTCGCCGTCTGGCTAAATTTGCCAACATGGGGGTATTTTGGTATACCTTTAGACCTGGGGTGGACTGAAGTTGGCCTTGAGAAATTGGCTCTATCAAGCTGTGATATATCTAACCGGTGGTAAAGGCTTTGATAAATATAGATGGAAGTAGTCACGAGTAGTACCTTAGCGGACAATTGAATGGTCAACATAATGAAGACCCTTCTGCCATGCTGGTAGTCGCTTGTTGCATTCATACTGGAATCCGCAGTTATGGCAGAGTGTCTAGAAAGTAGAACACACTGAAGTTAGCATAGCTGTAAGATGGAGGATGTATAATATATGGACAATAGGCTTACCCTTGGCCCTGCTGGCCCATCCCTTACTGCCCACACCGCGGAGCCCCAAACCAGACAATTGGCACAGCGCCATGCCTGTCTCTCCCATTCGGCCAGTGTTCCTCCTCCACCTCCGTAACCAGCAGTCCCACCAGTGTCTGGCGTGCCCCTTCCGCCGGGGGTTCCGCTTCGACCAGTTGGACTAGGACTTCTAAGTCGACGTTTCCTCTTACTTCTCTCTCCACGGCCCATAGGTGTCTCGCTACCGTCTGGTACATCGAAATAGCTGCCGGAACCTTGCCGCGATAGCTCTGGTGCAGCAACTGCAACTGCGCCCGTCGACGAAAACCTAGCAGTCTCTCGTCGAAGCCTTCGGATCTGTCGTTCTCGATCGCCCTCTCGTTTTTCAATCTCTTCCTTGGATAGAGTCTCGACTCTAGTTTCCCATTCGTCTCCTAGAGTATCAGGGTCGTAGCGCCAACCGGCTTCTTTGCCATTTGCTGTTTGATTATCAATTTCAGCTCCCAGGCCACCTGTACTGCTGATAAGGCCGCCGCTCTCGCATGCTTCTTTCTTCAGCTTCAAGACAGCTTCATAGATTCCGTGGGCGATTGAACTTGCCCATTCTGGACCAAGACCAAGATCCGCGCAAGTAACTTTTGAAAACTGCTCGGCCATCCCCCTGGAATGTAAGAGCGACCATTCAAATTTGTCACTGTATAATTTGTTTTGGAGGTTTATGTTAAGGCCTACGATGCATCGGTACGCATCGTCGGGATCATACGGCGCATCGCTTGCGGATGGGTCTGGCTGGGCATTTCCATCCTGCTGTCCAGTGCTTATGCTGTCAGAGGGAGCAACAGGGGTTGCGGGAGTTGTCTGCATTGGCGTCATCGGTCGTTCCCCAGTGACGCTTATCCTAGGAGCAGCATCTATCTGCTTTACTTGGCTTGATGTCGTCTGAAATAGGGGGTGCATCGCAACACCTGCGTATTCCTCCAGCTGCTGTCGAATTTGGTTACAAATCCCCATAGCCGTTGACTGCGGATTTGGCAAGTCCAGTTCGCGCACGAACACCGACGCAAACTCCTCTGGTGTCGTCAGGGCCTCATGAAGGTTCCAAAGAAAGGTATCTTTTATTCTATATGGGGGTGCCGATTCGGGCTTTCTGTAAGCGGGTAGGGTAGGATTGATACCGGCCTCCAAGTAGTTTCGCGGTAATGGGAACGGTTCGGCAGGCTGGTACGCTGGAACTTCGAGGTCGATTCGTATCGGTATGAGGTTCACGGGCAGTTGCGCCTGAGACTTCAAGTGTCTCTCTCTCCTAAAGAAACGGTAAGTATTTTGATATGACAAATAAAAGGAACATATCATGCGATCGAGGATAAGGCCATACCCTGCTTTGATTGTTTTTCTAACAACCCAGTCTCGAAAGTTGGCTTGGACGTTGACAGGCGCAGATATCTCCTTGCCCAGTTTCTCACCCGCCGGACCCTGAAGGGGGTTTAATTCCTCCCTCCGTAAGCTGCGCAACCCTGTCGGCCGCCTGGGCCCTTCGCTGTCGTCAAAATCATCGTCGTCATAGTCGTTCTCCGCATAATTCACGACCACCGTTCCGCGCTTCGTGGTCCTCACGGCCGCGGCGGCCGGCGCAGTAGGAAGAACGGGCGAGACCAGCGAATTGGCATACTGGCGCAGTCGGGGAGCGTAGGAGGTCACATAACCTAATGGTGGCATCGTGAAGCAGTCAAGAGCGGTGCAGCATGGAATCTAGCACAGCAGCTCGATAGGCATTGCCAAGAGGAGGCGGAAGCGCTTTTCGACAAGAGACGCGTCTGGGGGTGGTCGACAACTCAAGAGCAGCTTTCAGAGCTAACAACAAACCGACCACGTCGCACACAGGGGATGGGAATAGATGGCAGACGGCCCAGGATATAGGAAACGAGCATGGGAAATATTATTTTATCCTCCAGGGGACGTTCTGAGGTTTTTGGCCGCAGATTTTACCTGGAGAAAAAGAAACATGGCTTTTGGTGGCGCTAGCCAGATGCAGTTAGCGGGATTATGTAATTATAGCTTCAAGAAGCAGTTTTATATACGTTGAAGACGAGAGTACGAAGGACGAGACAGTAATAGTATGCACCATATCCGTATGTATAGCTCGGTGCGTCTCTACATACAAGGGGGAATAAACGGAAATACAAATGGAACAGAAAGAATGCACATAACGACTGTTTGTTGCGCCCTAAAACACCTAAGGATCTGAAACAAGTATAAGTCTTGAAAGTTCAAAAAGGACAGATTCAAATTGGAGCTGCAAACCGGGTAAAAAGCAGAGGATCATCGAATAGATATTGCGAGGACTAGATGTCTTTCTCGCGAGGGGAGTCAGATATTTATGGATTATATGAGATGGAATCGTCGACTCCATGGTTCAACGCAAACCGATAACGCTCTGTGGTTGGTGTTAGTATGATATCTTTGCTGTCATATATGTATATTCCTGGGGACATACCATTTCTAGGGTCCACACCCTCCGGATCCAAACCTTCAGTTTGCCTTCTACTCCTTCTACATTATCGAGCTCAACACCCTCCCACCAGCAGCGTCGAGCGGGCTTTCTCCAGAAAAGGAGTAGCTTCTGTGCCATGCCGACTGCATTAGAGTTGGCTAGGTCGCCTCTGATGTCGGTCCGCAGTTTTGCCAATGCCAAACTGCATATAACAGCCTTGTTGGGTTCGTCTGCGCGATGACCCCATCGGTCATCATGATTGAATCCACTATAGCATTGTTAGATAAAAAAAAAGAACAAACTAATAAGAAAAATAGGCCAGACATACCCTGCTGTTAGCATTTCGATAAGATGCTGCTCGGTTGATCCTGGCTCGTCACTTTTTCTTAGCCCGGAGAAAATACCGTCCTGCTTCAGCAATGCACGGCCCGCAGCTCGCTTGATCTCCATCATCTCCGGATGCTCAATCTCCGCGGTTGGCGGAATAGTGTAAAAATCAAGGTCTTCTCGGAGGACAATGATTCCAGCACGGTCTTGCAGCATGTCCCGTGCAGGGTTTGGGATAGGGTCAGCCGCATCTGCAGCTGATGTTGTAGGGGAAGGTGAAGAGGATGGAATTGACTGGGCAACAGTGCGGAAGAAATCTAGCATGTACTGAAGAGAAAGCGGATCGTAATCAACTGGGTATACGTCCCCCTCGTGGAATGATCCCATGTGCCCATCGGGAAGGAGCCCATTGGGGAACAGGGATAGGAGAACAAACTCGGGCAGAGTAAGCAGCTCATCACGGGAGAGAGTAAATCTCATGCCACGTAAATCTAGCGTTATATGTTCATCTCCGCCGATATCTCCCAGGGAATTAAGCGGCGGTCCGCCAGTTTGTTGCACCTGTGTGATGATACTAGCAGCCCCTCCCGCGGCAGCCATGACGTAGGTAAAGGATTGGAGTGGGATGGACCCCTCGGTGTAAGGAGGCGGAGGTTCACCGTCGTCCTGACCCTTGCCAGACGACTCTCCTTTATCTCGAGAAAGCTCAGCCTTTGTCTCGGTAACTACACGCGGAGTGACGGGAGACGAAGACGGAGAAGCTTCCTCGAACGGGGGCGCAGGTGCAAAAGCAGGAAGCGAAGATGCCCCTGACTCGGTTACTGAGGAGTCGAATCGGTCGAGCTCTTGGTCCGCGCTTGAATAGAGAGACGAGAACGAAGGCGGTAGAGGCGAAGGAGAGTTGGAGGAAGAATCGGATGGCAAGGAGTTGAGAGGAGGGGGGGAATTGCTGCGTGAATTATTGTTATCCACGATGGTGAGATCAGGTAGTTCGCGACTGGGCTGCACCGCTAAGGCGAGCCTAAGATAGATCGAATACTCGAAGAGGAAGACACGGCTTCACTGGCGACTGGGCTCAGAGAGTTCTTCCGTCGTCTCCTTGTGCTTTCAGATATGTAGGACCGTATCGAGAGAGGAACAGGTCGGTGGTTGTGAGTGACGATGATCCTTGACCATCGGGGATGGCGCTTATGATTAGGTCGCCGGAGTTGCGTACTCCGTAGCCTTGCAGATATTAATTGGCAGGTGAGGCAGACTGGGCGATTAGAGGCCAGCTAGCTATCTAGGATGCGATAATTGGCTAAAGATGGGCTGAGGCTTGTAAAAAGGAGAGAAGTTGTTGTTTATTCTCCTTGCTGCTGGCGATCTCCCCGATCTTGATGGAAGCGCCCCCAGGTCACGTGGAAGTCGCTCTCACTTTGCCTGATGGATGAGATGGCTTGTTGATATCTTTATTGATAGCTGAACACGGTGTATATGGTTTTCGAGAAGCAGATGGCTGCAGGGAGTTTGCTGAAGAAAATCCTGAGTGTTGGAAAATGAGTGCTCTCAGGATATATATATCTTCAATCGCCCCCACGTTGATTATGCGTCCTAGCATGGGTATAAAGTGGCCTTGATGCATGCATTATAGCTCTGGAAGCTTCAAACTAGTAAAAGTAGTAAGCTGGTTTCATAGAGGAGCAGATGTTGATCCTAACGCACTTGATAGATAAAGATATCGCCATCATAAGGGATATACAAGAGGAAGAGACGGTTTAGAAGTGAATATTAGCTCGGCCCTTGAGCTTTATCATCTAGAAAAAGGGGGATTACAGTCCAAAATACTATCTTGTCTCCTTACCTTGACGCATTGTAAAGAAGTAAGCTTGAACTTATAGCTACTAGTATATTCTTTATTGGCCTGGTATCACGATAAAGCGTCAGTATGTTCATGGAGCTACAGCTTAAACCTAATACCTGGGAATAGGATTGTAGAAATATTTAAGAGGGCGTGTCAAGTATGAATGAAAGTTAAACGTAGGAAGTTCGCATATATATACTAACGTTGAATTTCGCTCAATCGCCAAAAAGGGGTATTCTAATAAAATAATGTTGGGATACAGCTCTATAAACATCCCTCTCCTCCTTTCCAATAAACACTAAACCAAAAAAGCACGCTGGTTTATCTCAACTAGCCTAGCCAAAGAGTTGCGTGTCAAAATCGTGGCGAAAGAAACAGTCAGGCGGATTGGGTATTCGGCGATCAACAAGTTGGGATTTCCAGAGGAATTTTTCATATATGGCATTACCGTCCTCCGCTTGCTGCTGAAGGGGAGACGGCTCGTCACTTATATCTTCGGACGGGATATGTTCTTCAAGAGAGTGGGGGTGTTGTTGCTGTTGGGGATCTAGAGAAGCCCGTGGTAGTCAGGCTTCTAGAGGGCGGCCATTTGATTTAGAATACGGACTAATGAAAAGGGAATCTTTGAGCTTGGCTGAACTTACGGGTATCATTATGGGTGGTGAAGTCTATGGTAGTGGGGATGGTGATGTTCCCTGATGGCTTCCTTTGCTCTGGGTAAAAAGGGCCGCCGGGATGTAGAGGCTGTGAAGTCTACAAGGTCCATTAGTAAAGTAAGAACGAGTGCGAGGTCGGGAACGTTTTCAATTCCAGTACCAGTAACGAACGTGTCGTGGGTCGGGCCGTAGGAAAACTATGAGTGAGTACTGACTTTGCGGAATCCGTCACCGTCGACGACAATTTCGCGGTCACGGAGCTGTCTCATCAATGCGAGGAAATTACTCTCTTTGAATTTCTGGCTTTGGTCGTGGCTCACGCGGTCGAGTAGTTCTCCAGCGGTCCTTGAGAGCTCATCGGACTCATTTATCCCGTCAATAGAAGCTGGTATATTGTCAGAACCAATTCGGATAACCTCTTCGACTGGCTCTGATAACGATGTTTCTGGTTCTATTTGTTGCTGTAGTGTGGACTCCTGTAATTCAACTTCGGCTCGAGCTTCCGCGAACGCAGCTTCGAATGCGGATTCGTCAAAAACTTCAGCGGGCTTGGACTCGTGCTGTAAGCTTTCGGTGGTGGCTGGCATGAAGTTGTCTGGCCTAGCAAATCCAGGGTTGCCTAGCATACCCATGCCGGGGCGATAGGCCATGCCTCCCTGGAACATGGTAGACTGCGGAGTCTGCTGCACTCCATGTATGGGTTCATGTTGTCGGTGAGTAGAGTTGGCTTGAAGTATAGAAGCTTCTGCTCTGATGTGGTGTTGTGGGTGCTGTTGTTGTAACGACGGCCCGGCTATGTGTAGGTTTTGGAAATCTGTAGCCCAGCCAGAGACGTCTGCGCTGGGCTGAGACGCAAACTGAGGAGGCGGAGGAAGGAATGTGTTGAGGTTAGGCTGTTCTGCTAGCAAGGGAGTAGAGTAGCCAGCTTCAAAGGCATTGAACTCGGCATCGAGCTGCCCCTGAGCTTGGTTGCTTGATCGAAAGCCCTATAACAGAGTTAGTACAGAGATTCTGGCCATGTTTTGGGAGGTGTCATACCTGCGCCGGAGACTGTCGCGAAGATATCCTATCCTGCTGAAGCGTCTGGTCTACCGATGTATGCTTCTGGAAGTTCTGTAGGGCGTTTGAAGGCCCGCAAAGCGCATCCGCCATGGCTGGTAAAGCTAGCTGACCTGGGTCGACGGGCGTTGTACAGAAGGACGGCAGTTTGATCACACTCCTTGCACTGAGTTACTCGCTGAAGATGGCAGTGCTGGAGTGTCGGAGAGCTGGAATGGTATATATGTCGAGTGGAAGCAAGACCATCCACATGCTTTCAAGCCCGGGGAAGAAGAAGAAGAAGAGAGAGCGAGGGGATCCCCGTGACCCGCCCGATAAGCCGAGGCTTCTTCTTCTTCCCAGGTGTCCCAAAGAGGAAAGAAGCCGACGGATAAAGGTTCCTCCCTTGACTGATTAGATAAGATCAACTGTGGCTGGTGACACGTGACCTTCTTGACGCCACAGCCCTTTTTGGAGCCATCGTGGCTTGTTCCTCTTTTGATGCCAGTTCAACAGTTAAAACAACCACCTTCACCATCTACCAGCTGTTGACCTTCTCTCTCGCGCCCCCCGGTCTCCCTCCCTTACCCCGTCCTCGCGCCAATTGAACAAGCTGCATCAAGGGCGTCAACTATAAAATAGCCAAGATGGTAGGAATATTCTCCCTCTCTCCCCTTTTTCCAGACCCCGCTAACTGATACAACAGGCCCAGGTGATAACCAACTCGGGTCATGACGACATGATTGTACGCCCCTCTCCGCTCTCTGCTCGACGTGGCCTTACTCTGCGGGGGAACCGACACGTTGGAGATGCTCCGAGGAATATACTAATCGGGTTAAACAGCATGACGCTGGATTAGATTACTTTGGACGGAAGCTCGCGACATGCTCCTCGGATAAGACAATCAAGATCTTCGAGATCGAAGGAGACACACACAAGCTCCTTGAAACGCTTAAAGGGTAAGGGGATGTCCCACGCCGCATCATTACTTTATCAAGCTGTGTTCGGGTCAACCTTGCTAAACGCCTCCTTTCCAGACATGAAGGAGCGGTGTGGTGCGTTGCTTGGGTACGTTATTATCATATCTCTCACTTAGCTATTGAAGGCAGCTATTAACTTACAGTCTTTCAGGCACATCCAAAATACGGCACAATACTAGCATCATCCTCGTACGATGGGAAAGTGCTCATATGGCGCGAACAAAGCGTCGGCAGCGGTGCGGCCTCATCTACTTCCTGGAGCAGGGTTTTCGACTTCTCCCTTCACACTGCTTCTGTAAATATGGTATGCTGGGCACCACATGAGCTCGGCTGTCTGCTTGCATGCGCCTCCTCCGATGGACAGGTCAGTGTCCTTGAGTTCCGCGACAATAGCTGGACGCATCAGATCTTCCACGCGCATGGACTGGGGGTGAACTCTATCAGCTGGGCGCCCGCCGCGGCCGCAGGATCGATCATAAGCGCCAACTCCGGAGCCGGCCAGTCTCGAAGATTCGTTACCTGTGGAAGCGACAATCTTATATACATCTGGGACTACAAGTATGTGCCCTACATCCCTTATGGTGTAATTGATAATCTTATAATCGGTATGACTGACTTTACCTTAGCTCCGAGACCAAGACGTATGCCGCCACGCAGACACTGCAAGGCCACACCGACTGGGTCCGCGACGTAGCTTGGTCCCCCAGCATTCTATCACGCTCCTACATCGCCTCCGCATCTCAAGATAAGAGCGTACGAATCTGGACCTCTGACCCATCGAATCCCCAGGAATGGACTAGCGAGAGACTCGAGTTCGACACCGTTGTTTGGCGCGTTAGCTGGAGTTTAAGCGGTAACATCCTTGCTGTTAGCGGTGGTGATAACAAAGTTAGTCTGTGGAAGGAGGATCTGAAGGGAAAATGGGAGAAAGTCAAAGATATCGAAGAGTGAAAAAACGAAACGAAACCTGGCTTGGTTCTGAATACGAATTTAATTAATTCCCAGCTGCTTTAATACATTGCGTGCTATCTTTATGGAGTGGAGTTTTAGTTAAGACGGGGAAATCGTATCGTCGGAGCGGCTGCTTCGCTTTATTTATCGTTTCATCCTTACCTGACTTCCAAGTTGTGACTTCAACTGATCTGATCTGATGATGCAGGCGTTGCTGCCTATGTATTTTTCTACTTCCTACAAGGCGTGCTACGTATAGATCCATCATAAACAACCCCAGGACAGATTCAGTATACAAAGTCCTCCTATATTCCGGTCTAGGAGCATCCCATGAATCTATATACAAATTATCCAATACCTCAAAGAAAGAAAAAATAAAAAATCTAATCAACTTCCCGATTTCAACTTTCTTCCACCACTCGAAACGTCCTCCGAACTCAGTCTAACGCAAAGAAATCCACCGGATGGCCTATATACTAACGGGATAGAAACAATTCATTGAAAACAAATATCTACGCAGAGAAGAGAAGAGAAAATCAAAGACAAAAAAGAATGGTATAACGCGTCACATAACATAGAACATATGGCACAACTTAAGTCGGAGAGAAAAAGGTGGAAAATGGACGTAGATAGATAAGAATGAGAGAGGAAAATTGTATAGAAACGGCCTCGGCCTTTTTTTTTAATAAACGAAGGTAAAGAAAGTAATTAGGGGGGGTAAAAGTATGGTAAAGTAGAGGTGAAATGAGGTATCCAACCCGCCCCTGTCCGACGGAGGGATAAATATCTATAGATGGAAGAAAGGCGGAGGTATGTCTGTCTGTATACGCATCACATATCAATTGAGTCGTTAAATCGTAACACGCCGGTTTCACGCATGACCCCATTGACGTTACCGGGCATGCGGAAGAGGGTATCATTTGCACCTGCGAAGCCAGTGCGTGATGTCGAGTTTGAGCCTGCGTTCTGTTGCTGTTGACGCCGCTCGGCGCTGTCGTCTGATGTATCTGCTACTAGCACGAGGCCGAGCTCTTTTATCGATTCGGCGAGAGAAGGCATTACGTTCTATACGTGGTTAGATGGGCGACTGGTGACTTGCATGTGTTGGGAGGGTGGAACTTACGAGAAGGCTTGATCGGCACATTAGGCCCATGAGGTTATTACTTTGAGCGATACGGGCGGATTCCTTGATGGATAGGGATGCGCGGCCGCTGTATTGGATTGCCGGAGATGAAGAGGGCGGAGACGAGGATGCGGAACGGGAACCGCTGCCGGAATCTCGGGCTTGGCCGAGATCGTTGCAGAGTAAGACGGGATCTAGTATATGTTAGTAACGTGTGGCGCACCTTGGGCGGTGGAGACTTACAATTTGGCTGTTTCCAATTCAAAGCCACGCATATTCCTACATTGTAGCTTGTGAAGACCACCGACCTCATGAAATCTGGGGTGGCCAGTCTGGAGGCACGGGCATGATTAAACACGCGTGTGAGAACGGCGTCGGCAAAGTTGTTGATGTTGAAGGTAAGGCGGAGGTCGAGTTCTTTCTGCTCGGCCGGGGATGGGTAGAGGATACATAGGTTTACATGGATGGAGGTGGGTAGGTGGAGGAGGACTTCTTCGAGGGTTAGGAAGGACGTGGCGAGGAGGCGGTGGGCGGTGGGGATGTCGGTTATGGACATTGCGGCGAGGGAAGGGAGGAGGGAGCTGGTAGAGTTGGAGCTGGAGTTGGAGTTGGATGGGTAGGGGTTTGTTGGAGGATGTTGGAGGCCGATGGCCCTGAACTCGTCGATGGATAGATGCGAGATGGGTATGCGTACGCCATGATGCATGATTGTGAACTCTGGATAAAGCACCGGCACTAGATCTCTGGTCATCTGTACGAATATCTGCACATAGTCGCCCGACAGACTAGAGCCGGTGACTTGTCCGTTATGTTCGGCGTCAAAGGCACTGGTGGCTTTCCAGTAGGTAGCAAAATGGGTGATTTCCAACGGATCCCCGTAATACGGCTTGATGACCTGGAAGTTGAAGCGGATTTCACCGATGGCTCTCAGCCGGGGATCAAAGACGGGAAGACAGCAGTGGCCTGAACTTCTGCCGTTGTTCTCAAAGACGTCTGGCAGGGCGACTGTCTTGGCGATGACTTTTGATCCAAAGGTTGGGAAGATTTCAAAGTCGATGGCAAAGTTTTCCAGCTTGTCGATGTGGAAGGAGATGAAGCGGGAGTCTTCTTGGAGCGGGAGCATGACGTTTCGAGGGATCAGGTCCGTCATTTTGGAGGAGATGGTTAGTCGTGCGGCGGCGTAGCGGCCTGTTTGGTAGAAGACGATGGGGTCTGCGGAGGGCGGGTTGAAATGGATCTGGACGAAGGTCTTGTTGTCTAGGAAGTTGTGGCCGTAGTGACGGAGCGGGATGATGGGCGGAGGCAAGGAGAGGTCGGGTATGCCGTCGACCTCTAGAGCCGGGATATCCTTCTTCTCGTCGCTTTTGGGAGTCAAAGTAGCTGTCATGGCATCACGGTATCTGGGCCCATTGAGGACGTCGAGCGGAGTGTGTCCATGGATCGGACGAGAGGTCCGCTGGGACCAGAGCAGGTTCATGCATTCGAGATGACCCTCCCAGACTGCGTAGTACATGGCCGGCAAGCCTTTTTCGTCCAGAGCATCCGCATCTACACCGCAGTCTAGCAGCGTACGCAGACATCCCACACACCCCTCGGCCGCGGCGTGGAAGAGCGGAGTCCACTGATACAGCTTATCTCGCTGGTCGAGGTCTGCACCGTGGCCCTTGAGCAGTAAGAGGACAGAGGAAGAACGACAGGAGCGAGCAACGAGATGTTGCGGGTATAGACCCTCTGCGTCTGGCAGGAACTTTGCATCTCGTTCGAGGAGGATCTTGATGACGGCCAGGGAGGCATGCTGACAGGCCAGGTTGAGCGGTATATGATCCGACTCCGAGGCCGGGTTGATACGCGCGTTATGTGAGAGCAGCTGCTCGACGCAGGAGACCTGGTCCTTGATGATGCTGTGGATGAGAGGGGTGAAGTTATCGTGGTCGGTGAGGTCGATGGTAGCGAGGCCCTTTTCAAGTAGGGCATGCACCATGCCGACTCGCCCATGCATACAGGCGTAGTGCAGCGGTATTCTCCCGTAGACGTCAGAGTGCGAGATATCGACGCCACGCTCGAGGGCGGCGTCAAAGACGAACTGACGGCCCGAGATGACGGCTTCATGGAGACAGTTGCGCTCGTTGATGTCATCCTCCGCATGCACATCTACGAGGTTAGTTTCGAGCAGCAGGGTGAGGACCTCGTCCGGGTACTCGTTGACGGCCGTGAGGAAGATGCGGGTGAGATGGTCGGCGGCGTCTGGGGAGAGCTGGATCTTGCTGAGCCAGTCCCGCAGCGGCTGGAGGTTTCCCGTCACGGCGGCCGAGTTGAGGATGTGTAGGTCGCTGTCGTCTTCTTCGGCGATGCTGGCGGGCCTGTCCGTGGAGCGAGGAGCGTTGAACTGGATGTTTTCACCTTCGGCCCAAGCCTCGAGCTCGAGTCTGGCCGTCGTTGCGCGGTCTGAGAGGTCGCGGAGGACTTCCCGGTTGAAGCACGGCTGGACCTCGACGGCGCGCTGCAGGTAGAGTTCTTTTGTCCGGGACTGTCTATGTTAGATGCGTATAGTTGTAGTTGTAGGGGTACACACCTTGGACGTTTTATCCCACTGCACAAGTTAGTATCAGCTCGTCTATGGGAGGGAGGTGACTTGCCTTTTTCAGTATCTTCGACACCGCCGTCTCATTCACCTCCACAAATTGCTGCTCCCGTTAGTCCTGATATATATATTTGCAAGTGTAAGCGCACCTGGAGCTTGTTGAGGTCTCCATCGAACTGCTGAAAGCCCTCGATGAGCGCGACAAAGTTGGCCGGGGCCTTTGAATTGGACACCGTCCGGCGCGACTGGATGACCCGCTGCTTGTCGAGCAGGGTCTTGAGCCGCAGCGAGAACTCGGCTTCCTTCTGCAGATAGAAGACGTTGACCTTCTCGATCTCGCGCTCGAGGCGGAAGAAGAAGACCTCCTTGTTCGCGCGCAGGGCCGCCTGGGCATCGAGCACGTCGCCGGTCTGGTCGAGCACTGTGCCCTGGGCCGGGATGGTGGGCGTCGCGCTGAGCTGCTTGATGAGCTGTACATTGTCAGTATACGTAGTGGAAAGATGTAAGATGTAAGAGGGATACCTTCTTGAGGGCCTTGTAGTTGAAGAAGCTGGCGGCGTACTCGGGCAGGTCGAGCTGGCGGCGCTGGATCTGCTTGCCGAACTTCATCGTGGCGGTTACAGAGATGCCTCCATAGAGAGAGAAAGTCGTAGAGCGAGAGAGAGAAGAAGTAACAGAGATAGAGATAGAGATAGAGAGAGAGGCGAGGGGCAGGAGGAGTGCGGCCAATAAAAGCGGCCGGATCGGGCAGCTGGGTCCATGACCTCACTCATACATACTTATACCATATACCATATACTACTACTACTACTACTACTCTCTATACCTACTCTCTCTACCTACTCTATACCTACTCTCTCTATACCTACTCTATATCTATACTACTACTTCTACTCTCTATATATATCTACTCTACTTCTATCTACATCTACAATTGTCTACTGATTGGCCAATCACAGCGACGCCTGGAGGCACGTTTAAGCATGCATTACTATCCTACTACAAGACATAAGCAGAAGACAGACGCTGAAGAGGAAGAAAGAGAGAAGGTATTACTACATATCATGGATTAAGATGTCACAGCACAATCTGTACAGCGTGCTTTAAGCCAGAGAATGGACAGAAGGGAAGGAGAAAGGAAGGAAAAAAAAGAAAGGCTAAAAGTTCTGAGATATACCGGCATTCCCCTGCTGCGGGTGTGGGAAGACGCTGGGACTCTCGATGCGGGTGTTCCGTCGCGCTGAAACGTCGCGGATGACAGGCTGAGGTCCCAGGCCCGGTGGTGAGCCGTGGTGGCTGTTGCTGTGGCCGTGGTGGCCGCCGTCCGGGTAGTATGCGCTCTCCTCGTAGTACTGCGCGCCCGGTGGTGCGCCGGGAGGCATCATGTCGTCTGATATGTCCGAGTGGGCGCCGGCAGAGTACGCTGAGGAGGCATTGGACAGGCCGCGGTGGATGTTGGCCTGGTTGGGGTTGGGATTCTGGGCTTGAGGCTGGGTCTGGATGGGCGGCTGGCCGACGTGGAGGGCCTTGGGGATGCCGCCGACTGCTGGCTCGGCGCGACCGAGTCCCTGGCGCTGCTCGTCGTCGGCAAACTGGAAGGACTCCTCTACGGGGGAGACGTCGCGCGCGTACATGGCGCCGCTGTCTGCACCGCCGCTGGATGCAGTGTTGGTGGGCTGATGGCGCGAGTTGCTGGTCGTGCCCCAGCCGCGGTAGCCAGCGCTGGCAGCTGCACCGGCTCCGGCACCCGCAGCGGCGCCGGGCGTGTCCTTCATGGCAACGTCGGTGTCGTACATGCCCACGGCGGGTAAGGTGGGATCGTTGTTAGGGTTGAAGCGGTACTCCTCGATCTCCTGTTTGCGCTCTTCCTCTGCGAGCTTGCGGGCCTTGCGCTTGCGGTACCAGAAGAGCAGGGCAATGATAATGAGCGCTACCGAGACGACGGGGACGACGACGGCGATGGCGATGGTGCCGCCGGGCGTGAGGCCGCCGCTGTTGCCATTGCCGCTGCCCGAGCCACCTGGCAGCGTCGGCGCCGAGCTGGAGGTGGACGAGGAGGAGGTGGACGACGGGCGGACGCTGGTGTTATGGGGCACCGAGGCCGTGGAGGTGATGACCACGGTGGTGTTGGACGGGCCTGGCTGCGTCGGAGTCGGGGCTGGCGGAGTGTTTGTGGGCTCTGGCGCGCTGGTCGGCTGAGGCTCAGGGGTTGGGGGGTCTGGCGACGGCGCGGTGGTCGGTTCAGGCGGTGGTTTGGTCGTGGACTCGCTCGTTGGCGGAGGGCTGGGAGATGTCGGTTTGGTCGTGGACTCGCTCGTTGGCGGAGGGTTGGGAGATGTTGGCGGCGTCGGACTGGACGGGGGGGTCGTCGGCATATTGCCGCCTGCTCAGTCAGTCCATACACCCTGTATCATATATCCTATCATCACATACCTGTCGACATGGCGGCCATCTTGAGTATCAGAGGTCCAGGTCAGGTCATCCAGGTCTCAGGTCGAGGCCGTCGGCCGTTGTCGCAGTCAGCGTCAGTCCAATGTCTTGACCAGATACGGAGTATATCTTGAGGTAGAGCTGAGTCTATGATAAAGATGTGAGTAGAAGTCGTGAAGTTGAGATGTGAAGTCGAGATGTGAAGTCGAGATGCGAGATGAGAAGGTGAGAATCTGGCTGAAAGCGTGGCGGAGGACCAGGAGAAGGCCCGCTTTTCCCGGTTGGGCGTGCCAAGGTAACGTCTCGTATTCCCAATCAGAAGAAAGAGAAAAAGCCACTTGACAGGGAGAGGAAGAGGAAGACGAAAAGACGGAGGAGAGGAAGACGAGGAGGAAGAAAAAGGCCAGAGGAGAGACATGAAGATAGACGAGATGGGGCTGAGTATAGACTTTTCTCCCCTGAGCCACCAACCAGTCTCTCTACACTTTACCTATACTCTACCTCTCTCTCTACACTCTACACTCTCTTCCTCTCTCTTCTATCTCGTCTCTCTTCTATCTCGTCTCTCTCTCTCTTCCTCTCCCTCTTGTCTCTCTTGTCTTTTTCTTCCCCCTTTTCAAGGCGTAACGTAACGTAACACTGTAATACATATACATACAGTAATTTGCAAGGGTGTAAAAGTGGCTTGACGCTGGTAACGCCATTACATACCATACACTAATACACTAATACGGGCCCTAGTCACGCCTTCTAAGAATAGAACAGCCACGAGAAAGAAGAAAAGATACAGAGAAAGAAAAGATGAAAAGAGAAAGACGAGATAGACGAGAAAAGGAGAAAGAGAAAGATGTAGATACAACACCGGCAGTGCCCGTCTATATACGACAAAAGGAAGCAGTAGATACACACGACGCCGATAGAGAAAGTAGATGACGAAGAAGATGAAGAAGATATACAAATTAGATCATGGAGAACTATTTACGCATGTCCCACTGCGGCTTGAGGTTGGAGCTGAAGTCGTCTCTGGTCCCGACCGTCTCGGCAGGCAGTCGACTGACGCGGTAGGCTCCCGTACGGATGTTCTGCGCCTGCATCGCTGAGATGCCTGTGTGGTGGCTGCGGATGGAGCCTGCGTCGCTGCCGGCGGTGCTGCCTTCGTTCTTGAAGCGTGGTGGTGGTGCAAAGTCGAGGGCGGTGTACGTGCCGGATTTACGCAGGGCGTGTCTATCTCGTTAGTATGCATATAAGAATAAGATGGAGAGATGGACTTACGGGCTGGGGACGGCGGGAAGCTCGTCGAAGGAGGAGACGAGAGGACTATGGGAGGGCACCATGAGGTTGTAGTGCTGCAGTCCGCCGAGGGGCGTCTCGGGTCGGCCTGCCTGGCGGTCCTTGGCTCGGTGGGCCGGAGCAAAGTCGATGGGCAGGAACATGTCGTCCTTGAGCTTGTGGGGGGTCGGCAGGACGTGCAGGGGAGACGGCGGAGGGAGTGGCTTCTTCTGTCGGGGCTGGGGCATGCGTCCGGACGCGGAGGAGAAGGCCCTGGGACCGCCCATGTGTGTCGGCGCGCTGGAGAGCGAGTTGGTCGCGCTGTGGCCGAAGCCCATGTTCATTCCGGGCGGCGGGCGATGGCCTGCACCCGGGTGACGGCGTGGTGGGAAGCCACCGGCGCTGGCACCGGGCATTCGGGGCGGCGGTGTCATGGCTCGACGGGGCAGAGGTTGGGCAAACGGCGGCGGGTTGGGCAGCGGAGGCACCTCGGCGCCGTAGTCGTCCACGTATTCCTGCTGGAAGGGCTTGCTGTCGTCAAAGTATTCCTTGTAGAAAGATCGGATGCGGTTGGCTCGCTGTTCGGGGTTGTCAGACGGGTCTTCGGGGGGCAGTGGGCGGATGCCCATGGTCAGTCTGCGGGTATCTATGAGATGGTTGGAGTCGTAGTACTGGTCATAAACGTCGTGGATGCTGTCGGTACCGTCTTCCCCTTCGGCATGTTCGTGGTCGTACTGTCCGTGGCCATCTCCATCCTGTGGGTGGTGGTCAGGCAGAGCTTTTGGCTCCTCGGCGGGCATGATGCTGAACTGTGGTAGGCCGGGAGTTGGCTGGTTGTTGCTGTGGTGGTTGTGGCTGCTGTCATCGCCGTAGTCGCTGTCTGTGTCTACGTGTCGACGCTGTTCAGATAGATCAGTAGTAGTTTGATTGGATAGACCCAGGTCGAAATCCAGTTTTGGTGCGTCATTGGTCGAGTATGCAACGCCAGGAGCAGCAACATGGTCGACGTGTTCCCTTTCTTGCTGGTGGTTTTGTTCTTGCTGCTGTTGCTGAAGATCGGGCGACTGTGAGCCGCCGCTGTGGATAAACGCGCCGAGATAGTTATGGCTGTTCCGTAAGGCCGGCTCTTTGTTCTCTGTGCCGCCCAGCTGACTCTGGCTGTTCGACGGCGGCAGTCCCAGCTCGTCGAACCGGTTGTCTGACTGTAGATGCGCTGCCGGCGGTGAATTAGGGGGCTGGGGTGCCGCTAAGGGGGGAGAAGTGGACATGCGTTGCGCGTTCCCGAGCAGATTCTGAGACATATCATCACCTCCGAGTGCGTGACTCTGCCCGCCGACATTTCGACTGCTTCCGGCCGTGTAGCTGGAGTTGTCGTCCATGTTCCCGCCTCGACGGCCCGTGGGAGACGACCTCATGCTGCCGTGGGTGTCAAAAGTAGAGGCCGGACCGTACTTGTCGCCACCAGGCAGCGTCCGGGATAGCGAGTGCAGCGACTCCTGAGACTTGTGCAGGCCCGGAGGCAGGAAATAGGGACTCTCCATGGTCCAGTCCATAGACATCCCCGGCTGGTGGTTCCCGGGGCCTCCCTTTTCGGCTCCCTGGCCTGGGAAGCCGGGACCTGGAGGCATGTTCATCTTCGCACCGCTTGAAGCGGCCGGGACCTCGTCGAGGCCATAGTCAAGGGCCTTCATCTTGTCCTGTTCATCTTCCTTCCGTAGTTTCTTGACGTGGCGTCTGTGCAGGATGAAGAAGACGACGAAGGCGCAGACAAGCGGGATCCTACATATGTCAGTATATACATCAGAAAAGAAAAGAAGTAGATAGTGCATAACATACGCAACGCCGAGGGCGATGGCGAGAGTGGGAGTTTCCGTGAGCGTGCGTCCACAGTCCCTCCCGACATTGTTATCGGGGCTACAGGTCGCATCTCTGCGTGGGACAAGCCGTGTGGTGTCCGGCGTCGTAGCATCTCTCTTCGCCAATGGCCGGTCCATCGGTTCTGTCACGGATGGCAGTTCGTCCAGTCGTCCACCCAGCGCCAGCAGCGGTATCCGATGGTCAGGAATGGGAGCTGAGCGAGCGAGGAGAGCATTTCCTGACAGCGTCTCCCTTTTACCGTGCTGGTGCTGGTGGTGGTGCCGGTGGGCGTGGTGGTGGTTATGCATGGCGTCCGGTCGTAGCAGTTAGGTCATAAACAGGATACAGAGTAACAGGATACAGAGTAACACGAGCACGATGCAATGCAGAAACCAAACAAGGACAGAAGTGATGCAGATGATGCAGATGAAGCAGAAGATGAGTCGTATATCGCCTGTCAAATGAGTGTATATTGTATATCGTCGTGGAAAAAGGAATGGCAGCCCCCGGCACAGCCCTGGAGCCGGTAGTAGAGGAGCAGTAAACAGGCGCAACAAGGAGCGGACGAGCGAACGAGGCGGCACTCAGGCCATGCAAGGAGCGTATCGGCCGTCAGTCGGTGGCCATGTCGAGGTATAGACGAAAGGGACGAGGCGTGAAGAGAGGAAGACGAGAGACGAGAGGGAGGAAGAAGAGAAGTTGACCGAGAAAAGGGTGAGGCCCGCTGATTGGACGTGCCCTGGCGGCCCCTGGGCCGTCCATGCCTGTGCCCTTAATCTCCTGCCTTAGCTGACATTCTTGACATTCTTGACCTGCCTGACCTGACATGATACTGACACTTAACGCTGTATCTGACTTGTTCTATTCTTCTCTCCTTCATCCTAGCCCAGTCCATCCCTTCATCTTGCTATTTACTGCGTCGAGCTCGAATCTCGTCTGTGGCTGATGATCCTCGATCTTAGCGAAACTTGCTACTTTCTTGACTTTCTTGACTTTCTTGACTTTCTTGACTTTTCTTGACTTTTGCTTACTTTAGTTGCTTTCTTTGCTTTTTCTAGTCTTCCAGGCTTTTGCCTCTTTATCTCTTCCATCTTTGCGTCTTTTCTCTCTTTCGTCTGTTTACTCAGATTGCTTATGTAAGAGTATTGGCTTATGTAAAGACTTAATAAGCTGGTGACTCAGTTGTTAGTCAGTATAGTCACGTGTATAGTTTAGTCATGACGTCATCGAGGCAGAACTGTAACAAGAAGGAAGAAAAGTCGAGATAGTTGTATAGAGCACATCGGGACTGGTAGAGAGACTACCTAGGTAGCTAACTACTTCCTAGGATATCAGCGAGCGACCATGGATAGCCCTAAAGATGATAGGTGAACCACCCTTGAGGGTCGCATCCCGGCACTCGCATCACCAGGATAGCCGAAGTCTTAAGCCCCACCGTCATCTCCTCCTCTGCTCTCCTTCTGCTCCCCTTCATGGCCCTCGTCTTCATCTCGGATAGGCATTGTATGATATAAAGTGTCAGGTCTATAAGAATTGACACCAATTGACTTTCCTGGAGCCGAGGAACCGCATCCTTGGCATCCTCCTCTTGCTTCGGCGCCCATCCCACCGAGAGATATCGGCATCGACATCGACATCGATATGGCCGTGTCAGACGTCGAAAAGGCGGCTGGCGACGAGCAGGTCGACAGGCCGGACTATGAGACTCCCGTCCCTTCTCGCTCACAGTCTCTCATCTCCAGCTCTACTTCCTCCGGCCACAGTACCGCCCTCGCACCCATAGCCACCCACCAGGATCATGGCCACGGCAGCGGTAACGGATATGATATCTCGGGTTGCATGTCTCGCGCGACCACGAGGGACCTCGAGCGGCATCCGACTCTGCTCAGTCGCATGGCCACGCAGAGGAGTCAGCATAACGAGACCGTCGGATCAACTAGGTCGCGGCCCTTGGATAGGCCGTTGCCCGAGTTTGGGGCCGGTAAGCCGTATCCTCCTCCCTTGCCGGAGAAGGAGGAGTATGTTGTCGAGTTCGATGGGCCAGATGACCCTTTGCATCCTCAGAATTGGTCGTTGAAGAGGAAGTAGGTTCCCTTTCACCTCCACAGTTGGTATGGGATAGCTAACTGGATAGGATATTCACTGCTCTGATACTGGCGTGGACGACAATCATCTCATCTTTTACAAGCAGTATCTTCTCCACCGCTACACTCGAGGTCTCTCGCATCTTTGGCGTCTCTCCCGAAGTAGGCGTCCTCGGTCTCTCTCTATACGTCCTGGGCTACGCCACAGGCCCGATCATCTGGGCTCCCCTCTCTGAGCTCCGCGGTCGTCGGTTTCCCATTATCCTGGGGAGTGTCGGCTTCACCATTTTCCAATTCGGCCTCGCTACAGCCAAGGACCTCCAGACCGTCATGCTCTGTCGGTTCTTCGGTGGCTTCTTTGGCGCATGTCCCGTTGCTGTAGTCGCGGCCGTATTTTCAGACATGTTCGATAACCGTCTCCGAGGTCTGGCCATCACCCCGTTCTCCATGACGGTCTTCACCGGACCCCTCCTTGCGCCCTTCATCGGCGGATTCATCCTCGAGTCATCCCTTGGATGGCGCTGGACAGCCTACCTCCCTGGAATCTTAGGCGCCAGTGCCCTGCTCCTCAACGTCTTCTTCCTAGCAGAGACATACCCTCCAGTTGTCCTCATCGATAAGGCGGCGGAGCTCCGCCGTCTGACTAAAAACTGGGGGATCCATGCCAAACAGGAGGAAATTGAAGTCGAGTTCGGCGAGTTGATCGAAAAGAATTTCTCACGTCCTCTGAAGATCCTATTCACTGAACCGATCGTCTTGCTTCTCAGCATATACCTAGCCTTTATCTATGGATTACTTTACCTCTTTTTGACGGCTTATCCGATTGTCTTTCAGCAGATACACGGTTTCGGTAAGGGTGTTGGTGGACTGCCGTATTTCGGAATGATTATCGGTCAACTTATTGGCGGGGCAACTATCATCTTCTCACAGCCATGGTATATTCGCAAACTTGAAGCGAACGATGGTGTAACTGTGCCAGAATGGCGATTACCACACGTCATAGTCGGTGGCGTGTCGTTCACCATTGGTCTCTTCTGGTTCGGCTGGACGGGGTATACAGCCAACATCCACTGGATTGTGCCCACTCTCTCCGGCCTCTTTACCGGTTTCGGGCTGCTGGTCATCTTCCTGCAGTCTCTCAACTATATAATCGACGCCTACCTTCTTTTGTACGTGCCCGGTCCTGTTATTCATATATTTCGTCTTACAGTCTGCTAACATATGACTCTATAGTGCTGCATCTGCCATTGCAGCAAACACCCTCCTCCGCTCTCTTGCTGGAGCAGTCTTCCCTCTCTTTGCTTCCTACATGGTACGTCACTTAAATGATATCAACATGTTCTCAACCAATTCTAACACCCACATAGTTTAAAGGGCTGGGCATCAACTGGGCCGGGACATTATTAGGCTGCTTCTCTGCCCTCCTCTGCCCCATCCCAGTGATCTTCTACTTTTACGGCCACCGCATCCGTGCCAAGAGTAAGTTTGGCCCCAAGTTTACGGTCGAGCAGGAGATGGAGCGGGATATGTAGGTGTAGGTGCCTGGTAAGGAGATATCCCGGTTTGTCCTCTCTTGTAGTGTATGTATGTACGTGCGTGTTTCTCTCTTTGGTTTCTCCATTGGTTGGCTTTTTTTGGACTGGTTAGTTATATACCCTGCCATGATTTGATGGCCTATTTCGCTTCCCAGTGTGCAAGTTTCGTTGGTTGACTTTATATATGTAATATGCGTTTCGTGTATCTATATACGCTTAAAACTGAACGCTTTCAGGTGTTGAGGCTAATATTGAAATTGAGTAAATGGCTATCTACTATGTAGAACGCTTCCTCTCTACAAAGATCCGCCAACTCTCTTCCACTCCCCATCCCTGATCTAATAATCCCCTAACTTCCTCCAGCCCTAGACCCGTCATCTCAGGATAAATTCCCCAAACACCCACCCACCCAACACCGCAGACTATAGCATATATACAAAACGTCCACCCAGGCCCCATCCACCGCATCATGGGCAGAAACGTCAATCCAATAATAAAATTGGACCCCCAGTTCGTACCTGTTGCCAGCGCCGAGCCGAGACTGCGCACGCTAAGCGGGAACAACTCAGATTGTTGCCAGGGCACATTACCCAACCCAGAGGCATAAGAGGCAGTATACGTAGTGAGGCAAAGGAGAATAACTATTGCCCGTGCGTTGGCTGCCTTTTCAGGGCCGGTGATGCCCGCGTCGTCAAGGGAAGTTGAAGGGAACGCCATTGCGCAAAGAACCAGCGAAGCCACCATGACTGGGATAGAGTAGAGGAGTATTCGACGCCGACCAATGCGGTCGATCAGTGAAAAGGCTAGGAATGTAAATATGAAGTTCGCCCCCGCGACAGAGAGAGAGGTGAGTGTCGGCGAGGAGAAGGAGAGGGATTTAAATATCGTTGCGGCGAAATACATTAGTGAATTGAAACCGCAGAGTTGCTGTAGTGCTTGTAGCATGCATGCTATTACGAGCGCACGGCGGTGGCAACCGATCGAGAAGAGATCGGTGTATGTTCTTTGGATCTTCTGGAACCATCGCCATTGCATTGGGAGAGACGAGTTCGTGGCCGGGACCCCGGACTGCGAGTCTAGCTCGCTTGACGCCTGGATAACTTCTAGTTCAATATCTCGTAGGATATGCTCGACGATCTGGTTACTCGTCTTTGTATCGCCATATACTCTTCGCATAATCTGCCGAGCTTCACTGGCTCGGTTTGCTCGGACGAGCCACCTTGGAGTTTCGGGGAGGAAGACAAGTATAAATAACTGGATGACAGCTGGAGAAGATCCAAGACCGACCATCCATCTCCAGCCGCCAGGTTGGGCGGACAGAAGCCACCCAACAAGGTAGGCGATGACCTGTCCCCCGGTGACGAGCAGACTTAGTATCGTCACCATCCTACCGCGCAGGTGGGAAGGGGAGAGTTCAGATATATACCTAGAGACGGGTAAGCATTTACTGGTCAGGTATGGAGTATGCTAGTACCTACAGTGGTGTGATCAGACTAGCCATCCCGATAGCCAGCCCGACCAGACTCCTTCCAGCAATCATCCCCCAGACCGTAGACGTAACGCCTTGCCATAACGCGCCGACTATAAACAGCACATCCGCGATAACGATTGCGGGCTTGCGACCAACTCTGTCTCCCAAGATGCCTGCCAGCGGACTAACTATGAGTGCAAACAAGCTGGTCGAAGACGTGATCAGACTTCTGTCCAGAATCGTCAACTCGCGGTGAGAGAGGTCTGTTCCAATTGATACCAAAGTTGACGAGATGACCCCGGTACTGTTTAGATAAATGGTAAGAAACGAGCTCCATGGTATAGCCTTTGATAGTAGTCATAGAAACATACTCGTATCCGAATAGGAAGCCGCTTATACCAGCCGAGAGTGTCAGAGCCCAGATGAACCACGTTCCAGAGCCCTTAAGTGTAATATCCTGCGTTTCATATGTATTACCTTCCTCATCGGCGTGGGATGGGCCGTCTAGCAACGGTGCTGCCGCGTCTCTGCCGTCTTCATCAGCCCTTGCCATCGTGTCTAATTCTACCCCTTCCACTTTGCTTGCTGCGTCTCCCAACTTCGCTATCAACGAGTAGTGTCTATATCCGCAGCTCGGAACCTCACATGGCGCTGGAAACGAACGTCTACCGTCTGCGTGATCGACTCTTGCCCTTCCACGCGACTTTCTGGGGGAAAAAAGGCAAGCGACGTCAGGAGATCACGGGGTCAGGTTTGCTCCACGTGACCTTTAAATTATCAGCCAATGAGAGTCCAGAGTTGGTATTAACACGTGATCTTCTCATTGGGCGTGGTTGTTATCCACGTGATAGGGAAGATATGCGGTCGGTCTTAACTAAGCAGGCCCGCATGGCTTAATGGTAAAGCGCATCACTAGTAATGATGAGATTCTCAGTTCGATTCTGAGTGTGGGCATTTTTTTTCTTTCTTCTTCTATCTTTTTGCTTTTCTTTGTTGAACTTTTGAACTTTTTGTAGAAGTAGTATGGAGTATTTTTATCGTGTATATGGCCGAGTGTGGGGATGGCACAGGCGACCAGCGCATCAGGACTTCTCTACCTCTACTCTACTCTTCCATACCATCTACCTCTCCTGCTATACTTAGCAACATGTAAAGGTGGATGCAATTGTTCATTAATATAACTAATGAGCCTTAGCCACACCAGCAGCGTCTGCCTGGGCGATAATCCTCTTCTTATACGCATTGACATCTCCAGGGAATTTCTCCACAGTCCCCTTATCACAGACCCAAAGACTGTCGCAAACATTCTGTACCATCGTGACGTCGTGAGAAACTATCAAGACACCTCCCTGGAAGTTCTTCAGTGCATCAGTAAGGGCGTCCATGGCTTCGATATCGAGATGATTGGACGGTTCGTCGAGAACGAGAATGTGTGGGTTTGTCAGTGATATACAGGCGAACGCTACACGAGACTTTTGACCTCCGGATAGAAGTTCTAGTTTTTGAAGACCGGTCATACCAGTGATACCAAAACTGGAGGTGGAAAATGTTAGTATTCGAATTAACAAAAGATAATATAGTGGACTCACGCTCCGAGATGCCGTCTGTATTCCTCTTCGGTCTTTCCTGGGTACTTCTTAGCCATGAAGCCGACGGCACTGGTGCTCATATCCAGCGCATCGACGTGATGCTGGGCAAAGAAGCCAATGCGAAGTCTCGGGTGTTGAGAAATCAATCCAGAGCTAGGCTGCAGCTGACCGATAAGCAGTTTCAAGACAGTGGTTTTACCAGCACCGTTAGGTCCAACGATACCAATACGTGAATCCAGCTGGACATCAAGGTCGACATTCCTTAGCAGGACGTTATCCTTCGTGTAGCCGAACGTCACGCCCGTCATCTGAATAATCGGAGGAGAAAGCTTCTCAACCTCCGGAAATTTGAAGTGAACGGTGTACTCGCTCTCCGGGGCTTCGAGGACAGGCATTTTTTCGAGTTTCTTGATTCTGGACTGGGCTTCCGCAGCTTTGGCGGCGTTGTACCTGAATTTGTCGATGAAGGCTATAGAGAGTAAGTATTTATGAATAAATCGCTGTAGTGATATGGCTGCTCACCTTGCAAATGAGCCCTCTGGACCATCTGGTTTTCATATTCGCGCTTGGCGTTCTTCTTTCGTTCTTCCTTGGTGGCGTAGAAAGAGTCTGTATGGCCGTGGTTAGCGGTGCATTAAGCGTGTACGAAAGGATTACATTGACCATACCAAAGTTTGCACCCTTGTAGTAATCCAGTCGTTCAGAGTGCTGGTGGATGATATCCGTCGCGACCTCGTTAAGGAACGCCCTGTCGTGAGAAACGACGAGAACGGTACTGGGGTATGTCTGGAGATAGTTGGAAAGGAAGGTGATGGATGGAACGTCCAACATGTTAGACGGTTCTGCGCACTGTTAGCTCTGTGATCAAAGTAGTAACAAGTGTCCTGGGCGAGGAAACTTATCCCAACGTACCGTCAAGCAAGAGTAAGTCGGGTTCGCAGAAAAGGGCTCGGGCCAGAGCCAGTCGCATTCTCCAACCTCCGGAGAACGTCCTTGTAGCATACTGTTGTCGCTCGGGAGAGAAGCCCAGACCGGCGAGGATACTTGCCGCACGGGGTTCTGCCTTGTCTGATTCCATTTCTGCTAGTTTGGAGTGGATATCGGAGAGAGTGATATCCAGGGCCTCTCGCTCTTGGTCGAGCCTGATAGCATCCTTGGAAGTATCGGCCATGGTTGGCCGCTCTGTCTCGATGGTCGCGAGTTGAGATGATATTTTCTGCCCAAATTAGTATTCTATAAGGTAAGGGGAGGAGTAGACGTACCTCCTGATCAGCAAGTAGGCGCTTTCTCCAGACGTCTGCGTCCAAAACGGCCTGTAGAGCTGGGGTATCATCACCAGTAATCTAGCAGCCGTCAGTACATGATTTGCTCGAAAGTGGTATAGGTTACTGACCTCCTGCTCGACGTGGAGAATGGATATATGTGTTGGAATGGCAACCTCTCGTCTACTGAGTGCACGCAGGAGAGTCGACTTTCCGATACCGTTCTGACCAACCATACCATACCGCCGTCCAAAGGAAAGACTGAGGGTGGTGTCTGTGAGAATACGTTTGCCACCGATGGAAATATCGACACCGTCGACCTTGATATCCTTGCTCTTCGTCTGAGCATCAGCCCCGAGCTGCAAGGGGTTGACGGCCATGAAGAACTCTTCGTATGACTGGGCTTCATCAGATTCCGTAATCAGCCTGGAGGCTTCATACTCGACGTTCTTCATGATCTTCCTGTCCTGCTTGTCTCTGATCTTGCGTTCTGCCCTTTCGAGCTTCTTCCTGTCTACTCTGGACTCGACTTTTCGGGTATTAGCCGACTCCAGATCGACGGTGACGCCTGAGAGACCCAGGGTAGAAGAGATGTTCCTCTGCGAGCCTACGTGGATGGTATGATCCAGCTTCTTCGCGGCGGTGGACACTTGTCTCTTCTCCGGGTCCACGGCGCTCAGGGTAGTGATGAACTTTTCTACCAGGTTACGGATAGCTTCTTCATTCTGAGCGCTGAAGTCTCCAGAGGCAGAGACCAGCAGTGCTGCCACCGCATCCGCCGCCTCTGACAGCGGAGAGAAGCCACTGTGCTCCACGTCGCCGTCGTATGCCCTCGAGGCATGAGTGAGGTATCCCTATATCGTTAGCCATTATCATGTAACTCCATTCTCTATAGGACTCACCACCGCATAATCTGATATTACATGATCGATGGACGGAATCTGCGCTCTGATTTCAGCCTCCATGATGGCGACACGCTCTACTCAAGAACTACTCTGCATAAAATAGCTGCGTTGCTCTACGAGGTTCTTCTTGTGCGTTGTCTTCGTGGACATTTACAGATTACGTAATATCTCTACCCAGCATGAACAAACAGTAACAAGACGACAAGATGGACAAAATAAGAGATAAAAATAACAGATAGACGGAGAGCGGCTAAAGGGACAGGATGGTTGGCCGTCGACTCTTGCGTACCTTCACAAGCCTGCCGGAACGATGCTAGGAGGTCAGGATGATAGGATGGGAGGATAGGGATAGGATGCTGTGCCTCAGCTCCTGCAGGAGACGCGAAGACTCCTCCATCTTCTGTCTCTCCATCTTGTCCATCTTATCTATCTGCTGTCTTCTGCTGTCTTCTTCTGTCTGTCTTCTGTCTGTCTTCTGTCTTTTGCGTCTGTCTTCTGTCCGTCTGTCTGTCTTCTGTCTTCTGTCTGCCCTATCTCTCTCTCTCTGTGAGACGTAGAAGTAACATAACGTACGCTGAACACGGCCGGCAACACGAGCTTCGGCGGCTTCGACCCTTTCAGCTCCCTCGCGGCAGGCCTGAATCCTGGCTCGCTGGCGCTGCTGGCGCTCATCTTGAAACAGCGCCGACCTTGGTCTCCGCTAGAAAGAGACTCACCCCTCCCTGGTCTCCAGCACGCTAGAAGAAGTCTCCCTGGGCCAGGATCAAGCAGCGGACGGAGATGCCAAGTTCGCATGTCGCACTGTTCATTGGCCGGTGCAGGGAAATCGCTTCAGATCTGCCTCTCGCTGGCTCTCCTGGCGCCAAAGGGGCAGGATTTCGATCAGGGAGAAAAAGTAAATAAAGCCTCTAACACGGAACACCTCGCTCAAACATACCGTCATCCTATCTCTCGTCTGTCCGTCAATATCTCGTCCATCGTCAACATCGCATCGTCTCGTTCATCTTGACATCGTCAACATCTCGTCGTCCATCTTCGACATCGCGACACCGCGCCGGCGCCACAGTATCAGATTCCTGCTCCACCAAACCCTCTTGAGCCGCTCCGGAAATCAGATCTCAGCTCGCTTCTCGCTTCTCCCGTCTGATGGAGTGAAGGCGAGCCTCATCCCTGCGTGCAAGCATCCTGGCCGTGGACTCTCTGCGTTGCCTTGGGTAGCGTGGCTGGCCGTGTTTGTGTTTGTGTTTAGATGTCGCCCCGAGCTGCCTCGTCCATCACCATGACACCAACATAGCTGCCGGACGCTCAATTCGCGATACCTGTCTGCTCCTCTGTGCTCTGTCGGCGAGGATGGAATATGTGCCTGCGGTAAGTCTGCGCTCTGCCTCTCGCGGTCACATCGTGTACCACCGTCTACCCCTAGGCCTTCCTTCTGCTCGTCTCTGCTGGTTAACTGACGCTCAACAGCTCTGTGCCGCGGGCACAATTGGTATAGCCCCAGCTGGCCTTGCCCTTGGTCGCCCGGAAACTGTCAAACGCCCCTCGACGCTCGCCTACCAACGAGCATCCTTCTTCGGCGGGGAACCTGATACTGCTCTCTCCTCGCCTCTCTCGCCTCGCCAGCAGCCTCTCTTCTCGCCGCTACATGAACAGCATCTTCACCAGCGGCATCACTCGTCCTTTGGCCCGGGAGAGACCCCACGGCCTCCCAGAACCTCCCCGCCAGACTCTCGCACATTCCCCCTGGAGGAGGAGCTGTCGACCGCTGCAAAGCTGGATGCCCTGATACAGCGGACAGATGAAAAGATACTACTACGGCCGCGTCGAGAGAATAACTTGACGATACTGACTCGGGATGTGGAAGAATCCCCCTGTCCCGAACCTCAATCAGTGCCCAACTCGGGACGGCCGTCGTCCTCCTGGGTTCGACGACTCTCGACAATCACCTCGTCCGTATACGGGAGCTCTATCTCCAGCTCACGGCCCCAATCCCCTTCCGTCAACAGCTCCAACGCCCCCTTTTTCCCGCAAAACCGCTCCTCCAACCCCCCTAATAAGCTGGTCAAGCGGTCAACCTCCCAACTCGAATTCCCTGACGCCTTCGAAACCGCGCCTTCAAGACCGCATCGTTCCAGTTCCATCATCCGTCGCCCGGCTACTAGCCACCAGCGCACTGCTGCCGCCATGCGGCATCGCTCAGCAACCGAATCCCATATTGTGGTAGAAGAGGATATCGCCCTGGTATCGCCACGCACTCAGACATCCAGCGGGATCAGATTGAACGGATCTCCTTCACCCGATCCAGAACCCATATGGCGCCCTTATTTTCGCGGCATCGCATCTAATTTCTCTTCTTTTCGCACTCGACGACGCTCGTCCTCGGTCAGACAACGACGGGAGCGTTCACATCAGCATCTACATTTACTCCTAGAGCCAGACGTTGTACCCACTCTGGTGCTGGCCTCGTCAATCAAGACTAATGAACCGATACATCCACGCTTCAACTCTACCTTCAAACCCACGGAACAATCCGATTCAACATGGGGAAAGGCCATACCAGCTCGCGACCATATCTCGCGCGAGTCAAGCTCGGATAAAGAACGAGCGGCCCCATCTTACGCCGCAAACGAACCCGCTACTATAAAGGAACCCAAGGAGCCCAGGGAACCCAAGGAACCCACACAGCCGTGGGAAGAGTCAATAGTAAAACTGGAGCGGAGACAGCGTGCCTCTCTCGACCTAAAAAGAACCAAGAACCCCGACGGTGAGCTTCCACGAACAAGTAAAAGTGAGAGGTTGAGCGGAAGTTCTATGCGACTACGAAGAAGGAAGAACATCACAGACCCCGAAATCTTCCAACGGCCCAACACCTCCTACCATAGAGAAAACTCCTCTGATGCCACCTCCCCAAAGACATCTCAAGACGATGATATCGTTCAAAAGCCTCGACTAAGGCACTCGCCGCAGTTTAAAGACCTTCGATATGAAGTCCTAAACGAGAGACGGTCGGCACCATCCTCTACCTCAGGTTCTAGGCAGTCATCTGCCGAGCAGAAGATCTACATTACACGAGACCGAGACCAACGCCACTCGGCCGCCGCTTCAGACCCAGCATCTACCATACCAGGATCGGATAATGATACACGCATCTTCTCATCCGGAGATGAGGATGAAACTGATTGTCATAGTGATACGGCGTTTGACTCCTTCCCAACACGCGCAACGAGTAGTCATAAATCTACATCCCGTGGGCCCCGGATAGATACTATCTTTGACCAACCGGACGGCAAATCAAAGTCCTTTGCAGTCGATGAACAACATCAACACCTATCCGTGTCATCTATTCGAAGAAGGTCCGATGTACCTAACGGCAGCCTGAGAAACATCTCGCCTTCGGAAAGTGGTCTCAAGTCCGACGTGCGTAGAATGACACCTTCGCCGAAGACCATAATCACAGGTCCACAGCGCGCGAGTCGGAAGTCTTCATACCCAACGCCCTCGGCAGATAGCGCAGAGAAGCTGCGTTTGTTCGCAGAAACGTCGGACAATGAAGATGATTTCCCTATGACGCTTGGTCCTCCACCTAAGTCACGCTCGGCCGTTACGCTCTCCAGAGCGTCCGACGTCGGTTCGCGAATGAGCGTGTTCGACTGGTCGGAACAACAAAAGCCCACCAAGGATGGCGATTGTTCTGTTTATCGGCCAAAAACCGCCCATGAGAAAAATCTGGCGGATTCCCGTGGAGGACGAGCGGCTGCGCGCAGCGCCCCAAACACCCTACATCTTAGAAGCCAGAGTGTTCCTATTGCCAAGGAGTCCGCTGGACAAAAGGACACAGGCTTCCCTCTTAAGTTCGGGACCTGGGGTCTAGGAAACAAGGGTCCAAGTGAGGATTGGGATGGTGACTTCGACTTTGAAGACTCCGACCAGCCAACGCTCGGCTCTCCGGGCGGCGGAATGTGTACCACTAACAGCATGAAGGTTCCTCAATCTATTCTAGATCGACAGGAGAGCGTGCATGGCCAATACGGTCACGTCCAAGAGCTGACGGTTCTAGTTGAAGAGCTCAAACGACTCCAGGTCCAAGCCAAATCGTTACATATAATGGACGGTCAGTCTGGAGAGTTATGGAAAGAGGCCCAAGGCATAATAAACCTCGCTACGCTTGAAGAAGAGGACGAGGTGCGCCAGAATGGTTGTAAGCACCAACGCCAACGATCATCTTCATCCGCAACATTCGACTCGGGAATGTTTGGCCTGGAATCTAGCCCTGAACCCATGCCCATGCCCATGCAGCTGAACAACAATGAAAACCTGAACAAGCCCTCCCTATCCCTCCCCGGAAAGGAAAATTCGGATCCAAACACAAACATAAACGCGACATTCCCCTTTTCCAAGAAACCACGAAGGGAATCCTCGGCAAAAGCAAGGTCCGTACTCGATAACATTCACCATCTACGGGATCTTCATGATGTCAATGCAACGATCCCACTCGCGGTCAATGATAACCAGCAACGTTTTGCCTTTGATACCCAATCCCTGCGCGACCTCGTTGTACGCGCAGGTGTCATCACACGGTCACTCAAAGACATAGTTCGGAAAGCTGAAGGCGTCTATGTACCACCAGAACCAAACCACCTTACTCCCGACCCGCCGTTCAGCCAGATATTCGTCCATCCCTCAAACCCCATCACCACAAATGGACTATCTTGAAACCTACAAACAACGAGAATCAAGATTACAAAGAACATGAAAACAATACCCTCGGGCTAGGAACCTGTATTTCCATTTTTTCCCTATAAAGCCGTCCCCTTTTTTCGCCCTGCCCTGCCCGAGGGATATTCTAATGACTTGTTATGGCTCATGTGCACACTAAAGAAAGATAATAAACCTTCGACTTCAGCCTTTCTCATATGACCCTTTTGTTGACTAATTATTCTCTCTGTCAGTGCCTTTCCTTATCTTTCTCTTTTTCTCTCCAAAAGCTTACATTCCTTTGCTGTACTACCCCCAAAACTTTTCCTGTTCTCTACTTGGACTTTTAGCTTTTTTTTCCGTGCTTTTTTTTTTTGTCTTGTCTGCATACTTTCTCTTTCCTGTCAAATTTTGCTTTTAGCCGGTAATGACTTGTGGTTTTGTTTTCTTTTTTCGTTTTTGTTCCTTGTTCCTTGTTTTTTTTTTTTACTTTTTTTTACTTTTTTTTTTTTTTGGAAGTTATGGCTGCTTCCTTGTTTCCCCGTTATTCAATTATTCGGGAAGGCTTATGTGAAACGTTGTTGTTGGCTTGGGTTGGGCCTATAGATGCTCCATTGCGATTGGTATGATTCCGCTGAATAGTTATACATGAACAGACCAGAGAGTTATAAATGGGATGAGTGAACATGTCTTTGGGAACAATAAATACATTGCCCTCCACAAACGTATATCGTTGCTGTGCATGTGGTTTATATACCTTTATAAACATATCATAGTAGTTCAAGATTATTTCAGTATTCTAATTGTACATTGGGTTTTCGCTCGTCTTTTCTAATGTTCATCTATTAAGGCATAATCAAAAAAATAGGGAAGAAGGGGGGTGTATGTATGTAGAGATGGGAGATTAAAGAGACGATATAGCAGCGGTTCCTCCATTAAACCGTGCCGAATGAATGGATGGGTTCCCCTTAAGTAGTACAGGCAACAAAAACGCCGATACACCATGTAGAAACATAGGGGATAAATTTGTGTCAAAGGTCGGCTCTGGGAGTCGTTATATAGAATCAATTAGGCTTCCGTTTACCAATATTCCAGCCCCAGCTCCGTAGCTTTTTGACTATCTTTGGCGTCACGGCTACGGTAAGTGGGACTCGAATAAAGATGAAGCTCTTATGTATGGCGTATGCGAGCGCAAGTTGTGTCCATATGCCTATAATCGATTAGTAACTATTGAAATAAGTTGAGATGAAAGGAGGGTCATGACATACTTGCTTCTCCCTTATTTGCCTTTTGTGCTTCTTCAAGATCATCGGCAATGCCTATCTCGTCGTCTTCTTCGGTATGAGGACGCGCATCCTTTTCTGTGCTCGGCCATATTTTCGAGATGGCGTTCTTCACGGAGCCAACAACGATATGTTCATAGTGGCCAATACGATCAACGCCCATTAAACGCACAGCTGCAAAGCAGAACGGGAAGTCCAGTGCAGACAGAAAGAAGTAGATTCCTAGTGCAGCCCATCCGTATTCGCGGGAAAGAGTGCGCATTCGCTGGGAGAACGACGGTTTTGCGGATGGGTTGGGGGTTGTAGAGTTCGAGCGAGTGAACGTTCGGTAGGTATATGATTTTCTTGAGAACTGAGGACGGATATTTCTAAATGGAGAGAAGGTCGAGGCTGTAGATTGGTGTCGTATGGCTGCACTGCGAGAGCTCTGGTGAAGGCCTATCCATGACGGCGACGGCCGGGAGGATTCTAGTGATCTGAAAGGCGCTGTGAAAAGGTGTCTGGCTGGCCCTCGAGCCAACCCTCGCGAGGATATCATGTCTATTGCTGTCTGGATACTTCAAGACGTCGTGTTCGTGGTAGAAGTAGAACTTGAGCTCCGTGTTTGCGAAATCGAAGGCATCGACGGATTTGGCCTTGGCGCATCGTAGCTCCAGAAAAACCTTGGCGCAAGTTCCTTCGAATTTCTATCTCGATCTTACTTTTTTGCTTAACGGCGACAAACACGAGACCATTGAATGAACAGCTGCTCGCGGCGGCCTTCAGTATTACGAAAATGCCTCCGCGGCTACCTCGAAGCTCTGTGCAGCAATTGTTTGCGCCAGTCCTAACACACCAGCTATGCACTCCCTCCAGAATCCTCACCACGACGGCCAAACGGTCCTTTGGCATCAAGCCAATGTATCCTCCTAAATTCAGCCATAAAAACCTCGATGCGGACCTACCGATTCTCGCTGCGCACCCGATAGCAGCCCATCTGCGTAAAGCTGGCTCGCTGCCTCTCCGGACGGGGGCTCTTGCCATCAAGAAGGGAATGACTGCCATCTACGACCCAGAGACTGGCGTACGGACTCCCTGTACTGTTCTCCAATTAGACGGTGCCCAGGTTGTTTCACACAAGACACTCGAAAAGAATGGATATTGTGCTGTCCAGGTTGGCTCCGGGTTTAAATACGAACGAAACGTGACGAAGCCGATGTTGGGCCATTTCAGTGCAAACGGTGTCTCGCCCAAACGACATATACATGAATTTAGAGTCAAGGACGAGACTGGACTACTGCCGATTGGCGAGGTTATCAATGCCGATTGGTTCCAGGAAGGTCAATACGTGGACGTTCGATCCAACAGTCGAGGAATGGGATTTGCGGGTGCTATGAAGAAATGGGGTTTCCACGGTCAAGATAGAAGTCACGGTGTCAGTTTGACGCATCGTTCGCTCGGTTCTACGGCTCCTTCTCAAGGTGGTGGTTCCAGGGTCTTCCCTGGCAAAAAGATGCCGGGAAGAATGGGAAACTATCAAGTGACGCTACAAAACTTGAAGGTGTTGAAAGTGGATGCTGAGAATGGCATTGTCGTTGTTAAGGGTGAGTTTACCTGCCATTCCCCGTTTAAAAAAACATATGCTTACTCTTAAAATCAATAGGGAGCATTGCTGGTCCAAAGGGACGCTGTGTCAAGGTTCAAGATGCAATTAAGAAGCCATGGCCAAAGATCGAGGCTACAGAGCCTGCTCCGGTTGAGGAATAAGCGTTGTATTGTTTCATGAAATTCTTTATATCTACTGTACAATAGCCCTTTAGAGTGGCGTTTACCTGTATTTTTTTTCATCTTCCAACCCCCCAGGAAACGCGCATGAATGTAATTTGGATTGTCTAGGCGTTTAGCTTGCCCTTCTCCCCCAATTATTCACATTCACCCACTTCTCTTAAACCAAACAAATTAAGTAAGGGAGTAGCCTCCCGCCCACAATCCCATGCTTCCAAACGCCATGCCAAGTTATAATTGTACAACCGTAGGTTAAAAAGGGGCGATGTGAGTTCGAAATCCTCGGTTTAGATCACTTATATTGCGCCTTTAAAGGGATCCTCCCCGGATTTGTTTAGCAATGGCACGGTTGTACCATCCTCCATCTCGAGGCTCCAGACTTGAGTGTTGAACTACACAATTATTAATTAGCATACCGATATTCGCCAACAGCGGTCAAATTTACGTCTATAAAAGCATGCATGGACTTACATAGCCTAGTCTGCCCTCTCTCATGCTCTTGAATCGCATCTTTCCCTTTCCTCGAGTTCCCTTCACCCAGAAAGATATATCGATACGGCCATGAAGCTGGTTCATCTCCCCGCTTATCCATGGGATCTGTTGCGCGAAGTATATCTCATCGCCGAGAAGTTCCCGGGCCTGGGGGGAATGCCGGAGAGCATACAGCGTACTGCTCACGATACTAGACGACGACTTCTGATAATTGAAAATCGCGAGACTAGAAACGCCAATTATGGCCAAAAATATCGGAATAGTGCGTAGCCATCGTCTATGGGAGTTGATTGAAGGTAGTTCACGGTCTGCTCTTCGTGAGAGTAAGGGACCGCTATTTGGCTGAGGGGGCGCAATGAGTGTGCGGCGAGCAGGTATCGATGCCCGGATAAGTGTGGTAGGCTTTAGAAGGGGCCTATGGCACCGTATGGCCCGGACGGAGTTCATGGCTGCGGCTAGGAAACGGTGGAATGGCGATTGCGATTTGGTTGCTGGTCATGGATTTAGGTTGCAGGCACTTTGATGATCGGGAGGTTCAGATTTTCCTGATCCGGTCTAGGCCAAGCCTGTCTACTATCAACATCTCTACTCCATACATCTATCACTGTATACAGTCCACTAGTTACTCGCTTGTGAGGGCATCGTGGACCTGAGCGTGTCTAGACAATAACTGATTCTGTGGGCAAAGCTGGAATACAGAGAGCGCCGCATCAACCGCCTACTCTATGCTCGTTCCGCCTATCTTTTAACAGTTTACCCGGTGTCTATCTACCTATCACCTCAGCAAGCCCGTGTACGCACGACTTATACTGGTAAATGAAGGGAACTAGGATACTTCGACTTCCTCCCGTTATATTTCTCATATGGGTTTCAAGTTCTACGCAACTAAGAAGCTCCCTCCTAAGTAACAGGGGAAGGCCCAAGATGGGTTCGACCAAGCGCTCATCCAAATAGCATCGGGGTCTTGTATCCATAAGAACCTATGGGAACATGTGGCTATGTTGGCCGTGAGAGCTGAGCTTCCTGGTTCCTGCGCGATCTGAGTTGAATTTTCTGGTTCACTGCAAAACAGGCTCACAGGAGAAGCTCCAATACCGTGTCATCAGCTTAAGTGCAAATATAGCAAGCTCCCGCGCGTAATTAATTAGATGCCTGGCGATGGCTATAGCTAATTGTTGCACAGTTCAGCTTTCGAGAGCTACACAAGATTCTATTCTCAATCTCAAGCCTGATCTGCGGAACTATCCCCGCTGGAAATTCTCCCGGCAAATCGTTGCACATCCTTCCTGCGTCTCGTTTGCTCAGGACGCCAGCGGATAGGTACGATGCCAGCATGCTCTATTCGTGCATGTGCACGTCATTAGGTCTTATATATACGAGAGTTACTGTCGTGACAAGGATATATATAACATATTTCTATTATCTAAGCACCAAACATAAGGTAGTATTCAAGACATCGGCTATGCAGTCCGCTAATCTACACGAGCCTACAGGACGAAGGATTACGGTCCAGTAAACCTCTCGCCACATTATGTTTCACTTGATCCTCCGTCAGTAGATATATAAAGCGAGTGAGGCCTGACCATTGATTCTCTACTCAGGCCATTCTTCATACACTGAATTATCCATCATGCAAATCATCTGGACTGCTCTTCTCCTCGCGAGCTCTGCGCTTGCCTTGCCCGCAAACCCCAATGGCAAGGGGGACAACTGCTGTACAAAAAAGTCCTCCCATACGAAGAAGTTGACCGTGAAAGACTTCGACTTCCATGCCTCATACATCTTCTCCACTCCAGCCCACCAGAACTCATGGGGATACGTCAACTTTGGACTGTATAACCCCAACACCGACTACCAGCCCAGCTGCAACGCATCATCCAACCAACTGTCGGACTTCTTCTACGGCAACGTCAACTACAAATGCACAGACCCGTCCGGTTACGAGACCACCTTTAGTTTCTCCCGTCCAAACAACGACCTCCGCGTAAACCAGACCTGGGCCTGTAAAGACGAAGGCTCCCACTTTACCGCACACGCCGGCGCTTTGCTCAAGCTCGACTGCAAGGAGACCAAATGGCAGAACCCCGACTGGAAGCCAGGCCAGTTCTACTCGACTCGGGATATCACCTGCACGCATGTTGATCGGAAAATCCCCATCACGGATCTGGAGGCAGTAGCGTAAGATGTTGTCTGTTTTCCTGTCTTGACGAATTGATATGAACCGTTCTTAATGTTTGGGGGTTTATGTTTGGGGGCATGTTTGCCCACTTGCTCTATACTTGCCTACTGGAGTTGGGACTAATGCCTTCTCCCATTTGTAAATACCCTGTGAAATGCCCACGAGAAATCAGAATTTAATGTTTTCTTTCTCTCTGCAAGGTGTAGAAATAAAGCCTAAAAATGCCGGATCCAAGTTTTAGTGTTGAGATCGTCATCTGATAGCCTCTCGGTTGGGATGTCTTAGACTATTATTAGGACCAACAGCGCACACATATAGCACCGGGCCCTATAATGAAACAAACTTCCCAAAAAATATGACTTTGCCAACACGTCGGAGTCGCTTATTTATGTTTAAGCATTTTCAAGTTGAAGTCTGCGCATTTGAGAAGACCAGTCACGTGTTTATTGACCACGACTTATCTGATCTTCATCTATGAGACGGCGACCTCGAGGGTTCCTTATATACAAATAATTTTGGGGATAGACCTATTGGCTCACAAGAAATAATATATTCATCATGTCCTCCACGCGGTTACGAAAGACGTTTAAATATCCAGACTCACAGAGCGATGATGATAGTCGTCCTGAATTAGATGAGCAAGGTGGGTAGTATTGACCTCCTCAGGCGATACGACTACCCCTGAATGCCTACTAAGAATATATAGAGCAGGAGGCCTTGATCGAATCACTTCGCAAGGATAATGAAGCAGGGAACGCCTTTTATCAGGTACTTCAAATATCCTTTTATGGTAATATGGTTCGATATGTTAACAGAACTATAGTTAATTCTAGCTTTGGTCCCTTGCATTTCCAGCTTAATATTTATACCCACAGTTGTAGCATACAAATCTGCCTTCTATGATAGATTTTATGCGCTGCTTAGCATAGTGTCTCTACTCCTGACGGCATATTATGTAAAATATTTTCCTTTGCCGCAACTGGAGTCAAGAAAAAGACACGCTATAAGCCTGGCAGAGGAGAAGAAGGACCCTATCAACCGATACGCTGTTACAGTCAACGCTGTTCTTACTCTCTTCATGATTCTCGTGGGATTTTTGGGTTACCAACGAGATCCCGAGAACATATACCAGATTTTATACGTCATCCCAGCTGGTAAGCTCCCCCGCCCCCAGTAAGCTTATCAAAGGCTAAATATTCACTGGACGGTTTTCTTGCGTAGTGATGCTCTTCACAGCTGTTGCAGCTCGGAGAACAATGGTTTCAGTCGACCTCGATGAACTGGAACGTTTGCGGTATGGGTATAAAGGGGCATAATCATACCAGTGATACACTCCTATCTACCACAGGTTTCTTCTGGGACATATAAATTGGCTACTAGAAATGGATCCAAGGATGATTCAATACCACCGATAATAGGCGTTAGAGGATAAAGGGTAACTACACTTGACAATCATCAGCTACCAACAATAGTTACTCCACATTAATACATCATATCTGGCACCCAAGCATGGGAAGCTATTTACTCCCATCCGTCGTCAAGGTCTTCATCACCTTCAGCCCATTTCATCGCCTGGAGTTTAGCCACTTTGTTTTTGGCTGCCTGTTTAGCTGTGCTGTCCACCTGTGGTTCGGAATCTGGTGATACTGGGACAGGCTGTGGGGCGGTTGCTGGTTTAGTTACTTGTTTAGTTTGAGCTCCAGCTCCAGCGCCAGTTTTCTTAGCTGACTTGACCTTCGAGCTGGCTACCACAGCCTTTTTAACAGTCTTTATTGAAGGTCGTGAAGTCCGAGGGCGTAGCATTGCTTGCGAATGTTGCGCCTCAAGTGCAGTCTCGTTCCCACTCTGGTCGCTAGTAGACCCGTCGGGTTCACCTACATGTATGGACTGTAGTTGACTGCGTCTTGTAGCTACCTTTCTGCTACCAGAAAGGTCAATGTGAGAGGAGGTTCTTCTACTAGGGGTGAAATCATCATCAACATCAATCCTGCGCCTTCTCTTGCTGCCAACATCATCTTCCAGGCTTGGATCAATAGGCAACGCTCCAGGTTCGTCGTCTGGGTCATCAATCAGGGCTGGTTCTGCTGCTGACTTATGGGGCTGGAGGCTTGGATCAACCAAAAGATCTTGGGCTTTAGCCTGTCCATTTGAAATTTCTGGATCGGGGTATTCAAAGGTAATGCCCTCAGTAGGTTGGTAGCGGTCCGTCATGTCTTCACGGAATACCGCATTGGATGGGACAACAAATCCGGTTTGAGGTCCCATGTCCATGAGAGCAGGATCGATTAAGCTTTCATCAAGATGACTAGAACCATTGTTTAGATTACCATCCATCTCATCGTCGGTATCGTGTTCATGATCGTCTAGGATAGGATCATTCATTTTGGCCTTCTCTGCTTCCTCTATCCTGAGTTGCATTCTGCGGCTTTCCTGTGATTCTTCGGGATGGTCCCCAGATTTCTTAAGCCAAAATAGGTTGGAATGGCTAAAGTCGACTAAAGATTCCACGCTTCTAATATCAGCAACCTTCTTAGTATCATGCCCAATTCGAATTCCAGTGGGTACATATCCGTCAATGGTCGGGTCACGACGTTTGCAGGTCGCACAGGGGCATATCTTTTCGCATCTTGGGCACTTCCAACTCCGTACTTCCAGCACGGACATTGGAGTCATATCGAATGCCCTATAGAGGCTGCCGTAGCACCAGTGTAAATTACATTGAGAACAAGTTTCAAGCTTCCAGTTCAATGTTGGGCCACATATATGGCACCGACTGTACTTATGCTTCTCAGCTTTGGTAATTTTCCGTCGTTTCCGATTTGACTCTCTATGGCTTTCATCATCATCGTCAACATTGTCCTTGACGGGTTTCGTGATATCGGTCCATGGGCGACGCTTCAACTCCACCTGGCAAATTTCTGCTAGGGTCTTCTTTTCGTACTTTTCTTGCTCGGTTGTTAGAGGCTGAAAAGGATCCTTATCGCCCTTGTCATTTTTCTCGCGAGAAAACTGAGCGATTTGGTTCCTCCAGCGTTCATGATCTCGAGTGAGGTCTTTCCAGCGGAACTGCTCCACCCACTTAAGCTTGGAGACACAAGCGCAGCTTCGTCCCATAACAAAACAGTCCATACAGACGTCATATGTATCTTCTTCGCCGTCAGGGAACTTGCCAATACAGGACGGGCATGTAAGAAATCGGTTGAAGATGTTGCATCGACAATATGAACAAGTGATGTTGCTTGAGAATGGGACAAGTTCGACGTTCCTAGGTTCTGGTAACCGCGTAGAAAAGCTCTCTGATAAAAGAATGTCAGTGTAGAGCGCAAAGAGGCGTTTAAAATCAGCTTTCAGAGCGCGAAATCTTGAACCCTGGCGCTTCGTTGCCTTCTCGAGAAGATCTGAGTATTTTTTGAGCGAGAAATAAACAATTGCTTTGTTCTTGTACTGCTCGTCTCTGCACACCATTCTCGCACGGGGTAGCGCTTCTTTTAACGCAAGGTCAAGAGTCTCAACGGTCGTCCTATTCCACGCTACCTTCATCGTACGCGTCCCCCTGTTCCACACTTGATGTGGTGCAAGAGGAGGAATTAAAATGAAGTCGCCGACTTTCTGTTCCACGATCCATGTCTTGAATGGCGCCGACTTCCAAGCGTTTATCTGCGCAAAGTGATCCTCAATTTCGATATCATGTCCTAATGTTGACAGCCAGTACTCTGAAACAACCTCGAGATCCTTGGTTTCGGTCATGAACCATATCGAGGAGCCAGGCTTTGTCGGTTTCCCATTCTCCACAGCGCCAGTTGATGCTTCGACCATGATATTATGCCCGAGGGTGGCGCACATCTCTCGGTGAGCAGGAGTGTAGGTACCCTCATGGCCAACATAGCACATCATATTTAAAGCCCTCATCTCGTCTGGGAGACTACTCATCAGATCGCCTGCGGTTGCTGCCTCCTTTCCGTTGGTTACAACCGACTCGTTCAAGTAATATAGGAATGGTGGTAGGAATCCCCGTAGCTTCTCATACCAGACAGAGGGACAATCAATATCCTTTAGGTACATGCGTTGACAGCTAGGGTCTTTGTAGTTTGTCGCATCCAGCTGGTCGGTGAGTCCTTGCATGCTGGCCAGGTAGTGCTGGATAGTTAGCGGCACGTTCGTCTTTTGCGTCAGGTCTCTCGCGCTTTCAACTAAGAATCGTTAGCTAGCGCACCAGTTACCGTGATGGAGCGAGACGTACCCTTGCTGCCGTGGTTGTCTTTGAGCCAACGTGAAGAGAAAATCCATTTCTCCAATCGGCTCTGATACCCCTCTACAACCAGTGGCTTCCCTCCCATTATAACATGTAGCTTGACGAGTTTCTCAAAATTCTCAATCCCTTGTTCGTCAATCGCGTCGCAATGAATCCGCGTCACTGGGTGAAAGTTGGGCGTAGACTCGACCAAGCTTGTATAATCGAGGTCCGGAGAGATGGGCTCAAAAGCCGCGCGTGGTAGCTGTAGCCCCGGCATGGCTATATGCGAAGATGCCGCACCGCAACAGCTGTAGATTTGTTGGCCTGTTTCATGCAAGTAATGAAGCTCTACAAAAGAGAATCGCGAAAGTAAAGCGATAATAGAATGATATCACGTGATTTAATTGGACAAAAAGTTTGGCGTTTCTTTCAACGTTCAATATAAAAAAAAACTTGGAATAATGAATTGACAGAGCGATTTGGCTGGCAGCATGCCATAATACGCGACAACGATATCGTCAGAAGGCATTGGGCTGGCCATAAAGGTTTATACTGGTGCGCCTTCCTTCCTATTCCGCTGGTGAGCTCTCCGTGCGCAATGAGAAGCTATCTGAAGCTCAGTTCCAACTTCCACATCTATGAAGCTTACAATTCTTCGAGATACAGTAGAATATTTACCCGGATACAGTATTAACGTTAGCATCCAGGATGTTGCCTAATAGTTGCAGTTATATTCGAACCGGCTTTGCGGTTTCCCATCGCGCCCTCACGAATTGCCGTGCAACGCGGCCCGGAAGAATATACAATGCTATCTCTCCCAGTATATCTAAGTATCAACAAATACGGCGCATACGCCAGCCATTCCTGCGACACAGCTCCTCCGCACCGGCTGTAATTGCCAGCCAGTCACCAGAGAAATATTCTCCGCCGAATACAGGCATCCTCGCTGCCCTCCCAAAGAAATGGGTTCCATATGCAGAGTTGATACGACTCGATAAGCCGACGGGGACGTACTATTTATATTTCCCATGTCTCTTCTCGACGCTTCTTGCCGCACCTTTAGCCATGCCGATGGCCACTCCACTGGAGGTTGTTTGGTTTTCCGGGTTGTTTTTTGCGGGAGCAATGGTCATGCGAGGCGCAGGATGCACAATTAATGATTTGTGGGACCGTAACTTGGATCCTCATGTGGAAAGAACAAAGTTTCGGCCAATTGCGCGGAGGGCAATTACTCCTAAGGATGCAATCATATTTACGGGTGCCCAGCTCTTTGCTGGGCTTGCTATCCTTCTTCAATTCCCATTTGACTGCTTCTGGTATGCGACCCCGAGTCTGCTCTTCGTTGCCGCGTACCCTCTCGCGAAACGTATAACAAACTATCCCCAGGCAATGTTGGGGTTGACATTTTCATGGGGTGCAGTCATGGGATTTCCTGCCTTGGGGGTTGATGTTTTGGGAAATACCAGCGTCCTAGCAGCATGTGCGTCTTTGTACGCTAGCAATGTGGCCTGGACGGTCCTTTATGACACCATCTATGCCCATATGGACGTGAAGGATGATGCTAAGGCTGGCATAAAGTCGATTGCCTTGGCGCATATTGATAATAGCAAATATGTCATGTCAGGCCTCGCGGCAGCTCAGGTTGGCCTGCTAGCTGCAGCTGGAGTAGCAGCTGGTGCTGGGCCAGTCTTCTTCGTGGGGAGCTGTGGTGGTGCTATGTTATCACTGGGGACCATGATCTGGCGAGTTAAACTGACCGACCCTCGCGACTGTTGGTGGTGGTTTAAGTATGGCTGCTGGTTCACCGGGGGCACTATATCCCTGGGGCTCCTCGGGGATTATGCTGTAAGAAGATCTGACCAAAGTGAGAATCGTGAAGACGAAGATCCAACGACTCAGTGATTGGTTGATTAAAGCGTGTATGAATAGAGTGTATCATAAGTTACTTGGCCCAACACTAGGCTTCACAGTACTCCTCAATAACTTTCACTATCTTCCTCCAGTCTTCCATAGCACCATCTCCCACATCGCCGCACGCAAGCTCTTTCGCCATTGGTTTTAGAACCGTGATCCAGCCACCATCAGTTTCAGATTGGAAGCCCCAACTGGTTTCTAGAGTCTCGATATGTCTTCCTGTGAGCGGGTTTTTCCACATTGCAGTGTTCATCGCAGGTGCCACGAATATCTTTGGTGCAGGTTTCTTCCCACGGTCAATCGTGCCAGAGGTATCCCAGGCTCGGACGACGGAAAGTAATAAATTATCGGCCATTCCGATCGCCATTTTCGCTAGGGTATTTGCCGATAGCGGTGCGATAAGAAGTACGTGAGCCCACCTCCGTAGCTCGATATGTAGAATGTCCGCTCCCCTAACCCATGGTTTCTTCCATTCATCTTCGTCATGGTATATGCCCTCGACACCATTCATCTGCCGAATATTCTGTAAAGTCGGCTGCTCGGCACTTTGCCCACCGAGGAAATTGGCAGCGGATTCTGTCAGGATAACACGGATTGAGAACTTATCCTGGGATCCTAAAGAAGCGATTATATTTGGTAGTTTAATGGTGGCAACGGAGCCTGTCGATGCTAATAGAATATGGGTTTTCCTATCATTGGCATAGTCCGCGGCCGAAAAGGCTAGTCCTAGTTCATCCATTTCTGCAAATGTTTATAAATCTCTTGCGTTGAATGTTGAGCTGAATGTTATTCTTGATCATAGATGGAGATGTTCACCACAGGATATTCGACGACCGTTCACAACTTTGATAACGTATTCCACCAGTCAACGATCATCACCACTTAATGAACACACCCCAAAAACTCTGCATCCACCAAAACAACCACCTTCCAACAGCCACAAAATGGTCAATGAGGCAGCAATTGCTGCTGCGATTGAAGATTTAAAATCGCAAAAGACTCCTAATTACTCACAAACCGCTAAAAAGTTCAAAATTAACCGAATAACGCTGGCGCGGCGGTATCAAGGTGCTGCAGTCTCAAGAGCTGAAGCAACATCTATCCATCGCAAAAAGTTGACAAATGCACAAGAAGAAGTGCTCCTACAGCATATAAATCGATTATCAGAGAGAGGCCTATCACCTACGCCCCAGGTACTGCGAAATCTCGTATACGAGCTCACTAAACAGGCTGTTGGCATCAACTGGGTGGCTCGGTTCTGTAGCCGGCACAAGGATCGCATTAAGAGTCTCTATCTCCGCACCATTGATCAATCCAGGCATGTTGCTGCTAATTCCAAGCATTTTGAACACTTTTATGAGCTTGCAAGTACTTGTTTATTAGTAGTTAGCTATTAAATATTGATATTAACCTCTTCTTTAGCTTAGGGAAGCAATAAATAAGTATAATATTACTCCAGATAATATTTACAACTTTGATGAGAAAGGCTTCCTTATTGGCCTAGGACATGCTGTTAAACGGGTGGTTCCTGTTCATGCGCTTAAAAATAGAAGGATAACAGCTGTACAAGATGGAAGTCGCGAGTTTATCTCTCTACTCGCTGCTGTCTCTGCAGATGGAGAATGGATTCCTCCTACACTTATTTATAAGGGAGAAGGTGATCTACAAGACACCTGGGTGGACGAATTTGACCCTCAGAGAGAAATAGCATATTTTGCAGCATCTCCGAATGGCTGGAGCAATGATAACTTTGGCAAGGAATGGCTTCAAATATTCGATAAGCATACAAAGGCAAAGGCTGGCCGGGGAAGAAGGCTTCTTATTCTAGATGGCCACTCATCTCATATCAATATGGGATTCATCGAATATGCAGATAAAAACCGTATCTTGCTAGTTATCTTACCTCCACATTCAACACACCGTCTGCAGCCATTGGATGTTGGGATATTTGGGCCATTAGCCAGTGCATATTCCCAGGAAGTTGATAATCTCTTACGCAGCGGATATGGGTATCTATCAATGTCAAAGCGAGACTTTTGGAGACTCTTCTACGCTGCATGGAAAAGAGCTCTTACACCAGCAAATATTAAGTCTGGATTTGCAAGTACAGGGATATATCCTATTATGCCTCAACGTCAAATGAAATACTTCGATAAGAGACCTCTAACACCTCCGAATATCGATATCGAGCCTCCTACCCCTATTACTGTACGGGGTCTCCGCCGCGCGGTTAAGAAAGTGCAGCTCCGGCAGTCATTAACCAGCCTTCATATATCAAAGATCATCCGCGCCAGTGAGAGGCTGGTCTTCGATAAAGAGATCTTACTACATGAAAATAAGTCTCTTACAGCTGCACTTATACAAGAGAAGAAGAAAAGGAAGCGAGGCAAGGGCTTAGGCCTATTTGAAAAGGATAAAGCAGACCAAGCGCAGATATTCTCTCCATCTAAGGTTGAAGCAGCAAGGCAGCGAGCTATCGAGGTAGAGACTAAAAAACAAGATAAGATAGCTCAGGCAGAGGAAATAGAGCTTCAGCGATCGATTTACCGCGATAATAAGACTCAAGAGGCTGCAGAGAAGAAGGCTCAAAGGCTTGCAGATCAACAGCAACGTAAGGAGGCTCTTAAGAAGGCCCGCGAGGAGACTGCAGCACGGCGCGCAGAGGCAGCGATTGAACGGAAGCGTAAAGCTGGTGAATTGGAAGCTGAGCGAATGGCTAAGAAGGCCAAAAAGGCTCAAAACAACGTCTCAAGCCCTATCTCACCTTCCCGATTAGGAAAGAAGAAGACTTCACCTTCTAAGGTTGCTCCTATCGATCCTATTGCTCTAATACCCAATTTCCTATCCCAACCGCGGGGAACCCGTTCCGGGCGAGTTATCAAGCCCAACACTCGTTTCTTTTCTTAATCTATCTGATTTGTATGTAAACTAGAACCCTACTATCGTTATTTAATAGTCAATTTTATTTGTTATTTACGTTGTGTTGAGATATCTCGATATTTACACGCATGTTTGGACGTAAGGAGCATTTGGAGGTGGTGATCGTTGACTGGTGGTGATCGTTGACTGGTGGTGATCGTTGACTGGTGGTGATCGTTGACTGGTGAGATACGTTATTGACTCAGATTAGTCATTACAAATTTTATGCAAACCCTATTGGCGCGCGTCTAATGACATACCTTGATATTTACCTACTCCGTACATGTAAGTTATATCGCGGGTACCGAGAAGCCATGACTTAAATTGTTGAAAGGGATCTATAGATTAATATTAATCCGCTAGATTAATTAATAGAAAAATAAGCCGACAATGGTTACTGGTTGCCTATGAAGGGTCAGCTCATATCCGCTCTGGTTGTCTAATTGCCTCCTGGGATTCAGGCTGCTACCATGTCAAGAGCTGCATTTCCTTCAGTTCTATTCCGTCTCCCTCGCCCAAAGTGCGTTAGGCGTACTTCACTGGCGGAACTCTTCTCCCGAAACGTTATATACCCGATTACGAACTCTCCCTATTCGACGGACGCGAAACGAACGTTGACAGGTACACCTAAGCACAAAACAACAAAAATAACATTAGGAACCGAGATAGTTGGTGAATCTGGTAGCCGATACTTGATTGAACGAGTTCTACAAGAAAAGGAAATTCCGGATATCTCTGTTTACCTAGCAACGTTGGTTATCCCACCCTTCCTATTATGGACTTGTCTCTGTAAATATACTTATATTTCAATAAGCTAGTAATGGAACGGAGAAGTTCATACTAAAAAATGTCCACGATTTCGAATGCTACCACGATATCTACCGTCGCCTTTCTGGCTCTCCTTGCCTCCGTCTGTTGCATGATACTATGCCAACCCAGTCGATATTTGTCTATGAATACCTTACCGATTATCTTCTTAATATGGCCAAAAAAGATATACCTAGTATGGCTACGAAGCGAATCCTTTGAGATGCCTTACGTGGTCTTAAAGGGCTACATGATCAGAATATCGTTCATATAGGTAGGGACTTCAAGGACTTCATTTTTGTTACATTTCTTCCCAGGGGCAGTTACTTATATTATTACTATAGATATCAAAGCAAACAACATTATGATCGACTGGGAAGAAGAGCATGGGAGAGTTACTATCAAGCGGGTCCAACTTGCTGATATCGAGGATAGTGCAATTGTACCACCTGATTGCGATATCCTTGGGAAGGCTGTGGGAAATTGGATGTGGCGTAGCCCGGAGGCCCATGTAAACGCTCGTGTGAATACGCCCTCTGACATGTTCTCTTTTGGGATTGTTGTAAGTGACTTCCTTTTTTTTATATAAGAAAACCCCAGCCTAAGTAGCTAGTATAAACAAGGTTACTAACTGTCTAACCATCCAATAGTGTATCTGTGCAGTCCTAAAGCATGTTATCCTTGCGGTAGATGCAAAGACACTCCCTGAAGGTGTAGAAGTTCAAGCGATCGTTCTCCAGCGCCAACTCTCATATTTTAGTAACAGTGATTCTACCACTGCATTCTTGAAGCATATTTGTGATGAAAGTCCCTGGCGCAAAGTTATTGATGTCCTTTGGAATGGATTCGATGAAACCACGCCCCGTGAACCTTTTGCTCTGTGGAAGGATGTTGACCCAGTCTTTAAAGACTTGATTGCTGGCTTGACGGATCTTGATCCCAAAAAGAGGCTCACTGCTCAGGGGGCTTTGGATCATCCGTGGTTCAAGGGAATCGAGGAATAAAGCCTGGCGTTTTTGTGTTTTCGCACCTGATCACAGTTATTCCTCAACCATGTAACATAGTATCTAACATTTTCGTAAAGATTAATGGGCATTAACCCAGAGACGCATCTAATCAATCGACATACGTATATTTGTATCACGAAGTGAATATACTTCTCGATGGTGCAGTTATTTACATGCATCTTTATTGGTTGTTTATCATTATTAATACCCGTCGTTCACGTGGTTAAGCTTTCCGCAAAAGTTCCCCGAAGCTTCAACTTCTGAGATACATTATTTCCTCCTTTATATCGTATATCCTTAGCACGATAGAGTATATAATCTCCATTGCCATGATGGGTCCCAGAATGCCAGCTTCGTCGGTAAGGATTATACTGTGTTGATACTCTATTATTCCAGCGCCCAGGCTAACTAACATCATCAACAGCTCCTTCGATTCGCCCGCCTACCCAACCCGGCGATAAAGAGATTCGGGCTTACTCCTTTGCAAATACGCCTGCTCTCGGACGAAACTAAATCCGCCATCGATAAAGCAGTGGCCTCAGCACCCGTCGTTTTGTTCATGAAGGGCACACCAGAAACACCACAATGTGGATTTTCAAGGGCTAGTATCCAGGTCCTTGGTCTACAGGGCCTGGACCCAAAGAAGTTCACGGCATTCAATGTGCTAGAGGACCCTGAGTTGAGACAAGGTACGGATAATAATGCTCTCTGATATGGAAGATGCAGCTGTGACTAACGCGGGGATCTGATTTACTGTAGGAATCAAGGAATACTCCGACTGGCCAACTATTCCCCAGCTATACGTCGAAAAGGAATTCGTTGGTGGATGTGACATCCTGATGTCCATGCATCAAAATGGAGAATTGTCGAAACTATTTGAAGAGAAGGGCCTTGTCGTGCAGGCAGAGAAATGATTAACTCCACGTTGATTTCTGTGTTGCATGTCAAAGAAAAGGCATCCTAGCATATGATATACTAGTCGGCGTTTTAGAGGGTCAAATTCTGTTTTGAATTGTTTTTTATCAGTGACTCGTGGATTCCACTACCTATTTTAGTACCACGGTGCCTGATGTGTAAGATGAGATATATAAGATTACATATGGGATGCCATATACACCACAACCTCCTCTCTTGCTCTCTTCCATTATACCCAGTGTTTGGATCATTATCAAGTGCTATGGTTGGCACCCGAAGGCAGTCGTTGTCGAGATCGGGAGCCCTAGCCCTTATATCCAAAATAGGAAATCTTCACTACATACCTTCTACTACAACTGTCCCATCCACCATTTGAGTCGATGAGATACCATACTCCTATCTACTATTGAAATAAATACAATATTTGAGCTCAATGGCTACGTCGCAACCTTACCGCACTGTATTCCGAGCTCCAGTTACCCGGGCTTCGATGCGGGCACATTCCCCTGGCAGAACCCCGTTTTCCAGAGCCAACGCAAATATGAGGAGACCTGTTCCTACTATCCGCTTGGAAGCCTCGAAGGCACCCAACCTGAGACCTGAGACAGCTAGACAACGTGCAAGTACTGGAGATGCGAAGGAAGGATACGATGTTCTACATTCATTCGTTGGTCAGTATCAAGTTTAGACGATGGTACCTGGACCTATATTTCTGATACATTAAATAGGGCTACTAGAGACAACACAGCAACAGCTTGCAGAAGAGCTCGCTACAGCGATTACAGGCAGCGAGGAGACGCTGAATAACCGCCTCGACACTATGACTGCTGCGTACGTCAGAAGAGCAGATCAGTTTCAGACTGATTGCGAGAAAACCTTTGCCTTTGCCCCAACCCAGAACCCAGCTTCTACACTTCCCATCGAGGACCCTTGTGTGAAATTTGACTCCGTGAGCGTTCTTGGAATTGACCGGGATAAATTTGTACGCGTAGTGGATTCCCACAACCGGTCCTTGGATCGGCTATGGGCTGAATGGGAGAAGGTACAGCAGAAAATAGCCTGTCTTTCTGTCGAGGTTCTCGGTATGGATGGCGCCGGTGTTGGCAAGGATTCTAGCAAGAAGGTGATGAAGAAGAAAATACACCGTGCCACTACTCTATTCCGCAAACAACTCTCCGAACAAGAAGCCATGCTTGGGGAGCTTCAGAAGCAGGATCAAGACATCTCAGCAATGACAGAAAATACGGTCAAGCAGCTACGGGCTCGACAGAAGGTACAATGCCATCCATACTCCATTATTCGATCTGCCCATCTGTGAGAGGTTACTAACAAAAAACTCGAATAGAAATGTATTGACCAAAAGAAGAAACAGCGCGACGAAGTATGCCAACTAGCTAGAAAGATGATGGCGCATGTTTAAGCTCCGGTTGACGGCTATGAAATAGTGGAATAGCCGGCTATGCTATGCCTAGTATGAGGCGGATATATCGTATCTTTCATATCTTAACCAGATCAAGTTCTCTGTTGAAAGGTGGCTATCATTTACATCATTAGTAATTTTCTAGACTTATAATCCATACGAGAATCTTTATAATAATATATGGCCTCTCAGCTCTTCTGGTCCCCTTGTGCCGACAATTTAGCCTCCTCTTGCTTTTTAACCTCTGCCTCGTTAATGCTTTTAAGCATTTTGATCCTTTGTCGTTCTTCAAATGCCTCTCTCGCTTTCATGATTCGCTGTACAATTTCCCCGGCATTGACATTTTGGAAGGGATGATTGCCGATCTCTTTGAATATACCCAGTCTTCTCGGTTCTTCGTATGGGTCAAAGGTTAGGGGAATGAAAGTTGTTGGGCCATGGTATACTACATCAGCCATTCCAAAAGGGCTAGCCTTGAGGTATGCTTCCGTTGGCGTGAACGGCGCAGCAAATATGACAGCATTTACATACTAAAATGAGGCGTTAGCCTATCAAAAATCTTGAGGGGGCAAAACAGGGGATATCCTTACACGACACTGGAGGACACAGAGACCACGTTCAAAGATATTCATGATTGGATAATTCAAGCCTTTCCAGCGGTTGATTACTTCGTCGTCATGAACACCGGCCACAATATATGCGGGACCGTAATCTTCCCCGTGTTCCTTTATTCTTAGAGCAGCCTGGTCTGGATGAAACCATCCTCGGGCAATTCCCTCCTCTTCTTCTACGGAGTGCACGCAGCGCAGGAACTCGATGTGGCCAGACGAAAATAAGTCAAAGCCGCCGTCGACATATACAATCTTCTGTCCTGGCTTTGGTTTTACACCTTCCACCAACAGCTGTAACTCTTCTTGGATTCCGGATGCGGCACGTGTACTTAGAGCGGACGGGCCGTTCCAGTGCCAGACTTCTGGACCTGGACGCAGGCCGGTCTGGTCTGTGGCGTAATCCTTAATTCTTTGGAAATGACTCTTCCCGGCCTCCTCCATTTCTTCCGGGGTACCAGAACCCTCCTTGCCGGTTACGTAGGCTAGGAGAGACTTGATAAAGTGCGTCTTTGTGCACAGAAGCATACGGCCAACTAGATCAGTGGTTGAGATCCCAGGGGTACGTTTCACCACCAGAAAGCGCTCAGCTGCTTTGACGAACCGATAACAGTCATTGCCGTCACTGTCCGAGGTGATATCATCCCCATGGACAACATAGTGACACCCGTAATGGGATATCCACTCCAGAGAAGTAACATATGGAGCGTAAGGGATGGATTTTGAAGACCATCGACAAGCATCAACAGCAGCAATTCTAAATATATATCAGCGAATATATATACGAGAAGGATTTGGGGTTACCAGCCGTTCCGCAAGAGTCATCACAGTTGGGCCCTTGTTGTCCGAGATCTCCTCGTCTGAATGCACACCAACGAGTAGTTCCTTTCCGAGTCTGCGGGCTTGTAGCATGGCTCCCGCATGGCCTAACCTCCAAGACCAATTAGAACGACAACTATATTATGCATCACTCGCATTGCGCGCGCGATTCAAGTCAACTCGAGCCAGGGATAACCAACCATGGTGACTGAAGTCAAAGCACCCGTCTACCCAGATCCTGTCCTTTGATATCGGGACATCCTCCTGGGGGTCAACCGGCCATTGCCCTGGCTGTGGGAGTGCCCCGCGTTCAAACGCTGGCTGCGTCATAGTTCCTGTGTGATATCCCAGGGAAAAAACGAAACAGGAGTAAGAGAGACCTGGTCGCGTGTAGCTGTTCAACTGCCGTATATATCTCCTTAGTGGCGATGCTGTCCCGCATCGTCGTATTTTGTATCTTGTCGTTCTCCATGAGGCCGAGTCCCTTTTCCCTTTTTACCCCTGGCCGGGAGGGTTTGATACGCCCTCGATACCAAATACCACCGTACCTCTACCGCAAAATGGCCTACCCCACCGCAGGGCGTACTGTCACCACGCGGTATCGTCTCCATCGGCCCTTGATGTTCTCCTGCTACGCCGCGATCCCTGGCAACATCCAACATCCATCTCGTATCTCCAACAAACTACGACGGCCAGCCCATCGACAGGCGCTCAGCTTGCCGGCGTTTCGTCCATTGAGGACCTAGCATGTAATATCGGAACCGTGCGAGAGGCGAGGGGGTCCACACCCTTGAAGATGCAGTCCGCCATAAAGATGAAGCTCGAAACCGAGAAGGCTTCAGCTCACAACACCGTACGTTCATATCTGTCTCTTCTGCTAGTTCCTTTTGCCTGCCCTTTATATATCTCTATACCACCCGGCAAGCCGCAAAGCTGGACTTCTCAACCGCCGTCCAGGTCCGCGCTGTGTTGCTGGACGTAGGGGGCTACCCGCCGTCCCCTAACCCTGGAGATAGAGAGGTAAATTAATCTGCCACATGCTTACTATGTGCCTTTTGACGGCATCTGAATCTGTCTAGGGATTTAATACTGCCTCCTCCATATCGACGCCGATAACCGGCAGCAATAGCTTTGGACCACAGAGTGCTACCAATATATACTCCCACATACATGAAACAGCAGCGAAACGAATACAGACACTCGAGTATCTACGCAGCGCGTAAGTTAAACTCCCACTCTCACGCCCATAAATAGACGGATCAAGTGCTGACTCGGGATATGCGCAATCGACAGCCACCATGGCCGAGTCTACTGGTTCAATACCGTCCATTTTTCCAAAGCCGATCTCGCCCGTATGCCCTACTTTGAGAAACGCAAACTCACCCGCCGTGCCATAAACTTCCTCTTCCTAGGCTTCTCTCTCCCGCCGATACTGGATGTCAGCTCGGGGCTGTCTGAATACCTGAAGTCTCTGAATGCTCTGCTACTTGAATTTGAATCCTTCCAGCAGATACACGCTGTAGATGGTGGCTCGGCCGCAACTCTCGCTCGTGCAAGGCTGCCACAGATGTTCAAACGGTCAGGCCAGTCCACAAAGACGAGACGAACAAGCTCAGCTACAGAGATTGGCCTACCGATGCAATCGGTAGACCATCACTCCGAGATAAAGGTCATGGGGAACATGACTTCTGCGGGGGGAGCGTCTGCAGTGTCTACCTTCCCATCCAACTCGGAGTCACAAGATCTACTTCCCGGAGAAGAATATACGTTTCTCCTAACGCCCTCATTGCCATTTGATCCCGACTACTTTGAAATATTTTCTACTTTATGCGATGTGCTTATCGATTGCTATTCGAGATTGGTTTCCCTTGTCTCTCATCCTGGTCTCTGCAACGCTGCGCTTGGTGAGTTGTTTTCAAAGGCTGACGCGAAACTACGAAAAGTCATCGTAGCTGGTATTGTCAGGGAGTTTGAAGACGCTAGTCGAGCCAGCGTGAAGAGTGAGATTGCGGGAGTCGGCCGTGTAGTCCTAGGTGGGCTTTTGGGCTGACAGTTGCTTGGAGACTTTGTACGTTTAATGATCAATAGATTTATTCATCTAGCGCATGAGAAATAATGACTTTCGACTACTTTTTGATGAATTTACTGTGTAGCTGTGTATATCGTAGCGACGTATATGTATGGTGTATTGACCTCTAAAACTGATCGTGCGATCTTTGTGTGTATGTATATAGTGTACAATCGGACAATCGAAATCTTGCACGTGCAAAAAGCGAACAAAAATTAGGAAGGGGAACGCTCATCTAAACCGAGTGCGCCGCTCCCATTTTATTTAACCCCAGCTGACAAAAGAAAGTGGTATCCAACGCCAGAGCAAGTAAAAGCACAATTTTTAAGGAAATCATCATTAAACGCGGGGTCGGTTCAAGGGGACTGACTATCCGTAACTCCGGCGGATATAAAGAGAATAGAGGGGAGATTCTCTGGTTTCTCGAGGTCGATATGTTGATGATGGCGTGATAGAGTCGTGCGTAGAGTGATTATGTAGGTGAGATGCGTGTATAGGCGATTATGAGTCGGAAGTTGTAGTGATATCGCCGGATTTATTGGTGCATGCGCTGGGCCTCCAGCTCTTTCTTGTGTTCCAAGAAAACCCGCCGACTCATCTCAAGAACGGACTCAAAGCCCTCTCGGCCCTTCTTTGCGTTTTGGCTGAAGGTTTCCACGCTCACGTCCTCGATCTTGTTCTTGATTTTCTGCCATCCACTGCACATGGCCGTTATCTGGGCCTCCTGCTTGAAATCTGTCTTGCTTCCGGGCATCGAGTTGGATGGCTGGTAGGTGACGACTTCTCGGACCTTGAGGACATTGGCCCATGATAGATTGGTGGACCACATGGTGACTTTCTTGGATCGTGGGTCGACATAAGACACCTCGAAGACGTGAGATGTAGAACTACCCCCAAAGAGTTTGAGGATCCATTGAGGCGCCGTCTGGTTGCATGTTATCAGACGCTCCGTTCGTAGCTAAGATAAAGTAAAAAGCCAGAAGTTAGCCAACCAATTCATATACCGTTATACGAGTTTGGGAGCAAGGAAGCGCGACTCACGATTCCGGTTTCCGGGTTGATATCGTGGGCAAGCACATCAACCGCGATGACATGAGTCGACTGGTCGTTCCATGGGCAATATTTACGCCAGTTGGCCGTGGAAACCTCGTCCCATGAGTAATCGAAGGTGCAAGTAGATGCGAAGACTTTCATCGTCGTTGATATGGATAACGGAGGAAAGCGACCGATCTGACGACGCCTTTTTTTTTAAACACGAGGGTTTAACCCCAACTTTTGGTGAGAGCAGCCGTATAGAGAAGTATGTATTAGTCTATCAGCGAGGAATTCGAGGAGTGCCAACGAAGCCGACTATGTATCTGAATGAGTGTCGATAAGAGATGGGCCTTTCGTTCTGATGACGACTTTTCGATCGAATTCGAAGCAAAAGTAGAAAAAGGCCCAAAAAAAAAAGATCGGGGCTTCGGCTTATTCATCAATGCCAAGACTTCCCGTGCCGGTTTGACCCGCCAAGGCACACGAGCCTCACGTGCTTTCGTCCAGGGCGCGTTTCTTTCACGCTGCAAACATCGACATCTAACATCTCTCATCTTTGTATGTGACAGCCGCTCTCACGGATGAAAGACATGGTCTGTCGCCTCCAGGCAACCCCTATGAGATGGGTGGCTGATTGATATACGAAGTAAAGGGCAGTATGGAGATGAAACACGTGACTGGTTATCTAAAACACCCTTGAGCCCTGAACTCTTATCGCCAGCTCGATCTAGTTGTCCAAACCTTCCAACAGCTGCCAATACCAATTGTTGCTGCAAAACGGTCACAGTTGGATGGAATAGACCCATTTCACTGTCACCGTTTATCCCTGATTACCCCCTTGTCCTGAATATGGGTGCAGAGCTCCGAAACTGGATTGTTGAGCTCCCCCTTTGAGCACATATAGGGGTGCTACGATTCTAGCCTTTTGACAATAGAATGCCCTATCTCGGCGTCTGCTCAAACCCATGACCGAAATAGCTAGCCCAGCCATGGCTACAGCAAACGAGAAGGTTGCGGACGTTGCACCCGCCGACGCTGTTGACCAAAACAATCCCGCCACACCGCCGTTGAACCCGACAACCCAATCTCTCATCGACCAAGTCAGCCTCTTCCTTGCCCACGCCGATAGAATAACTCTCGCCTCTATTTCTGCTGGATTGATTGCCGTTTCATACGTGGTGTTTGGTAGGCTTGCGCTTCTTTTGGTCGGCGCAGTCGGTGGAGTTGTCTTGCATATCTGGTGGGAGGGACGTGAGAGTGCAGCGGATGGAGATGGCGAAGCAGCGGGAAAGCGTAAACGGCAAGAACTCAGCCTAGAGGTAGCGAACAGGTTGACAAGCTTGTATGCAGACCGTGGTGCCAAATCTGGAGAAGATGAGGACGCTTTGCATAAATCGAGGGACGCCGTCTTGGACTACTCTAGGCTAGGGCCAGCTACGGGCACCGCATTAACGGCTTTTACGGATTCAGTAATTGCTGACTATGTAAAGTGAGCTTCAAACTCTCCCTAAATGCGATGCTCTATAAGGCTGATTTCCCTCTTAGCTGGTGGTATAAACCAATTTTACCGTCTGATGTTGAGTTTCCAAAGGCCTGCCGCGATACGTTCGTCAGTATGATCCTGGCCGTATCATCTCGGATATCTCGCAAACGACCTGCAGACATTTTCCTCCAGTTTGCGACCAATTCAACCTCATTTATGATTGTCTTTTTCAGCGAACTTTCCGCCGCCGTGGGCACTGCAACGGCCGGATCTACGCCTGTTGCGGACTCCATAGATGATTATTTGGAGAAAAACCCGGAGAGCAGTCTTGCCAATGTCTTATCGCTCAGCCAGCAGGAGAAGAAACTCGGCCTCGTTGGAACCGACATTCTCGAAACATTCCTTGAGCCTTCAGTTTACAATTGTGGTCCTCTCCGCGTGTTTCTGCGTGAGGTAATATCCCGCTTGATACTACAAAGGACAATAGATATGTGCTCTGATCCGGAGTATATTAATACCTGGATCGTGTACTTTCTTGAAGAAGGGGAGCCACAGCTGATGAATGCCATCGATGCTGGACTTGAACAGGTAGGGGATCTCAAGCAGAAAGCTTCGCCTAGCAAGGCTGCATCAATCTCCAGTATACCCGGAGATAAATCCTCTGGTGTCATCACGAGTCTAGGAGACCATACGCCAGTTGAACAAAGGCATACCAACCAGGTGCAGAATGCGAATTATTCTCCTGAACCTGAATTGGTGCATGAAGGTGCTGTTGCTGGTTCGACGGGACCTGAAAGAGCCATCAATATACCCAGTTCTAGCCAGAATATTGATAATACTAGTATATATACGCAACTACCTACCGAGTCATCCTCTTCGAACAATACCGATCTTCAGCCTACCCCAGGTTCAAGCACCAGCCTTAGTGAAAATTTCTCTAAAAACCCCGAGACTCCCCCGGGTAGCCAGGCCAACCCAGGCCTAGAAAACTCTGCCGTTCCGCCGCTTACGCCGCAGTCCCCTCAACTTCGTGGTTCCTCAGTTTCGATAGTCGAAGACTTCAACGAAGATGACAAAACGAACTTGCGTTCAAAGCCAACCAGCGAATATTTGCTACAGATTGAACCCAGCAACTCTAAACTTACTGGCTGGATGATTGCGAGAAAATATAGCGACTTCGAAATACTTCATGAAACTCTACGACGAATTTCCGTTGTATCAGGTGTCTCCGATTTTTCGTTGCATCATAATGAGTTACCTGGGTGGAAAGGTCGAAACAGGAACAGCCTGCGGGTGGCCCTTGAGAAATACCTACAAACTGCTTTACAGTATGAGCAACTGGCAGAGTGCGAAGGAATGAAGAAGTTTTTGGAAAAGGGCCGTCAATCGGGACTTGATCCGGACCCTGCATCGGCAAAGCCTGGGTTTCCTTTTGCAGCGCCTGCTGCAGTCTTTGAGAATATGGGGAAAGGCGTGATGGGCGTGCTTGGGACTGCACCGAAGGGCGTCGCCAATAGTAAAAAGGCTATTGTTGACGGAGTATCGGGAATATTTGGGGCGACAGGGAATGATGCTAGAAAACGAGGCAACAGCAACGCAGCTACTAGATCTTCGAATTTGCGAGGCGGTTCTATTGATATCCGTTCATCCTCTACTACTAACTTCACAACGCATTCGAAGAATCTCTCATTGAGCAATCTGCAGGATAAGCCACGGACGTCCTTCCAGCGACAACCAACACAGCTTGAATCGGAATCAGAGGATACCAACGTCGAATTTCCGATTTCAACTTCGCAACCTGGTAGCTCGTTAGCCAGCTCGCGCGAGTGTTTATCAGATGCGGGCAATGTTACTCCAGAATCATCAGATACACCAGATGCCATGCATGCAACTCCTCCCCCTGAAGTAAATGAAGAAACGCAAAGTAAGGCCGACCATACGCCTGGGTCTACCAGTCCGCCTGTTACAGAGCCGCCAGCTAAGAAGAGTTTTGAGACCCGTTCATACCCTCCACTCTCTGAAGAAGAATCGGTCATTGTAGTAGAGCTATTATTCGCCGTGATCAACGAGGTCTACAGTCTTTCATCAGCGTGGAACATTCGGAAGAGGCTGCTAAATGCGTCAAAATCTTTCCTTCTACGTCCAGGAAACCCCAGTCTCGAAGCTATTCGGTCTCTTCTTCAAGACTCGGTGATCGATGGAAATACGTCAGATGAAGCACTTGCTAGATGTATCACCAAGCTACACAAAAGTAGCATGCCAACAGAGGAGGATATGAAGGCGTATCCGCCGCCGCTCTCACCAGAGCAGAAAGAACAATTGAGGATTAAGGCCAGAGCTCTACTAATTAGCAGGGGCATGCCACCAGCCCTGATGGGTATTATGGGTGCGAATGCGACTGGAGAGGCGCTTGGGAAAATCTTCGACTGTCTTCAAGTACCATCTATTGGACGGGCGTTTGTTTTTGCTATCCTTCTACAGGCGATTAGGGTTGTGACACAGTGATGCCGATAGAGTTGTATATAAAAGTAGCGCTCAACCGGCGGATGCTGAAAGATTATAAAAATTTCCCCCTAAGCTAATGTTTATCGTATAAACCAAAGAAAAGGGTCTATCTTGAATAGAATAGGTCTATCTGGCCAAAGTTAATATTACATCTGTTTTATCTTTCGTGCCCCTGAATAAACCAACCGCCATTTTTAGAAATCAAAAATAAAAGAATGCTGTAAATGTATAGGTGGTGATGCGAAGAAGGAAGATCAGAAATTTTCTAGTGTCAGGAAATTACCAGGATGTTCTAGATGCTAATGTGGGAGGCGATATCGACACAGTGGGGAGGTTATGAATCTATGAAGCGAATATTGAGAAAGGAATGGGTAGAATGTTAGTCTGAGAGACTAACGAAGAAATCCCGTGTCAACTCAAAACTGAGCCAGCTGCTCGCCATACTTGGGGCAACTTTTAGGAGATTTGGAACGATGCCCTTGTAGAAGCCACGGATACCTTCTTCAACAGCTATGACTCGGATAGCATCGAAGATGGAGGTGTATTTGTACCCCATGCCAGACATTGTATTTATCTGGAATCGGCGGCGGAGAACATCACTAGAATTCCGTAAGCTAAAGTTGAATTGATGGGAGTTGGTGGACCTACAATGGATATGTGCATGTCTGGGCAACACCGCCAGATATAGCTCCGGCCAATAGCTTTCTCGCAGCATTGGGATTAGAGTCGCCGTCAGGTGTAAGGTACTTTCGAATCGACTCGTAGGTCATGAAATTTAATCCAACCTTCGAAAGTCAGCCAAAGTCGTCGCGGGGATTAAAAGTAAGGGGGCCATGCGGGTAAACTCACGTATGGCGCTACACCGGCGACGGTGGGAAGAATTCCTCTGTAAAGGGCAACAATGCCACCCTCGTTTTTATACATAAGGCACATGGTCTCATACATCCCAGGGAGTTTCGTACGAGGCTGGTTTTTGAGCTCCGAGAAGGACGCAGATTGTATGGAAAGACGGGTGCGTACGATATCTAAGGGGTAAGTAAAGGTGACCGACGTTATACCGGCAAGGCCACCACATGTAAGTCTCCGTAGGGGAGTAAGTTCTCCGCCTGGTGTGGGTTCGAATGCCTACGACCGAAGCCAGTTAGTTGAGGGTATCTAGTGACAGCCAGCACAGCTACCCAGTACATACCGTTTTATATAAGTTGTAACTCCCAAACTGGACCGCCGAATAGGGAACGATTCGAATGCAATTGGTGCCGTTTCCGCGCATAAATCCTCTCCAACCTTCCTCTCTCCACATTTTTGCCAGTCCTTTCCCTATGGAGAGTTTGTATTCCTCGCGACCAACGCTCTGCACCTGGAGTAGAATCTTCAACCTCTCGAGCGGGGAGACGATTGTTCGGGACACAGCGCCTGCGACTCCACCACCGAGAAAGGCCGCAACAACTGGGTCTGATAACCTGCTCGCCACTACCGCAAGGACAGAATTCCGTTGCTTTTCCTAGAGAGCCAGTCACACCGTCAGCCTGCGATTCATACATAGTGTATGCAGCATGAATATGCACCGTAGGTGTCTAACCTGTGTGTGTGGGAATACCTCTGCTGCTCCGGCGGGCAATTGTCCTATGCTGTGACGCAGAGCGGCTCTGTCGTCCGGACTATCATCTTTGCGATTGAGACTCATCGTGAGGGGCAGGGATTGGATAGTGTTGGACCTAGAGCAGTCAGTAGATGTCTCGTTAATGGTACAAAGGGTACATGGAGCTACCTGTATCCTCAGGCTGTAAACCCTAATAGCTTCGAAAGCGGTCCTCGGACCTGGTGATCCTGGTTTCGGAGTAGTCAAGGCTAGACCCGAGAGGGGTGAATTGAGAAAGTGATAAATTTATGGTAACACATGCTATGGAGCAAGAAGGACGATGGTAAGAAGGCCGGATTAAATAGCGGAACACCGTCTGGAGCATCCAAGATTGTGAAATGTTGGAGATAAAGGAGTAGTGCCCGGAGAGTAGGCTTGCGGTGGAATTAGGGAGTTATCCGGACCGGCAACAAAGGAGACAAGAAGTGAACGGGCCAGTCATGCCCGTCTTGGTCAAACGAGAGGCTCTGCAGGCCGGGACCTAACGCTACGATGCTATCCCGATATCAATCCGTATATCATCGTCCAAGGGAAAAAAGATGCGGTTCAACTTCACTTTTCGGCCATCCGTGGTGTCGTGCTGAGTCAGCCCTTACCTAAGCAGGGAAAAATCTTCCCCGGTTTGTTTCTTGCGTCGTTTCTTCCTTTACTCCTGATGTCAACAACATCTGCTGCCCGGTGAACATCGACAGCTTCACATCGCATCGCACAGCTGCTTAAGACCGTAGCTCTGCCTCTCTTCTGCAACAGACCATTCTCATCTTTTAGTAGGGCTTCCTTTTCCGACATCCCTCACCATGTCTCGTGGCGGCGGCACTACGCTATACGTTACCGGTTTTGGCCACGGCACTCGAGCCCGAGAACTCGCCTACGAATTCGAACGGTATGTCCTCATCGTCGAGCTCCCCCTAACCGATACCTCTCGACCGGTCCCTCTCTCTACGTCTTGAGTCCGAACCGTCAAAGCGATATTCTTTTCTTCCTGCCCCGTAACGGTCCTACGTCCCGACGCCCTGATATAGTCTATTCACGATGACCTCCCTCGTCCATCAAGATAGCTCTACTATACCCCTGGTTCCTGTTGTGAGGCTCATGCGGAATATATTATATATATATATTTATATATTATCTCTCACCCTCAGCTGTCAATACTAAGAATGTCGCTATGGATGCGTTCGTGTTGCTAACATTTCTATAAAGCTATGGGCGCCTCGTGAGATGTGATATCCCAGCCCCCAGAACAGCTTCAAGTCGACTGTAAGAGCTCTGTCTATCCCAGGTTCTGTCTTATTGAACGTCGCGCTTACAAGTTCAGCTTTGCTTTCGTTGAGTATGAGAGCCGTCGCGATGCTGACGACGCTTACCATGAAATGCACAACAAGCGCATCGGCCGTGACGATGTATTGAAGATTGAGGTAAGAGATTTACCACGCGAAGCTATATACTGGTTTTTAATACTCATACGATTATCGCAGTGGGCGCGTACTCCACCATCTGCATCGTGGCGCTTTGATTCCGGCCGTGACCGTCGCCGAGACCGCACTCCCCCACGCCGTGGCCACCGCTCCCCATCGCCCCGAAGAGGTCGCGACTACTCCCCGCGCAAGGAGGAGCGCCGAGACCGCGACTTTGAGCGACGCGATAGAGACCGTTCCCGCAGCCCCGACGACCGTGAGCGTGAGCGCGACCGGGACCGGGACACCCGGGATGACCGTGAACGCCGTGATGGCGAGCGTGAGAACGGCACCACCAACGGAGATGAAAGGAAAGGTAATGCCGCTTGGCCTCGCGGGTGACAACTGCTCGCGCTATGTTTCGATACAATACTAACGTGATATAGTTCCCTTGGATTCTCCCACCCCCGCACATGACGAGTTGGACACTGCTGAGTAGGTCAATCGCCAAGTTGCGAAGCATCCCCATCTTCCGCCATCCTGACGGAATATACCTTCCTCGCTATGCAAGATTTGCCGATTTATGCTAGGCCGAATGACGGTGAGAAACTGGTGACCCTACCGTGTGGCATCGCTCCACCTCGACGACTAGCACTCCTCGCAGGTCATGATTCCCCGTTCCTTTTATTCCATTCCCTCGGTTCTCTATTCCTAATCTCCTTTTTTATCTTTGCTTGCGTGTTCATTTTTTTTTATTCTTTAATGGGCAAGTGGGTCTTCATGCAATGTATAAACACCTTATATCAGCGTTAGGTAAAATCTATCTTAGAGCTCTGTGGCGTCCTTTCGTTTAACCCCTTACCTTAGAGACAGGTTTTACCAGGTTGATCGTGTATCCTTGCTCGGCAGGTTCTCGCTAGCTCCATTAGGTGTTATATATATATATCCGTGTATTAATTGGAAGATCTTGTATTACTCGATAGTTCTTCTGACGCTTTAATTAACCGATGAAGCTCCGGAATATATGCAATTCAGCTTTGGTATTTCGTATTTCGTGTGTTGTTTGGTGGTCCAACATTATCAGCATAGAAACCAAGCGTCAGATAAGGACACTGCTCTAAATATACTCTCCTCCTTATCATCAATCAACCAACGCCATAAACTACTCTGGATACACAAATATATTACTTCACTTTGATACACTACATTATCTACCTTGAAAATGGGGTCTCCGGCGATTGCATGCATAGGCATCATAGGGAAACAGGTTCGAGCTCCCCCTCCAAAGCTCAATATACCCATAATATCTGTCCAAGCTAACAACTATACTCACTCCCGCAAAAGAACAACCTCCTTCACATGTCACTTTTCGAGCCACATGTAGATGATAAGCTTGAATTTTCATTCATTTTAAATGCAAGCTTGGATATATTTGATATGCGACAGCAGCATGCGTCTGTGGACCAGGATCTGGGTCTACTCCACGCGCTGGATGAAAGGCTCTCCGTCTATGGATGGTTAACCAACACGGGTGTGAAGTTTGCAATTGTTGTAGACCTGGAAGGAAGAGTTTCAACACCTTCATCAGAACGAGAAAGGTCTTTACCCGTTGTTGGGCTACGGGATTCAGACTTAAAACCGGTACGTATCCTCGACGTCGCTGATATGTACAATCTATCCTAACATTATCTCTAGGCATTCCGGGCTCTACAAACTGCATATGTCAAGCTGTTACAGAACCCTTTCTACAATCCAGATGAGAATGTTCTGGGGAATGAAGCCCAAGGGCAAGCGAAGCCAACGGGCATTTCCAGCCGCCAGTTTGTTAACGAGGTGAACCGCATTGGCAAGACGTGGGCTCCCGGGACTACCGGTCTTTAGAAGTATTATGGCAGTTGGCTCGACTGTAGCTAGTTTCTAGTTTCTAGTTGCTGGCTCAGCTCAGGTGTCGGCTATCGTGTCTACAGAGCCTACGGCATGGAGTTTGGTTATCTGTGGTTCAACTGGCGTTCGGGCGTTCATCATGAATACACTCAAGTATCACGTACATCTATAACAATAATGTCCATCTCTGTGTCTGTCACATCTGTTGTATCAGTCTCTCTAAGTCTTTCGTCAAGCGATATCAAATGCCAACGTCACGTGATATCAACTACCGATCGGGCCTAGCGTAGGGCTTCGCCCACACACTCCACTCCCAAATTCATCGCCAAAAATTCTTGAACTCAGCAGTTGTTCAACCACGCCGCTGCGAAAAGAAGTCCATCAGCAAGACCATTTCGCACCGCAGCCATGGGTAAGCAGACTCCCCGGACACGCCTTGAACCGTTTCCAGAGCACCCTCTTGCGTTCGAGCTGTCAAAACCTCGAATGATGGCCGTTTGACGTTTACTAACAAGCGATATTTTGCAGGTATCGATTTGGACCGTCACCATGTCCGCAACACCCACCGAAAGGCGCCAAAGAGTGACAATGTCTACCTTCAGCTCCTCGTGAAGCTTTACCGCTTCCTTGCTCGTACGTCTTGAGAAAATCCGATAAGATCGCGAAACACAAATCGGGAAAGGCACTTGAAATTAACCAGGGATGTTTTTGTGTGTGTGATTAGGTCGTACCGACGCAAACTTCAACAAAGTCATCCTCCGCCGTCTTTTCATGTCCCGCATCAACCGCCCACCAGTCTCTCTCTCGCGTCTCGTATCCAGTGTTAAGAAGGGACCAGAGGAAGCTTCGTCTGGCAAGACCATCGTTGTTGTTGGCACCGTCACCGATGACAACCGTCTACTCGAGGTCCCAAAGATGTCCATTGCTGCTCTGCGATTCACCTCCTCCGCCAGAGCCAGAATTGAGAAGGCCGGCGGTGAGACTTTGACCTTGGACCAGCTTGCCCTCAGAGCTCCAACTGGTGCCAACACCATCTTGTTGCGCGGACCAAAGAACTCTCGTGAGGCCGTCAAGCATTTCGGATTTGGCCCACACAGCGGAAAGGTTAGTTTTGTGGCATACGTCTGCTTTGATTGGCTTATTAAACTAACGCGCAACACTAGAAACCATATGTCGAGAGCAAGGGACGCAAATTCGAGAGGGCTCGTGGACGAAGAAGATCGCGTGGTTTCAAGGTTTAAAGTGGTTGTTGATGGGATCTTATTTCAAAGGTCAGCTTATAAAAATAGTGTAGCTGTACTTGTGATTGAAATGAAATGAATTTCCTACTCTTTTCATCCACATGGCTACAGGCTCTTCTAATGTGAAATACTCTTGACACGACACGGTTCTTCAATCCAACGGAATACAAGGAATGATACTCATATTTCTGTTCAGCTAATGTGGTGTGGTATCTATACACGTTTGTGTCCAAGAACTAGGGGAGTCGCTGTTTAAATCTCCATTTTCTCATGCTTCCATGTTCGGCCACCCTCGCCCTGGAAATAATCACCCGCAATGTGACCCTCACCCCGGACTAGATACTTGTATATGGTTAAGCCTTCCAGTCCGACTGGCCCTCTGGAATGGATCTTGTTAGTACTGATTCCAACCTCAGTACCAAAGCCATATCTCATCCCGTCTGCCATCCTGGAGCTGGCGTTCCAGTAAACGCCTGCGCTGTCAACGGCGCTCAGGAACCGCTCAGCAAGCTCTCTTGAAGATGTCAATATCACATCAGTATGCTTCGAGGAGTGGCTTCCTATATGTGAGATTGCTGCATCTACATATGACTGGTCTGACGTTCCCTCGATAGTCTTGACAGCCATGATCGCCTCAAGGAACTCGGTGTTGTAATCTTCTTCAGTTGCATCTTTGAGCAATGCAACTTGAGATGACTCCAACTTGTCCTGGAGTGCAGCTTTCGACTTCGCATCACATCTCAGGGAGACTCCCTTTTGAGTTAAAGCGGCAGCAACCTTAGGGAACGTAGTGGACAATGCTCTTTCATCAACCAAGAGGGTTTCTGCGGCATTGCAAGCAGCAGGGTAGTGTAGCTTCGAATCGACAATAACCCGTTCTGCCATGCTAGCATCAGCATCTGAGTGGAGGTAGATGGCACACCTCCCATCAGCATGGCCAAGCACAGGGATCTTTGTATTCGTTTTCACGAACTTGACCAAGTCGTTTGAACCCCGGGGAATCACAAGATCGATGTGGTCATCCAACGCCAGAAGCGGTAGGATAGCATCTCTAGTTTTTACCAACTGGACTGCAGCCTTTGGTACCTCGGTAGTAGCAGCTGCCTCTGCTATCACCTTGGATATGGCTATGAATGATTCGGTCGACTCCTTTCCACCTATTTATTAGTTAGTACAATCGACTTTTCAATATATATTTATAGGCGTTGGGAGCGTACCTTTCAAGATGGCTGCGTTACCCGACTTGATGGAGAGCGCAGCAATATTGGCAATCACCTCTGGACGGGCCTCGAAGATTATCAGCAAGACACCAATTGGGCAGCTGACCCGTTCAAGGATCAAGCCATCATCTAGCTTGGTGCGTAAGGATATCTTTCCAACTGTTGATAAATCCAGCAATTAGCAGTTGTTTATAGCGAGAATCCGGGGTGGTACATACTTGGATCATCCAAGCCCTTGACATCGAGAATTCCCTTCAGCATATCCTCGTATTTCCCCGGGCGTGCCAAGTCGAGCCTCTTCAGTATACTCGAGCTTAGGTCCCCCTTCTCTACTGCTTTAGTGGCGGCCTCTACATCCCTGGCGTTTGCTTGGAGGATGGCATCTCTGTTCTTCTCGAGAGCGTCATGTATGGCAACGAGTGCCTTGTTTCTGGCGTCAGAGGAGAGGACGGCCAATTGTCTCGCACCGGCCGAAGCGAGCTTTGCAATCTCCAGGGGAGAGGATTCCGTCAACGACATGTCGGCGTCAATATATAGATGATATAGATGGTATATAGTATAGATGGTATAAACTGGCGAGGGGCAGGGACGGGCCTTGATGCAACTGTGCCGCACTAGTAACTTATGGCGTAATGCAGGTATCGCCCGTTACCGCTGCTTCTCTACGTTAAATACAACAAAGGCTGATCTCACATCTACTTCACCAAGTCAACAGCTTCCATCCTCACCCTTTGATACTCACCTTCGACGACGTTCACGACCGGAGTTTGGTTTCTTTTCTTTTCTCGCGGTCAGGATACAGGCTGACTCTGCCTCTTTCCTGGAACCAACGGCGCCGCTCTCCAGTGTTATACCATTATCGTCTTCATCCAGCGAGTTGTTCGGCTGGCTGGCTCATCGTTGATATTGCCTGCGTAGGAATTCCTACCAAGTACTGTTTTGCTCGTTCTTGCGTCGGCCGCTTCTGCAACATGGCTACTCAGCTGCTGCTGTCATTCCCTCCCCCGACGGAGCTGCCAGACGCCGAATATGACCAGAAAATCCGTGTGCTGTGTGCAGGTATCAAGAAGCTATCGCCTAGTGCGCTGGTCGGTCACAGTACGGCTGAACAGGGAAATCATCTCGACGTGAGCACCATATACCATTCTAGGCTATTCTGAAATATCTTATATCATTTTTCAAAGTTGTGTATGCATTGGTGCCTAACATGTTGCTTATTAGATACTGGACCCTGCCAAACACTCCTTGGCATATCTACAGGTTCTGTTGGCATACTACCAGATATCGCAGAAGCCGGGCAAGTTAACCATCCCTGATACCTTTCAGCCGGGAGGGGAGGCCTGGGGAAGGGCGCTGGAATTCTTTGAAGTGTTTGACCCCATACAAATCCGATATGCGGGCCGTGACTTCACAAGGCTTGTCGAGACCATTGCCCGGATCGCAGAATCCGTTTCGCGGGTGCGTATATAGATCCAGGCTGGCGGTATATCATCTGCTTCTCGCTAACGTATTTGTAGCCTCTACTTGCTGTCCAGCCTCTGAAAAGTGCCTTGCTTCGGCTTGATCCATCATGCTCGACACTGACGACAACACATACTTTGTTTGTACGTACTTGCCTTAAGGCAAAGGCCTGCCGCGCTGCATTGCCGGTACTAGAAAAGACCGTCTGCCATATCCCCGCATCGGCAGATAAAATCTACCATCAACGAGCCCAGATTTATCCTTGTGACAAGGACCAATCTAGCGTCACATACATTACGGATTCTTCCGGGCTGGCGGGATCTCTCACCTACCGGACATATCTCGAATATTACCTGTATGGAGCTATGATCTATATGGTTCGAAAGGAATGGGAAAATGCACTGCGGTTTTTGCATCTTGTAATTGTTGCGCCTGCCACTAATTCAGTGAGCAAGATCATGGTGGAAGCATACAAAAAGTGGATTATAGTACGCCTATTAGCCAGAGGACAGGTATGTTATCGTTTTTTTATACATATCTAGAACTGACTATGATGACGGATATATATTAACTCTGTCTTTACAGAGTTCGTCTATGCCACGAGGTACACCTCAATATGCGATCAAAGCATATAAGAACTTGGCAAGACCGTACGAGGTGCTCGCTGAGATCTTCCGGGATGGCACATTACAGAGGCTGGAGGCTGAAATTTCGATAGGGGCGGGAGTCTGGGACGAGGTAGGCCGAATCGGAGTTTCACTTACCATTTGGGAGAGGTACTAATTACGACAGGATAACAACTCCGGCCTTGTGCGCCAACTTCCCGACGCATATCGTCAGTTCTCAATACTTAAATTGGAAAAAGTGTTTGCCGCGCTATCAATACCCGATATGGCAAGCAGAGTTTCGTCGGAGAGCACCTCTACAGCTGAACTGGAAGAGTTTGTGGCTACACTGATAGCAAAAGGACAGTTGGATGCACGTCTTGTCCAGGCCTCAGATCCGTCTGGGGCATCCGTACTTCGCTTTGGCCGGACCAATAAAGCCATGGACCCGTACTTAGAAGCCCGGCTGTGGGAAGACCTTGTCAAAGAGAAGATCCGCATCAAATCAATGATAAAGAATGTCGCGAGGGCGGACTTGAAACTGGAGCTGGGTGGTGACTACATTGAAGGGTTGGGGAAATCTCAGCGGAGAGCCGAGCAAGTAGCCCACAGCCGTACCTCCGCCTTTGATGAAGATATCATGGGTGTGTCACGTTAGATTGTCTTGATACGGCGCCTTTTAACGTACTTAGATTTCAGAAAAATAGGTTTTATTTGGAATGCGTCATAGTTCTCTCTGTGATGAGAGATGTTACATTGTTTAGAGCTGATTCAAATGTACAATCTGTGCTGCTCAGGCTTTAATAGAGATATTTTTAAAATAATCCGGCGCTTGACCAGTGGGTAGGAAATGAATGTGAGATGGTCCGAGTGGGGGGGATAATTTTTCGAAAAGCAGAACCAATACACGGTGCTTATTAACAGAGAAGAATGGGAAGAACAGAAGTGATATCATAACAGAAACTTCTTCATCTCGACTTAATTCGAACTAGCTGGGGTAGGAGTGGCGGGTTGAGCGGCGACATCGGCGATGGAAGCGCCAGTGCCAGAGAGGTCGGTGGGAGCTGGGTTCTTGGAATAATAGTTATTGATAGCAGACTTGATAGCGTCCTCTGCAAGCATGGAGCAGTGCACTATCATTATTCGTGTTAGCAATCTACGATTTGTTATTTAGGGATAGAGTATTGGACTCACGCTTGACTGGAGGTAGGCAAAGTTCCTTTGCTATCTCTGTATTTCTAATCTTTCCAGCTTCCTCCAGCGTCATGCCTCGTACCAATTCGGTCAGGTAACTTGAGCTGGCAATAGCGCTTCCACATCCAAAGGTCTTGAACTTGACGTCGCTGATGGTGTTGTTGCTCTTATCGACTCTGATCTGTAGCTTCATCACGTCGCCGCAAGCCGGAGCACCGACTAGGCCGGTCCCGACGTCCAGGTCTGCCTTTGACATTGATCCGACATTCCTGGGGTTACTATAATGATCTAACAGTGCGGAGGAGGTCAGTGATGGGTTACGACTGGAACAGAAACGGGCGATACATATCTTTTTCGTGGTAGCTCCTCGTCGTCCGGAGGGTAACAGCAGGCGACGGTGCGAGTGGCGTCAAAGCAGGCCGTGTTATAGCTGGCGATGCGAGGCATCTGGACGCCCGCGGCGCAAGGGAAGCGACTCTTCTGAACATTGTGATGCTATCTGTAGCTTTTGTGTCCTCCGTAGATGGTGTTGAGAGAAAGAGAGTGAGTTATCTGATGCCTGGAGACTTTCGGCTTTCAAGATCAGATAAAGTGAAGTTGCTCCGATGCTCCGCGGACCACGTGATGTCACGTTTCCCGACCTATCACGGCCGCGATATACGATATTAGCCAGCGACTGCGAACGACCTGCAAAGGACGAGAAAGCACCAAGCGAACAGGAACACTCCCCGCCCGCCGTCCGTGGTATCTAGTGCATCGAAGCCATGAATCCCTCTCGGGGAGGCAACTTCGCCGTCAGGCTGCTGGGTAGGTGGTTCCAGGTTTGAGATCGCGCAATTGTGGCCGTCAGCTCTAACTGTTTGATACATGCAGGCCAACATCGCCCCATCCTGTCCACCACCCTCCCGTCCCTCTCCTCCGCCAGATTCCAGTCAACACACTCAGCGACAGAGCAATCGGGCGCTCTACAGTCGACAGCCGGTTCTGTTCCCGCGCGGAAACCAAGGAGAGAGGTCCCTCTGCCCAGCCAAGAGAAACCACAGGGTGTTTTGGACTATGCCTTGTTCGTGTCCTCCTCGCAGTGTTAAGCTTAGAGCTTGAAAGGAACGCTGGAATTGCAATGGCTAATATAGGCGGGATTTCTTGTTTGTTAGGACGACTCTCGACCAGGTAGCCAATTGGGCTCGACAGGGCTCGCTATGGCCCATGACTTTCGGTCTCGCCTGCTGTGCCGTCGAGATGATGCACTTGTCCACCCCACGATACGATCAGGATCGCCTGGGAATTATTTTCCGAGCCTCCCCCCGCCAGTCTGACGTTATGATTGTTGCTGGAACTTTGACAAATAAGATGGCACCGGCCTTGAGACAGGTCTACGACCAGATGCCCGAGCCACGATGGGTTATTAGTATGGGCAGTTGCGCCAACGGCGGTGGATATTATCATTACAGTTACTCTGTCGTTCGTGGATGCGACAGGATTGTGCCTGTTGATATCTATGTTCCCGGCTGTAAGTTTATACATGACTGCTGGCTTAAATTTCTAGTTACTGACTGCATTAGGCCCCCCTACCTCTGAAGCGCTCATGTACGGAATTTTCCAACTGCAAAGAAAGATGCGAAACACCAAGATCACTCGCATGTGGTACCGACGATGAACTGTTTACTCTGATGTTCAAAAATGGAAAATATCCTGTAAAGTAACTTTCTTTGTACAGCATAGTGTTGGCTTTTCACTATTCTCGATTCCCTCGCAGACACCACTTGTTGTTCCTCGTTCTCTCTCTTTCTCTTTTTTTTGTTGTTCCGTTTTCCTTATAGATTGAGAATCTGCCAGCCAAATCCTATTTTTTACGGGGGTTACAGTTATAGTGTTGGCACTGTAGGCAGATATATCAAGCCAAAAGAATAAAATCGATGTAATTCCCAGCTGGTGTATCAAGTGGTAGAAGATTACGACCCCGCTACCGGGTTAACGCCTGATAAGGTAAGGACAGCATGAAATATGGCTAAAACGCTAGAACGGTCCAAGAAAAGAAGCAGAGTATCGATATACGAGATGATTGTGAAATGTCACTTGGTCTCCTCCTCGTCGTCGTCGTCGATGAGGTCCTGGCCAAAGTCACTATCATCGTCTGCATCGGCAGATGTCTCTTTGGGTGCATCCGTAGATGTAGCAGCCTTGGTGTCTTTCTCTACTGTGACGGTAGCAGACACGACCGCAGCTGGCTTCTCATCGTCTTCCTGTGGCGTAGTTGATACGGCCGTGGCAGCAACGGTTCTAGAGACAGCCGTGGCCGCTGCTTTCGGAGTCAGGCTCCAATCAATCAGGCCTTCGTCTCCGTATTTGGACTGTAGCCAGTCGTTTGCCTTTTTGAAGTGGCCGCAGTTCAACTAGACAACGTTAGCTGGACATCCTGTAAGAAGTGATAAAGTAACAAGATACGTACAAACCCCCTGTGAGCGCTGAGCGGACTCGGGTGGACGGACTGCAAGACGCAGTGCCTGTCCCGGTTGACGGCACTGATCCTCTTGCCGGCGGGAGACCCCCAGGCGAGGAAGACGACTCCGCGCGTCCGGACCTTGGCCACCAGGTCGATGGCCTTTTGAGTGAAACGCTCCCACCCTTTCTGCGCGTGGCTGTTGGCGTTGTGTGCTCGAACGGTCAGACAGGTGTTGAGCAGCAGGACGCCCTGCTCGGCCCAGGGGGTGAGGAGGCCGCCCTTGTTCGCCGGCAGCTCGAAGGACGGGTAGTCGTTCTTGAGGGCGATGTAGATGTTCTTCAGAGACGGAGGCGCAGGCGTCGGCGGGCGGACAGAGAAGCAGAGACCGTGAGCCTGGCCGTGGTTGTGATATGGATCCTGGCCTATAATCACGGCCTTGACCTTGTGCAGCGGCGTATATCTCGACCTGCACTCTTAGCACGATGTCTATACAGAACAACAATATCATAGAGAAGGGGAAGGGAAATACCACGAGTAGATATCCTGCTCTGGGGGAAAGATCTTTGCCCCGACCTTCTTCTCGTCTCTGAGGAAGCGCTTCAGGTTGAGAAACTCCTTGGTGACGAGCTCATCTTTCAGGTAGGCGAGCCAGCTCTCGTCCAGCGTGTCTATCTCGAGCTGCAGCAGCTCTCTCTGCTCCGGCGTCAGCTTCGCGGCCCAGCTGGCCTTGTTGAAGTTGAGGATGGTCGTCGACTTGCTGAACGCAGCTGAACCGTCTTCATCGTTCGTCTTCGTCTTGGGCGCGCCGAAGAAGGACGTGATGCTGCCGTTGCCCTTGGGTTTCTTCGTCTCCTTCGCCGCCAGATGGCTTCCGTCTCGTTTCGACATCTCTATCTCTATCCTTCTTTCTATATCTTTGTCTATCCTCTATCTTCTCCTTCGTCTGTATATTTCCAGGCACCAGGACCAGGCTAGTACCTGACTAAGCCCATCCTGCAGACGCCAAAGCAAAGTCGAAAAAGCAACGAGCGCCAGGTCCGGCGGCGGTTTTCGTATCTCCTCATCCTCCTCTTCCTCCTCCTTCGTCCGCCTCTCTCTCTCCCTTTCTCGATGATACCGTCGACGAGGCCAGGACGACATTACACTCATTATAGCCCTGCTCAGCGTCTGCGCAGGCCCGTCCAGGGGTCTCTGCTAGTCTCGCTGTCCCCCACGCTCACTACGCCGGCTTCTTCCCCACAGCTTCGTCAAGCAAGCTGACTGCTCGCTCGTCTAGGGGCTCTTCCAGGGAGCCGCATCTACGATAGAGAGCCTGTCAACCCCGGACTATTCACTCGTTTGGCTCAATTATGTCACAGTATGCCTTAATCAATCCAATCTGGGGCATTGGTTAAAGAGGCTTGGGCTGCTGCCAGTCAATGCGCTGTTACACGACTTCTCTTCCACGTTTCGGGCCGTTTAACTATGGTGATGATTTCTGCTCGCGGCCCTGAGCCGGGCTCGCCGTCGTCGGCCACCTCGCACTCGCCCTCAACGGCCTCAGAGTCGTCCGAGGTGTACAGGCCAACACACCCCATCGAGCATCTGCAGGGCCCCTTTGAAGAGTCCATCCTCGAGTCCATCAACGGCTTCAACCAGGAAGTGCTCTCGCCGCCAGACGCGGTCACCCGGCGCAAGCAGCTGCTGCAGAACGCAAAGTACCAGCGGTCATGCTCCGGCAAGTGGCAGCAGCGCATGGGCGAGCGGTATCATCCGCTGTGGAAGATCATGGCCCAGGTCTCGTTTGGCATCCACTTGCTGGCTACGGGCTCGGCCAGGTCGGAGCTCGAGTCGGTCCAGATACTGCGTGTTCATGTCGCCGAGATCGATGGCTTCGTGAGGCGGACGATGGAGGACTATCAGCTCGCTCACGAGGACCTGACGGCTCGATTCGACCTGCTGGCCGTGCCTCTCGCCAACCTGGACGTGCTCGACTCCATGCTCGGCGACGAGACCTTCAAGCTCTTTCTTGTTGACTGTATCGGCAAGATAAACCATGTTGTCAGACGCTCCGAGATCTCGCTGCAGGACTCCCTCAAGGACCTCAGAAAGGCCGTCATCGCCGTCAGGACCGTCAAGGACTATCTCAATATCCTGCCCCAACACCAGAGCACCTGGTCTCCTTCTTTTGGCGGTGTCTACGCTGATATGTTTCAGAGGGTTGGCCTGTGGCTCACCAGTCTCACCAATCTACAGTCGCAGGGGATCCGGCTGGTTGAGTTCCTCGTCAACCTCTCTACTTCCATCTCGAGGCTACGGCTGAGAATTGGCCTCAATCACGCAGGCAGTACAGTATGTATCCCTTTTCCTACTAACTGTCATTGTTACATGCTTACTGTTTGCAGCGTTCGGTTACCCTCTCCCCTGATATATTTACGCCGCCACGCGCGGCAGTGTCAATGGATAATCTACATCAACATCAACATCAACATCCCCCTAATAGAGCATCCTACATCGACAAGCCGTTGCCAGATATACGGCACAGGGATCGCTCATTTTCATCCCTGAAGAGGTTTGGCGCAAAGCTCCAACATCGATTCTCCTCCGTCAGCCACCAATTATCACCCACTCCTTCAAGAAGCAATCTTTCCATAGCAGAGACCGTCAGAGACTCTCCGGGTCGGTCACCCGCATCACCCTCAATAAGCATACAGACAGCCACCCCGGACATACCCGATATCCCCGAACTAGCAGGGTCGCCTCCCTCAACGCGACCAAACCTTCCCGAACTCGCAGGGTCCCCTATACCGTCTCCCACCATTGCTGAATTAGCAGGGACTCCTCTAACGCAATCCCAGCTCTTTAAATCAGTAGAGCTGGGTGCATCATTAAATGAAATACCCCGGGACAGCATGGAATCAAGCGCCCGTACTTTTGTCTATGAAAACGTCGTTTCTCTACCAGAATTCGAAAGGGGCGCGCCATTATCCTACATTGAGAAACATTTCCCCGAACTCGCCCTCACAGACATCCCCATACACCAATGGCCCAAGGAATCATTTAAACCTATCAAACGGCCCCTCACTCCCGCCCAGCTACCTCGTCGAGCAACAACTTCGAAACTCAAACCTTTCCTCCGCGGGCTCTTCTCTAAATCGTCTTGCGTACAGCCCACTGAATCGATCTCCGGCGACAACAGCTCAGATGAATCACAGCCCATAGACACGTCATTCAAGGAACTGAAAAAGGCCCCGCCCAATACTATATCCATACGAACTCTAACAAACAGCGAGCCACGGCTGCCACTCCCTGCTCCCTCCCTTTATAATCGAGATACAATCGGCGGCGCCACCCGGCCGTCGTCTATATACTCTAACGCTTCCTTCTTCGGTAATAACGACTAAACGAGTGGCCTTTGTTCGTCTCTCTTTTCTTTTTCTTAATCCACATTCCTTGCTCATATTTTCTTTTATGTTTACGTGACATGTTTAAATATACATATTATCCAACGCTGTCTACTGTATACCATAGCCCTTCTTGCATACATATTTTTCTTCGGTCTTTTTTTTTTTCACATCAGGTCTCGCAGCTTGTTGATGACATTGCAGCGTTCTCCATAGTCGGTGCATGCAATTGATTGCCTCCTCTTTAATTATTATAGCTATTGGGAGTTTAGCCTACCAGAAAAATACTAATATATTATTCGCTTCGGTTAACCCCTTTTGAGATTAGGTTGTTCGCAAGTTAGTTACCTGGTGCTGGGGGAGCGGGCTAGATGCTCTTCAGAGTGCGTTTAATGGTAGTATATTGATCTAGTGAATGTAACTCGGCTAACATTTCGGAGCGCTTCTCCGACCTTCAAGCTATCATCGTAATACTAATAATAATGAAGAAAAGGACTCGTGCTGTGTGCCCATTCTTAAGCTTCATCATCCATGCTACCTACCCTGCCACCAAAGAATCATGCGCCATGACCACTGCAATGCTACACGCGACGGAAAATATAAATATATGCAAACTGCTTCATCTCTTCCACGTCGCCAGCTTCAGCAACTACTTTCTCGTCGTTGAATAGAATCCACTTAGGCTCGCTCTCTGCAGGGAGATGCTTTCGAATGAATGCGACGTAATGACTATTTTTCGGTTAGCAATGTATGGTTCTCATAAGTAAGTTGAGGGGAAGTGGTGCCTTACCCTGCATGAACAGAAGTGCCCTTGTGGCAGACAATTGATTGGAGGTCGAACAAGGCAGGCTTTTGGTTAGACCCAGGAACGGCGGTTGATGGTGCCGAGCTCGTAGTAGCAGCACTAGGTTCTGGCGCAGCAGGTTCATCGGGATGGCTAAAGACCCAGTCCAAGGCTCTAGTGACATCCCAGTCAGTAGCTCCAAGAGCCTTCTCGGCCTTGTCATGCGGAATGCCCATGTCGGCTAGTTGGCTGATTTTATCATCGCCGTCGGAAGGCTTTGGAGCACCTGTCGCCGAGCGAGTAGTAGAAGCCATGGGCTCGTCAATACTGGGGTCGTCCATATGAGCGAGGATCCAATTCAATGCAGCCTCCTGGTCGGAGTTGCCAGTGTTATGCAGCGCTTTCTTTACCCTATTTTCAGGGAAGCCCATGCCTAGCAGAGCCGCATATGCTTCGGAGTTGGGTACAAATTCAGGCTCACTTTCGGCATCGTCTGCTAACAGCTCTTCATTGTCCTGTTTACCAAGGGAGAGATATTGGGTCAAATCAAGTGGCTCCTTGCCAACCTCTACTGGAATGTCGAGTTTCATAGGTACGTAATTGACCACCTCCCAACGTCGCGCATTTACCACCAAGTTCTGAGGTAGTGTCTTGAACAACGACCGCTTAGAGAAATTCTTGTTGCCGCACCCTGAGCAGGTGAGTTCAACGTTTTCCTCCCTCGTGAACATATCAATGCAGGTTTTAAGAGGGACCGTTTCCCACATCTTATCGGTTCCAGGGCCCGGCATGAAATGGTTTAGCCGTATAGCGGGAACTGTGACCGAGATGTTATCTTGCTCGTCAACTTTATACCGGACTTTGCGGCATGACGTACACTGCAATCGTTGTTCGACAGCGAAACGGAATGACTCCACTGGGTTTGGCGTCTGAGTAGAATGAGGGGAAACACTGATAATCTTGAAGAGATGCAAGAGTAGCTCGAATGCATCTTGTTGACGCATCGTTGAAAATTCGGGGTGGCCTCTCCCAATAAGATGTTTAAACATTGATGGCGAGATTCCGTGCTGGTAAACCACATCAGAGTTACTACCGCCGGCCGCGTCAGGCACAGAATAGCGCCCTGAAAGGAGGCCATCTGCAATTTTCCTCAGCTGAGTCTCTAGATCCTCGGCTGGGGTAGGGGAAGTTGGTGGCTCCTCGTTGGGCTTGAAATAACGGTTCTTAAACTCTGGCAACGAGAATAAGCACTGCAGGACGCTGGCCATGTAGCAGCTGTTTCCAAGATTCTTGAGACCGGTAAGTTCTGGGCCGAACACCGGGTTCAACACCTTTCCGTCATCAGATGTCATTGAGAAGTCCCATTTGAGGTTCTGTTCGATTTGTAGCTCCGTTAGGCTTTTCTCCGTTTTTTCCTGTTCTGCGATGTTGAGTCCCCAGTGTGAAATATGTTGGGCCAACTCCGGGTCAGTCTTCTCATCGTTGCAAGTATAGCAGTAAATATCTGCCGAACCTTCAGGGGTTATAGATCGAAGTTTGACGGCGACACTATGCGATTTCTCGGTCGAGTGGGCGAGAGCATGAGAGTTACCACCTACCCCGCCAAATTGGGCTCGACCGCAACCAACAGTGCCACATTCAAGGCAAAGCCAGAGATTCTCCTGTAGGTCACATCCGTAACATTTGGAGGGTTCTAAAAAATCGTTGTGAGCGAGTGGTTAAGCATGGTGGTGTGGTTTCGGCCCAGTCCGTACCTCTAATCCTGATTCCTTGGTTTGAACCTTGTTCTAAAGTTAAGGTATGCTCGCAGGGAGTGAGCTCCTGCTCCCATGCCTTGACTTCTTCCTTTCGAGAGAACGTAGGAGCTTGCATCAGCTTATCGACAACCTCCAATACCTTGGGCGAGCACTCCTCTACTTTGTCAACACCGCATTCGAGGCACACCACCTTCGTGGCAACGTCGTACTGATCATCCTCAGAGCTTGCTTCGATAGCGAGCTTCGACATCTTGACCGGTGGTTCGGCACGCTGGAAGATTGTTAGCTCGAAAGTGATTAATACGCAAGCACTCTAATGCGGCATTCCTACCTCTACCTGCTTTCTCGTTCTCTTGATATTCAACGCCAGAGGGTGGCCATGACGACGAGTGTGTAAAGCGCCATGTCCCCTCTCCCCAGCGCAGCCTCCGTTAAAGCAGTGAAGACAGACGTTTAGCCCTGCATCGTTGTCCTTTCTCAACTGTCAGCTCGACATTTATATGGTATGGGGAGTATTGTGGCTGCCTACTATGGAGTCAAAACATTGTGTACAGTCCTCACGGTAAACAGACTGGTTCACAGTAGGTGGGCTGAGATCTGCACGTCGAATATGTGTTAGCGGTAAAGCTGCTAAGTAGATATGCTCAGATACATACCAGCCGAAGCTATGTGTACGCACGCCATCATGCAACTTGGTGATAATGACGATGTTGGTGGAAGTGGGTTGTAAGTGGGCAGAAGCCTGGGGAGAAGATCTGTTTATCTAGATAAGGGCGAGTATCCACATGTAGCCGTCTTAGTCAGCCCCTAGCTGTTTCGTTAGTGACTTTTCTATCCATGGATTATTTCGTCGATGGAAAAGTTCACTTGAGCTTCATAATTTCACGATACTAAATATGTTGAAGCCTCTTTTCCAGAATAGGGCGCTGTTTAGCTCTCGCTCCGCTGCAAACCAGTTCTTTCGGTCTATATCTTCAAAGCAATGGCAGACCAGGCAAAACAAAGATACCTACGCCAAGGAGGCAGGAATGCAGGGACTGAAGAGTCGAGCTGCCTTTAAGCTATTACAGGTTTGAATTGCTCTATTTACCGGCTGAATATCGTGTTCTAACCCATATACTAGATCAATGATAGGTATAGGTTGTTCAAAAGTGGCCAAACGGTGGTTGATCTTGTAAGGTCGTTTCATACTCGAAACCAGCTCAAATGCTAATGGATATTCAAGGGATACGCTCCGGGCTCCTGGTCTCAGGTTTGTCAATTACCCGTGGTAGATTGCTTAAAGGTTGAGGGGCTAATGTACGAATAGGTGGCTGCAGATCTCACAAAACCTCGCGGACGGATCGTCGGAGTCGATATAATTCCCGCGCAACCCCCGAGAGGAGTGTCTACTATCCAGGGGAACTTCCTATCTCCCCGGGTACAGCAGTTTGTGAAGGATTTTGTCCGAGATCCAGACCGGGGTCGACCACGGTCACAGTTATCTCCCTCCAAAAACGATGAAGAGCCGGCTCCGATCCCGAACCCAGACATGGAGGGTAACGGGGGCTATATTGATTTAGAAAGAAGCTCTAGCGCCAATATAGCTAAGGAAGGAGAAGAAAATAAACAGACACCAAGGAAGGCCAAAGTGGGATCTGTCGACGTGGTTCTTAGTGACATGTTTGTCTTACAGAAAGGCCTACGAACGAAAAGAGAATACCAGGCTAACATGTTGAAAGGTTGATGAATACAAGCGGCACGAAATCTCGCGACCATCTGGGCAGTATGGTATGTGGAATCTTCAATAATAAATACAATGTCCACTGCTGACGGACAATGTGAATAGGAACTATGTAAGGCCGCGCTCAATTTCGCCTCTAACGTCTTAAAAGAAGGGGGCCATTTCGTGTGCAAATACTATCAGGGACCCGAGGAGAAGGAATTCGAAAACGAATTGAAACGGCTGTTCTATCGGGTATACCGTGAGAAACCGGAGTCTTCACGCAGCGTAAGGCCCCTGTATTATCTCCCCTTCCTTGTGCTTTGCTAAGAATTCCCCTAGGAATCCAAAGAAGCGTACTTCATCGGTATACGAAGAAGAAGCGAAAAGCAGCAAAAAGATTAGGGCATGCGAATGGAGTGTCGAAAGCTTGTACCATGTCTCGACATCGGGTATCATTAAATCTCGACCAATTCATCGTCATCACCGGCGTCTGAGTCTCCGGAAAAATCTAGCTCTGCAGCAGCTGCATCCGCCAGACGCTGGACCTACTTTCGTTAGCGAACATCACTAGTCCTGGATTTCAGCGTTGACAAACCTCTTTTAGCCCGCTTACTTCCTCGATATACGAATTCTCATTCATTGCGCGCTTGACGAAGTTCCAGCCATCCTGCAGGTATAAGTCAAGGACCTTGCTGGAGCAGGCACTGCAGAATGGGTAATCCTTGCCGGTGACGACGACATTGTTGAATCTTGACAGATACCCTCTAATTTGATGCGGTACTATGCCTAGCGGATGGGGGTTTTCGCTGTTGTCTTCATCGAGAGAAGTAGTCGCAGGAGCTTCTGCGCCGTGAGGATGCTGTACGATGGATACGAAAAGCTCTACTAAAAGAGCAGATGCGATAGCAGCAATACCCGGCCTTGTGACAGTGCACTGTTGGTCCAAAGTCTGCGCCTTGACGGACTAATGAGAGTGTTAGTGGTGTAATTTGGCTGAAGGATGGGGTTGATGCTTACGTTGGCCGGTGCAACAACATCGTTGCAAAAGTAACATCCAAGCCCATCTTGGGAGCCTGCCGTCTTGACAGAGCCATGGCGCATAACGACAAACGTGTCAAATCCTAGAGCGGCATTCAAGACTATTTTACCCGCTGCTTTTCCTAATAAGGTTGGCAGCCAGCGGGATTCTCGTGTGTCCATCAACAGGAATATGGCATCATGCTCCTCAATGAGCTGCTTCAGCAAATCAAAATCAGCTTTAGTCTTCTCTTCATCTACCACTGGATGTCCCGCCATCGGCACCGAGAGGACATGACCTGTCGAGTCAACACCTGGATATATCTCTTTGAGAGCTTCGGCAGCACGCAACGCCTTCTTAGCTCCACCCTCTAAGCAATCCTTGAAGTTAAACAGAGGCTGCCTAACTGGGTTGGAGAAAGAAACAGATCCATTGTCGACAAACGTGATTTTGTGAACACCCCAGCCCTACGATTGCAAATTAGCATATATGCAACCTCCTTTTGCAACGATTTTATACTTACAAGAAGATTCCTAGCAACGTAACTTCCAAGTGTACCAGCGCCAAGTAACAAACATTTAGTTGTCTTGATATTTTCGAGGTTGAGATTTGGGCTGATTCTCCACTTCATCAACTTGAGGTTCAGGTCTACTGATTGATCGGCCAGCCTATATTTGAAACGGGGTGAGCTATGTTCTCAGAGCGTTGTGAACATGTACAAACCTTTGTGGATCCATATATTCTTTGAGGTCAACTGTTCGACCAGAGAGCTTGCCGGCGGGATTTCGCTCCCATCCTGTGATTTTGGGCATAGTTGGATGTTCTTCACTACCCTCTGCGCTGGCATTTGGTTGAGAGCCTTCAGTTTCTAGTGTCATGACCACACTCCTTCCTTGGTCTCTCCGTGCATGCACGTCGCGGTATCTCATGATTTGGACCCTATTGAGCTTCCACCTTTTCTGGACAAGCACCAACAGGTTTCTTAGCACCCAGCTAGGTGCGTCATCATAATTGGATGGGTCCGCGAAGCAGATATAACGATCTTCCTTCTCGGCATTATCGAAAAATCCTTCCTCATACTCAGACAGCGAGGAAACGCGCCATTCGTAACTAGCCAAGGTTGCCTCCTTCGCTTGGTCCTCCTTCGGCTCGTTGTCCTTAGCAGCACCCCGGACCTTTTTGGCCAGGAAAAAACCGTGCTGGCGGGCGTCAACCCCATACCGCCAAGTCTGAACAGCATCAACTAAAGTTGCAGTCTCAAGGCCAGTCAACTGCCGCGATGCACTGCTCGCAGATTTCTGATCAGGGGTATCAGTCGAGCCCTTGTTGGTGGAGTCTGATACTAGGGCCCATGGCGGACTTGAATGGATTGCCGGAAACGCAAACCAGTAGGAGAACTTGTATTTCTTGAGATCCGCGAATGAAAGGACTGTGAAAGACGCCAGCAACGAAGGACATGAATATATGGTTCCATCATTAATAGCATCCCATACCTTTCACCAAATTTGGATCATTAGCACGGCCATCAAAATAAGGAAATGTTAAAAACAAGCACTCTATCACCTACAGTTTTCCCTGCCAGCTGCAAGAGCGCAGGCTTATCTGCATTTCGATACTCCTCGATCGTGTTTACATTCTTAATCATGCCCTCTGCCCGATAGTAGCCTGCCGGAACGCTGATGATGTCATGGGTAAGCCGGCGTCCTAGAGAGGGGCAGAGAGACCGTGAAAGCGACACTTACTCGTCTTTAAGCAAGGAATTTCCTAGTATCTGCATTCGACATGACTCCTCGGGGCGATCGGACGGCTTTATTTCATAAAGTCCGAGTACTTTGCGTGCGGAGTCGTCGAGCTTGTCATGGTCAACCTTGAGTGAAGCCAGTGAGGAGTAGAAGGGCAGCTCTATGTCAGAGATAAACGGCGTGTACTGCATCTTGGCTGGTTACTGCGCCTGTAAGTGAAGGTTGAAGTTACAGTACGTTATATCAAGATGCAGCCAGACTCATGTGTAAAAGAGAAGAAGGCCGCTGGCTTGTTGATATAGCTCTCTCTCTACTCTTTGCATCTTCGAGATCAGCGGGACAAGGACAGGCGCCTGACTTAGTCAGCAGATCGGACATCTTGCGCTGCTTTTAGCCTCTGGTGGCCGCTTTAGACACATCTTGGTCCTCCTTTTGTGTTCTCGTCGCTATCCAGCAATATGTGAAATATGAGAGAGATATCCTGTATATATACTCGTACCAGTAGAGCTTTACACATCCATAAGAAGGTTGGCGTTGGATTTATCAACTGCAAGTCCTGCAAGCTGGCCAGCGCTAGGCGGGAAGCACCTGTACGGAGACCACTCGTGCCAACACCTGTATACATATGTGTGTTGGCATGTTTATATGGAGATGCTATAGTTAGGCATTAAGCATATACCTACGTTCAAAGGGTATATTTAAAGACAGATCCCGCGGAAGTTGAATTAAAATTCTCTTCAATTATTATTCCATTTGAGCAGTTGAAGTGTCGGAGGCCAGCATCCAATCGACGAAAGCTTACAGCGGCGTTTGTTTACCACCGCACACAAAAGTACAACACCCGCTATATCTATTATACCTCTCGACAGCGAGTAGTGTTTAACCTATACCAGGTAATCCAACCGGAATAGGTGGCGTATTGAAGAGATGTTGGTTGGTATTTGTGGAGGTATATTCTCATCCATCATGCGGTCCCTGAAACGGCAATTTGCTAATTCAGTAATACAGGTATATGTGCCGGGAAGAAATCCGTTGCCAATTTTTTGATAAAGAATCACGGATTTCAGCAGCTCTCCATTGCTCCAGGGAACCATCAGACCATCGTTGAAGAACAATTTGAGCAGCTTTCGCTCACCAGCTCCCCGGACCCGTCAGCCCAGACCTTCGAAACAACCGATGAACTAATCGACTTTGTGACCCCGAGATGGCGAGAACTCTGGGTAACTACAGATATACCGGATGATTCTGCGCTAGAAAGGCTTCTCCTAAGGCCGTTCTTCCTATTAATTAGCGTTGATGCCCCGATATCTCTGCGCTGGCGCCGGTTCACCGATAGGTCTGTTTGTTCGGCACTAGCTTCTATTTAATGAACAGGGAATGCTGATATTCGGAAATAGATGCTGGAGGAAACAGCTAGAGCCACCAGATCTGGAGAGGTTTGTTCTGATTAGCGATCACACCCAATACGACCCCAAAATCGGCGCTGCCTATCTACTGGATCGAGCACATGTTCGTCTGTTTAATACGTCCTCTTCGTTAAACGAATTACACTCTGCGCTGGACTCCTTGGACTTGCTAAACAACAACCGCTTACGGCCCGTCTGGGATCAATACTTTATGCAATTGGCGTCCTTGGCGGCACAGAGAAGTAATTGCATGAAGCGACGAGTGGGATGTGTGCTTGTCAAAGAGAATCGCGTTATGACCACGGGGTACAATGGAACCCCTCGCCATATGAAGAATTGTAATGAGGGTGGATGTATGGCTTCCTTCTCCTCCGTTGAGGTTAATAGTGATATTCTGACTATTCATAGGTCCTCGCTGCAACATGGGCCAGGCCGGGGGTACAGTTTTATCGACATGTCTCTGCATGCATGCTGAAGAAAACGCTTTACTGGAGGCCGGGAGACAAAGAATCGGAGAAGGATCTATCCTCTATTGCAACACGTTGGTGTCTTCCACATCCCCATGCTCTATATAGACACTAACATACAGCAGATGTCCATGTCTGACGTGTAGCGTCAAGATAGCTCAACTCGGCATAGCAGAAGTAGTATACTCCCAGGGGTATCACATGGATAGCGATGTTCGTGCCTGTCTCCTATTTCCTTCCCGTCCTCCACGGTTTATTGTCGGTGTTTTCTAACTTCACTTAGACGGCAGCAGTATTGAAGGAAGCAGGGGTCAAGCTTCGGCAGTTCTCGCCTGTAGGTAATCCATCCCTATCTTCTGCAGGCCCGGTATTAACATCCAACATAGCCCTGCAATCGCCTTATCGACCTCAAGGGACTGGATATCAACATCCCAAAGCACGAATAGTCGCTATCCCCTGCCCATACTAAAAGCTTGTCTGGATCTTCAGACAAGGGTGTGCTCGGGCTTGAGATACTTCGTATTCCGCCACACGATCTATGCGCAACCACCCATGATAATATTTACAGTCTAGCGTTCGAGGTGATTCTTTTGAATGATAATTTGTTTTTTTCCTGTTCAGGTCGGGCAATTGAAGAAACAATTCGTTTATATACGCGTCATGTTGGATAGAAAGGATGTTCTTAAATATATTATAAAGCGGGGTTAGAACCTAAAACGCGAATTCATAAATAGTTAATTAGCGATAACAAAAAATTGATTTCTGAGTCACTTAACAGCGAAAAGGATACGTATTCCACGACGATAGAGAAAGGGGAGACCAGAAATCTACAATCTCTTCAGTTGTTCAATTCCGGCAGCCGTCACAATGCCTACTGTTCATCTCCTAGATTATGTCGCGGGGAACATCCGGTCCCTCGTCAATGCATTAAATAAGCTGGATTGTCAAGTAAAATGGATAAAGTCGCCTCAAGATATCCAAAAAGCGGAAGTATGATTATTCCTCTGTTTATCACTATGAATTTCTACGAATGCTCACAATTCATACTAGATTCTGATTTTACCTGGTGTTGGTCACTTTGGCCACTGCATGAGCCAGCTTTCCAGCGGCGGGTTTCTCGAGCCAATAAAGGAGCATATTAACTCTGGAAAGCCGTTCATGGGAATATGTGTTGGCTTGCAGGCCTTGTTTGAAACGTCAGAGGAGGCTCCCGATGTCAAGGGATTAGGACTGATCCCTATATCACTCAAGAAGTTTGATTCCTCTGACAAGAGTGTCCCTCACATTGGTTGGAATTCCGCCATCTACAGCGAGAACAAGTGCTACTATGGCCTCAATCCTCGTAGTAAATATTATTATGTCCATTCTTACGCGGCTCCCTGTGATGCCACTGTCCTTCAAGCTCAAGGATGGAAGGTTGCAACCGGCAAATATAAGAACGAAACCTTCATTGGAGCCTTAGGACGGGGAAACGTGTTTGCAACTCAATTTCACCCAGAGAAAAGTGGTCAGGCAGGATTGAGGGTTCTGGATGCATTTCTCAAGGGCAAGGAGATCGATGATCTCCCTGCTTCCGATCTTTCTACCGCCAGGGATGGACTGACAAGACGAATAATTGCCTGTCTTGATGTCCGCACCAACGACGAAGGTGATTTGGTGGTTACCAAGGGTGACCAGTACGATGTTCGAGAAAAATCTGGAGCTGAAGGACGCGGCCAAGTGAGAAATTTGGGGAAACCTGTCGACATGGCAAAGAAATATTACCTAGAAGGCGCCGACGAAGTAACGTTCCTCAACATCACATCGTACAGAAACTGCCCACTAGCCGACCTGCCGATGTTGGAAGTTTTACGACAAACTTCTGAGACCGTTTTCGTGCCTCTAACCATTGGTGGTGGTATTAGAGATACGACAGATACAGATGGAACCGTTGTCTCTGCTCTGGACGTGGCTAAGATGTACTTTAAGTCTGGTGCTGATAAAGTTAGCATCGGATCAGACGCTGTGACTGCCGCTGAAGAATATTATGCTTCTGGAAAGAAATTGACTGGCAAGACGGCCATTGAAACCATTTCGAACGCCTATGGTAAACAGGCTGTTGTCGTCAGTGTTGATCCACGACGTATATACGTCTCTTTCCCTGAAGATACCACCTACCATACATTCGAGACCAAGTTTCCAAGCGAAAAAGGGGAGAAGTATTGCTGGTTTCAATGTACGATTAAGGGTGGCCGAGAAGGAAGAGATTTTGACATTAAGCAACTCATCGAGGCCGTTGAGGCGATGGGGGCTGGCGAGATATTATTGAACTGCATCGACAAGGATGGGACAAACAGTGGATTTGACCTTGAATTGATCAATGATGTCAAGTCCTTTACTACCATTCCGGTCATTGCCTCCAGTGGAGCTGGAAATCCTGGACATTTTGCAGAGGTATTCGAAAAGACTTCGACAGATGCTGCACTGGGTGCTGGCATGGTATGTTCATCTTGAAGATATATGAATATCTCCCTACATTTGTGCCTTGCGCTAACTCTATTTAGTTCCACCGCGGTACCTATGCCGTCTCAGATGTAAAGAACCACCTTCGTGACGAGGGCTTTTTGGTCCGTGAGGTAGAGTAGTATGGTTGAAACAGCTGTTAGATATCTTCAATTGTGTTATGGGACATGGTTGATATACAGGTTTTCGGGGATAGACCTACAAGATAATCAACGGACTTAATTAGTCGACTGTAGGATTTGCAAAGTTATGATTATATATTATTCAATTCATGTTATTTCGATCAGGTATCCGTAGCATAATTCGTTAAAACTAAGACTTTGCTAAATGCTTATCCACCAATCTATTCAAAGAAATTCCTCCTTTATACACCCCTTTTTCGTAGCCATGTTATATTCAATCCATCTTGCAGTGTCACTACTTCCTTCAACTACAAATCGCCCGGGATTCATAGCGTGACAACCTTCATAGGTGACTGTAAACGGGTCTGCGTCGGGATCAGCCAGCACTAAAGCGGTGGGGAGAGGATACAGGTGCAATGATGAGCTATGGTCCCATAGAATCGGGCGTACGGCCGGTGAAAACGGGCTGAGATAACCTTGGTCTAATATTGACTTGACCAGTTTCCGGGCTGCAAGTAAGCTTGGATGTACTTCATCCCGTTGCCGCTTGTTTGCTGCCGTTGAGTTATCTTCTTCAGGGTCGAGATTAGTGGTGTCCTGACTTGTGTCTTCAGCGTCGTCCTGTAAGGGTTTCGCTACACTGTCATTCTTCATGACTACCGCATTCCGTCGTAGTCTGCCAGAAATAATGTCTCTGAAAACGACTATTTCTGAAACACTCGGCTCATCAATGGTTATCCGGGTAGGGTTCGAGGACCAGACAGCCGATTCGTCTATCTGGCGGGAGGAGATGGAATGATCCTGACTGTAAGCTGATTGGAAAACTCGGCGAATTCGAGAGGTAAATAACTCCGGGATCAACGGCCTCGGGATACATGCGGTTGCTCCAGGGGAAAATGAAGAGGCCCATGGATCATTCTCACCGGGTACAAACACGAAGGTTGAACTTCGAAGGAGGTTAGGGAATTGCGTCAACACTGAAGCAAGGCTGTCAAAGAATTCTTTATATTCAATACTCCCACAGTTCCCAGCTCCAATTGCCGCGTCGTGGACAAAGTTGCCTATCAAGACAAATGTCGGAGGCACTTTATTGTCGGATGCTGCATTGTATTTCTCTAGCACCATTGAAAGCGCTTGTAGGGTCTTTGGATTATCCAGATTCACTTCGCCCATGATGACGACATGCTGCTCTTCCATCTGTCGGCGTGATAGTGCATTTGTTTTCGCAGATTCCGCCTGACTCGACCCGACTTCACCATCTATCGGGTCAAGCGCAGAGTCAGTCGGTAGCTTTGTATTCCAACCACGGCTCTGGTTGTCAATACCAAGAGAAACTTCCCTTCTCTCGCACGGAGGGCCCCCAACAGATACTGCAAGGAATTTCCCGCCAATTGCTCCGGAGCCTAGAGCTACTGAATCTTCGTCATCGTCTTCATAGACCCCATCAACGAGCAAGATCATCCCTGGCACAAACCAGGCACCGTTTACTGGAATCCCCTTGGCATGTTCCATATCTATAGCTACTGTTCCTGAGGGATCAGATAGAATATATCCTCCGTTTGGGGAAATTGAGAGCAAGCCCAATAGCAAATGGTTGGTATTTCCTCGTCCCTGCAAGCTTGTGATAGAGGTGAGCTTGTAGGGTTGATTTGACTGGGAAGCGGCATTCGACTCGCTGAAGGATGTAGGTAACGTCGATGTTTGAAAAGTTTCATTCCGTAGTAGCCGTTGATGAAGACGATAATAACGATCCCGAAAGAGGCTCACCCTGTTGTTAGCCGGGGGAAAGAGAGAGGGATGCCCGTGTGGCGGTTCAAAATGTTTCTTGTTCACATTGTATGTTAATCGCTGCTGTTCGAATGCGCTGACAATTTTAACCCGTTTTCTTGCACGATCTCGCTGCTTATCTGGGGAATCGGCAGGTTGTTCTGCAAGATCAGGCTCAGCTTCCTGGGGCGCAGAAACGTCTTTATCGGCTGGTTGGACTTGAGAGTCACTTCGATCGAGTCCGCTATGTTCACGCTTCTTTTGGGGTATAGATGTATCAGGAGCCTTCTTAGCTACGGCCTTTCGATCGTGTTGAACCCGGCCTCCGACCATGTAGCTTTCTAATTCGGCCAATATAGTCTTTAAGCATAGCTTTGGACCATCCTCCACGATCGAACCACCCCCAGACTGCTTCCATAACTTCGCAACTTCATCGAGTACCAGGTCCGCAAGTCCTTCCTGGCGCCATCTCGAGCCACAGGACTTGCCGATGAAGGTCGCAAGGGCTTGTAATGTAGACGAATTGAAAGCTAGGTTGTGTCGTTTCGAGAGTGTCCGAAAAGCTAGCGGCCTAATTGTATTAGGGGGTATAACGACGGGGAGTACGGAGGGTTCATGGGCCCTGGAGGCGTTTGATTCATTGATACCTGAGCTTTAACGATGAAGTTAGCGGGGGCTCGAAACGAGATGGAAGCGAGGTCCATACCGGATAGGTACTGATGCCTGGAGATTGACCATGGGTGATATTGTATATTTAATATTCCGCAGTAAATATTTATATAACCTGCATCGAAGTGTGAGCGGTGCAGTTGAAGCTTGACGCGTGGATTTCAATTAACGATCTGAACGCGTTTGCGACTTTGCTAGCGCGTTGCCAGATTACATCACTTTTTGCTCTCTTCAAAAAGAACTCTTCACAACGAACACACGAACAAGGACCACACAGCTTCTTGAGATCTCGCTCTACCTTCTCAGACGGCACAGTGACGCTAATTACGATGGGTGACGAAATGCAACCCAAGGCCGAAACGACAGCAATGGACAGTGAAGCTACGGGGACAGACCAGAAGAGCCAACTAGCTCAACTCATCAAGCTCGCGTCTGCCAACGAGGCGACGAAGGACTATGGCAAAGCCGTAGACCTCTATTCCCAGGCGGCCGAGCTTCAGGCCGAGATAAATGGCGACATGGCACCTGAGAACGCAGATATACTATATTCCTACGGGAAGTGTTTGTACCATGTTGGCGTGAGCAAGAGCGACGTGTTGGGCGCGAAGATGCCCCAGGCTACGACTGAGCCGGCCGGAGGATCGAGCAGCAAGACGGGGAAGACTTCTACAGAGGAAGAAGGGTTGTCTTCGAGCATTATCAAAGATGCGCTTGCTAAGCGAATGGAGGAGGGGGGTGAAGGTGAAGGACTGGGAGGACCGTCAGCTGGCCAGAGCAAGACTGGTGCAACACCTCTTTTCCAGTTTATCGGGGATGAGAACCTGGAGGCTTCGGATGACGAAGAGGACGACGACGAAGACGAAGGGGGTAAAGGTGGAGAGGAAGAGGAAGAAGATGACGACTTTGCGAATGCGTTTGAGATCCTGGATCTGAGTCGTGTGCTGTATGAACGGCAGCGGAGTGAACTGGAACAAGACAAGGAGAAGAACGAGGAGAAGCTACGACAGGTGAAGGAACGGCTGGCCGACACATACGACCTCCAGGCCGAGATATCACTAGAAGGCGAGAGATTCCCGGACGCAGCCACCGATCTTCAGTCGTCACTACGGATAAAGGAAGAGCTATATTCGCTAGAAGATCCTATCATTGCTGAGTGCTATTATAAACTGTCACTCGCCATGGAGTTCTCTTCGGTCATGAAGAAAGAAGGGGAAGAGGACGACCAAGCGAATGATGCAGAGCCGCAATACGACCCAGCTGCCCGAGAGCGAGCTGCAGGATACATGGAAATGGCGATCAAGAGCTGCAAGGGACGAATTGCAAAGGAAGAAGCCCGAATTGAGAGTATTGGTGCAGAAGATGCGGAGGCAGTGTCAAAGATAAAACGGAACATGGAGGACGTCAAGGAAATTGTATCAGACATGGAACAGCGGGTACGTTGAACACTTGTAAGAAAACATCCTCGTTACTGTCCGCTTGCTAACTTTCTTGCCAGCTCGTCGACCTTCGTCGGCCGCCGGTGTCTATCCCCAACGCGGAACGGACCAAGGAGGAGCAAGCAGCCGCCCAGTCGATCAAGCTGGAGGAACTCACCAAGGTCGCAAATGACCTGAGCGGACTCGTGAAGAAGAAGAAGCCAGCCCCAGCTCCAGCTTCATCAAGTGAGCCAGAGGGCAAAGGGAAGCGGCCGCTGGAGCCAGAGGAGGAGACGAACCCTAAGAAACTAAAGGGGGAGAGTTGATTCTCAACGTCCACAGATATGAAAGAGACCTGCTTGTATATTATTATGAAATGACAGACGAAGCCGGGTATTTACGACGAGCGTTGTTTCCGCCTACGCCTCCGCTTGGCCAGAGAGGGAGTCCATATACCAGAGAACAGATCCTCGCACTCGTCTTCGTCCTGGCTATCGAACTCGATCTCGTCGCCCTTGACCCCGTCCGTAGATGTAGTAGATGTTGTAGTAGAAGTAGATGAAGGCCGCTCCCAGGACGAGGACAGGCTGATCCGCTTGCTCTCGACGATGAACTTGCCCACCTTGTACTTCTGGCTCTCGTCCTCGGCCGCGATGTACTTCCAGCCCAGCACCGAGTGGCAGAAGCGACAGGCGATGTCGCTGACCGTGTGGGCGCCGGTGACGAGCTGCCGGGCGACGGCGCGGTGGGCGACTGTGTTTGCGAGCGCGCTGGCGGCCGGATGGGCAGCTTTGGGGTCAGCTACGAGATACGCTCGTCCGTGGCGGCCGGTGAAGCCCTTGCTGACGACCTGCGAGGTGAGGCAGATGGTGGCCGCGCAGTTGGCGCATCGCAGCGAGGACTCGTGGCTGGCTGGTCAGTATATCTATATCTTGTATCGATGGCGAGGACGTACTCTGCTTCAGTCTGCGGCAGGTAGTTCGGGAACTTCATCTCCTTCATCTTCTCTCTCTCTCTCTGTCTCTCTCGCTCTATCTCATGTTTATCTATCGTGAGGCTGGAGTGAGGCTATAAATAGTTATCTACTACATCTACACCTATCAACATCAACATCAACATCTACCTACACCATCTACATCTACATCTACCTATCAACTACAACTATGAACATCTACACTATACGGAGTACTATCAACATCTATCTATCTATAACTAATGTAACTAGAACGTAGATAATGTAGCGAGATTCAAAATACAACTGGCGTGAACCAGCCAATTACTAGCTGGGAGGCTGAACTGCGGGCAAAAGAACAGATTGTCCTCAAGCTAAAAGCAGCAACTCCCGCCTCATATATTAACCATCCCATCCCCAACTTCCAGCAACTCTTCCTCCATCCTCACACTCAGCCGTCTGCCCCAATTGACCACTAGCAACCATGCCGGGTGTTCGAAACCTCCTCCTCGCCCTCGCCGGCGCCTCGCTGGTCCCCGCCGTCTTCGCCGCTGACGACGCCGCCTCGGACGTCCACGCCCTCAAGACGGACACCTTCAAGGACTTCATCAAGGAACACGAGCTCGTCCTCGCCGAGTTCTACGCTCCATGGTGCGGCCACTGCAAGGCCCTCGCCCCGGAGTACGAGATCGCTGCCACCGAGCTCAAGGACAAGAAGATCCCCCTCGTCAAGGTAGACTGCACCGAGGAGGCAGACCTCTGCCAGGAGTACGGCGTCGAGGGATACCCTACCCTCAAGGTCTTCCGTGGCCTCGATACCGTCAAGCCATACAATGGTGCTCGCAAGGCCCCAGCGTGAGTCGAATCTACTCTCTTTTATATAGATGGCAGCTAACATGGACAGCCTCACTTCATACATGATCAAGCAGAGCCTCCCATCTGTCTCTGTGGTCACCCCCGATAACTTCGAGGAGGTCAAGGCCCTCGACAAGGTCGTCATCGTCGGCTTCATCGGCGAGAATGACAAGGCCTCCAACGAGACCTTCACCGCGCTCGCTGACTCCATGAGAGACGACTTCCTCTTCGCCGGCACCAGCAGCGCTGAGCTGGCCAAGGCCGAGGGCGTCACCATCCCCGGTGTTGTCCTCTACAAGGAATTCGATGACCGCAAGGATGTCTACGACGGCAAGATCGAGGCCGACGCTCTCAAGGCTTTCGTCAAGACCGCCAGCATCCCGCTCGTCGGTGCCGTTGGCCCAGAGACCTACTCTGACTACATGTCGGTATGTATCCCTAGCTGCTGCTTCAATGATGTTCAAGACGATGCTAACAGGCACAGGCTGGCATTCCCCTCGCATACATCTTCGCAGACACCACCGAGGAGCGTGAGAAGTTCTCCACCGAATTCAAGGACCTCGCCAAAAAGCTAAAGGGCAAGATCAACTTCGCTACCATCGACTCCAAGGCTTTCGGTGCCCATGCCGCAAACCTCAACCTTATCCCAGAGAAGTTCCCAGCCTTCGCCATCCAGGACACCGTCGGCAACAAGAAGTACCCATACGACCAGGAGAAGAAGATCACCCAAGATGAGATCACCAAGTTCGTCGAGGGCGTCATCTCCGGCGAGATCGAGCCCAGCATCAAGTCTGAGCCTATCCCAGAATCCAACGACGGCCCAGTTGCCACCATCGTCGCCCACACCTACAAGCAGATCGTCATCGACAACGAGAAGGACGTCCTCGTTGAGTTCTACGCCCCATGGTGCGGACACTGCAAGGCGTAAGTTGGCTCTTCTCCTCCCCCTCCCCCTGTTTCAGCCTCTTATACGTCACTAACACCGTCCGTGCAGTCTCGCCCCCAAGTACGAGCAGCTCGGTGCCCTCTACAAGGACAACAAGGACTTCGACTCCAAGGTGACCATCGCCAAGGTCGATGCCACCGCCAACGACATCCCAGACGAGATCCAGGGCTTCCCTACCATCAAGCTCTTCGCCGCCGGCGCCAAGGACAAGCCAATTGAGTACACTGGCTCCCGCAGCATCGAGGACCTCGCCAACTTCGTCCGTGACAACGGCAAGTTCAAGGTCGACGCCTACGACGAGAAGAAGATCAAGGAAGAGGGTGATGTCACCAACAAGGTCAAGGTTGACGCCGCTTCCGAGACCCCTGCTGAATCCAGCACCGAGACCGCCAAGGCCTCCGAGGAGACCGCTGAGGCCTCTGGTCACGAAGAATTGTGATTTATTCCTTCCTTTTCTTCGCTGGCTTTATGTAAACTTATGATACTACGTTTACTTGAGTTGTTACAACTGATCTGACTTAACTGCCCTTTGCAATGTTTTTTTGGTTAATGGGAAAGGGGGTGGAAAAGGAAAGGAAGAACAGCTTTTCTGCTTCCTTGCATCGATTGTTCTGCCAAATACCTTTATAATGAGATTTCTTTTACTGACCTGCACTACTTTACTACCTGCTATGCATGTTCTGCCTGCGTCCTGTCCAAACCATGCTCACTGCTGCACTAGATTAGATAGTCAAGCAGATTGTATTGAAAACATTTAACGATCCGAGATGGTCTTTGAGCTTTTTCCAGGCGGCTTACCACGATTTAATTCATGCATTAAGTAAAAGTAAAAGAAAAGCAGGATAAATATTGAAAATTGAACCAATCGTTTAAACTATATTAAGGCTATTTATATTCGTACAATAATCAATCAATGGTGATTATGCCGGCATTATGAGCTTGCCGGTTAGCTTCTGATTCGTTATTCGGGACCGTATTTGCATTCGACACAACATGCTGGTTGATGTTGTTACTTAATGAAGCCGGGATAGAATTATTCCCTTCCTCGCGTTTAACCTTGTCTGCGCCAGTAGCACCATTCGGTCGCATGAGTTGAGCAACATGTGTTTTAACAATGTTATCTAGCACCATGATTAGGTCGGCGGGATTTTCAGCTTCGGCCATTGCACCGTCTCCAAGCCCACGCCAGCCCTCCCCGTTGACGCGTAATATCTTATTTGTCAACTCGCTTTCTAGCGCCACCTGGTTCATTCTGACGCTGGGCATGGTGCCGTTTCGTAGAAGCCAGCTAATACGTTGTCGGCGCTGTTTCATCGTGAGATGAAATCGGTATTGGAGGGATGGGTATGTGATATGGTACATTTTCGCGGATCGGGCTGCTATCCTGACTACGGGGCGGGATCGATCGTTCGTTTCTGCTAGAATATTCTCGAGAGCTTCTAGGAGGGGCAGGGTGATGGTAAGCAACTCTAACGTAAAGCCCAGGCCAGCTGAGGGATCGTTGAGTATAGCTGTTAATGATTCCATGATGCGTCGATGAGGGTTCTTGCCGTTGAGGTCGAGAGACATGTGAAGTTGAGCTAGGGGCCGTTTGTTCCTGGCTTGCGGGGTGTCTTGTGAGGGTATGGGTGCTGGTGTATCAGTATATTGGAAGGATATAGACGCTCGTAGATTGTTGTTAGATGACGGGTATGTGAAGGCTAATTTGGAAGAAGATATCGAAGTTAAGGCGAACCCTTTGCGGTGGATGAATTCCAAGGCAAGAATAGTATTCGTAAGACGTTGTAACCAGGAAAATAGCTGCGTGATAATTGGCTCGCCAATGCGTGTGAGGAGGCGAATTGCGAACTTTTGAGATCGAGGTTTGAAGGCGAGGACGGGGTCGGAGGCTAAGCTGGCTATTCCAAGTTTCGAAACAGGGACCGCAAACATTCCGGTAGCTATTACTATAGCTTCACGGGTTCGATGGTTAACCCCTTGGTATGATAGGTAGATCGTGTCCCTCACAATAGCCCGCCCGCTCGACAAAGGGGAGATTACTCGTAGTTGGTCAGGAAGGTCAGATGCCTTGAAGCGAACACTTATCCTGGGGACCTGATTATCAACGCCTAATACCAGCTCATCTATCGGTGGGGAGTGACGGAGTCTAAGTTCCTTTAGACGGTTTGCGTTTGAATGCGCCACGACCATGCCAGATATAGCATTGGCGAACTTCGCGAAGGAAAGGTGTCGAAGCTTGTCGGGTAAGCTTCTGCATTGTCCTGTGATAGGGTGGGCCTGCCGTAGTCGTATGAGTCGACCATTGCTGGATGATTGAGGTTGAGATAACGCTGGTGCATCGCTCTCCAACTGAACCACCCACCAGTCATCCCTCTCCATACTGCTCGTAAAGGCGACGAGCCAGTCAGAGTCCCAGTCCCTATGCTGGAAGAGTGATATGTTTCGAATCTCATTCACGGGCAGCACTTTGCGTAGGGTAAACATGTCTAAGTTTCCAGGGCTTATTAACTTCCAACCCACGACCCGTCCGTGGCTTTCAGCCTCCTCCATTGCAGCTAGACATCTCAGTCGACATATGCGGTCGTAGGCGTCTATAGAAAGCCCTTTACTAGGGTCGGATTCGGTGTCGTGTCGGTTTAATGAGAGCGGAATAGTCTGTAAAGCCACTCCACCTCCTATCGGTTCGATTGCAACCCTCAGCGTTTTCCTGTGGGTGAGGTGAGCGTCAAGGTAGCAGTTTCCGGGCTCCGTTGCTGATTTGTTTAGCCCAAGGTGTAATCCCCCTTGGCCATACAGCTTGGCCATAGCAAGTTTGTTATACATTTCGAGGAACACGTCGCCGATATGTTGTGATATAATTCCTCGCAGTATTGACTCAACAGATATTATTTCGCAATCGAACTGTGTACTCTCGATGGAAACCTCTTTGTTATCTCGAATCCAACGAACGTATAAACGAGATATTTCTGGTTGACTAGCCCCGGCTCGACGCTGTGACTTGTTGAACCTAGCACCAATCTCAATCCAACTCTTTGGCCCAGGTCGATTAGCCCAGTACTGAATCACCAGTGTGCGGTGTAACAGCTCAATGCGTAGATTGTCTCCCCAGTAAGAACGAGTTAAAGCAACGGCCTGTCTAAAGCATGTCATGATCTTTTGGGTCAGAACTAGGTTGTGAAGGAGATCACAACATCCCACAATCCCTGATTTCATAAGAGTAGTGTTGATGGTGCGTTCTAGGCTATCACGAACTGGGCCCTTAGAAAGAACTGATGATGGAGTGAATATGAATCGGAGGTCAACAAAGAAGAACTGGGAGGCTTTTGTTTCCTGGGCTATTGAGAGGTCTAGTTCAATTTCATGCGGGATTGTGAAAGTGACCCTTCCATCATGGATGTGATATGTGGCGTATTCTGGAATGGGATCATGGGTTATGAGTCTGATGCTTATTAGTTTATTGATTTTCCGAAGTGTTTTCAAGGTATCTTTAGGAGATAATATTCCTGGAGGGAGGAATGCCAGCTAGTTAAACTGTTAGACATTTAGATCTGTATTAAAATTATGATAAAAAACTTACCGCGGGCAGTGCAGAAACAGCCCCAGTCGAAAGGGCTTCTAATGCTGTTTCTAGGTCAGGGTTTCCCATTTGCGCCTTAAAAAGATCGCGTTTTATATTCCCAGCGAGGAAGAGCGTGTGGTGATATAAATCATAGCGCTGGCGAATGAAAGACTGCAAATCAATTAATCTGCCAACTTCGACTGCCTGTCGGCCCCATTGTGATAGAACGAGGAGTTTGATAAATTCAGCCCTCTTTGCCTGAGAAAATTCGAGTATCTGGCTCTTTTTAGCAGCGGCCAGGGTAGACTGACTACCGCCGCCTGGTTGATTGGGATGGACATCCCCCAATTCGCTCAGAAGCTGCAGAAGATCGTTCCAGCACTGGACAACCACTCTGTTAATACCTTTAGCAAGTGGGAAGAAACCTTGTGTTATATGAGCTATTTCGGGTGGAGGGAGATCTAGGGACGCAGACACAACGGCTTGCTGAGACTTGATGCCATTCGTTCGACCATTCGCGTGGGAGTTGTTTTCGGCGTGGCCGTTATTATCAGAAATCGCAGTATCTCCGTTCATCGTCGCGGCGACGCCCCATCCTCCGTGGGCGCTTGGATCGTCCATGATGATGCCAGGCATTTCCCAGGGCTGCTTCTACCTGGCCTCCGACCAAGGACTATCGAAAATTATACCAAAGCGTTTCGATCACTGGCGGGCCCATTCACGTTGAAGCTGAGGGTATCGAGATCGAGCCACAGTTCTCAGAGACGAGGTGGCGCAACAAATATCATTAGATCGCAAGGTCTAGCGGGCACAACGGGGCTATCAATATCCATAATCGAGTCAGCAGGGCTTTTAGAAAGAATGCGAAAGAGGCAAATCGAAGATGGACACACTGACCTCGCATAAACCTCATCTCAGCCGCGGTCTGGTGAATCAAAGCTTAGAGGGGAGTGAGGCAGCCCCAGTGACGCCGTTTAGCCACAGGTCGCCGCGTAGAAGAGGGCAGGTCGAGGTGTTCAAGGCATGAATGGGCCTTATCAATGGCTGCAATGAAGCAAAACACAGCAAGAGCGAAGCGCATCAAAAGTCACGATAGAAAGACGTCATGTTATGTAAGCATGGCTGGACTCCCGGTCACGTGATGTGATGGCAAATTGTGCTGACTTTTGACAACTTTTGACAACGTCTTTGGTCGACAGCTCAACATCTTCCTGGCAACATTTCATATATATCAACACTGGTGTCTGGCTGTGAAGGTATTCCCCATACACCAAGTCACGTTGCATCTCTTTCTCTGGTTCTGCTGCTGATGGTCCCTCTTTGTCCAGCGTTTTAGATACCTTACTACTCCCTTGCACCCTCCCTGATCGTGTGATTGACTGTCCTGAGTTCCCAGCTGTGAAGTCGCCATCGCCGAGTGCATCTTTTGTCCTGGCTATTGCAGAGGTTCTCAGTCCTTCTTCGCTGGGCGGCTGGGGTGTCAGTTGTTGCTATATGTGATATCTTCATCTTGTAACCCGCTTGGGTGTTAGCAGGCCTGGAAAGAAAAGAAAAAAAAGACAGCCCAGTTTGATCATTGAACAAATTCTGCTCTCTCGCCACTCGGTTTCCTTATCTTCGTCTTCTGGAAGAGCGGCTTGACTTAGACGGCGTTCCGACCCTCCGTCGCTTTGATTCTTTGCCTCGATTATAGTTTTATCGATTCAAGCATAAAGTCGCCGTAACTTGATCATTATACTTCACTTCTCCAGCATTTCTCTCGCCATAACCATCTTCCCTCTTACTGTTCTCCTGCCTCCTGTACTGTGCGAGACACCGGCCGTCCTTGTCTGTGCCCCGCATCCACTCCCTCTCCCTCCTCTCCTATCGAAATCTTTGGCTCTTGGTCGAAAATAGGTGTTCCTTTGGCAAGAGTTTTATTGTTTGTTTACACATCGAGCTTGATCCCAATTTCAAAATCTAGACATTGTTCATATTTGCAGCCTTGTTCCTAGCCATCATGGCCTCCTCTGTCCATTTCAAGTTCAAGTCTCAGAAAGAACCCTCGAGGGTGACGTTTGACGGAACTGGTATATCAGTCTTCGAGCTGAAAAGGGAAATTATCACGCAAAACCGGTTGGGAGACGGTTCTGAATTCGAGCTTTCTATTTATAATGAGGATACGAATGAAGGTTAGTTAGTTCAGATCATGAAAATCGGGTTTATTTATCATATATTCTAACGGACATTGCTTTGATTATTTTAGAATATGACGATGATACGGCTATAATCCCTCGCTCGACCTCTGTTATTGCTCGTCGGTTCCCTGCAACACGACCTGGAAAGGGGGGTGCTGCTAGATATATGTCAGGCAAAATGCCTGTAACATCACGAAGTGTCCAACACGACGCGGAACCTTCTACACGTCAGGATTCCGGTGATGCCACCGTGGAAATTAGTAGTATACAGTCTGAAGACGAGAAACTCAAGGCCTTGTTTCGGCTGCAAGAGACGCAGTGGAAGGAGCAACAGAATGACATGACAAAGTGAGTCCTTGTTCTATAATACCCCTGGCAAGCTCGTATATTTTACTAACTACTCCGTCTCAGTATGACACCCGTAATGGGTCGAGGTCGAGGAAAGCCTGTCAGCGTTCCAGACCACCCCCCTCCACCGGGGTACCTCTGCTATCGCTGCGGCGAAAAGGGTAGGTTGCCCGCCTCTGTTTGGTTCTTTTATGTATTTGCAGAACGCTAATTGTATTAATAGGGCACTGGATTCAAGCCTGTCCAACTAATAATGATCCACGATTCGATGGTCGATATCGGGTGAAACGGTCGACAGGAATCCCCCGCTCGTTCCAGAAACAAGTAGAAAAGCCGGATTCGCCTGCTTTGGATGGTTCAGATGATAACTCAAAACTTACAGGGGTTATGGTTAATGCTGATGGGGATTTTGTTATTGCTCAACCAGATAAAGCTTCATGGGAGTTATATCAAGAAAAGGCAACTGCCTCCAAAGCAGCAGAGGCTGAAGCAGCCAATGCTGAGCGAAACAAACAATTGCAGAACCGGGCCCTTTTCTGCCCACTTGACAAAAGAATGTTGTTAGCGCCTACAAAGACACCGTGCTGCAAAAAGACCTATTGTAGTGATTGTATCACTAATGCCCTAATTGAGAGCGATTTTGTCTGTCCAAATTGTTCTGCCGAGGGTGTTTTGCTTGACAATCTCTCAGTTGACGAGGATGCTATTAAAAGGTTGACGGAATTTGAATCCGAGAAGGCACAGCAAGCGGAGGGAGCTGAAGTCAGTGCTTCTGAAAAGATAGATTCAGAGCCGGCTCGTAACAAGGAGCAGACGCCGCAGGACTCAGCCGCCTCAAAGAAACGACCAGCAACGGAAAACGGGACCACCCCAGATAATGATCAGCTCCAGGCTCCTGCCATGAAGAAGCAAAAATCGCGAGATAGCACCGGTGATACGCAAAGCAACGCTCAGCAAACCACCCCCCAAGGCAACTCTCAAAATAACGCTCAGAATACCACCCAAAACAATGCTCAAAACAACGTCCAAAACAACGCCCAAAATAACGCCCAGAATAATGCTCAAAGCAACCCTCAAAGTAATTCGCAGCAGAGTAACCCCCAGCAGCAGGCTCCTTTGAATCCGTTTCCGCAGATGCCCCCACAACCCATGATGGGCCCGTATGCGCAGATGAACCCATTCGCCGGACAAGATATGATGTCAATGCCTGGGTTTTACAATGGCGGTAATAACTGGAGCCAGGCCACACCAGATGCATATATGATGGCTGGAGCCGGTGGTCCCTTTATGGGCGGCCCGAACCAGCAGATGGCCCAGGTTAGATATGGGATGCCCAACCCTGGAATGAACTTCAACAATTTTAACCCCCAGATGATGAATCCGATGTCTCAACCCTTTCAACAACCATATGGAATGACCCCCTTTTCAAACCAACAGCGGAGTCACGCCAGCGAGCCGCTTGCGAACGAAGAAGACTCCCCATATTTCAGACAGCCGGTTAACCCGCACCGTCACCATGGAAGGCAGAAGAGAACCCGCCCCAGTGACTACCGGGAGCTGTAGGGATGGCCCTTCATCCTCTCTTCTGGGGCCCGTCTTCTCCAACGCGCTGTGTTTGTTTCCTCTGCCCGTCAAAACTTCAAACGTGTACAATAATGGGGCCATGATGTATATACAATGACTTTGAAGCCCCGTCCACTTAATTATAGCTATTCCTTATCATCGATCGTATTCTTGTAGTTGTATTCGTTTTGTAGTGTAGTGTAATGGTGAAGCTTGTACCTTGAGCGCGCCTAAACCCTTGTTGGTTAGCTAATTTTGCTGCATCAGAATATGTACCAAAACAAATCAAAGATTCGTCCAGGCTGTGTTGCAGGGCGAGATAGCCATTCTCGCACAACTTCAATCCCGATTTCCAGGCAGGTTTCTTGCCATCGGTCACTCGCTTCGCCGTTGCAATGTTTTCTTCACAGGGAGCTGGTTCTGTGACGGCCGCGTCTACTCGAACCCGGCGACGACAGAGGCCTAGATCGGAGGACGGTTTTCAACCTCCACGGGCGAAGAGACAACGGTCTGCAAAGCACACTGAAGCCAGCGGCGATTCAGTCCTTGACACGGCCGCATATGAGCAGGCGCATTCTTTGGCTATAGAGGCTGACCTTGAAGACGGCCCTTCACTTGCTGGCGGCGACACGTCCATCAACCTTCCCGTGCGCGGTCGTAAGGAGTCGGATAGGCAGACTTACGATTCGCATTCGACCCTCATAGTAAGCTCCCTGGCCGGTTTACCTGTTTTATGGACGTGTAATAGGACTGACGAATACTACGTAGCTGGATAATGGCTTCTACAGTGCTACTCGAGTCTCTGCTTTACCAGAGCCACTCCAGAAGTCTTCAGGTACGCTACCCATCCTCAAGTTACTACAAAATTTTACAACATATTAACAGTCAGACAATTATTCTAGCGCCATTCCGATGTGTTATTTCTCCAGAGCATGGGAACTCACTCATTCTTACCCATAAGCACGCATACGTTTGGGCCTATTCGTCAGGTTCCTCTTCCATAAACCCCAGCGATGTCTCCACATTCAACATACCTGAACCCTCCGCAAGACATATCGACCCCCTCCCGCTCGGCGCGTTTACGTCGAGCTCGTCAACAAGCGATGCGGGTATGGTGGTGGTAATCCCATCAACAGGGAAAATAACATTTTGGCAAACCATTTCGAACAGCGCTATTCTTGGGCTGATAAAGCAAAAATGCAACACCATCCATGGCTCCATACCAGGAATGATGTCTGGAGAATTTGCGACTGGCCTCCTTAACGCGGAGCCGTCTGGGTTTATCATCACCCTTTCCACCGGTCGTGTTGCTCACCTCACCATCATGGACGCCCATGGCAAAGCAAGCTTGAACATAAGATTCCTGGACTTGGCCAACCGCGCTGCAAGTGGTGGAATTTTTGGTGGACTGAAGAGTGTTTTGACTGGCGCTACTTGGAGAAGGAGTATTGCTGCTGCAAAGAGCGGCAAATCGACGCAGCGTGGTCAGCGGGAGGTCATTATCGCGACAACTTCGGGGTTAATCGAAGTCTGGGATATACACTGGAACAACGGTAGCAGCCTGAAGATACGCATGGACGCAATGCAGGAGATAAACAGAGCTCTCAATGAGTCGGACTTGGGTCCTGAAAATGGAGCGCTTGCCTCCATCCAAGTTCTGGACTTCGCGTTTAAAGATGCTGGCAAATCTTCGGGTGATATTGGACAGGATCTCTCACTCTGGGTGCTATTTTCGGTTACGGGACAAACTACCTCATACTTCGTTATCGACTTGGCCTTTCCAGAGAACCAGCCTGAGGCTAACCAGGTCGTCAAAGTGGATTACGACTGTTTAGATCAGACCTCAGCCGAATCTACCCCAAAGATATATGTCCCTAACCCGGGGCAAAACGCTTTTATTGTCTTCCAAAATGCAACTGCATTGGTATCACTAACGCCATATGAAACGCCCACCAGTGACGACGCTTTCGAATTCCAAGATCTAATTCGATTCCGGGAACGAGACAATTATGCAATTATCGGGTCCAGTCTCGATGACGGTGGTGATGAGCACCATCGACCCTGCTGTGTATTGGTTATTCAAAACTACGGACTCGTCCATCTCTCTAGCTTGCGCTTGAAACAGGAAGAAGGCCAGGAAGATCAATTGACCACCAAACTGCGGCTTGAGCAAATTGTCTTCTTTGAAAATATCAAAAACAACCCAGTCGATTTCTATCATTACAAGGAACTGGCCTCGAGATCTCATCTTGAAGAGGCAATACTAAATATCAGCGACGAAATTCTTCGGTCGAGCTCAAGATATATCTCCGCTACAGCCCCGTCACTTGAACACCAGATGACCCTGCATTCCAATGCTCTACAGGCTCTTGCAAAATATATCAAAACCCAGCAGATAGAACTCGGGTATTTTACTCGATGGCAGCTGCTCTGGAACGCAGAGAAAATGGCAGCGAGTAAGGCAATCTGGGTTCTTTACAACAGCCTCAAGAAGAGGTACCCCGAAAAAGACCTATATCTCGGTCATTTGATCGAAACCATGGGAGAAAGATTCAAGACTGTTACTAAAAATAAGGATGGGCAAGAGGATCCTATCAGAAACTGGTTCATTTATGACACCTGGCAGATGGAGCATATCATCCCATGGATAATGAATGGAATTCGAGTCGCCTACAACAAACCTCCGAGCGTGACACCGGACTTTATTGACAAAGTCTGGCAGGCAGGCGAGATCTCACTCGCCGCATTGGAATCTGCCTTCAGTTTCCGCCGAGAGAACGCACACCTGTACGGAATCGACGAGGCTTCGCTGTCAATGAAAACCCCGCGGTGTGCTGAACTCCCTGAATTTTGGACTTCGCTGGATGTTAACTACGACGAGACGGAGAACTTGCTAGACACAGAGCTCAACACGTGCATTCAGTGGATGCGACAGAGGTCACAAAACAGCAACCCAGAAGCCGAGGACACGCCCGCCAAAATTCTTGAGACCAATCTTCCAAGACAGTTTGAAGTCTTTTCACAAATTTACAAGGAACGACGACAATGGTGCGCAATGAACGAGGACCGTCAGATCCAAAATGACGGCAAATCCCTAGAGAAATCCCACCACGAGAGACGGAAGCATCAGCTATACAAAATGGCCGCGATTGGCCATCTGGAGGAGGCTGTAACTTTGGCTGAAAATTTCAATGATATGACGGCGCTCGTGGAGTTGATGGTTGAGGTTCACGACAAGATCGACCGGAAGCACCCTCAGAAAGCGACGGATCGAGCAGCCTCTGGCGCCCGCGAGGAGGCCTTGGATCAGTGGCGGTCTAGGATTGATACTTACTTTACGAGATATGGAGAGCCTTGGGCCGATGCATTCTTCACCAGACAAATCAGCTCTGGTCAACCCGCCCTGTTGCTAGTTATGCGAGAATACAAAAACGACGTTACCCGATTCCTCCGAAAACGCCCCGGATACGGAAAGCTGTCATGGATGAACGAGGTCCTGGGGGAGCGCAATTACGACAATGCAGCAAAGATCTTGACCGAGCTTGCAACACAGCACGAGACCAACCTGTGGAGCAAAAGGGTGGAGCTTGCACTGGCAAAGCTCTCTACTCTGGCCGCGAGGGAAACACAGACGGGGATGCAGGTGAACTTGAGTCGTTTTGAGGACGAGACGGAACTGGCAGCGATACAAGAGTCAGTGTATGACAACCTCCCTCACCTGAACGAAGCCATCGACGAAAGCGCGCGACTCCAAATTGCGAATGACCAATTCGCGAACGTCATCGTCCGCTCCAAGCCTGCTCTACGCGAGACCCTTCAACGTGGGCTAGCCAAGCTGGTGACGCGATGTCCGGTTCAGGGAGACGAACTGGCAGATCTGCTAACGCTCATGGACCCGATCCCTGTAACGGAATCGGAGGATAACGAGGTTGCCGGCCACGAGTTTAGCCTTGCTCTGCGGGCCCTGAACCTGGGCGGGTCCGTCAAGGGAGACAACCGTTACCGCGAGAACCTGGAGAAGATTGTATGGCGCCGATGCATGATCCGAGACAACTGGGAGCATATCAGCGCAACGGCGGGGAAGACAGACGAGGAGGTCGAGGACGAGATACGCTCCACTGCGCTATTCAAGACAATGGTGGACTATACTAATGGTGAGCCCCTTCAAACCACTCATAATGTATATCTAGCAGCCAGCTAATTATCGAACTGTTTGACAGGCCTTGGTCTCGACACCGAGTCAAACCACCTGCACCGGCCCGGCGACATCCTGGATAGCGTTGACGTGCCGCATAAACTCGTGGCTCGGCTGCTTCCCGAACAGCGTGCCCACCTCTCTACCGAGCTTGAGGGCGAGAACAGCCTATTAAAACGGTACATCGAGAAGGGAAAGCTTGAGCACTGGTTTGCATGGATTGTCGAACACGGTGTGTCAGAAGTAGAGCCGTGACCCCAACATACCCCCGTTTTCTCCTTTGTTTGCCCTGTCTACTCTTTCCCTTGCACGATATGTACTTCTACCAGCATGTTTGTTGTATTTAAGCAATGGTGGCCGCATAAAATAACAAGCCGGTGTTAATTGACTGTTTCTTCCGTTGTTGTCCATGTTTTGGTGTTTTGGTGTTTCTGCCAGTTCTGCCGGTCACCGCCACCGAATCCGGGGTAAAAGTGGGTTCCTGTTGGCAGCTAATGCGGCAGGCGGTCACGAGCCTTATTGCCGGGGCTTTTCGCCTAGTCCGACTACGAGACTATATATACAAGGGGAGGTCCCTCCAGGAGACTGACATCATCACCAACAGACACTACACCAACACTACACCAGACACTGCAACTGACACAATTACCTGATTTACCAGTGAGTAGCATTCCTCTATGTGTAAGCTCTAGCTAATTGCGGCTGTCTAGTGACTCGCTCCCACAAGATGAACGACAGAGACCACTCTGCTGTCGCCGACGACACCGCAGCCAGTCCCCCAGAGCACCTCCCTCGCTACTTTGCAAAGTCAGGACACGTCGACGCTGACCCCAAGAAGACGAAGAAGGACGGCGGCGGCAAAGGCAACTGGTAAGCGTCTCCCCCCTTCGCCCTCGTCCTCGTCCTCGTCCTCGTTCCCTTGCGGCGTTTCACCCCCTCATTCCGGAAACTCAAAGTCAGCCAGCTTGATGACTTGGGTCCCTGGCTCATATCATCATACGATCGATGTACTATCATACGATTGATGCTTACTTCTGTCTGTTCTACCAGGGGCCGCTCTGGAGACGAGGTACACGACTACGGATATACATTCACCAATACTCGCCGTCGGTCCAACAGCAGCACCCACGGCCTGGCCGACTTCAAGACCAAGTTCGAGACACATGAGCCCGAGCCTGTCTTTGAAGAAGAGACGCACGGAGACGAGACACAGTCGGACGGTGTCGTTGAGAACGGTACCAAGCTTGAGGGCACAGATTCCAGCTCCAACGGGGATGCTGTCGAGGCGAGAAAGCCATGATGAAGTCATGAGGGATCATACCACATGGGCTTACGCGTAATCTGCTACATCGTGCCCATATTTTTACATGATCGTACGTTTCGTACTGATGTCGGTCGGACGTTACATTCCCGGCCCTCAGTCATACTCTCTGTATCTTAGTACAATTGTCCTCTATTTCCCTAGTTAGCCTGTTCACGGTCTGTGGCCGGTTATACTGCCTGCCGCTTCCGTAATCATGAAGACCATGATAATGCATGTCCTTTTCCACTAGAATGCTTTCTGAATTCATTTATTGACGAGAACCTCGCTGTCAATGCCATGCGTATGCCAGGAACCGATCTAAACTCTATTCTCGTCGTTATCCTCGGGTACGGGTGACATCGTTAAGTAGCCAGTTGCTTTCAAAGAGAGTTATGTAGAGTTGTCCCCCCATTGTTCATTTCTATACCTATGCCCATTAAAATAAAAAAAGACCCCGGTTATGTTTTTTTGGTGATGTTGAAGCAGGGAGGTACCGTGTAATTGCACCAATCTCATAATATAATTTTACAAAATCAACGAACAATTAGAACGGAGGGATCGATAGGGGGTAGGAAGAGTTCTTGACGCGGAAAACGCTGATGAGGAAGCTGTACATGACCCAGGTCACGGCACTCCAGAGGATAATGGTTACTCGCTGCGACTGCGGATCCAGAATTCGAGGTGCTTTCATAGCGAGGGCTATCGTTCCGAGTGACAGAACACCATCTATCGCAGTCCGTTAGCAAGCGAACTACAGCGGGGTAAGAGGCTGAAGGTGAGATGTGCAAACTTACAGATTGCAGCTACAATCTGACTTTCTAGTCCATACTGGTTTTGAAATCCGCCAGAAAAGTAGCTGATGCCTCCTTTACCGTCTCCAGCAACGTATGGAACTTTGCGGATATGGTTGAACATATGTCCGGTGGTGAAGAGGAGAATCGCAAGAAGGCTGAGGGCAGTCCATAGGTTTCGGCTTCGCAAAATTGGCAGGATATATTTGGAAGAAATCGTTATAATAGATATAACAGCCAGTGCTCCTATCAGCATCCCAAAAATGCGGGTGTAGTTTACAGGTCGAACAAGGTCGGGCTTCGGGCCGTCAGGGAGGTTACGGCTAATCCACAGGTGCATATGTTCTGCAGTAACCGGGCTGGAAGTAATCTGTTAGTTCTATAACTATATATATGATATCTTCAAGGAAATCCCACTTACCCGGTAAAGTCATATCGAATCGGCTTGTCCTTGCCCTGTGAGCCTGGGCCCGTGGACGGGGGGAAGAGGAGCAAGATAGGAGCAGTTTGTAGTTGGAGCTTATTATAGTCAGTAACGGGGTATTATCCTAGCCAGAGGGCTCCTTATTTACCTGTTGAAATGTGCTTCTTCCATGGGCGAAGTCCAGTGTGCCGAGAATTAGTTTCGAGTCTCCCAGGTTGGCCTTGTTCCAGGTTCGAGTGAGAAACTCCCACTCGGGCTGAAACATCTTGCAAACATCACATCCAAAGCGCGAGTCCAGGGCCGTTAGGAGGAGGAGTGTGTGGTAGTTTCGAGGTTCGGCCGTGAGCTCACGATAGCTTGCATCGTCCAGCGTAACTGCGCCAGATGACCTTGAGGCAGCCTTGTATTTCAGGAATTTATCCCCATCCTTCGGCGAAGCAGCCAGGGCAATGCCAATTGGCCATATCGCGCACAGAAGTAGTGATATCAACCTCATCTTGGCTCGTTGCTCGGATGTTTGTCTCTACAAAGCGCTTGGTGACGAAACGGTGTCATCTTGGCCGACGATGAATTGAATGCTTATGTAAGCATTATCAACGCGACTTCAAAATATCTCGCCGCGATGCGCTTGGGAAATCCTTCTCATAACAACCTATGTTCACTTATTACTTGCTACGATTATTAAAGAGTATACATCTCGGATTGGTATCTGATATATATTAATTATAATTTTGGATAGGAAAGCTTGGAATATGGAAGTTGTAAGTCAATTCGCCGTATAAACAAAAATGAATGAAGCATACTGATTCAAGTGCTAGCACCCTTTTTCTGACCTCGAAGCAAAGTTCGAGAAGAGCCTGCATTGCACCAGCTTGCTTCTGGCTAGTGAAAGTGCTCGGTTGCCCAGAGTACAGTTATTGTTGTCCGAACATGACAAAGATACCATTAGCAGACAACTGCACCAGACAAAACAACAACTGGAAAATGTAGAGGCGGAGAACTTGCGGATACAGGAACAGTCAAATCTCGCACAGCAGAACATGGAGGAGCTACACAGATCACTCCAAGCTAAAATCAAAGTGATCGATAACCTGCAGGTTAGTTACAACTCAACTTAGAGAAAACTTGCACCGTTGTTTTTATCCCATTCACCCTGGATTTTAGCCTTGCTGACAGACTCATAGGCAGAGTTATCATCTCTTCAGTCGCTTTCTGCTGAAATGACCAAGCTCCAGGCTGAGAATGCAAATTTAACGCGAGAGGTCTCAAACATGAAACCCGAGCTTACTCGGCTCCGCTCACAAAATAGCTCTTACCAATCCGTTCTCTCCGAAAAGCTTTCCTTAGAGCGTCAGTTGAGCACCCTTGAAGTCGAACTTCGCGCTGAAAAGCGCATATCAGAAAAGGGACGGAAATCGAATGTCGCTGAGAAGGACGACACCAGCCTTGAGGGTGCCGACGTGACCGTTGAAAGCGAAACACAAATTGGCAAAGACTCAAAACAAGCTCCTCAACCAGATACAGGAAAGCCAGTTTCCGCAGCATCGAAAAAACAAGTCAAATCCAAGGACCAAAGTTCTGGCCTGTCTCCTGTCCGCCGCCAGAAGCCCAAAGCCTCAAAGGAAGCATCAGAGAACCCTCCCCGCCGACAGAATTTCGGAATGGACGCCGCGATAGGTACTCCCGGACCCAACCAAATGTCCAAGTTGCCAACAAAAATATCTGCAGCCCCTGGTGACAAATCGATCTTCTCTATTACTCCATTTCTCAACCGTCAGAGCAATGACTTCGAGACGCATTTCACATCTAGTGAAAGCGAAGACGATGGCCTCTCATTTGCAGAACCGGTGGCATCACGCACTAAAGTGAGTGGCTTGTCTATACGTGAGAATGGCGTCTCTAACACCATCCCTCGCAAGTCGATTGTCCAACCACAACAAAAGGCCGCCAAGCCCAGTATAGATACGAAATCTACAAACATTGCAGCTCCGCGTGTTGCAAAGCGTACTCAGAAACAGAAGGAAGCCAAGGAATTGTCATCAGACGATGAGGAACGCCAGGATCCTACCAAAAAACGACGTATAATTCGGACCATGTCTGAGAAGCCGCTTTTTGATGGGAATCCTGGGGTCATGCGCACTCTGTCAAAGCAAAAGCCGCTTTTAAAAGACCAGAGCGGTATTTTGGCAGATGCAGACGGGAAACATTTTGAAAATGATCGTCGCAACCGCCGACTTGGCTCGAATCGAGCCTTGGATATTCCTTTGTTTTCTCCCTTAAAACGTAACATGAGGGGCTAGCTAGATGGATCATTATTCAATTTTCAATACAATTTTCCATATACTTACAAATCCGTGCGTGATTCCCTCCCCCGGCTTTGTTTTAGCCTGGGGGGTTGAGCATTTAATATTCAACTTTCATACCAATGCTCTGATACCATCATTTGATGAACGCGAACATGTCAGGTCACGTGGTGGTCCATTACATAAGCATACAGCTTGTTCAACTTGGAGCATGCGATCAAATTCAAGAGCATCAAAGATTCAATGATATAGCTTTCGACGCTCAGCGATTCCTTGTGAGATATATTACTGCGCGAATCCGACTTTGTAAGGGCAGATGACTCTGACAGTCCAGGCCCTTGAGTCAGCTACCTACAAAAATGGCGTTGTTCTAGCTTTCCGTCACCTGTATCGCACCTCGTTGAAGTCCATCAAGTACTCAAGCCCTTCGCGCCACGTTATACGCTGGATTCTACGATCATCGTTCAGGAAAGGTTCCGATATAGATTTTGAACCGCATCGAATCGTTAATACTCTACATTTCCTCGAGAACGCAGCTCACCCTGGAAACCTTGAGCGCAAGATTCTAAAGACATTGACGATGGTTCGATATTGGCAACAGCCGCACATCGCATGCAACTCACCAGCGTATGTCTCCATAATCCCACATTCTACTTCTCCATAACTAACGGGCGACTCTTAGGATGCATGGAAAAATCCCCAGACCCCAGGCGATCGCTGCGAAACAATTTAACAGGACTCTACACTTGCTAAACGAAAGTATGGAGCTGTGTCTTAAATGAACCAGCTTGCATATTCGACCGACCCTATCACCTTACGCCGACTCCGACCAGGAAACCAAAACTCCAAAGCCAGCTCCCCTATCTTTGAGAAGCTAGACAAAGGCACCACCCCTGGTGGTTGGACTCTCCATGCTGCAGGGTCACCACTAGCAACACCATCAGGACAAAGACGTCAATGGCTTTTGATGGGAATCTACGGCGATGCTCTCGTGATCAATGCCTAGATATAATGCACCTTGACATCTATCTACTCGCATCGGTATATCCCTTGGCCAATAAAACACAGAAACCGTCATGTATTGTAAATACGTCATCAGAAAACCTTCCAGAAGCACTTTATCACATGATCCTTCCCGATTCTGCAATTTTGGCTTGTGCCTCGCCGCCCGAACTTTACTTTTAATCGTCCATATCTCTACAAAGTGGTTTAACTTGTAGAATGCAATAAATGCTGGATTATTGCTACCAGGGCTTTCACAGATCACCATACAGGTCAGCTAATAAGTTATCTTGTCTTCTGTTAGCGAATCTCACCGCACCGTTTGGCTATCCTGCTGTTATCAGCCCCAGAAAACACCCGGGAAGGCGCGGGGGGTTTTGAGAGTGTAAGTGTGGATGTACGGTTATAGGTTAGCATGAGAAGACAGTGACAATAGAAGAATGCAGGCTTTGAGACTAACCTAACTACGTACGAGTAGACTTAACGACCGACCGTCCCCTCAGCACTTGATCCTCTCAGCGTCGAAATCTTGGGCTAGGCAAGACCGCTCGATTTGACCGTTTATTTCAGCCGCGTTGAATGAGTATGTTGATAGAATTGAACTGTGGAGCGAAATAAAATAGAAATGTGGAGTTAGTGTTGGTCGTTCTGTAGAATGGACTTCGGATTCGATTCTGCTGAGAGGCAACCAGGAAGCGAAGACAACGAAAGCAGTTTGCAGGCCCATACGGACCACTATGAATGGGAGCAGAAAGTTATCAAATCTCTTCCCGAGGATGATGGCATGGCAGAGATGCGAAGGCGGATCCAGGCCATACGGAAATTGGATATCTCAAGCCAGGAGAAGGCCCGGTTAATGCATAATATCATGAACGAACGATATTATTCCTCGATACAATGCTCGTCGCCTCCCCCCATCCCACAAGAACATGATATACCACGCACACCCGATTCCTCAAGGAGCAAACGGTTGTTAAACTACCTTTCTCCTACTTCAACGGCTGCTGAGACTGTTACTGGTAGCCCATACTACCTATCCCCGGAAGACCTAGGCCGAACATACTTTTGCAAGCCTGTTGAAGATTATCAGCAGGATGAAGACCCGTTCATGGACACTCCTGGAGATACATCAAAGGCCGATGAACCAGTAGAGTTAGGCTGTGCTCACTACAAAAGGAACGTCAAGATCCAATGTTTTACGTGTAAAAAATGGTACCCTTGCCGATTCTGTCATAACGAAGCCGAGCTTCACACCCTTGATCGAAAAAAGACGGAAAACATGCTCTGCATGTTATGCCATTCCCCCCAACCAGCAAGCCAGTGGTGCAACTCCTGTGGGGCCCAGGCAGCCTTTTATTACTGCTCGATATGCAAACTCTGGGATAACGATTCAGAGAAAAGTATATACCACTGCAATGACTGTGGAATTTGCCGTCTTGGTCAGGGAATTGGGAAGGACTTTTTTCATTGCCAGGTAAATGTCACCCCATCTTATAAATTTGCACATATACTAATTTTAATAGACATGCTCCGCATGTATGCCCATTGCTATTCAAAATACCCATAGATGTATTGAGCGCTCAACAAAATGCGATTGCCCAATTTGTGGGGAATTCATGTTCACCTCCCCTGACAAAGTTATATTCATGCGATGTGGCCACAGCATACATGAAAAATGTTTTTCTGAGCATTCCCGCAGTTCATATCGCTGCCCTATATGTAGCAAAAGTGTCACAAACATGGAGGCCAACTTTAGAAATCTCGACCGTACTATAATGAGCCAGCCAATGCCCCCTGAGCTTAAAGATACCAATGCCCTTATATACTGCAACGATTGCCGTGCTAAGAGCGTTGTGTCATATCACTGGTTAGGCCTAAAGTGTGAAGTGTATGTCTGAAATTATCCTAATTCATATGAAAGCCTGCTAACCAGAGCTAGGTGTGAGTCGTATAACACTATTCAGAGGCAATTGCTGAATGGCGGTTCGGACCTAGCAATTTCCACCGAGAGAAGACAGAATCTCGATACCGATAGCAACCGCGGACTAGCAGTCCCAATTCCTGGGGTTTCCAACGATCAGAACATACACCGCCTAGGGGCAAGAAATTCTGTTGTTGAACCACCGGGGTCTGTCCGTCTTAACAACGAGACTCCGATAGACGCGCGAGGCGCACAAGCCCGTAGCCTTCCCCATTCTTCCATTCTCCATGATTCAAGAGCACATCAGAGATCTCCGGTGGTGACAAACTACTTTGGACTAAGCCGTAAAGACGATGAACCAGATACTTCGACTTCGCGACACAACGGGCCTGGACGGCTGGCGAGAGGGAGCTTTAGTGGTTTCAATTTCTGGAGTGGCGTAAGTATCAAAGAAAGGCTTGGGCTAATTGGGAGCAGTGATGGTGGGACCGAGCATGCCAGTGATGGAGGCTCAGAACGCGAGGAAGAAACTGACGATGAGGATGAGGATGATGATGATGATGAAGATGAGGAAAGCCCCGACGGTATCGATATTTTTGGTCATCGGTAGAGAGGCTAAGGCGTTAGTCAGCAGCATCATTAGTTTACAGTATATTTAGGAACAAATTTACGAATCATGAACGTAACCCTGCTTTACATGTATCTCGTCGACAAGGTAGTAAATTATTCCGACGCCTTTCTAGTAAGGGGCAGCAAGTCATAATCAATCCGCTAAGCAATAGATATACGTATTTCCACGAAATTACCTGCGCTTACTACTCCAGGCGCAGCAAGGATTAGGAAGTGTACATGGCTACTCGCTCGAGTTGCCAGCCTGTAATCAAAATCCTGCCACCCGCTTTTTTCTCTTCTCTTTGAAAGGGGGTTTTCTCTTCCCAAATATACCCTGTTCAACCTGTGTCATGGTAAAGGCACTTTCAGTGACTTGGCTACTCCCTATGCTGGGGTTTATGGTACTTATTTCTGGCTGGCTTCCCCATGGCCTAGCTATTGGAACATCTGCTGAGGTGCTTCGTTGGGATTGCCCAGCTGAGGATAGAGGTCTCTTTTCTTTCCGTTTACGCCGTTTTGTGATGCTCTCACTTTCAGACTGAACGTTACTTTGTGAGGAAACCATGGCTTGCCAGTCATATAGGTTAGGGTCGCTCCCACTAGTCCAATGTGACGCCGTGGCCATAGTCTTTCGCGAAATTGGTTTTTGGCGATTAATGGTAGTAAAGCGCCGAAGGCAGTCCAGTGTCGCTCCAGGCAGAGCCTCAAGTTGACTGCCAGTCGAGCTCTCTGCTCGCATGGGCGATGATGGGATATCACTTTGAGCCCATCGGCTTAGTTGCTCTTTAAATTCCGAAACAGTGTGGGATTCCGCTTTCGTTGGAGAGTTGGTCTCGAGCTGCTCATCACGGGTTTCGTCGATTTTGGAGCGAAGTATTGCGATGCTTGCCAGGCACAGCTCCGAGATTATTGACCTGATGATCTTTTCCTTTGAAGCTCGAAGTCGGTTTGAAATTCCGTCCGGTAAAGGGCCCAACCAGTCACAAATCATTGTGTCGTAAAGTTCCATCAAGGAAATATTCTTCCTTACCCCTGGATGTATCATAGAAAAATCCGAGGAAGGCGAGCAGGGCAAAGATAGCATACTTATCTGAAATTCGGGTAATAGAACATCCCCTGAATCTGCAAATATCTGGATAAAACGGTCAAACTCCTGTGCCATGTTCTCTACCTCGTCTATCAAAAATGACGGCTTAATGGCCTCAGCCCTGCAAAGAGAGAGTCAGCGGGAGGTATCCAATGTAGCGGAATGATTACTAACATTAAACGAGACGTTGAACAAGGGGCCTGAGACTGCAGTAGGGTGGAAAGTTGACCAGGTAGAGCTTTTAGCCAATCGCCAAAAGGAATTGCATTGTCAAAATCCTCAGGATTCACCATTATCTCAGTTTCCGAGGGAGAAGTAGCTAGATGGTATTGGAGCTGCCATTGCTCCCTAGCATCATACGTAGTGATAGAGGATCCAAAGGTACCTTGATGTTGAGTTAAATGGCGTGGTCGGCGAACGGGCACTAAGAGCGATTTATCTCCATCCTCTACTATAAAATCAGAGTCGTCGATAAGTCTTGCGTGGTCTTTGGCGAGTTTTTTCTTTCGCCCATGCGGCGTAGGTATGTGGGCTTCTAATGTATCTTTCTGGAGCGTTGTTGCTAGGTATTTGCATTCAACCAACCTTCCATCGGCCAATTGTCCCATAAATGCAACTGGCTTAGGGACATCGACTTCGCTATTGTCTTCATTCGATAAAGGGGAGAGGCTTATTTCTTTGAAGACGATGCTTGAAAAATTAACTGTAGTATCTGATATCCTCGTTCCAGGTATGGACTGTTCATTGACAGCACCAGGTAAAGGGATAACCTTAGCATCGGAGATGGACACCGGATGGGAGGGTTCATCAGGAGATGAGAAAGTCTGAAAAGTCATCGCAAGTAGGTTTAGACGAGAATATAATACGATAAAGAAATCTAGGATATCAATCATGATAAGCTAAAAATCAAGCATGGGAAGTTTAAAGGAGCACTTACTATCGTTGACCGATATAGATGTCAGTTTAAGACTTATATCCTCAGGATCTCGAAAGTGTCTCCATGAAAGAAGAATGTTTGCCATACGAAATTCGTCCCTTTGGCTAAGGCGAGAGTCTTCGGGCGGCGATATATTTAGCCAAAATATCCTTGAGGTCGTCAACACGAATATGTGAGAAGGCGTTTTCTGGCTACGCAGAACGTCAAGTATCCACTCCGAAGAAAGCTCAAGACCAAGGTCAAATGCCTCCTGCTTAGGCGGGCGTACATCTATACGGCAAATAGATATATTTCGCCTGTCACACACTAACAGTTGGTGGATGGTTCCGACCCATGATATTGCACCCCAACCGTCAAAGTGATCGATATGCTCAAGACTTCCCTCTAACTCCGAAAGTCGTAGAGAGCCACTTGGCCCACGCTCTGCAAACCAACCAGCTTTCCGCTGTTGTCTGTGTTGTAAATCCCAGACGCTCCAGTTCCCTACACGATCAATTAGGGCAACCTGTCGCTGGTACCAAGGGTTAAACGTAACAGAGGCGTGGGTATGGCCACCAGTCAATTGACATGATATATTAACAAGTGGGTTCGGATCAATCTTAGCTAGTAGGTACTGCTCAGCATATTTGTCCTTGTCATTTAAAATCACTGGAACTGGGATTCGGTGGTAAATCGGGCTGAAAATAGTGGTGGAGAAGGAAAGCCTGGCTGCAAAATTCTTGCGCTGTTCATTCATAGCCTCTGAGGAAGATACTTGCTGCACAGGGCCACCTGGGACGGTCCATACTATAGACTGGTCATCGTCAAGGGTGGTTTCAGCGCCCGAAGCCAAGGAAGCCCGGTCGAAATCGTATGGACATAGGGTGAGAGAAGAGCTGGAATTTCCAGACAAGCTGACCATTACCGGCATTGTTTGGTCAGCTATACGATCATCTATCATACGTGCAACATCTCCAAACGCTAGACATCCGTGACCACTCGGCTCAAAGCGAGTCGCGGCAGAAGTAATGGCTCGTGAGGTTGCCTCCTCGAGGACCATGTTTGATAAGCCATGGGTCAACTCTGGATGCAGGTTTAACAAAACCTTCTCCGCTCCTTTTGTCGCAGATTCGCTATTCCTAGGCTCTTGAGAGAGGTTTGGATTTATGCCATGCGATAATATATTTGCGTCGCTCGCGAGCTTGAAGATGAGGCCTTGGCTTATATATTAGATATTATTTTTAGTGAAAAAGACTTGTCTGGGATTATACCTTCATTGTGTGCGCGCGAAAATTTCCATTCTTGCAGCTCCTCGACATAGGTAGCTTTCCCCAGGTGGCCGAGTGATACTTCATTTTTTAGATGATCATCCATCTGGTTCTGCAGTCGCCTTAGATGTAAAAAGCGAGATTTTGAGACAATATAAAGGCATATCTAGTAATGTCACTGGCGCACACAAAACCTCAGGAGTAAGACATTAACTAGAGGCGTCTGGTATACCACATATAAACCTCGATGTGCATGCTGCGAAGCATGTAGAATGAAGCTATTTCGTTTCTCTTCAAAAAAGATATAAAACTATACGGATTTACAAATGGCCGATATCCGATAAGACCGATAAGAACTAGTCCGCTTTCGGGCAGATAATGTTTACTTACCTTGTGCACCACGAGCAGTTCATATCAACAAACGCGAACACCCGGAAGACTCCTGTTCTTCAATCGGAACCTACCTGTCTGAAAGATTGTATTTTAATAAGCGGCTATAATTCAATATGGCAGCCTTCGATCCTTATTCCTCAACGGCGCGACCGCCACTTGCAACCGCTGATGCGCCCTCCATGGCTGACCAGCTCCCCAATATCAACTTTCGATTCGAGGACCTACGCTCTAGAATGACCCAGTTTTCCCAAAAGTTTGACTCGTTTATTGAAAGAGGAAGAAAGCAAGTGCTAGAAGAAAGAAACCAGTTTTATATCGATCTTGCTGAACTTCAAGGTTTGCGCTCATGTCTGCACTATACATATATGCGGTTTTGTCCTAACAGGGTTTGCTTATATAGAGGACCAGCGGATGAAGGAAAAGGATATTGAAATACTCAATTTGAAATTACAGACGCATGGGCAAACTCTCCAAAAAGAGAGCGCCGAAGCTGCTGAGATTCATGATGCCATATCGCGAATCAGCCAACAGCGCGACGCTAGGTCGGCCATTCGCGATCGACTCCAGCAACAGATCAACGAAACTCAGCGAAGCATAAGCCAAAGGTTGGAAGCGCAAAAAGCTCACGCCATGCAACTCGAATCACAGTCACGTCAGAATGTACCTGAGTTAGAATTCTGGCAAGATCTACTCTGTTTACGAATTGAAGGAGCCGGGAGAGAGGACCGGTTAAAGATTATTTATACACATCTCTTGGAGAAGGATTGGGATAGGGAAGCCTGGTTTGAGCTCGGAACTGCTGGTCATGAATACGAGGTTCTACACTGCCGCCCTAAACTTGAAAAATCCGCCATCGCCGAAGTAGTGGAAATTGTGAACGATGATAGAGACTTTGGTGCCTTTCTGAAAAGAATGCGGAAGCTCTTCGTTGCTGCTTTAAATTGATGACATTTATATGGGCCCACTCGTTTATATTACATTTTTAAGCGCAACCTTGCAAAAAATACTAGGTCTTGGGGTTTATGCATCATGATCGTTTCATGTTTATATCGAGGCAGTTACTTTCTCTGGCTCTATATCAGTACACGAATGCACGGGTCACTCGTTAAAAGCGCATTGATAACCAAATCGTTAGCCGCTGTTAGCTTCACGATATAGCGTTATGCTCTGGTTAGCTCCTGCTGCAGCAAACCGTTCTGCCTTGCCTACTTTTGGTAACCATTTGACACTCCAAATGGCCCGATCAGATTCAGACAACGTCGCAACACAAGCCTTCCTCTCAATAGACCACACTTTCACTTTGCCATCGAAAGATCTAGCTCAAAATATCAGTAAACTCGAACGTCTAACCCCCCCAAGAAACAAAAAAGCCCACTTACCCGCTTAAAAGATATTCGCCAGTCTCACTCCAGTCAAGAGACATGACCCAAGCAGAATGGCCAGCCAAGGTCGCAAACTGTTCTCCGGAGGTTGTTTCGTAAAGCATTATCATTGTAGAATCCCCAGCCGCGGCCAGTAGTTTCCCTCCAGGAGAAAATGCCACTGCCCTGACAGGCGCAGCAAGTCCTGCAATAGTTAGCTATGTTGGCCCTGAGTACGAGGTTTTCTGTAAATTACCCGAAAGAGAAAATGGCATTCTTCCCGCCGCAAGTTCGAAGACATAAACGCTCCCGCTTTGATGACCAGATGCAATCAAGCGTCCGTCAGATGACTTCAACGGAAGTTAGCAAGACATCCCTTTGAGAACATGGGGCGATTTGCATTACCATGTCAATACACATGCCAAAACTTCCTCTTGTCTCAAAGTTCCATACTTCTTCCAGGTTATTTTGAAGATCCCAGACTTTGATGCGGCCATCGTGGGTAGTACCAGCGAGATGACGCCCATCTGAAGACAAGGCAACAGCCCATATATCTTTTATTTTATCATTATCTGCGTAAAATTAGCCTGTGTCCTGCGTCGGTTGGCAGCGTCATGTCTGAGAAGGTCTCCTACCTTTGAAGTCCTCGCTCCACATTCCATCTGCGTGACGCCATAGCTTCACTTCTCCTCCGAAGCCAACACTGGCAGCTAAACATCCGTTTCCACTTGCGGTTGCCAGGTGATGGCAGCCAATCTTATGGGCGCCTGAGAGGGATTGAGCTATGCCAAATCCCTCTTCGTTGGTTGAATGTACCTTTAGCGAGGAAGCTCCGGAAGCAGATAATATCTGGGTAGGAGACACGGCGAGAGAAAATATCTCCGAGATATGAGCTGGAATATGTTAGAGATTGCGTGTCTCTCTTCACTCAAAGATTTATGCAGCTGGAAATACCGTTCTCTATTGTATGTAGGCCCAGGATTTGTTTTGACTGCATCAGACTGTTAGTATTACGTAGAGTATGTACCCAGAGCCCGCTTACCATCTTTCTTAATATTGTCTAGTTCGTAGCACGTAGCTTTCTGTAGGATTCCCTAAATGAAAGGTTTGGTGAAGGTGGTATATCTCGAGTTTGTGAGAAGGGTATCTACTTGAATGTATAAAGAAGTTCTTAGAGCGAGGTTGACAAGACACAACTCCACATTTTATTTCATAAAACCATCCGTCGAAGCTGCAATGCATAAATTACACGACTTTGAAATATACTACAGGTTAACTGAGCCTCGCCGTACAAAATCTGTAGAGTATCAAGTGAGGACTGGAATCCCTCCACGGAGAAGAAACAAGCAAACAACGGAGTGTATAGTTGCAAATATATGGTACAAAATAGCCAAACGCCCGCTTTTCTTATGGTAAAGCCTGCCCGCAAACGGTGCACCCCATGACTCTGATAAGAAATAAATTATAATCGATCGGATAGAAGAGGTTTATATGTCGCGTGCAGGGCTCTCGGAGCTCCATTGCTTTTTGACGTCTATTGATCAATTAGCATCGACATCCCAGGAAAATATATATATATAAAGAGGCTATAGAAACGTACCAGAAACACAGTCTGGGCAAAGCAGATGTGCCCGCTTGGTCTTGCCGCAAGCCGGACACGAGTTGAGACTGATGTTGTCCTTCAACGCCTTTCCAGCCATCTGTCTGTGTCGTTTCTTCATGTGCGAGGTCTTCTTCTTTGGCACGGCACGCAGGATCGACTCCCAGATGTCCGACAGCAGAGACGGGAGCGCGGCTGCTATTGTGAGTCGGACGGGAGCGTATTTCGAGGCGAGGGTAGAGGATATGCTGGCGACGGTGCCGGTCCTGGAGGTGGACAGGAGGCCGAGTGTCCTGAACGCGGGAGAGAACCCCATCGAGGGGCCGGCGAACCTGATAGCTGCCATCCTATCTGATCGTTGGCTGTGGTATATGTCGACGGTATATGGCGGTTGATAATCGTCTTGAGAGCAGAAAATGAAGCCAGTTTTGATTGGTGAATGCAACCAACCTGGCGCTAGGCCCGAACAGGCATAGGGGGTGAAGTTGCCCCTGATCCATCGAAGAAACGGCGAGACAGCAAAATAATAAACTGCTAGCTCGCGCGCAACGATCTCCCGCAGTCTGAATAAAGGGGTGCTATCTCACACAAGCCTTCCTTTCCATTTAAATCCTCCGCAGCTACAACCAGAGCTAGATTCTCCCAATCGCCCGTCTCCACCGTTCTTCGTCCTCCTGTCCATCGTCACCCTTCGACTGAGACCCAAGAGCCTCACTGACAGCAACAATGGCAGCCGCTGCTACTCCCACCGACGCCGTCTTCCCCCGGAGCCATGTTGGTTTCGACAGCATCACCTCGCAGATCGAGAAGAAGCTGTTGAAGCGTGGGTTCCAGTTCAACGTCATCTGCGTTGGTAGGTTAAGCATTGATACAATCACCGCTTCACCCCTGCTCCTGGGGATATCGAGCTAACATCTACGCTTTGTCTCATAAAAGGCCAGACTGGTTTGGGAAAGTCGACCTTGATCAACACCATCTTCGCCTCTCACCTCATCGACTCCAAGGGTCGCTTAACGCCAGATGAGCCCGTCCGTTCGACCACCGAGATCCAAACTGCGTCGCACAGTATGTTGTCTGTCCATGTCACCCCCTGGAACCGTAACTGATCAATTCTTTGATAGTCATCGAGGAGAACGGCGTACGTCTGAGACTGAACATCGTCGACACCCCTGGATACGGAGACCAAGTCAACAATGACAGATGGTGCGTCAATGATATTCCCCCCTATACCCCGGGTTGTTGTGGTGGGACTAATTTCGTTCTCGATACTCTAGCTGGGACCCCATCGTCAAGTACATCAAAGACCAACACTCGGCCTACCTGCGCAAGGAGCTTACCGCTCAGCGTGAGCGATATATTCAGGACACACGAATCCACTGCTGTCTCTTCTTTATCCAGCCATCCGGCCATGCGTACGTCAAGACACCCTTTGAATCTATACATGAATGCATTATTAATCACCAAACTATAGGCTAAAACCAATCGATATTGTCGTTCTCAAGAAGCTGTCCGATGTCGTCAACGTTGTGCCAGTTATTGCCAAGTCTGACTCCCTGACCCTGGAAGAGCGTCTCGCTTTCAAGGAGAGAATCAAGGAGGAATTTACCTTCCACAACCTCAAGATGTACCCCTATGACAATGACGAGCTCGACGATGAAGAGCGTGCTGTCAATGCGCAAATCAAGGTAATTTCCTTCCTCTGGTAACGATTGCAGCCCAAACTAACATATCCTTTCAGGACATCATCCCATTTGCCGTTGTTGGTAGTGAAAAGTCCATTATTGTTGGCGGAAAGCAAGTTCGAGGCCGTCAGAACCGCTGGGGTGTGATAAACGTCGAGGATGAGAACCACTGCGAATTCGTCTATCTCCGCAACTTCCTCACCCGCACTCATCTCCAGGACTTGATCGAAACCACCAGCCAGATACACTACGAGACTTTCCGCGCCAAGCAGCTCCTTGCCCTGAAGGAAAGTAGCGCAACAGGCCACTCTGGAAGTCGCCCAATCAGCCCTGCTGCTGACCGGGAATTGAGCCGTAACTCCCAAAGAATGACCATGAACGGCAACTAGGTTTTTGCCATATCAACGCTCCCCTTCTAAGGGTTTCAGGTGAACGTGGAACATGATACCCAACAACTTAATCTTCTACGGGCCAGAGTTAGGGGGTTCAATAGCCCCTGACATCAACGTTTATGTCCGTTTCTTTATTATTCGTTATTCCGTATTCCATTTGACATTACTTTTTAATATTGTTACGTGCGTTCCATTAGCCAGTTGCGGAAGACTTTAAGAGCACTGTAGTCAATGCGATAAATCTTTTATAGAAGATACTCCCTGCCTCAAATCTCATAGGTTGTGTATATTCCGCATGTCTATAATGTTAATTTAGGCTTATATATGGGCATCACTACCCCTTCGAATGGTAAATCGGGAATGCTAGAGCATGGTTACTGCGAGCCGAATTTCCCGCCGTCTGCAACCCACTCCCTTAGCTCGAGATATGCTGCATCGAGCTCGTCGTTAACAACGATCTTGTCATGCGCGCCAGGTTCCTTTGCGTACTCCAGCTCAACCTTAGCTTGGGCAAGTCGCTTTTGTAAGCTTTCCTCAGTCTCGGTACCGCGTCCACGTAGACGGCTTTCCAGTTCTTCGAGGGAAGGTGGAGAAAGGAAGAGGAATCGGGCATTGAGGTCGGTGCGCTTCACTTGTTTCACGCCCTATTCGGAAAATTCGAATATGGTTAGTTATAAAATCAACGTATGACTTAAGTTGTGTTCAGCGTGATTTACCTCCATCTCAATATCCAGCACGCATATCCTTCCTTGGTCTGCAACATGCTTTACAGCCGCGATACTGGTTCCATAATGGTTGCCGCCGAATTGGGCATGTTCAATGAACCCTCCCTCGTCAACGAGCTTCAAGAATGCTTCCTTGGTGGTAAAGTTGTATTCTCGACCATCTTGTTCTCCTGGTCGTGGGCCACGAGTCGTGTCTGTATATAGCGGGGAAATATCGTATTAGTTTTGAGTAATTCATAGCAGCTCGTTGTCATATCGTATAGCGTGTAGGACTGATTGATGGTCATTTGGGGGGGCACTGACGAGACACTGAAAAGCCGAATTTATCTGGGTATTCGGCGAAGAGCCGCTTAAGCAGGGTTGACTTCCCTGTGCCAGATGGCCCTGATATCACGACGGGCCGCAGGCTCTGAGCTGATGCAATACCGCGCCGTTAGCATCATAGACCACGCCTTATAAATCCTGGGCCGGGAGTACGCGTACATACCTGTGGAAGCCATGCGTGCGACGCTGTAGCTATATGCAAAGGGATGAATTAAACGGTGAGATGAAGACTTACACCTGACTAACGTTGTCTCACAGTTCAGAAGTGCTCCGCAGCCCCTCCTGATATGAAATATCATCATATCTTGGCAGCATGTTGCATGAAGAGAAACAAGTTCCATTTCGATGTTGTAGATATCCAATTACTAAGCAGACCGCCACGAAATTCCAACTGCTCGTACACATATCTCATATCTCATTTGCTCTCCATGACACGAAGAAAGGCTAAAGAGGCAAAAGGCGAGGAAGAAGGGAAAGCAAATACACTGGTAGAATAATCTCCTGGGCCCATGGCGTTGTCCTGCTTATATCATACATAAGCAGTTGGTCATGAGGCCGGCTTGTCTAAGGGGTTCTCATTTTCAGACTCTCGTAGCTTTCCCTCCGTCTGGGCCTCTTGCTCTAGGAAATTTGACCATAGCTCCGCAAGAGATTCTTTGCGGGTGTCTGGGTTGCCGCCAAAATAGCCAGTGGCAAGAGAAGGTGAGCTTGGTGTCTTGAATACGGATGAGGATCTTGGAGCCCTGAGGTTGTTAAATGTCCCTGAGGTTCCAGGGCGAGCAAGGCCTGCTTGCTCTCGTTGTTCTGGGAGGTAGAGAGTTAGTTAACAAGAATAAGGAGACTCTAAAAGGCAATCAGTGCCTACCATCAGTCCATCCTAAGAGAGCAGCAATGAGCTGCAGTATCTGGAACTTCTTCGGGTCTGAGCGGTCCAGTGAGAGGAAGTGCAGAAAGTGGTTCGTAACCAGGTTCCTATAATAGCTATTAGCAAGAGGATAATTGAAGTTGCCAGTAGTCTAACATACCTATCCACATTATCTTCGGGTTTCCCTTTCTTCAAGAACCGTAGAGCTTTCGTGAGATGCTCATTCAAGGTGACAGCTTCATGACGAAGCTTGCCTATGAGCAGGTTCTTCTCCTTGACTTCTTTCTCAAAAGGTAACGCTCGCTCTAGATTCTTTTGCGTTTCCTCTAGTGCAGCGTTTGCATCGGCAGCACGCTTCTCGGCATCTTCTAATTTCTTTCGAACCTCCTCTACTTGGGCATCGGTGCTCTCCACCAATTCCCGCAGTTCTTGTTTTCGAGCTACGCATATAGTGTCAGTAATTTGTACGTCAAGGTTGTTATCTGAATCCGATGGTGAGAGTGTTGAGCTTGATGGAGAGTTCCTACCAATTTGGATTTCTCTTAATGCCTTCTGGAGTCCTTCAACGGCCACCCCCTGAGAGTTGTAATCAGAAGTTACCTTATCGTAATCGGCTCTAAGCGTCGATAGCTGTTCGTCTAGATCTATAACTTTTTCTCCTAGACTTTCTCGAATGGATCGTTCCTCCATAGCGATGATTTCCCAGCTGTGCATTGCTTGTTTTGCTTCCTCAAACTCTGTCCGTAGCTCTGATTCTTGTCCCAGCAGTTCCTCTTTTTCCTTAACCCAATTTTGCTGGGTAAGGTTTATCCTATTTCGTAGGCTTGAGAGCTCTTTCGACTGCTGGTCACGGTCACCTTCCAGAGAACTTATATACGCGGATTTAGAGTCCAGTTCTGATCTCAAGGTAGCATTTTCGCCCTCGTATTCTTCAATCTGTGCCTTCTTTTGAACCAGCTCCTCCTAAAATTCGGGTTAATTAGGATACACGCATGTTCACGACACCGGGGAAGACTTACGGCGTCGGCCTTTAGCCTCTCTCCCAGTTGGGATTTAATTGTGTTGACCCTCCCCAATAAACTGTGGAATTGCGATTCTGCCTGTTCCTTCTGACTTTCTGCAACCCGGAGCTTCTCTTGGATAGTTTCCATCTCCTCGTCATGTTTATTCTGTATTTCTTCCAGGGAGCGTCGCATTTCAATCACCTCTTCCCGGAGGGAATCTCGATCCCGCACGAGAACATCAAATCTGTCATCGGCGCCTGGGTCGCCCGCTTCATTTTTCGTAGAACTTGCATGGCTGTTTTGGGGTGAGGGGTGGTTTTCATTTGAGGACGATGTTTGATCTTCGGTGGAGAGTGTCTGGAGGCTCTCCGTGATTGAGGTTGTTGGCTCTGCCGACTCTGCCTCCTTGGAACCATTTATCGCAGCATGGTCGAGTTCCTAGAGTTATTGAAGAGATATTTAGTATCTTTCTCCGCGGATAAGTACTATGACAACAGAGTGCGCATGCAATACCGTCTCGACTTGTCCCTCGTCCTGCAACTTGTCCTTCCCAGCATTCGCGGCGCTCGAGACGGTATTCCCATCTTCCTCGGTTTGCGCTCCTCCTTTCCCGCCTTTCTTCTTCCTGTTCTTCTTCGATTTGCTATCCGCTACTGTATATTGAACTGTTAGAGCTTTGTCAATGATGTATGGTTGAATGCGGCGACCGACCTTGGCTCACGGCCGCTGAACTGGTGGGCATTTGCTCAGCTACTGTATGTTTTATCAGGCAATTGGGCTTAGGGTAAAACGATTTCCCAGGATCTATAAGTCCGGCGTTTAGTGGGAATCAAAAATGTTGGGGATTGAAGGGTACGTTGTTGCTACTTTGTATAAATCGGAAATTCAGGGACGTGTCCACCAGCTTTGGAGATCTTGCGTCAGCAAATCGGAAATCGTATTTACCCTACTAGTAAGACCACATCGCATCACGATCGTGGGTGGAACTGTACACTTGTCTCACTACTTAAGACACTGAGAGGTACATAATTGGTTTGGTGATGTCTTTCGCGTATTTGACGCTGAGGATGCCTTTTTTTAGAAGGCTGTCTTATTGCTAGCATATTCTATCGATTGGCGTTCGATCTATATATATACGAAGAACAGGTTGTTGTAAATTGCGGTATTGAAATCAGATGTTCTAGATATGACGTCGGCTAAGGTAATCAGGGCGTATTCTGGGGGAAATGAATGGCTCAAGTGTTATCCTATCCTTATCCAATGTTGTATTGTTTGCTGTCTCGATTGTTTCGCTTCAAACAACGGAGCCATCCAACCGATTGGCCTGAAGAGAGTAGAAACGTCCTTAATAGCCGAGAAGGACACCCCTCGTAGTTGCGCTTACGCCTGATCGCTTGGGCATCTGAGATATAAAAGATATACCCCCCCGCGCCTGTCACATGAAATCATCCAGGTAGCTTTCGTCTCGATCCTGATTGTTACTCTGCTGAACATTGTCCACGCTCAGTAGATCATCATAAGCGTGCTCCTTTTGCCACCTCAGCTCATCCCTCTCCTTGCGTTCCTTCTTCTCCATCGCCTTCTTCTCTTCTCTGGCCTTGCGTTCTTCCTTTTTGACGTTTGCCAGGAATTCTTCCTTCTCGGCTCTGAGATCAGGGAACTTTTCGACGCGAGTCTTGTTCAGGCGGTTGACAATTGGATTCTGCCGTTGTGGCACAAAGACCTTGCGCGTAAGTTTGGGGTTGTGGAATGAGACTTGCCCCGTGGCCATCGCTGCAGTCTTCTGCAGGTTCGACCATGGGGTATATATGATAGTCACATTATCCTTTTTATTTCCTACTTTTGTCAATCGATGCCCCCGCCAAAACTATACCAGTTTTTGATAGGGAAGAAAAGAAGGAAGATCGACGGGGAATTCATATCAGCTGTTCAACATGCCTTCGATAGAATTTGCCTTGGTTAGCTGTGCGCAGTCCTCGAGCAGCTCCTGGGGGATATTCTCCCAACTCTCATCTTTCCGGAGACGAAGGTAGACATGGGCACTGGACAAGTTGTCGGCATGGAACTACGTGCAGATAACACGTAAGGGTCAGCGAAAATGACTCCCTTGAAAAGGAGGATAGGAGAGGGGGAGCAGCGCACCCTGGAGAGAAGAAAAGGTTTGACACCGAGTAAGCCATGGGAGCCGCAAAGCTGACAGAGTGGCAGGACGCGTAGTTACCAGACATCGTTCTCAAGGCCATGCTTGATCAGATCTTCGTCTGTGATGTTTCAGAGGCCAACTGTTAGTGAGCTGAGCGAGTGTTCCGGCTTATCGAGGGGATTGTCTAACTTTCAACCTTGTCTTTCCCAACATAAATGAACGCCGCAGGAGTCACCGTATTTGACGTAAAATAGTACACCATCTTGCGCCGGGCTACAGCACGCACACGCACGCTCGGCTGAATCAGAATCCAGAGCACCAGTCAGTCCCGTCGACGAGGCTCAACGTCGTCCTCGCTGGTCTCGCTGTCACTCTCTCCCTGCGCACCCTTGATCGCAGCCCACAGGTCGAGCTTATCTTGTGATCACCGCCAAGAGGTTGGTTATCACACGTGACTGATGTGTCAGCCAACATTTAACGAAGCTCGTTCTGGGATTTGAACCAACCAACGTCCAAACATCGAGACAGGAGACAGACCGGCCGGGAACAGACCCTGAAGGAAAAGAAATTATCTGCAACTGGAGAGAAACACAAAATGGATAGAGTATGGTATTTGCTACGGCTCCATCCGGAGTCATGGAGTAGGCTGCGGACTAAAATAGCCTCCAGCCAATGGCCACAGCTCCAAACGCCGTCACAATGTTGGATTTTGGGGTAAACCAGCCTGTCAATCAAGGCAGCAGCAGCACTTCGGCAGTCCTGGTCACAGTCGTTTACTTGAAAATTGCCATTGCTGTTGCTGTTGGTAGTAGAAGATCCTCCCCCGTCTGTGTGTTTGCGGAGCAGGGACCAGGCTGTGGGGTGCATACAACGAAGTGGAAGGCAGAAGATGGACGGTGGACACTGAGGCTGGATTGACGGATCTCCCAAGGCTCTGACGAGACAATGACGCCCTTCCAGGTCTACGTCAACGTGAGGATGGTACGCGTGAAGTACGCCGGACAAAGCAATTGCGGCGGCGGATCAAGCAAAGGGCAAAAAGTTTCGCTGGCAGCCAGTGCACGAACAGGGGTTTTCGGACCTGAGCCGTCATCTCAGTCTCCACGTATATCTAACATATATATCAGACTGCCCCCATTCTATGGTAGCGCTCCACGAGCTGCATGGAGCGTTTGTCGGTCCAGGTTACCGTCCAAGCCTCCACAGAGAACCCTGCTTCTTTGCCGCATGCATGCCATGGCTGTTATTGCTCTATCCTTTCTGAGCAATCAATCTGAGTTTTAACGCCGCTCCTAGGGGATGCTGCGCCATTGATCCAGCTGGATCCTTACAATACCCGACCATTGGACTGAAGATCCTAGTCGCTGGCGGTTCCCGATGCACGGCACCTGTGCAAATAGGACGTCTTCCTCGCTGATCATGCAGGTGTGCCTTTCTTTCTTTTCTTCTGCTATTTTATTTTTATTCTTATTTCTAATTTTTTTATTATTCTTTCTATTCTTTTTATTCTTTTTTTACTTTTACTTTTATTTTTCATACGGCGCTTTTGCGTTCAACCTCCGGAGCTTCCACCCGCTCCCTAAGGACTCCAGTTGAGATAGAAAGCTCTAAAGACTGCCCCACGCTGGGCCGCTACAATCCGCCTGCGATCCCAATGAAAATCATGACAAGGCACTGCTGGCGCTAGCGGCGTAGCTGCAAAGTTTTACGTGTCAGTCTGGGTAGCCGCTGTGATGCGGCTTACTGCATAATACTGACTCAGCAGACCGTTGGGCAACATTCGTCTCAACGAAACTATGGAGTAGACTTGAGGGATCATGAAGAGGCTCAAGTGCAGGCTTGACTACACAGACGAAAAAAAAAAAATATTATAGTAATCCAGCCAAGCAAGGGGGGGCGGGCCGCAGATGAGGGTGGATGTACATATATGCAAGCACGATGGAGAAAACTAGGGCTGCGGGCAAGGGTAGGTAAGATCTTGCTAGTTCGTTTTTTTCCGATGGTAGAGGTGGACGCCGCTAATACCTGTCCCCGGCTATAGACCAATACCCTTGCTTTATGATGCTATGGAAGTCTGGTTCTAATGCATAGTAACACCACCTAGTTCATCACTTCTATAGTATCTAGCATGGCGGCTATGAGGCGTCCAGGCCCTGATTAATTAGTGACCTGGGAGCTTGCAAGCATGACGCACCAACCTGGTGTCTTAAGGCACGGCTTCCTGCTTAAAAAACATGCTGCATGTCAGCCGTCAGCCTGTGCCGGCGGCTCCCCCCCTCCCGTTCCCCCGTTCCCCCGCCGTCCAGGGATATCATTGGACTCTGTACTGACCACATGGTTATCACTAAACACTGGCAACAGAGTAGGATGGCTTGCTTAACGTCCTCCTATGGGCCTGTCCTCCCATCCCGGCTACATGCCAGGGGAGCAAACACGAGTCAAGCCTCACGGTCAACTACGGGCCACAGCAAAAGCGTTGGTCACATCTCGTTGGTTGTACGCCTTATCAGGGGTGTTTTGGGGACCTGCACCTCCGCATAATCAGGAGAGCTATACTCCTAGAGACGTTTAAATCTGGACCCTTAAAAGGTCCTCCTTCTCGAGCTCACCTCAACTATATAAATCGAACGATCCGGGCAGTCAAGTTGAATAATTTTTTTTTCCTCATCAGCAAAGAACAGATCACATCCTCGACTATCATCCTCGTCTATCATCCACATTCGCATCTCCTACAACAAGCTATTCTTTGCCTAGAGCATTTCATACTTGCTACTTTCACGCCAGCTTCTTGCTTTTTGCTTCGTGCTTCTTCTCTTTCACCATGGCAAACAGTCCTAATACCACAAGCCCCGAGGCCGTCAGGCGCGCGTTGGAGTCGGCAAGAAATAGCGACGACGGCCAGGTCGACCCAAGAGCAAATGCTGTCCTTGAAGCCGCTATCAATGAGATCTGGAGACGGATACAGACCCAGCCAGAGACATATGTCCTGAGCCGAGATGAATTCTCTCTATTCAACTATTTCCGCGACCGATTCAGGAACTCTCCCGTCGCTCAGCGAGCCGTCGAGCGGTTCTGGAACAACTTCAGAGGCAACCCATCCGACATTGATGGTTATCTACATCATCGCCGCGCGTGATGGGTGCTTAAACCCTTCACCTGACGACTACTGGCCACACGTACCATACATACATTGATACATCCACCATCACCAGCCCCGTAGGCAGCAGGCTGCCTTGGATTCACTTCCTCTTGCCCTAAAAAAAATAATAATTGATCTACGGCTGGAGAAACAAGAGCGGAGTACGATACGCAAAACGATTTCACCGATACTCGACATAGCCCTAGCCACACCATGCCACGATACATAATTATTTTTTCATACCACCAAAACGAGTTGCATCATATACATCTTTTCCTGGCTTTACCATTTTCTGTCTCCTTTCTTATTGTCTACTTTTCCTTTCCCCTAATATTTTTTTTCTATTATTTCGTTTTATGATGTCATTGTGGTTTATTTTCTTTATTATTTTTCGGATTGCGGCTACTCTCATTGCTAGACAATGATTTCAGCGGGATAAGGGGCAAAGCAAGGAGGAGCTCGGAGCTTAATAGGCTGGATTCTGTTTTACAATCTGGTTTTTATGCTTTTGGCAAGGGTTTTCGATTCTAGCAATACTCACTCTGGGAAGATGACATGTATAATTAGAATAGAATATTGTTGTTCACACTCAAAACATCATACCTTACCAACATCTCCACCGCGCAAGGGAAACCAGAAGGATAAGCAACACCTTCCGCAGCATACTTTTTCTTGTCAAAGTGTGATGCGGTGAGCCTCACGCTGGATGATAATGAGACTTTGCCTCCTGACAGCCAGAATAGGCAGTTGGACATCGGCTCAACTCAATAGACGGGAACGATGAAACCTACGCCCATAGACGCTTTTACCGGAACACATTATCCCCATTTGGAGTATGGCATAGCCGACGACATGTGGCTGGTCGTATCTAAAATTGAGGAAAGCTTATTGAGTCAAAAAAAAACCTTCCCGCGTGGCTCATCCCGCGCTTCGGAAAAAGGAGCTACAGGATGTTAGGATGTAGGATGTCAGGATGTTGTCGAAGTAGCTTTAGCCCCCGATGGCACTTTCGTATCACGAGCGAGATCGGTTACAGGTACGGCGTAGTTTGACGACATTCTGTATAACCAGTACTCGTATACTCTGTACACGCAACTTGAAAGTTGGAAGTCAGAAGCGATCATAACGGTGGCTTTATAAGGCGGAGACAAGGCCAACTCAAAGATAACGATGATGGTACTCCGTATATCGCTGGCGAATGCTGGGAAGACCCTGGAGCAGGCGCTGGAGCAAAAAGGAGCATCGGAAGGAGAGCCGTCTGCTCTCTCCGTCCGCATTTCTCATAATCCGTGGAGATGCACGACCGTCAAGGGTTTTTTTCCGTTTGGGGGGCACAACTACAAAAAAAAGTAACTGAGTTCATAGTCAGACATGATCAATGTTAATTTCAGGACGTGCCAATCCAACCAACGGCCGTTTGACAGCGAATAAGTGGATAAATTGGATATATATATGTAGCCTTGCATATATGTAAACGAATATAAAGTTAAGCCAAGGTGAAAAGCTTGCGATAATTGCCTAGGTAGGAAAATGGAATACGTCCTTTTAAACCTGCGCCAGGGCGGAGTAGCGAAGGGATAAAATAAGAGTACACTAAAGCTTCACTATTAATATCGGCTAGGGAGAAAGGCATCACAGGCGTCAAGGCGGGATACCTGCCAGCTGCTCTCACTGGACTGTACCCAGATCGCGGAGCGTTTTGAATGGCCCGGACGAACCCTCCACCTCCCCATTGACGGGGGTTGTATGTATATCAACTACGGAGCATAAGGATTGGCCTGGGCTCGCTTTCCGTCTAACGACATGGTAGATACTTGCTATAACGTCCTCCAGATCCAACAACGCCTACGGATGCCTTGAGAACTGGGCCTTGAGAACGACGGAGCAACTGGCGGCCATCACATCCCACTGTCTTGCTTCGGGCATTAAAACATCCGGATATACAGCAGCCAGAAAGCTAGACAGGGGTGCGATGTACACAACAAGAATGTCTACATAATCTTGTGATCAACGAAAACCCGGTGGTCAGGTTCGACCAGCTAGATTTAAAATCCAGTCAGGCCATTGATATGGGCGGGAATACCTCCGCAAGGGGGTGCCGCCGGTTTAGGTTGAACACGTTGAGATATACGCCTTGCCTTGCATGTCCACGGCCAAACCAGCAAATGGAGTCATGAGCATAAACGCTGATCCCATGCCGTGATAGAGTTGCTTTGATACGACCTTGAGCATGGTTGAAGCCACATCCTACGCGCGGGAAATGCACGATATACTTGGTCCGTATTTTTACGAGGACAGGAATGTGAGGCATCGAGCGAGTTTTAGACCGTCGACATATTAGCCGACACTGGCGATATAAACTCAGTGCTCTTCTCCGTTGGGAACCTTCTTTATTACTTTTTTTTTTTTTTTTTTTTAGAAATATAGTTTTGATGCACAACGATGGAGGGATGTACGTACAGCGAACTCTTGGTATATACGTACAGTCTACGCAGCGATACTACGGTGGCGTCGCTTTTGTGCAGTGAGACAGGAGGATGACCCCCCCATCGCAGCCTGGTCCGGGGGAGGATAGCGTCATCTGACGACTGAGAGCACATAACAAGCGCAAGGCCACGAGGAACGGGGATGTTAGGAGCGGTTCGAAGGAACGCATTAGACACAGGAGGATGGTCTACATATGCGGGTGACCGGCGTTGAGAGCTTTAGGCTGTGCATACCGCCCACTCCAACTAGTTTAGAAGCCTGCGAGGAATGTTATGGAAGCGAGGAGTAGCGCGAGCAGAGGACCGAACGGGATAGAGAGTACATGGTATTAAAAATGTCATAGCGTCTAGAACTGGTAAATCTTGGGTAAAAGAAAATATGGCACAGATGATGGAATGATACTTAAGAGGACCCTCAGAACTTTCCATTTTCCACGTCTTTTCTGGAGATCCCGAGCCGCGTTTTGTCAAGGCCCATGGACATGAGGAACTTTACGGAATCGTCCCACTCCGCCTGTTTCCGCTTCGCATCCCATTTAAGCTCTTCCGCCATGAGATCGATGACGGTGGGCAGGGTCTCGAGAGCGGCTTGGGCGTTTAGGAAAGCCAGTCTCGTTCGTCGGGCCAGGACGTCAACCGCTGTTTGGGCATATTCGCGGCGGACCGCGTACCGAACCTCCCCGTCAATGAAGGGGTAGAGTGGTGAGAGACGAAGGCCTCTCAGCGGGAAGCGAACATCGGTGGGCTTTGACAGAGCAGCAACCTCCCATGCGCGGTCGCCGTAGGATTGGGTAAGATGCTTGGCCACGTCAGTTGCCAGGCCAAAGTGTTGGATAAGGTTGATGAAGAGCGTCTTCGAGTATCCGTGAGCGCCCATCAACCGGACCCTGTGGGTTTGGCATGTTCCGTCAAGCACGGCGTTGTCGCTGTACGAGAGAACGCCGCTCGTATTTGGGGTTGAGCGTAGCTTTCCTGGTTGAAGGTTAAACTGCTTGATGGCTTCATCGACTGCCTCCTCTGCCATCTGACGGTAGGTCGTCCATTTACCGCCCGCGCATGTTAGGAGACCAGAGCTTGAGACGGAAATTAAATGGTTGCGGACAAGAGATTCGGTGTTTTTGGCTTTCGGGTCACGAACAAGAGGACGGATTCCTGACCACGCAGCTAGAACGTCATCACGTTGAACGTTAATATCGGGTGCAAGGTATCCTCTGATCTCGTTAAGAATCCAGTTGATGTCCTCTTCAGAAGGGATAGGATTCTTGGTGATTTCAGTTGGGCTGTCCGTTGTACCTGCAATCGTGTTTCCTTGCCAAGGGAGGAAGAAAATAACACGACCGTCAGAAGTTGAAGGATCTATAAGTCCCATCTTTGCGGGGCTGTAGTATCCTGGAAGGATGATATGCACGCCAGAGCTTGGGGCCACGATTTCACTGGCAGTGGGCTCGTCAAGCTTCCTGATGGAATCAGTGAAGGGTCCCGTGGCATTGATGATACATTTAGCCCTGATGGTAAACTCGCTATTTGACTCTCCATCTCGTTCCGCAATCAGATCTTTGACTTTGGCGCCATTAAGTTTGCCGTTGGCATCCTTCGTCAGCTCGGTAACTTCCATATGATTGACAACGGTACAGCCGTATAGAGCTGCAGTCATCGCCAAGGATACGTTCATACGAGAATCGTTATGCGCTCCATCTGTAGCGGGAAGTAAGCAATCCAACCGTGCAGGGAAGCAGGATGATTGGGCCACGAACCGTAGTAAACCAAAGCTCCAAAAAGGTTATCTTTTCTTAGCATCGGGAAAGCATCGAGAGCCTTACTTCGGGGCAAGAAGTACGAACTCTCGATGCCTTCGGAGCCAGCAAGAAAATCGTAGCATTTAGTTCCTGCCCAGAAATAGGGTACCTGCCACCATTTCTGCACAGGAACCATGATTGGAAGCCACATAGACAGATGGGGGGCCGTATGGAGGAAGTATTTCCTCTCACGTAGGGCTTCCTTGACTAGAGCATACCTTCAACCATATAAAAGAACACAAATCAGCCACGAAAAAAAAACAAACATGCCAGAGGTGGTGTCGTGACAACATACTGGTTGTAATCCATTTCCCAAACGGCCTTTTCCAGGTAGCGGACGCCTCCATGAACCAGCTTTGTACTTTTACTACTCGTTCCGGCACTGAAATCATCCCGTTCGACCATGGCAACGCGCAGGCCACGAGTTGCAGCATCGAGAGCAATTCCAGACCCAGTTGCACCTCCACCGATCACAAGCATATCATAAACATTATCATCTCCGTCTGCCTTTGCAGAGCTCTCGACGGAGCCCTGAGCGGTAGACTGGGTTTCCGACTCAACCAAGCTTCGCAGAGCGTTTATGGGCAGTACTGCGGTCGAATGCCTTTTCAGGTCATTGATCTGTTCATCTCGCGACTTTATGACCGGGAAATGAGGAGGCTGAAGCTTACCACCCCGGGTAGTGGGCGGAGGGACAGCGGCAGGATCGGAGCCGGGAAGATTGCGAGGGCGATATGAGATGTAGAGAAGTCCACCGCCACCGACAACAGCTCCCGCCGTGTAGAGCAGAGGTTTCAGAATGCGCCGTCTCTGATTGAATGACATGGCGGTTCCTAATTGAGAGACAAAAATCAGAGAGTCAGCCTCGCCTGGTACCTCGCAAGAGAACGAACTGGTCTTCCGCAGCCACCGCGATCCCGAAACCGGATAATCACATGGGATCAGAGACACGATTCCGTACTCACCTTTTCTTTTGTTTTTGTTTTTTTCTCACGGGTTTCTCTACTTGCAGGCCTATTGCCGGTCAAGCAACAACAGAGAGTGAGACAGACGAGCTTTGCAGGTTTTCGAAATGACCGGCCCGTGTGGAGTGTAGTGGACACTGCGAGCAGCTCTGGCTCCAACGATTTACCTTTGATTATTCATGATGAAAATGCTACAGCTCTGAAACTCATGGACGTAAACAGGGGCTGATGTTCGATCCTCAGGAGCCTTTACCCAAGTTCGCCGCATCCTACGTCACCGACGGCAGCGAGAGAGCGCGTCTCTGGCCTGTCACAGCTTCGCGCTGCGCTGCATGGGAGGAAGGACAGGGCAGAAGGGAGAAACAAAAGGTGCCGAGGCGCGGAGATACATTAACCCGATAGCCGAGCAGAAGTCACGCACGGGCGGAACTCTTCCGTCATAAGCGCCGCTTGGAGAGAAACGTGCTGCGATGGAGACACCTATATAGTAATTATAAGCGCGGGGTTCTCCTTTTGACGCCCAACAGAAAAGATCTGAGAAGACCTGAAAACATTTCTGGTTTCTGGATGTGCAGGAACGGGTGTTTTGTCAAGTCCACCCCTTACCATCCAGGACCCTCAAGATGCCGTTCGCACAGTTGCTCTCCAACGCAATCAACTACCCCGTCGAGTCCTTGATCATCTCGACCTGTGTGCTCTCGTGCGTGTTCATCCTCGGCAACGAGTATTTACGGTATGCGGCTCGCATCAAGGGCTTCAAGGGTCCTGCGGGGCTTCTCATGATTGGGAATCTCGAGCAGATCCAGGAGGATGCTGCAGAGCAGTACCGGCAGTGGTCGGGCGAGTACGGACCTGTTTACCAGATCCAACTGGGCAATATCCCCGTCCTCGTCGTCAACACCGCAGCTGCTGCAAAGGCGTTGTTCAGCCAAAATTCCCAGGCCTTGAGCTCGAGGCCCGAGTTCTATACTTTCCACAAGGTCAGTCGGTAGCTTCTTCTCACACTACCTTCTCAGAATTCGACGTTAACGTCAGGAGAGCAGGTTGTGTCAAACACTGCTGGTACCACTATTGGAACTTCGCCCTATAGTGAATCTCTTAAAAGGCGGCGAAAGGGTGCTGCGTCTGCTCTGAACAAACCATCTGTTCAGTCCTATGTAGGCCATTTGGACGTCGAGACCAAGGATTTTGTTGCTGAGCTGCTAAAATATGGACATGCGGGCAACACCGCCATCGACCCCATGCCCATGATCCAGCGACTCAGTCTCAGCCTTGCGCTCACCCTCAACTGGGGTGTGCGTATGGCATCCCAGGAAGAGGCGTTGTTCAAGGAAATCACCCATGTCGAAGACGAGATTAGCCGGTTTAGAAGCACCACAGGAAACCTACAGGATTATATCCCTCTCTTGCGCTTGAATCCTTTCAACTTTGGCTCTAAGAAGGCTGCTGAAATGAGGGACCGCCGTGACAAGTACCTGAACCATCTAAACGCGGGCCTCGAGGAGAGAATGGCGAAGAACGAGCATCAGCCCTGTATCCAGGCCAACATTATGCTCGATGAAGAGGCCAAGCTAAACAAGGAAGAGCTCACCTCCATCAGCTTGACTATGCTTTCGGGCGGTCTAGATACGCTAACAACTTTGGTTGCTTGGAGTATTGCCCTCTTCGCGGAGAGGCCTGATATCCAGGACAAGGCTGCGGAGGCCATCAAAGAGTTTCACTCTGAAGACAAGCCATTGTGTGACGCGTTGGATGATCAAAAGTGCGAGTACATTGTTGCATTGGGCAAGGAGTGCCTCAGGTATGTAATCCACAAAGGCGGGATCTAGTGTGGGATGGCTAATGCTGACATGTACGCTCTAGATATTTTACGGTTCTTCGCCTTGCCCTCCCTCGTACATCCATCAAAGATATTACTTATGAGGATAAAGTTATCCCGAAGGGCACTGTCTTTTTCCTCAATGCTTGGGCGTGCAACATGGGTAAGATCAAACCCGACTTGTCCACTTCTTGGTCTGGCATCATGTATACTAATCGTTATCTTTCTTATAGACCCGTATGTATGGACGGATCCAGAGGTGTTCCGCCCCGAACGCTGGATTGAAAAGCCAGATGCACAGCTCTTTACATATGGCCTCGGATATCGTATGTGTGCTGGCTCGTTACTGGCAAACCGCGAGATTTATCTCATCTTTATCCGCATGCTAAACAGCTTCAGGATTGTGTCTGACCAGAAGATCAATACCCATCCGATCCACGGAAACTCAGACCCAACGAGCTTGGTGGCCATCCCGAAGAAATACAAAGTGAAATTTGTGCCAAAGAACAAAACAGCATTGGATGACGCGATTGCTAACTTTTCCTCGGTATAAACAAACAGAGATATTTGTTATATATATGTGGCTTAGCCGATGTTGCATTACGACGCCTGTCATTTGCATTTTTCAAGTCATGACTATTTGTTTTCTTTTTTTGCATCCGGTCCATCAGAATCATGGACATAATATAGGGTTGGTTTAAAAAAAAATAGGAATATGATTAAGGTTAATATTTCTCTATTCATTAGACGTAGTAATTAGTAACTTGTGATGGCCATTTTTATCCATCGTTAAAAAGTAAACCCCTGTTAAGAGAGGAGCTAAGCAGAGCTGTCTAACCCAACGCCTAAACCCACGCATATAACTGGGCAAAGCTCACTTCCATTCCTATGGAGCCTGACATCCACATACATCCATGGTTCTGATATGCCTTGCACAACCAAAAGTAGCCTCGGCCAGGGGGTGAGTACCACACCTCGCTATAATTTACTTCTTAATCCCAGGGGCTGCCTGTTCGAGCAGGATTCGTACTAGGGGAACTGGAAGTGGCTCCTTAGGGGCCTTTTCATCCTTGGCGCCCTCAACTTGTGGGTTCTGGTTCACAGCAGACGAAGTCTCGCGATTTTTGGCTTGAGGGATGCCGCCTGAACCAACTTAGCAACGGGATGCGCTTTCTCAGAGTGGCTGGGGGTAGCTTAACTTACTTGCTGCCATATTAATCACTTTCAACACGCTATCGAAATTCGCCATGATACAGGCAACAGCTAAATCAGGAGGGGTTTAGCCCTCTTAACGGTATATGATAAGGGATGAGGCGGCCCTTACCTTCCGCGCCATCCTGTAAGGTCGCAAGCTTTGCTTCCAATGCCTCCAACTGAGTAGTCAAGGCACTACTGGTATCGCGTAGTTGTTGGATATCCTCTAGCTCTGCTCGTTTTGCAGTAACATGAGCTGCTAGACTGGAGGACTGATTTCCAGGACGGGATGACAGGGAACCTGTTACGGAAGAGGGGAAAATTGCGGTTGTGCGCTTATTGTAAGACATGAGTCTTAACGGGATTGTAACGGTCTAGATTTAAAGGTGAAAATCCTCCCCATATCTAATTGCAAAGCCCAGGTAGAATGACGTTGCTCCTTGACGCGAGCTTCGGAAGATAATAAAATCGACCTTTTGGCCTTATCGACGGCCCACGAAAGACATATCACGTGAATATAAGGGTAGTATATTACAGTACATGCGTATCTGACGGTAAAATACTTATATAATCAAGCAAGGAGGTAGTCTAACTAGAAACGGATAAACATAAACAATGCCAAGCCAGATGCTTTCCAACCTTGTGCTCCTCAGCAAACACAACGCTTGATTATTTTACCAGTACCAGACTCGACACAACAACGCCATAGAAGCCTTGAATATCGATACAGCGACGCCTTTGGATTGACAATACTGTCTGGCTTTCTATAACTATATCAAATATTTCCACCTGCTACGGCCTCGACCAGTCATGGCGCGATTAAACGACCTTCCCACGAGTTCAGATTCCATCGAATCCTGTATGTATTCCTCGACTGCATCAAGAGATTGCTGAACTGTATGGAGCTATTCACTAATACAGAGCCTAATAGTAAAACGGCGCTTTATACGACAAAACCGTGAGATTGCCCGAGCGAATTCAGTGCAGTCGATCCGCATTCGAACACTCGAAGCTGAGGTATCGCATCTCCTTGCTGAGAATGTTACACTCCGCGAAGGAATTATCTCTGCAAACCATGAGCTCGAGCGATATCGGACCGGTACGCATTTCGAAAATCGCATTAATACGCTAAGAGAAAGATTCGAGTCTGGTTTGGGAGAGCTATCAGCACTTGTTAAGGACCTTAACAAACTACCGTCCCAATATTGTGATGTTGGCGAACGGGTTGCAAAGGAAGACCGGGTTGAGAAAGAAGGGGAAATAAAACGAATAAGCCCCCGCAGCCTTCTACGACTCTCTGAAGACGAGGCTATGCTGGAGGATGGCGGTTGTTTGCCTGCGATTCCAGAAGATGGGGTCTACGCTCCCGATGCAGATGAACGGATAGAAGAGGAAATAATTCAGGAGGACGATGACATGGAACCGGTACAAGCCATGGATAACATTGAATCGACAGAGAGGAAGCCCGAGGCTCGTACACAGGAACAGGATGTTTCCGTGACCTCAAAAAACACACCATCGGATGAGTCTCGTTTCCCATGGGCTACAAGGGAAAATACAGTGGCAGAGATCCTCGAAAAAGTTCGTCCAATCAATACTCGACCGAAACGAAGAGATAGCTCTCTTGTTCAAACGCTGGTTTCCAAAAAGGACGTCGAAGTCGATCGAGATGCTGCGCCTCCTGCTACGGTGGCTGGCTCTAAGCGGAAATTCGATGCGCAAGAGTGCGACGCTCTTCCACAAGATAAACAAGAACAGGATAAATTCCAATACACACTCTTCAAAAAGGCCCAGAGGCAGCTATCTAATGAAATTGGAGTTGGGGCCGAAAATGAAGCAGACCCTATATCTACGGGCAAGGAAAGCCTTAAGCCACGCGCGGATCTGGCGAAATCCCGGCGCGCCCTAGGACCAAGTATGTATACTCTATTCCTTTTTGTGCATCGCTCTGGACGTTAATTAACCTGATCTGTGATAGAAAATGTAAATTTCAACCCAAGGTCGACTACAAAGAAAGTGGTTCAAGATAGCGTGGCTGTCGAAAAACGGAAGGGATCCGGACGAAGGAAAACAGAGACGCGGAATACCTCACGCCCTAAAACTTCCGATCAACCCACGGATACGAAACCAGAAGTCTTCATCCGCGAGGATGTGCCTCTTTTTAATCATCCGGTTGAAATTTCGTTGGATGATCACGATCCAGTGGAGAAAACATCCGAATCTACAAACAGCTTGGATAAGCCTCTATATTCAGAATATCAACCAACAACCACTAGCGAACGACATGCCCAGAGACCAAGACCATCCAGGCGCTCTCGGGGTCCTATAAACTACGCTGAGCCTAGTCTAAGAGGCAAGATGCGGCGGCCAACAGAGGATCTTGTGGACGCTGTAGCGGAATGTACAACAAAACGGCTTTCAAGGTCGCAAAATGATCTGGTTGACGACCTTCAAAGTGAACAACGCGCTATCAGGGTCGATATCAATCCAAACCTATCCAAAGGGAACCAGTCCAGCACGCTTGCACACAACATTTTCGACCTCTCAACATCGAGCCCAGATGGCAAGCTATCTATGGGCGGCGATAGCAACTACACCAGTGATAATGATACAGACACCGATGGGACATGGTCAAGCCGCGAACACCGAGCTCGGTCTATGCGTGCCCCTACCCCAGACCCTAGTATCAGACCGGTGAGACAGTCTCGCAGGCAATCATCGAACCCGAACTACAGAGTGGAGGCACATATATCAGCATAATGGGATGCGCTACAGCGTCAATTGACAAGTAGCCTGAAGCCATATTGTGCGGTGAGACCAAGTCTAGGGTACACACTGCTGAAGAAGCTGCACGACATGGCAATCTAAATCTAATCCATGTATATATGAATGGCCGCTATGCGTTATGAAATAAATTTGAGATTCTATCAGGCTAGTTGATAAGTCAAGCCATCGCTCATTCCATCTTCGAACCAATCTTCAAATCTGTAGATAAGTGGTCCTCTAACTGTTTGCCAGAGGCTCTCGCAAGTTCTATAGTCATGACCCATTATTTGCCAGCCCTTTGAATACTTTCGCTTTGATACTTTGTGCGCGCGGCAATCACAAGCCGCTCTCCAGCGTGTACCCTGTCCCTTCACCCATGCCCGTCGAAGGGCGTCGGATGGTATACATACGCACCGGACATTACTGGACCGTTCGTTTGCAGATTCCGACCGAACCTTATTCACCAAATGTCCCGTCTTTCTGTTTTCCTTGGGGTTCATGGCTGGTCAGTCTGATTTCTGTGACATGCACCAGGTGCTGTGTCTTCCTGGCACATAAAATGGCATCGGTAATATTTAAATCAACTCAAACCCTCCGCTGCGCGCTTGGCGCTATTTTTTGTTCTTTGGAATCCGCTCATAAGCGTTCGGTCTTCGTTTCCGTTTCTTATGGGCCAGTGAGTCTCCGTGACCTCCGTGGTCAGGGCATCCAGATCCCTGGTCGAGTGACGTTTGTCAGAAGAAATGTTTATAGAAGGTTGCTTGGAAGCATGGGGTACGAACCTTTTGGGGATCAGCTTTGTCTGATCGTCCTTCGTCGGCGGAAGAGTCATCGTCGAAATCTGAGTCTGACGATTCAGATTCAGAGCTGCTCTCGCCGGCGGGCCGTGGTTTGTGGTAAATACAGCAGACTGTCAAATGGTAAATGTGAGTGTAAGTGATCAACCGTGTATGGAATATTGACATGGTTGGAATGACCGTACCTTTGGAACTCTTTTTACCCTGACCTTCGTTATCAACAACGTCTTCTGCCCATTTAATATGTCTTTCCTCTGTTGGCGGTTGACTGCTTTCCTCCTCCCGCTCTCCTCTTAGTCTTAGAGTGCCTGTTAGTGGAAGGCCACCCCGCTCCGGGTTAGTTGTTTGGGTATTTGCAGCCGTCCCCGCGGCGCTTTGAGCGGGTGTTCGAAGCATAGTGCCAGGTCTTTATGTCTGACAGAGACACCGAGCGAACAGGAGATATATATGAACTCTTCCGTAGGCGAGAAGAGAAATGCTGACCTTGAAGATAAATCGGACTGGGCGAACGTCATGGAGAGTTTCGGCAAGGATGTGCTGACTAAGGAAGGCTAACTAAAAATTCGGCCAGCTGAAATGCTGGGGTACAAACGGTGAAGTCAACCCACGAAACGGACGAGAGACAGTGACTATCGATTGAAGAACGGGAGCAGTCAAAGAGTTATTTTCTTTCAGCGAGGATTCAAAGATGTCGTTTTCTAACCTTGTGTCGGATATTGCGTTTAGAGACTCGCAGGGCGACGAGCGCGGGTCGACGAAGCCCAGAGGCGCTCGCTCGCATGTTACTGCTCCATCTTCATATCAGAGCACCACCACCAGCGTTAGCATCTCGGGGAGTATCTCTAGCCAGCTGCATGCGGGCTACAGCCACCCGCTAGCCAGAGAATGGCAGTCAGAGAAGCAATTAACCAAGGTCAGCCTTTCTTCTGGCCATTAACACACACAAGTGGGGGGAACGATAACGGCTAACGGTCGGTGGCTTTTTTTTATTTAGTCCATGCTTATCTACCCTCTCTTCATCACAGACCGACCAGACGACCAAATCACAGTCCCTTCCCTTCCAAATCAATTCCAGCTGGGTCTAAACAAGTTGGTGCCATTCCTTAAACCGCTGGTCAAAAAGGGTTTGAGATCCGTCATGCTCTTCGGCGTCCCGATGGCGCCTGGTGCAAAGGATGCTCTGGGGACGATGGCAGACGACCCGTCTGGACCTGTCATACAAGCCATTCGCCTACTACGCACTAATTTCCCAGCCCTCTACATCTCCACTGACGTATGTCTGTGCGAGTACACGTCTCACGGACACTGCGGTATCCTTCGTGAAGACGGATCGTTGAACAATACGCTTTCAGTCGAGAGGCTCTCGGACGTTGCTTTGGCGTACGCTCAGGCTGGAGCTCATTGCGTTGCACCCTCTGATATGAACGATGGTCGAGTTAGGGCTATTAAGCTCAAGCTTATTGAGGCAGGTATATCGCATCAGGTGGTGCTGATGTCTTATGCGGCGAAGTTTAGCGGGTGTTTGTATGGGCCGTTTAGGGATGCGGCTGGCTCGTGTCCTTCGTTTGGGGATAGGAAATGTTATCAGCTTCCGCCTGGTGGTAGGGGGTTGGCGAGACGGGCTATTCAGAGGGATATAAGTGAGGGTGCGGATATTATTATGGTGAAGCCCGCGGGTGCTTATTTAGATATTATTAGTGATGCAAAGGAGCTGGGGAGGGATATGCCTGTTGCTGCGTACCAGGTTAGTGGGGAGTATGCGATGATTCATGCGGGCGCGAAGGCCGGCGTGTTTGAGTTGAGGGCGATGGTGATGGAGAGCATGCAGGGGATTCTGCGGGCTGGTGCGAGTATTGTGACATCGTACTTTGTGCCTGAGCTGCTGGACTGGTTGGAGTCTTGAGCGAAGATTTCGGAATAAGGGGACTATACTAATGATCTATCACACGAGGTGGGAATGGATGGGTTCGGGAATAACAAAATAAAACATGTCGATATAGATAGCAGAACATACCAGGACTATAATTTCTTATCAGAAACAAAGGTGACTACTACGATACATAAACACATTACAGAAATAAAAAAAACAGACGCCATTTTCATAAAACGCCGCTAGGCCAAGGAGAGATGAAAGCAGGAGCATGAGAGTAAACGACTGTATACTCGCCAACAAAACAAGGTGTGGATCAAAGGGACACGATAGAAGGAAAGAAGAGAAAAACACACGAAAGAAACCAAAGAGTATATCAGACAGACATGAAGAAATGGAAATGGCCTAGAGCATGCAACCAATGCCATTGGTTGGTTAAGTTTTTTTTTTTTCACCCTTTGTGCGCTTTTTAAGTAGTTCGTGGCTAGCATGAGGAATGCAGAACAGGAGAGACAAGTAGTATATACGCCAAAATGAGGTATGAAATGTATGGAGGATCACGATGAGGTCAAGGGTAGTTTGGCTTCAAGCCCTGGAAGCCATACGGCAGGATTTGCGAACGGACCACTTCGCCAGGGGCGATGTATGCGCCACGTCCGAGCGTGACACCTGGCAGGATGGTGCATCCGGCGCCGATCCAACAGTCTTCAGCGATGACGACGGGTCGACCCTGATACCTGCTTTGGGAGCCCTTGCGTTCCTGCATACTTCCGATGGCCATGGAGCTGAGGATGGTGACGTTTGGACCGATCCACGTGTGGGCGCCGATGTTGATGGAGCAGTCGTCCGCGAAGAAGCAGTTTTCGGAAATGAGGACGTCTTCGCCAATGTTGATATTGTAGCCGTAGTGGCAGTTGAAGGGAGACTCGAGGATGGCGCCTGGTCCGAGGGATCCGGTCGGAGTGCTGGTTGATGGTGGAGGAGCGTCTGGTGGCGGTTCGATGGCGGATGGCTGGAGAATCTGGGTCAGGAGACGAGTTTTTTCGGCGGAGCTGATGCCGTAGAGAGGATTGCCGGCATTGGTGAAGCGCCAGAGTGCGGCCTTGCACTGTTCCCGGTCACGGACAAGTTCTGGGTCGAAAGGACGGTATTGTTCGCCGCTAAGCATCTTTTCCTTTTCAGACTTCTCGTTGCCGCCTTCGAAGGGCACATGGGGTTCCATGCTGCTTAGAGCGAGACGGGCCTGAGTCGGGTAGCTGCTTGTGTCGACACGGGGAGGAGGAGCATGGTTCGGGCGAGGTTCCATGTTCGATTGGAAGACCGGAATGCCGGGTTTTTGGTGCGCGTTATTGTTCGTATTGTTCGTGTTGTTACCGTTGTTGTTATTGGTACTGTTGTTGGCGTTGTTGTTGTTATTGCTGTGGGAGTGGTGGTAGTCTGATTTTGGAGGCTCGGGACGCGATATGTCGGCGATCACCGGTGCATCTCGGTATTCAAGCTTGGGAGCAGAGTCTTGCATCATGTGGTGATTGGCGGCCTGCCATGAACCCTTCTGCCATGCTACACGGGCGACGGTACCGCTGGGGCTGGTCATGTAAGCGGCCTGGGCTCTTTCGTTGTCGTCGACCGAGACCGGTCGTGTCTTGCTTCCGTCGGGTAACATTGGGCCGCCCATTCTCGAGTCATGGCGCTGGGGACTCATGTCCTGCATATAAAGGTTTGGAGGTTCGGGGTATCGATCCTTGGACTGTAGTGGAATGGGCCCTTTGTTCTGGGATGGTTTCTGCCAGGTGCTGCGGACGGAATAGCCTTCGCAAGGGAAGCCACCGCGGATACAATTGTTGCCTGCATGAACCCGTCAGAATACGAGTATTAAAATTATATTTTATGACAGGGAGAGAAAGTGGATGAACTTACATGATGGGTGCTGTTCGTCGCATTTCTTCTTCCTTCGCCTGCAGGTCATGCATCCCGTCTTGGTCCTGTTGCTGAAGACCCTCTTTCGCTTTGGCGCGACCTGAGACGAATTGGGAGACTGGCTCTGCATATGGCTGGACGAATTGCCACCTTGCATGTCCATGGTGGATGCATTTTCCGACGGGGTCTCGCTCTGGACCTCGCGCTGCAGGGCTTCGGCGAGCTGGGCATCGGATGCGTCCATGTGCTGCTGCTTGGAGTGTCTCTGCGAGTTGTTCATCATCTGTGACTGCGAGTCATAGTCCCAGCCGACATTACTAGAATTCGACTTTGCCTCGTCGGGACGCTCGACGCTGGTATATGGCTGTTGGTGCTGCTGTTGGTGTTGGTGTTGTTGTTGCTGGTGCTGCTGGTGGTGGTGTTCCGAATTGCCATTTGTGGCGGTTGGTGGGTGAGGGTGGTCTGCAGGCAGCTGAGCCGGACTTCGGGGCGCGAGTTCGACGTGGTGACTGTCTATACTGGATCGCTTGCGCTTGTTTGAGGAGGCAGAGTTGTTGTTACCGCTGCTGCTGGCGGTATTTGTGTTCGGGTTTGTGTTTGCGGTGTCTGGAGCTGAGGCAACCTCCGCCTGGTCAACCGGCGTGTCACGAGACCCGTCCGCGCTTGCTGGCTTGTCGTGAGGCATGTTGGCGCCGTTGCTGGCGGTATTATTAGTAGTAGTATTATTATTGTTGTTGGCGTTGTTGCTGGTGCTGGCGGCGTCATCGCGAGCCGGCGAGGGACGCAGGTCTGGCTGTCCGTTCATGAGCGAGGCCGAGCGGTCTCTACCGTTAACCGCGGTGAAGCTGGACGGGCTCTGTTCTGGGCTCGCATCAGCCGCGATGTCCCGGCTGCCGCTGGGCAACGGCGCAGGTGCGACGACGGACATGGTCGTGCTGTAGCAGCCGTCGGCCTGGCGAGGCGATGCTGATGGTCTCGGTGATGCTGGTGATGGTTATTGTGGGCGGGTGGAGGGAATGCGACTGTCGAGGGCTGCTGCAGTCCAGACGAGACACGACGACTGGACAATGGCACTGGCCGCGGACCCAAAAAAAAAAGAGAACAAAGAAGAGGTAGACTACGAGGCTCTGTCCATGTATGCGACGGACGGTAAAAAGGGGTATTGGACGTCGAGAGGTAGACGAGAGGCGAGATAGACGCGATGGAGAGAGAGACAGGGAGAGATGGGCAGAGGGAAGAGAGGGAAAGGCGAAGGGCGATGGGCAGAGGGCAGGAGGGCGGGCAGAGGCAGAGCGAGACGGCGCTAGTGAAAGGGCAGGAGGGCGAGCTGCAACCGCCAGCGCTGGACGGGCAGGCGGCAGGGGCACCGCCAGCGCAGGACGAGCAGCCAACAGCGACCGCCAGCAGGCCACTGGCAGACCACCGAGTTGGCCGGGCGGCAGCATGGGCGGGCATGGGCGAGCATGCGAGGGTGCTTACCGCCTAATGGTTGGGTGTGGGCGGCTGGGCGGATCGCGCATGGGGGCGAACTCAGGCCTCTCTCGCTCTCTCTCCCCTAGGCGAGCGCTGGAGGGCAGGCAGGCCGGCGCTCCCGGGGCATCCCGGCCCCGCCCTCTATGCCCCTGCCCTGGCCCCCCCTAGCCCTCCCTGGCCCTGGACGCCCCCCTGTCCGGCGCAGGCTTAGTTAAAGAGCGTCCCCCTGGCGCGGCCTGCGGGCGCCCATTGGCCAGCGTCCACCAGCCCCCAAGCCCCTAAGCCCCGACCCTTGAGCCCCCGACGCCTGTCCGGCTGCTCCTGCGCCCTCCTCACTGGCTGCGTGCGTCGACGGGCCCTGCTGCGGTGCCGCGACTAGCGGAGTCGCCCGCCAACTGCCGCTCTCGACAGACCCTGCCATCAGGCAGTCATACATACTCTCTCTCTCGCTCTTCTCTACACTCTTCTCTACTCTACTCTATAGACTCTACACTTCACTGCACTACAATATAGACTACAGCACAAGCAAAAACAGGGGCGGTGGACAGGCAGGCGGACAGGCAGAGACGGCGTCGTCGGATATTAACTCTGCCTATTAATAGCCCGCCAGTCAGCCGCTGGGACTGGTAGTGGCGTCTATGGGGATCACTCTGCAGTCCTTCCATCTCGTCACCTTCCCTGCGTTCGTTCCTCGGTGCAGCCCGCTAATCACAGCGCGAGGCCCGGCCTGCTAGTGCTGGCGACAGTTTCAGATCCCTCCCGCTCCCTTATGCACGAACTCTCACCCGCGACTTTTCCCCGACCTGCCCACAGCGCTCTGCGTTTGTTTCTTCCCTTTATCCTTCTTTCACTGTTTTGTCTTTTTATCCTGGGTCGCGTCTTTATCCTGGCTCCCGCGGATCTGCCTCGCTTGCATGTCGCCTACTCTGACACTCCCAACCTGCGCGGTCCTCGCTTTGTCTTATCACCTTCCCTTCTGGATGATTATGTAACTCTTTCGGAACAACGTCCACCCGATAGGCTTATGTAATCCGAAGACATCCATTTAGGGCGCTTCGTCCGTGCTTCACGCTGGTTTGTTGTTCCCTCTACTCCGTACCTACTTAGGTGCAGCTCTATAGTCTTATGTATGCGGCGTTGATGCCCGGGTCGTAGTTTTTGTTGCTGCAAGGCATTGGGATTCGTCCTGGATCGCCCTGTCAAACGGGTATTTCCCCGGGCTAGCCCCTCGTCTCATGCCTCGAGAACAAGGAAAAAATAACAGCGCGACTGAGGGAATATCCATTTCTATCCCGTTTGTAGAGGCATTGTCCACTCCCAGTCATTTTTCTCGGCGCACTGGGGACTCGCCGCGGCCAGACTCCCTCGATGCTCTATATATGCAGCTGTTATTATCCTCAATGCCTTCAATCGTAATTTCCACCTCACCTGCTTTTGCAGATGTCCTCTCTCACATTTTTTTTTCTCTCCCCCCTCTCTCTCTATCTCATGCCGGTGGATGACGCTGACATTTTGGATAACTCCATCTAATGCATTCTCCCTGCTTCCACGTAGCTATAGTCGGCGCTGGCCTGGGAGGCTTAGCTGCGGCCATCGGCATCGCTCGAGCAGGCCATAAGGTCACCGTATTGGAACAACAGACCGACATTCAAGAGGTAGCACTTTTCTCCAACTGAGACTTTCTCTTCTCTCTTCTCTCTCCCCTCTCTCTCCCTGTCTCTCTCTCTCTCTCTCTCCTTCTTCTTTTTCGTTCACAGGGTGGAACATATCTAAAGGTCAGATATAGGTTGGCGCGGGCATCCAAATCCCCCCTAATGCATCATATATCCTCCGGGAATGGGGGCTGCTTGCTGATATCGAGCGTGTCTCCGTTCGCCCAAGAGATTTCACCGTGAGAGCATACCGGACAGGCAAGGTACTTTGCGTCCAAAATGCGTTCCCATATACCTTTGAGCGATATGGCCTCCCATACCTTCACATTCATCGAGCAGACTACCATAGCATCCTGCTGCGTGAGGCCAGGAGGCTAAACGTCGATATCCGCCTGGGCTATACTGTCGTTAACATCGACTTCGACGCCCCTGCGGCCCAACTGCTGGATAAACCTGATTTTCACGCTGATGTGATCATAGGAGCTGATGGACTTCGGTCCGTTTGCCGTGAAGCTCTGCTGGGACATGCCGACCCTCCTCACCTGACAGGTGATATGGCTTATCGCATCGTTATCGAAGCAGACGACATAAGGCAGTACCCGGACCTGGTTGAATTTGTAGAACAGCCGGGAATGACACACTGGATTGGACCGGGCGGGCATGCAGTATGCTACTCTCTGCGGGGTGGGGAGTCGCTCAATATTGTCTTGGTCTGCCCAGACACTCTGCCGGAGACGTTGAACCTTGCCGATGCAGATCTAGAGGAGATGAGATCTTTCTTTAAAAACTGGGATCCACGGTTGCGGAAACTCCTTGGCCTGGTGCAGGAGACGCAGAAATGGCGGCTGCGGAATAGCAAAAGGATGCGCTCATGGTCTCACCCCAAGGGGAACTTCGTCCTGCTAGGGGATGCCTGCCATGCCACTCTCCCTTATCTGTATGTACCGTCCATAACTTACTTTAAATCCCTCTGGTGGCTTGCAGTTGAGATAAGTCGTTATACTCATCGATGTGTTTTAGGGCCCAAGGAGCCGCACAGGCTATCGAAGACGGGGCTACCCTCGGTACCCTGTTCAAGAAGATCCGGAGCAACTCTCAGCTGCGTGATCTCCTATCGGTATATGAACGTAGTCGCAAGGAGCGTACCACCAAGGTTATCCAGGGCAGCACCGCGTTGCGAGATGTATTCCACATGTTGGACGGTCCAGGCCAGCAGAAACGGGACATCAAGCTCCTCCAGCGGAACCCCTTTGAACCATATCCTATCCCCTGGATTGATCCCAAATTCCAGGCGTTCCTATTTGGCTATGATGCCTTTGCTGAAGCATCAAGCGCTTGGGAGAGATATATGAACGGCGAGCATTTTGCGCCGAAGCTGGGGTTCCATGCCCATCTATAGAGGCCACAGCAATGGGTATCTTGTTGTCACGACGGGAGGAGAGCCACACTATGTATAACAAAATTGTTATCCATGTATCGACAGGTATATTAGCACTTAATCACTTCGTTCTCATCACTCCCCGTAAACGATGGACGTCGTCGATGTTGATGTTGTACAGGATTAAGGCTGTAGTTGTATACGATGACTAAGCAGGCAGCTATTAGGTAAGTGGCCGATTTGTTTTGGGGGGTGGGATGGGCTTTTTGTTTTGGCGTCAAAGGGCAGCGAGCAGCGATTTCCACCCGACACCATTGTGCCATCCACCGCACACTCTCATCCTCCTCTGACAGGGCCTCATCCAGCTGAATTGCATCACGGCCAGCTCCCCCTCGCCCCCAGGCATTTCAAGCGACCGTCCCGCGCGAGTTATATCCGCCGGTCTTCTCTACACCTCTGCCCCTCCTCTCCTTCACCTCCTCCGCCTGGCTTACGACGGGCTCTCTTCTCTTCTCCCTCTCACCCACGCCTCAGCCACACCTGCATCGGAAAAACGCCAACTACTTGCTTGCCGCGGCTATTTAGGACGGAGGAGCTTGAGATCCGGGCCTGTTCCCTTGAACCCTGAGATTGATGCGCTATGTCGGTCTCTATCCGGGAGCTAGATATTACCGTTCGGGCCTTCTATGAGGGAAAAGGCGAAGCTGTAAGTCCATGATAGTGGTCGCTACGGTGGTATTTGAACCATGCTGGATAGATCTAGTGCTAATCCGTTGCTTTTCTTAATTGCTCTTAGCAAAAACAAGCCCAACAAACCCTTACTGAGGTATGTCGTTGACACTGCTGCCTGGAGCTATCTCGCTTCCTAGATATATTCGACGTGTAACTAACCGAGGCCGTGTAGTTTAAACAAAACCCCGAATCATGGGTGTTGGTGGGCAACATCCTTCAGGAATCCGAATATGTTCAGACAAAATGTATACTTGTAATTCCTGTCGATTGTCTTGATATATCATGTGCTAACTCATATCAACTAGACCTCGCCCTCCAAGTCCTCGACGATGTTATTATGACACGATGGAAAGTCCTGCCTCGAGACCAATGTCAAGGTACAGGGAATCACCCCCCTTCAGCCGCTGATGAACACCTCCATACTCACCAGCTGCATTAGGAATCCGAAATTTCATAGTCAATTGCATTATCGACCACTCCAAAACGGAGGAAAAGCTGAAGAGCGAGCGGGCCTTTCTCAACAAACTTAATCTCGTCCTGGTGTCCATCCTGAAGCAAGAGTGGCCACACAACTGGCCTACCTTCATCAGCGAAATCATATCATCATGCCACACAAGCTTGTCGATATGTGAAAACAACATGGCCATCCTCCGTCTGCTCTCCGAAGAGGTGTTCGACTATTCCCAAGACCAAATGACCTCTACAAAGGCTAGAAACCTGAAGACTACCATGTGTCAGGAGTTCTCTGCTATATTTCAACTGTGCTCTGAAGTCCTAGACACTGCGAACCAGAGCAGCTTAATCAAAGCCACCCTTGAGACGCTGCTGCGTTTCCTGAACTGGATTCCTTTGGGATATGTGTTTGAAACACCCATCATAAACACCCTCTTGACTAGATTTCTAGACGTGCCAGAGTTTCGCAACGTGACGCTCAAGTGTCTTACGGAGATTGGAAGTCTTCAGATCGGTCCACAGTACTCATACGATGAGAAGCTCGTTCAAATATTTACGGACCTTCTGACAACCGTGTCCAAGATCATCCCCCTATCTTTGGACTTGAGGGAAACCTACGCGAACAGCAATTCCCGAGACCAAGAATTCATCCTTAATCTCGCACTTTTCCTTTGTAACTTTTTCAGCGTTAGGCTACATGTAAGTCATTCACAACGCATCCTTTGGGTATATATCTTCTAACACATGTGGCAGCTTATCGAGAAACTCCCCAATAGAGATTATCTTACTCATGCGCATTTCTACCTCATTCGAATTAGTCAAATTGACGACAGAGAAATCTTCAAGATCTGTTTGGAATACTGGACCCGGCTGGTCCAGGAACTATATGAGGAGATGCAGCAGCTCCCAATCACAGATATCAATCCGCTAGTCAGCATGGGAGTTAGCGGACTTTCAAATGGCGGCGCGCCTCACCCAAGCACACTCGCAAACTACCCTCTTCGAAAGCACAAATACCAGGAAGTTCTCACCAGTCTAAGAACCGTCATGATCGAGAAGATGGTGAGACCAGAGGAAGTGCTGATCGTTGAGAATGACGAAGGTGAAATTGTGCGAGAGTTCGTCAAGGAGAGTGATACCATTCAACTGTACAAGACGACTAGGGAGTGTCTTGTCTATCTTACCCATCTTGACGTCGTAGACACGGAGAACATCATGGCAGACAAGCTTGCCAAACAAGTAGATGGGTCTGAGTGGTCGTGGGCCAACTGCAACACCCTCTGCTGGGCCATTGGATCTATCTCTGGAGCTATGAACGAGGAGACTGAGAAACGATTCCTCGTCACCGTTATCAAAGATCTCCTTGGCCTAACGGAGATGAAGCGCGGCAAAGACAACAAGGCTGTTGTGGCAAGTAATATTATGTATATCGTGGGCCAGTACCCTAGGTTTTTGAAAGCCCATTGGAAATTTTTGAAGACGGTTGTCAACAAGCTTTTTGAATTTATGCACGAAACCCACGAAGGTTTGTGATCCCAATCTGATAAATGGCTTTTTTATACGGGTGTATGTTGCTAATCCAGAGAAAACAACAGGTGTCCAGGACATGGCATGCGATACTTTCATCAAAATCGCGAACAAATGTCGCCGCCATTTTGTTGCACTACAGCCTAGTGAGACCGAACCTTTCATCGACGAAATTGTGGGATCAATGAGAAAGATCACCTGCGATCTATCTCCCCAACAAGTCCACACCTTTTATGAGGCTTGCGGTTACATGATTTCTGCCCAAGGCCAAAAGGGGGTTCAAGACCGTTTAATCGAAAACCTCATGGCACTGCCAAATGCTGCATGGGATTCGATCATTAGCCAGGCTACCCAGGACCCATCCACACTCCAAAACGCAGAGACCATCAAGATTGTTGGAAATATCATGAAGACCAATGTCGCAGCTTGCACCTCCATCGGTAGCTATTTCTATTCTCAGATCGGCCGAATTTATCTTGATATGCTCAACATGTACCGAGCATCAAGTCAACTCATTTCAGACGCTATCGCATCAGATAGTAAGTATCCATTTCTTGCATAACATGCTTTCTTCCTTCGATGATCGCTGACTTCTTGCTAGCAACGGGATATGCTACCAAGACACCGAAAGTTCGAGGGCTACGGACAATCAAGAAAGAAATCCTGAAGCTTATTGACACTTATGTTGAGAAAGCCGACGATCTTGAGATGGTCAACTCCAGCATGGTTCCACCGCTTCTCGAGGCCGTTCTCTTAGATTATAATCAAAATGTTCCCGATGCTAGAGAAGCTGAGGTGTTGAATGTTATGACAACCATTATACACAAGCTGCACGTATGTGACACTGCTGCACCCTCTTGCAATTTTTGACTATTTACGACCATCTACGACCCTTTTATTACAGAACACGCTAACCATATAATTAGAACCTTATGGACGACAAAGTCCCGATAATCATGGAGAACGTGTTCGAATGCACATTGGAAATGATCAACAAAGATTTCCATGAATATCCAGAACACCGTGTGGGATTCTTTAAACTGCTACAGGCGATTAATCTGTACTGCTTCTCAGCTTTGTTGAAACTGGATACAAGCCAGTTCAAATTTGTCATCGACTCATGCATGTGGGCGAGCAAGCACGACAATAGAGAAGTGGAAAATACTGGTCTCACCATGTGTCTCGAGTTGATGAACAACATGGCAGACTCAGATCCCCAAACCTCGAGTGTTTTCTTCCGCCAATTCTACCTCCCAATATTGCAGGATGTATTCTTTGTGCTTACTGACACCGATCACAAAGCTGGTATGTTGATTTTACCGTCGATATACACACACAAAGGGAGCCAAGGGCTAACTCAAAATTACTTCTAGGTTTCAAATCCCAGGCAATGCTCCTTGGACGAATGTTCCACTTTGTACAATCGGAGAAGATTCGGGACCCCATCTACGGTCCTGATCAGGCACCCGTTGGAACATCAAATCGGGACTTCCTCCAGGAGTACGTTGTGAATCTGCTACAAAGTGCCTTCAAGAACTTGCAAGAGTATGTTGAATCCCCTCAAATGCTATTCATCCATACAACAACATCGCTAATAACCATAATAGGGCGCAAACAAGACAATTTGTTACCGGACTGTTTGTCATGAATGATGACTTTAACAAATTCAAGACTCATCTACGAGACTTCTTGATTTCCTTGAAGGAGTTTGCTGGCGACAACACAGAACTATACGCCGAAGAAAGGGAACAGGAACTGAAAGAGGCCAAGGCAGCTGAGCGAGACCGTGCCATAAAGATAGGTGGGTTGCTTAAACCTTCGGATATGGACCAGGAAGACGAGCTGTGATACACCAACTTGGATGTTCTTTTTGATCCTTACCCTTCACAGAGAAAAACATTACGAACCCCAGTTTATGTCAAAAATTCTCTCGTTCATCTCATAGGAAGTTTGTAAATCATAACAGGCCTTATTTCAACAGTGCAGAATTGCATTCTACAATTGCACGTCATTATCAAATAGTCTCACTTCCTCGCCTGGTTTGAAGGGTGGTAAACCAATGTATGGGCAACCATCACAACGGAACGCATCCCCAAGGGAACAGTTCCCGCAACTCCCAGTTTTCCCTTGAATAGTAAAGTCAACCTCGGCTATTTCCTCGGAATTCAGTTTTAATGCTGCTAGTTTTTCGTCTGCGTTCGCACGCTGGAGTTTATCTTCTGCTTCAAACTTTTGAGCTAGCCCGCAAGTACAGTCCTTGCAGGCCCTTCGGCGCTTGCCAGCTTTGGGTCGGCATTCTGGGGCTAGAAATTATCAGTTAATCGAATTGAGCATCCTAGGGGGAAGAGGGAGAACGGAGGAAAAGGTGAACGTACGCTGTATAATAGGTCTCTCTAGTTCATCCTCGTCCATTAATTCATCCTCATCAATTAATTCATCGTCATCATCGTTCCCCGGGCTATTAAACACATCATCTGTCCCTGTCGACAACGTTACTATGTTATTCTTAGATGTCGTCGGTGGCTGTTCATGGTTATTCGCATCGATGTCTTTCTTGGCCTTCCGGCTTTTGTTTATTGAAAATGACAGTGAAACTGATTGCTCTTCAAAGGCTGGCTTTACCAGCTCTCCCTTATCATTGGCCATCAATCCGCATAGTATCGCCTCGGTGCGTGCGGGTTCTTTGATTGTGGCAGACGATCCATCCTGGTATTTCAATATGCCGCCGGGCTGTAGAGTTCGAACGATCTGCTGCAACGTTTCTCGGCCTACCAGCCGCTCGCTTTCCATGCTAGTTCCATCAACGTCTGTGAGAAGTAGAACTAGATTGTAAGTGGACTCCGGGAGGGACACAAGGCCAGCCGCAAGCCGATCAAGCATTTGTAGATCCCTGGTGTTTTTGTCATACTGATTGAGGAGCTCGGCCAGCTTGTCAGGGTTCGATGAGAGTGAAGGCGGGGAGAGCAGCAACACTTTAGGTGCACCACTCATGGTGGCAGCAGGCGACATGGCGGGCGGAGGCTCCCTGAGCACCGGTTTGTAGGGTATAAGAGCTGTAAAATCGTAAGGGGATCTTGAATGAAGAGATGACCGCTTGATCAAATTATTTTCTAAGTCGCATGTATGACTGGCGTCAAGGATTACAAATTCGATAAGCATGGTGGGCGGATACTCTAATCTAAGCAGTCACGTGGTGATAAGAAGCTCCACCAAGCGCTATCGGAGTGGCGTGATCTTTGATGTTATTATTCAACAAGCAGGCCGGACGATGGTATAATTATCTGGAACAGACATGAAAAAGCCAGGCATAGCTTATAATATTGTACCAGAGATGACACAGTGCTTTATTAGCTTGGTTAAAATGCCCTGGAAATTATAGAAGAAACGGAATAAGCGGTTCAACGCCTTATTTGATCTATAAACTGTTTTAAATAATTCCATTCTAAAAACAAGCTATTCGATATTAGCAGAAGTTATTAGGTAATGTATTGGGGTTTAGAACTCACATGGTACAGCCAACACACAGGCCCGCCGTTGCGACTTTGACGAGATTTTCAATATCTAGACTTCCGGAGACACCAGTATATTTCATCGATAGCCAGCCGATAATTCCTGTAATGCAGACACCTAAACTTGGTAGTACCTCCCTGGCATGTAGCTTGCTATTATGATTCTCAAAGAATCCCTTGATAAAGAAGCTGCTCCAAATTATGCGGGCTGCCATGTTGACAAGGTTCGCCCACAGAAGTCCATATACGCCGGATTGCGTGATTTTTAGAAACACATATGCAGCTGCCACAAAAAGAGCGGATAGAATCCCCATCCACTTGGTTTGTAGCCGTAGCTCGGAATTCGTAGCCGCGGCGGACACAAACGCTTCGGTGATGCCGTTTACTGCCAGAAATGGAAGATAATAGCAATATGACGAGAGGACTTGCTGCGTCTCGGGGGAGTCCCAGTGTGAGCCAATGACAAGCTTTATTGCAAGAGGAACGGCCGCAGGTCCGATGGCACCAATCACCACGCAAATGATAGTGTAGCCACGAAGGATAGTAACGAAGTGGGATTTTACAGCCGTGATGGATTTATCCACGGTGCGCCCGGCTTCTCTTATACCCAATAGTTTGCTGAATAAATTGCGACTGTATTCTTCAATCGGTTGGAAAACCGTTCGGGCAAGGAGGCCTCCGTAATTCGAGGCCAATGCATACTGCCCCTGGATTTCGAGGCTCGCTAGTGAAGCAAGTATGACGGAATCACTCTGCGTAAGGATATGTTTTGCGACAGACTGCAAATACAGGTTCATACTCAGGGTTATTAAGTGCAGTGGAATAAAGTCAGATACAGAATTGGGGATAGAATTGGCATTTTCCCTTAGCATATGTTAGTTTACGGAGGTCCAGACGGCAATGGCATATTCCGACTCACGTATGGTTAATCCGAGCGGGATATAGATGAAAACTGAAGTTCCGTGCTATTGGCCTGGCGGCAACGAGATATCCGCAAAACAAAAACGTAGCATATCCAAGTTGGCCAAGTGCAATGGGGAGTATCCCCGTGTTCCCATAGCGTTGGTTTATAACTAGTACAGTAGTACAGCTGAATAGAGCCCTTGCCACGGAGGATATCATCTCCACTTTTGCTCTTGTACCGTAGAGCATTCTTTGTTGAATCACCGCAAAAAGAGGTTCTGAGAGGAGTTCTAAAATAGTAGCCAACTGAACTATCAAAAAACTCATTTTCTCGGTGCGGTCAAGGACCATTTCGCCTTGGCCCAGATGAAGATAAAGAGCACCAAAAACATATGCCATTGGAATCCCCAGGGCTATCGGAACATACGAGACATTCACAACAGCTTGACTCCCACCACTCTCTGCATGTTTGGGATTTTCTTTTATCTGCTTACTGGCAGAGTCACTTTCAGCGGACTTGGTAGCATGCGTTGGTTGGCGCTGTGCTGCCAGTCTGATACTTTCTCTTGAAAAGAAAAGAACCGTAATTGAATACAGCTCAAGCTGGGAAGCGAGACCTAGGGCATACGGAGTGATGTGACGCAAGAGAATTTGATTTGCTAGAAATGTGAGCCCGCGAGAGACCACTTGGATAGCAATCAGATACACCGGGCCCAGTGCCTGGGAGGTATTTTGCGCCATGCTGGTGCCGAGGTGCTCCAAAGAGACAATATATTCTTAGATATCAACAGTAATTTCCATGGTAGACCATCCCAATTCGTGGAGACGAGGGCACACTGTGCTAGGTCTCTGGTGTCGAGAGTAGAAGTTGATACTTGTCGCATCCAAAAAACATCGGTGCTAACCACGTGATATTTCTAATTTCCAAACGCGTCGCGAACAACTTACATAATCCCCCCACCATACCTACCTATCCTTCAAACGCGTCTTCTATTAATGAGGAAACTTGACGTTGACAACTCTTCCACATACCAGAATACCTTGAGGACTGTGCATACTACACGATTCAAGATGGCGAACCAGATATCAGTAGGCGCGCTGAGGTTGGAACCCTTTATAGCCATGATTCCTTACTTTGAACTAATTTAATTCCTGCAGTGGCATGTTCGATGGCACGAAACCAAAGGTCCTCCAGCCTATACTACAATGCCTTCGGATAAAGCCTGTCACTGTGCGGGAGCAAGAACGCTTTGGGGTCGTTTTTAGTGATGTGACAAATTTTGTTCGAACAATGTTACCTACCCGTATGTACCGGCAGCCCTTCGAGTGGCTGCACTTCAGCTAACCTCCTTCCAGAGTTGAACAACTACGTTAAGGAAGATATGCTTCGCCGTGGATCCTTCGTTCGATTGACCAATTTCCAAGTGAGCGTCGTAAAAGGCAAAAAGTGAGTGGCATGGTTACGCATATTTGTAAACATGGGGTCGCCTGCTAACGATTGAAGTCTTCTCATTATTATGGGGCTCGACGTTCTCAGTGACCTAGGCGAGGCTGAGAGGATTGGAGATCCAAAGCCGTTGGAACCCAAATCAGGCGATGACATGGGAGCACAATCAGCCACTCTCTCGAGCAATGAGTTCTATAATGCACCACAGGCGCCACAAAACCCTCCGCAACATTTCCAGAATGTTCAGCGCCCTCGGACAACTGGTCCTACGCCTAACGCAAACATATTTTCGATTGAAGCTTTGTCCCCATTTTCTAACAATAAGTGGACTATCAAAGCTCGTTGTACACACAAGTCGGAGATCAAAACATGGAAAAATGCGCATGGGGAGGGAAAACTTTTCAGCGTTAACCTACTGGACGACAGTGGAGAAATTAGGGCGACGGCTTTTAAGGACCAGTGTGATCTTCTCTATCGAGTCTTTGAAGAGGGTAGTGTATACTACATTTCAAGCCCCTGCACCGTGAAGATCGCCAAGAGACAGTTTAGTAATGTCAATAATGACTACGAGCTTACATTTGATAGGGATACCGTCATTGAAAAGGTAAAGGAGCCTCCTTCCTCTAATACAGGACCATCAAGTTTCTAACTTTGATTACTAGGCGGAGGATCAAAATGATGTCCCTCAGATCCGTTTCAACTTTACTGGCCTCGGCAACCTCCAATCTATTGAGAAAGGAACTACGATTGATGTTCTAGGCATACTGAAGGAGGTCGATGCCACTTCCCAGGTGACATCAAAGGCGACTGGGAAGCCATACGACAAACGAGAGCTTACGCTTGTTGACAATTCGGGGTTTTCAGTGCGCCTCACGGTCTGGGGAAATACAGCAACTGCTTTTGACACAGCCCCTGAATCAGTTATTGCATTTAAGGGAGTCAAGGTGTCCGATTTTGGAGGCCGCACCCTGAGCCTGTTAAGTTCTGGCACAATAACAGTCGACCCCGATATCGAGGAAGCACACAGGTTAAAGGGCTGGTATGACGCACAAGGAAAGTCAAATTCCTTTACAGCCTATTCCTCCGAGGGAGGTTCTGGAGGTGGTGGCTCGTGGCCGGCCTTCAAAACCGTTGCTGAGATTCGAGATGAGCAAGTGCCAACTGCTGAAAACCCCGAAAACTTCGCGTTAAAGGCCACCGTCATCCACGTGAAAGATAATTTATGCTATCCTGCGTGTCCGAACGAGGCTTGCAAAAATAAGAAAGTGACAAGGGGTGATTTGGACCAGTGGCATTGCGAACGATGCGAAAGATCCTACGCAAATCCAAAGTATCGTTATGTACTCTCTCTTAACGCCTCTGACCATACGGGACAAATTTGGCTTAGTTGCTTTGACGAAGCTGGCCAAACGATATTTGGTATGACTGCGGATGAATTGATGAGGATTAAGGAGCAGGACGATGCAGCTGCAACTGAGATAACTAAAGGTGCAACATATTGCACGTGGAATTTTAAATGCAGAGCGAAGTTGGATACTTATCAAGAGCAGCAACGGTAAGCTTTCTCCATCCGGTGCTTAACTTGATGCTAATGATCGATTTCTAGGACCCGATATAACGTTTACGTTGCAACCCCCATTGACTACTCAACGGAGGCCGACCAGCTTGCCAAATTAATCGCCTCTTACAATATTTAGGCTGACTGTTAGCAACTGGCTGTTGGATAGACTTAAAGAATGCCCTCGTTCCTTGAAATACTTCTGGGGGATGGGTTGTCGTAGTAAGGTAGACCTCAAAGTAGTTTAGTTACATAATCAATGCAATTCTGCTGACTCATGGAATCATGTGACTGGTTATTATTCACCTCAAACTGGGGATCACAAGGAGAAGATAAAAAGCAACTCAGCAACAACACAGCGAACGAGGAACGGATCCAAAACCTCGCGACAACGAGCGATGATGCCGTTGCTGCTGCTGGTCAAGATCAATCTTCTGTAAGATTGGAAGTGGTTGAGCACCGTCTCTCGGCCATACTTGTTTCTACACCGGCTTGAAAGGATATTAGCCCTGCATACGGGCCTTCCTTCCACATTGTGTGATTATCCGCAAGACCTCTGGATTATGATATCGTTGTCTGCTCGAGACAAACGATCATATCGCTTTCTTGCAATTACTTCCCCACCTTAAACAGGCCGCCTGGCTACTGGTTGGCATCATCCTGATGAAAGCTGGGAAAGCCATATTGATATCACTATTGTCACTGTTTGGTTCGCTTTAATGAGGCACATGCCATGACTAGTTGACTTTCTAGGGAATTTATTATTTAAACGATGACTCGAATACCATGCCGCTCGACGGCGGTTCGAGGGATACGCGCTCGCCAAACCTTGCCTAAGGTTACCGCGCGCAAACATAAGATTATATTGGAGAGCATCACACAAGAGAAGAAAAAGCTTCGCAGTGCCGTATGTATATGGTCTATTCTTAAACCGTACTTACGTCAAATTCTAAGTCGAGGATAGCTTTCGTTTGAAACTAAACCGCCTGCTGGATATACGTTCATACCAGCAGGGAACCCGGGGTTCACTAATGGATGTAAGGAATTATGCCGAAAGGATGGGTTCAAGGTTTACACAGTATCGGTTAGTTCTTTTACTTCCCCTTTCTTTCTGCGATGTTTTGCTGCTCCGTGCTTTCCGTTTGGTCAACGTCTGGTTACTGACTGTTTATTCTAATATTTACAGACGACCCCCCATCAACGAGCGCATGACCTTTCTCAGCAAGTCCACAGAATCGGATACCACTTTCCTAGTGTTGTGGTAGCTACAATATGTATGGAGCGGGGGTTATTCCTCTCTTCGAGTGGGAGAGTAGTAGCATATCATAACCATCGCCCTGGAGAGACGCAAGGTAACAAAGCTGCCAACTCAGAGCAATCACAGAACACGATCGATGCGGAAGCACGGGATGCAATAAAAGATTTGTTCCCCAATATACCGACTAAAGACCTGAACACGATTATAAAAACGGCTTTTCGAAAGGTAAGTCAACCTTCATCATCGTGTTCGTTACTAATTGGTAATTAGGGAAAACGTAGAGTTGGTACTGCAGTTGAGCTTCCATTGGCACGCCGGGCCCAACTGGCAGTAGTTGCTCACATCCGTCATATCTACACTAACTACGACCGCCTGCTAAAAATGACCTCCTTCCAGGAAGCTAGGGCAGCAGTCGAGGAGCCATGCCTTGCGAAACTTGTCCATTGGAGAGGCGACGATGAGAATGGCGCAACAGTGCTTGAAGACGTATTTCGAGAAGTCATCGTTATATCTGACGATGAAGATGATGACCGAGATAACGACGAGGAGGAGGCAGAAGTACCAGCCCCATATGAGGATCGCAGACAGAATATGGAGCCGATGTCAAGCAATGCCGCCAGAGGAGAGGCTCAACACAATTATGGAGCCCCACGGGAAAACTATCCTTTTAATCCGGCTGGCGCCCGCCAAATCACTGGACGAGACCCTTCTGCTGCCAATTTTGTTGCTGTTGAGCCTCCCAAGCAGTATACAGAACGGAGGAACCATGACCACCGGGGATTTAGGAGATACGAGGCGTGGGATCGAGCAAGGACCCGGTATAGCAACCTTGTAAACAGTGGTTCTTTTGTACCCGCCGCACTAGAGCCTAGAGAGCAATACTCTCCACGTTACTCTCGTGTTGAACCGCGGTCTGCGTTCCCGGATGTTGGAGGGCATCATGTTCAGTTGTCACCAACTAGAGAACGTGCGGTGACAACACGACCTACTGATCATATCAGGAGAGAAGTCATTGCAGATTATGCGCAACCGATAGGCAGTTATACGTCAGCAGGATTTACTGCGCCGCAAGAAAGAGAGCCGCTGGTAAGGTATCCCTTAGCGTATAAGCTATATCGGCCGTTTTGAGACTAACGATATCAGCAGAGATATCATCGCCCCGCGGACCATGCTTCTTTTCCTCCTGCCTTTGAAAGAACTCAGCAGGCCTATGTTTCCCGACAAAGCCCAGTTCCTTCTAATCTACATAGGGCAAGCCAGCTCGAGTCTAGGCGCAGCTATCCTCCATCTGAGGATACAAGGTATGGGCTGGTTCATCATGAACATCCCCAACCCCGACAGGGGCCTACTAACGAAGCCCGTGACTATCCCATCCTTCCATCGATCGAGAGTCCGATGGCACCGGCTAGCCGACCAGAGAGACAAGAAGAATATGACACACGAATGCAAAGCCCGATGGTGATATCAGGCCAGCCAGTATCCAGGACCATGAGACCCCTTGGCCCTGGGCCACCCCCTCAACCAGATAGGACGGTGCAAACTCCGCATCCAAGGACGGAGAGGCACTGGGATGATCCAGGATACACCCGTGCGATTGAACCGTCGCAGAGACCTTACAGTCACTCTGGCCTGTACCAAAACGAGTTTTCTCCGCCCGTCGCCAGTCAGGCCCAGCCGCTGCGACGCGCAGAGACACTCGCACGCCCGGCCCCGGGACAGCGAATAGTCAGAGTGTCGCAGCAGAGCGGCGGCTTCAAGGACTATCCTCGCCACGTGACGGAGAGCTGGGAGCGAGGTGTATCACATCAAGCCATAGCTAACCAAGGTGATACCAGGAGAGTGGCTTCGCGGTATCCCTACCCCGACAACCCAGCGATTGTCATACGGCATAGACATAGCATGAACTCTCGCCTGGTTGCCTATCCTGACGATCCACCCACGGCTGCCGGTAACCGCTTGACGCAGGTTCGCCTATATGATCGACCCGTCGAAACGCGTCCTCTTATGGTAAGCCGCAATCTCTTTCTTGTTGCCTCAGGACCTCATGATCTAGACCTCAATGCTCATACGTATATGACACAGCCTGGCGAAGCTCGATACTCTACACAACCTCTCCAGCAGCACCACAGCAGCAACTACAGCTCAGAAACAGCAGATATGCGCTACTCCTACGTGGCGAGCGATCGTCCACCCCCAGGCACATATCCCAGTGCCGCCTCTGCCTTCCACACCTACAGATCACCTCCACCGCAAGTACGCACCTCCGAATCTACTCCTACCATTTCCCACCCTGTTGCACCTCATCAACTCGACCCAGCACATAGCTACGTCCAAGGACAGCCATACACCAGAGAGTACCTGTAGCATCCTGTTTATCTGTAGATACTATCTTCTCTTTATTTTATTTTTTTTGGCACAAGCCTGTTAATATTTACCTCGCTTAATGTTTACCCTGCAGATCGACGTATGTGAAAATCGCCCTGGTACCTGACGCAGGAACGCGCAGGCCCAAAGGCAAAAAGCCACACACAGACGAAGCTTAATAAGACTACATAATATAATCTCTCTCTTTATACGAACTGTCCTGTATACCGACATGGGCGACCCAGGGATCGATGTTAAGATGAACGAGCCCGTTCGGCCAGGGATGCAGCGTAGGATTGACCGGGGCCGTCGAGGAGAAAAGCAGGATCAGATCAAGCCAACCCGGAACTTCGGCCCTGGTCTTTACGATCGAGCACCAGGAACAACCAAGCATGTGAGACACAGGCTAGTCCTCGCGGTCTCTCGTTATGAGAGAGACCTGGGTCCTGGCTGGTCGCTGGAGTACGGGGAGATGTAACGATAACGAACGCCACCGCCGTATCTGCGGCCGAACTCGCCAGACAGACAGACAGACAGACAGACAGACAGAGAGAGAGAGAGACAGAGAGAGAGAGAGACAGAGAGAGAGAGACGCGAACTGTGGCCTTGGAGGGCATCATCTCCGTGCTCCGCCAGCAGTCCCGACCAGCAGCCAATCCGGCTTTCTCTGGCGCGGCGATGTTTTAGCGAACATGGATCATGGTTTGCCCTACGCAGCAGCTTCAACAGGTTGACAGGATCTCGAAGCCGTATCCCTACCTTATAACGTCTGACAGGTGGGCCTTATCCACCCACCGCGCTGGAGCTGGCATCAAGTCGCTTCCTGGGTCTCCCCTCTTGGGGCAATACCCAGTCTTCGGATTTGGCGATTGCGCCGTTCGGCTGGACGGAGTTGGCTGTCCAGGTTTGGCTGCGATGAAAATGGCTTCATCGCCGGCGTCTCTCGCCCCAATGGATGTCGTCTGCTGTCCTTCCTCTTTCTCTCTTCTCCTTCTTCTTCTCTTCTTCTTCGTCTTATACCGTCCTGGTCCTATACAGAGTGCTCCCTGATACCTGCGGCCAGATTGCCCTCTAATCTTGTCACCCTTGTCCTCCTACCGCTAGCTTTCTCTCGTTGGCTGGCTGGGAATACGGAGTACTGTGAGCCGAGATATACTACGGACTGCATACATATACCTATATATATACACTGCGTACGGAGGGGCGAACGTACTCTCGCAAACGTCTCAAAGCCCAGGCGACTACCATGGGCTGGCTCTGGTGACCGAACTAGGTATCATTGCTGACTGCCGACAGCCGCGGGAGACAAAACCTAGCCCCCTCGGGGTGCATACGACACACTTTCGCTGCTTTCCTGGGAGTCTTCGTCTCGTCGTGAGGGATAGATCCGTCTTCAGAACAGGAGATCTCATTTTATACAGTAGGGCCATCAATGTCCCGGTGCTGCATTGAAGCTGTCTAACATTTACACGTCTGCTCCAGAATAGCCAGCCATGGCGGAAAATGGCACAGAATTTCGCGCCGTAACTGTTCACCAGTCGTTCCACGCCGAATTCATCGTCTTGTCGTTTGTTGTTAGCCTCGTCGGGTGTGCCACATGCCTCGAGCTCCTGCACCGACGAACTGCCCGTCTTGGGCTCTATAACTGGTGGGTTGAATTCTAGCGGAGAACGCCCATGACTCGATGATCCATCATACGCTAACTAGCATGCTATGGCTTTTCAGGTACTTGTTGATCGCTGCGGCCGTTTGCATGGGAGGTATTGGAATATGGTGCATGCATTTTATCGGAAACTGCGCCATACGGCTGCATCGAGACAACCTACAGTACCAGATTTCTTATAGCTCGTCGTTCACAGCCACCTCGTTCTTCCTGCCGATTGGGGTCCTCCTCTTTGCGTTCTACTTTATCGGCGCTAGCGAAAGAGCAGGCTATCTGTATATCGTCGCTACCGGGACTCTCACCGGCGTTGCTGTCTGTGGTATGCACTATGTCGGGCAACTAGGGATTGCCAACTATAGCTGCACCTACGAGATCGGCAATGTAGTCGGCGCCGCCGTTATTGCTATCTGCGCCAGTATTACTGCGCTGGGAGTCTTCTTCCGGCTTCGGGCATCATGGACGGACAACTGGTGGAAACGGCTCTGCTGCGCGTCAATTCTGGCCAGTGCTGTGTCCGGAATGCACTGGACTGCAGCTGTGGGAACCGTGTATCGGGTGACGGACGATATCGGCACGATCGGGCAGCTCTCATCATCGCAGGCTGTTATCATCTGCTGCACACTGGTAATTATCCTTTGGTTCCTTCATGTATATTCAGACACGAACACTTTCCGCTAACCAGTATCTAGTCTTTGAGCTCGTGCTTTTTCCTTATTTGTCTCGCCGTTATTGCCGGCCGACAACGTCAGAGAGTGGCTAAAAGAGTACAGCAGCTGTCTCTCGCCTGTGCGTTTTTCGACTCTTCTGGCAGTGTCATGGTGGCACCTGATGGCAGTATCCCAACTCACAAGATAACGAATCATTACGTTGAACGAGTCAGTGTTATTCCATAGCCCCGGCATATATATATATATATATATATATTACCTTCCATGCATACTAACAGCTGCTTTCAGAGTTTCGCCGATGATGAATTCAACCGAGTGCACCCAGCATTCCTCTGGGCGTTCAGAGCAAGCCGGAATTGGCCCTATTTGAGACAGTTCGTACAGGGCATGAGTTACTATATCAAGTCGGATGAGTCTATGAAGCAGTACTGCCCAGGTGCCGGCACTACCCCGGACACAGGCGATAACAACGTCGACTTCGAGCTCATTTTCAAGCAGCTTTTTTGTATGGCTGCACAGGGCCTTTCCGACGAGTTGCGACTGCCACTCGACAAATTGGGAGTTCTGTACGATGATGTCCTATTGACGGGAACCCAAGCCTTGAAATCTCGCATCAAGGATACCGAATCTCCGCCAACACCCTCGACGGTCGTGGGAAAGGGACAATGCATATTTATAGTACGCCAGCTCAGCAAACAGGAGTCCATCGAGCTGTCGATGGGGGGGTATCGTTTTGCAGCTCCCAACCATATCTCAGCTACGTTGGCCAAGTCGATGCAGGTAGATCCCAAAGATATGTTAAACAACCTAGTACGGATGCGAGATTACTCGACTTCCGAGAGGATGTTAGATCCAGGTGTCTATCTCGTGGGATTTTCACTATACCCCTCTGTCTGGACGGGGTTCGACGTCCTGGTGTATGGAGACGCTCCGAACCTACTTCCTAATGTCCGGCTACCGATTGAATCCGTATCCCAACTACATTTGGATATATTATCTAGAATGGATGGGTGGCCGCTGTCTCTCTGTTTGAAGTGGCTAAAGGCCAACGGTGGCTACGAAGACCCCGAGGCCCAGGCTTTCTGTCAAGCAATGTACGGGGCCGCATCGAACCTCTCTGCCTCTATTGATAGTCCGACCTTTGGTCAGGCCAAATTCTCCTCCCAGCGGATAAACATTCCCTGCAGGTCGCCAGGCCGCCCGCAAGCGGCTGGAGAATGCGTCGCATTCTCATTTCACATTATAAACGGGCTACTTACCCGTACCACACCACCACACCTACGCCTTACTCCGCTGCGGCTGTTCAACGTCCAGCAGCAGGTCTACCCTGGTATTTCAGACCACGAAGTGTTCCGGGAGAGTCTGAGGGACGAGTTTTCCCACTGTCTCTACGGCGAGGGGACGAAATTAGGCAAATTACCCCCTCCACCATCCACAGCAAGGTCGATGTCGTTACGAAGCTCAACCCTGAGTCGACCAGGGGACGAGGACTCGAAGAGCATAGCGACGGTCCAGGACCAGCAGGATCCCTGGCGGCCTGCGCACGGTGGCATCGTGATCCGCAACCAAATTACGGTTGATGTGGTGCAGAAGGACGAACAGGCATTATACAATAATGACGGCTACGAGATGCAGAACCTCGGAGCTACTGTGGAAGCAGGGTATGCCAAAGATGAAAGTGAGACCTTCGTTGATGAGCTCTGCGCGATCTGTCGAAAAGCGGCGGCCGAGCAAGACCGGGTGAATAATTAATCATGAGAACTCACCCTCCCCCTTACGTATAATATCTTCATGTCTATTGTATATTTACAATTTGTCTTTATTGATGACCGCTCGAGCCAGACGTCTGTACATAATTAATGAGAAAAGTTTCACCTAAACACTGGATTATCAACACGGGCAGGGATAAAGTGGCTGCTGGCCGAGTCGGGGCAAAGCTCGCTCTGCATAGAAAAGAAACGTAGGAATATAATTTAACTAGCCCGGCATCCAAGACGGTGGCTGTACGGAGTAGGCTAAACTGGTTAATTTAAAATATTCTCCCCAGGACAGCCGCAGATCGTGTTTTGGAAAGCCGACTACCCCGCCGCCCAATTTCAGGGGTCGCCTTCAAGCCGCCATCTCGACGCCATCAGCTTCGCCCTTGGTGACCGACTTTCCGGTCTTCTTGATGACCGCAAGGACGTTCTCGTAGCTGACGGTGGGCTCGGTGGTGACCGTCGCCTTTTGCGTGTCGAGGCTAACCTCGAAGGACTTGACGCCTGTACGGTGTCAGTAAGTAGATAGAGAGAACATCTCGACAGTGACGCAGCGATCTGGGTGAACGGGGTGATCCCTACCGTCCATCTTCTTGAGGACGCGTTCGACAGCGCCTGAGCAGCCACCGCAGGTCATGGTGACGTCGAAGATGTACTGATGGTCTGCCATGGCGAGGATACGGGGCAGTGGATGGTAATCTCGGTTGGCGGCAGGCGACTTGTCTCGAGATCGAACGTAGAGATCTGCTCGGAGTATCGTATCGTCGCGAGATCGATCTCGGGGCTAATTATAGCAGGACGGCGAGCGTGGTGGGTTTATATCGAGAAAAAGAAAGGAGGCCCAAGATAAACGGACTGAAGCGCACCCTCGTACTCCGTATACTCGACACTCTCCGGACAACCGCTCAACACCACTGGACACTGAACACTAGACACTGAACACTGGACTGGACGCTGGACAGCCAACGAGAATGATGCTATTGATATCGCCTGACTCCTGGTTGCCACCAAAAGCAAAGAACCCGACGGCGTCCTCTCGTCGTTTGACCAAGTTTCTAGATGCTGCGACCGGAGCGCCCGCAAGATGTCCGCTTAGTCATCAGGGCTTATCATGAAACACCTCCAGAATAGACCATGACGCTCTCCCTGTTTTAACCAGCACGATCGCCATTCTTCGAGCGGCAGAAGACACCTTTCTGGCCGTCGAAGATACCTCCTTAGCTTCCCGTCCAGCACCGCGGGATCGCAGACAACCACCATGGCCTGCCAGGACGACGTCGACACAGGCGGCCCCGTCCAGCAGCAGCAGACCGCTTCGACGCCCATACCCAGAGACACCAGGTCCCAAGATATAGAGATGGCCTCCGAAGACTCGGCCGTCAGGCTCGCCCTTCCTCCTCGCCTCGCAGCGCGGTTCAACCGGGTCTCCGCGACCTACAGGCGCGCTTCCGTGCCCTCCATGTCCCGCCGCAACTCGTCGTCCTCGATACACTCCAATCTATCGGTCCACGGCGGTTCGCATGGCGACCACATGGCGCCGCATATCCGTCGCAACATGATCCTCGAGTCCCGAAAGGCCCGTCTGGCAGACAGAGCTGCGCATGTGGAAAAGGTCAGGCTCCGTGCAGCCATCGCAAAGAACGGGGCGAAGAGCGCTGCGGCAAAGGAAGAGAGAGCCCAGGCTGCTCAGCGCACACGGGAGAAGCTTCTAGCAGACATTACCGCAAGATGCGAGGAAGAGGTGCGCCGGGCAAAGAAGAAGGCGGAAGATACGGAGGAGAGGAAGGCGGCACAGCGCGCAAGGCTCCGCTTGGAGATGGTCGAAAAGTTCGCGGAGGCTGAAAGACGCAGGCAGCTCTACCACGAGACACCCCGTCGTCGCCGGACTTCCAGCGTCCCGGCTGTCCCGGCTGCCCCAGCGGCCGAAGGGGTGAAGATTAACAAGCCAGAAGTGACACGGCTTACCCCGGCTGCTGCTGCCCGCGTCATCCAGAAGGCATGGAAACATTACCGCTCACGGGTACTGGTTTCCAGATATCTGGCTCTAAACCTTTCCCTCGAGAGGATCGGACTGCTGGGATTCGAGCGGACCGCGGCCTTGGTGGCCAACGAGGTCACCCTCGATGTGACTGCCACCATGCTTCGGCTTTGTGGTTTGCAAGATACCCAAGGAGGCGCCCTTGGTGAACGGGGCGCTGTTCGCATCTTCCTGAGCAGCTACGTTATTGCTGCTTATCCAGAACATGTCCTGAGCAGCGATGGCGAACAGGAACAGGACTTAATCTCCAAGGCTAGAGAACTACTCGTTATCTTCCAGAACTTGCTTGACAAGATTGCTGTACTCGGACTTGCCGATGTTTCTCTATCTCCTAACATGCTATCCTTGTCCGAGGCCTACAACATGTTTGTCTCCGCCTTCCACGCTTGGAAATCTCGCGATTCAACTGTGCTTATTGAAATCATGGTTGCCCAATTCACTGAGTTGGAACTGATCTGGCAGACGGTAAAGGATGACCGGGCTGGTGGAGTCGCAGGTGATTATCAACAGGGCATCCGATACAACCAGACCTTGCTCCTAGCACGATTGAAACGGCTTGTTGGCTCTGATGAGGCTATGAAGCTGATCAAAAAGTCACTGAAAAAGGCGAACTGCAACAAACAGACCAATATATCTACTGAGAACACGATTCCCAGAGCAGTCGATAAGCCGTCGACGCCAGCAGCGGGCTTGACGGAGTCAACAAAACCGCCTTTTGAGGAAATGCTCCATTACGCCACCGCAAACATGCCAGAAGAACAGCTGGAAGTAGAGGCAGTGTCACCACAGGACCGGCTGACAAGAGCCCTGACAGCTCTCCCAAACAACCGAACGCTCGTCCATGAGTTGCTCATAAATAGGGAGTTCCGTATTGAACAACGCCACTATACTGAAGTTCGCCGGCAAATAATGCAGCATGTTTGTGATATTATGAGACGGGAGGTAGCTGCTGGCTTTGGTACCAAGTGGACCGTTGCTCTGGCCACTGTCATCCAAGATAGGCTACTCCGTTTCCTCAGGCAAGGGAACTCCTTACATAACCTAATCACTGAAGTCCTGGACCCTACCCACATTGAAAACCAGTGCAACTCGGGCACTTTTTCATACGACACCTTCTTTGATTTCATGGGCAACATACTGTCTAAGTTGTGTGCTCCATTCCGTGACAGTGTCGTGGAAGAGTTTGCAAATGATAAATCCGGGGACGAAATCGACCGCCTTTCACGCCTGATGGGAATCATCGACCTTCTTTCGCTGGATCATACAAACTTTATGCTCCAGGTGGTATCGCCTCAGCTAATTGAAGAAGGCCCGCAGTACGAACAACGTGCCTTCGATAATGATCTAGAGAACGGGACAATTACGCTTGATAGGACTCGGGAATTTTGGCAGCGGAATTATACGATGTTTGGTGCAGAACCCCAGCCGGTCATGGGCAAGATTTACGCTCAGGGCATGGTCGATCTCGTTCTAAACAATGCAGTTATTCCCGAGGAACGTATTCCGGAGACCCTTCACGCAGACCATGGAAGACTAAGACAGCTTCGATCTCAAGTCTTTAAGATCGCTGCCACTGCTTCAATTCTCCTCACTGCCAAGAACCTGCTCAAGCGTGACGTTCGCTCCCAGTGGAAGACCGAGGCAGACAGAATTCTTGCCCTGGACTGGAACAATATCAAGGCTGAACGAATTCAGTCAATTATTGATTCTACCCACCCCATGCCCACTGCGACTAGGTCTCAGCTTTTCCACACAATCAAACGTGTCGTTGCGCCAGCTATCGCGGCAACTAATGCTGCCTCTGCTCTCGCCCCGTCAGGTTTATCTGTGACCACGACCTTCCAGTCTTTCTCTGTCAGACCATCTTCGGGCTCGTCAGATGTCGGTTCTGAGCTCTCAAGTGGCGCGATATCTTTTACGGACCCCGTGGCTCGACTCATGCTCACAAGGCTCCGAGCCCATATTCTGGCCCGTTTAAGCGCAACCAATACAAGGGAACGCGTGAGAATGACGACCACGGCAAGCCAAGGCCTTGCAGGTGCTGGAATGCCTGAGTTCGTCAGTGAAGTAGGAAAAGTTGTCGAGAGCCTCGACAAGATCCGAGAGGTGGATTGGCTATGTCATTCACTTGTCCATGAGAAGATCTGGCAAGAAATCACCGTCAACTTGCCATGAAGTAGTTCCTGAAGTTTTCGATATGTCTACTACCTTTTCGTTTGCTTTATTGTTTGGCACATGAGTTTCTGTATTTTTAGTGCCGCTCGCTCCCTCAAGTTCATATATATCGCGAAGCTGATGGCTGCGAAGCTATATAACAACCGCTATCTAATTTTTGCACAATGATACGTTTTATATCGAAATTGTTACCAGTTCAGAATTTGTCTTTTATTCTACTAGTAATCTACAGACTGTCAATCTTATCAAGTTACATCGCAGTAAATCCCCTTGCATATGACCAAACTGAAGACGGGGGTTGCTCGTGCTTACATAATATTGAAGACTTGCCATGTCACATCTCAGAGGGCGCCAATCAACCGATAGGGTGGCGTCTCTACGGAACACAGCGGAACAGCAACAAAATGCCGTAAAGCCCGGAATACTACGATCAGGAGCTCAAAATGGGCGTATATTGAATGAAGATGATGGTCTCTAAGTCTACAGGCCATTTTGGGCCTCTATATATGTGTGTGTGTAAAGGGCTAACCCTACGATGAGACGTGTGTAGGTGGATATGCCAGGGGCCGTATGAGGTCACGTGATGCAACATATCCGACATCACATGTTGACGCCATTATTTATTTGGGTAACCTTTGTAAAGAAGCACAAGAAGCCAGACGGAACCAGCGCTCGAAGACGGCAGTGCGGAAATTCTGACAACCTGAGCTGAATATCGTCGGATATAGAGGCGACAAGTTTTTTATGGAATATTTCGCCTAACCGCCATGGGTGCGACCTGGGCGTTGAACGGGGAGAATGGTCGTAAAACGCCGTGATATCCTCCTTGCCTGTGTGGGAGGCTTTGTCGCATGGGGACTCATAACGAGCTGGTACCCGTTGATACGATTTATTGGATACTCTTTTATCCTGGGGGCCGTGGCTACATTAGTCTCCTTGGCTATCATTTCGATCGTCAACGTTAGGAATCCGAATTACGGCGCCAGGTCCCCGGAGTTATGCGGCCAGCCAGTGGCTTTCCTGTCTGCTGATAACTGGCAGCAGGATTCAAACAATTACGGAGATACCATTATCTACAAACCTGCTCCCCTCTATCCGCAATCGTTTATCGTTTCCGCGGCGCTGGATGAATTACTACAGTTTGTCAAGAGAGACTTTATTGGGTCATGGTACGGGAATATTAGCAACAATCCAAAATTTGCGGATGAGATTGATTCCACTATCAGAACGGCAATTGGACATATAAAGGATCGGCTACTAAAGGAAGACTTCGTGGAGATTTTTGTCGCCAGAATTGTTCCTATCGTGACGAACCATTTGAAAGATGTTGATCTGGCGGAACGAGCCGTGAGAGGCAGGAGTCTGAGCCATGGCGTGACAGAATCAGAAGAACTAGAGATTGCTATTGCTGCTAGGTACAGGGAAGGAAAACTTCATCCAGCCGCTGCGATATCTTCGCCCGACAAGGCCCAAGCTCAACAGGAACACCTACGCAAAATCGTGGTTTCGCTTCTACCTGCGATACTTCCTGCAAGCCAAGTGAATAGTAGGGCAGTATCAGTCTTGACCCGAGAGATTATCGCATGTGCCGTCTTACTCCCTTTGATAGGAGTCCTCGCTGACCCAGATACATGGAATCAGTTGATGGAAGGTTATGGACGAACAGCCCTTCAGGACCGGAAAACGGTCCGAAGATTGCGTGAGGCGCTGGACCAACATGCTCTACCTCTAGCAAAGTCAAAACAAGCCTACATATTCCCAAAGCTTAGTCCAAATGACTCCGAGAGGGACTTTGAGCGCTTCGTTAGGGCAATACGGCGCTGTAACAACTTATCTGACGCGAGGAGATTTAGAAACAATGTTGCAAGTCAGCTCAAGCGTGAAACCATGTTTGATGGACAAGACCCAGTCTATATCCGGCGATTGGAAACCGCAAAGCGGGCATTGGACCAGAAAGTTGCAAAGCTCTCTGCTCCCAGTGGCGCCAGTAATGCGCAGCCATCCACTCCAGATCAGCCATATAGCCACATCTCAAAGCCACAAGACATCTCGTTGGTGGACGTTATGCATAGCGCAGCCGGGCTGTCCTATTTCATGGAGTATATGGATCGTTTGCACCTCATGTCCTTAGTCCAGTTTTGGATCGTCGTTAATGGATTCAGGAATCCGCTCGAGAATGATATTGGGGATGATATATCTTCAGCGCCTGCGTCTTGGACCACAGCAGATAGAAATGATATGATTTTGATAAGCGAGAATCATTTATCGAAACCGGAACTCAAGGTCGACGAGGAGTCTCGGAAGATTGTCAAAAGTTTCATCTCGGCTGGCAAGAGGGCGTCAGCAGAACAATACTGGAGAGCGCGGAAAGTGGTTCTAGCTACCCAGTCAGCAGTTTTGGAAGAGATGAAACGCAAATACTATCCCGCATTCAAAAAATCAGACCTTTACTACAAATTCCTAGCTTCTGACGAAGCGGGAGCGGCAGCAATGACAACAGCAGCCGCATCCCCTTCTCAGGAACTAGACAGACCGCCTCTTAGCCGGTCAATGACTCCCGGGAATTACCAAGCTTCCCGGGTTTCCTCTCCAATGCTTCGAACAGACTCCCAATCCAGCGTGAAGCCAGACTCTCGTCGAAGGTCTACATTGTTTGGCTCTGATGTGCTGGAAGGCGGGCAACGCTTAGATTCAGACAACCCACTGTTCACCGACGACATTGAGTCTGACATTATGGAGGCTTCGACACATAGTCTTGGCCGAGACTCTCAAAGCGGTGAGACAGATGTACAGACAAACCGAGTGTTGGAAAACATGGAAGCTGCTCTCAATGATATTATTTCCAATACCCCCAGCGAATTAAAGGCTGACGAGGCCAAAAGTGGGCTTCCATCACCGTCCCCAAGAGCCTCGCTCGATATGGGTCGCGCAGATGGGCAGACCACCGAGAAAGGAAAGCCGAGCATATCATCGTTAGGCCTTGTCAATACATCTTCTCGAATTGGGGTATTTACAGATGATGATTTATTCCCAGACCAAGAGAAATTTATCGAGGATGAATATGCAGACCCAGATGTGCCAGAGAATGACATCCCTATAGAGGAAGAGATTCATGAGGCAGCCCCCGGGGACCTGGGCCTTACAGAAGCGATATCGGCTCTAACGGCAGATATAGAGAAGCTTGTTTCGCAGGAAGCTGTGATCGATTCGTTGACGAGGAAAGCAGAGTTGACGAACAACGTGGCAGAACTACGTATTCTAGGGAAATCCAAATCGAGCTTACGAAGAGAAATTCGACGTAAAGAGATGCAGAGACAGCAGTATATTGTGCAGGAGAGTGACAATAGTTTATATGGGCGCTCGACGGTTCAAATACCATCGATTTTACTTGATAAGGAGCCCGATGGTCGCGAGTACGCTTTATGTAGGTGTTATGCTCCTTGGCAGTTGTTCTAATGATGGATACCTTCTAACTTATAGCATTGATTAGATGTGATCGAGGTGAAACGGAATGCGGGTGAACAGATGCCAGTCGCCTCATGGGCTGTCCCACGACGATACAGTGAATTCCACGAACTTCACCAACGCCTTCGAGCACGGTACCCTTCAGTGAGAAACCTGGAGTTCCCACGACGACGTATGGTTCTAAAACTCCACAAAGATGTTCTCCATAAGCGCCGTGTCGCGCTAGAATCGTACCTAAAACAGATACTCCTTCTACCCGATGTGTGCGGTAGTCGTGACCTCCGCGCATTCTTATCTCAGCGAGCCATTGCTCCGTCCCGGGAAAAGACCGGAGAAGGCGAAACTAGAGACATAGTGACACGTCTTTACAACTCGGTGGCTGACGGCATGGACGATTTCCTCGGGAACATCGCTGTGCTTGATCAACTCTCTACGGCAGGTCAGAACCTCATATCTGCTGCAACAAGCCAGTTGGGCGCCTCCCAGGCTGGAGGACTCGGCGCTGAAGAGGCAGCCACAGCAGCCGAAGCAGAAGCAGAACTTAACGCGTTTGAAGATCGGGAGCTCGAGCCCTTCATCAAGCCAATCTGTGATATCTTTTTAGAAATCTTTGAACTGACGAGGGGCAACAACTGGCTTCGTGGACGAGCGGCTGTTGTTGTCCTACATCAGTTGCTTGGTGGAACAATTGAACGCAAAGTGCGGGAAAACGTCAAGTCTCTACTCCAGGATAACTCTCTGCTCCATTACATCGGGCTGATAAAGGATACTATGTGGCCGGACGGGAAGCTGCGTGAGGCCAAGCTTCGAACGGGCCCGGAGAAGCTCAAGAGCCGAGCGGAAGCAAGTGTGATGCTAGCTACTTTGATCCCAGAGCTTGCAGCGGGTGTCGTTGGGCGTGCAAATGCGCAGGCTGCCGCGAGACGGATATTTTCAACACTGAATAACCCACGGCTAAACCTACATCTTGTTTATACCATTCTCGACGAGATGCTCCTTATTTTATCTAATGGACGATGAACGTGTATTCATTCTACTATACATATACCTCTATACCCTTTTTATTTCTTATGAAGTTGATAGAGATAGTAATAACGAAGTCATATTACAACGCATATCCTCTGGGCTTACCAACTTGATATCCATGATACCAATCTAAATGTATAAAGGAAACAGAAGATGAGAGAAAGTGAAAGCGGAGAATTTCAAATTAATTCAGTACGACGACTCGACGCCCCTTGTGACAAAGAGTATCTAATGCCCGTTGCTAGCCATAATACGACGACAATCACGACGATGGTTTAATGGTGACAGTGATAAAAACTACTCAGCAGCGGCAGCACCCTTCTTTTTGCTCTTCTTGCTGGGGGCGGGTGCACCTTCCTTCTTCTGATGTACAATGAGCCTGGTCCACGACTCTTCCTTATCCCACTCGAATCCAGCCAGGATGGGGTTATCAAGCTCGTCGTCGGCCTAGATGGGATGTTAACCACAAAAGGATACCCACTACGAACTGGCAACTATATGAGCTCACCTTCTTCCTGAATTGCTTGTAAATAGCATCGAGCGAATCCTTGATTGTTACGCCTTTTAGGTTTCGAGCAGTGACCGCGAGGCCTAGTGGGAAATTTAGGTCAATCTTCTTGACCGGCGGTGTTGTGAGGAACTTCTTGAGGACATCCTTGTCCTCCAGGGACGAAGGTGAGGTGTTTAGCTTCCTATAGAAGGCATACATGGTCAGCACCTGTTTAAATGACCAAGATCGAGACATGATACTGCTTACCAGTTGAGCTTCTGTGTTTCTGGGGCTATTTGCAGTTCGATCCCTAGTCCTTCTACACGGTTGAGAGAGAGAGAAAGAGGTTAGCCACCGCGAGTCAACGATGACAAGAGATAGGGAGCAGCATACCTAGGTCTTTAATGTTCATGACGTCCGGGCTCGAGCTGCTGACCTTCTTCGAGGCTTTCTTGGCCTCTGCTGGCGATGGAAGGCCGGCGATGGCGGAATCGACTTTGGTAAGTGTGGCCATGATGAGCGAGACGGCACGGGCTGGAGTAGGTTGATGTGGTAAACTACATGTCCTTGTTAGGGAGTGACAAGTAGGGAGGCTAGCCACCGGCGACCTACCAATCGAGTTCCGCAGAGCGTGTGAGATAGCAGTTGGAGTAGCTGACGGACAGTTGCTGGGCGGTTTGATGGATTGTAGTCAGGAGAGACTGGAGAGAGAGAGAGAGAGGAAGAAGAGAAGAGGAGGAGGAGAAAGGGGAAGAAAGCGGGGTATATAAGAGCAGCCAAAACAGCGTACGCAGCCACAGGCCGGAAGGGGAAATGGGAGGTACCTCCGTGAAGGGAGGCAGGACCACGAGAGTGACCTGCTGCAGCCGCGAGCCGCCGCCCAGCAGCAAGGTCGCGTGCCATGTACCGCCCATGTACCTGGTACTTCCACCTTCCCGGGCACACGCGAGGAGCCAGGCCTTCGCCTTGTCCTTTGCCTTGTCCCTTCGGCGTCCTCGTCACCTGAGCTGGCGTCACACCAGAGCTTATCCCCCGGAGCTCGGCGTCTCACCCTCTGCCTCTATCCGTCCATGTGTCTGTCTCCGTCTCCGTCCTGTATCGAATATCTCCATCCACGCCCTATATGGCCCCAGTCACCGTCAATTGTCTCTGTCAAGGTCTATATGGCCTGATGATGGCCTGATGTTGCTGCTGCTGTTGCTGTTATGACTGAGCTCCCTCAGGATCCGCAGCTTACATAAGTAGCGGCCCTGCACCCCGCATCCAGCTTGTCCCAAAGGGGAAATTCGGCGGGCGACCCGTGGAAGCTCCACCCTTGCCCGTTTTAGGATATCACGTGTATATTAGTCATGTATTATATAATAAGGTCACGTGTATATTGTTGATTAGTCAGTTAGACAATTTATACCTAACCTCTCTCTTAACTTTACATGCTTGCTCCGAGGGCGCTTCCTTTATGATAGATATCTTGAACGCGCTCGCGAAAACCGCAGTCCCCTCCACCCTATACCATATAATAACTACCTTGTTAGCCCTATCGAAAGGCGCCTCCTACTTTTCTGTCAACCTCCTACAGTCACCACAGCCACGACGATGACGGGCCTCTTCGGCAACATCTCGTCAAACACAACCACCGCCGCCTCCAACACAACGGGCGATATCTCAAAGGATGTTGCTCTGGTCGCACCGCCAGAGGATAGTATCTCGGATCTCGCCTTCTCTACCCAGAGTGACCATCTAGCCGTCGCGTCATGGGACAAGAAGGTCCGCATCTACGAGATCAATGACCAGGGCATGAGTGAAGGGAAAGCCATGTTCGAACATCAAGCCCCAGTTCTCAATTGCTGCTGGTCTCCGGTACGGCCCTTTCTTTATATATATTCCATTCTGTTAGCAGCTCAAAAGTATACTCACAGTTTTTCACCTAGGATGGCTCAAAAGTAATTGGTGTCGGAGTAGACAAAGCAGCCCGCATGCTTGACCTCCAGGGCAACCCTACAACCCCCGTCCAGGTTGCCGCCCACGATGCGCCGATTCGAAGCTGTTGCATGATACAAAATCCGGGCAACTCAGCCCAACCGCTCCTTGTCACCGGTTCGTGGGATAAAACTGTCAAGTACTGGGATCTGAGGCAGTCGACCCCAATTGGGACCCTGCAGTGTCAGGAAAGAGTCTACTCCATGGATGTCAGCAAAACCCTCCTAGTCGTTGCCACAGCCGACAGATATATCAACATCGTCGATCTCAATCAACCCACCAACATTTACAAAGTCATGCAATCCCCGCTCAAGTGGCAGACCCGAGTAGTGAGCTGTTTTACCGACGGCACCGGGTTCGCAATAGGCAGTATAGAAGGCCGCTGTGCCATTCAATATGTCGAAGAAAAAGATGCAAGCGCGAACTTCAGCTTCAAGTGTCACCGCGAAACCCCACAGGGTCAACAGAACGTCAGCAACGTCTACTCTGTCAACTCGATTGCCTTCCACCCACAACACGGTACATTCAGCACTGCAGGGAGCGACGGAACATTTCATTTCTGGGACAAAGACGCGAAGCACCGCCTAAAAGGCTACCCCAGCGTTGGAGGAACCATATCCACCTCCACCTTTAACAGAAATGGAAATATCTTCGCATACGCTGTCAGCTACGACTGGAGTAAAGGATATACTGGAAACACGCCCCAGACACAAAATAAAGTCATGATGCACCCTGTCACACCGGAGGAGGTTAAACCACGGGCAACTTCGACAAACGCGCGAAGAAACAGATGATCTAACTCCTTCCATAGTCTCTTTCTCCCTTCGCTTCTTCCTCTCTCTCTCTCCCTTCCTCCCTTCCTCGCCCTCTCTCTCTCTCTCTCATTACCAAGCTTATGAGCACCAGGTACACGTTGACGAGCAAATATCGGCGCCATGTCCCTACGATAATAACAGCTACAAGTCCCGGTTCGCTCTTAGAAACATGTGAGCTTCCCCCAGAACTAGTAATGTTGCATACAATATTCATTTATTTTTCTCTACTCGGGTGTTAGAAGAACGACGGTAGTATGTACTGGTTTGGAGAGTAAAAGGAATATATCAATCGGCGTTGCCAGGCTTCTTTGCTTTGAATTAAAATAGTTTCTCAAATTCATTCACCACTACTACCACCGTCCATTCCGCAAATGTGTCTATTACCTAGTTACCCTTACAAATTTAAACCCCTCAGTAGACTTAAGATGAAGTTACAATCAATCCATAGCTAAACTTGCTAGAAGATGAAATGAACCTCTAGAGCAACTCGCAAATCATTTGCTCAGGACGTGGGTAGAGTGACTTGAGAAACGCCATCAGTAACCTCCTCAACAGCCTTACCATCTGTCTGAACCACTGCTGTTTCTGATCCACCATCCTTGGCTGATGCCTCAACAGAAACTTTGCTGTCACTGGGCCCTTCGTTCGGTTGGGCCTTTTGCTGCTTTTTCTTAGACTTTGCAGCCTTTTTCGCTAACTGCTTCGCCTTCTCTTCTTCCTTTTTCACACGATCAGCCTGGGATCCGCCAAACTGCTCTCTCCACTCATCTGCCTTTTTAACATCAATATTGCTAAAGAGGTATTTTGCCTTGCCAACCCGATGGCCCGGCTTGATATTGGTGGGTTTCCATCCGTCCTTGATATCATCGAGGCTTGGTATCTGGCTAGCTGGAGCGTCTAATTGTTCGAGAATAGAAGCGGAAGTGGCAGGGAGGTATGGGCAGAAGACGCTCGAACAGAGATGGATCAAGTTCACCACAATGCCAACAACCGCTGCTGCACGCTCTGGTTCGTTTGCTATCAGTGAGTTGTCAAGCTTATTAGCCTGGATTAAACCGTTACCAGCTTCGGCAATTTTCATGGCAGTGAGGATGCCAGCTCGCAGATGGACACCTTCCATGTCGTTTATATATTGGCGGAGAAGACCAGTTACTTCTTCTAACACAGGGTAGAATGGTTCAGTAACGGTGAACTCTGGAATAACCGAACTATAGGCCTTTGGGCTAGCAACCAGCTTGATTACCCGGTTTACAAGGTTACCAAGTTTGGCGAGTAGCTCCCCGTTGTTGCTATCAATAAAAGACCTCCATTCGAATTGAGTGTCACCAGTCTCTGGACGGTTCTTTAGCAGGTAATATCTCCAAACATCAGCTGAAATTCCCGTGTCCTTTGCGTTGTTCCCGAAAACACCAATTCCGCGGGATTTGCTGAATTTTCCTCCTTCATAGTTGAGATATTCAGTCGTACTGAGATGGTGTAGCATCGTCCATTTGTCTTTTGTACCTAGCTGGCAACCAGGGAAGATAACTGCATGGAATGGTACGTTATCTTTCCCAAGGAACTGATATAGTTGAACATTCTCAGGGTTCCTCCACCACTGTTCCCACTGGGGGGTATAGTTGGCGGTGATTGAAGGGTATCCAATACACGCCTCGAACCAGACGTAAAGAACTTTCTTCTCATATCCTTCCAAGGGGACAGGGACACCCCATTTTAGGTCTCGAGTGATGCCACGAGGTTGAAGGCCCTCCTTCAACCATGACTCAGTAATAACGCGGCTGTTCTTCGGCCAGTCGCCTTTCTCAATTGCTGGGCCGACCCAACGATCAATTTCAGGTTGAAGTTTGTCTAGCAGGAGGAAAATGTGCTTTGTTTGCCGACGAACTGGAGTCGCGCCATCCACCTTGCAACGGGGATTGATCAGGTCGAAAGGGTCAAGCAGGTGCTGACATTTATCACACTGGTCTCCTCGAGCATCGTCATAGTGACAACGCGGACATTCACCTTCGACAAAGCGGTCGGCGAGGAAGGATTCGTGTTTCTCGCAAAAGGGTTGTTCTGTTGTCTTTTCCTCCAAATATCCGTTTTCGTGAAGCCTTTTGAATATACCCTGGGATATTTCTGTGTGCGGTTTTGTAGGAGTACGTCCAAATATATCAAATCCTATATTGAACCACTCGTAGACTTCCTGATGTATCTTATTATATTTCAGGCAAAGTTCCTCGGGAGTCACACCCTCTTCCAAGGCCTTGGTCTCAGTCGCAGTACCGTACTCGTCTGTCCCGCAAACATACAACGTTGGTCTACCGCATGCCTTATGGTATCTATCAATATTTGCACCCATTAGTCTCGTAGTTATGCTTGCAAGAGCTTCTGAAGTGTCTCAAGGGGTGTCCGGAGCTCGCATCGACTCGCCTTGAAAGCACATCAGCGCTCAATACCGAGCCAACAATATTGCCTAGGTGAGGAACATTGTTCACGTATGGCAAAGCACTGGTGATAAGAATATTCCTTTGGCCCTGTTGGGGCAGAATCTTCGGTTCTGAAGCCATGGATGTTTCGGGCTAATCGTGTGGAAGTGGGATGGTTATGGTTATGGCGGGGTTGCGAAAAACGCGAGGATAAGAAATGTCACTTTTGGTCACAACCCAAACTCAGCCTCAGGGAAAAAAATATATATATATACTTTCTATCGCAGAAATCCTTTGATCCTTCCTCTACATGAAATCACGGGGCTCTACCGCCATTCCTATGCACTATAATTCGCAAGAATGGACAAGGGCCATTTCCTCAATGATATCCTTGGCCTCGAGGACGAGTTTTATGCCGAAGGATACACATTAGGGACGCTTGATGGAACAAAGGCTGGCTACAACGAGGGTTGCGTTTTCGCAGTCGAAAATGGTTTTGAAAAGTTCCAGGCTCTAGGTAGACTCTACGGGAAAGGGATAGTATGGGCTAAGCGTCTGTCAAACCAACAGGAGGTGTTGCAAAGCACCCCTGAGCTAGCAATCAATAACGATGACGACGCGCAAACTGAGTCCAGGATAAAGACAGTGGCATCGGACATAAAACCCATCCCGGCACAAGAAGTCCCCAGCCTTCCTCATAACCCACGGCTGGAGAAACATATTACGACTTTCCTCTCACTAGTGAACCCTCTCACATTGTCTTTGGAAAACAATGAAGAAGCCGTTGCCGACTTTGATGACCGATTGAAAAAGGCCACCGCGAAAGCGAGAATTATCGAGAAAATCCTTGGGGAACCAAGTGATCATACTCCTCAGAGCTCCCTAGGAGCGAGCAACATAGAGGATATCAGTTCGCTTCAAGTCAGCCTCTCCAACAACATTCAGTCACGAAACTCACCTTCCGCAGTTTCGTTCTAAGTTTCTCAGAGCAAGGGCCTATCCAACAGTAGACTAGGAGCCTAGATTCAAGCGGTTGTTTGAGAGCTGGACCAGCAGAGTAAGTAATATTCCATTTTCTTCTTCACATAACACTTTTCTAACATGCAAGATAGTTTCCTATTCCGTTCCGTTTTCTCTAAGCGGACTATAATTTTATGAAGCATATCGCCGTTAACAAGAGCTGTTCCCGGGTATGCAACACCGCACATCCATGCGCTAGACAGCCTAGTGAGCTTGTTGCTCTTGAGTACCTATCATAGACACAATTCCTTATGTGTAGACGGTGATACTCAGCCCTCGGCTCATACTAGTTGAGCATGTATCATAACGGGTACATGGTCGAAGCGTTAATATGCACCACCCCAACCCTGTCCTTCCCACTAGGATTGACCGCCAGTATATAGAGGAAGCTCGCTCCCGTGATAAGCTGCTCCGTCTGATTTGATTTATTTCTTACGGCTCCCTCCGCTAGGCGCTATTTGGCGGAATACTGCATGGTTGGGATACGGGTAAACCAAGCCAATATACGAAGGTACACCTAACTCTGGACCAAGACCCTTGACCATTTATTTGTCTTTTAAGTATTGGGATAACTATCAAGGTTATAAGTCCTCTGGAGGTTCTAAAGTTCATACAATATTTTTCCGTTGGTTTAACCATCAAGGAATGTAAATAGATAATGAACATCCATCAAAAAGGCGTCGCGACCATCTAGATAGCCTAGTTACAAGCCGCTAGACAGGGGTTTCATATCATCATGCAAGAGGCCGTTTGATGCCCGGAAGAACATAAAACTAAGCGACAGCGGCATGTATGATGACATAATATCAGGATATCCTCATAATTAACTGCTTCTCTCGGCCACTTTGAATTTTATAATCTCCATTCCCATCCTATTCTTCAGAAGGTGTATAAGTTTATGATGGCATCTCATAAACTAGAATTGTCACACTTTGCGGACCTCACGCCAGCACCGCAAGAGCGTCTATGGCATTCCGCACCCCACCCGCGGCTCCCGATTGCCGCGACCTGCGGCGCAGATAAAATGATACGCATCTACTCACTCTTGAATTTTACATTAATCTCCTCAATATCCGGTGGCCATAAACGAAGCGTCCGCAGTTCAGCATGGAAGCCCAATTCTCGGGAAGAAACTGTGCTTGCGACTGCAAGCTTTGATGCAACTGTCGGTATATGGAAACGGTGGGATGATTTCAAGGATACTTCAATGGGTGTGGCACACTCATCGATGCTAGAAGATGGTAACATGGATAAATATTCAGCACCAGAGGGTGAAAATGAAGAAAGTGAAGACTGGACATTTGCTGTTCTGCTAGACGGTCATGATAGTGAGGTCAAAGGTGTTTCTTGGTCTTCCTCTGGCTCCTTTCTTGCAACATGCTCTCGCGATAAGTCGATTTGGATATGGGAGGATTTAGAAGATGGCGAAAGTAATTTCGAAACTATTGCTGTGCTCCAGGACCATCAGGGCGATGTTAAATGTGTTTCCTGGCATCCAGAAGACGATTGCCTCGCTAGTGGAAGTTATGACAATACCATTCGACTATGGAAAGAAGACATTGATGATTGGAGCCAAGCTGCATGTCTCAGTGGCCATGAAGGCACCGTGTGGGCTGTTGACTGGGAGGCACCATCGCGCTCTAGGACAGATTCTGATAATCACAACAAAAACGGCGCCCTTGATTTACCTACCATACCTAACACTGGAGGGGAATCGACATTAGCACAGGGAGTTAAGCCGTGTGCGCCACGGCTAGTGTCTTGTTCGGACGACAAAACCATCCGTATTTGGAGGAAATTGTCCGATCAGGCCCTCACAGATACCCAAACCTCAAATAACTCGATACCAGGCACTATACGTACAAATTCCATTGACGAGACATGGGTTCAAGAGAGCATTTTGCCGGTGGAGCATGACTTGTCCATTTATTCGGTGGCTTGGAGCAAACGAACGGGTCTTTTAGCTTCTACAGGTGCGGATGGGAAAATAGTGATCTATGCAGAGCGACCAAAATCAAGCCAAAAGGATCTTAAACCCAGTCTTCATGATCACTTAAACCAGCCTCCAATCAACACCGGGGAAGACGGAGGCATCGATGCCATTCCTACTGAAAACACGCATGATGTTGATATTCATACACCAGAAACAGAGTGGCACATATTGTCCACCGTTGAAGCAGCTCATGGTATCCATGAAATCAATCATGTATGCTGGGCAAAACGAGCTGATATTCATAGGAGTCCAAGTTTTAAACCAGGCGAACAAATTCCACGTATGCAAGAAGAAATCCTTCTTAGTACTGGCGATAACGGAATAGTCAGGGTTTGGGAGATAGTCGAAAAATAATTGTCCTAGTGAACAAGGTCCAACATTCAATCTTGGCTTGCTATTTGCCGTCGTCCATATTCTTTTTGTTGATTGATACGGGTGTAAAACTAAATGGTAGAGGGGTCCAAGGTCGGGGGTCGATGGAGCCAAACACAGAGGTATGAGTAGTGTTATATTTATAATGAATTTATCACGCCCGCTGTATATTAGATGAGAAATGCACCAGACGCCTAAAGATACAAAATACCGGGACTTCAAACTTGACAATTGTCACCTGTACATCAAGAAACGCAATAAAATAAATTCAAACACACCAATCTAACGGATGCATGTCAGCCAACGTTCTGATTTGATGTTTAACGCATTGAAACTTCGCGGTAACCTAGCCTCTCCCTTGTATGTGCGATGCCTTTTCCTCATTACAACTTCCTTCGTCTGCGGATGCGCTGCCCCTTCGATCATCATGCGCCTCCGACGCTTCAGCGGCGTTATATAAAGTCTCTAGTTCTGCTTCGTCAGGCCTAGCAGCGGATTCAATGTCTCCTCTCCCACGGTGTTTATTCCTAAAGGTTGGTAGGCTGCCAGAACTGAGGCCCTCGAGGTTAGGGTAGATTCCTTGGTATTCTCCTCCCTGTTCACGTCTCTTGGACCGCCAAATAAAGAACCCCCATATAGAAGCGGCAATCGCAACTACAACCAAAGCGACTTCGCCAGACTTATAATAGGCCCGCCATGTAGCGATTTTCATCTTTTCTTTTTCGCGTTCTTCAGCAGTTGTGCTGTTTGGATGAGCACCCACAGATGTCGGGGTTCCTTTGAAGCCATCGATTCTGGAGTCGGCTGGATCACCTCCAATGCTTGTGATATCAACGTCGATAAAACGGTCCAGCATATCACGCGAACGCCGAGGGAAATCAAATGGGACCATATGGCTAGCATTGTAGAACTCGACATACGTCAGGTTTCGGGCTTGCTGATATATTCCGGCCGGATGGCCTTCAAACTCCCAATCATGACGCGGCGCCCAAACGCCAGGGGATAGCTCGAAACCCGTAGCGCCGGACCATTTCATGTTATGAATTAAATCTTCGGTGCCAATATGGTTACAGATCAAGTCTTTGTCACCACTAAACAGAAGAATTGGGATTCCGCCCTCGAGTAAGCTTGGGAGTAGTTGGATAGAAGGCACGGACTTTTTGGCTCGTAGGCTTCTCCCTACGCCTGGTGAACACTCGCGCCAACCTGTCGTCTTATCCTCATCGATATTCAATGCCTTCACAACATCTTCTCGACGAAGATATGAGGTAACACTGGATATATCTGGTGGCCAATTCATGCCGCATGAATCGGATGTGTCCTCAAGTCTGATATCGTACATGTTGAGACACTTCCCGTCAGTTTTTGTAGTGTCAAGGATCATATTCATCACCTTTTCGCATTCGTCGATATGGACTCCGAATTTGCCCGCTTCGTTGAGTTTGGACAAACATTGTGTCTGTTGAGTTTCCACGGCCTGAGCTTCGTCGGACGCCTTATCCAAAATGCCCTCTTTATAAGAATATGTTAAATATGCACGATATTGCTCATGTGGAGAAATCCACCCGTTTCCAATGATGAGGCCTTCCACATTCCAGGCAGTCTCGTTGGCAGCTAGCTTCTTGTTACGCTGAACGATGGCCTCGGCTATATAAGGGATATATTGACCCGCATATGATTCGCCGGCGAGATAAATCTGCAACATACAATCAGTTTATGGCGTAGCTAAAAACGAGGAGCCAGAAGTGGACAGCGATCACGTACGTCGTCATTCTCATACTCGGGAAATAATTTAAACCAACGATCCAGGAACACAACGAACTGTTCAGCCATCGGGCCTAACTCATTGACATAGCTATCCGTGCTGACATAGCTGAATCCGGTACCAACTGGCTGGTCGACAAATAGAAGATTGGCAAACTCATCCCATGAGCCCTCATTATAAATCAGAGTATGGTCGTCCTTTAGTCGATAAGGACCGACTTCCATCAGAGCGCCATCCATCGAACTGCAGCCAGGACCACCGTTCAGCCATATTACTGTTCTCTGGCGGTTTGCTATATGGCGGTTTTGGTAATGCCAAAAGAATAGGTTCCCCTTGTGTTCAGAATCGACCTCGACGTGCCTAAGGTTTGGTACGAGTTAGCGGTTGCTGGATAAGATAACAGTCACACATTCATAGGAGAATTATTTACCCAGCGTGCATCTTGAGTAGAGGGCCCTCGGGCTGGCCCGGAAGGGAGCGAACGAAGTAATCTGAAGCACATTTTGCTAGAACAGCGGCTGGGTTCGATAGCAACAGGAGTAGCAAGACCCATCTTGCGCCTGCGCCGCCAGACAGTGTCAGGCGAGGGTTGTAACGCATTTTATGTTTGGCAAATCTCCGACGCGCAGTAACGCATAGTTAGGGCCTGGTCCGGGAGGGGATCCTGTGTGAAAAGAGAGTGGGAAAAAGGTGACTGGTGAAGGACTTTCCAGCCAGCCCGAACATTGAACAGCGAGACGTCTTGGGGATGGAACATTTGGGAAGCTAAAAATGGAGGCTGACTTCGGTTACATAAGCCGCCCCTTTCTCCATACAGTTTCACCCCTTAACTATCTTCATCTTTTATTCTCTTCTTCTGCTTCTGCTTCTTCTTCTGCTTCCTCGCTATGGCCTCCTCTCCCAAGTACATTGCTTTTGATCTACAGGCAAGTTGCCACATATTAATAGCTTTGCTATGATGTGTGGCGACGTATTATCAAATCAACATCGTCGTAACTCACAACTAGATGGATACGCCGTACACTATCCACCAGGCTTCGTGTAACAAATGGTATGCTTTGACACTAACATTATGGCTTGACCAACGCATCCTTGGGGTATTCAGCTATATATTGGCTCTCAGGCGTGAAAGTCAACAGCATGCCTTCTTTTATAAAAGGTCCTCTATCGCCTTGTCCGCGTCCTTTTTGATAAGGTCAGACATGCCCTGTAGTATTATAACCGCATGTTAGTGAACGGAGATGGTAAGTTGGGTAGGAAAGAGAGAAAAGGCTCACTTCTGGCATAATTGGTCCTCCGTCGGGCCCTTTCACATATCGGAACGGCATTTCTATAGACTCGCACTTGTCTATTCGAACCACGGGAAAATCTATCCAAGGTATTTGGTCCAACGGTACTGCAGCAGGCGTAAGTTCAGCTTCATGAGTACAGAGTATTCAATCTTGAAAAAGGCAACTGAGGGAACTTTTTATAACAATGCTTCCGAGCCAAAAAAAAAAAAAAAAAAGAAGAAAGGAAAATTAATTCATACCTTTGTCCTGGGTCACGATCCGCGTCACTCTGACGGCGGTATCTGTAGTCATCTGCTTGGGGCCTAATCGACGGCATGCATACCCCTTCTGCCTCAATTCAGAGGTCCGGTCTGCGGAAGGTTAGTATGCACTGATGGCGATATGAGTTACCGCAGCCCACATACCTCGTGGTGGATGGTCGCCTAGACGATGAAAAAGCTCTTAGTTAAAATGGTCAAGGTCGACCTTCTCAGGTGCAGAATTCTATCCCCATTGGGTCATACCGAGTATACCGCCAAACAGGAAAATTCGAAACTCATCTCCGTCAGCCGGCGACAGCTCTGTGGTTGCCGCTGGATCCAAGAGGCAAATGGCCGACTTCCTGTCTGAAAAGAGCTCCTCCACGCTCTGGTGCTCAACACCCAGGTTACTCTGTGACGACAGGCTTGTCGGTAGGCGCAGAGATTCTTGCACGGATGTCAACATGAATTTTGACCCGGCGTTGCCCAGCTCTTCAGCAATGCATCTATACTCCAGTGCAGACCATGACCCAAGTTCCGGATCAAGATGCTCGACAACGAAAGTAGCGGGTATTAGCCCATCCTGGGCCGGACCCTGGCCTTTATCAGCACCCATCTTTGCCCTTTTCCCGCCCTCTGGAGTGAAGACGGTCGTATCTAGGGAGAAAATTATCCAGAAAGACTCCGTCGAAGTAATTAGCTAATAGCAGAACGCCTAGTAATTCGTCACGGAAGAGTGCAATTGCATAGCGCTTTTAGTGGTAGCTGCCAGCCGTTTTTATTGGCCCTCTTTGGTGGAAATTGTTATCGATATCGTGATTTTGGCGCAAGTGGGATGGATGGGCAGAAGTCTAATGTGCCGACAGGTGATGTAAGGCGAACGTCAGTCTTGTATCTTCGTCCTCTTCTCTTCATCTTCTTCCTCGCCTTCGTCTTCCAACGACTACATAAAATCCATCAGCCGGCCCCCTTTCAACTTCCTGACCTCGCTTACGCTCTCTCGTCGTCCACCCGCCCGCGGCAGTCTTCGTTTTCCTGATCTCCAGAGGTTCGTCGGTCTCCCGTAGCCTGCTAGTCGAGTGCTCATTCACCCCGGTTTCGAATCCACCATAAGGACGCAGGTTCTGAAAGAATCGGGTTCGAGTCGTCTCTGCTTATACGGATATCAGAAGAAACCGTCGCCCACCATGAACCCACACCAGCAGAACAAGATTGATATCAACGTGAGCCCTCCACGGTACCTGGTCCGCAAACTACATCTTACTGACGCCCTTTATGCCTGCAGTCACTGAGTCCAGATGAGCAACGTCTCTTGCGGATGTATGGCAAGATGCCAAACAAGAAGGACCTCCTACAAAACAAGCTCAAGGTAATTGTTAAGCGTTTGCCGTCTACTCTCCTCTCGCTTTGTCGTTCGCCGTGATCGCAGCAGCCCTTCAGTTCTAATCGTTTATCTCTCTAGGAACGGAAATACTTTGACTCAGGGGATTATGCCTTGAGCAAAGCAGGAAAGGCCTCTGATGTTACAACCATTGGTTCTCGTCACCCGCTTCCGGAGAATATTCCACATCTCACTGCCTCCTCTCCTCCCCAAGTTAACGCCACGCCCAACCATTTCAACGGACATGCACCAACGCACTCCCACTCTGGAGGAACCAATAATGGAATGTCTCCGGGTATGAGTCGCAGCCCCATAAAGGAGGGAAGCTTTCTCCAACGACAGGCCAGCATGGAGGACAGCAACGCCAATGACGAGTGTTCAAATAACAAAGATGTGAGCCAGGCGCGCGGCGGAACAAAGGAATCCCCAAACGTCTCGAGGGATCCAGTGCCTGAGCGTCTAAGGGAAGACACAAGTGACTCTTCACCGCGGATGAGCGAGATCCCTATTCGAAGATAAGCTCTAGTTCAGATCAGCCCTTTGATTTAATGGCGCTTGCCAGCAAAATGGCAGTCGCAGAGCTATTTTTGATCGGCCAGGAGCGTACCTCGTCTGAGGAACGATGACTAGTATGGAACATGACAGCCTTTGATGGCCGGGAATTACCCTCTCAGACAAGTGCGTCTCAGTTCTCTGGAATCACGACTCTTTATGACCTCTACACTCGTCTCTTCCCAAACTTTCAGCCCTTCGTGGCTTATGCCTCCAGTCCTTACCCTCGAAACAGACCTCCAGAAAAAAATATAACCCGGTTTGGTGTGCGCTACCCCATGGCCTCTCATCGCTATTTTAACTGTTTCGTTCATCATGACGTATTTCTAATTCTTCTTTTGTGATACTCACATTGACGCTCTGTCCTTTTTATGCCATTGGCCGATGCGTTCTCACGGCAAGCGAAGTTCTCTACAACCAATTTGTACATGGCCACCCTACCCTGCTTCATCGCATATTCCGTTAGTTAGCCGTTCCACCTTTTTCATGACCCCTATCCACCTATCTCGCTTTCTTGACGGCCTGCTCGCTTCCTAATTGTGACTCTATTCCCATTTGTTTTTGTCCTTTTTCAATTTATAACCCTGCTCTTCCTATTCCATTTCAGTGTTTCTAGCAGCTTTATATCAATTCGATGGGTGGCTGCACTCGGGACCCTCTACGTTAGCCTACAACATCCAGAGCAAGTCGCGACTTTCCGTCGCAAAAGTAAGGGCTTACAGGGGGATATGTCATCGTAGGCAGCGAATTACCCGTCGCCTTCTGGCAAACCTCGACCCAGCAGCTGTATACTCCGTAGTCATCAGCTACTAGAGGTCCATGTCCGTAGATGATAACTCCGTGCCTCTATATTATTTTTATGTGCAGGAACACGTGTGAAGCTGCAGGTTTATCGGGGCTTTTTCGACTGGCGAAATTAGTAAGAACATAACTAAAATATAAGCGGTCAAACAAACGCCATCACATCGATCGCCAGTTGAATATTAACCGATATCTTTTGGCCCCCGCACGACATCGTCACCTCCATGAACGACTCACAGATCTCGCTACGACCGCAGACCGTCCAACTACGCGTCATCTAGACTTGGTTCAGAACCTTAACGTTGGGCCCGCTCAGCAAGATGATCTAAGAAACGCACCAAGAATACTCCAAAACCAGCAACCAGCAACAACCAGCAACCAGCAACCAGCAACCAGCATCAGGATTAGGATCAGGGTCAGGGTCAGGGCCAGGGAACAGAGGAACGGACGAACATTCGCAGTCATCGCCTGCTAGCTACGCCTGAGGGATCCAGCGTCCCCGATACTCTCTGCAGTATCCCGACTTTCCAGTCCAGATAAAGCCATTTCTATTTGGAACGAAACCAGCCAGCGCATTTGTCCATGTGGATCTTCCGAATATTCTCGTCCGTCTTCTTTCTTTCCGCCGTGGTCCTCTCTATCCCGCTCGCGTTCGATGTAGGAGGGAGAACTTGTGGCCTTGCATTCTCCCTCTCACTCTCGGCCTTCTACTTCTTCCTCTCGCTCCTAAAGCTCACAACTCCAGCAAGATCCATCGTCCGAAGCTCCCTCGTCTTTATCGTCAGCTCCACCCAGTGGCTTGTCGTCCCAGCCCTGCTAATATGGTCGCTTAACCGTTTCTCTATTGATACAAATGGGTCTAGCAGTTGGGTGGAACGGGCGTTTACATCGATCAGGGCCAACCATAGCTCTGTAGGCCAGTGGGTGTTCGGACAGGATGGCTTACTTGAGGCTGCCATTATCGGTCTCTGGGATAAACTGTTATGCTGGTCAATGCCCGTATTTCAGTTAGCGGAGGGCTTCTGCAGTCTACTTGTCATTCAAGCCTCTGGTCAGATTACCAGGTATCTCGTTAATAGGAGCGGGAGAAGTGATAGCTGGATGGTATGTGACCTCTCTCTCCCTCTCTCTGAGATCCGTCTACATCGCATGCCCTTTATGGGAGGTTTTGGCTAATACTTTACAGATTGGGTTACTAGTTTTCTCTGCGTCAATCATATCTAGCTCTTTATATTTCCTCTGGCGTGTCCTCGGTTTCCCAGAAATAAGCAACCTCGACTCTGCACTAATTGGAGCGGCTATTACGTGTGCCATCATACTCTGTGCATGGGGCATTGGTAGCGGACGAGGCAATCCTGTCGAAAGTTCACTATTATTTGCTTACGCTGTGCTGTGCTTATACCAGATTTTTACCGATTATCAATCATCCGCGCTGGGGAAGACGACGAATCCTCCTGCACAATCCCTCGAATTTCCTCCATTGCCGCCTATCATCATGGCATCCTACACAACCCTAATGCATACCCTTTCCGCATTACCCTCCATTATCCACACTTTCTTTAGCGTGGTCACCGCAGCCTTCAGTGCCATTACCCCGTCCGTGCTTATATCTCTTATATACCGACTTTTTGTTCTCTATGCATCTACCCGAATTATTCCTGCTGTTCGTGAGTCAGGGGGGCGTGCTTTGTCGCAAGAGGCGTCTTTGGAAGATACGGATGGTGCTGGTCAATTTTTAGGGCTCCTCAGTTGGTTTTCGCCTTCAATTCTGATAGCAGTATATACCAGCCTGCTTATGCAGCACTTTGCGTCCATGTCTCGAACAATAGAGGAAGAGGGCGAGTGGTGGGCTGCGCAGTCTCTAGGAAACGGGAATTTTTGGAGATGGGTGAATTTGGGATGCACTATGGGCTTATATGCCGTGGAGGTATGGCTAGGAAGACAGGATGATATAGATAGCAGTTTGACTGGACATTGGAAAAGTGACTAAGTAGATTCTAGAAAATAAATCTACTTTCTAATAATAAATTATATAAATAAAAAGATTCGATAATAAAAATTTTCTAGTATTAGTATTCTTTATTTATATATATAAAGATATTATATTAATAATAATTAATTATTAAAATAAAATAAAACTATTTAATAAAAATAAATAAATTTATAATAATAGTTTTTCTTTTTTTATTAATTTTTATTTTTTTTAAATTTTTTATTTAATAAAAAATATTATTTAAAAATTAATATTATATTAAAAAAATTTTATTATAGTTTTTAGTATTTTTTTTTAATATTATATAATTATTATATTATAAAATTAGCTCTATTACTAACTAATTTTTAATTATTAATTAAATAGTTTAAATATATATATATTTAACTTTTTTAATTTATTAAAAATTAATAATTAATTCTTTTATAATATTATATTTATATTTATATTTAAAATATATTCTTTTAGTAATTATAATTAAATTAGAGATAAATTGATTATTATAAGCTAATAGCGCTCCTTAATTATTTAAAGATAATTAGAGATTTATATCTACTATAAAATAGAAGATATAAAGATTTTAAAGAAAGCTTAAATTAGAGATAAGTTATTATAAAAAATAGCTTAATATTAAAGTAAAATAGAATATTATAGTAAAACTATTTTTTAGTTCTAAGTATAGCTTTAGTTAATATCTTAGTTAAATAAAGACTAAAAATCTTTATAAGTAATAGAAATAAAGTTAACCTATATTAATAAATAAAGAAATATTTATAAGTTCTCCTTTTTTTATTTTTTTAACTATAGATTCTCTATTTTAATTATATCTTTTTATAGTTTAACTATTAATAAAAACTATCTTACTAATTAAATTAATAGATTTAATATAGTTATAGCTATTTATTGTTCTTATTATATCTATTTAGATAAAAAGTAAATAGTTAATCCTAATTTAAAATTAAAGAAATATAATAAATATATTTATTTTATTAAGTATTATAATATTAGAGAGTTAATATTAAATTTAGACTAAAATAAGTTTATTTAGACTACTAATTATTTAAAGTATAAAAAAGAAAAAACTTAAATATATATATTAGAGCTTTTTAATTAATTATTATAGCGTCTTTAATATTATATCATACCACGTGACCATCTTCTCTATATAAGAAGTGGGCCTTAGCTAGTATTAATTAGTCAATTAATTAACTTATAAATAACTTTAGTAAAGTAGCTTTACTATATAGAGCTAAACCCTTAATATTAATAATATATCTTAATTTATTAAACTATTATTATTTATACTTTTATAAAAAAGCTTCTATTACTAATTAGAAACTAATTTATTAATTAGCTATCCTTAAATTATACTATAATAGTCTATAATCTTTTATTATTAAGGATGCCTAGTAGTAGTCTACTAATTAGTATTCTATAACTAATACCCCTAAATAACTACTATTAGTAGTTCTCTTTTCTTATACTTTAGTTAAATATAGCTCTATAAACTAAATTACTATAGCTAGACCACTATAATAATGTTATTTAAATAAAATAGTAAACCTAGTCTATACCTATATTAATAATAATAAATATACCTATTTAGGAGAAGCTAAATAATAGGCGGCTACCTCTCTTCTTTAAAGATATTATAGTTACCTAATTTAGCGCTTTATAAACTACTATTTAGATTTAACCTATTTTTAATTTAAGATCTATTTATTTTCTTCTTTTCTCTCTTATTAATAATCTATAAACTATCTATAGCTATTTAAGAAGGTCCTTAGCTAGAGCTAGATAAAAGTTACTATTAGTATATAAATATAACTCGCAAAGATATAAAGTATAATAATAGTATTAGTAATAAAAGAAAGATAAAGCTAAAGTATATTTAAAGACTTCTTGTCACAAGCTGACGGCGCTCCTTGATTACCTAAAGGTGATCAGAGGTTCACACCTGCCGTAAGACAGAAGGTACAAAGGTCTTAGGGAAAGCTTAGGTTGGAAGTAAGTCATTATAGGAGACGGCTTGGTACCAAGGTGAGATAGAATACTATAGTGAGACTATCCCTCAGTTCCAAGTGTGGCTTCAGTCAGTGCCTGGGTCAAATAAAGGCTGAAGGTCCTTATGAGCAGTAAAGACAAAGTTGACCTACGTCAATAGGCAAAGGGG